CCAGAGTCTCCTTTGGGACTTCTTGGTCCAGTTCTTTGGACTGATCGAAAACCCACTGACTTTTCAAACCCTGTGTACAAGTGGTGCTACAAAAGGCTTCAGGTAAAGGAGGAAACTCTTTAAACCTTACGAAGCACTTTTGCCAAAGAGAACAAAACACAATAGGTTAGCATGTAATTCGTCATGTTATAACAGGCTGTATGAGCTGTTTTAATTCATTACACATGATCTGTGATATCATCCTCTTAATATCAGACCCACCCTATGTTTGAATTAACAAAAGAAATGTATTAAAACACGTGAGTCCTATAATGACACGTGCAATAAGCTGCAGTTATTTATGTATATGTCAGGTCATTATTAGGTCACTGGTTAATCTTACTTGCTGTGCTCCTATAGTGTCCACATACATTTCGCAAACATAGTGCTCCTGGTGAAAATAATGCTCCTGAATAGATACAAAACATGATCGCTGGTTTGATCTGTTCAACATCAAGTACTGAAACCAATATTTTGGTCTAGTATCAAGTATCAAGGTCAGACTTGTGGCCTTGTGACAACAGTGCTGTGTGCTGTAGTTCCGATCTGTTTTACAGATGTATGTCGCAGACTTTTATAGCAAACATGAACAACATAACCTTCTCCTTACAGGCACTAAACCTCTGTGCTCTTCCTCCTCTCTCTGCAAACACAGCTCCACACAGTGCAGCCTCCCCACTTCTCAGGTGCCAACTAACATCTTAAGTGGCTACAAGAGGACAGGGAGCAGCTGACGTGTGGATCGGTACATATAAAAGGCATTTACGAGACAGCTTAACAACCTCATCCTACTACCTACTGTACTAAATCCCCCATCCACCTCCTGCCCTCCTCTCGAGTACCGGGGAGCCACGAGACTGCAGATAGCTATTAGTGCCCAGCGAGGAGCCCTGTGGTATTCGGGGGGCCGGTAATGGCCCACTTTGAGCCATGGTGGGAGCTTGTCACGGGGGCCTAATGAAGACAAAGGCAGGGTGTGTAGAGTACAGAGGCATGGGTGAGAGAGGGCTAATGCTCTGTTAATGGAAACCTCTGCTGTCCTTGACAAATCGTACATTGGATGAAAAGAGCGGGTTGGATGCATATGCACACAACTGAAGCACAGAGCTGCACGAATGATTTACATAAGCCTTTCAAAGGTTGAATACAGCACACGGATCTGCACAAGTTGCAGATTCTGCAGAATGAAAACACTTTTTGCGTTATGCAAAAGATGGTGTGTGCTTGTTTTTCCCCGAGGTTTGAGCTCTATAAATGCATAAATCACACTTTAACCAGATATAAAGTTAACAAGTAGCAAGAGGACATTAAAAGTTTAAGGCTGTCCTCTACATTCTGGTCAATTAAAGGCTGCCAAATGGATTTCTCCGGTTGCTCACCTGCTTTTATGAATAGTGAAGTGAGGGTAGCACCAGGAAAATTGATATCAAGGGAAAAGGAAGATCACTGACTCTCCCTCCTGCTCTACTTCCAGCCCATTGTAATGCAGCAGTAATGCAGCGGTTACCTCGGAGTCCAGTGAAATGGGTTGTAATCACCAGAAGCAGCAAAGTGCTCCTAAAGATCTGAAGGATGTTGATCAATACTTAAAGCCGCTCATTGTAACGTATAGAGGAGTGTTCAGCAGCTGGAGAGATAGACCTCTCTCTGAGGAGGTAGTTCAAGCAGAATAAGGGCTTAAATAAGATATTTAAAAACTTTGAAATGTGATTGTATGATATGTATTTCTTAAAAGCCAAAAGGTCAAAGATAAAATGTCATCTTATGGAAGCTTCAAATCCGATTTAATGCATGTTGTCTTGGGTTATGACAGAATATGTTGAGATAAAAATTCAGCCACTGCAAAGGTTCTGTCACCTCTGGTTTTAGTCCTCGATTCTGGGACATCGAAAAGCATCTGTTGTTTTGACCTCAGTGTTCTGGCTGGAGCAGGTCAGTGCAACAGTTCAGCGAGTTAAGATGGTGTCGGTCTGTGGAGCGCTTTAAAAACAAGGCTGGTTGGACTTCCGCTGAAGAGTACAGGTCAATATAGAAAATAAAACTGAAACCATTAAAGGGCAGTCCTTTTTACACCTGCACAGACTTTAAGGTTTTAGGTGCTAAAAGAGAATCTGCTGATCGACTGTATCAAATACAGCAGTCGAATCCAGTAGCAACAGAAATAAGTCATAATACTGACATAACAAGTGATAATTAGGATGAAAAATGTTGTTTTTGAAAGAAAAAAAAATCAGAATAATGAGATTTGATGTGGAAATACTTGATCCAAAACCATCTCTTATAATGCATTGTTAGGGCATTTATAAAGCCTCATTCATGCATTTAAAGATCTTTTTAACAATCTTTATAAAGGTTTTTCAGCCTTCATAACAACTTATAACAATGTCGATGAAGTGTTGTAAGTTGAGAGTATATTTCGAATTCTGAATTTCATGACTTTTTATAACTACCACAGCTTTACCCACTTATCAAACTTCATAGAAAAGAAAATGAAAAGACGGTGTTGCTTGTGTTGCGTTTTAAATCCTGCCATTATAAGCCAATATGTCCACTGCTTATGCATTACAATTCATAGACATTGTGACAAGTATTTTCTGTTGCTAATTGTTTATAAGGATAAAAAATCTCTTTAAATATATTTATGAGGATTCATAAATATAATAAATTACATGAGGTGTGTTCATGTCAAGTGTTACCAGTAATTTTTATGAATTAATCATATTTGTGAAATAAATAGTCTTAGTTCTGAAAAAAGTAGAAATTTTGGGATAAACAGATGAAAAAGCAAGAAAAGACAGGCTGATAAGATTAAAAGTATTTTTTGTGAAAAATAGGAATTATTAGTGGATTAAAAAAACAGAATCATCAGAAAAAAATGACTGATTCAGAAGATGAAAATAAAAGGTAAGGAGTCGTTAACATGAGAAAAAGTTAATATTGTGAGATAAAAGTTTAAAGCTTCTGTTAGGGGTTTTTGATGAAACAGAGTGAAATCAAATGTGATGCATTTTGTTATTTTTACTGCCTGTAACTGCTACAAGAGGGTAAGAATGCTAAAAAAAAACTGCTTTAGCTACTTCACCTACAAGAAAATGTTAACAGAGAGTCATCAGAAAGAAAATAAGAGGAGATTTTTTTGTCAATTAACAACAATTTCGGATGAAATCAGTAATAGTGTGAGCAACCACTTTGTCCATAGGGGGCGCCAAAGTCAACACCGACAGGAAATTCCTCACAGAAGCTTTAAGTGAAAAAAATACAAGTTCTTCTGGACAAGTTGTACTTTAAATGAAATAAAAAGACAGTATATGAGATGAAATAACAATTAGCAAGTTGCCAATAGTGCTCAAGTGGGCAACCAAGTTTCGATTCCAACCTGCAGCCTCTTTCCTGTGAGTCTGGTGACCTATTATTTCTTTAATGTCAAGCTATCAATGATACCTGAATACCTGAAGTGTGTAAAAATAATCCTAACGGAATGAGAAACGTGTTAATAAGATTTAAGTTTATTGAATCAAGAACCTGTTTTATTTCAACAAATTTATCTAATATTTTAAAACTAGACATTTTTCTAGTTTGTTTGAGTAAATTAGCCAAAATTTAGCCTAGTAAGATACTGAGATTTGATTTTTTTTTTTCTGCATTTTGAGAATTAAACAATCGAAATCAAGCATCTGACACAACAAGTGAATAATTAGATACAAGCAAGATTAAATTTCTCCATATTTGTGGTAAAGTGAGTCTTTAGGGAAAAAAGAGAAAGTGTTAAAAGTGTGTGTCCTGCCAGTAATAGCACAGTTATTCCCTGCTGTGGAAAAACCGGTGATAGACAGTCTGAGATGGGGAGAGGCATCACCACTAATAGCAGAGCATTGATTTTTCACTGCCATCCCACACATCATTCAGAGGGGACGCACAGAGAAATAGCTGCTCTCACTGCCTGACACACACACACACACACACACACACAGCAGGAAAAACAAACCACTGCACTCCACCTTCATCCAGTCCCCTCCTGTAGGCTTACAGAGTGGTGGGGTGATGGAGGGCGGCTGTAAAAGACTCCAGACCATTAGCTTCATTGATACCTGCCAAAAGACGGAGCAGGGAGGTGTGTGTTAGACAGGGGGGGCAGGAGTGTGTGCTGACAGTACAAGCCGGGCGCCACAACAACATTATAAAGATGTTGCCAGGAAGCAGGAGGCGCTGCGAGCTGACAGACTGGTATCGCTCACCCTGTCCTCCCCACTCCCCCCCCCGCATGAGAGCGTCACAGCCAATAACCCCCACTGCTCCGTCACTGCTGCAGCAACCCAGCAGCAAGCAGCAATAGAGAGAACTGCCTCCTACACTTCCTTTAATAACCATCCATGTGCACTGTATGTCCAGGAGCCAGCGGACACCCCGGATAGCAATTACTGAGTCCTCTTGTTTCAGCAGGGGCATAAAATCCTGCAGGAAGGATTTGTCCACATGAGAAACATTAAATTTGAAACATTATCACCTTAATAGGTTTAGTATCATTTCAAATATTGATTTTACCCTCATAAATGTAAATGCGACACCTATCAAATATGCAGTATAACCTATACTAAGCACTCCAATCATTTTGCTCAGTCTGGTTTTACTTTATTGATTTCATTTCTTCCATCTCTCGTCAGAGTTTTGCATCTTGAAGTTTAGATCTAAAGCCTCTATCGCGCATTTTTAATCCACTCTTTGATTTTGTGGAAGTTTAGCAGCCGTGTAAAGTTTTTTATGCCCTCTTTGAGTCATTACATGCTATTTTGCTTCATCTTTGTTCTTTATTCATCTGGCTTTTATACATTTTTGATTTTTTTTATGGCCTTTTGCACAAGTTTCCTCCTATTTTGTGTCCTTTTCAGTCTTTCAGTAGTTGTTTTGCATCACCCTTTTGTAGTCTTTTTGTGATATCTTGTAACGCTTTGCAGTTTTGTAATCTGTTTGTGTCTTTGTGTTCTTTACAGTTTTCCTTTCTCATTTGTGGATCTCCGTTTTTGCCTTTGTGTGTTCTTGCTGCCATTTTGCATCTCTCTCTTTTGAGGGATTTTGTGTCTTTTTCAAGCCAGTGTGTTTCATTTTTGTGATTTTATCATCCCATTATCATTACAATTGAACTTGTATTGCACTTCAAGTTGATTACTCTCCAACTTTCTGTTGTTGATCTCTCTGTTTCCCCGTCTTTTTGCAACTTTAACTTGTGTTTATTTGCTTGTTCGTCTGTATTGATCTGGTTTTACTGTGGATTTTTTGTTGTTGTTGTTTGTTTTTGGCTTTTTATGTCTTTTCTTGTCAGTCTGTTTGTATTTTAGCAGTAATTTTTTAGCAGCAATATTTTTTGCATCCATCCGAGTAAAGGTTCTGTGTGTTTGTGTAGTCATTGCGTGTCCTAATTTGGTTGTATTTGGGTCTTTTTGCCTGTTTTTGTGTCTCATTGTAATCATTTATATCTTTTTTTTCTATCAGAGTTGTTTCTGTCTTTGTTCGTTTCATTCATTTGCCTTTTTTTATGGCTTTGATTTCTATTTGCATTCCTCTTGCATTCCTCTTTGTTGTGATTTTGTGTCATTTCATATCTGGTACATTAGACCATTGCTTTGTTTTGTATCTTTTTGGCACTTTGTGTACTTAAGGGCCTATTTTGCATCTCTTTTAATTGCTTTTCTGCATCTCTATGTAATTACTTTCAGTCTTTTTGTGATTCTGTCCAGATATCCACTCTATCATTTTGAATCTTTTGGGGGTTTGTGTATTTCTGAGGATGTTTTGCACCTTTACAAAAAGTGTCTTTTCTGTAACCACTGTCTTTCTTAGTGTGACTTCGTTAGACCCATAGACTGTACTTAGAATGGACGCCACCTGCCTCCTCGCTGGGTGAAGCCATCATGAGAACAGCACCCTCTGGTGACGGGCTGCAGCATAGGTCATAAATCCCGCCTCCTCCAGCAATCCCTATGGAGCTGTGGACAAACTTTAGAAATTTATTACGCAGAATATAAAATTTTCTCCCCCCTGGTTGCGATGTTGACATGTAGTTATTGTAAGACTGGTTTGTGTTCAAGTCCTCTTTTTTCTGTGCAGGTCCATTTTTAAAAGTTATTCGTGGTTTCATGTTTTCTATGATTGACACTTGATCCAGCCTATGGGCGTACAAAGATTGCGCAGCTCACCCTAGGGAAACGCTGTTTGAGCACTCTCTGGGACTCTCCTGCCAAATGCGTACAATGCAACTGCGCAAGTGGTGGTTCCAGGAAGTGGAGATCTCATCCAAGTTGTCCATAGTATATATTGTACACTCCATGAGTTTGACCTTTTAATAACCAGAAGAGCATTTAGATTACGGTTCAACGATTTATTTTTTGCTTGATTTTATTTTATTTTTCTTGTTATTTTTCTTATTTCTTATGGTCATACTCTATCTTTGGGAGGCTGTTTTACAGCTGTTTTCAGTCAATATGTGTCTTTTTGTTTTTACAGGTTGTTTTTCCGTCATTTTGCAGCACTTTTTGTATTTGTCCAACCTTCTACCTTCTTTTACCATCCCTCTTTGAAGTGGTTTTGTGTCTTTGTACCTATTTGTGGCTTTATTTGAGTGTCTTTGCACTTGGTTTGCACTTTCTGTGGCCACTTGTGTCTCTTTACAGTCACGTTGTATCACTTCTTTATAATTTTCCTTTGTTGTTGTCAGTGTGTATTAGTTTCCTTTGGTCTTTAAGCTTTTTTTTAGTAGTTTGAGTCTTTTAAAACCATTTTCAGTCTCATTTTCGAGACTGTTTGTCAATCTTTCTTGCCTAAAACATCAAACTTAAAAAGTCCAGTGCAACTTTGGTGCTAAAGCCAAAAAGTTGGTCTCACAGTATCTACTATGACACTTAAAGTCATCGGGAATTAAAGAGAGGTACTCCTGTTTAACTCGTATGTCTTTTGTATATGATAGGAAAAGTTTAGAGTAAGTAGTATATAAACAATATAAACTATATAAAGTAGATGACTAGATTCCAGAAATCCACCTGCAGCAGCTGATCAGTGGCAGAAGAAGACCTCATGATACTGCAGCTGCACGTCTTTCTCTCTGTGGATGTGGATTCACTTTCAAAGGACGAGCGACCAAAATTCATTTCAGGGTGAATCTGTTGCCGTAACGATTCGTTAGCAGAACACAAGCTGGTGAATGTGCTGAAAGATCCTCAGTGCTTTCCTCCCTGATAGGAGAGAAGGGAGGAGGACTGAGGAGCTCTCGGACTTGGTACTAGACTGCCCCCTTGTGGTGAGAGTTTAAAAGTGGAATCATGCTGAGGTCGCAGGGTGTGGCAGTGGTAGATTTTGATATGATCCTTAATGGACACAGACCAAACACAGAAACTAAGAGAACAGAGGGAATATTTAAAATGTGAATAGAAAGTGTGGATGAATTTCAAGTTATTCATACAGCCTCTTTCCCTCTTTAAGAGGATTTGATTTGTATGTGTCACAGTGCTGCTTTGAAAGAGTGGATCTTATAGAAAAGATGGTGTCATTTGATATTTGGAGGATGTTAAATTTGTTTCATTCAGACCTTGTTTTCTCTTGTACTTCTTCATTCTCAGCCAGCAGTGTCCCGTATCTCTTTTTCCCTTTGTGAATATTTCCTCTGCTATGATATTTTTCTAAAATTTCCATCCCAGAGTTTCACGCTTAGATCCAACTCAGTGAGCTTTTCGTGCCTCAGCTCCAGCTTGTTAAGAAAAGCAGCAGAGATTTCCTCCCGCACCGAGTCTCTAATCATTTCCAAACCTGGTGAGCACCAACAGGGATTTCAGCTCCGAGTTTTTCTCTGAAAAAAGAGGGAAATTAGGTCCAAGCATCGGTCTGCTTGGTCCTTTTAGTGCTGAAATAGGGATGAAAATAATAACTGTAGCATTGAAGCTTTTCTTAGATCATTTTGCAGCAGTGGCCTATACAAACTGAACATAACTTCAGCTCTTTACAGGCAGTGCAACATAACAAAAAGCTTAGAAACTTAAAAAAAAGAGCTGTTTGTGGTGCTTAACATGTAGCTGGTAAAGCCATAACTGCATTCACCAAGGTTTTTGTCCTCATTGTATTCATTTCAGAGTCCATTTCTGGTCCAAACAAGATTTGTGAATGTGTTCCCACTCTTCCTCCACACTTAATAAAAGGCGAAACTTTTACAAAATAATCAGTAAATCCCGTATCAATCAATCAGTCTGGAGGTCGAATAAAAAATAGAATAAAATTACAGGATAAATAAATAAGAAGGGTATTATAAGATTAGTCAAAGACAAAATTTAGTGAAAAGCCAGAGTGAAAAGGTGGCTCTTAAGTTTTCTTTTAAAAATACTGATACTCTGTGACACTCTCAGGTCTGCAGGTCAGCTGTTCCTCAGATGTGGGCTGTTATAATAAAAAGCTACCTCACTGTGAGTCTTGTCTTGACTTTGAGCACAGTTAAAAGACCACTACCTGAAGACTTTGGGGATCTCACAGGCTCAAATGATTGGAAGAAAGTCTGATAAGTTGGAGCCGCACCACAAGGTCCTTTAAAAACCAGTGAAAAGAACCTCAAAATCAGTTTAACAGAAACTGGAATCCAAGCCAGACTTGAAAATTGGTATAATGCGGGCTCTCTTTCTAGTCTTTGTCAGCATTCCTTACAGCTGAGTTATGCAGGAAGATGTTCTTCTTAGAAAGACCAAGAAATAAGAGCGTCACAATTGTCAGTTCTGCAAGTTATAAAAGCATGAACTAACGTCTCTACATAGACTTGAAAGAAAATCCATTAACACTCTGGAAATGTTTTTCAAGTGTTAAAATCACTTTTAAGTGCTGCCCTTGTCATGTGGCTCAAAACTCAGGTCTGAATCAAACTGAGACTCTTGACCTGCTGACATTGATTAAAAAGACCGTGCTTTGAGCTTTGGTGCTGGAGCTCAGAAAGAGAAACTAAACACAATGACCACAACCTGGCTGAGCTATAAAAAGTCATCTGCCAGTTATGACTCGATATTGAAAATACAGTTATATCTAGGGCTGCGCGATAAACTGAAAATTTACTGACACTGAAATTTACGACAATAACTGACATCATTTTGCCCATGTCAATAGTTCCGTGTCAAAATAATAAAGAAATAAAAGCTGGTTTTGGATGTGTGTCCACCCCATCCAGTCCATAACAAAGAGGGAAGACAGGTGAGGAGATGGAAGACGGTTCAAAAGTTGGAGCGGAGCGGCGGCTGAAGTAGATGAAGTTAATGTAGGAAGGGGTGAGCAGTTTGTGGAATAGTTATCATCCATTTATCGTTATCGAGGTGAACTGCTCAATATATCCTGATATTGATTTGAAGCCATATCACACCAGCCCTTGTTATATCTACATCTTATATCTTTTATCTTATTTGTAAGTTCAGCCATTTTCAACCCAAAAGAAACAGCTATGACAGTTTTTCTTGATTGCTAAGAGACGTTCTTTAAAACTATCCACCCTTTCCTCCAAACAGTGAACACAAAGCCTCAGATTCCTCTGACAAAATCAAACAATCATATCCAAACAGTTTCGTCTGTGCTCAGAATCAAAAGTTTCTGCATCACAAAGCAGTCAAAATGAAAACACAACTGAGTTGGCATCACGCACAACACCACAAAGTAGAAAATATGGGAATCAGGGACTGATCCAAAAAGAGAGTTTGCTTTTCAAACCACAGTGAGCAAATACAGTTTTACTAATGCTAAAGTCACTGAAAATGCAATTGTGCTTTCTTACAGACATGTAAAGAAACTGTACTCAGACCTTTGTGGGGTTGATTCACCATCAGAATCAGCTATGTGTTTCTTGATAGTAAGTGTTATGTCCCATATATGGATGGCCAAGATATAACATGCATAAGATCCATTTCTCCCAAGTCCCAGGTAGCCACAACGACTAATATTCTAAAGTGAGAGGACATAAAAATGTATTATCAGGAATGATAATAGTTCATAATAATTAGAAAATATATTTAGATTAACTTTGGGTTGATTTAAGGTCCAAAAATAACAAACAAACAATTATGAGAGGTAAAGTAACTGATCAAAATAATCAAAGAAACCAAAATACAGGCATTTGAGGGGAGAAAGCCACATAAACACAAACACATCCAACACAAGCAAATGAACAGAGACAAAACAGAGAGGAAAAATGTGCTGTGACCACAGTGGTGACACAACAAAGACTGTATGCAGTGCTTTTCAAAGATTGTGAACACGAAGACAGATGTCTACAATGTGATTGGTCTTCCTTGTGTTGTTTGACCTCTGACACACACTCTTCCTCCTCTGCCTTTCAGATTGTCTCCATCCATCTTTGATATCAACTTTCAGCTCACCTGCTCTCTGAACTATCTTATATTTTCATCACTTTCGGTTCCAACATGTTTTTCCAGTTTTAAGTTAAATTGTGTAAACTGTAACACCGGTGCTGTAACTCTGATTAACTTCTGACACCACACTTTGGCGCCACAATCACAATCTTCAAAGCGTGTCTTATAAGGTCATAATGGCACACATATGCCTACGCCACACCTCCACCAAGCCTTTCATGGCACTCACTCTTATATAATGACATTCAGCCTCGACATCTCTGTCCATCATGAGGGATTATGATGTAAATATAATGTGGTCAGTCTTTCCATTTGTTGGAGAATCCTTAGATTACACAGATGGCCCCATAATCTGTAACCAACTTCATAAACATAATCCAGTTTTCTGGGAGTAATCTGGTTTCACAGCAGGTCTTGACACAGGTAGTTGTTGTAGACATATTGTAACTGTATGTATCATTACCTGTATTGATCAACATGGGCCCATAAAGCAGATAGTAGTTAGTGACTGGCTGTTGTGTGGACGTGTCAAAGGAGTGGCAGTTTTGTTTTTAATCAACTGGATGTGAACTAGGCGGCACTGGTTGGATTATGTGGGGGAATCTTTGCATTACTTTTATTTACATGTATGCATCTAATATTAGGTACACTTGGATACATTTTGCATTCAGGAGAGAGATGTTATAGGCACAGATTTTTTGTGAAAGGTAAAGTACAGCAGGTAAATTTAGAAATAGAGTTATAATCTGCAAAAACTCAAATCTAGGCATGTGTTTTTGTTTTACTTCTAGTTAAAGAGTCTTATTGAACTTAATATGTGCTAGAGTCTAGATAAGGCCAAGTTACTTTAAAAGAGTAAACATAATGTGACAGCGGCAGACAAAAACAAACTGTCAATTTATTTTTAAAGCATTAAAGTTTCCTGAAATGAGAATAATTTCTTCAGTCAACAACTCAACAAATACAGTTTTATTCGTTGTAACAAGAAATTCAAGTCTGAACTCATTAGCACTTGTACTTTGCAAGGCACGCTTCGCAGAACTTATTCCTTCTTTGCAAACTCCAAGCACAATCTCTCCCACTAAAGCACATTTGAAACACATTCTGTGCTGTGATGGACTTTGATGCATAAAGGTAACCACAGGTGTCAGAGGTTAAACACAGTTACATACTCTGGCTCTAGAGATTTGATACCACTAATACAGAATGAGGCAGTTCAGGGGTACAGGTGAGCTGAAGGTTGGTATCAAAGATGGATGAAGAAAAGGTGAGAGACAGAGGAAGAGGAAGAGTGTGAGTAGAGGTGGTAGACCAAAGGATGAGGGCACAAAGAATAGAGTGTGACTGTCTCTGCGTTTACCATCTTTGCAGAGCGCCGCTTGTGTGCTATCTTACAATGAGAGATTCTTAAAGTCCCACTCCCAACAATTTTTTAAATTTTTTTATGACTTTAAGTGTTGTTAATGGTCCTTAAATTGTGATTATTAAGTTTTCACTTTACCTGTTTCATTTTCAAGGGCTTTTCTTCTGCAGAGCTCCAGTAGCTCATTAGCAATTCGCCTCTGAGTCGTGGGCCGAGACAGCGCTGCTCTGCACACTCCTCTTCATGCTAGCTTGTAGCCTAACATTGCCGGTGCAGCAGAAGTAGCAGGTAACATAGCAGCTATTCAGCTCTCGGACACTTTAGGGGCATGATCAAAGTTAATATCATAATTAGGTTTCTTACAAGCATTGCAGTCCACTAACGGACAAACTTGTTCCACAATTGTCCTTTTTATTTCTCCGAGTCTAGCTTGCATAGCGGGGATCCAGGGGCGGAGCGTTGATTTGCTGGGTAGGAAATCTCACTGTATCTGAACCTGCCGTTTGGGTCTGCCAGAGATTCAGCAATTTGGATGCAGAAATACTCAGAAATGTAATTTTGCACTTAGTTTTTTTTGTCCTGTAGCATCAGAAAAATGTTATACGAACATATAAAAAGCAAGAAAAACATGATTTTTATCGGAGTGGGTCTCTACAGTAAAGCCCGGTTTAGACCTATGCCACTGGACAATAAGCATATGTTTGTCGCCAGATGCACACCTCCTCAAAATATTATTGGTTATCAATACGATGTGGACTGCAAGCCCTGTGATTGGTCTACTTGTCAGCAGATATTTCAGGAACAAGTTCTGCTCTTGTTCCTGTCCTCTCTGTCCTGTGGGAGTCAGGTTTACATTGTGGTTTTGTTACTCAGATTTTCCAACACTGTTAATTTGACATTACTCTCTGGCAAGAACCCTGCCCTCTTCCTCTGCAGCCATTTATTCCTTCTCCTCTGACATCTCCACTCTTTTTTTCTATGCAAGAATAGAAGCATGATCACAACATGCAGTCCAACATAAATACTGTATATTAGGCTGGGATTCAGCCATCGTGGTTTCCCGTACTCAAACAAGAGGGCAACATAGGAGGTCCAAAAACCGGCGATAAAGTAAGCATAGACATCACATAGCTAGCTAGCATTCACATGGAGTACTGCAGAGGAACTTACACTCAAACACACAAACACATTATTTATCTGGTGATTAACATATGTTCTGTTATTGCTTCATTAAACAATGCAATCACGTGTTTTTTTGGACATTGTGAAGGTTTACAGAGCAGCACAATAAGAAAATGTACAATGCAGGTTTGCAGGGCAGCATGAATCCTGTGTGCAGAAAAGTGAAATATAATGGAGTTCTTCAGCACTGTAAAGACTTTGTGACCGTACAAGGTCATGTGAGGCAGAGTGAGAAGGGTGTGAGTGTGAAACACAGTAAAACCCCCATTTTACCTGACAGAGTGAGGCTTGTTCAGCGTTCCTTCAAATTATGAATTCATAAAACTCTGTGTTTCATAAAAAGGAGGGTTCTGGGCCTTTTTCATCCAGACAGAAACATGAGGAGGTTCAGTGGGCTGTGGCAGCATATGTGCCAGTCGTGACCTCGATCCCTAAACAACGCATGTTATATTACCGCAATGATTCTCAGCCATGTAATAATCCCCTGTGAGCAGATGCAGAGATCTACAAGCTTCATAAACCTGAACCCAGACAAAAATTACACTTTTCTATCTCTGTCGGTGCTCTCTGGTGTGACTCTGCACCCCGAGCAGCAGGGTAATAGATAAGGCAGGCAGGTGTGGAGATGTGCATTCAGGTGCTGGTAGGTGGTGTGTGCTCATGTGTGTGTGCAGCGTCACCCAGACACCCATCTTCAGGGTACAGGGAGGATTTACAGGAACACTGGCTGTCTGCCACTAAAAGGCTCCAATATGACACCTGAAATCCTTCATTTGCCTCTGTGCAGGAGTAATTTCAGGTAATAAACCCACCTCTTTGCCTGCAAGGATTTTTTGTCAACACCATTTTACATCTGAGGCAATTCTGCAGAACAGCACTCCCAGGCTGAGGGCTGCCTCTAAAAGCAAAATAATGAGTCTGTATTACTATCCATTACAGCGCAAACACATTCCTGCTTCACTGTTTCTGCCTGTGACGTGCCCGAGCCTCTGTGTTCGGCAGGAGAACGAGCACATTGCAAAACGTCGAGGCGAAGCCAATTAGCCACATCCTTGGCGTGCCGCGTCTGCACGCCCTGCAGGAGGCCTTCATAGTCAGACAGCACAACAACACTCCCTCCCACAGACACATACACACACACACAAACGAGGCTTTCAGGAGGAGTGGCGTAAACTGCACTTAGCCATCAATAGTCTCATCCTCCAGAACCACACAGTGTGAGAGACAGAGGGGGAAAAGACGGTTTAATCCTGGCCTTAAAACCTGGTAAAAATAGGACTGGGAGTAGAACGCAGCAGATTAGGCCAAGGGATTAACTCGCCATTTGTTTTCTAAGAGCATCCGGTGCTGGAGGTGCAAGAGGAGAGGAGAGGAAAGGAGAGGAGAGGAGAGGACATAGCAGAGGTGAGGAAAGGAAAGAGGAGGAATGTAAACAACCAATTTAAGCAAAGGAGAGGAGGTGAAACAGGATTGGAAACAAGGAGAAAGGACAGAGAGAAAGTGAGACAAGAGGAAATCAAATTAAATTAATCTTATTAATCAGTAAAGAGGTTAAACTCCTGCTGTGTGCTGTTTACCTGGTGTCACCTTCTCTAGAACAACCAAGGCCATAGCCGCACCTGGACCTCCTAGAGAGGCATGGTTAGAAGTAAGCCTTCACAGTCAAGCCAAATAGATTTAGGAAACACCCTCATTATGATTATCTGGGCCTTAAAATCCGTGCATCAGACTGCTTTGAGCTTCAATAAAAGTACTGAAAAAAAACCTGTTGATCATTTCATGCAATCCGAAGTCCAAATGCTCTTCAGGGTGGATGAGTTTTAGGGTCACAACTCCACTGAAATGAAACGAAACTATCAGAAGGTTTTAAAAGAGGAGAAAATGTCTCGTCGCCACTTTTAGAGGCTATTTCTTTCAAGGAGGCAGCTGCTTTTATGTGACTGTCCAGTGGCTTTGTAAGATTAAAAAGAGCATGTCCACTAAATTCTAATATACTGCGATGATAAAGGATAATATTCTGCTAGAGTATGGTTCTACATACACTCAGATTATCTTTATCAGTTTGGTAGTAAACACAGTCACATTCAGAAAAACAAACCTCGTCTCCATAGCTACAGATACAGTGTTTTCTATCCATCTGTGCTTCTTTTGTTGAACATACAGGTTACAGGAAAACTCAGAGAGCTTGAAGATGTGAGTTTTTTCTGTCATCTCTTAACATCATGGTATTGTCTTCTGGAAGATGAGGACACTGTTATCTTTTTCTCACCACAGACCTGCTTCATCTCAGCCTCAAAACTATTATTTTAGACCATCCTCAAGCTCTCCATCATGCACACTTTTTTTTAATACGTGCAGAAATGGACACACACTTACAAACATATGGTCATACACAACTAGGAGCATTTTTTCTGGTGCCACTGATCATCATGCCCCTAGATATTAATACAGATTGAACAGTATCCGTTATGCACACCGTACAAAATAAAACCATGTTATCCAGCTCCAAAAATAAGAAAATAACAGCCCTCTTTTGAATATGAAATTACAAAAGAGATACCTTACTTGTGTGAAAGGTAATCACAAAAGTTCCTCTCTCTAAAAAATGAGTTTAAACTCCATCTGATAGTCAGAGTTCACCAGCAGCAAAGTCGCAGATACCCCCGGCGTAGAGGACAAACCGTATCTCTGTTTCTGTTACTGCTGACTCAGCATTCATTAAAGCCAGCAGCGGACAGCCAATGAAGCAAAGGGTGAAAACTTAATGTTTCAAAGCAGACTCAATTTCAGAGGGAGTTTTGGTTCGGGGCCAACATACCTAATATTCTCACACTGCTCAAGGAAGTTAGAAACAGTAATGCCCATCTATCTACACGGAGAGAAGTGAATGAGCTGGAAATACCAACACTTTAGGTATGACGAACAGCTCCTGATGGCCTTAATATCACAGGTTTTTCCATTTATGTGCAATGTCCCGTGTCTGTATGGCATGCTGTATAAATGTGGCTCATAACATAAAATCCATAAGCTGCAGCTCTTTACTCATAAGTCCTCCTAAAAGCTTTTTTATGGGCACATATTGGAGTGTGATTAAAGCACATATGCACACACATTCTCCATGTCTGTGCAATTCAACAAGGCAATATCTTAACTTATGCAGTGGTGAACAGAGCATTAACTGGAAAAAAAGTGCTGCTATTCCCATCATCCCCTTACTTAGAGGCGTGTTTATCTTGTGGACAGAATCAGTAAATCTTTGTATTACAATCAAAATTTGTAAATAAAGAACACCTGAAGATAATGCTGATTTACATGATTTACATGTATTGAATAAAGTAGCTCATATTCTTTCATATTCTTTCCTTACATTACCTGCGTTGCAAGCATTAACGTGATGAGTGTCCAATATTATCTTGTTTTTTCAATTGCATGCTTTTGTTGCCTTCTCAGGCCACAGACTGTATGAAATATCGATGCAGCCTCAGCGACACCATCTATTGGTTTCTGATTCAGAATTTTGAAGCCTATAGCGTAAATGACAGTCACCATATTAGAAATGCTGACTCAACGTAGCTCTATAATGCCTGACACCACAAATTATGGCCAGAAAATTCCATTTTTTTTGGAGCTGAAATGTTTATTTCACTTACGAGTACTGAAAACCACCAAAAAATCAAAAAGTCCTTAAAATTATTGATCTCGTTTGATACATTAGATGTTTTTGGAAACTAATAAACTACAAGAGGACATTTTTATCATTTATCGGACTGTATTCAGGTGTATTTTCAGTAACTTGTTCATCATATTGATTTAATAGAAGTATATAAAAGTATGTATCAAATATGATACAAAAGGCATTAAAGGGTTAACTTTCAGTCGACCAAACAACAGGCATAAAGGAACCATTCAGGTTCAGGTGCCCACCTGTCAGGAAAGTCAGCTGTTTCCCTAAAATTCCAAACTCATAACTTTATTACCTTCAAAATGGAAGTATTATTAAAAAAATATATCATATCCAGGAGCACCTCACAGTTTCTTCATATGTTGTTATTTTGATGTGCAGCCCACTCCAACTTCAAAACAGATTAAACCCTCCCCCTGTGTTAGGGTCTGCACCGACCTGTTTTTGTTTTTAAATGCTTAAAAGAACCACTTAAATAAGTTTTATTGTATCAAGACTTTCCGACTTTGTCAGAAACCTCTATTTCAACAATATAAAAATAAAAAAAATTAAATTGACTTAATTATAAAATGCTCTTATTAAAATAATGGCACTTGTCGTGTTAGGGTCGCTGTTGACCCGATTAGATCAATATCTGATAATCAGAGCAAAAACTGAAATCATATGTGCACTGTCCGGCACCACACTGACAGTCAGATCCTTTTCCAACCATGTGAAATTTAGGAAATTCTTATTTTGCCATGTTTTACCCTGTACAAAAAACAGCCTCAAGCATGTCCAGACATGTGAGATCAGTTGAGTATAGATGTCTATGTGAGGTGTGTACTGACAAAGAAAGGCCGAAAGACCCTCAACAAAAACTATCATTAGCAATATTTTCATGGATATTGAAGCCTAACAAGGCAACCTAGAGATGAGAACCAAACTGGATGAAAGAGAATTGTTTTTAGTGTAATATACAGCTGATTTAAGACATGGGTCAAAACTGACCCTTAACATAGTGGGTGCGTAGTAAAAGCTAACACAGGAGGAAGGTTTAAAAGTTGCAGAGTTAGCAAAAGTTTTCATGCACATACATCACCATGTACATTTGCAGAACTCGCATGTTTAGCTGAGTCGCTGACTATAAAATATAAAACATAAACATGAAAAAAAGAAATATATAAACATTTACCTTAGGGTGTTATAATTAAATGGGGGGAAAAGAGATGAAATAGGCAAGGATGGATTAAGGTACAGTCTCAGACTGAATAATGGACATGCACTTTTATTACAGGGATAAGGGAGAGGGAACAAACCACATATGGGAACAACCACAGAATAGGAAATCTGCAGGATGTATAGAGCTGCACATGAGAATACAAAAATAGCCTTTAGCCTATAAAAGATGTGTAATCCTCTAAATTACATTTAAACAATTGCCAGGCAGCCTATATTTTATGTAATCTGTGTAAAAAGCACCATGACACACATCAACATATATGGCCTTGTTACATATGCTTTCTTTCTCACGTGGGTCTATGTGAAAATGTCCCAGTTTGTCTGAATGTGTTAAATCGGTCGGAAAGAGACGTTGGAATCACAATGGGAGCTCCGGCTGCCAGATCTCGCGAGAAAGAAACGCGGACCTTGCCCAAGAGTGTGATGAGCAGTTAATAAAGTCATAATATTCAATGTTGTCGTCTTCTTCGTCTTCAAACTATCAGTAATTTTCATTCAAAAGTGTGATGTGCTCAATCTCACAGTTTCCAAAGAAGGATTTCTAACAAGTGTTTTGAGTCTGTGTTCTATTTTTGGTCCTAGTGGCTTTCCGTCTCCCCGCCCCTGTGTATAAAAAAGCGGCTGCGCGGGCGCAGTCGGTCTTCTCCCACGTCAACCGGAGCAACTGCTTTGTGACTACACTCTACCGGAGGTTCATTGTAAAGGTAATGTCCGCTTTTTCTCCGTCTTATAGGAATTAAAGCCGACATTAAAGGCGTGTGCAGTGTTATGACTTTTGAGCTATAGACACAGTGAGATTTAAAGCCATAGTTTGTCGTATTTTCCAGAAACTACTTTTTTAGCAGGTGTGGTTTCATTGTCAAACTTCCTGGCTCTGACATAATAGAATGATATTATTAGAGAGGTATGGTTGGTAGTTCTTGAAGGTGTTACATGATAGTTTAGTGGTGTTGTTGCGCAGTGTGTAGGGTGTGTTTTCCGCTGAGCTGCATTACTATAAAAGAGTCTCCGCACTAACGCGCTAACAAAGACCATGTGGCGAAGGAGTGTGGAGGCCCGGGCCTGTCCTGACAGCTCTGCAGGCAGGGGACGCTCTGCTCCCCTGCGGCCCTCAGGTCACATTAATCAGCTCGTTTTGGCTCGTAGGTACTACTCAGTAATTAGATGTCTTCACCCTATCCTTGACTCTGATTTGGCCTCCTGTCAAATGCACCCTGCAGACTGAACTTCCTGACATCACGGCCGGCAAAGTCCACTTTAGCCTCAATGGTGCACGTGGCGCTGCGCGAGCCTAGATAGCTAATTATAATAAATAATCGTGCATCTTGGCGCATCATTGCATCGGTCTTTAGATGCTGTGTCAATGTGCATCGATTCGTCCGAGGTGCCCCTCCTATAGGACGCTGGAGTTGGCCCCTCCTATAGGACGTCTGATTCATTGTAACCTACGATAATAAAACTAGGGCTGCAACTAACGAATATTTAAATAATCGATGAATCGGTCGATATTTTTTCGATTAATCAGTTAGCATCTTATTAGCAGCGTCTGATTCATTGTAACCTACGATAAAAAAAAAATTGGGCTGCAACTAACAGTTACTTAAATAATCGATTAATCGATTGTTATTTTTTTCGATTAATCGATGATTTAGTTAGCATCTTATTTGCAGCGTCTGATTCATCGTAACCTACGATGATAAAATTAGGGCTGCAACTGACGACTTTTCTAATAATGGAGAGAAAGTAAAAATCCAGAGTGTTTTAGACACCTGTTAAAAACTTTTTCCAGAGCTTAGTTTGATTGTTTGTTTGAATAATTAAGTTTATGAAAGAGGAAGAAAACTGTCTCATGATCAGGGAGTGGTTCATAGCAGGGCTGAGTTCAGAGCTGTGTGTTTTTATAGCAAAACGGTGTAAATTGTCTTGGATACACAACTGTGTGACATTCATTCAAAAACACTTCAGAAAAGCCGAGGTATAGAGTAGCTGGATCATAGTATACATATTCATGAGCATCTTTTCAGCAGTGAGGAGCATTTACCTTATTCACTTGTTTGCACAGGTAGGTGAAGCCATTATCCCAAAACCATCATCATGCTCCAAGTTAATGCAGTCCCGAGAGAAAGTTCTGCTCTTGTCCCCGTCTTCTCTGTCCTGTGGGAGCCAGAATTACATTGTGGTTTTCTTACTCAGATTTTCCATCACTGTTAATTTGCCATCTCTCTGGCAAGTACTGACTTGTATGCATAATGATGTAAGCGTCACACCTTTGGTAACGTATTTTAGTTGCGGTTATGTATGGGCGAGAGAAAATGTAACATGGAGAGGACAGGAAAGAATACAGGTCAGCTGGTAAGCCAAAGTCCAAAGTAGTGGTGCTGTGTTCCAGCTCACTTTAAACTTATATAAAGTTTTTAGAGTTTTAAATATCTGAAAGAAAATAAACTTTTTTCATGATAGTCGCTTTTGTAGAGATGTCTGAGTTCCTTTAACGGGGATGGGTACAAAAACATTTTAATTTCCACCCATTATTTCAAAAAGGAACATTTGAACTGAGAGAAAATGAGTGCACAAAAAAGAGGATGGGACTTGAATGTTCTGTTCCAATAATATTAAATGATAATTAAAAAAAAAAAAAACTGAGTGCTCACAACATTGTACGATAAAATCCTGATGTGATTATTGTCATCAGCACCACCCTGAGGGGTTGCGATTGAGACCAACTTTGAAGGCAATCTGTTTTAGGGTGCAGTATTTTTACACTAAAATGTCAATATTTGGCACAAGAAGTACAACAGTTGCACTACATGAGTCAGGACCATGATGCATTGCAGTTATTTTAATTTCCTTGAGGGGACTCTCCCAAAAGCATCAATAAGTTCTGTCTGATCATTTTTTTTTGTCCCACCCTTATTTGACTAAGAGGTTTGGCAGTACATGAAGTGAAGACAGGAGGAGACGAAGACTAAGGGCTCTGCTTTTCATTATGAGGTTCTGGGTTCGATATAAAAGCTGTCGTCTGTTTTGAAAGAGTACAGATGAGGAAACCTCCATTGACTCAATGTATGAGTGTTTTCAGGGACTTCCTGCAGCTGTGAATGAATCATAAAAGAGAAAATGACGAGTGGAAGCCATTGATAGAAATAACTCTTGCTTTCTGCAGACTGTCTGCGGCCTCCTTCCGCTCTTTTAATCTGCACAGGTAACTTCCTTGTTGGACAGATTTGCCATTCCCTGTCCTCTTGTTTGGGAATCACATTAGATTATAGTCCAAGAAGCTGGCTTTGAGGGTCAGAATCAGGATTATGCGCTTGAGATCTAAGCTGCGGTGATGTATCTTTGTCCAGCATTAATGATGGTGTGTCACTGTGTGAAAAGATGCCAGGACTGAGTGTGAGGCTGCCAGGGACAGCTCTCTGTAGGTGTGACCCTTTTTAAACAAATTGGCTATAATCTTATTCGTTGTGCTTTGAAATGTTATTTATGTAAAAGAATATTTACTGAAGAAATAAAATCACGTGCATCTTAAAGCAGTGGATGTTTCCCTGCTCCAGCACACCTGATTCAAATGATCAGCTCGTTATCAAGCTCTGTAATGGCTTACTGACGAGCTAATATTTGAATCAGGTGTGTTGGAGCAGGGAAACATCCAAAACATGCAGGACAATGGGCCTCAAGGACTGGACTTTAGAACCACTGTCTTAGTGTTTTTTGCTATTTTGGCTAAGCTGCAACAATAAATCCGAATTATGTCTCAGATTTATAGAAAAATAATGTAGAGCTCGAGGACTTTATGAATTAATATTTTAATGTCATCTACTGCAAATTAATTTGTTGGAAAAATGTCACAGGGAGCTCCAAATCTTGACATTTGAGCTGGTGGAACTCGTGTGTTTGTGTCCAGTGCTTTTTAAATATAGCTTTTGTATCTATTGGCAGATCAATTGATTAATTTAATTACCCTTTCAACTTGTCACCCCGTCTGACACACAGTCAGCAGGAAATCATATATTAGAGGCTCACGAGAAACCGTGTGAGGATAAAGGTCTTTACCTCGTGGGCGTGGCTGCATCTCAAAGTCAAGTAGTCAAGTTGCAGCTCTCGGATTCACACTAACCTTTGGCGAGTGTCTTCTATGTTTATCTGCGTGCTATGGGGTCGGTGCCCTCTGCACCCGGCCCCAGACCTGCCATACGTGCCAAAAGCGACAACAAGGAGTGAGTGCTTCTTTTTCTTCTCTTTCCTGCAGCTGTGTCCTCCTGTGCTAACCTTTTTTTTTTTCTTTTTTTTTATCTCCTTTTTGTTTTCAGAATCATGTCTGACCTGAAGGAACGCACATTCATCGCCATCAAGCCCGATGGCGTGCAGAGGGGCATCATTGGAGAGGTCATCAAGAGGTTTGAACAGAAGGGCTTCAAACTCGTCGGGATGAAGATGGTCCAAGTGAGTGATGAATTGATATGTTGCATTTTTTTGCACAGGATTTAAAAAAAAAACAAGCCGCTTCCATAATATTGAGTGTTAATAATAACCCTGCACAGGTTATAAACACACTCATGTGAGCGCAGAGTGAGCGTTAAGACCTCCTGTGAGCTGATTAGCCTGCTTGTCTATTCCTGACCGCCGCGCAGCAGATTAGCACAGAGAGGTGAGGTCCCTGATCCTCTAACTTCTGATCTGGGACCGAGTGGGATGCTGCTAACTTTACCATGAAGTCTGAGTCATTTATAAACGTGCATTATGTAAGGAGTATTATAACTTATATGAATGTCCATCCTGTGGACTTCACCGCCGATGAATGTCCAGTTACAGGTACCTGTTATGAGGACAGGAGGTTTTTTTTTTTTTTTGTGTTATATATGTAATTTTAAAGAAAAACACTTGAATTATCTCTTTACTCCATCTAGCATCCAAACAGAAGTAGGAAGAAGGACATTTGTTATGATCTGTTTTTGTTCTGCATGTCATAAAACAGGGTTCCTACACAAGTACCGGATAGGATGGAAGTAGTTTGATCAAGTTCCAGGTCTTAAACAGTGATAAATATGAAATAAAGTGTGGAAAAATATCTGTTTCGAGAATATTACCACAATTCTAAAACAGTTTTCTAAAAAAAAAAAGAAAAGTAGGTATTTCCAAAATCATTCTAAAAAGTAGGGTATGGAAATTCCAACTGTGTAGGAACCCTGGAAAGTTGGGATTTCAGCTCAGGGGTTTTGCTGTTTTTCACCTTGTGTGACTTGAGCCTAATATTAGAGTGAGATATGTAGACCATGTGACCAGAAGTCTTGTAAGGTTGCCGTGTCAGCTGAGACAGATCAAACAGGGTCTTTCAGAGGCTTCAGCGCGTAAGCCCGGAGGATGATTTACACCTCACGATGAGGGGCTTCCTCGTAAGTCAAATCCTGAAAAGCGGCTTCCGTGCCCGTGACGAGCTCCGGTTGTAGCAGAGCGAAACGCATCAATGACACACTGAAAAAACACTCTGTCTTTACATTTTCAACAGAAAACATCCACAATGACCATATTTTTAGTCTGAAAATCCTGCCTTAGCATGTACAGAACAAGAGCAGCAAAGCCACAGGGTGTTATCTTGGCTCTCAAGGGACACCAGAGTCAGCAGAAACCAGAAGTTCCTCACAGCAGCTCTAAATAAAGTGTCCTTCTGCAACAAAACTGCATGGTCAGTGTTTTAGCTCTGGAGCTTTTCTGATTTCATTAGTACGGTGGCTGAGAACCGCCACTGCTGCAAAAAAAGAATGCAACAAAAAAAGTCACAACTGAAGCCTACTGCAAATAAAAAAAGAAACTGTGCGGATAAAAAGCCACAATGGAAGTTAACGGCGCTAAAAATAGGAGTGGCAATGGAAAAAAAGTTACTTGATGCGAAAATAAAAGGATGCAGATAAAAAAAAAAGCCACTTCGGAAGTGGGCTGCCGGGGACCAATAATGATAATGCACCGGTATTTTATGATCCAGCATCATTATTGGTCCCTGGCAGCTCACTTCAGTTGTGGCTTTTTTAAAAATTGGATCCTTTTTATTTTCGCAGTAAGAAACTTTTTATTTGTTTTTTGTTTTTTTTTCCATTGTTAACTTCCATTGTGGGTTTTTTTTTTCTTTTTTAAATCTGCACTGCTTCAATTTTTATTTGCAGCAGGCTTCAGTTTCTTCATTTCTTTTTTAATTTTTTTTATTTATTAATTTTTGCAGCAGTGGTGGTTCTCGGCCACCATACATTAGTGATGAGTATTTTTACACCACACTGAGATCTCACCTCTAGGACAAACTCTCCTTGTTGTTGATCCTTTTGTGTAAAGAAATCTGAGGCTTTAACATGTCCAGCTCCATGGTAACAGAGTAAACTCAGTCTTTTAAAAGACGGTGTGTAATAGGATCTCCTCACCTTGTACAGTGTGTGAAATTGAGATTTCAGTGTCTGAGAAGTGACCCCTATTGTGTTCCCCCCCTCTTTGTTACAGGCGTCTGAGGACCTCCTGATGCAGCACTACGCTGACCTGAAGGAACGACCATTCTTCCCCACTCTCATCAACTACATGAGCTCCGGTCCAGTGGTTGCCATGGTAAGAGACAACAGAGCAGACTTTCTTCAAGAGCTTGTGTGGTTTCCAATGAGCCTGAAGGGCCTGAGCTCTGAATAGGAGTCATGAGGCCTCAAACCGGCTCTGCTGCTGGGCTGTTGTGGAAAAAAAAAACAACCTCAATTTCTCCGCTGGTACAGAGAAGAGTCAGAGGTTGGCTATTTTTAGACCTGGCCCTTATTTTTACACATCTGAAGTAGTAAGACCCTGTTATGGATACATGGAACCCACAGGAGGAACAAAAAAACAAATGGTACCTCTAGTAGAAGTCCTTGTTTCTGAACTATAGGCTTCATTGTCGCACAGAATTAGACGGGAAAAGATGATTTCTGTAAAACAAATGTTGTATTTTCGGTTCCATTACTAGACTTGTGATCAAAAACGTTTTAAATGAACACTTAATGTCTTGTACTGCGGGTGATTCTCATGACACTTCACCGCCCTGCTATTAGCTTGTCTTTGTAGCCTCTGGGAATATGACAAATTTTTATGTTTGAACAGGAATTTAACTAACAGACAACAGAGCAGTCGAAAGGCTGGATACACTCGAACTGTCAAAACTGGCTCCTATTAGCAGAGCTGGAACCTCTATCCCTCAGTCTTCCTTGTTGGTGTATGTCCACGTGTCTTTTTACATTAAACATATGACGTAATCTCCATTTTCTAGATTAAAATATTGTTAAATCATCTGTCATCAGTGCTTGTTTGCATGTGCATTATGCTGTGCTGCATGTCAGACCTTAAACATTCATTATTTAATGAAGTAGTGATTGGTGGGTCTCTCAGTGAGGATGACCTGAATGATTAACAAAGCAGGATGAGATAACAGGAAAAACCCTCTTGAAAGCCATCTTGTATAATGAGCATTTGATCCTGTTGAAATGCAAAAGCTGCTTTCTCGACCGCAGACTGTGATCATTTGTTATATTATCTATGGCGACTTGTAATCTGTGTACATCACACTCTGCGGTGTTGAAATGCTGCTGAATAATGAGGTTTGTAGATTCATGATAAGTAGGTGCCGTGCACATTTTAAAGATGTTTAAGGAGAAATGTCATCACATGAGTCCAAAGCATATATTGAATTGTATTTTAGGGCGTGGGTGTGATCGATGATGGCTTATCTGTTTTGGTGCCGATCACATCCCTGCAGACACGCACACATAGTTCGTTTTTCTTAGTCATAGGAAATGAGAGTGCTAAGGTTTGGTTTGTATCGAGCAATGTTTAATCATTCAGCCCTTATTTATTTATTTATTTTTTTACCAATTGATTATTTCCTGTCCTGTCAGCTCAGCTTGTTTAATCTCCCATCATCCCTCTGCTCTGTCTGTACTCTCCAGGTGTGGGAAGGCAAGGGTGCTGTGAAGACCGGCAGAGTGATGCTGGGTGAGACCAACCCCGCTGACTCAAAGCCTGGAACTATCAGAGGAGACTTCTGCATCGATGTTGGCAAGTGAGTGTGCCGCTCTACCTCCAACAAAGACCAAATCTAAAGCCTGAGCACTGGTCCATCATGGGCTTTATAGACAGACTTTCATAACCTTCACATGCTGAAGGTCCTTACACGCTAGGAAGTTTTAGATGACTAAAATGTGACGAGAGGAATGTGCGTTTACGTTGACGAGACTAGACGAAAACGTTAGTGGTGGATGACGAACAGAGTTGCAAAATTGATGAGCATTTCGTCAGTCAAACGCTAAACATAGATTCTGCAGTGCTGTTGACGATGACGAAAATATTTCGTCATCGTCAACGAAAACAACACTGATAAGGACTTTTTTTTTTTTTTATAAGGGTTTTGACAGTAACAGGGAAAGACCTCCTGGTCTGAGTGTTGGGATGGGGTCATGATAAACTGATGGTAATGGTCTTCATTCTTCTGTTTTCTTTAAGGAACATCATCCACGGCAGCGACTCAGTTGACAGTGCCAACAAGGAGATTTCCCTGTGGTTCAAGGATGACGAGCTGGTCAGCTACACGAGCTGTGCCTTCAGCTGGCTCTACTAAACCTCTCAGCCCTCCTGCGTCCTCACAAACCGGGTGTGGGGGGACCAGTGACACTCTTGCCTCAGTTTTCCTCTTTTTTTTGCCCCTAGCCGAGAGGGCAGAAGAGCTGATGTGTGAAGTTCATGACCCACTGTCCTCACATTCCCATCAACCCCTCCACTCATCGTCATACTGTACGTGGATGTGGTCCTTAAGGTCCAACTCTACCCGGGTTCATTCCTGACCTCCATTCCTCTTTTAGAAACATTCCAATCATCACATCGATGTACAGTTAATGACTTTAACCAGCCTTTGACTGTCAGTTTTGTTGAATCTGCTTTCCAATAAAACTGCACACAACACAAACTGTCTCCTCCTCCTCATTTATTGGTCAGATCTCGCTGAGCTCTGATGGACATGTGGTCCTGAGGTGGCCTGCTCAGCTCTGATGGAAGGATTAGTTAATGACACATGCGTACATATCTGCTCCCTCACGGGGTCAGAGGGTAAATATAATCTGAGATTTAGTTTAATGTCAGATTAAAGTGTTGGGTTGGATAAAGGTCTTCATCCAGTCCTAAATAATTACAGTCCATACTTTCATTAGCTTCTAAAGTGGTGACTTTTTGGAGGCAGAGAGGTCCTTATTTTGGTTTCAGGACATTTAAGATTTAAAAGGTTTTAAAATGAGCAAATCACAAACCAAAACTTCAACTTATTCCCCTGTCTGTGAGTGTTTGTGTTCTCCCAAGATGCAACACTTAAAACATAGACTTTCTCTCGGGTAAAAGTTTCGGAATAGATAAAGTCTCATGATAGCTCAAGGAGGTTTTCACAACCATCATAAACAAGTGGAAAATCTAATACTCTTGTTATTATGGAAAGAGAAGTAGTTACCATGGAGTTGTAGGACACAGAGATTCAGAGTCCAAAAAGAAAAGCCTGCTAGCTGCAGAATGTGATTGAATTTCTGTAGCAGCTCAGTGTTTTTGGCACATTTCTTTGATTTACTTGACCTCTTCTTTAGGGGAGAATTGATTTGGATTTCAATTCTGTATGCATTTCTCTCAAAAGTTGAAAACCTTGGATCTAAATATGTTAAAGTCATTTGTCAAAATGTCCTGCTCCTCAGAAAGAACCATTAACCCTTTCGTACATAGTGGTCAGTATGGAGGAGAGACTGTAGTCACCATGTACGCCGACGCCTACTGATCCAGACAAAAGTGTAAAAAGGAAAATAATGAAATTCAAAACTGTGCTGAGGCTTAAAAAAAAAATAAAGGTGTGACCTCTAAGGAGTGATGTTTTGCTCTTAAGTCTGAAACCTGTTTTTTTGTTTAGAGGGAGTTTTGATGAATGGTTTGTCTGCTAAAAAGGTTTCTGTGCATTTCTGGTATTATTTCAATTATACTGATATTGATATGAAGACTGATGACCTCGCAGGAACTTGATGAAGAACTTGTTTACCAAAATAAACTGGTTTATGATTTTAAAGTGTGACTTTTTAAACAAAAAAAGTTTTTTTCAAGTTCCTCTAACCATGCAGTCTACATGTCTCTGTAAATAAAACTCAAGTTTGAATTTAAATCCATGCTCTCCCATATAAAGTCCACTGATATGACAGCCCCACACAGGCACTATCAAGATAGTTTTTTATTTATCTGTTTATTAATAAAACATAACTCACATACACATACAAAGAATAAAAAATGTTCACTCCACACCTCAGTGGATATTCGACAAACCAAAAATTTATTTGGTTCATGCAAAAAAAAAAAAAAAAAAAAAAGGTATAGTTGCATAATGTCCACTTTAAAATCATCACTTTGCTTATCATTACAAGTAAAAATTTGGGTTTTAAAGTGCCTGTTAGGAACTTTCATTTTTTGCTAATGTTGGCGCCCCCTGTAGGCGAATCAGTCATTGTTTATTCTGCTCTCCACATTCTGAAACAGTATCCTCTAACCTAAACTCTCATCCTCCAGCCTTTTGACCAAATGCATCATTTATTTTGAATATTTCATATTTATTATGAGTATTATTAATATAACCTGTCACCAAGTTCAAATGTTAAAAGTTAAAAAAGTTATAAGTTGTCCCTGATGGTTTTGTTTTCTTTTCAATATCATAAAAAGACATAGAAATAATTTCTATTTCATTCATATAAAAAAAACAGCTCCTGACTGCTCATTTATAAGGCTATTAGGAGCTAAAATTGGTGTATATTTGTCCTAAAGTGATGATATAAAGTAGACTGTAAAACAACCAGATGGGGGATCTTGTCCTCAAGGCAGGACCTGTCATAGTTCAGAGGAAACACTCTTGGTAGCCCATCAGAAATGTTGAAATGTGGAGAAAAGGATTCATGCTAAGCCAAGGAAGACAGAAGAGTTGGGGTGTTGATCAGTGCTGTGCTTTGCAGACTCCACTGATCCTACCTGTGTCAATAAACTGTCAATAAACTTGAACATCAGCCAGGATCACTATTGATTAGTTTAGCCATGTCATATTTTTATAAAGTGTCAAAGGAAGCAGGTACCACAGAAAAACAGCCTGTGTGTCACTCTCTTCACTGGACTTCCTTGACAGAAAAAAAAACCAAACAAACAAAAACAAAAAAAAACACAGACTTATAGTGCGTTCAAGTTACCTTGGAAGTCAGAAGTCCGAGATAAAAATGACGTCACACACAAGTTACCAGGGTCTCAGTTACCAAGTCAGAAAAAAGCAAAACAGTAGACGGAAACAAGATGGCTACATCAAAAGTATTTTAGCGCTTGCCTTGTCCGAATATAAGGCAAGCCCTAAAATAACTTTCGTAGATGTAGCCATCTTGTTTAGATCTCCGATTTTGCTTTTTTCGACTTGGTAACTGAAACACTGGGAACTCCGGTGTGACGTCATTTTTATCGCCGACGTCTGACTTCTGAGGTAACTCAAACGCAGCAGTAACCTCCGAGGGTTTTCTGCTCTGCTAGTGACGTCAAACTGCAGTACAACTCTAACAAAGGATCTCCACAGCGTTTGAAGTCATAAGCCTTTTTATTCAGTGTAAAAGTCAGATCTTACAAAAAAATCACCAGATAAACTTTCACAGCCATGCGGAAACAGTTTGCAATGCTTGTAAACAAAGAAGCCGTTCATAACAACCGATAGTATGATCCAAACATTTGGCTTTATTTACAAAGTCTATCAAAGCTTGATCACAGCACAAATTTACCATATGAAAGGAAACTGGTATACACTATCAAAAAGATGTACAAACTTTAAACTGCAATCTAATAATGTACCTCAGGGGTCAGTGTTAATATCAATAGATTTATAACTATTAACATAGATTTTTTTTTTTCATTTGTATCCAAAATAAATTTTTCACAACAACCCTCTCCACTCACAATTATTTTCAGACAATAGCAAACCCAATACATTTAGTCATTTTTATCAAATATATATAGCACCACGATATAATGGTTTAATATAATGGGGGGGATAATCACATACAAAAGACCCGTGTTAGTATCCAAGAAAATAACAAGTATCCAGCCTGCTCCTCTGCACTGCAAGAGGAAACACCTGCTCAGGTGACGCCTCAGCCAAGTACCCTCAATGGAAGCCCGCTCAACATATTCACACAGCAGCTATTTTCCTCAACACACTCCAAATGAGAAATTCGGACGCTGTTCGAATGATATTTACTACTGTTACGATTTTAAATGATTGGTTTTAACTCCTATGCTGAAGTATCTGTAGTCTCAGAAAAATGAAGTCGGAAAAATAAGCCACACTGACTGTAATCAGAGTTTTTTGTTATGAATGGATTATGTTCTTTTAACTCAAAATGTGACCCTGAAAATGTAAACGGTTCATTAATGCAATCAAAAAAAAAAGTAATGTTAGATTGTCCACATTCGCGAACAGCGCACTGTGATATTTAAGCAGCATTTAAAGCTGATTTCAATGATTAAAAAAAAACAACATAAACAGTCATAAACGGTTCAAAACTGACCTGAACTTCACTTTGTTTCCAACTTCATGACTAACATTACTCTGAGCTAGAAGTTTCAGACTTTTTTGTTCGCTTTATTCGCTAGGATGCTAATGTTAGGGGGGTTAACTGGCTATAAGTTACAACCCGTGTCCTCCCAAATTTTTCTATGTATCGTCTTTTACGCTGCTCATTAAAATCGTGACAGCTTTCTGTTAGCTTGAGGTTATAATCTGTTTCTCAGCACCGACATTGTAACAACATTTGAGCGCCACACCTGAGCATGCTGGAAAAATGGCTGCCATGTCAATATAATTCATTACCACCACATTTTAAAGATCTACATGATTAAAAAAAAAAAGCTTCTTCAACATTTTTGATATAAAAGTAAAGATTATTTCAACTCAATGAGCCAAAATTGTTGTAAGCCTTTGATGTTTTTTTTTTTGTTTGATTTTTAATAATGCATATCTTTAAAATTCTTCCTCTCGATTTTTTTTGGCAGACATGGGCCTCCATACATTTCCTGATCACAGTGGAGGAGGAAAAAACACAGACAGACTGAAGAACAACCAATGACGGTTACAACAAAAAAACACAAGCTCAGCACGACATCGGCACAACGCGTTCTGCTCTACATGCATTCTGTTGATCAGTGCACCCAAACCCCAACCAATACACCTGCAGCTACTGATGCTCAGACTCTAAATACACAGCTACCCGTGGATGGAGGGAAACTTGTTCCATTTTTAAGATTTAGGGATCAAGGTGAAACAAGAAGGGTTCATATCTACAAGGAAAAGAGAGAAACGCAAGATCCAAAACAGTGTTGATTGTGCATTTGACTTTTTAGGGTTAATCTAGAGGGTAGCAGCAGTTAGTTTATCAACAGTCTTTTTTACTCTTTTACTTTTTTGTACTAAGGTATTAATGCAGTTTGGTCATGAAGTACTTTAATGCTTCGTTTTGTGTATCAGAAAAACTAAACTCCCACCACAGATCGAACCTGAACGTGATCTGCTTAAAATGATTGTGAGACTGGGTGTGTTATTGCTCGTTTGGTCTTAAAAGCTTTCTGCTGAGCTTTTATCCAATCTGAATCAGGAGACAAATCTTAAACAAGAAAAAAACTGGTAGCAAACCAATCTCACATCCCGTCTAGAGAGAAAAAGAATACAAAGATACAAAAAGCAAAAATACACCACAAAAAAAAAAAAAGAAAAAAAAATGCAAGAAACATACAAGTTTTTGAGCAATTACTCAATAGAGTTTAACATTAAGACGGTGAAAGAGCTACAAAATCTTGACACAAATACACTGAAGGAAAGTGAGATAAGACTTTTGTCGAGTGAAACACATGGAAGCAAAAAGGTCTGTAATTATTGGACTCTAGGAAGAACCAAATGCCTGAGATTTGAATAAACTTGAACTTTACACTTGGTTTCGTTTCTTTTAAGGTCCTGTGAGTAGCTGTGATTTACCCACTGATGCTTTTTCACGACATACAAACGTTAATTAGACCATCGGGGACAAGACTGACGATACTTATGTCGTAACGGCTAAAACTGATGTGAGGCGGCAGACGTCAGCTGAAGATACAGCCTCATTAAAAAAAGATTTGAGTGCCAAAAGTCAGCAGGATGAGATTTTTATACTTTAATATGAAAATGACAAAATGTACCAAGATTTGTCCACTGGGGGCGCCAAAATTGACACAAACTGAAAGTTCCTCACAGGAGCTTTAAATTTAAAAAAAATTGCAAGTGTCAAATTTGACGTGTAAGTTCATCCTAAAACCCCAAAGTAAATATGTTTTGATGTTTGTCATTGTCTCTGCCGCAAGAAAAGCTGTTTTTTCAAAACGAATGAGAAAAATATTCTGTTAATTTAGAGAAAAAGGGCAGAAAACTTTATTTGTAAAAAAAATTAGACATAATTCTGAGATAATGATCTTATTAGTTTAGAAACAGAGGGATTTTTATTTCTGAAGTGCATGAAATAAATATGAAAGGTGACCTTGTCGGTGTGTCTCTGCCTCTTGTGGCCAAAATGGGTATTACATCAACTTTAAAATATAAAAATACAAAATGAGGCTAGCTAAAAGAATCACATATTTCAAAGTAATGAAAAAAAAAAGTTTTTAATCAAAACTCCTGTGAGGAACTTCCTGTTTGTGACCATTTTGGCAGCCCCTGTGGCACAAAGTTACCTGTAATAACCCTGCTTACAAAATAATGGTATCTTTTTTTTTAACAGTCGCTCATCATGAATATTTGCGGTGAAAAAAAGTAGACAAAACTGGTTCTTTACTGTGCTGTTAAGGGGCTTGTCTGACACCTACCCTCTCTCACAGGCTTTAAAAATCACAGCATTAGATATAAACAGTCCTGTGGTGATGGTCCAGATTACCTTTATATGCAGTAAAAAAAGCATCACTATCGTTTCTGTCTGTTAATACATTTTTCTCTGATTTCTAAATCGCTTCTGTTTTGAGCACCCACTTTGTTATGATTTTTACAAGTTTCAGTTCCTTACACCAATCATTAAAGCTCCTTTTCGCTTCCATGTGAGAGATGCACACAATAAAACACCGTTAAGCTTTTCAAACCCAGCTGATTCAGATTTGTAGTCACAACCTTTAAAACCCAAAAAAGAAACACAAACTTCCTGAGAGTTGAGTCATGAACCTTACTGGTAGAAAGAGAAATTATGGATCTTTTTTTTTTAATTTATTTTACCGACACTAAGAAGTTTTAATCCGCTCCGCGTTACACTGAGTACTGTGTAAATGAACCCTTAATCACAAAAATCACAGTTATACAATACCATTTTGTTAAATTATCTCATATGTTAATTATATTAATGTAGTGATCATGACATTTGAGGGTGCTATAAGATTTCATTTAACATAGCAAAATAATATGGGATCTATATTATTATTGCATCACTCAAATTAGAAGACTACCTCATGTGCTGTGATAAAAATTCTTCCATGTTTGGTGTCTAGTCTTCAAGTGGATCATTTTTAAGTCATCATTTGTCATTTGCATATGCTAACACACTGCCATAGTCTATGTCACACCATTATTTTAGCTAAACGTGGCTAGCATCAGGAGGTAGTAGATAAACAGCTGCAAAAATCTAGCTCTACGAAGAATGAAAGGAGTCTGTGTTTACTGACTAATCAGGATTTGTTACTCCATACCATCAGAGTCATGAAGAATATATTTATATAGATATATTTATATAGAATCTATGTATTTACGCCACTTTCTAGATTCTGTCGTCTTGTGTCGTCTAATGCTGCCCTCAGAGACTATTGGAAAAGCAGTGCATTGTTCATATAACAAACCTGTTATTCTGTGGCTCAGGTGAATTCTTAACTAGCTTGCATACATATGGCTCTGACATGAGAACAACCATCGCATTAGAAAATCACTTAACGCTTTGCATATGATCTTAATAAAATATTTAACATATTCTTTTTTTTTTTCTTTAGACATGAGACTGTTTTAACCAAAGCTTGTTTTTAGTTTTTCTTTCAATATAACAGGTGTCTAACATCTTACTCTGAATGACAGAAAACACAAGGTTGACTCTAAGCATGTTGAACTATGGAGGCTGGAGTGTGCCACAATGACACGCTTATGTATGGAGTCTGGAGTGTGCCACGTTGACTTTGTTCAGTTGTTCTCAATTTTAGGATTTTCTTTGAATTGCAGATGCTAACTGAGTTTTTGTTGAGGTAATGCATTTGAAATAATTAAATTATTTAACTGAGAATTTTAAACTACATTTTTATTTTTTTTTTCTAATATATTTTCAGTCCCAAAATCATGGACCAATATATGGTGGGGACCACCTATGAGATAATAAATATTTTCATCTTACTGGTTTAGATTTTTCTTTATTATATGAAAAAAAATTGTAAAATTTTATCGGAAGGATATCTTGAATAATAATGTATATAGTTATTTCTGCATTGTAAGAATAAATGTGTAAAAGTATGAGGAAACATTTACAGTTAAAATTTTAAAAAATAATAATTTTAGCTTTATTTTTGAAACATCTCTGAAAAATTCCTCTGACTTAACAGCAATTTTTTTTTTACTGCAAAATAATCAAAGCGCAGATAGCTTAACAGTCTAAGCGCGCCACACTTACACAGACAGGCTGTGGCTCCTTTCCTGCATGTCATTACTCGCTCAAAAATGAACCTTAAAAAAAATTTTATTGTGAAAGGATTCTTTAATCTTCGTCACTTCCCTTACAACACTAGTCAATTTCTTAATTTTTGCTGGAACTCACGACCGCTACGTCACAAACTAGGTAGACCGCTGTCCCCTTTAATTTGCCTTTGAAAGCGTTAATTTCAACAACTGGGCAAAGATTGTGTCCGATTATTCCACTGGCACACTCCAGACTCCACAGAACTCCAGAGGACGTAGTAAAAACTGTCTGCTTTTGTTTTCTCCATCCAAACAGTAAGAGGTCAAACTCGGTGTTGTAGGGTTGGATAGTGGGACTAACTTATGAGAGTGCACCCTATCATACCAGTAAGGTTTCTCCGTTTTACCCTGCTGCTCATTTACAGTCACAATAAGCTCGTTTATTTCTCTTCTTTTAAACTTAGGTACTTTTTCAAATGAACAAGGAAAGATTTTTTTTACCTCCACAGCTTCATCATTTCTGTTCAACATTACAGCACAAAGACCCTGGTATTAATATATTATGAATAAGAACTGCTGCCTCTCTACAAAGGCTCTTTTTGTTATTACATAGGGGCTACAATTGTCTGGTTATATCTTGACAACTGGCCTGGGTAACCAATAGTATGGAGAAATAGGCTGATTAAAAAGGTCCCAGTTTTGGAGGAGGTCATTATTTGTGCTTTCAAATGGAGGAAATACATTTTCAAATACAACTTAAATACAGCAAACTGGAATGTTAGAGAGTTTTTGTCAATTCAAATAAAAAAATAAAATAAAAAAAAACAAGAATTAGGTGAAGTTTCAGCCAACAGCTGTAGGAGGGATGTAAATAGTTAACGTGGCCATTCAATCACAGCAACACTGTCACCCAACAGCTGTTAGACAGTGAAAACTTCTGTAGATGTAGCAGCGAGTTTTAAGCTGCAGCATCAGTCTATTATGAACAAATAAAGATTTTTTAAAAATTTAAAGTTTTTACATTCCTCCAATAAAGTTGAAAAAAAAAACAAACAGATTTTGTGTCCAGGAAAAAACTGAAACATTGGCCCCAATTCACCCACACCACTTTGACTGAGGGATCATTTGTATGAATACATTTTGGTAAAAGAAAACCTGCAAATATTCCTGATTGCAAAAAAAAAGAAAAAATTCAAAAAAGAGGTAAATTGACCTTTTCTGATGGCAGGTCACACATTGGGATCATTTAAGTGCCTTATAACCTTGTGAGCTCTAAGTTTTAAAACACTAATGTTGTATCTGCACATAAATGGTAAGAATTTATTAAGCATGCCACAGATTTGTTTAATTTAAGCCTTATGGATAAACTCCTCGTCCATTTGAGCCTCTGTATTATATTTATATCTGTTTGGTCTGATTACATCTTAAAGGACAAGCGGACAAAACAACCTAACGCTCAAAAACAACCATTTTTAAGTTTTAAAAAAGCCCAATACGTTCAGTTTTTTAAAGTTAGATTAAGGCAGTGGTTCTCAAGTCTCAAGTGTTTCCCTGCTCCAACACACCTGATTCAAATGATCAGCTCGTTACAGAGCTTGATAACGAGCTGATCATTTGAATCAGGTGTGTTGGAGCAGGGAAACAGCCATAACATGCAGGACAGTGGGCCTCAAGGACTGGACTTGAGAACCACTGGATTAAGGCAGCTTTTCTTCGTCGTTGTGTATATCTGACCTGATAACTCAAACTTGTATGAGTCTTTGGGTCTGTAATGTTTCGTCGTAAATAAATGCAGCTGTGGAGCTCTTCAGGCCAGAACACAAAAAAAGGAAAAACAGGAAATATCAGAAATGCTGAGCAGCATTTTAGTCATCTGTCTCTTCAAAATTTCAAATCCTTAATATCTGTACTCTGTAGTTCTATTTGAATAAGTCTCCACATACTATATGAATATAATCACTTTTTTTGAAACAACGCATATCAACCTTCCCACACGGCCACCGAAAATGTAAATGTAAAATAAGTACATTAATTACAAAAAAAAAAAATGACAACTTGAAATCATTACAAAATAAATGAACAAAACAAAGAAACTTCAAGTACTATTAACAAAGTAAAAGTCCACCTGGCAATATGTTCAGAAGAAAATAAGGATCAAAATATACAGAGCTGTGTTCCTCTTCCTGCCAGCCTCTCCTCTCTCCTCAGGCCGTTCAGTGGCTGACTCTCTGACCTGAAAACGAACGAACAAACAAAACAGAAACGCAAACGAAAACCTAAAGACCTGGCTCAATAAATGGTTCTCACAGTTTCTACAGGTCTCTGTGCGCGGCCCAGATTGTGGCAGAGGCAGGGTGAGCTGATGTCGACTCGCAGGACCCCCCCCATATTTGTAGAAAAAGAAGGTTGTTGTTGTTGTTGTTGTTTTTATCCATCAGATATCTTGTCTGGTTGGATGTCAGACTTTACGAGGAGAAGAATCACACTGCTTCATCTGCGGGTGAGAATGCCCAAACGTGTGTTACCCAGGCCCGACCCTGGGCGCCTTCAAACCCTTCCACTGTGCACATTTTGTGACTGATTACGTGCACACACAGCTACAAAGTTGGAAAAGTGTTCGGGGGGGTATTCCTTGAGGATAATTCAGGACTGTAAAAACATCCCCTTTTCCTGTTGCCATCCACAGAAGGCCTGCGTTGTTGGTCTGAGTGTGATTGGAGGCCAGTTTGATTCCCTGTGTGTTCCTGATCCTCGCCGGGATTTGTCCTGCCCCTGTCGTCGTGCTCTGTCCTGACCGTGTGACCTCAGGGCTCCTGTTTGATGTAATAGCTGCCTGAGCCGTTGCTCTCCTGGTCTGAGGTGCCCTGTGAGAAGGTGAACTCGTCCACCTCGGCCGCCTCCTCTTTCATTCGTAGGAGAGACTCTGCAGAGCGGGACAGACACAGATAAAAGAGAACAGCAGCACAGATGAGCCAGTTGTGTTCATGCAAGTGGGACTTAAATGTTGAAGGAGCCTTTGTCTTTGTTGCAGACGATTAAGAGTTATTCGGTCCTTTTAAACCTCCGCCCTTTTTTGAACACTTTAGAGTCTAAATGACTAACAGGTCGAAAAAGGTTTGAAATTAAACAGGCTGCAAGAATGACTATGGCACAAATGCTCCCAAATGAAGTGCATAAATTTACCACTTTTTTTAGATCCTTGGAAAATTCTGCTAAATCCCACAAAAATTTTGCAGATTCTTGAGAAATATTTGCCAGATTCTGCCAAATCCCACAAAAATTTTGTCTGAGAATCTTTCAAATATCCTTAAAATAAAGCTGTGAAATTCTGGTGACCTTTAACAAGATCTCAAATAACCTCTGGAACATCTCGGTAGTAACAACATGAACATCTAGTAACAACATGAAATTATCTGGTAATTACATGATAACTACTAAGTCAATGCTGTCTAGTTTTTCTTTTTGTCTTTTTTCTGTGCAGCTCCATTTTCAAAAGCTATTTGGGGTTCTTGTTTTCTATGATTGACACTTGATACAGCCTATGGGAGTGTGAAGATTGCGTAGCGATACGCTGTTTGAGCCGAGCGTCATCACAGTGACTCACCCGCCGAATGCGTACAATGCTACTGCGCAAGTGGTGGTTCCAGGAAGTGGAGAAAATCCTGGAAATACCGAGAGCAATTCGGCTTCACATTTGTATGTTGATGGAAGGTTACCTACCTGGTAGCTAGACAGTGTTGACTTTGTAGTTATCATGTAATTACCAGATAATTTCATGTTGTTACTAGGTAATTACCTGTTAATTACCTGGTAATAAGTGTACCGTAAAAGAAAGAGTTACCAAAGTTTTTGCTGGAACAGTTTTGTAGGATCAAAGCAAGATCCTGATAAACTTCAGCAAGATTGTGGAAAACTTTTGCAAGACCCTTGAGAGCTTTTGGGAAATCCCGAGAAACTTTTACATCACCCCAAAAAACTTTTGCGAGATCCCAAAATATGGTAGTAAGTCTACAAAAAACGTCTACGGGAACAAAAGAAACTTTGAAGAAATCCTGAAAACTTTGGTAAGAGTTTGATCAAGTTTTCTAGGTGCAAAGTAAATTTGTAATACTGTTAACCCCAATTTTTACCCATTCCAGAACGGCTCAGATCTGGAATGGCACCGATTTTTGCCATCCGCCAATTCCTGCCGGGTCTGTTAGTGAGGTGAATTTTGTGACGTATTATGGACAGCGGTAATCGTGAGATCTCACAAGAACCGCAGATTCACATGCAATCGCGTGATAACACGTTGTCTCTTAGCTACAGAGGCTAAGCATGAAAGCAGTAGATTGTGTCCTTCCAGAGGTAGAAATCTACTTCTAGACTTCTAGAATCAGCATCCTCTCATCCATGGAGTCATCGGGGTGAAATGCTGTTTATAAACCTTTCACTAGTTCATCCCTACCTTTCTGCATGGTGTGAATCAGATCCGCCTGAAACACGGAGTGTTTTAAAAGAAGCTGGATGTTTTATTTTGTGTCTGTGCCCAACTTCCTTTCCAGAACAGGTTAATCTGTGCGGAATTTATCCTGCATGTTCCAGCGTCCAGAAAAAATAGAACCTGCGATCAGCTGCGGAGTCCAGCGATCCGCAGCGGAACGGAAAGAAGCCGGTGGAAATTGACACATTATCTTAAAAAGTTATGATCAGCTGCAATTGGCGAATACAGCCTTTTCGAAGCTGTTCTGGATGCTGTGGAAATTGGGGGTTAGAGTGAAAAAGAATCGAAAACTTGTGTGAAATTATGAGGAACTTTTGAAAGATTTTAAGAAACATTTCCAAGACTCACAGAAGAGTTTGTAAAGATTCTGTGAAAATACTGAATCATGAGGAGCGTTTGTGAAATCCGGAATAACTTTTGGAAGGTTTTAGAAACCTTTGTACGATCCTCAAAAATTTTGAAAGGAAACTCTTGCAGCTACAAACATATTTGTACTTATTAGTCATTCAGACCCTAAGATGTTTAAAAATGGACCCCTGGTTTAAAAAAAATGTTTTGTTTTTTTTCATTTTTTGTAACTTCACATGCATTTGAATATCAGGGTTACTGCTTTAAAGAATGTAGAACATGAAACAAACATGCTTTATGGCTCCTTCACAGTGAATACAGAAAACACTTGTAATGCCAGAACTGTAAATCCTGCAGACAATCTCTGAGGTGAGTCAATATTCATGTGAGCACAAAGACGATGAACAGTTAACAGTAGAACATGCAGCATCGGCAGCATCCAGGTCCACAGCGAGGTCCTGTGAGCAGGACTCAGAGGTCCACCTCCTGTTATAAACAGCGTTGAGTCTGAAAACAACTCGCTGCTGTGCTGGTTTTAGCGTTAGTGAGATGTTACCTGATTTGTGGGTTTGGTGGAGGTGGGTTCGGGGTCGGGGCCGAGTGGGCCCCTGGGCAGGGTAAGGGGGCGGACTCTGCTCTTCGTCCCCTGAGAAGCTGCTCCTCCTCCTGCCTGCCTGACTGAAGGGCCGTCGACCAACCGGAATCTTCCTCTCTAAACACCAAGCCAGACTCGAGTAAGCTACCAGGGGCTTTTTACACACAGGGGTTCAATTCAATTCAGCTGGAATGTATTCTTGGTGTTTACATTTTGTGTCGGGAAGGAAAGTTCAAAAAAGGTTAGAGCTGAGGGTAAAAATTGTAATTTGACAACCAATGATGATGATGCCCATCTGAATAAGCCCCTGGTTAGCTGTAATCACACCACCAGACCCAAGTGAGCCGCTCCATGGTTACTGGAGCTCCAGAGAACACGCACACAGCAGCGGAAACAGATACACAGAAGTCCTTAGCCTGCCCTTAGTCTAGAGCTCGAAAATATTCATACTGGTTCATTTTTGAGCGCTCATCATGTATGACAAATAAAACAACTCAAGTTAACTTCAGTGAGATCTTGAACTGTAACTAACATTTTAAAAAAACACAGCTAGGTGGATTGATTTGAAGCCAAACATACAGGTTTGGCTCAGAGCTACACTGGAGAACTGTTGGAGCTTTATGAGCAGGTCTGCAGCCTCAGATCCTCACGTGGGAACCTGGTAGTTGTTCCAAAGTTGAGGCTTAAAACTAAAGAAGATTGAGCTTTTGCCATCAGGGCCCCTCGACTTTGGAACAAGATAAGGCTCTCAGGATCAGTCACATCTCCGAAATCATTATAGACTTGCTTTTTTGAGATAGTATCCCCATGTTTGCCTCTGTCTTTCTGGCCTTTTTCCCCTTTTTAATCAGTAGGGGAGAGCGGGGTAAGATGAGCCATTTTTCATATTTCGGATCACTACATTAAGGCAATCATAGTTTTGTCTCTAACTAGTGTATCTGCATATATTTCAAGATGTTGTGCACACCAAAAGAAAGTGGTCTCCTACCTTCTCTCTCCCTAAATAACAGTCACTTCTTCACATTCATGTGTATTTTTATCTATTATACGCTATTCAACTGGTACAATAATTCTTTTTATTATTATTATTGTATATAACTGCTAAAAAGCTGTTTTGTAAAAAATCATGTTAACATGAGAATGTCTTTAAGTGATTCAGAACATTCACAGCTTTATTTTAGAAATGAAAAAGTAAGACATTTCAACATTTTGAACTGGAATTCTGATCATCTCATCAGACTCCTTTACTTTCTCAGTTGAACCACCTCGCATCATACTACTACCAGAACTACTATTGTGACTTTATTAGTCTTCTAAGCCAGTGGTTTTCAAGTCCAGTCCTCGAGGCCCACTGTCCTGCATGTTTTGGATGTTTCCCTGTTCCAACACACCTGATTCAAATGATCAGCTCGTTATTAAGCCATTTCAGAGTTTGATAACGAGCTGATCATTTGAATCAGGTGTGTTGGAGCAGGAAAACATCCAAAACATGCAGGACAGTGGGCCTCGAGGACTGGACTTGAGAACCACTGCTTTAGCTAAAATGGTTTTTGACCTCATGTTGTAGCTCATAAATACCACAATTGATGTATAAAACAAATTTAAAATGATCTCTTTTGGTCTGAACACAATTTTAATAAAACTGGACAGAGTAAATTCACTTTAAAGAGTGAAAAATGTTTTTTTTTTTTTTAACCAAATGTCTAACCTAAATATTTGGTCACATGATCAATTTCTTTTACCGTTTCCAAGCAACAGGGGGTGGCTCAACTTACCCTTTGGCTTGACTTACCCCAGTCTCCCCTACTGGTCTCTCCAACTGGTCTGCTTTTGTATTTGTCATACATGATGTGAAAATTTAGCGTCTATTCATCTGAATTTAATAATTTTAACATTGGCAGCTATAGACTTCCATATAAACTGTTTGCGTCTGTAAAAAATGCACTGATTTAGCATTAGCAACTGCATTTGTGACTAACTTTTTGGACACCAGGTCTTCTTCTTCCTGAGCCCTAAGTTTCACAAAACTTCTACATAACCCTCTCAGACAACTTTGTCAAACTTTTCTGGCTATGTCTTAATAAGAGTCCCACTCAAAGAGGGAAAAGAAACTCCTGTAACCTGACAGAAGAGGTCAGAGATGAGAGTATCGCAGACACACTTAACAGGTGACCATTAAGAGAGCGGCAGAGGTTGTACGACTGGAGACAGTTGGAAGGAGATAGCGGAAAAGGGATAGGAGAGCGGTGAAAGTTCGTTAACAGTGAAAAGAGGACTCACTTTTTTTTTGGCCTTTGTACTGCTGAGCCTTTTTCTTCTGCTTGGGCACAGATTGAGGCATTTCTCTGTTACCTGACGGAAGCCAAAAGACAAGAAACTGAGACGTTAGAGAACAGCAGCATGAATGGCATTTACGGAGGTGAAGATCAGACAGCACAACCTACAATGCATTGATTCAAAAGAACAGGTGGGTACCTAGTAGGGGTGGGAATCACTAGTGGCCCCACGACACGATATTATCATGATACTTGGGCCACAATACGATATTATTGTGATTTTTAACATTTGACTTCATATTAACAGTTACTTTGAAAAATCGGTACTTGGTCAATGAGACGATACGATATATCACCAGACAAAATATCGCAATACTATTCTGTATCGATTTTTTCTCCCACCCCTAGAACCTGCTAATTCCTTTAAGAACTTTTTGATCATGAAAGCTCAAAGTCAAACCCCAGGCCTCATGCTAAGATAACGTGAAGTTTTTCAGATAAGTTCGACTCAAAGACTGTGAACTCAGAAAAATGAGCACAGGCCTCATGGTACAGATACTGCCAGAAACCTCAGGCTAAGATTAAATACAGCACTGAGTGTAACGGACAAAAAAGGGGAGACAGCACAGTGTAGCTGATAACTTTGGTAAGTGAAAAAAGTGACTAACTTATAATCTACAGTTCATTGATTTTCCAAATGATGACAAAGCTTCAAGGTTCTGTTGTTGTTTTTAAGAAGAGGCTCAAGACTCACTGTTTTAACCAGGCTTGTCACTAATTGCCTTTTTATATTTCTCTTATTGCAAATGTTCATTTTAATCAAAGTTCTTATTGTTTATTTTATGTCGTTCTATTAATTATCTCTGTTCTTAGTCATTTTCTTAATTCCCGTCATAGTTTTTTTTCACTTCTTTTACCCCTTTTTACATGGTAAAGAGCTCTTACTCATCTGTTCATTTAATATTATTTTCTTGTTTTAGTCCAGCAGGTTTTACTCTTTTTACCATTTTCATTTTTATCTCCAGTGTTTCCTAAAGGTAGCTCTTTCCTAATGTAATGTCTCGTCTCTTTAACAATATATCTTAAATTCTCACACTGTGTGCGCCTCTGTGTGCATGTGTGGGTGAGTGAGCGAGGGTGGATGTGTGTCTCTGTGTGTGTGGGTCCATGGGTGGGAGGGTCGGATTTTATTGTTGTTTAATTGTTGTTTTTAGCTTCTGTGAGGCACTTTGAACTGCATTTGTTGTCAGAAAAGTGCAATAAAAATAAAGTTGAATTTGAACATTTTGAAGGTTTCTACCCATAAAGAGAAGTGCTGAAGTGCTGCACTCATATGTTTGAGATAGGATTTAATCCAGCCTTTATGTTGGGTCTTCTAATAAATGTCATACAAAGTTTGATCCAGATCAGCTCTTTTTGTCAAGCATCTTGAGATGACAACTGTTGTGATTTGGAGAAATATAAATAAAAACTGATTTATTCAGATTGAAACAACCTTTAAAATGTCCGTCTGCAGAGTGAACGTCTAATCCACAATTTCAAAAGAATTCCAGGTAGTAAGGATATCAAAACATAGGGACAGAGGGTTCACTCAAACACAAAACTAATATGGAAACTTGAAAGTATACGGTGCTTTTGTTTCCGTGTGTTTTCAGTCGGAATGTGTCTTCGCTTACTCTGTGAGGCGGGCGGTTGGAGCTGGTAGCCAGTCAGCTGACACCAGCCCACAGGGTAGAGGTCAGGTGACTCGCAGTCTACCCACTGGTCATACTCGTCCTCCCAGCCGTCGAAATGAATCCTCAGTAGCCGGTGCACAATCCTCGTCACTGTGGCAACACACACCAGCCGAGGCTCCATCAGATCTACAGCCTCCAGCTTCATACCCTGCCGGAAACCGTGATTGGGAACCTCCTGGAAGATGCAACGCAGCGAGTTCAGTAAATAACAAGAATGTGTGTCATTTACATGCAGTAAAAATAAAAACATGTGGAAGCACTGATGCAAGCACTTTCTAAATTACAGAGGAGGAACCTCAAAATATCATAAACCATGTAGAAGGAGGGTGAGAAAAAAGTGACTGTGGCTTTTACCAAAAGTAAAAAGTGAAATATCAAAAAAGGACGTTAAAGAGGCCAAACGGGACACTAAATCATAAAGAAGCTTGAGTTTTACATGTATTTGTGATGAGATGGTCAAAAACATGCTGTATAATCTTGTAAATAATCTTGCATTTCCTACCTTATTGAAGAGCTTCACAGGAGCAGCGATTGATCCTGCTTCTCTGAGGTAGTCGAACCATTTAAATGGCAGTTTAGTGTACCCTGAGGAACAGAGAGCAGAACACTTAGAAACATGAACTTGTTGTATTTCATTCATAAATGTAACAGAGGCAAGTGGAAGATTTTTATATATATGTGTGCAATTCCATTAATGAACACTGGGTGGAGCTTTGGCTTGTGGTGAGGAGAAAGACAAGGCTCCAGGAGTTGAGACGGTATCATGAGTTCTGTTTGAAGCTAATCAGAGTCACACTTCATTTTACACAAATTAATCCAGCATCATTCTAGTGGGTATTTAGTGAATGTGCTGATTTTAAATTTTATGTAAATAAATGAATCAGGGAATCCAAACTGATTATTGCGGCCATTAACAACAACTGATTAAAATGATTTATTTTAGGTAAAATTAGTACAGTCAAAAGTAAGTCCCTGCACATCTTTATCTATGAATTTAAACATCGATTAACCACTGTTTCTCATAATATGTTTATTCATTTTTATGTTTAGCATTTGCAACAATAAGGCTATTGAGGCCACTAATGGAAATGTCAAGTGAAGCCAACACAAAGTGCTGCAAGGGTTGAAATATCAATGAATGCTAAGGAAGCTTAACACATAACTATTATCTGCAGCCTCGGGATTTCATTCATATCAGAATCAGACTGATTTTTAACAACAGCTGTTTGTCATTGTTGTAAATAACAACAAAAACTGAATTTAAAGTATCCTGCAACTTCTAACTTTTTAATTCAGACCCTTCAGGATTCTTTAAGTAAATTCAATTAATCCGTTACTCTCATAAATATCAATTCATGCAAAATAATCTTTAATTTTTAAAACAGCTTTTCGGTTGTCTCTATTACTTTCAGTGTTTTGGTGCAGCTTTAGTTTTGCCAGCAGAGCAGTGGAAAGTTTCTCATCCATGCATGTTTGTTTTGATTTCAGCTTCGAGCTGCGCATGTGGTTTAGCTTCTGCTGCCCTCTTTTGACTTTATCTTGAACTGCATTATAAGGGACCAACAAAACTGCCACCACAGCATTTGCTAATGGTATTCTTTTAAATTCTGCACTTTTCTGTGGTATGTCAAATTGAAGCGGAAGCCCAATCCCAGTCTTCAGAGGCGCAAAGAAAAAAGTATGAGGGAACGTTACCTCTAGGGGGCGTGAGTTCAATTTCGTTGATTTCACAGAAGCCGACAGGGAAGATAGAGGGCGAGGTGCTGTGGTAGCAGAACCAGTCTGATCCGTCCACTGCCTCCGAGCCGTCGATCCCAATCATGAGGTACCCGTCTGCCAACACCTGCAGGAGGGAAAAAAAAACATCGGACATGAGATCATAAAAAAAATGATCTCACTGTTTTTATCCTGACCTGTTCTTTGTCATCAGACCACAGTAATGAGGAGTCTTACCTTTCTTACAGTGGCTACACATATAGCTGAGAGATTGAGGGGGTCAATGGCTTCTAACTTCATCCCATCTTTGAACCAATCCCCACTCTGGTCCACGTCTTTCACCTGATGGGCACATGGATTAAAAAAAAGCCGAATTGGAAGACTGACGAGAAGATTGGAACTAAAACATCAAGAAATTCTCCTACTGTAAGGACCAAAAGCCCAAACCAATAATCCAGTGTACTAAATGGGCAAGTTTCACCGCAGGATCACTAGTGTTTATTTGCATCAGTTTAAGAGAAACCATGTAAACGTACCCTTTAGATGATCAGGAAAAAAAAAAGGTTTTGAAACGTCAAAAAAAGCAAAAAACAAAGTTCCTAATAGATGCTAATTTGCTAAGCTGTGTGTGATTGTAAAAAATAAATCAGCACTTCCTACTATGACTTGACTATCAAAGTAGGAAGACAGCGTTTATGTCTACAGTGATTTATAACTACATCCTGATGTAAAGACTTTAAAGACAAATGTAGAAATTCACTTTTCTATTACCTTATGGAAGTACTGTGCAGGTGCATCAGCTTGACCCTCAGCTTTCCTCGCGACATCTGAAAAATAAACGAACAAATCAGAACGAGTTCCAGCCTCTGCGCAAACGGCACTCTAGCAACCTCATGCTGATTTGTTAGAGCCCAGGCATGATTCTGACCATCTTTGAATTTGATATAAGGTCACCTTTGGGGATCAATGAGATGATGTCTTGTCTTTCTCTGCCATTTGCATCTGATACTTGCTCTGCAGATAAGCAGAGAATAGTTCTTCAGGACATCCCTAACCTTCATGCAGTGATTGAGGTACGATGTCCGAGTCATGAGGCTGTTCTAAGGGAAGCCGAGTAACGCCGATGTCATTCTGAGCAACCTTTGTTTGGATTGTTGTGAACTGCTTTGTATCCTATTAAGTATGGGATCCCTCAGGGGTCAGTTTTAGGTCCTCTGTATTTTCCCCTGTATCTAGCACCATTTTAGCAGGCTGTGTATTCTTTTTAGGGCTGTCAAAATAACTCCAAAATGACGTTCGAATATTCGTTCTAAAAATAGCAGAAAGGTTTGAACATAAAAGAATATCAAGCTAACACAGCTTGCATCTAACTTTATCTCGCTCGGCATTTTCTCTGTATTCCATGTCTGCCCAAAATCGGAAGAATTTCCAAACGCAGCTTCCAAAGTTCGTTGGAGTCCAGACCACTCTCTCCAAGTTTGGGCCCAAACATCCTGCCATCTCACTACGCATGTGCCACGGACGGTTTCTGTCGAGTCTCACTGCAGTTCCTGTGACCTATCCCTGACCCGTTGTTACGGTGCGCTCACTCGCAAAGCAGCTGCTGTTTTTTGTTTGTTTTTTTTACCATTTTTTTTCCCCCACTGCTTATTTAATATTCAAATATTAATTTTCACATTACAATCTCCTTTATCTCCTCTTTAATATTCAAATATATATGTGTTGAATATTTGTTGACTGTCCTAATTCTTTTGGGATTCATTTCCATTGCAACTTTACATAAGATAAGAAGAACTTTATTTATCACCCATGGGAAATTCAATATGCCAGTTATTGCAGAAATAACTAAATTACGTCAAAGCTTGAGATCTGTCTGGCTGTTGAGAGAGGCTGGTTGTCTTCAAACTTCCTGTTTTCCAACTACGACAGAAATGTTGAAGAAAGAGCCACCTGTATGATCATTATACTCTTTCACTGGATGATGGCACACTTCAGAAACTGGCACCATCTGGACTTCTGGTTATTTCCCAGACTCACCGGACCGTTTGAAGCGGTGTCCGATGCTCCTGGACCAGCCGATGTTGTGGATGAGGGGGCTGTACATGTGGCACCAGAAGTCATCCGACTGGTCCTGGCTCTCTTCATAAACCAGCCTGAGGCGACCTCCGATTACCTGCTCCACCAGCGCCACCCGTGTCCGGCACAGGTAGTTCTTATCCACCACCTCCACCCGCATCAGCTTCTTAAAGGGAAACTGCATGTTTTCATGTACCTGAGGCGAAAAATGACACGTAGAGTTCATGAATACGACTTAAAGGCTTTGAGAAATTTACTGATTCATTACAGACAGCTGTATAACAAAGTCTGTGCGTGTGTCACCTTGGCAGCAAAGTCAGGCGGCAGTGTTTTAGCTCCAGTGAGACGCTTCACGAGAAAGGCTTTCCAGTTAGAGTATTTATGCTGTATGCCTGTAGGAGAAATTACAGAAACCGTTTCAACTGTTACCACAAAACTTTCCGGAATAAATGCATCAAACAATGTGAGTCTGAGTACTGCGATGGCGCTTACTTTTTGGAGGTACTAGGGGTTTGCCACTTGACGCGCACCATCCCACCGGGTGCACCTCAGGGATGCAGAGATTACACCAGAAGTCTTTATTGTTGTCACCGTCAAAGCCCTCATACCTCAGGAGAGCCTTAAACCCTGCAAACACAGAAACATGCAAAGTGATTTTAATATCCTCTTGATAAACAGAAACAACAATCATCAAGTCATCTTTCTTGAAGGTGGGATGTCTCAGTGAGATGTAAGTGATGAGGACACCAAGGTACATTAAAGGGAAAGCTGTCGTTTTCACTTACTTCCATTGACTTTCTGTTTTACCTGCTAGCTTAATGATTTCGGCTATCCAGTACACTTTCGTGGAGAGGTTGGTGTCCGAGTTCTGGACTTCAATCCTCACTCCTTCCTCGATGGCTCCCCAACACATCCCCATGGGGGCCTGAAGCAGAGCAGAGCAGAGGAAGCTGTGAAGTGATTCAGACCTCGGAAACACAAACCTGTGCTACGGGCTTATCTCCGGTTTGTACTTACATGTTTGAAGCAGCTGACTGGAGCTCCGATTGTATTATTGCTACAGATATACTGCCCCCAGTCAAAGGTCTCTGCAGGGACCACTAACAGAGACAACACAGTGGGTTAAAATGGAGCACCATCAGTATTTTAAATATCATTAAAAGGTGGGGTAGGCAGGGATCCATTAAAGAAGCATCTTTTTTTGTGGTGTATACACAAAAAAGATTTTAGTATCAGTCAATAGCTATTAGTTATTGGTGGCATTTGGTAATATCATGATATTGCTGTGTTTTGTTATGTCTGTGTAGTCAACATTTCAAATTTTTTGAGCAGCCCGCTCTTTCTGACTGTAAACAAAGCCATTCTCCGCCTCCCCCAACCTGATTGGTTGTGAGGCAGATGCTGCTCCCTTGTGTTGTGAGGCACGCTCCATGTCCTCAAATAAAGTGTATGAGCCCAAAAAAAGTTAGCATGCTACAATATCTGAAAGTAGAAACCAACCAGAAAGTATGGAAAATTCTGGAATCCTCCTTTGGCCATGACTGCCAACACAAGCAAGAAAATGAAGTAAATACTGGAGACTCTGGCGGAATAACGGGCGCTTAAAAAGGAGGTACGGGACCTGCTGCGTGTTGTAGCGCCGCTAAGGTGTTTTCCTCGGGTCCTGGACTATGTCACTTTATCCTCGTTGTAGAAGTCCTGCAAACATTGTGTTTGCTGGTAGTCTGTTGGCATCTACAGTAGCACCGATGCTGTTTACTTTCACATTGACTGGGCTTCATTTGTACTTATCTGAAGTATCTATCTGCATTATGTCTGAATTTAATTGAAGCGATCGAGCAAGCAGTAGAAAACTGGTTGGGTGGAGTAGTGTTTACATTCAAGATTTCTCCCCAAAACTGCCACTTCCTCAGATCCTGCCTACCCCACCTCTAATGCTCTTGTAACAGAACTTACCTGCTTTTGATTTGGCCTGGTTCTGCTGACTCGCTTGATACTGGGCATAAGCTGCCAACTTCGCCACAAGAGGCTGTTTCTGTAAGACTTTCGCCTTTTTTGTTGGTGGTTTGCCCTTAAAAAAAACAAAACACATGCACACATCAGATTTGTCAGATAATACAGATTGAAGAGCAAAATGTGTGTTGCAGCAGGGTTATGGTGGTGCACTCACCTGGAGTCTTGCCAAAATGCTCGCCTTTTTGGAATTTGAGGAATAACTCCTGGAACACGACACACTGCAGAAACGCTTTGTTTTTGAGTAGAACGCATCTCGTACTCCAACCATCCCACACATCTCACAAGTGGCTGTGAAAGACAGATGGCAACACACACACACATACACAAATATTCTCTGTTAAAATCATCGAAAACTAGTGACTTCTTTGCTGTTATATTCTCAAAAAGCACAAGTTCTGATCATCTCCCCGTATACTGACCCATTCCAGCCTTGCCGTCGGGGTAAGTGTAGACCTGACCATTATTCTTAATGATGGGCAGGCTGGCAGGGATGGAGGGCACCACTTCATCTTCACTGTCCTCTGAGCTGGAGCTGCTGGTGGACTCCTCGCTGCAGCTGTCATAGCCATCAAACATCCCGAACGAGTCTCTCCGCTTACGCTCTGAACGTGGGGTTCGTTCAGCCTTTACAAACAAGGAAATGACAAAAATTCATCTGAATATCAATGAATGAATGAATGAAAAGGCAGCAGCCAACAACAGTTCCAAAAGAAATCTATCAGCTTGATGTTTAGAAACAGAGTAAATAAATGCAAAAAAATGTCCAAATGTTTGTCACTTTCTCAAAATTTAAAAGGGCAAAGAGAGAAATATAATTTTCTCATTTTATGCAACTTTTTAAAATAAGGATACACTGACTGAGAGGCAGGCTTTGACATCTTATGAAATGTATCACTAATTCACTGTTGTTGCACCATCAGCATTCACAATAAACACATCCCAAAAGTCTGAATTTCCTGCAATAAATGTATATTACTAATGTAACTAAACAATTCTTTCTTATTCACCATAGTTATATACAGCATGCTGAAATGAGGTCTGTTATAATAGTCATTTTTCACATAATTTTGACAAAGCTTGATTAGTTGTCAGCTACCTTTGAATTGATTGATGGCAAAAAACACACAGGGATGACACAAACTTAAAGCTTTGACAATTTACTCAACTGCATGTGTTACAGAAGTAAACAAAACAGCCAAACACTGTATAATATTCTCATATCATGTAGGTCTATTTCAAATTAACCATCAAAATTTCCTGGTGTATCGGTTTATTGTTATATAAAAAAATGCACCTCTATTTCAGACTAAATGGTTTTTCATTGTGGTTTCCCTTTCATTCCTCCTGCCTACTTACTTTTGTTATACTGGTATAAGCTCAGTGCATGTTTCACTGTGGGCGGGAGTACTTTCCTTGATAGACAGACTACCGTAACCAAACATCTGATGTCATCACAGCGCGCAACTGTGTTCCCTGCTGGGCTCTCAAGCATCAAGTAAAGGTTTGGTAATATTTCAACGTGCGCGAGTAAGCAATGTCTTTTACGTCTTCTTCTGCGGATATAAACGATTTCTGCCGACTTTGCATAGTCAACTGCAGAATTAACGGCGTTCTGAATGAACGGCGCTTTGAAAAGTCCTGCAGCATGTGTTAGACGTCACCATCTACACATGGACCAATCAGGGGCTGCCTTTCCCTGTTGTCCAGGGAACAGTGGAAACACAGTCACTGATTGGCCCGGTTATTTTCTGATTTCTAATACACACTCCCAATTGGCCGAAGTCCAGACTGTTGTAGGAAGGAATGGCAAGTGATTCACGCAACAGGATGGCCCAGCCAGGCTAGGTGGGGACTGCTCCAGGCTGGTCATCGACTTCAGGAGTTTGGAGATCTTTGGATATTTACAGTAGAGATGTTCCGATACCAATTTTTCCCTCCCGATACCGATACTTGTGCTGGTATTGGCCGATACCGAGTACCGATCCAATACTAGTATGTTATAAAAAATTTTATCATACCAGGCCTGCAAGACTGTGATATGATTATCATAACCCTTTGTAAAACACGAATAAATACAACAAATTCAAGCCATTTATTTTCAAATAGAACAGTATAAAAACAAAGCTAACCAGTAAATAAACTGCTAATTTAATAAATTACGTGGTATCGGATTGGTGCTGTGATTCTAGTACTTGCCAATACCGATGCCAGCACTTCTGGCAGTTTTGGAGCAATTTCCAACACTGGTAATGGAATTGGAACAACTCTCATTTACAGTCCGCCAAAAATCTGGACACTGTGCACTGCAAGCTGTTCAGAAGCCATGCCAGCAACACCACAAACCTTTTCTATGACTTGGAACAATATCACACCACAAGAGCAAGAAAGCACAGTCTAAAATGAGTCTAAATGGACCCTCAACAAGTAAGAGTGACCCCCCAGCAGATCCACTCATGGAGATGGTTAAAGAGAAAAAAACTAATGGGGTTATCTCCCAATATATCTAACACATTACAAAATCACTATACTGGGAAGTTGTTGTTCCTGTGGCCAGCATATTAGGTATCAAATATCCAGAACTTCTGAACACCCCTATAGTTAAAAAAATAACAATTTCATCTCTGTACCTGTATATGAATTCATTGTATAATTCTGAGTGATAGAAAGGTAATTTGTAACAACTTCAAAATCTTTGCCCAGATGATTTTTTGCAGTCTCCTTAAAGAGTAATCTGCTCTAAAAGCTGACAAGACAAGTTAACTTTATCATCACTCATCTACACACATGGGACAAAACTGAACAAGATCTTGTTCCAACCTTCACAGATGCTAGGAATAGTGTATTTAATCAATAACAATTTAACAGCATTCCTGGCATGGACTTTGGAATACCTGCTGATATTTACAGCAGATGAGGTAGCACTTCCCCTTCTTCTGCCTGTACATGCCAGCAAACAGCTAAAAAATGTTGGCTATAAGGAAGTATCATAAAGTGTCATAAACGGACAGTAAAGTACTTTATAGTTTGCAAATGCTCTTAAAGCAAAGGTGATAGGAGGAGCAAAACGACACTTCTTTAACGCGACAAATTTAATTGCACATCTCAAGAATCCCCATCCTAAGCACTACCAGAAGTACCTGAAAAGTTATAAACAAAGCAGTGACTACAGGTCTACTGATAGTGGTTGTTAGGGCCTATACTGATACCTGTTATTGGTACATGAGACAGACAACCAATACTTGGAACAGACATGTACGAAAAGTAAAAATGATAAACTTTGTGCCAGAGTTTAAAATTAGAAGCATTACAAAATCCAGCACAAACTTTGCTGCAGTGCCTTACACAAGGTTCCACCTGCAGAAGTTCACAATTCACGAGTTTTACTTACAGCAAAATTACATAACGCTGTCGTGTGACAGCTTGTCAGACAGATAGCGTTCTGGGCGGGACATTTGGTGAGACAGAGTGGTGCAAGAAAACCAGATCCAGCAGAAAAAGACACACTAGCAGCACAGCAAAAGTAGCAAATCAATCAATCTTATCAGCTATCTCAATACAGATGATTTGCCAAGTGGCAAATACCAGCCCTGATAATCAGTCAAGGCTGATGACTGGTCTACCCCTTGCAGTGACAACCAAATGGTGCAGGAATTTAAAGGAACTGTGACGAGTTTTTAAATAGTTGAGGAACAAAGTGAAACTGATACTGATGCCTCTGAGTGACCTTCAAAAGCAACAAGTCTGATTATTTCGCTCTTGTAGTTTTCAGGACTTGAAAACTCAGAGAGGGTAGGTGTCACATCAACATACTTACAGCAGACTAAAATATCAGCCTATCTTGAGTTTTTACTCTCACAGTGCAGGGTGATAGATGTTGTTGTAAAAACACACAACTTTCAGAAATACAGGATGAAACTTTGTCTACAAGGGGCACCAATGTGAACAAACTGAATGTCCCTTAAAGTTGCAGGGCCATTTATTGTTGTCATAATGTTGATGCTGTACTCATATGACTTTTGGTCCATATCTCCCAGCCCTAACTTGGATAAGTTTCAGCAAAAGTCAACTGAGTTTGAAAATATCATCATTTCAGATATCAGCAAAAATCAAGAACAAACCAGAAAGCAAAGATGAGGCAAACAAGACAGCAAAAGGGGGTGTGCTCCATATGAATGTGGTGTAATAGTATGTATGCAAGAATTTAGAGAACAAAGTCAAGTAAAGGCAAAGCTACTGTGAATAATCATGGAATAAAACTACTTTTAATAATGGCAGTTTGTCATAAAAACAAGCATTCACAGTAAGAGTTTTCAGTGAGGTGGAGAAAACAGTCAAATTTGTGAATGAACTGGAGTTGGTAGGAGGCGCAACGTTTAAAATATACCACCTGTTAAATTAAACTAACTACAAATTGCTTAAAGCAAATGTAGTTAGATTTAACCGTCTTCTTTATTGTAAATTCAGAGCATTTTTCTTATTTCATATCACCAGGATTTCAATATTTACAGTAGTATTTACACTGCCTGTTTACTTCCTCCTCTCAGTACTACAGTGACATGCTCACGGTCTACGCTAACATTCATCATTTTGTCAGTCACACTGGTGCAAAAAATTATCACACCATAGGGATAAACTGATATTAACATAAGATGTCATTTTGTTAAAAATGAGGCGTAAATATGCGCAAAAAAGGAGGCGGCCTTATTTGATAAAGCCTCTGATGCTACCTAGCATTAGCCACATTAGCTAGCGGAAACCTGTTTTTCCAGTTTGGATGCACGTAAACTTCTTACTTTTTCCAGCTGCTCAACAAACTAGCATTCACAAATATGCAGGTTAAATACAGGGGTGTAATTTTAAATGAAGTACTGTTTTTTTTGTAGGAAAAGCTGTGTAATATTTGTTGCAAGCTGACCCTCTGGCTAGCTATCATAGATAACAACAAAGGAGGAGCGCTAGCCTCAGCAAATCCTCAGTAATCGGAATAATTCACTCACCAAATCCCGTGTGTCTTCCATTAGCCCTTCATATAGATAACATTACGTTAATTGCGCTACCCAAATGCAAATAAAACCCCCACACTGAGGGTGGATCTGGCTTTTAAAATACCAATGTCTAAATGAATACTACCAAGCAGGATATCAACAAATTACTCTGCCGCTTCTGCGCATGCGTTAGCGTAACCTACTTTCGTGTGATTGGTGGCTGAGAAATGGAGGTCATCGACCCACTCAGAAACAAAACAGTGGACTCTGCAGTCAAATGAATGAGCGGCCAGTGAGTGGAAAAAAGGACAAAAATGAAACATTTGGAGGGAGCTCAATCTTTTTTATTATTATTATTTTTTGTCATTTAATTCGTAATCAGTGAGCAGCATTGTTTGACTGATTATTCTAAAAGTTAACTACAGCATTACTGCAGCTTTTTATCCTGGGACCAGAGAGATTTTCTCTTGCCTTCTTTTTCTTATGCATATTTAGGGCATATTCTAAGTTGAAAAGAAGTGAAAAGACAACATATCAAGGGAAGCATTTCTGAATATACAGGATAATTCAGAAAAACTGAACAACACTTACTATCCCCCAAAAAATCTCATTATTTTGAGAGTTATCTCATCAATTCTAAATCAATCAATCAATCAATCAATCAGTCTGTATTTATATAGCACTTTTCAGACACAACATGTAGCACAAAGGGCTTTACACAGAAAAAGGAATAAATGAAACAAAGAATACCCAAATCTACCCCAGCCCAACCCCTCAATCCCACCCCACGATCTAATTCCAAAAGAAACAGTGTTAAAATGCATCAACTTAAAAAAAACTTGATTTCCTGGAAACAGGAATGTCCACACTGAGGAAATGTCATTTTAAAACTCAAGATAAGGAAACACTGGAGGTTTAGGTTAAAAATCTAAAAACAAAGAAACATAGAATGAAATTTAAGAAATAATAAATAAAATGAAATAAAAACAGTAAAAGATACTATGACTTGCTTCCAAAAAGTTGGGGCATGGACATCAAAAACGCTGATGAAGTTGTGTAATGTTATAATAAAGCCACCTGGATGAACATGTCCTGACTACTGAGTTAAGTTTGCAACAGGTGAGTAACATGACTCCCAATACCTTAGCATGCAGCTGTGACTAAATATGAATGACTGAATATACATGATAATGTCTCATTCATTCAGAAAAACTGAGCAACACTTATTGTCCTCACAATTTTCTCATTATTGTGAGGGTTATCAATTCTTAAAACAGAGCAGATTTATTTTTGTCTAAAGTCAATTCAGTACGTTTCTGCACAATACATATGTAAAAAAAGAAAAAATACTTATTTTAATGAAAAAAACAAAAAAGGCATATTTGTATTGAGTTTGACGTCAATGACTTGCTTCCAAAAAGTTGGGACAGGGACATCAAAAACACTGATGAAGTTGTGTAATGTTAAAATGAAACCACTTGGAGGATCATCCTATGACTACTGAGTTAAGTTTGCAACAGGTGAGTAACATGACGGGTGGGAAAAGGTTCACCACACTATGAGACTGTGTGAGCAATTAGGAGGAATACCTCATACCTCAGCATGCAGCTGTGACTAAACTGTGGATTTCATCATCTACAGTGCAGAATATCCTGAAAGACCAAAAACCAATACCACATGGGAATGATCTTATGAGCTCAGGCAACACTGCACTAAGAAACAAAAATGGAAATAACTGAGAAATCTATAAACACAATTGATCTCTACATCCACAACTGCAGATTGTATCATGCAAAGAGGAAAATGATCCAGAAATGCAGAGTACTTCTCTGGACCTGAGCCCGTTTAAATTGGACTGAATGGAAAACTGCTGCGATCTAATGAACCAAATTGAACTTTGGGTTTGCTCGCTATGCACAGCTCAGAAGCCAGATAGTTAGAGGTTGCATATGTGACCATGTCATGGGTAGAGTCCACTTCTGGGGAAGCACTTATTTACGCATTTCTGCAAGGCAATGAAATAAAAAACAAGATCCTAGACGGTAGAACACGCTTATACTCTGCAATAAATGGGAGACTGTCACACTTGAATTTTCCAGGAAACTAGTTTGGTATTTGTTTTCTGTTGCTGACATTGCTCTATTATCTGTTTCTGTTGTGAAATAAACATTTACAGTATGAGCAGCTTTTCAAATTAAAAGACACAGACAAATCTCGTGACATAAAATAAATCTTTTATTATATATAGTGCAGTCTATCACACCTCTGAAGACAAACTAACACTTTCTTTCTCCTTAGACCAAGATATACATATTTTATACTGAACAATCAATACTTCTTTATGGAGTAACTTCTAAAATATAATAACCTATGAAGCCTAATATTTAGGCTATTTAATCTGCATACACATACATTGAGAGAAATAAACTAGACCTTTTTAGCTTACCAGCTGCCTCCGGGTCTCACTGATAGATATCACAGTGCATTTCAAAAAAATAATACTGGCTTTCGGTTCTTTTTGTTCCTCTCTTCATTTCTTCAACACAAAATAAAACACAAATCAACAACAGGAGTAAGCAAAGCAGCATTGGCTAGAACAGAACAGCATGAAGGCCAAACGTAACGTTAAATTTTGTACTGAAGTAACAACAATAAAGTGAATATGGCTGGAAGAACTGCCGCCTGCGCTTCAAGTAAGTAAGGCTTCACGATGAGGATTCATGTGGTTGAGTTTGGGTCGACTAGGAAACGCCTCCTTCATCTCATGAACTGATGCTGAGGAGTGGGATGGTCAGTGCTGGAAGAGGACATTTGAACCAACGTTACATTCATCAGTTCATTCTTCAGAGCGAAAAACAGTCATTCAAAGAAGTCAGGAAACTAAACCTTTAATTGAATGTGCATCTTTGGTCTCAGAGCAGCTCCTCCTCGGCGCCGTCATCCACACTTCCTGAGATGGAGGCAGCCTCTGAGGTACAGACAGGAAGAAACACTCAGATTAAGCATCAAACAACAGTCATTAAACTAACAACTTGAATTGTATCTATTTAGGTTTAATCGTCAAAGATCTAGTGTTGCAGTGCCACTTGTTATGAATAAAAGGAAACTTGGGTTACAATAATCCCAGACCATGTGTGCGAAAGAGGAACTCGTGCCCACTAAAGCTTTCAGTTCTTGAAATAATCACCCTAAGCATGTGAACTAAAGGGGAACTTTTGTTATTTCAAACCAGCCTTGTTTACATGTCTTGAGGGAGAAGATTTCCACTATAACTGTTTGTTTACAAAGAAAACAAGCTCAAATCTTAGTCTGAGGTCTGAGAAAGTGTCTCCCTTCCTATGAGGGAGCTTCCTCCAACTGTTAAGCTTGACGAATGAAGACCGGAGGAGTGAAGAAAAAGTTGTGGGTTTGGAACAAAAGCATCCCAATAAGTGCGGTTGGTTGTGTGGGTTAGCCCTGCTGATGACTGAACACTGTGATTCATTTTAGCTGGGCTGAAGTGGGCAAAGCTATGACTCAGTGAATATGAGGTACGGATGGATTTCCATGTTTGACATTTGAAAGCTACACAAGATATTACAGGAGCGAACTGCTTTTACTTCAGGAATACGACAGAGTATTAGGGCCACATCAAGGAGAACATTTTTTTAAGAGATTTATAATAACTGTCTCAGAGTTACAAGAAAAGTTTTTAAATAAAATAAAACTACTTCTGTTTGTCTAGATAACAGACCTATAATGCCCTTATTACGTTCTTTAGGTTTCCTGTAGTTTCATGTTCTTCTTTTTCTGTTTACATCGGACTGAAACTGTTTATAGTGCAAGTTATTTACATCTCCAATCCCGAGGTATCCTTTTTTCTCAACTAATACTGTTATACTGTCAGTATAACCCAGACACAGTCACCTTGCAATGTGCAGTGTCAGTTTTTTCTGCATATGCTTGATTATAGGGCTGGGCGATAAAACGGGAATTTATCGATACTGACATTTACGACAATAACCGACGTCATTTTGCCCATGTCAATATATTTGGTGTCAAAACATAAATAAAAGTTGGTTCTGGATGTGTGTAGGCTGGCTATGGTCTCATGTCCCTCTAAAAAGCTGTCCTACACCAAAGACGTGACTCCACCCTATCCAGTCTGTAACAAAGAGGGAAAGACAGGTGAGGAGATGGAGGACGGTTCAGAAGTTGTAGTAGAGTTGAAGTAGACAAAGGTAATGTGGGAGGGGGTGAGCAGCTAGAGGAGTAGTTATCGTCCATTTATCGTTATCAAGCTGAACTGCTCAATATATTGAGATATTCATTTGAGGCCATATCGCCCAGCCCTACTTGATTACCAGCCTGAAAACATTACAGTGGCATCATCTTATATCCATGAGGCATGCAATAACAGGTAACTGACCTGGGAGAAACACTGCCACATCCAGCAGGTCAGGTCAACTTTACATCTGAAAAACTGCTGGTCTTAAGGTGTTTATGCAAAACTGACAAAGAAATACCAAGTGTTGACAGTATCATGTGATTTACCGAAATGAGTCTCTGACAAAACAAACTAAAATAGGATTCAACTGAGCTTCCTGCAGGATTTTGAGATATCAGCATCTCGTTTAGTCAGAAAAACGGTGCAAATTTCTATTTTTTTAATTAAATCTTTTTTTCCTAATTCAGGGATTATGATCTCATTGATACAGAAAACTGACAAGATGTAAATACATAATACTTCAGTGAGATCTAGATGATTTATCTCTGTGATTCAGCTATTAACTGATTATTCCCAGTTAAAAATTGACATTTTAAACATTTTCAATGGTATTCTTCTCATCTGAAATGGACTTACTAAATATTTCTTTGAAGAAATGACACTTATTTCTGATGTCTGTTGCCCAGTTGTCAGTAACTGTAATTTTAGTTTCAAATATTCCTCACGTAATTTTGTATCTCTAAAACAAAAATGGGCTAAAAAATACAAAGTTATTCCAGGCATTTACATTCATCATAATGCAAGTTCAGGTATGTAAAACAATTGTATTTAAAACTGCTACTTTTGAGGAATTTGAATATGATTATGAAGCTAATTTAAGACATGTATGAATGTGAATCAGAATGTAAAGTATCTTGGCTTACAGTTTCCGCTCATATGAATATGAAAGTTCCAGTAAAAACTTTTAGTTATACTTCTATTGAGAATACAGTCTGACCCTTTAACCCAGTGGTTCCCAAGTCCAGTCCTCGAGGCCCACTGTCCTGCATGTTTTGGATGTTACCCTGCTCCAACACACCTGATTCAAATGATCAGCTCGTTAGCCATTACAGAGCTTGATAACGAGCTGATCATTTGAATCAGGTGTGTTGGAGCAGGGAAACATCCAAAACATGCAGGACAGTGGGCCTCAAGGACCGGACTTGAGAACCACTGCCCTAACCCAACATTACTACATCTTACCGTATGACATGGAAAAATTGTGAGAGACACAGGTTACAAATCCTACTCAGGTGATCAATCTTCACTTTATCAACTCCAGCCCAATAGAAATCTGCATTGAGTGAGCCCCTTTTTGTTCCTTCACTCACCTGACAAACTGATACAGGAGAGACTGAGCTCTGATGATGCTCCGATAACATCGTCCTATAAAAAAACAAAAAAACACAGAGATTTAACTGTAACTACAATGATCATGTGCAGTTCCGGTGACTGACATTCAACTCTTTTGGTTGTAAGGTGTTGAAGAAAAGTGTGATCACCATCTGATGAAAACATAAACCTTTGAATTTTCTGTATTTTTTACAACTAAACGACCTTTTGATGATTTGAAACATCTCTAATTAAAAAAAATAGATACAATAGAAGTTAAAGAGTCAGAGTGAGAAGCACTTTGTACAATCACAGTGGCATCACTCTGGGTTTGTTTGTCTGAAAAACTGCTCTGTAGTTTGCAAAAGCTTCAAACGTTAAATCATATCAATACACCAGTGTAATAATATACTGTCCTTGAAGGGTAAATGTAATTTATTTAGAGCTAGACAAGGTTATTTTGAGTCGGGAGATGGAGCGGGAAAGCTACTGAGCAGTTACACAAAAAAAGAGAGCTGGCCTCCATTATTCCTGCAGCGAGGTCACCAGCTGGTGCTCTACTTACTGCAACTCTAGATATTAAAGAGGCTTTTACTGAACTTTACTGTCATCTCTGTATTTTCATAAGTGAAACACAAACAAAAAGGCATTGCTCACTGAATAAAAAACTAAAATCACAAAATCGTGGGTCAGGCATTCATGAGTCTTCAAGTCTTTTCAGTCTGCAGTGTTCATTGACTCACCAGCATCCTCTGCAGACAGCCAAGGTTCTCGCCCTCAGTCTTCCCGTTCACCACCTCCTGGAAGCTGACAGCGTGACCCCGCCGTGTGAGCTCCTCCCCGATATCTACAGTCTACAACAGATGAGAGAGCTGTGAGTAAGGAAACAGCAGCCAGGAGAAGAAACTTGACAATAAAAAAGAAGAGGTAAACAGTGAGCAAACCTTGCCCTCGCTGGTGTCGTAGAGCTTGACGCTAGGCCAGGAGGAGATGTCGGAGTGGGAGTAGCTGCACAGTTTGGCCTGCAGGGGTCTCCAGCAGGCACAGTGCGTCAGCTGCTCAAAGTCATCCAGAGCCTTGTCAGTCCACACATCACCTGAGGAAAAACGGAACAACAAACAAATGAAAATCCAGAACTCCCCACCCTTAACAATTTTTTTTTTTACATGTGAGGGTGTTATCAAGGTGACAGTTTACCTTTTGGTTGTACTCCTGCTAAGTTACACTCAATGGCTTGGAATGGTAAGCTGAGGAAGTCACTCCTGAAATGTTAATGCAGCAAAGCAGAAGCTGTTAATTTGGCACTTTTCAGATGTATCTTTGCAGTATTTGTAAAAGTATTTAAAACACTGTAGTAACATCCAGTTAAAGGGATATTCCGGCGTAAAATTAATTTAGGTTTAAACACCGTAACACAGAGTTAGACACCCCCTCGAGGGATGAATGTTGCCGACTGCTTGCTTCTCTAGTTATACAAACTATAGTAACAACCGCACAATAGCAATACACAGCTGTCTAGCCAAAACACCACTCTATAGCCACAAATAATGCTCAGAACAGCACCTAACTTCATCAACAGTACATATAGGGTCCCAGCCATAGTACTAACCACCAAACATCTTTTTAGCTTTGCCTGAATTCTTTAGCAAAGAGACTAAACACAACTCACCCACTCTCCTCCAGCAGCCACTTGTTTGTGGGGGAGCCCTGACGAGTCGATCACAGAGTGCAGTGGAGTTTCGCAGCTCAAGGAAGAACATTTATGATTGTTACTTCATGGAAATTCAATCAGACTGAGTTGCTAAGGCAGAAGAACTACCGTGTCTACAGTGCAAAATGATTATTATGATGATTATTACTTCAAGGAAATGATCCGCTGCACTCGGTGATCGACTCTTCAAGGCTCTGACAAGAGGCAAGGGGGTGTCTAACTTGGTGTTACAGTGTGTTTGACCCTAAATTAATTTTACACTGGAACATCCCTTTAATCAGACGTTCAGGCCCTGAGCGGAGTCTGTCAAACAGCCCTACTAGCTCTCCTCTAAGACTGGTTCATTTCTGTCACTTTAAATAAGACTGCAACCCCGTATTAAGCAGCATTTCAGGCCTTTATTGATAAAAAAATATCAATAATTTGTTTAACCAGCTCGAAACTCCAGTTCTAACAATAATTATTAAGCCAAACAAACACACACAGCCCTGCAACAAACATAAACGTAATAAAAACAGGAACTGGGACACGACTCAAAGCAAAATTAGGAACCACATACATAAACAGAGATTAAATAACCCAGAATAGGAATCTGAAATGAGGCCATCAGAGTTTATTCTGTGTTGGAGAGCCAAACAAGAGCAGATCTCAACAACAATATGTTTCTCTGTCATACATCAAGTCTGTTTTCTAACCTCATCCTCAAGAGGCTTTCTCTGGGCAGCTCCCCGTTGTCTCCAAAGTCCACATAGTAAAGGTCCACCAGTCCTGAGCTGAGGACTCCCAGCACCTTCGCCCGGTTCCATGTGCCGTGGTCTCTGTACTGGGCCGCCACGATGTCCCCGACCACGACAGTCTCCACCCTCTGCTCCTGGAAACCATCACATCAGGAAGAGTTACACCCAAGAGGGTCACTGGGTACAATGAAGACGTCTACTCTAACCCCACACACTGTCCACTCCATATGAAATCCTTTATTATTACTATTAGAACTTTTATAAAAGCTTTACTCAAAGTGATAGCAGTTTTTTCAGGCTTTTCTTCCATCATTCAGAGAGGACACAGTAGAGCAGGAAACAGGAGAAGTGGTGTACCTTAAAGGGGTTTCAAACTGGAATAAACCCAGACCACCTGCTTGAAATTTGTCCTAATTTAGTTCTTCTTGATGAATGATAGCAAGAAAGCACAATCAACTTCTTTCAGCAGTATTTTAAGATTGTAAGATTTAGAGCAAAGATGTGTTTGTCGCTCTCTCTTCCCGTCACAGTCAGCTCACTGAGCAGCTGTTTCAGAAGATCGTCTCTTATCCTGAACGTAACCTGCTCCATTATCTTAGCAGGTTATGCCCAGGATAGGTGATCATGGTGAAGTACAACACCTCCATAGTACATAAATTCCTTTTTCTGGTTCCTCAGAAGCTTTTTTAGTTTCTGCTTGAGATCTTGTAATTTGTCAGCATGACGGATAAAACTGACTAAATGATTTGTCCTTACCGCGAGGTTGCAGCTGCTGTAAAAGCGGTTCATCTCCTCCGTCAGTTTATCCAGCTGCAGGGAGCGAACGCCGAGAATCTGGATCCAGAAGTGGTTTGGGTTCTCGTAAGCAGAAACATAAACCTCTAGGTGTTCATCAGGCTGGAAGCTCAGGTCTGGGCTAGGAACTAGAAAACAGCGTTTGTCACACATAGACAGCAGGACTTGGATTTCAGTGAGGGGAGTCAGAGAGTGTTTTTGATTCTTACTTTCAAACTTTGAAATCTCAGAGATGGATTCAGAGGACGAGCTCTCCTCCTGCTCAGTGGCTCTGTTGGAGATCTGCAGCTCCTCCAGCTTTTCAAAAACATCTCCTGCTTCTCCAGCGGTCCCGTTGGTGTGAATGAGGCCGTTTTTCTCCGTTTGTGCAAAAGGACCGTTGTTGTTCAAGCACACAGGAGCTTCAGTGTCTCCACCCTCTGGTTTCTGTATCACAGCAGTGGGACCACGTTTCTTCCGCTGCTGAGAAGACTCTGAGATCTTCATCCTCACCATCGTGTCCTCCCTGACTTTATCTAGAATCATCTCCTGCAAACACGTCACACAGACTAAGTTATTTTCATTTTGCACATCAGAGAGTCCATCTGGTAAGTCCAAATGAGTAGATTCAGCTCACTTTGGCCTGTTCCACCTCCTGTCTGGTCCCTGTGATCATCATGCTGCCCTTTGCCGCGGGACCGTGTGCTTTCTCTTTGGGACAAAACACTTTGACCCCTGTGGTCCTGGTGATCTGCTTCAGACTCTCTCCACCACGGCCTGAAAGACACGAATCAACAAGGTACTTATACCCTGGTAAATAAAATAAATGACCCCTTGTGGAGCTTATCATACCCACTGAGCTCCGAGAACTGACATAATTGGAGAATTTATGATGTACTATAATTTAATTCATCATTCATCACATGACGGGAAATGCAAATTGCATGAAAATACATTAATACTTAAGTATAGAATAAATACCATAGATTTGACATATTTTAAGTATGCAATGAGCAACTTATACATCAGTGCTGAAAAGTTGCCAGCAACTAGGTTTTGAGAGATCCAAACTAGTTCTCGGACTTTCCCCATTATTTCACTCACCGATTATACGTCCAAAAGCAGTCTGAGGAACCTCTAAAGCTTCAGTGACAGGCTCACATTCAGTAACCAGGTTCTCCAAGACGCAGCGAGCCAGCAAGATCTGGTCCTTAGAGCCCTGCAGCGCAAATGACACAGATGTCTGCTCTCCAGAGTCTGGCAGAACCCGCACATGAGCTCCAGACTTCTGATTCACCTGCAGAGAAAGAGAGAGAGAGAGAGTGAGCATGCAGAATTTAAAGTAGAGTTAAACATGTAAATAATACTGCAAAAACATGGATGCTAAATCCTAACTTCAGGATTTTCCCAGACCTTCATTAAATTCAGTATGAAACTGTGGGGACAACTTAGAATCTCTGAGGTGTTAATAATTAGAGTGGAGTGTGACACTAAAAGGAGAGCGGAGAGAAAAAAGAATAGAACTAAAAATAAAAAAGTGATTTTTTTCAGGGACAAAGGGTTTTGTTTTTCACAGACTGAAAAGCATATTTGTATGACCATCATTTTAACAGAAAAATAAAACTCATATTTGAGGATTCTGTTCTATCCTCATTCTGCATGAAACTAATCTAAATATCCTTTCCTTTTAGTCAGTTTGTAGAATAAATCAAACAGACTGAAGGGATGAGTTTTGATACTGAGAAATAAGACTCATTTTTACAGTATGTTGATAATAATGCACTGTTTGTAGCAACTCCGAGTCAAATTCAACAAAAAAAAAATCACAAAAAATACTTGAAATGAAGTATTTTTTTAATGTAAATGTCCATGCATAATGTTGAGAAATCATTAGAATGTTATATTATCATCTTCTGAGAAATATATTTGCTTAGTATCTGTATGACGACAGATATCAGCCCATCATATATACTCACCATGTCTAAGAACTTGGCTTGGTATCTGGTAATGTTCCTGTAAACGTCCACAGGAAGGGTCATCCTGGATACCTCTATGTCAGGCCCGTCACCTGGACATGAAAAATCAAACAACGCTCAGTCACACACTCTTTTGTGAATAAATAAATGCACATTTTGCTCAGTAACTCTTCTCCCGCAGGTACTCACTGTAGCTGGTGCTGCTTATGTGGCGATAGACGATGTAGCCCACTGTGGCCCCGACAGACAGCCCTGCAGCCAGAGCCACCATCTTACCTGAGCTCAGGCTGCTCAACTGTCCGTCCCGTACTGCGTCCATGACACGCTGTGCACCCAGCGGGAGGCTCCACCTACACACAAACATGAAACATGTCTCCTTCCACAAGCAACAACAAATGTCTTCAAATGTCAAGAAACTAACTTTGGTTACTCTGGTGCTTCACACCTGGGCTTTACTTCTACAGATTTTGGGTCCGAGTGAGCATGAGATGAAAAAGATTCTGAATTGCTCCAGCTGATTTCTTAAACCAGCAGTCAGGATGTGTGCTGTACTGGCTGAAACATGAACCCTGCAGGTAAATGCAACGGATCAAAATACACCTGAAAATCTCACAGAAATGATTTTGAAAAGTGACAGATCTTCAATTGTTATGCCACAAGAATTTTTTTCTTTAAGGTTAAGACAGTTTTCTACTTTTCTAGTTTTATTGAACTTAAATTCATTCAGCCGTTACTGTCCCTCTCCCAGCTGCTGGCTGAAGCAATCACCTGTAACAGTTCAACCATTTCTGAGCACATTACTTTCTCATATGAAGCCTCTGAAGTCCCCAGGTAAAATATTTAATTCTGTGAGCACAAGAACTGAATTTGTGAACACAAGAGATTAACTTGTGCACACAATACAATTGGCTTCTGGTAAAGAGTTATATTGTGTGCACTGATGCTATCTGTTATTATTTTGCAAGCTTTTTTTTTTTTTCTTGTGGGAACAAGTAAGTTATCTTGAAGAAACATATTAATATGTTGTGTGCACAAAATGGATTATTTGTTGAAAAAAGTCATAACCTTTCATTATGATAGATTACTTTGTGCACACAAGACTGGCTTGTGCCCTTTAAATAAGTATAATATGTGCACAAAACAATCATGTTGTACACACAAGATAACTTGTTCACACCAGAAGAGTTTTGGACCCAAGGTGGTTATTTTTTACCCACAAGATAAGTATACTATGCCCTCAAGGTAATAGCTTTTACCCACTAGGTAAACATAGTGTGCACACAAGGTTTTGGGGTAAACGAGATAGTGATTTGCACCCGAAAGAAAAGTATTGTGGGCGCCAAAGATACTCAAAGAAAGATACTTTTACGAGATAACAACCTGTCCTCTTTAGGTAAGCATAATGTGCTCACAAATTAATTATGTTCTGAGCACAAGACAGCTTTCCCACATAAAATATAACTTGGGGCACAGGATATTCAGTCGTTCCAAGAAAATAACAATTTGTGCTGGAAAGATAATACATGGGCCTGTCGCGATAATCAATAAATCGCCTTATCGTTCGGTAAATAAAAACGAGGTCGGTCATTTTGCCAGCCTCGATAATTTACGTGCGTTTGTTTTCCTCCTCTCTCGCTACCAAACACGCTGGATGAGAGAAGAGGTCTCACTCTGCGCATTTTTCTCGGCACCTGGGGGCGTTGGCTCTATAGCGGAATGAACGGAGTTAGTGAACCCTCCTGTCAGTCATTCAGTGTCTTTGTTACGAGGGAGCGCGCGCACAGGTACACGTAGGCGCGCACAGTCACACAGACACAGACTTTTGGATACAGTGCTGCAAGTGAGCGTCGTGAGTGAAAAGCAAGCAAACAGAATGAACACGACAGCTTTGGTGCCTAAACCGAACGCAACAGCCCAAGTGTGGGAATATTTCTGCTTTAGACCAGTTTTGTTTTCGTCAACCACAAAACTCCACGTGTGTGCGCGCGCGCGTGTGTGTGTCTGTGTGTTTGAGGAGCACAGCAGGCTGATGAGAGCTGTCAGAGCGGACTGAAGCTGCTACTATATGTTTAGCGTTTAACTGACTGAGTTTTGCAACTCTGTTCGTCATTTTCGTCTCGTCCCATCAACGTAAACGCACTTTCGTCTCGTCACATTTTAGTCATCTCCGACTTATGTTTAGCTCGTCAACGTTACGTCTTCGTCGTGGATGAAATTAAAGTTTATCACTTTTGACACGGTGTATTCCTATTATTTTGCCATTTAATATCATTATCTATAATTTAAAAAACGGTGTCAATAATATCGTTAACCGGCAATAATTTGTAGCACAATTATCGTCCAGCAAAATTTGTTATCGTGACAGGCCTAATAATACACAAGATAAATCTACTATATGTAAATATAAATGTTGCTTTTGGGGCTTCAGGGGCTCCATAGATGCTTGTTTATAATCTAAAATATGTTTAAAAGTGCACCAAGTTCAAAATTTAAATAATAAATCAGGTATTTGTTATTGTTTGGATAGAAACGTCACTCAAATTAGGAGATATCGAGCTGATGAAATGCATTCCTGTGTTTTTTGATCTTGTTGTTGGGCAACTGAACAATCATGCAGCACAAAACTGAAAGCATGAGCCAGCCTGAATTCACAACCGCAGACCACTTACACAGTAGGCTTTTCAGATGAAATGGCTTTTCAACATATTAGATCTCACAAATGACGATAGGACGATGCTTGTTCTCATTGTCTCAATGTGCAATAGTCCTTTAACACCTGGTTTAAAAATATCTTCATTGCATTCCCTGGCCCCCCGACGCCCTATTCTGAGAAACACCAGCAAGATTCTCACATGTAGCCATCCATTATTCAGACTACATCGCTTGCCACAATCATGAGCCTGCAAAAACGTGCACAAGCAATAGCCCTCTAAATGATAGAACATTTAGTGTTGTAAACACACACACAGCACTGCGCCTCGAAATGCACCAAGCCAAACTGCAGCAGCCCTGACTCTGACTGCAGCACGGTATGCACTGAAAGCTGCTGTTGCACACACTGAATACCATTTACTGTAGTTGGGCGACCTCCAGACTTCCATTAATGACTGAACACTCGCATCCAATTCTTTCTGAGACTTTTAAGGTCACACTGTCGAAACAACAGCTCACATACACACACAAACAGAATGAGTGCCCTGGAGGTAAGCCAACAGTGAAGAGTATTGGGACCAGGCAGGACCCCGAGGAGCACACGGCCAACAGTGAAGAGTATTGGGACCAGGCAGGACCCCGAGGAGCACACGGCACCACCATGCAGATGCGTGTCTCACTGGGAGAAGAGGGCTCTGGGGCTGTAGTTGAGAAACACATGGGACCTGGACACTCCCACATCCATCCCGGAAGAATCGTGACAAAAAGACACAAATCCTCTCCGATCCCGCTCTGTTTATTTTTTGATTACATCCAACTTCAAAACTACTGGCAGACAGGTAGAGGGGAAGGAAAGTTCAGCAATTCAAGTCACTACATGGAAGCAACTCAGTCACATTGCATTTTGATGTCAATTTGAGGAAAGCATAGCATTAGAAATCATGACTAGGGCCCGACCGATATGAATATTTGGGGGCCGATGCTAATACCGATTATTGGGGGGGGGGGGGGGGGGATTTTAAACAAATTTTTAGGATGTTGTTATATATATATATATATATATATATATATATATATATATACTGCAGATATCTATACTGTAGATATACTGTAGGCTACTGCTCTTCACGCAGACAGAAAGACCGACTGATCAAACTCAGACCAGAAAAGCGTTTTCAACTACCCCTCCCTCCGCCGCCGCCGATCGGTGCCTCTGCGTCTTAACTCACGTTACATGTTTCCGGTCAGGTCTCATCTGAAGACATGCAGCTGCCTCAGTAAGAGAAGTAGCTCGATCACGTAATGTGTACTGTTGTTTAGTCTACCGTTACTGGCACGGCTAACAGTATAGCAAGGCCAATAGCAGGTGGCTAACTCTAACTTTAGCTTGCATATTACATGGTGCTTCACCGTTAACTCGGCGTGACCGAGACCAGCACAGCGGGGAACATCGTGAAGTGGGTTGAACTGAAACTTGTTGACTTATTGTGTATTTCACAAACTGGTTTATTTACCGTTGAGGCTGACCACCCTTTGCTGGTGCTGTGAGGTAGTTAGTGGATAAAGATTGTCATCAGGTCGCTGCGCCATCTACTGGATAAGTCGGGGAACTTTTCAAATGGCGGAACATTTTCGAAGTGAAACCGAATCTTATTCTCCGCATCTGAAAATATCAGCAAAAATCGGCGAGTTTTGGCGGATTACCGATTAGTCTCAAATGGGCTAAAATTTGCCAATTTAATCGACTCGCAGACAAATCAGTCGGGCCCTAATCATGACAGACTTACTTGCATTAACAGAACTTCACTGTGGTAACAACATGCAAAATGACATTTTGCAAAGCAGACCTTCATTAACACATTATATTTATCACTTCCTGAAATTTGGCTCAAATAGACTGTGGTTTGGTTTGTTTTTACTGTAGTAGACAGACCTGCCAATCTAAACAATCTGGAGTCAGCATCTACTAAGTAGTTTGTGCTTCAGCTTTAAGAGGTTACAGAAACAAGATTTGTAAGATCTGGACTAGATTATGTCTAAATGAGCTTCCAGAGTTCTTACAACACATTTTAAGATTTGTGAAACCTTTTTTTAATTTGTAAATATGTGAGAAAAAAGGGTGGGGGAGGGCAATTTCACTACCTTTTCTGCCTGGACAACAAAATTAAAGACTTACAAATCTGAACCTGAGGTTTAAAGGGAGTAGTGGCCTCTCTACTTATTTAGGTCATATCTGAAAGGCATAGGTATTGTGGTTCTGGATAAGGGCCTGGTCCGATGTGGTCAAGACAGAAAAAAGGCAAAGAAATGACCCCCTCCTGTATTTTTTTGCAAATAGGACAAGGGATTTATATATCTAAAAGTATGCTTGAAGAAGTCTGTAGACTCTGGTCCGGATCTGAAAAGTCTGGAAAATACTGCTTTTGGATCAGCACCTTGCTTCTTTAATTTTTCCTGTGACAACTAAACCAGGGGCTGCAAATAAAATGCTAACTTCAGCATCGTCCCCTGATACTGCTGAGATGTTTTAAGTGTAATACTGAAAGGATAGCGGTTATATCCCAGCCGAAACAACCCCGAATGAAATAATTATTTCACATATATCCAAAATTTATACAGTTGTTTTCAAGGAAAGATGCTCTCGCCGGAAATGAGCAAATCTGTCTTAAAGGTTGCGATTTTCCAACGAGGTTTGGTGTCGGGTCTCGTCACGACACAAAAAAACATTAAAAATGCGACTGTCTGGTTTGATAACCTTGATTTTTTTTTCCACTAAATGTCATCATATGACAGATCAAACATCTTGTTTACTCAAAACTAATTCAGCCGGTTAAATGCTATAAATAGTCAGTGTTATTCCGACTATGTTTTACGAGTTGTCAAAATGACCGCAAACACACTTTCTCCTCTAGGCTAGCCATGCTAACATAAGCTAGCTTCTGGGTGACACATGCATGCCAGTCAAACATCAGAGGAAGGCAGCAAACCGTCATATGGACACTTTAAACGCTTTAAATATAGGGTTTTAGTATTTATGAAATATTGTTATACTAAAAAAATAAATAAACATACACTGTACAGGTGACACTTACGGACCCCTCGCCCTCTTTCGAATCGACCCTGACTGCAACAACCGTAAAGCCAACTGTAGTGCGCGGAAAAACACCGGAAATCAAATTTTAAGTCAAAGTTTATACTACATCTAATCGTTTTTGTGACTTGTAAAACAAAAATGTGGCCTTTAAACATGAACTGACCCTCAAGTAATCAAACAACTTGACTAAAAGGTACAAAAAAAACTTAAGTTTACGTTTAATTTCGACTTTTATTTTGAAGTATCAACCGGATATACTTTTCTGTACTCTCGTTATCTTGACGTACGTGCCAATAGATTCTCCGTTACTTTAGTGAATCACGAAGCGAGACACGAGCTGGCATCCTCCGCGACTGGTCCACTCACACAAGTGTTTTTTTTTCAATCATGTGCAGATTCAACAGACTGCCACTGCTGCTAAAAGTACGTCTTACGTATTACTTTGTGATCTATATCTCCTTTTATGTTAAATAATTAACCTCCCATGTACCCAGGACAGCTTTTACATATTGATGATGAGGCAATTATGCAAAATGAGACTTCTTATGTAAGGGTGTGCTCTATGGAAGTAAATCTGTGCCATCTGATTTTGATTTTTGAATTTCTAAAGCTGAATTTTTCTTGCATCAAAATCAGACTTTGAATTTCAAAACTATTAAATTTCAAGCATGCATTTTTATTTCTTACAATTATTTTTTTCACAATGATGAAATAAATTCAGTGTAAAAGAAGAATCACTCTCAAAAGATTTGTTTAGTAAAAATTCAACTTAAAAAATGTGTAAAAGAAGTTCAACATAAAAAAATATCAATGTCAGTCTGTTGAGTCAGTCTGTTTTACACTAAGTTTTTTGACACTGAATTATTTTTTATGTTATGTAAGAAATAAAAATACATGCTTGAAATTCGATGGTTTTGAAATTTAAAGTCCGATTTTGATGCAAAAAAAATTCAGCTTTAGAAATTCAAATTCAAAATCAGATGGCACAGATTTACTTTCATAGTGTCCTTGGCCAAAAAACTCAATTAAACTCCATACAGTGTTTGGTCTGCGTGACATTTAATGCACATGATTAAGGCCCACCCCTGAAAACACTTTTCTAAGTACAAATAATATTTTTGCATCACCTTGTAAATGGTTCTTACTTTGCTAAACTATGTCCAATTTGCTCAAAATTCTTTGCAAATTTTTTTTTTGCTCTAATAATTACATTTCCAAGGAGATATTTAGGGTCTAAACATAATTATTTAACTGTGATTATTATTCTTATGATTATTTCTTATCATTATAATCAAATTATTTCTGTTCATTTGTGTGTGTGTGGTCTGCACAACAAATTTATTGCCATTTCCTCCATAAATCATAAATCGGTGCCCCTGCTGGCCCCCACATCAAACAGTCTGGACACACCTCTGGCTAGAAACAGCATCATGTGATATTTAACTGATGATGAGGCTGCAGCTTTAATGAGAACCAGAACCATAGAGCTGGTGGGGGGCAGGACACAAGATATAAGATCCAGACCCTTTTCATAAAATTAGAAAATCCTGGTAAAGTTTATTCATTTTTATAATTTCATTCAAAACGTTCATTTTTCACAGGTTATAGATTCAGGGCCCACAGTTTGAAGGATTTCAAGTATTTATTTGTTTATTTTTACATAATTTGGGCTTCCAGCTCATAAAACCCACAAAAACAGGAATTAAAAAAATTAGAATACTGTGAAGTCTGCAGTCTTCCCCATATTGAACCGAACTGACACAATTAAACCAAACTGAAGCAGTTTAATGACACCTGGGGAAATCTGTGCAGGTGCTTTGAGTTTAGTAGAGGATTAGTGCGTGACACTTACTTTAAAACATTAATGCTCTACAAAATTTGGGCTGGTTTCTTCATAGTATTCTAATTTTTTTAATTCCTGTTTTTGTGGGTTTTATGAGCTGGAAGCCCAAATTATGCAAAAATAAACAAATAAATACTTGAAATCATTCAAATTGTGGGCCCTAAATATATAACCTATGAAAGTTTAACTTTTTGAATGGAATTCTGGAAATAAATAAACTTTTCAATGATTTACTAATTTTTTAGAAAGGGTCTGTAATTGCTTTTTCTTGAGTAATGTTGTATTTCTAGCTGCTTTATCACTCAGATTTTTTAATGACGCTACACAAATGTTGTTTCTGATGATGTGTATGACAGTCAGTCTCACATTCTTGTTTCCTATGGTGTGTGAAAAAAAGAAACAACAACCCCATGAATAAAAGAGCATATTTATTAAGATGGCATAATCAATACAGAAATGAATCTGTCAAAAGTCCTGGACATAGACGCTTTTAAAAATACAAAATATACATTTATGAATCTTGTGGACGACTTTATCATAGTCCATCACCCTCATTGTATAAATCCATTGATCGAGAGTCTCAGCTCCGCACATGTGCTGTGTTAGTGTCAGCATTAACTCTGCAGGTTTGACCACAGGCCTGGTAGCGTACAGTCCATGCTTGATGAGTCCATTTGGGTTTGAATGGAGCTATAGGTAACATGTACATTGGTCGAGACAGAGCATTCACTGGATCATTTTCATGCAGCATTGTCCATGTTTGGCATGACATAAAACAGTAAAAGTAAAGCACAGGGCAAACCAAAAAAGAAACAACAAAAAAACAGTTTCTTGCATTTAAAGTTTTATCTTTGAACCGTCTTCAGTAGTTTCATGCCGACTATTTAATTCAACCACAGAGTGATAAAGAGAATTTAAGTGCCATAAAACCCGAGAACCTTATTGTGCTTCTTCACATACACTCCCTCTTTAAATGAAGAATTCAAAACAGCATTTGTAGCTTCAAATAGTATAAACAGGCGCACACACAAAAGTGAGCAGAGGTTTAACAGGGTGAGAGCCACGATATCAAAGCTACTGACGTCCTGATTTTACGTCCCCCACCACCAAATATTCTTATTTCTCTATCTCCACTGTGGATCTTGTGTTGCAAAATGCATTTTAATCTAACTCTTTAGCCTTTTAATACTCCATGCCATGAGTCATTCAAGTAGAAAATTGTGACTGTAAAGTAATAGGTTAGGGCCTGTGTGCACAAACAGCAGTTAAGGATTGTCAACATGCTGTTAGTGGACACAGGCTCTTACTTTAGACCCAGGAGCTGTCAAATTCAAATAAAATAGACAGAAATTTACTTTGATCACAGTCTGTTTTTAATAGTAAAATCTAATTTCCAAAAAGTTACAAATTCTGTGACCCCCACATTTTAACTAGCACATCTTAAGTTTCAGTTTAAGACAAATTCTGGTCACACTCTGAATCCTGGACTCTTTTTTTCATAAGGAGAAATTGCTCTGGTTGATCATTCTAGCAGCAGCAAACAACATCAAAAATCTGAAAACTTTCCTTATCTATAATCATATTATTAAAAAAGCAAAAATGTAAAAACCTGAATTACCTTTTAATAACTCAAATAGACTTAAGTCAAGGCCAGGTTCTCATAAACTTGTGGTATCTGAAAACCAAATGGTTGCTGTGTCAGTCTCTTTGTGGTGGTTTAGTTAAGTACAGAAAGTGATCATTTTCAGAGGGCAAGACTGGACTGACACACGGGATCTACAATATGTGAATGTGATGATTTTCAGTTCAACAGAATCTGAAAACATATGAAAAATGACAGTATATATAATTTGATATCACAACAAGAATATAAATTGGGCTATGATACATTCGTGGCAGTTGTGTGTCCTGTCCGTTGGAAAGAGTGACTTTGATTGTTTTGTATTTTTGTTGTGAAGTAAGCAGCTGATGCTTTCGCCCTCTTTGTAAAAAGAAACAAAAACAACATTACACCCACGTGAAAGAATGACATCACCACAAAGAAGGCTGGTTTGTAGAAATTAACAGAGGTACAGAAGTCTGCTGCTGATGCTGAAGGAGAGAGAGAGAGATAAGTGATAAAGATCAGCAAAGAAATCTGAATCTGAGAAATATGCTGGTCAGCTGATCAAATATGAAATCTGGAGAAAGTAACAAAAGAAATCTGCGAGGACTTTTTACACTTAAAATAAAAAAACTTAAATACACTTAAAGATGAGCAGTATCCTGAGCTCCTGCCTGCTGTGGTGTGGAGAGCCGAAACAGGCTGAGGAGGAAGGCAACTGAATGATATGAAGCACCTTTCAGAAGACCCCGGCGTGTGTCGGCACGCTGGGTTATACATGATTGTATATCAGTACGTCCATCGCTAAACGACGGACCTGCTTAGTCTGCTCCTGTGTGAGTTCAAAGTAGCATGCTGGCACATTCCTCGGTTAGACAGATGTGTAACATACAGTGTGTTATGTCTGAGTAATGTATGAGTATAAAACATAATCATTTAAAATCTTTTTTTACAGCAGGTCTGACCTCGACTTGGCCCAGGAATTTAGCAACAAAGAGGTACATTTGTCACTAAATACAGTAAAATAATAAAGAAAGTTTTCTGTCTGGCTACCACAGTGAAGATTAAAGTGGCTGAACGATAAAAAGGTTAAAAAAAAAAAAAGCTCTAGAGATAATTATTCATTATGTTATTTTGGAGGTAGTGTCACACTCTTTATCTACAGACTTCAAGTTTCATGTGGAGCCCCACTGTGTTCAATATTAAAAAATACAACAATAAATACACTATGTAAAACACAACTAAATACATAACTGGATAAAAGCAAATGTTTTGGTTTTTGGTGCCACCTGCAAGATCCCCACTGCAAGGTATCCCAGAATGCAATGTTCAGGGATGCAGACAGTTGCAGTAAATAATAAATGGGGGTGAATTTTCAATGCCAAGAGGACACATTTGAGAGTGACCTGTTGGTTCCACAGCGAGCATGTGTGCTGAACACTGAAGCTGGTGTGTGCCCACTCTAGCCAACATGTCCTGAATGCATCTAAGCTCTGTCCTAAAGCATTGCTCTGCCACTGGGACACCTACCTCTGCTGAAGAGAGACGACAAGATCATATAAATCAGACAACTATGAATATATGAAACATAAACCTTGAGATCGGCACCTATCACAACAAGACTTTAAGATGTTAGCCTTGTCTGTAGATGAAAACACGAGTAAGTGAATGATTAATCCCCCATGGACAGGTGTGTTATTAGTGTGTTATTCACTGTTTACATCCTGTGATCTTGACACTCCCACGTGATCTTGCGGACCTCTTGTGTGATCTTATGGTCAACTGCTCTAAGCTAGGCTAGACTTTATAAATGGTCTCTGAAGTACGTTGAACCATAGCGTAAACCAGTGGTTCTCAAGTCCAGTCCTCGAGGCCCCCAGTCCTGCATGTTTTGGATGTTTCCCTGCTCCAACACACCTGATTCAAATGATCAGCTCGTTATTAAGCCATTGCAGAGCTTGATAACGAGTTGGTCATTTGAATCAGGTGTGTTGGACCGACACACCTGATTCAAATGATCAGCTCGTTATTAAGCCATTCCAGAGCTTGATAACGAGCTGGTCACTTGAATCAGGTGTGTTGGAGCAGGGAAACATCCAAAACATGCAGGACAGGGGGGCTCGAGGACTGGACTTGAGAACCACTGGCGTAAACAGACCATGGCACACATGGCTACTTGGTAATCAGGCAGTCTGAATGTGGGGTTTTGACATTTTCAAAGTCGTGCATCATTATTTCACAGATTCCTGTTTGTGTTTTATATAATGTACTTATGAAATTGTCTTTATCAACACTGAACACTTTGATTTTCCACAGTTTTCCTTTTTTTTTTCCTTTTAACGACAACAGACTGTGAAATGACATGAGTGCTGGGCTAATTCCAATCACACAAGCAGTTAAAAACGTTTGTCTCAGTGGATGAAATTAAAATGAACTTTACAAAAATATCCTTTGAAAGTTGAAGGGGGGGGTTTGATGGGAACTTTGTGGCACCCTTCAGATGGGAAACTGAGGAAGCATAAACAGCTTCAGAAAACATTCCTCATGCCTTTAAAACTAAAACCAGACGATAAATAGTTGCCTTTTTGGCATTTTTCTTCTCTGCTTGATGGAAATGAAAGCTTTGGAGTTCTCGTTCTCCTGCCCTTCATTTTGGATATTCACAGACCCAAGAGTTTTAGCCCCAACAGTGACATTCAGGTGCTCCACTCGATGGCTGCAGTGCTTTGGGGTTTGAAGTGATAACAGACGGTGCTGCGGTTTTTATACCCTGCTTCTCCTGGAGCTGACAGGCTGATTCCTCGTCCCTCCGCACATCAGAACGGAGAGTTCATCCCCAGCTTTGTTTCAAACTGCAGCTTCTGTCTCTTCTGGTAGCGGACTCGCACCCTGAAATGGAAAGAGGAGAACTCATCAGAGCACAAGATTGAGACAGGGGTGCAATCTGCTGCATCAGTTCTGCGTGGCATGGGAAGAAATCTAAGACTTATCTGATAGAAATAATCTTCAGTAATCCACACTGGTATCAGCTGCTTTACCCTCCAGATAAAACTTAATCCGACTCAGCTTAAAGGCTGAGAATGTGCACACTTACAAAGACTTCACTTGTTTTTTTTCTTGCTCTATATGTTGGTAGGTGAGGAAAGTAAAAGCTCCTGTAAAAAGCTTGAGCTGGCTGCAGATGAAAACGGTTGTGAAAGGTGCACAAGTCACAAAGATGACTGCAGTCTTAGAGGATTGTCATGAAAAGTTGATTCAAAGTTGATTCTAACTCAGGCTAAAAAAAAGGATTGGAGTTACTCAGTGGTCTAAAGTCCTTTTTCAGATTAATTTTGTGTTTCATTTGAAGGTCCTGGAGTGTGGAGGCAGGGCTTGACACTAATTTCATGTGCCCCTAAATTGAAAAAGTAAGGAGCACACAAAGAACTTTAGGGGCACAATGAAAATTGATCAATTAATGTGTCTTAGTGGTTGACATATTATTTGAAATCAATTTTAGGTCTTTTGGTCACATGATATGGAAGCTATTGAATAAAAGGTTAAAAAATTGCCTTTAAATTTAACACAAAAAAAATGTTTAGAGGACAAATTAGAGAAATAAAGGGGTGTGTCTTATTGTCCGACCTTAGTACTTTTATTTAAAATCAATTTCAAGTCAATTGGTCACATGACATGGAAGCTATTGAAGGGAAACAGCTTTTTTGAGAGCATCAACCAGTAATTTATTGATGGTCCCTTATTCAACACCCGACGTTGACAGTGAGGGTGCCGAGTAGATTTAACCGCGCTGCTGTTGTTATTCCCGGTTATGGAGAGTGAGAAGACACCGGTAGATCCACAGTCAACATCAGTCGAATATCCAACCTAAAACTAACTTCACCGCAGTATTTACATGAAAAAACATTTGTTGTCTCGCCTGATTTTTTTTTGTCGCACATGTGCCCCTAAATACATTTTACAATTCGCACACATCTATTTTCAGTCGCACTGTCGAGCCCTGGGGGGAATATCAGAGAGGCCCAGGATCCAAAATACTTTTCTGCAGTCGCTGCCAATTTGAGGTGCCATGTTATCTGCTGCTGTTGGTCTGCTGTGTTTTATCAAATCCAGAGGCAACGCAGCCTAGAGCCCACCATGAGATTTTAGAGACCTTCATGCTGCTGACAAGCTTTAAGGAGAGACAGATTTCCTCTTACAGCACAACTTGGCACCTGCCCACAGCACCAAATCTACTACCTAATGGTTTACTGACCATGGTATTACACGCCAGATTGGACAGGACACTCACCTGAACCAAGAAGAGAGCTGTGAGTTATTTGTCAAGAAGATGAGAAACACCTAAATTAGACAACCTGGGCTTCCTTGTCTCTATGTCAGACCACAACAAAGTAATTCATGATAAAAGGGCCAAAACCAAGTACTGAGTGCATAAAAGCACAATAAACTTTTCAGAAGTGTCACATTTCTGTATTTTGATGGAGAGCCGCCCTCCCTTTCTCTGAAACTTCCTCGTGTGTCTGGTTTCATACCGTATTTCATGTAGCTTCACCACTTCATTGATCACCACCACCAGCAGAGGGGACAGGGAGACCAGCAGCCAGGCCAGCAGGGGTATGTCCCTTAGGTTAAAGATGAAGAAGCTGTTGGTGTTGCGCCACAGCTGGTAATCCACCGTGGCCTGAACAACCTGAGCGAGCAGACTGGAAAAAAAGAAGCAGCATAAAGTTACAGAAAGAGCTCAAAAGAGTGGGCGACTTCATTTGATATTTGGCTTAAAGCGGCTCAGAGACAGGGTTGATGACTTACACCACAGGTACGGTGAGACACCACCAGGTGTTGCTGAAGGGACTCTTTCTCCACAGAGGCTGGGAGCGATGCACGTAGCTGAGGGAGATCACCACTGAGAAAAGAAAGAGATCAAACTGAATGATCCAGAAACACACGAGTGAGTTTGATCACGTATGCTGTTCCTGTCAGAGCGATGTCCTACCTGTGTGTAAGGCGAGGAACGCTGCCATCACCTTCTGTGTGAGCAGCAGGCCGTTTGACAGCTCATCGAACCACCGGGGAGCGCTGTCTGAAGAGCTGCGGACATCAAACAAATCAAACTGATCAAATCTGTCTTCTGACCTCCACTTTCATTTTCTGTCATGAAGAATCAGGTATTTGATCCAACTTTTGTCCATTGTTTTTGATAAATACTGAATTGGATCAACATGATTCTGTTTCGCACTTAAAAAATGACCAAATCTAGACTGCTAATGCGCAAAATTGGACTTTTAACATACATATTATGTCCACTAGGGGGTGTCAAAATCCACACAAAGCAGTGGCTCCTCACCCCAAATAAAAAACGTCATGTTTGGTATTAACAGAAAATTTCGTGGAGAAGTTTATACTGACAAAAAATATTTATCTTCCCACTGCGTTTGAGTTGATCTCTCTAGATGTTACACTGTTTGACCAACTTAGTTTTCCTGTAATCCAGCTTTCTGTCGGGAAAATCTGGATTACTTTGGATTTAAATTATGCTAATCCTCTAAAGACGAACATAAATTGGAGGTTTTCCTCAGATAAAAAACAATATTGGATTACCTAATCTAATCTGATTAACTCATCATTTTATTCTTTTGAACAACCTCTTTGTAAGATACGTCCAATCCGAACAGAAACTACGGAAACTAATTGCTGATTGGTGCGCAAAACCATAAATCAAAAACAAATTATCCAAATATACAAGATCCGAATTAGTATTTGGACTCTTGAATCTCTTCATACGTTTGTATTTAAATGTGTACGTTGTGTAGAAATCGCCCGCAGATGTTGCTCATCTTTGGTGTAAATACAGAGGCAGTGTAATTGTACCTCTCAGTGAGGATGTGAAGGCAGGTGGCAGTGGTGCTGTTGCTGCTTCTGAGGCAGACCTCCTGCAGAGTGAACCCGAAGGCCAACAGATAGGCACAGACCGTCAGACCGAACTTCAACAGGAAACAGCCGAGGAAGTAGTTCTGGGTCTGGTGAAGGAGACGGCATCATGAGACAGTCAGATTCCGGGTCATTAGAGGGTTGACTTTCTTTCAGTTTGTTATATTATGTCATTATTTTCTCTTTTGTTTTAAGACTTTAACTTTAAAGCTACACATCACCACACATCATGGCAGTGTATATAACTTAACAGTGGTTACAGTTCAACACAAAGGTCACAATTATTAGAGAATTAAGAGTAGACGTGCTATTTTTAGACCTCATGACTTTCATGATCCTACCTTCCTTGGAATGGAGTCGAGGTTTTTCCCTGTGGCGACTGACATGACTGAACTGTCTGGTGGCTTCCCCAAAAGTGAAACGCTGTCAACGCAACACAAACATGATATCAGTTTGACATCCTGCAGAACACGACAGAAGAACAGCACTGCTTCAGATCACTTTACTGCTAACACTATTAACTGAGCTGCTGAGCTGTGGGTGCAGAGATACTGCCAAACTGTTTGATAAGACCAGTGGTTCTCAAGTCCAGTCCTCGAGGTCCACTGTCCTGTATGTTTTGGATGTTTCCCTGCTCCAACACACCTGATTCAAATGATCAGCTCGTTAGTAAGCCATTACAGAGCTTGATAACGAGCTGATCATTTGAATCAGGTGTGGGCCTCGAGGACTGGACTTAAAAACCACTGTATTAGACTGAACGGCTGTTTGTTAGGGACACAAACTGACTACTGAGAGGACACTGAGCTACAATGAAGGACTGTCTTATTACAAGGTGAGGCGGTGACAGTTCTCAGTAATATTCCCAAGTGAAGGCGTGTTGACAGCTGTCTAATACAGAGAGCCTTTCACACATATCCCCCACAGTGTTGAATGGCTCTGACAACTCAATATAGGCAGTTTGGAGTCTTTATAAGGACAAACTGAAGGAGGAGGTTTCTGATTTGAAGGTTTGACCAATCAGGTACCAGCAGATTTTGGTGTTTGCAGGATAATCAGCCTGTATGGAGAGCAAAAGCAGACTGAACACAATCCACTGTCATGACGGTTTGACTGCAACCAAGTCAAGTCACTAAAGACAACGGTGTAAAGTAGGGCTGGGCGACATAGCCTCAAATCAATATCACAATATATTGAGCAGTTCACCTCGATAATGATAAATGGACGATAACTACTCCACAAGCTGCTTAAACCCTCCCACATTAACTTTGTCTATTTTAGCCACCGCTCCAGTTGCACTATCCTCCATCTCCTCACCTGTCTTTCCCTCTTTGTTACAGACTCGATGGGGTGGAGTCACGTCTCTGATGTCAGACTTAAAGGAACATGAGACCATAGACTACCTACACACTTTTTAAAATGTATTTTTGTGACCGAATATATTGACATGGGCAAAATGACATCGGTTATTGTCGTAAATTTCTGTATCGGTAAGTTTTCGGCTTATCGCCCAGCCCTAGTGTTAAGATTTCCTGACTTTCTTGAAAGCATCAGAAATGAAGGATCAAACTTTCATTCAACAAACTGTAAAAGTCTCCTCTTAAAAGACAGACCTGACAAACCTCAACCCTCCACTCTCTCAAACAGCCTAATTTTACTATAAATCTGCAAACTCAGACCTTTAATTACAAATAGATCACAAGAAAACAGGATTCACGCCACTGAAGTGAGCCTGAGTAAACCCTCTGTGTGTCATATACCTGATAGCTGAACTGAAACTGACTTACAACACTTGAATGGTACGACCCTTAAGATGTAACAAAACAGGAAATGGTGGTGTTTACAGAAAAGGAAGTCTTGGCTGGGAGTTATTAACCGCCGGCTACACCAAAAACACTGAAGGCGTGGCAGAGGCCTGTTTTGCACACCGTCGTCTGACAATGACGGGCGATGATCACTGGGTTTGGAGATCGCAGCGATACTAACTTAACAGTAATGACCAGAAACTGAGGCGAGCAGCCAAGAGGAAAAAGCAGAAAAACTTTTATCAACTTGATTGACGTCATCACTACACCCACTCTCCCGCTGATAACTCTCCAGACTGTTACCTGCTGTGTTTACATGCTGACTTCACTCAACTTCAAATAAAACTGGGTGGTTGGCAGTAAAGAGTCTGAATGAAGCCAAAACTGTGTGTTTACTTTTTTTTTTTACTGCTGAAAAAAAAGTTGAATAATCTCCACTTTACTCACAAAAATAGATAGCATTATTTGCCAACAAATTTGAGTGATGATAATCAGTTGGTTATGTCATTTCATGTGCTTTTTCCCTCTATAAGCAAACAGAGCATTGTTTTTCAGCACTGAGTTTATCTTAACTCAGAGTTGTGCATGCAAAACAGCAAAAAGGCAGCAATTGATGCAACGTTACAGTGTCCTTGAACTTCTTAAGTACAGGGTGTTCACTCAGAATGCCACAAAGACTGAGCTGTAGAGCAGAGCTTGTTTATTCAGGAAGCAGGTCAGTAATGCACGAGTGTTTAGAGAGAAGGGATGCTGGACGTCTGTCTTCTTTGGCTGGTTACACAGAAGACAACTTTTCAATCACAACCTACTCTAAATTCACAGAGGACCACACACACACGCTCCATGAGACTGCTGGAACACACACTTCACAGACTCAAGATCTCACAGACACGCCCACACACACCTTTTCCTTGTCTGTTCCTTTCCAGTATGACTTGCATAAAGGGACTGGTGTCTTTACCATCTTTATTGGGATGTAGTACAGACTGAAGAAGAGTCATTCCAATTTAAAGTTTTACCCCTTCATCTATTTGCTTTCTGAAAACCGGTTATGAAAAATTACAAACTACCAGGAGTTGGTCTCAGGTAACTTAAAGGGATATTCCGGCGACCAAACACAACTTTCCCCACTCTCCTTCAGCAGCTGCTTGTTTGTGATGGGAGCCCTGACGAGTTGATCACAGAGTGCAACTGATCATTTCCATGAAGTAATAACCATCATAATAATCATTTTGCACTGCAGACGCAGTCGTTCTTCTGCTTTAGCGTCTCGGCCTTATTTCATTCCATGAAGTAATAATCATAAATGTTCTTCCTTGAGCTGCGAAACTCCGCTGCACTCTGTGATTGACTCATTAGGGCTCCCCCACAAACAAGCGGCTGCTGGAAGAGAGTAGGTTAGTTGTGTTTAGTCTCTTTGCTAAAGAAATTAGGCAAAGTTAAAAAGATGTTTGATGGCTAGTGCTATGGCTGGGACCCTATATGTACTGTTGATGAAGTTAGGTGCTGTTCTGAGCATTATTTGTGGCTATAGAGTGGCTTTTTGGTTGAGGTTTTCACATGGAGATGTAGACGGCTGTGTTTTGCTATCATGCAGTCGTTGCTAAAGTTGGTATAACTAGAGAAGCAAGCGGTCTGCAACATTTATCTTTCAAGGGGGTGTTTAAACAGTGTGTTTGACCCTTATTCCTTTAAGCTTGAGATCTACTTTCTCTTGCGTGTGTTTGTGTGTAACTGTGAATACCTTAGAAGTGGGCAGCTGAAGCAGGACAGCCACAGGATGTCAGTGGTGTTCAGTGGAGGAGGAAGCTGAGCGACACAGGCTAAAAACTGCAGACAAAGAAATCCCATCACTTCCTTTATCTACTCAGGCAGCAGCATAAGACTCTCATCAACAAGCACGTGCACATTAAAAATCTGTCTGAACCTCTACATGTTCTGAGTATGAGTGATGTCTCCTCTCTCACCTGGATGATGACCAGACTGAGCTGACACTGCAGCAGGAAAAGGAAGCACTTGCGGATGCCGTAGGTTGTGTGTCGAGCCTGAAACGGATTCACTCATTAAGAAATGTGAAACCTCTCTTTGACTCGTAGTGTGTGTGTGTGTTTGTTTGTGTGTGTTTCTGACCTGCTCTATGAGCTTGACCATGCTGACGCTCTCTCCCTGGTGGAAGGTGACGGAGCAGCCCAGACTGTTGAGCTGACCGGAGAGCCTCAGAGGAGTCAAACCCTCAGCCTCACCGTTGAATCCTCCGGTGGCGTAGCCGAAGGTCTCCCAGGAACACTGAGAGGGGTACAGAGGGTCCAGAGCGATGCTGAGGGGGAAAGAGGTTCAGAAAACACAAATGGGCAAATTAATAGATACAACAATAAATTAGGGCTGTGGATTTATTGCATACTTTTTAATATCAAGTTTTTTTTAACCGTCTGCTGCAGACTGAAAAATTACACTGGAAGCTTCACATGGAAAACTCAAGCCCACCGATCAGCAACAGATGACCTGAATGTGACATGACTTAATGCTACCAACACAGTACAGAGTCTACCTTTATTAAGGCTGACTAAATAACTCCTGTTTTCTTCAGCAGCTCAACACTAAAGGACTGACCTCATGCATCACAACATACAAACCTGTTGATTAGTTTCCATCACTTGTATCGATCTTTCACAATCCAATAATCTCACACAGTGTAATTCTATCTAACCTCACAAGGGGGGAAATGAAAGCTGAGTAGTCTGACACAGAGATGCCTGACAATTCTCTGCGTCAGCTGTGTGTTCGGACACAAACTGGTATTTGAGACTCGGTATACTCTGGTGGTGACTCAGTTCATATTGACACTAACTGAAAATGACTGATCTTGTTGAGAGAACAACCTAGAAGCTGAATTTGCCATTTGAACATCTTTGTCTTTATCCATTTCTCCCATTACTGCAAGGTCGTCTGTGTTTGCCATTCACCTCCTGATATTCCATATAACTACACAATGTGTGCACATCAAAAAACAAAAACAATAGCATGAAAAGTTTCACATTTTCTTCACCTGTGCTGCTTCTATGTGTCTCCACATTTCTAATAGTTAGTATTTAGGAGCTAAGCTGTTTGGGAGCGAAAACGTAAAGCAAACACATGTCTTTGATCACAAAGAAATTACTTAAAAGCAAAACAAGTTTAAGGATGCACTTTTTTTTTTTTGTCTTTTTTTTTTAAAAGTATTTCTTGGGCGATTTTAACCTTTTATTGATAGGACAAGGTAAAATGTGGGGAGACAGAGAGAGAGGGGGGAGGACATGCAGCACATGGTCGGGGCAGGACTCGTGGTCCCCATGTATGGGGCACGCTGACCCACTTGGCCATCTGCGGGCCCCCTATGGATGCATTTTTGAAATGTATTTTTACCTGACGTCACTCTGTAGAAACAGGCGGCTGTTGCGGAAATTGGCTGAGCTTCCCAGACAGCATGTGACCTCCCTGTTCTCCTGCATGATCTTCATCATCTCACACATGGCTGTGAAGAGGAAACACAGAGTAGATGTCAGTATTTACTTTGAAGCAAACACATGATGAACTTTTAAACTTTGATCATTATTTCTTTACTTAGTTTACTATCTTAACTAACTAATTATCTAGACTCACTATCGGGGGTGCAGTCAGTGAAGAGTGGCACCAAAAGAGGCACATTATCAATGTTCTTCAAATGAGGACGAACCTGGTGGATACCACGAGGTAGTTTGGCCTGAAGATAAGCAGAAAAAAAGCATTGTTTTAAAAAGTTTGGACATCTGTAGACACGGATTATTCCTCAAATGCAGAGAACAGAGTGTTGGTTTGGCTGTTTTTATCTGTTACCCTGTTGCAATCCTCCAGAAAGCTGGGCACATCGCTGTCTGTGGGCTGGAAACTGGCCATGTCAGAGTGAGCTTCCTCTTCTGGCAGCAGAGGACCCTCCGCTTCATCCCGAGAATCTGTGAAGAGAGCTTTTGGAGGTCAGCAGTCGTACATTTCAGAACCAGCTGTTACAGACTGATTTCAGAAACCATAGAAACCAAACAGACATGGAGGGAAAGTTTAAATCACAGCAGATATGATGAGAAACTCACAGCTGTTATCATGTTTTCAAGGAGGCATCTCCAGAATACACTAGTGTCAATATTTCTTCATCTTTCACACTACAAATGCACACAGTGATCTTCAAGTTTAACTTTTTTTATAGTCTGTTGGCTGTTGACCACAAAAAGTTTCTCTCCAGCCACTCTGTGAACCACAAGAGCAGTACTAAAAATGTAAAATGCTGTCTGTGTTCATGTTTAATGAGCAAAAAACCTCAGATAGTTATGACAGATTAAAAGCAGAAAGCAGGGATTGTCACACTCTCTTCTTTCCTGAATGTAAACCTGTCACCTACTAAACCCAATGTCTCACACCTGGATCTCAGACGTAGATATGTTTCACTAAAAGCAGTTAATACAACCTGGAAATGTTAGCCTGCAGCAGACATGAAGAGCATGCCAAATTGCTCAGCTAGTTTATTTCTAACTTTGATTTATTTATTTATTTTTCGTTTTCAAATTTGTTTCAGCAAAACCAAATACAAATTCAAGTCAAATCTTACAAGAAAAGATTTTAACTAAAAAATATTTACATCTGGACTCTAACACATTTTATACAACTAAAATGTCGATGATACACAGTAAATATCAAGTAGAGTTTGTAGAAGCGCGGGTGTAGCACCTTGGTTCAGGTCTTCATGCAAGGAGCCCTGACTGGGACTGGACGGCGCTCCATCACAGGGACTGTCTCCGTTTGGCGTCAAAGAGATGTGACAGTTCCAGCCTGTCTCTAAACCCATCTTCTCTGCGAAAACCTGCACATACACACACATACACACAGTCATGACACTCTTAGTTATGTTTGTGATGTACAGTAACACCGTTAGTGATAGTCTGTGGTTTGTGGATCCCTACTGTCACCAAAATAACCACTATAACAGTAACAGACCTCAGAAGAAACAAGGGGTGTCCTGAAACGACCTTTTTACTGCCGATATGATACCGATATTGTTGCCTTAAGTACCGGCCGATAGCGATATTGATCCAATATTGGCACAAACTTGTGCATGACAAGTTTCCTTAAGTTCATTCATAATACTTTTGTTGGGAAAGTTCACAAAGCATGAATGTTTTAAAAAGAACTGATTTGTCTTCAGCTAAGAACTAGTGGGGTACTATCTGCAGATGAAGCAAACAGAGTCCAGTAAAGCCAGGGTCAATCTCTGAGTCAAAGCAGGATTACTATGAAACACTGATTTGAGCTTGTGTGTGTGTGTGTGTGTGTGTGTGTGTGTGTGTGTGTGTGTGTGTGTGTGTGTGTGTGTGTGTGTGTGTGTGTGTGTGTGTGTGTGTGTGTGTGTGTGTTCACCTTGCTGCGGAGTTCGTCCTCCATGGAAAAGTAAACAAAGCGGATACAAGCGGTGACGAGGGCATCGATGAGCCGGACCGTGTCCAACCTCGCCTGGAATTGAGATGAGACCATGCCCATGAAGATCTGCCCGCTGAGGGCCTGGACGCAGTCCTCACGCTCCACACCCTCACCGATACCCTCTGGAGATAGAAGAAGAAAAGATATCCCAAAAAAAGAAAAGAAATGTTAAACATTATAATAATTTTTACCTATAGAAGAATTCCAAACCAAGACGTAGCCTGTTTTACATTTTTTCTTCTTATGTCTGATCAGAGATTTTGTGAATGCCAGTCACATTTTTATTTAATTCGACGAGTCCAACATCAAATTCACACTAAAAATCCCCTGGTGCCATTTTAATTCAATGTTGGATCCCTGCTTTCACCCAGGAACAGTATGTCTACACTTCATTTGAAAATCTGTCATTTAACCTGCAGAACACAAAAGATGCTGGAGTGCGCTGCCTTTCTTGGTTTGGTTGTTTCTGCTATTGTACAATTTTGGTGTTTGAAATGATCTCTTCATATCTGATAAAATAGATTCTACAGTCAGAGGAATTTAGTCTAAAAGTACCAGAGTAAACCTTCAAAATATAAATCCCTGTGTGGCAAACTTGTACCGTCTGAGCTCCAGCTGTTTCTGCAGGAGTTGTGTTTGATGGGGGTTGTAGAGGGCAGCTCCACTCCAGAGAAGAGGCAGGGACCAGGAGCCAGCTCCACACACTTCCCATTCAGCTGGTTAGACAGCGATACCTGCATGGGTTTGTAGGCGAAGGCTGAGCAGTAACCAGACAGACAGGCACGCTGGTAGAAATCCAGAACCTTCTTTCTGTAACAAGAGGAGGTAAATAAAGATTAAAACTGGAAAAACTGCAAGAAATTTGGATGAAATTGCAAGAGGAAAGTTATCAGTGCGATGGATATCACACCTGTCTGAGCCTGAGAGGGGATAAATATCAGTTCCGTCCCAGAAATCCGTGCAGGCCTCCAGGATGAGGTCAGCTGAGCCATGAGACAGCATCTGGACGTTATCTGTGAGAAAGAGAGTGAAATCAGCATCAAAACACAAAACGGACTGTCTTTCAAACGTCTGCATCGACTTGGAAAATACAATAGAGACACACAGTAAACACACCATAATGCTGCCAGCACACAATCCAATATAGACCAGTTCAAGCGTGTTGACTTACTGGAAGAGGAGTCTCGTACAAACAGGGAGATGAGGTGGGAGATTGGAGGCTGGCGTTTGATGAAGTAATGAAGGCGGCGTGAAGCGAACTCCTTGGTTTTCTCTCCAGACGGCAGCTGATAAAGAGCCAGGTGGTTTTCCTGTTTGAACAGCTCCCTCGCTCCGGGAGTGAACCCTGACACACACACGGATTACAAAATGAAGTTTAACTCTCATTTACATAAACAAGCTACGTCATCTGATGAAGCAATGTATGAAAACTTTCTCTGCACACAAAAAAATTAAGTTTAGTTGATATTCATGACCTTTTTTAACTGTTCATCCTCATTAAATACGTTCTTCTACAAGCTGGGTAATCTTTAAAATTTCAATATAGTCACGGCTTCCCAGGATCATAAAATTATATAAATATTAGCAAATTTTGCTGGGTTATCTGCTGTGTCAGCCTTAATAATCCTTCCCTAAAAGAGCTCTCACTTTCACTTCATCACAAGTTCAGATCGATCAGCGAAGTTAAGAAAGCATTAAATTTCATTATGAACAGCTGAATCCTCAACATGTCATGCTACAGCAGAAGAAACTATCAGGGAGACACAAGTGAAGAGAGGAGAGCAGAGAGTGAAGCAGGAGAAGGAGAGAGCAGGGAGAAGGGGGAGAGGATCAGGAGGAAGAGAGCAGGGAGAGGAGCAGTAGGGGGAGAAACAAGAGCAGAGAGGGGAGATCAGGAAGAGCGACAGGAGGAAGAGAGAGGAGAGAAGTAGTGGAAGAGAGAAGAAAGCAGGGAGAGCAACAGGGGGAGGAGAGAGGAGAGCAGGGAGAGGAGCAGGGGGAAAGAGGGGAGGGTGGCAGGAGGAGAGCAGGGAGAGGAGCAGGGGGAAGAGGAGAGGAGATCAGGGAGAGGAACAGGAGGATGAAGAGGAGAGCAGGGAGAGGAGCAGAAGGAGAAGAGAGAAAAGGGAGAGGAGCAGGGGGAGGCGAGAAGAGAGCAGGGAGAGGAGCAACAGGAGGAGGAGAGCAAGGAGAGAAGCAATGGGAGAGAGAAGAAAGCAGGGAGAGCAACAGAAGGAGAGAGGAAAGCAGGGAGAGGAGCAGAAGAGGAGAGGAGATCAGGGAGAGGAAGAGGAGAGCAAGGAGAGGAGCAGAAGGAGAAGAGAGCAGGAAAAGGAGCAGGGGGAGGCGAGAAGAGAGCAGGGAGAGGAGAGCAGGGAGAGAAGCAATGGGAGAGAGAAGAAAGCAGGGAGAGCAACAGGAGGAGAGAGGAAAGCAGGGAGAGGAGCAGAAGAGGAGAGGAGATCAGGGAGAGGAAGAGGAGAGCAAGGAGATGAGCAGAAGGAGAAGAGAGCAGGAGAAGGAGCAGGGGGAGGCGAGAGGAGAGCAGGATGAGCAGGAGAGTAGAGAGTGGAGAGCAGGGAGAACAACAGGAGGAGGAGAGAGGAGAGCAGGGAGAGAAGCAGAAGCAGGGGAGAGACGATCAAGGAAAGGAGCAGCAGGAGGAGTGAGAAGGGCAGGAAGAGGAGAACAGGGAGAGGGCAGGTGTGTGTGAACAGCAAAGGGACAGATTAAAAGCATGACAAACGTGAGGCTGTAGTGATCACAAGCATACAAAGGCACAAGCAAACAGGCCAAAAAGTGACATCAGTTCACATCATAAAGACGAATAAACTAGATTCTAACTGTACTAAGGAAATAGACTGATCAGAACTTTAGGTATGTGCCAAACTTACAGCGCACAAACATTTTTAAGACTCCACTGTGAGTTCGGTGGTATGCATAATTAATGCAAATGGTTCTTCATCCAAGGAAACTGCTGAGTTAAAGTTACAAACTGACTGATTACAGGAAATCTGTCTGCTGGGTACTATTTAACAAAGCCCAAACCAAGAGTAAAGAGTATCAGCCTTGAGTACAAATACATTACCCAAAACCACCTGGAGTAATAAGAAACTTAAAAGAGGGCAATACAAAAAACCCTGCCTCCTTACCTATGAGCCTGGAGAGCTCACAGAGACCCCAGGGGACGTAAACAGGCAGTACGGTGCCATGGCTCTCCTGCAGAGCCAGGTTGGACAGGTGGTCAGAGAAGCGGCAGAGCTGCTGGGTGACACTCGCGTTGCAGAGGTTCAGCATGATGTTGAGGCCCAGAGGCTTCAGAGAGGGGAGATGACACTGCCAGGAGAGGTCATCAAACTGGATGCTGGCTGGGTTCTGCTGGTCCTGAGACAAACTCAGCATTTCGAGGTGGTAATCACACACAAAGTCCTCTGCTTCTGCCTCAGGGCAGGTCAGACCAAAGTCCTGGAGAGGAAGGGACAGAAAAGAAGTCAAGTAAAACTTTCAAAACTGTTTCTATACTTGACAAGTTTGAGTTGCTGTTTCTACCTGGGCAGGGTCGTCCTCGCCCCCCTCGGTGTCCCGGCTGAAGCTCACGTTGGATCCAGAGTGGTGTTTGGTGCGAGTGTGCGTAGGCTGGCAGGAGCGCACATGACGCAGATTGTCAGAGGAGCGGGTGATGTCATGTGGCGATTCACCTGGCTCTGGCCCCTCCCCCAGCTGGTTGGAGGGCTCTGCAGGTAGACAGAGCAGGGCCTCCCCCTCCTGAGCCTAAAAAAGGGACAAAGCAGTCCATTCATTTTCAAAAAGATTTAGTCCTGAAGTCCATGAGAACAAGTCAAGTAAAAAAGACCATATTTACACTGGAGTGGAAAAATGCAAAACACATACCTCGTCCCTGTCTTCATCTGTCTCCATCCTGCAGTAGGAGTTGACGGACAGGTCGTCTCTGAGATCGTCCTGGCTGTTGTGAGGTGGTTCTACTCGTCCGCTGAAGAACAGCACAGTCTCTGGGCTGGGGTTAGGCCACGACAAGATCCCCTGCTTGTCCACACAACACAGCACCTACACACACACACACACACACACACACACACACACACACACACACACACACACACACACACACACACACACACACACACACACACACACAAAGGCTTGAAACTGCTTTAAAATACATGGATCCCTGAGGTTTACATCCATAGGTTTCGCTCTGATTATCAGCATTATCAGAAACACCCTTCAGTGATCGTACTCTTTACATGCTTCTATCACATAATATCGTAATTTCGGTATTGTAAATTTTCAGTTTATCGCCCAGCCCTAATATAATACATGTGCACCATCAATATTGAGTTTCGACCACAAATCTCCCTTTTGCCTCTTGTCATACTCACAGTAACAGATCCCAGAGTGTGTAAAAGGCTGGAAGTATAACAGAGTGTCTGAGACTCTCCCTTCAGGACGCCTACCAGGTGTCTCCACACACAGCGCAGCATCTCCTGCACACACACACACACACATATGCTGCTTTTTACCATGTGCAACGGCAAAAAGTTCTGAATTGAAATCAAAAAGTAATGTAAAGAGATAAATTAAGCTTTTACAGGATCATTTTAAGAGTAAAGTCATTTAAATTGGGAAAACTGGATTTAAAATTATGCGTTTTAAGGCTGAAACCAGCTATTTAAGCAGGAAATCACCATCATCTTTCTGATTGGATTACAAAGAGAGAGAGAGAGAGAGAGAAAAGGACTAAGCTTCTACACTACATGCAAGGAGGCGAAGCAAAGAGCAGGCTGCAGTGATTTGTGAGCGGCCCCCATGTTTGTTCCTTTTAATGCACATTGATGAGTACTGAAGCTCCTAGAAGATTTGACTGGTCATTCTTTCTATCATGATACCATGGAGGACGTATTACCAATAATTCTGTCAGTGTGTTTATTATGTTTGTTTATGGTCTAAATCTATTCAGACGAATTCATGCCTTTAATTTATTTTACAGATAAGTTTATAGATATGAAAAAATCTCATACTGCTTTCTTTAACAGACATTTGTCCACGTTAAAACAAGACAAGCAAGTGAGGAGCTCAAATTTTCCTGATTTATTTCCCGTTTTTTTCAATTAAAACCAAATTTCTTTGAACTTGCATGTCTGTTTTTTCTCCCTCTGTCTAATGTGAGTGATTTTAAAGAAGTCGCCATAAATGCAATAATATCTTAACTGTTTCGATCTGATAGAGTACTCAGACATATCTCTGACTTGTCCCATCTCAAATTTAAGACTTCTCACTTGTAAAATACGACTTCACATATTTTTGTGACCTGAAATTTCCAAAAATCTAATGTCAGATTTTCATTTTAGACTTGTTAAGGATCTGTGTGAGTTTATTTCATACTCACCTAAAAACTTAAACTAAACAATGTTTCAAATTTCAGGGAATCAAGTTTTAATACATGAGTTTAGTAGAAAAGTAACTGTATTAGTGATGTGTGCGCTGTAGTCTAAACAGTTAAAAAATGTTATCATGGCTAATTGGGAGAAGTGTTAGTCTGTTAAACCAGTTATTCATATATTTATTACTCTGGGCCTGACAGTCCCATGTTGAGTCGGAGCTGTAGCGCACTAGCCAGTGATGTAATGGCGACTGTCATAATGTTATGATGCTAAAACAAGCTCAGATGATAGATGGTTTCTTGTTGCATAGTGTGATTTGTCAGTATTCCGATTAATCGACATTAAGTTGACGGTAGGCTGAGTCTAGTTTAAACTGACATATTGCTCAGCTGGATTACTGTGTAACCGGTGCAGGCCTCTGCAAGTGTTAGCCACACTCTGCAAACCACATGGACATTGTAACCTGCTGACTCTGCAGTCTTATTTTAGGCCATGTGAAGCAAAATGTACTCAAGTTTGACCATTTAGAGTGTTTCCTGACCTTGGTTGTATAGTTAGAATTCAAATTTAAACGAAAAAAAAATTACTCATCCCAGGTATTACAGCAAAAATAACATTTCATCTGTTGAAAGGACAGGTAAAGCCCCTTTTATAAAACAATATGATGTACATACACTGAGCTTAATCAATCTACAGTATGTAAACATCCATGAAATGGAACTTCAAATAACTAAGGCAAACAAATCATTCAGATGGCAAAGACAAACGTTACTTTAATACGTGGAGTATCAACACGCACCAGTTAGATGCATCATGGACACAAGTGATGCACAAACTAATTCTAGTTTTTTAAAAGATCAAATTTTGTGCAGATCACGAGCGCCCAAGAGTTTGGCATCTACAAACAGCCGATTTCAAATTAGTGTGCAAATCCAGGTTTGGATCAGGTCAAAATAATTGTTTAATTTAAAAAAATATATAAACAAAAGGAGAGAAGAACAAGGAGAGAAAACCTAAGAAAATGAATATATTGGGGCTAATTTCCAGTCATGCAGAGCAGGCAGACAAGCAGAAGTAGAAGGTCAGGCACAGGTTCAAGTGAAAGTCCCTCTCAGGATCAAGTGTTCCCTCTATTTAACATTTGATGTGTATCAAAGCCAGAGACAAAACACTGATGGTTTCAGGAAGACAAATGGGAGCACTGTTTTCAGTTTCCCTTTTAGAGTGCCTCAGCCTGACATCAATGAGGAACAATGATTGGGTTTGGTCAGGAACTAAGGGAGATTATGAGAACTTATGACAACTATGAGAACTGAGAACTTGTATCTGTGATGAGAGAAAGTGATCTTAAAGAGAGACATGATTGGCTGTCCAGATTACAAATCAAAGACGACTGGATGCATCAAAGCAGAAACTTAAATCCAGAGGTGGTCGGTCAAGACGTGGACTGAAAATCCACAAATGAAAGGTGGCAAAAAGAAAAAAAAATCAAAGGAGAGAAAATAAACATGTTGTGCAAGATGATATATAAAGAAAAGGAGTAAAAAGTGTTCAAATGATTGCAAAAAATGATCTTAAAAAAAGAGGTGAAGATGTGGAGAATCAGATTTGGATGTCCATTAAGATTTCCATGGTGAAGATGGAGAAAATTTAAAGATGTGTCGGAGATTTGAGGGTGGCGATGGGAGGGTGGCAGTAGCTGTGCACGAGGGGTTCCAGAGAGGGAGTTGCAGAGGAGGGCGAGGACAGCTAGCGAGTGAAGACAGACGGGTTCAGGTGGATTTAGGAGCCAAGCGAGGGGAAGGGGGGGAGAGAAGGAAGAGGGGAGGAGAGCGAGACAGCGAGAGGTTATACCTGGGAGGAAACCACTTCGGTGTAGCTGCTTAGAGTGTCCTCAGAGAACTTAGCAAGCTGGGGCAAGAGAAGAGTCTAGTTAAAACACAGAGGGAGGACCTGGCTGTGTCTCCTCTGTGAGTGTGTGTCTGTGTAGTCCTGAGTCTGTCTGTTGGGGTTAGGCTGATATCAGTTTTTTAGACTTTTATTACGGCTTCTGAATTAAAGGGCCATGAAATAACTAAAACTGTGTCCAAAGCAGCAAGAACTGAAACTCTTCTTTTTAATCTATGTAGTCTTAGAGCTGGGCGATAAGGCGTCAAATCAAGATCACAATATATTGAGCAGTTCAGCTCTATAGAAATAAATGGACAATAACTCCTCCACAAGCTGCTCACCCCCTCCCACATTAACTTTGTCTACTTCAGCCGCAGCTCCAGCCATCTTAAACACATCCAAAAACAACTTTTATTTATTTTTTTTATACTGACATGGGCAAAATGGCGTCGGTTATTGTTGTAAATTTTGGTATTGGTACATTTTTGGTTTATCGCCCAGCCCTATATAGTCAATTTTTTGACCTCTGAACGTACATGTTTCACTTAATCTTGGAGCTGAAAATCTGCATTATGCGAGTTTAAAAATGTAAATAATGTTCTCAGAATAGACATAAAGTACCAGAATGTACACCCCTGTATTCTTGTCGTGCTTTAGACTTTTTCCTAAAAAGTACTTCAAATACTTTTGTATATTTAAAAGCTAGTATTCCTGTACTTTAACTTAATTTTGACCAAGAAATTCCTACTTGGATTGGAGTGATACAGGTGCATGTCGAGAAATTCGAAGTTTGGGAAAAAAGTTTCTTTTTTTTCCCTGATATGAATTTAAATATCCTATATTTTAATGCATTTTAAGTGGAATTTTAAATCTGTTCTGTTTAACTTATGATGGTTTTGGTTTATAACTTTAAAAAGTCAGAAATAAATCATCTTCATTTATTTGAATATTTTCAAAGATCAATTAAAAAAAGTATTTGAATTAGAAAAACCATTTAAAGCAAAAGTCTGCATCAATCTGCTGCGACATAAAAGCTATCAGTCTGTAGCACAATAATATTATGGTCTACAAACCATTAGGAGTTTTAGCGCTGTGGGCAGGTGCTAAATCCAGCTTGGAAAAGATTGTACTGAACTGATTGAACCAGACTACAATAAGAGTTTAGACAGTATATATTTATTTTAATGTGAGTGTTATGACTCAACAATATTTAAATGTTTACTTTCTTCAATAACTGATCTTTTTTAAATTTTCTATGTTATTCTAATTTGTTGAGATGCACCAAGAGGATCCTCATCACTCACCACAGTTTAAACATCTTTACCAGTGTCATCATCAGAAAAAATATTATTTCTATTGTGTCATTAGCTTAAATTTTCCACCTATTGTCTATTTTTAAATTAATTATTTGCATTAAATCATTACACTCGTATTGATCTCACTGTTTTTTAAACGCATGTCAGGCAGGAGTGCTCGGCTGTCTGTATTTAAAAGGAGAGTCAAACCAGGATATCAGTCTAACCCCAAACTGTGCGTGTTTGTAGATGTTAGTGAACAAACAGAACACAAGTCCTTCATCACAGTAGCTACAGCGGTCTGTCAGTGCTCATCAAATAGTTAGATCTGCATTCATATGTGAGCATATGTGAGTGTTTGTCTCACCAGACCAGCTGGTGATGCTCGGCTGAACTCAGCAAGGACTCTGGCCTCTCCGTAGGCGTTCAGCAGCACCCACATGACGGGGAAGAGCAGGGGCAAGATGGGCAGAACACCCATCAGCTGAAAGGACAGATTTACAAAATGACTTGCTTGTAACTGATTGTATTTATGTACATTATTCTCATTCAGAAAAGTCACCATACATTTATTTTAGTGCTGAATGACTGTACCTGAAGTTGTAAGAAATTAAAACAGGCGGGCGTGAGGCTGGGAGCGTCACAGAAATAGCGAACAGTGTTCACCAGCAGGAACGCCACCTGAAGAGAGACGTTATAAAGATACCAGTCAGACACAGAAAGCAGCAGTGACATCTCTTTGTAACTGGTTTGACTGCTCACCAGCACAATGGGGCAGACGAGTTTGGTGATAACTGACTGCACTGTAAACCTCTCATTATCCAGCACTGTGATTGGTCGAGACAACGCCAACTCCAGACCGTTTCTGTTGAGAAAAATAAGACAAAGCATGATCCCTTAACTCAATTAAAGGATCCTCTATTCCTCTTACAGAGCCGTCAAAGTGAGGTGTTGCTGTTGAATGCCTTCAAGCTCCTTAGAGGAGGTTTTTATCTGGCTATTAAAACAGACTAATATCAACAATCAGGCCCCTTTATATCAGGACCTACAAAAGCAAACAAGACCATCAGTTACAAGCCCACCTGACTGTGTCCAGTACCGGGGTCCGGACCACTCTGAAGAGTCGGTGTTGCTGGGGGCTCTGGGGTCCCCTCTTGTCATTGGCTCGAGGGGAAGGAGGAGGTGAGAAAGGGGGGAATAAATCTCCTGGCTCCAGCACAATGTGTTCATCGTCCTGAAGAGAGAAGAGGAAGATCAAGCTTGTCACAAAGACTTCAACTGTGAATCAGTTTGGGCTGCTGAGTTTTAATTTTCCATACATAGGAATGGGAATCGAGAATCTGTTCTTGTTGAGAGCCGGTTTCAAATGGTTCAACCCATCGACACGTTTACATTTCATTTTACTGATTCCGTTAACGATTCCTGTTTTCTGGCTGCTTAAGAAAACGGTTTTGTTTTTACTAAGAAAGACGACAAGTTTTGTATGGAATTTTTGAGTTTGTGTAGCGTGGACTAACTGAGTTAGAAGCACGTAAAAAACACTCGACCTGACCAGAATAACCCTCAAAATTTTACACGCGACTCCACCCCGCCTAGCCGTGTCCTCTTGGGGATCCAGAATATGGTCACCCTAATCTGACTTAATACCGACCAAGTAAATGCTGTACAAGTAGTTTGTCATAGTTTGGCATACATCTTTTTCTGTTATGAGACTCAATCAAATTTTGAGTTAACATTGAAAACCTGTAGTCTACTTTTTTTTTTTTCATCAAAGAAAGGCATTGATAAGGGAATCGTTAAAGAATTGATAAGCAGAATCTATTATGGCATCGATATCGATAAAATCGTATCAATTCCCATCCCTAACCGTACAAACCTCAGGGGCTGTTGTGCATGAGTTAAAACATCAAAAATGTGTTCAGAGGAAATCACTTCATAGTTACACAGATAAAAAGCAGGGCAGTGTGTCCTTTAGCGGGTGTTTCCAAACTCTAGCCAGCAACCCCCAAAATTAGTGAGCCAGAAACATGCAACTCCCACTGTCCCTCAGGGTGGCTCAATAGACCAGAGTGCAGTATTCAGACAACAATATTGATTTCAAGCAATTTAAAATCATTAGAATATAAATAATTTTATTTAAGCTTAGCAATGGTACGACGATTAAATACGCAGCTGCACAGGTGAGTCTGTTTCTGCTTGAAGCCTTAGATAATTATTCATCCATCCTTTTTGACCAGCAGATAATTTGCACACTTGTGGATGCCTCTGTGTTTCATCTACCTTTAAATAATTTTTAAACCATTTCATTTTTTCTTATTAACATTGTACTCAGTGTTCCAGGTCTTCTGTAGTTGTAGTTGTCAGTAAATGTGGGAAAAAAATATTAAGCAGAGCATGGAGAGAGCCGAGTCAGCTGCAGGACAGCTGTGTGTGCAATCAGGAAAGACTGATGATAATTGTACAGCAGCTGATTCTCAAAACATACAATTATGAGTAAATGTCGCTCTTCTAGCAACGTTGTATGTGTTTACTAAAATTCGTTTGAACCGTGGAGCCTCTGGACAAGCAGCTGTGAAAAGCGGCTGAGATCAGAACAGGAAAAACGGTCCAGACAGTGTCCACTACATTGACCGATCGTCCCTTTATTGACGTTATTGTGGTAACTGTGTTTGATAGGAAATCATATGTAAATTTATTATGAGTAAAACACTGTTGCAGGGAGGTGGTTAGACTGAAGAGACTCTTCATTCACACCTCTGCGTGACCTGAGGGGATTTGTCTAATCTGCATCCCTGAGTGTCAGCAAGGCCAAAAAAAGAGAGCTTCATGTTTGCTGAAACTGAACTGTGTTTGCTCTGCTGTGTGAAAATCTTAAAATAGAAGCATACTGTTTGTGTGCACTTTCAGCACAAGTTGGCTCCGACAATCTGGTGAACATTTACCTTTATTTTCATCCATATCAGTGTAAGTTCAGGCTTTTGCCCACACAATGAAGCCTGTCTGTTGCATAACAAGCAAACGTCAAGGCAGCTATAAAACAAAGACCACCTAGAGCTGCAGACTTCATTCTACCACTGCTTCAAAGACAAAGACAGCAGTCAAACACAAGGGGCTCAGATTTGAACTTAACCTTAACTAAGTTCGTTTATTTCACTCACGAACAAAAGACACAACAGATATTTAGTCTAAATTCACCTCCTTAAGTCTTCCCCTCTGTTGGTGCGAGTTTTTATTTCACACACTGGTCCATCTGGCTGTGTGAACACCTGCTTTTACAAACTTTACCCCTTTGCAGCAGTAATGTAATTAACATGAGTGCTTTAATTTAACAAAAATAAAGTATTAATCGGTTACACTCTGGGTTCTTATGGTTTTTACTCATTGGTTTGTCCGGCTTTAACTTTTATTTAGCAGGAAAACTTTGTTTTTCCTTCATGTCAGTAGAATTAGGAGTAGCAGCTTTCAGCTCTGTCAGAGTGGTGTTTGTGTGTAGATTCATGCCTGTAGAAAAACAAGTGCAGGCATTTGGTTTCTTGATTTCAATTTCAAAAGATATTCCGGTGTAAAATTAAGTTAGGGTCAAAAACAACATAACACCGAGTTAGACAACCCCTCGAGAGATGAATGTTGCCGACTGCTTACTTCTCTAGTTATACCAACTTCAGCAACGACCGCACGATAGCAATACACAGCGGTCTACATCTCCACGCGCAAACCTCAACCAAAAACGCCACTCTATAGCCAAATAATGCTCAGAACAGCACCTAACTTCATCAACAGTACATATAGGCTCCCAGACATAGTACTAGCCATCAAACACTTTTCTTTAGCAAAGAGACTACACACAACTCACCCACTCTCCTCCAGCCGCTGCTTGTTTGTGGGGGAGCTCCGAGGAGTCAATCACCGAGTGCAGCAGAGTTTCGCAGCTCAAGGAAGAACATTTATGATCATTACTTCATGGAAATGCAATCAGAGTTCTTGTGTATCTTGTATGTGCACTGCAGACGCGGTATTTCTTCTGCCGTGGCGTCTCGGTCTGATTGCATTTCCATGAAGTAATGATCATAAATGATCCGCTGCACTCGGGGATCGACTCGTCAGGGCTCCCCCACAAACAAGATGTTTGATAGCTAGTACTATTGCTGGGACCCCACATGTACTGTTGATGAAGTTAGGTGCTGTTCTAAACATTATTTGTGGCTATTGAGTGGCGTTTTTGGTTGGGGTTTGTATGTGGCCCCATAGACTACTTTGTATTCCTTTTTGCGTTCATTACTAGCAGTCAGGAACATTCATCTCTCGAGGGGGTGTCTAACTCGGTGTTACAGTGTGTTGCTTAAATTTACACCGGAATATCCCTTTAAGAAGAGTATTTGAAGTAAATAACTTGTATCACTTTGGATCTGTTGAGTGCTTTTTTATGGTTCCAGGGTTTATAAGACTGTCCCAGTATCAGGGTTTAACAGTGACCCTGGCTTGTGCCCACGCAGAGTTCCTCTGCAGTCACCAAATATTACCAGCCTGTGACTTCTTACTGTCGCTCAGCTTCACCCCCCACACTGTGGGCCTTTCTCTAAGCATGATTAGGTTAACTTTCTTACTGTGATGCTCAGGGACAATTGTTTAAAGCTAATATGTTACATTAAAACTATTGGATTGAATTAAATCCCAAAAAAGACTCCAAAGTAGAAAGGAAATTAAAAATCAGGAGCTTAGGAAATCCAATCTTGATTTATGACCTGATAAAACCTCCAATTTGTGTTTTAACGCTCTTAAACAGATTAGGGTAACGTTGATGAGCAAAACAGGATTATCCTGATCCCAGAAGAAGGATGGATTCACACTGGATTACATTGAAGGAGCTTTTAAAGCACCTATCAGGATCTTTAATGTGGATAAATTTTGATAACCCCTGTGGACAAATTACGTGGCATGTAGTCGTATTTAGAGCTCCTGTAATCTGGATTTAGGCATCTTTAAAAGTCTATGTCTGGAGAGGGTTTTTTAATGTTTGTCTTAGAAAAACCATGACAAAAGGAAAGTGGATTACCTGATCCTGGAAAGAAACATAATAGGCTGCCAAACCTTTATTGGCTGCATTATCTCCATTAGGCATTTTGCCTTGTTGGGTCCTGGTTTCAAACAATTTGGCAAAAGAGTTTGAACAGGTGCAGCAGACACTTTTGCAGAAACATAAATGACTGAAACTGAAAGATCCTCACAGGAACTTTAAATAAAAATCGCCTGAAATTCATATTGATGCTTTTTCATGATATCAAAGAAGCAAACAAGACCATCAGGGACAAGACTGACTATTTGCATAGTCAGCTGAGCAGCTGAAGAAACAGCTCTGTTTTTACAGTTTCCACATAAGAAATTCACAAGGAATGAAAAATGTGACTGTCAAAAGATAGTAGGATGAAACATTTTGTAAACAGGCTCCACTTCAGCATTTAGAGGACAAGATTAGCAAGGAAGGCACCAAAATGAACACAAACTGAAAGATCCTCACAGGAACTTTAAATAAAAATTGTGACTGTAAGTTTTTACTCCTTTACTTAGCTGTTGCGGTGAGCTGAGTAAAGTTGCAATAAAACGACCTTGAGGATTATTTTCCTTTTTAATTTAAATGAATCAATGTTGAATTGACTGTTTTCAACAAAATGTGAATGCTGTCGACGATGAACTTCAACATTCAAGCAATTCTGATGTACTTTCAAAGAACTGAGCTGCATCGGTTTTCTTGACACATTGCTAAGAATCCAAATGAATTCAGCACATTTTCCTCCAGTGACACATTTTGTGTCTTTGCCGAAATCATGCGTACATCCTGTAGACTGACCTTGATGCCCCTGAGGGAAGCAAACGCTTCCTGTCCGGGTCTCAGAGCGATGATGTCTCCCTCCACCAGCAGACTAACAGGCAGGTTAATCAGCTGAGAGTCCCTGTAGGTCCAGTGAAGAGACCAGGCCGGGGACGTAGGTGTGTACAGATCCGGGTACTGAGATGGAGACCACCGTGCTTCCCCCACACACCCTGTTAGATAGTCTGGAGCAACATGAAGCAAGGGATTATGGGAGCAGTTGAGAGAGATCAAAAAGAGAAACTGTAGAGAGAGAGAGAATCTTATCTGCAGCTTATTTTTTGCTGAGTCATGTTAATGCTGGCACTGGCTTATGCTGTGTTCCAGTTACCTCAGAAGTTGGATGTCGGAGCTGGGAATAATGTTACACCTGAGTTGACAGCATTCCAGAAAACAAGTTGGAAAACCAAGATGGATGCCTACTGTCAGCTGCCGTTAGCCGTTGTTAGCTGTTCTAGCTATAAACAGTATTTTACTATTACAAACACCATAGCACTGTGTTTACAGTTAGACAGTGGCGAGTAGAACATATACCACTAATTTAATTTCACAAAAAGTGCTAATAAATAATACATTACGAGAGCTTTCACTGTTACTCTTTACTGTTGATGCACTGCGCTGCCATCTTGGATTATGACGTTATCGTCAAGTCGGTGTTGGTGAGGATCGTCTGACTTTATGTGTCGGAAATCCCGACTTCTGAGTACAACTAGAACGCAGTATTAGTCTCTAACATGCTTAATAATAGTCTGCCTTATGACAAGAGTTTCTGTGATTGACGGTTAGCTTCACATACTCTGTGTTTCCCTGTGTGAGTGCGCAGACTTGCTTTGACTTCCAGTGTGATTTCTCAGTTATGTAATTTGTTTTTGCTCTAAATACAGTTTTAATCACGGACAAATTATCACAGCTCCTCATCCTTGTTCACACATGGTGCTGAATTTGACAGAAAAACACACCAGAGAAGCTCCACTGTAAATTCTGTTACAATGATTGCATGAAGAGGATCCTACCTGGTAAATAATAACCGGAAAAAATAAATGACATGATTCCTATATATAGCAATGTTTCCATTGGTGAGTCAACAGGCCTGACTCACCACTGAGCTGTGTGATGATTGCCTTGAGGCGGTGGACCATCTCACTCCTCTTCAGCCTCTCCTGACGTCCGACCAGCAGCAGATTCAGCAGGAAGAGGAGCAGGAGGGCGATGGCGTTCACCAGCTCGATGCCAGAACTGTGGAGGTGAAGCACATGAATTAAAGAGAAAAACCTGAATCACAGTCAGAGACAAGATAATTCCCTCTTAGGTCCTGTGTGGTGTGATTGAAAAAGAAGTTAAAAGATGCAATATTGATGAAAACCATCAGCTCTTCAATGATAGCAAACTTTATATCAGTCTGTATTCAAGAGCTTATTTTAATCAAAAAAGGATGGAGAGAAAAAAGATCAATCCAAATAAGTGCTGGCTAAAAAGAACATGGACAGCTGGTGTTTGTGTAGCTGATGGTGGAATCGCAATTTCTCACTTCTGTTCTTCAAGTAGAAAAGCACTTGACAGGATGAAAGAGACACACAGAGACAGTGCAACACTTTTCTGTCTACTGGACTTTAGATCTTACGGTGAAGGGAGGGTGTGGTCATTTGACATGAGGTTGCAGGACCTACTAGTCGATAGTTTTTATTCTCAAACAGTGAGTAACTGTTTTCAAGTGTGCACTGTGGAAAATGTTTATACAATTTCAGGAGGTCTCACCTTGAAATTTCTACTGTGCTTCCCTGACTGTACATCCTCACAGCGTGAAGTCTCCCCCGATGGACAGTCAGGGTGGGAATCACCAATGACGCCGCGATATGATAACATTTTGCAATACAATATATTGCGATCTATAAAATGTTTTTCAACTGTTAAGCTAATTTAGCATTTGTCTTTTCTTTATGTTTGTCTTATTTTCGCTGTATTTTATTTTCATGTAGCGCATCTTGCAAACCTTATATATATTTGTTGTACTAACTTTCTCCTGCTCTATGATGTCACCTCTGCCAACCTCACTGGACAAATAGTTGACATTATTTTTCCATTATCATAGATTTGACTTCATATTAGTAATTCACTATATTACCAGATATATATATCACCAGACAAAATATTGATACTATGCTGTATCATTTTTTGCTCCCACCCCTGTTGGACAGGGGGCATTGGAGGGCTTCAGGGTTTCAATCCTATTGTCTTTATTTTGTTTCTCCTTTAATAATGAAATAAAACATTTATGAACTGGCACAAAGAGACAGATAAATACACTTTCCTTATAGCAGTTTTTCACCTTTCCATCAACGTAACAAGTAACTGAATGCATCTTAATGACGAATTGTGCTTTTACTACTCTGACAATGCAAACGGAGGGATAATTGGTGTGGTATAGTTTGATTCTGTACTGGACACATTATTTAAAAGGGAAGACTAAAACATATCTCTCCTAAAATCCCCATTTGTGATCTTAAAACTATACTGAATAGCACTTACCAACTACCTGTTACACATTCAGCATTTTTTGACAAAGTCGCAAAACTAGCTTCAACACCGGCCAAATGATTCAGATCAAAATCCCCCACCTGAGCTCACCCAGACTTTGCCCTAAAATGATACTGGGGGCTAGCAGGAAATGTTCCAGGTAAAATTGGTTTGAAACACTCGTTCCCATGTACAGCTCATCCTGGTGATTTCAAGTAACTTTCAGGAACTTTGAGCATTTCTGAAAGAAGCTTCAGTTATATTTGTGCAAAATAGAAGGAAAAAATAACACTAAAGCCAAGAAAAACAAGGATTATAGAGTATATAGAGTAGAGTGACAGATGGTGCATCAATGTTACCAGGGTAACTGACAGTCACCAGCCTGAATTGCGGTCTGCCAAGGGAAATAGGAGAGCCCTCTGCTGCTGCCAATTCATTCACCTCAATCATTAATTACAAAATTAAGTGACAGTTTTATAACTGTGTTGCTGTATTTTCATTTTTAATTAGGAAGCCTCAGCAACCTGATACCTATAGCTGTCTTCATAGTATCTTAAATTCACAAATGTCCTTGTGCTTTTGCTCTTTAACACATCTGACACATCATTGACTTACAAACGCCTCTTACTTCACTTGGGAGTGAATAAACAAAGATAGTTAAGATGGTTCAGTGGTGTCCTTTAAAGATCAGCAGGTTCGGTCTGAACTGAATCCAAAGTGACGTCCTTTTCTATAATTTAAGCGTTGTGGTCGTATCTGGAAGAATCACATCAGGTTTTTTTGTGTGTTCACTTCCCTGTGTTGCTGCTATTTCAGTAAAATAAATATTTTGTTCAACATTTTTGGACTGAATCCCATATAGTGAAACAAAAACATGTCCGCTAACTCTCCTTGAAAAGGGAAGATTTTAGTTAAATGAGGCTGCACATAATAATTGTGAGATAATGTAGTTACAGGTGGAACTGTTAATGTCTTCTCAACCTACAGAGTGTCAGGACTCTTAAATACCAAGTTACATAATTTTTGTTTCATCCTTGTTTCTGCCATTTCTTTGTCATGAATTGAAGGAGATGATTATCCAGCCCACCCCCCAAATGTTTCTGTTACTTTTAAAGCATAAATAAATAAAACTTTAAGTCAGTGGTTCTCAAGTCCAGTCCTCGAGGTCCACTGTCCTGCATGTTTTGGATGTTTCCCTGCTCCAACACACCTGATTCAAATGATGAGCTCGTTATTAAGCCATTACAGAGCTTGATAACGAGCTGATCATTTGAATCAGGTGTGTTGGAGCAGGGAAACATCCAAAACATGCAGGATGGGGGGGCTCGAGGACTGGACTTGAGAACCACTGCTTTAAGTTAACAAAAGCACCATCATAAAGTTGTGGGTCATGATAAATGGCCTTATGACTTTAGATAGTTCACTAAAATAACACTGTTCATCAAATTAGACACACGTGATAAGGGTGGGCTTTTTCCTTCTTGTTTTAATTGTTTCCAGGAAACATGATTTCATATAGTGTGTCTTAGTCTTAATTTATACACCACCTCAAGTGCTCGTGCACTGCACGCCTGACTTCATTCATCTCCATAAGGGGTTCAGCGTTCAGGCTTTAGCGTGGAGATTGGGATTGAGCCAATAATGCATCAGCATGACAAATCACATCTCACTGCAGCTCTCAGAGAAAATGAACGGCTTCTAAAAGATTGAAAACTTTCCTCATGCAAAGCATCAAAACATTTGTTTTTTTGGAATAAACATATATTAACATGTTGCAACAACAGTATTATGGATACTCTGGATCAAAATCTTTCACATACCTGCCCTTTGGCTGGCTGCCATGGCAACAGAAGAGTCCCAGCACCACCAGCAGAGTGAGGGCAGCTCCTGGCCAATGGAGACAGGAGTGCCGGTTGCCATGGTAAAGAAAGCTATTTACCCACTGTTCCTATGAAAACATGAGAAAACAAGGAGGCATAATCAAAACAATATGCAGCGAGTTATGTAAGAGCCCCAACATGTGACCAGTTTATTTAAAGAGCGATCAATGAGCTGTGCTGCTATTAGTGGATGGGATCAAGGCTGTGCGGAACATCCAGCTTTTCTGTGTGGGTCGTGTTTTCATATATTATGAAGATCAAACATCCTCAGGAGGATCATATAATCAAAACACTCTTGTTTTGCTGGTAATTGAGGTCTTCAGGTCTAATTCATAAGAAGTTTTCACTAGATATAGTGTATAAATTCAGCTGCTTTCTTACTGATCAGACACAGCGCCGTCATATTTTAGATCTCAGTTAAATTTAATTTGATCACTTCCCAGATTCAATCAGTGATCATCTAAAAATTAGCGAAGAAAATAAAGTTAGACTTTTGTTAGTGGCAGCTTGCCTTGTAGCTCCCTGAATTCCTGCAAATAACTAAAACTTTAAAAAATGTTTTTTCAAGGGAAAAGGCTCTATTCAGCATTTTAACTGGTTTTGCTTTAACCTTTTCCTTTGAAAACGAGAATACAGCTATAAAAAACTATGACAGACAATCTAAGTGCACGTAAATAAACTATTTTCTCATTTGACTCTCTGTTTTTCTAAAGACTTCAGTCATCATCAGGATACGCCTCCAGCTGGCAGCCATAGATGGACGCCTTGACAGCTTCTAAAAAGTGAGGCCAAACTATTTGGAGCAGCCCCTGCTGACAGTAAAATTCAATTAGTCCGCCTCCTCTATGTTAACAGATGGGACATGGGTCAAACCATAAAAAGGTGCACGTCAAATTTTCTTCTGACATTTTTGTCGCTTTAGCAAGTGCTTTTCTTAAGGATTTATGTCCAATATTTATTATTTCTGAGACTTTTGGTTTTGACTGGTCAATTGATGATACAAAATGGGGTATAAGACCATGATAGGCGGCTCTGCGGTGCTTTGTGCAGCAGATTGGCTGTATAAAGTTGTACCTGTGCAGAGGCTCGTCTCCGTGCGGTCCTCTGGTGCTGCTCCAGCAGGCCACTGAGCTGGTCCCGCAGCTTGGCCAGAGCCTGGCCAGTCGACAGGCCCAAAGCCACAGCATCCTCCTGAAACAACAGAAACAATAATCATCAGTAATCATTCTCCTGGTGAAATAGATATATAGTATACATACATACGTTAATGTATATATGCTTGGATATGTGCTTTGTTACAGTGAAAGCACAATAGTCTTGCACTTTTGGGTATTTCTTCTCATTTTAGTGCACACTGTGTGATGACATCAAATGCTGTCTATTCTGAACTATTCTATTTTGACCCCCTTAGATTAAGTGTTCATTTTTTTCCATTAGCTAACAACAGCCATATCATCTCTCTAAGTGAGAACAGATTATCTCCATTTGGATGGTTTGGATTCAGACGCTCTCTAAAATGACACTACCTCCTCTGTGGGACAGAACATTTCCTGGATGATGAACTTTTATCCAGGATAAAATCCTTTTTTATCTCTCCCTAAGTTGACAATGTTATACATGCTTTCATCACCACAGGTCTTGATTATTGTAATGCACTGTACTAAGGTGTTAGTCAAGCATCTCTATCTCCTCTGCAGCTCATTAAAAACACTGCTGCAGAGACAAGGTCCATTTTCAGACTGGTTTATCTCAGACCTTTTAAAACCTCATTGTTCATCAGGGACACTCAGATCTACAGAGCTGTTCATTGTGGTTGTCTTATGGTCTAGACTGAAGCTCAGAGGAGACCCAGCCCTTTTTATGCTTCTCAAAGCTCTAGAAAGCTTTGCCTCCACATGTTTGTCTGTCCTCCTCACTGCCTGTCTTTAAATCAAACCTCAAAACACACTTTTCTCCTTGGCTTTTGGCTCAGCATGAAAGTTATTTGTTATTCCTATTGGTCTAAACACTTGCTGTTATTTTATTGTCTTGTTGTTTTGATTGGTTTTATTTTCTGAATGTTTTCTTTTAACGACCTGGGTGTTTGGCACTTTGGTAATCTCGTGCTGTTTTAAATTATGCTTTATAAATGCATTTCAATTAAATTGAGGAACTTATTGCTAGAAAGCTACCAGTCTCACATAGTGAGTGGATTTTACTTTCAGTTGATATTCGGGCTGAAATGATTCCTCGAGTACCTCAAGTACCTCTATTACAAAAATGAATGAGGAATTTTCTCTGCCTCAAATACTCGTTTATAAGCTCAAATCGTCACTGTTTTGCACAGATTATTTTCAAGGTAACACAACATGCTTAGGTCACCAGGGTAGGAGTAAGTGGCTGGTTTTGGTTTTGTGGAGCGGGAAAAATGAATGATGAGAGGGGCTTTTCTCCTGCAGAGCTCCAGTAGGCCATTAGCAATTTGCACACGCTTGTTCCGCGATAATTGTGCTTTAACTAAAAAAAAAAAAAACATATTTTATCCGATGAATCAATAGAATACTCGATTACTAAAATATTTGAAAGCTGCAGATCCTTTATTTTTGGAGCTGATATTTTAAACAAAAGAATATTATACAGTGTACTGCAGCGGTTTGTACACCACTGGCTTCTGTCTGTCAGGAGTTGACTCCACAGTTGTTATTTGCATTGATTACCTCTAGCAATGTGTCAAGTCAGTGTCATAAACTAAACTTTGACATCTTGGGCTTTAAATTAAACTGTATGCCAAACAACTCCAACAACACCAGAACCTGCCTACTCCTGACAAAAAACAGAGTAGTCTGGTAGCTTTGAAGAGTGATGTAAGAGCCGTTTCTAATTAAAATTAAAGGACTTTAATCTCCAACACAACAGACCGTCCTTTGTGTAACGTTGCCATCAACTTAGAATATCAGCCAGAGCCAGTCGGCAGCAAAAACAGGAGTTTGTAGCATTTGGTCTCACTTTGATCAGTCACGTTAGCATTAAACGATTGCATAACGTTGAAGCAACAGCCCATTTGGCAACTGCCAGCAGGCAATCGACTGAAACAACTCCAGAACTTCTCACATGCATGAGTAGTGAAGAGCGTTAAATTTGCTGAAACAGAGCCAGCTTTAAACTCCAGGACTAGCCTCTGAATGAGATGGCTGCATTCAATGAAAGTTAATGATAAAGGAAGGGATAATACAGCCATATCTAACATTGATGGGAAAGTAACCTTTCCCACTCCTCATGTCACTTTTCGGATGTGTGCGTCTGCAAAGGCCCAGTCATGCACAAATATGAAAACTCACACACATTCACACACACACACACACACACACAAGGGTTCAGCTTTCAAGCTCTGCATCCCACACAGCTGATCTATAAATATCTTTCCGCTTTCCCAGAGAAACAAAGTCTCAACAAAAATCCTCCAGAGACTGAATGCATGCTGCGATACAAGGAGCCTATACAGCCTGAGGAGAGCAGGCTAGACCTATAACCTGCAGGATTAACCTCAGACGACCTCCGGGAACCCAAGAGCTTTACACCAACATGCAAAGTCCACTGCAGACGAAAAAGGATATGTCTTAATGAGAGTATGTCTGACTGTACATCTTTCAACGTTTTTAATCAGACTGATAAAAGAAAGCAAGAGACAACTTACGTAGCTCTTCTTCCTGAAGCAGATCCCTTCTCTCATCTTCAGCACCATGATGACCCCGCTTCTCTTAAATCTTTATCACCTCTGCTGGTGAGGGCAGCGTCCACCGACAGCCGCGCTAAACGTCCTGACTACTACATTTTAGAAAGCAGCTCCAAGACGTGGATGAATTCCTGACTGAAGAGAGAGCCTGCTCATGCTTTCAGTCGGTGGAGAGCTTGAGATGCTGCAAAACCTCACCCAAAAATCTCCCTCGTCACTGGGCTGCAGACAGCACAGCCCAGCGTCAGTGCACACGCTGCCAGCTGAACTTTAATTCAAATACTCAAAGTCTGGCTGCCTCTCTGGCACAGCTCGAGCCTCATTCAGTTCAACACGGCTCAGCAGCTGGCTCAGACACTAAGCAACAAAAAACCCAGAATACCGAGAGAAAGGAGGGGCAGGCACGGTGGAGCAGTAAAAAAAGAGCTCTTTTGATGGGAGGAACAATGCCAACCTGGCCTGAATAAACCTGGATGAGCTATTTTGTGCTCCTGTGAGCTTGGCATGTTTCGCGAAAAAGGGAGGGATGCATAGAGGGAAGATAGTGAGAGGAAAACGGTAGGAAAGCAGTCAGCAGGAGCAGATGATCAGGGTGGTATTAGGATGAAAATGTCAAGATATGAAAAGACACCAAGACTGAAACAAATATAAATATGGGTAAATATGATCTGCATTTGCATTGAACTCCAGTTTGATGATTGATGCCCTGTCTTCTTGGTGAATTAATAGATCCATCATTTAAACATTTATATTTTATAACAGCACAATAATCTGTCAGTCCTAGAGCAGGTTACATAGATAGAGAGTAATTTCAAAACCCTACAGCTATCGCCAGGCATCAATAAAGCGAAGCTTCTGTTAGTGACAGGGAAGTAGCCAGCAGATAGCAATGAATGATTTCTAGCAGAGGCTACCCATCCTGTGTGCTGCATTAACAGTCCAGTCAGCATCTTAACAAGCAACTGCATGTTCAGATGGAGCAACATTTGCCTCTTTAGAAAAACAGCACCATTTCTGAGTTCATTACATTCTTAAGAGGAGATTCCATCATCGGTTTCTGGTGAGTCTCAGTTTCACTGTAAACACAGAGGCGTTACTCTGGCTCACTTTAGCTGTATAGATCTGACAAGAGGAACTGATTTTCTAGTGTGTCACTTGTAATAAACAAGTGTTGGCTTTGCTGAATGGACGTCTTTTACCCTCTAGTGGCCTCCTCAATACCGACAATACCGGCGCAATTTTTATTCACGATTTTACGGTAATTCACGATAAAGACGGTCAAATATAACACGTCATAAGTTTGTAGCTGATCCCCCTGTACAGATGATGGTTTGTGTGCATATACAAATACAAATTACCTTCATAGTGTAGCTGTTTCTCTTTCCCCAAAAAGACCCCTCTGACCCCCCTAAAACCAACCTACACTGTAGGGATGTCCCAATATGATATTGATATCGGTCCAATATCAGAAAAAAAAAAATCGGATTATATCAGCTTGCGTCTTAAATCTCCGATATTTGCACTCCGATACAAGCAGTCCATTCCAGACTCCGCTCCAGCATCTCTAGCTAGCAGCGCCTGGATCCAGCATGCAGAGCCCACATGATCACAACAACAGTGTTTACTAAGGTACTAACAAAGTAGCAAGGAGTAGGAGTGATGTCGGCCGTGTGGCAGTATTTTTCGTTAAAGTCCGAAAAAGATGTTGTAGCCGAGTGCAAAACTTGTCATGCACAAATTTGTGCAAATATCCGATCAATATCGGTATCAGCCGATACTGAAGGCGACAATATCAGTATTGTATCGGAATTAAAAATGTTGTATCAGGACAGCCACTTGTAAAGATTAACAAACACATTATCTTTGACTTGCATTAATGATCTCTAGACCTAGCACATTGATATCAGATACATATCAAACCATCTTTTTCTACATAACTTACTCAGAATGTAACTAGACTGTGGCTCCTGTTGGTTGTATATATTTTCCAGTATGAGATTATAACGGTGTATCTACAGTGTTTCTCTCACACACAATAAACAGAGGCACAATCACAATAAAGCCCTCACCATGAATTCAGAGTAGTGCACTATTCATGATATAATAGACATTGTGTTATGTAACTCAAATACGTAGAAAGAAAAGGCCTCCTCTGTCTCAAAGGCTTGAGGGACATTCACGTCTCTTCAGTTCAGATGGGGAGCAGCTCCATGGGTCTGACTGTACAGATATGAGTTAATGATTGCATAAGAGGTAACAGCACATAGGTGGGAACACTGAGATAGAAAGGAAGAAAGCTTTCCTCGAAACCTGTTGAGCAACAGGTCAGCGGCAGCGGCGTTTCTACTCCTACAGTGCCGGGTTGTGAAATGCCTCTCCTCCACATCTATCTTTAACTGAAGAGAGTTGAACTTTCAACCCTTTAGAAGAACTGAAATGACTCAACATCTGAGGATGACTCGAGTTCATGTGAAAACCTGTAGATATGAGAATGTGAATGAAATCCATTCTTTGTTGGGCAATGTTCACCTGAGATTAAAGATGCAAAACTCAAAGACAAAGAACAGATTGTGTAAATTTCTGTTAATAATTATTATCCCATAAGTCATGGCTCTGCTGCTGACCCGGAGCTTCAACCCTAATCCCAAAGAATATAACCGTCCAGGGTTTGCAAAGTTTGCTGCCTTCAACTACACAATGGTTCTCCTTTTTATACGCACCATGTTGACTGTGGAAATGCCAGTGACTTCAAGGTCTTTCTTTTTCTACTTTGCGAAAGTTTATGAAGTGAAAATGCTTCATTGATCAGTTCTAACTTTTTATACGTCTTCTTTTTGAATACTGTCTGTTAATCATGGACGATGGCGGGGATGATGCCAAAGCTTCCAGGTGCTCTCTCGACAGCTTGTGATTTTTAAATATCCTCTTGTTTGTGATTCATGTCTTGGTGTTTTCTTCTGTGACGCCAAAGACAATTTTGCAAATTGCGTACAGATAATGTTTTTATAATAACACTTTGCGAACCACAAAAAATCTGAAGTAACTTTGGTAACAGCCCATGAGGCCAGATCATCATGGAAGAGAAAACTGTGAAAAAGTAAAACTACAGCGAGAACTATCCTTATTTCAACATCTACCACAGTTTGTTTCAAACTGAAAACTAATTTGGAAGGACTTGGATGATAATAAACTTTCTTTATACCCATGCAACCAATGACTACTTCTATGAATGGATGTATATTTTCCACAGACAGCAGACTTCTCAAATGTGTTTCAGAGCTAGCGTCTAATGTATAAACTAAGGCTTTGTACCGGCAAGAATCTGGTGGTGTAATTCATATTACATTCAGGGTAGGTGAAACAAAATCTTGTGATACTATAAGCAAAGTTATATATTGCAATATTCCATCGACTAAATTCATTTTAAACTTTCAGTTTTCATTAATATTGTAGTTTCCAAGTGACCTAGCTACACATCAGGAACACAGCACTGTGGCTGTAGACGGTATCTGTGCTGCGATGGGAGGTATTGAGGATTTAGTGACATGTCATGAGCAGTGTGTGCTGGCTTTATTTATAAGTTTGGTTAAATACAATGGACCTGGATTATGGGGAACCTTTCAATTAACATCTTCTCTGCCTATTAGGGCCGTCACTTTTTATTCAGATCAACTTTTATTTGAAATCTAGGTGAAAACATTGATTTGAACTGTAACAAGCTGTTTAAACTCATAATAACTCAGTGTACCAGCACATCAGGTTGTCTGAAGTAACCTGCCATATGACCCAGCAGAGGGCACTCTCAATGTAACCTGGCCAGTCCAAGATCATGATCTCAGTAAACTGATACAGTAATGTTATTTTACAGAAATGGAGGACATGGTCGAGCAAACCTGCACTGAGCAGAATATCAGGGCACCAAAACATCTGAGGAGGCCCCACTGCGGATTGTTCAACCCTGTTGGCTTACCTTTTAACTGCAGGCCCCTCACTAGAGGCCCAAAAAAAACAATCATGAATTACTTCTATTTTTTTATGTGCAGCCCTAAAGCATATGGTATCTTCTTGCTGCTATGCAAGCGTTTGGGGATATATAAGGACATAGACGAGGCACTCTTCAGTTCAGCCTGCGTGGGGGGGAGCACAATTCAAAGTATATTGGTTGCAGGATGTGACCTCACAAGTCTCTACATAACCATAGGGCAATCGGGATTGCAAACTTCTAGACAAAAACAGATGCCTCTAAAAAGAGCAACACAGCTTCAGAGAAACTGCAGGCGAAGAACTTTGTTGGACACAGTTGGAATTGTCTCATAAGAAACATTTGAAACCTTATGACCCACTAAGAGACAGAGACAGATGAGCACAAGTGCAGGAAGGCTTGAAAGTTGGACATATGTATATATACATGTTTTTGTATAAGTCCTGTGCTTCATATTATGCCTGACTTCACAATGAAACGTAAGAGTGGAGGGTAATGCAGCATAATTAAACTCTCCCCTCAGAGTGGTGTAATCTCAGGGGCCCAATCTGCTCAGCAAACAACTTTCCACTTTAGGGACCTTTGGGCAGAAAGTGCTGAACAGTACAACTCAACTCACCTGCTTCTTATCCTGCTGCTCCATGGCAACCACAGCCTCTCCACATGCTCTGCTTCTTAACCAGCCAACACCGCCTGGCAGAGCCCAGTCCCTGCTGCTCTGCAATGTCCAAACCTGGTCAGCACACACCTGAGGCCCTCCTCAGCTGGGTCCTTCTCAGCCCGCTGCCCCAGAAAACTCCAGAGGTCCAGACTCGGACGGAGGAAGATGGAGAGGGCAGGCGGGTGCAGCCTTGGTCCCCCGCCTGGCAACACCTCCGGCCACACCTCCTCTGCCAGTGTGACAGGAGGCACGCCCACACTTGCAGGGACCAGCAGAGAGAAGCAAGGATCTGTGGGTTTAAGGGCTGAAGGTGTGGATGGTTATCTGTGGATCAGGTGTGGCACAGTGACCGTCTTCTCAGCATGCATGTAGAGATCTGTGGAGAGATGACAGATCGCACATTTATCAATCCAACAGCAACTGGAACTTCTACGTTTAAGCATTCATAATAATCTAGGGCAGGTTTAATTAAGACAATGGCTGTTAAATAAGACAGAGAGTGACAAGGACACACACACTTCAGGATATGAGAATGTGCAATTATGTAACCACGCAGATAAGAATAACTTGAACATAAATGCGTGTCTGATTGTGTGGATGTGTGCTTGTGCGTGCAGCATGTTTTGTATGCTCACATGACTCTCCAGTATGCTGGCTGCAGACTAACCAACAAGCATACCAGCGAGCTGAAGCATGCCCAGCAAGCTGACCCTGAAACTGGCTTGATGAAAAATAACACACGTCTGCTTTATGGGAATACTTCAGACTCAGGCACAACAGCAAACAGAAAGGAGCTCCGTGCTCAGCTTTCAGAGTAAATGTTGCTACATCGTGTGGACATACGACCATTTGCACGAACACCTGAGAAGTGCCACTGCCTTTGTTAAATTCACACACTGAATGTCTCTATTTGCACTGTGTAGAAATGTCTTTATCTTTAACAGAGCTGTACAAACTTTTAGACACTCTCAAGGGGGTTGTGACATCTTAACTTGTAGACGTGCTTTTATTTCAGTGAGCAGAAACCTGAACACTTTAGTAGTACTTTAAAACATTTAGTAGTTTAAAGCTCCTGTGAGGGGTAGTAGATAATTTATATTCAAATTTTCAGGCTTAAATAAGGAAAATAAATGCCATTTCTATCTAAAATTTACACTGAGACACAAACCTGTTTGACACTATGACTATAAAGACAATCAGCGTTTTAATTTCCTGGCTTTCTGTAACGCATCAGAAATTCCTTGTTACAAAAATGCACCCTAATGTCATTATTGCAGCAAAATTAAGACTTGTTAAATGCAAATTAATCACAAGGTAACCGCTTTCTTTTAGTTAGGTTTCTATAGCTCCTGTAAGCTAGGGTAAAATCCCTCCATGACACACCATATACTGAAGACCTATCTGAGACGGATGAAGGAGAGCTACACCGGAGAATGAGATGGATCAAGAAGTGGAAGCCTTTTACTACTTTCAGTGTTCTCAGTGGTCTTTAAACTGTGATTATGAAGTTTTTTGCCAAAATCACATTACCTGTGGCGTTTTTAACGCGCTTTTATTCTGCAGAGTTCCAGCAGCTCATTATCAATTCGCCTCTGAGTCATGCTCTGCACACTTCTCCTCTACATGCTAGCTTGCAGCCTAACATTGCCGGTGTAGTAGAAAAAGACAGGTAACATAGGAGCTATTCAGCTCTCAGACACTAATGTCTTTCAGGACATGATGAAAGTTAATATCGTAATCAGCTTTCTTACAAGCATTTCAATCCACTAACACAGACGCTTGTTTCGTGCATAGCAGTGCTCCAGGGGCGGAGCTTGGATTTGTGACATAGGAAATCTCACTGTGTCTGAGCCTGCTGTTTGGGTCTGCCAGAGGTTAACAGATTTGAATGCAGAAATCCTCAAAAATGCAATTCAGCACTTATTTTTCTCATATGTCCTGTAGTATCAGCAAAATACCATATGAACATGTAGACAACAAGAAAAACATGATTTTTTTATCAGAGTGGGTCATTAATCACTAACTGTTGGCTCCATTAAAAATAATGAGAAGTTAGCATCCGCTCCCAGAGGCAGAACACCATCAGAAGATGATGGATGTGGATGGTTTCTTAGATGGCATCGAAAAGAGTCAAAACCAGCTTAGAAACTACTTTCGTTATTCTCCCTGTTGTCAAACCAGCTTATCCATCCCTGAGAAAGCATTTTACCTTGAATTAATCCTCCCAATACGGTCATAAGGTTTTACATAGCTTTTGTCTCTTTTTTATTTGGAGCACTTTTCTACTGTATTTGATTCATCGGGTTCTTCCAGCTGAAAATCTTTTAAGTCAGTGGTTCTGACTTACACACCTGATTCAAATAATCAGCTCGTTATCAAGCTCTGTAAAGGCTTAATAACGAGCTGATCATTTGAATCAGGTGTGTTGGAGCAGGGAAATATCCAAAACATGCAGGACAGTGGGCCTCGAGGACTGGACTTGAGAACCACTGTTTTGAGTCATTGTAGCCTGCCTTTTTTATGCTAGCCAAAGTCAAATTACATCATAGTTCAGGTTTTATCACTACATATCAGCCCAACCTGCTCAGTCAAAGTTGGCTTCAATACAGTCATGTTGCTGGGGGTTGGGTTTACAGCTCTATTGAAAAGCCGACCGTGGCCCTGAATCTACTGACACCAGGCTCAACACTCGCTCTGGCCACATAAGCAGCTTCCTTTGGCACAGAAAAACCACCGAACTCCAGAGTCAGCAGTCTCCATTCGCAAAGGGTTGACAGAGCTCAGCCGAACAGAGGGGGACGACAGCCAGACAGAGTGAAAGGTGAGAGGGGGCACTGCACTGACTGCACAGCAAGACTGTTCCAGTAAGATTAAACCCAGAGACGACCCTATTGAGGAGTCAGAAGGCGTGTGAGGACTGCGGGCAAAAGCAGAGCAGATAGAGGAAGATTAGATTCCCTCTCAAACAACGTAGTCTTTACAGCAGAAACTTGGACTCAGGATGAAATGCCAAAATATCCTCAAAGGGTTATTCATGCGCTTTCTTTTTAAACCCAGATTCATTTTCTTAAAACTGTGGGATCCAAATTTCTAAAAGGTATGAAACACTTTGAAACTCAGATGAAGCCAAACTCACTTTCAGCGATCTCTGGATTAAATGCTGCCCCATTAGTGGTGAAATAAACTGCTTGGTGTTTCTTTGGATCCAGGGGGAAATAAACGGTGCATTCCCACCAAACGGTCTGGTTTGGTTCGGTAGAGTTTAGTGCAGTTTGATCTGCACAAAACTCTACTTGTTTCTGTAAAGAGACTCCCCTGTTTTTATATGATGCTTTTATTCAGTTCAGGCCAGTCATTTGGTAAAAGAAGTGAGCTGCACAGCTCTTTTCCAAACCGTTATGGCACTTTATATGTATAAAAACGTACATTAAACAAAGCCATAACCCAGTATGATTCCGCCTTCCCCCTTTTCTGCTAAATAATTGTAACGCATAGAGTCTAGCCTCACTCTTTGGGGTCAGATAGATATGCTGGGCCCCCCACATAAAGGTGCCAAAGAAGTAGGATAGTACCGATTGTTTATTTAGGTACCCTCCCTAACTTTGGACACCGGATTTGCAAACGATCACAACGTATGCCAAACCATACTGAACCAGGTTCTTTGATGGACGCACAGCTGCTAAAAACACAGATAGTGTCAACCATGAATAAGAGCAGAACAACAAAGACAGCTTACCGTAGTTATTTATAGATAACTAGAATAACCAATGTGCAGTCAGTCCATTTATCACACTTCGTATTGTTGCATCATCAAACTATGTCATTAGACATTTTCCTACTATCCTGCAGGCCTAGTTGAAACCTATCAAATCACACACACCACTGACAAACAATAATTCAAACTAACTGTGATAGCAAGTAGGGCTGGGCGATAAACCAAAAAATTTACCAATACCAAAAATATAAAGAAATAAGAGTTGGTTTTGGATGTGTGTAGGTAGGGTATGGTCTAATGTCCCTTTAAGACACTGTCCTACATCAGAGACTAGTGGTGCAACGGATCATCATTGATCCGTGATCCGTTCGGATCGACGTCATCGGTTCGGCACACACGTGACCCACGGATTGATTTCTGAAAAAAAAAAAAAAAAGTTGTGCTCCGTCCGCACACAGCTTGTGGCTGGCGGAAAAAGGAGGAGGGCAGACATGGCGAGCGGAGGAAAGGAGGAGCTTGAACGCCTTGCGACACATAAATGTATCCCTGTAATCCCCTGTATGGGAGCATTTTGGCTTCCCTGTCAACTATGATGAAGAAGGAAAGAGGTCAGTGGACAAAACTGCGACGGCGTGTAAGCACTGTGGCATAAGAAAGCCATATGACTAGGCCTGTCACGATAACAAATTTTGCTGGACGATAACTGTGCTACAAATTATCGCCGATAAACGATATTATTGACACCGTTTTTTAAATTATAATGATATTATATGGCATAATAATGCGAGTACACCGTGTCAAAAGTGATAAACTTTATTTCCACTGTCTGTCAGCGCGCACCATTTTGCACTGTTTTGTTTATATTTGCTTTGCTTACCAAACTCTTCAGTAAGCGGTATCTGTCGGGACGATGGCTCCTCACCTCCGGCGGTACTTTTTTTGCTCGGTTGAGAAAAATGGAGGGGATGATTGTGCTTGAGGTGCACATGCATGTTCGTCGTATTCCCCTTCTTTGTCACCACAACTTTGGAACAAATACGACATATCGGCTCGTCTGTATTTGTGGGCTCACCTCTTTCATTTGGTTTAAAGCAGTGTTGTTTTCGTCATATTTCGTCAAATATTTTCGTCAATGCCAGCGTCAAAAAAGGGAAATATTGACTAAAATATTTCCCTTTTCTTCCACGAGGAAGACGTAACGTTAACGTTTGTTAAAAAGAAGATATTATGCCTTGTGCACTACTTTTATATATTTTAATTTAATCATTTAAGTGTTTAATAAACAGACATAACTTATGTCTATTTCTCTTTTTTTTTTTTTTTTGCTTTTTGCTGATTCGAAAAATGATCCAATCTGTGACTCTTGATCCGAGGAACGATCCGATCCGTGGGTTTTGTGATCCATTGCACCACTATCAGAGACATGACTCCACCCCATCCAGTCCGTAACAAAAAGGGAAAGCAAGTGAGGAAATGGAGGACGGTTCAAAAGTTGTAGCAGCTGGAGTAGACGAATTTAATGTGGAAGGGGTTGAGCAGCTTGTGGAGTAGTTATCGTCCATTTATCTTTATTGAGGTGAACTGCTCAATAAATCATGATCTTGATTTAAGGCCATATTGCCCAGCCCTAGTTTTTATATGTAAAAAAGAGGGAACACAATGACTGATCAAAAACAAAAGACACTTTCAACACAACTGTGAAATGTAATATCTTGTAATGATCAACCTAAGCCTGTAAGTGGCAAAAACAAAAGTTTCTAGTGGTCTAAAAACAATGCTGCTAAGCAGGTACTGTATATTGAATTCAACACCACACCTAGTTTTTTTTTCTCCTGCTCTGTCAAAATGACGTCAGGTAACAAGGCCTATAAAAGCCTCAAGAGTCAACTTCAGCAACACCCTCCTCTGCATTTCAGAAAATAACACACAACCTTAAGACTTTGTTTGTCTCTCAGAAATCCCCTTAATCCAACCTTGGCAGTAGTTTCCATTCAGGTTGCTTGCTATCCTCGATTTACCTCACACTTTACCTAAGAGGTTGTATCACTTTTGTGCATGAGGTGCCAAAGCGGGCGACACAAAACCACAGCATGTGCTACTATCCTTATTTAGAGCTGGCATCTACAGTGTGATTGAGACACGTTTCTGAACAGGTTACTCTACTACGAACAAGTTAAGTTTAGTCAGGTAATCCTTGTCAGGCGAGTTAAACGACTTTCACTGGATTTGTTTTCCCAATTCATGGACATTAAAATAACATGGGCGCTGCAGAAGTAAACTAGGTTATTAAAAGGCTACCTTAAGCTTCAAGTACCTGTTCTATTTAATATTAACTCTCAGAGATGTGATAGAGAATGTAAAAGTTTTGCATCAAGGTGATGCTTATTAGATTGAACAGTATAACCTGAACTGAAAGCCTTTTTGCAAACCTCTAAATTATGATTTAGAGCCTCATAATGGAGATTAAATGTTTTAGACCTGACATTCTGTGTTTTATGTTTGAAATTAAGCATGCAAATGATTTTATAAAACATACTAAAAATACAACATTTGTGGATAAGGTTATTGTTGGATTTATGTTTTATATTTTTAATATTTTACCGTGATACATAGAATCTTTTTTATCTCCAATTTTCCAATTTTCAGTGAAATATTTCTGTTCCTTTGTGGTTGGATTATGAACACAATTTTTCCTCTTAAATAATAAATCTAGAATAACTAGAGTAAATATTGTGAATGTAAATCATTACCTTTTAAGAAACTGGCGGATAATGTTAAACTATTTCCCTGTCAATTATTCTACAAAGAAGGTTTAAAGAAACAGTGAGCCAAATTAAGTCAAATCTCGCTCCTTTGCTCACTCCTGGTAAAGGGGAAGGGATGGTGGCCTTCAAGGACAAGAAGCTCCATGATGGCAAAAATTACCCACTATTTGTGAACCACGAAAAATCTCTAACAATTCAAATGCTTTTGCACAACAATAACGTCTCCTGTATTTCCTGCAGCTACTCACAAAATACAAAGATGTATATGGTACTAGTTTGTCCTTACTTCCACTTTGGAAATAATGTAGTGCAGGATGGTGACTCCAATGCAAGGGGACCACCTCCTGTGTAGATATAAAAGGCTTGAATTAAGTTAACAGAAGCTAAACAATTTTGGGATGCAGCTGGTTATAAACTAGGGCCCGACCAATTTATCGGCCAGCTGATGAAATCGGCCAATTTTAGCCAGTTTGAGACTAATCGGTAATCGGCCAAAAAGCGCAGATTTTCGCCAATATTTTCAGTCTCACTTTGAAAATGTTCCACCATTTGAAAAGTTCCCCGACTTATCCTGTAGATGGTGCAGCGACCTCATGACTATCTTCATCCACAAACTATCTCAAAGCACAGCAGAGTAACGGATCTGAAGCAGGCAGCTCAGGGACGCATGGAGGAGAGTGGTCCGCCTTAACGGTAAATAAACCAGTTTGTGAAATACACAATAAGTCAACAAGTTTCAGTTCAACCCACTTCACCATGTTCCCCGCTGTGCTGGTCACGCCGCATTAACGTTGAAGCACCATGTAATATGCAAGCTAAAGTTAGAGTTAGCCACCTGCTATTAGCCTTGGTACACTGTTAGCCGTGCCAGTAACGGTAGAATAAACAACAGTACACGTTACGTGATCGAGCTACTTCTGTTACTGAGATAGCTGCATGCCTCCAGATGAGACCGGACCGGAAATGTCTGGCCTAGAGTATATCTACAGTGTATATAAATATTTTTTTATAACTTCATAAAAAAATTAAAAAATCAGCCGATTAATCGGTAATCAGATTTTTTCTCCCCTAATAATCGGTATCGGCATCGGCCCCAAAAAACCATATCGGTCGGGCCCTATTATAAACTAGTTTAAACATACTTATGGATACTATTTTACATTTCTACCAAGTCTGTTCTAATAAATGTTGCATAATGCTTTTAACTTAAGATGCTTTTCCTTCTCAGGATTTCTGACATTCCCAAATCTTATACGAAAAAAAAGGTGTTATTTAAAATGGGATGAAATGTCAATAACGCATATTTGTTATACATAATGGATCTTTTTATAAGTATTATTGGTATGGGAGGTATGGGATGATGCAAAAACAAACAGTCCAGTCGGCATTACAGGAGTAAACCTGATACAAGTTTGATTCTTGACCCTTTAGCAGTGAGAGAGAGCTTTTTGAGACGGTGTGAAGCAAAACAACATTATAACAAGGTCTATGTTTTCATTAATAATAATGAAAATAAAAAAAGCATTTAGATTACTGCCAAACTGCCATAAATGACATGAAGATATCTGTTCTCATGGCAGGACCAACAAGTAAAGCGTGGAGGGTGGATAGTGATAGCTTGGGAAACCTGCTATAGCCTTTATTAAGCTGACAACACATCTTCAACGTTAATTTTTACAAAACAAGTGTAAAAATGTTGAAATATTTAGTGTAAAGGAGGTAAATATGAGTAGCTTTCATCGCTGCTGACATTAAACGTCCCTACCCTCCCTGGGTGTCAAAGCCAGATGCTAACAGAACCAACCCCTCGACCTAACAACACTTTAACGGTAACAATATTCACCGTAACACCACAACACATTAATGACTTTAATATTTAGTCAACTCACCTCTCCTTATATCCTGGTCGTTGTAAAATATATCCTTTCAAAATGATGTTTTTCTCCCGTGTGTTAATGTACTTCTGAGCGGACACTGTACCGCAGCAGCCATGTTGTTAGGGAGCGAGCACCTTGCCTAAGCGAAGGGTGTATTGTGATTGGACGATGATGGAGTACTCTGTCATCTGATTGGCTGAGACCAGAGTAGGCGGTTCTTTAATTTCTGAGATTGGCTCTGGTTCTATTTTGAAATAAGAAACCTGGATCTTTGCTGCAGAGGAGCTGCCAGTGTGAGACACTCAATGTCATCTGAATATGGTGTTATAATTGACAATGCGAGAACGACTCTTTATTAACAAAATACAGTAAATATGTAAGACATCAAACAGGCTCTCTTGCCACATTATGCAGGTGCAATATAAAGGTGCAACATTTCCATATGTTACTGGTACTTATGAGCCACATTATGGAGTTTCATTACAATTAAAGCTACTATAATGGGTTATTAGTAGATTACAAAACAAACTGAAAATAATACTGTTTTTTAAGCTTTTTCTTACCTTTGGTTTAGTGGTTAGTCAGTATATGTTTAGGAACCATCCTTTCTTCTCAGTAATCGATCCTGGAATGAAGAGAGAGGTGCTGTGTCTTTGCTTAAATTAAGTTTACAAGTTATTGGATGCTTTCCCGGAGATTTAATAAAAAGAAATGAAGACGATTTTTTACAGTGACACAGTAGACTACTCATTCGATACAACCCAGAATGGAAAACAAGTGTTATGTAGGGACACAGACTTTCATCAATACAAACAAAACTGAAATTTTAGAAAAGAAGGGGATCCTATACCAAAATAACGACTGAGAAGTTACTTATTTTATGAGAAGAAACAATAATCACAGGGCTAACCAAAAGAAATGCAAGTGAAGCTTTAATGCATGACTGTTTTTATGTATTAGAGTGCATTTAGTGTGTCATTCTGCCCAGGATTCGGGTTTTAATGCTGCATGATTCTGCAGGAATTCAAGACAAAGACGAGAAGTTAATGTACACTGAACATGCAGAAGTCAGTGTATAACCAGCTTCCTCACTCTGACAGAATGAGTTAAAATATACATGAGAGTAAAACAGGCAGAAGTAAATCATAACTTCAGAGTTAGAGTGTAGGGATGGGACTACTGATAGCTGATTTGGTCATTTTAACTACAGATTGAAAAACTTAAGATAAACAGGAATCCCAACTATGGCACATTGAAAACAACTCACCACTCAATCACACTCAAGGCTTATTATTCTCCAAACAAAACATACACATGCAAAGTAAAGTGATAAGGTGTTTGAATTGCATGCATTTCAACATGTCAGGCATAATGAAAAAACTTCTGGTTAACAAATGACTTACAAACATTTTTTAAAAAGTTGTTTGTCAGTCACAAACAGTCACTGCTCTGCTCTGACCTTCAGGCTGCGTCACCACAGACAGCTCTGTGTCAGGGGGATCTGAGGTCAGGTTGCCTCTGCGTATAAATCGATACCTGCCATCCCCGACTGGGCCTGCAAGCTTTCAACCTCGACAAATATGACTCTTCCTCATAGCAGAGCTTTAATATGAGCCCTGACGGTGCAAGCCTTTGACACACAGAGCCTGGCCAAAACAGACAGAGTGCAATGCACCAATCTGTGAAACACTACGCCAAGTAGGAAATGCAACCAGGTGGTAAACACTGACAAAATACCTGACACCTTAACACCAGAGTTCAGAGATGCAAGAAGCATGATGTGTTTCCTCTCTGGTTTAGACAGGACTTTGCACTTTGTAGAATAAAAAGTGCATGTAAAAAAAAGCTGAAAATAAATTATTATTATCATGTAAACCGCTTCAAGCTTATTGAGTTAAGATGGGATTTTGTTCATATGTGTGTAAAATGATACCACTCAGAACTCGCCCTTCGAGAACCTTAATGTACCTTGTTTCTGTGTCAGAGAAACAGCAGCAAGGCAGCATTATGCAATAATCTACTCTTCTAGATTTACCCAGTCTCTGAATCTCTATCCAGCCACTTAAATCCCGTCTGAGACTGTGAGTTAGTCAAATCCCCTCACTGTCACACACTTTAGACTTATAAACACACTGATATGTTTTTTTTAGATATGGTTAAATTTTCAGTTTGAGCTTGTAAGCTTTTTATCTGTTCTGTATGCTGCATGTTTCTCTGTTCAATCCATGCTTTCATCAATAAACGGTGTGTTACAATTTTTCACATTGCTAAAAGAACAAACTCCAACCAACTTTTAACTTGATTTGCACTGTGATACATAACGGTAACTGCAGCTGTCCGAAGCTAAATCCAACTACACCACAGGAGTCAGTTTACACATGATGACTCAAAACTGGAAACACTGGGAGCTCATGAAGTGATGACAGTATTCTTAGCAGCTGATATCAGAGACAATCTAAAAGGCAAAGGGGGAAGAGTGTGTACGTGAGATGTGGCAGACAAAGAATGGAGTGAGACCCTGTCCCTGTATTTGTCATCTTTGCAGAGCGCTGAATGTGTGCAATCATACAGTAAACTGTGACATTCTGCTGCTCTGTTACTGTAAATGGACACACTGCTTATTGTAATGATGAATCAAACTGACAAAGATAGGGTGTGGTACTGCCATATTGTAACGCAATACAAAAAATCTTAGAACTGCAAACTGCAAAGACTACAGTGTTGTGCAGTAGTATTTTAAGATTTCATGGTCAACTTCCCCCCTGTGCATCTGTCCAGGTGTGCAAACACTTTTTTTTTCCTTGCAGTGTTTGTCTTGTTAGATATGACATAATTTTCAGTAAAAGTATGGAGTCAACTTCAGGGCAAACCAAATGGGAGCTGGGATTTTCCTCCATAACTTCAGATTCAGAAAACTTTACTGTCTGCTGTGACAGAAAATTGTCCTCGCCCTTGTGGCTCAACACAGTGCAACAAATAATACAACAGCCATGAATTACTGAAACAGTAAAAAAGACAGTTCATATGCATGACTAAAACAATTACATGTAAAGATTTAAAGTCGAAAGACTGTGGGGTGTAAAGTGACCAAGCAGTCATGTTGTTATTGTTGCATTGATTTATTTATATAGGATATTTATTGCAGTGAGGATAAATTAGTTTTTATGGGTCCTTTTAATGGCAAAGGGGACTTTGTACCTGTGATCTGATGGGAGGAGTTGGAAGGACGGATGCAAGGCATGGGTGGGGTCACCTGTAATGACTTTGGCTTTTCTCTTAACTGCTAGTTTATGGGGCTCTGATAGTTGACTTTGGGTTTGGCCATTTTTTTTTGTTTGCTTGGTGAATGATACAGCCTATGCTCTTGAAATATGAGTTTACGATTAACAACAACCCGGACAGTTTCACTGCAAAACATACCATAAAACACACATGGCAGCCACAGCCTACAGGTAAGCCAAATCTTGCTCTTTTTCCTTACCTCCCTCCCACGCCTTCATACTCTGTGTGTGAACTTTAAAGCATAATTTTAAGCAGACATGTTTCAGTTTTTTCATTTATCATGACACCCAAACAATTTTTTAATTTTTTTCCTTAAATACTCTGACATTTATTTGACATTTGGGCATTAGGGGCCTCCCCAGCAGGTTGGTGGGCAGAATTAAGTTGCGGGAGCATTTTTACTCTATTTTTGTGACTGTATTCTATAAGTATTGAAATGACCTTAACTCACTTTTTAAAATGTTTTCTTGTTTCTGAAGTAATTTCTGACCACTGTGTGTGTTGTTGTTGTGTGTTTTGCCTGCTAAGTTGTGTTTTTATTTTGGCTGCAGTGTCTGATTCTCACCTCAGATAAAACTGTTTGGATGTGACAGATTTTTCCTGGTTTTGTGATTCTTGTTCTGCTCCTTTTCCCTTCTCTCTTCACATCTTTAATTAATCTCTTGTCTGGTCCCATCATCCTGGTAAAATACCGCGTGAGGACAAATAATCACAGAAATCTGCCTTTTTGTCAGGTTTTTAATGTCTGTTATTTGTTGTCATAGACGACTTTAACCTCCTGACTCAAAACATCCTAAACTTCTCAGAGAGTCAAAGCAAAAGAAAGCAGATTATTGAATCAAAACCTTGTTTTCTTGTTCACTCTGGTTAATCATGAGAGGAATGTAAAAGTGATTAAAAATCTCAACGGAAAGCTGATTGTCTGCCACTAGACTTAAGTGGATTGAAGCTGAACCCTGGACCACATCAGGAGCTAGAATACCAAAGATTAGACAGTAACTACTCTGTGTCAGAGACTTATGTGAGCCTGCTAAAAACAGAAACCTTTCTGTGCAAAAGAAATGATAAAAGTGGAAATAAACTCATGAGATTCAATGAATCAGCATGTTTGTTTAATGCTTATAAATCATCAACTTATATTACACAACATTATTAAAACATTTCTTTTAAATAATCATTCACAAACTTTAAAATCATTGCCATGGATTTAAACTCACAAAGGAACAATTTTAAAACACTGATTCATTCATACAACACCTGGTGAATCACTCTCATCTCTTCCACTTCCTCTCCAGTTTTGATCACAATGTCACATTTTTCCACCCTCAAAATGAACACAAGAATGTCTGTGTGCATATTTGTGTTTCTTATCAGCCCATTTTGTTAAAGTTACACAGAAAATAAAAGATAAATTAAAAGGTTTATATAGAGGCAGTGATCAACATAAGGTCCCTGTCCTGTTACAGTCGGTCTGAGAACGAGCTGCTGACTGACGGCTGCATCAGCTCTTCCATCATCACAGCGAGGATGTGGCAGAACTTCTTCGGCTGTAGGACACAGAGGAACAAAATCAGAGATGATCAGAGATTAAAGCTGTGTGCAAAAAGGGACACCAGCGCCTGTACTGTTTGAGGAAACTGTCATCTTTCCACAAAGACAGAACCATGCTGACCTTGTTGAAACTGTTTTGTCCTTTTGTCTTGTGTCTTGGTTTGGGAACTTGTCTCAAAAACTGCCTGAACCAAATAGTGAAATAGGCGGGCAGGCTGATTGGAGAGTCCCAGCTCTATCTACCATCCCTGTATACTAGTCAGTTACAGGGGACATCTGGTTCCATCTTAAATGATGGCTCCCAGCCTCCCAATGCTGAGTTTAAGCTGCTCCTATCAGGCAGGGGGCTCAAGGTACCAGCCTGTAAAACCAAGCGGTGCAAAAATAGTTTTATTCCATCAGCAATTGGGCACATTAACACGAGAAAGAAACCTTGAGAGCTGTTGGTTTTTATTTGGTTTTATTCATTTTAATCTCTTACCCTGGAGCACTTTTGTCACTTTCTATGTATGTCCTGTTGCATGTACTGTGCTGTTTGTTTCTCTACTGTCACACATGTGAGTCACTGCAAACAAAATTTACCTGAGGGTACAAATAAAGTAACCTTTGACCTTTGAAGTTTGTGTGCACATAGCGTTTGTTTACCATTTCTTGACTCATATCTACTTGAACTACTAACATTTACATAAAGTTCATATTTCATTTGTATATTTTTTAAAGGTCCTAATCTTGAAATAGCAAATACATAACAAATCAACACATAACTTTATCACACTGAATCCTATACAAAGTTATTTTAAGTGAATTATTAACAAGAAGGTCTATACTCCAAATTTTTGCTTTGACAAGAGACTAATTTTTACCACACTGGGTGATAAGTGCTCATGGGAATTGAAGTCTGCATGTCAGAAAAGCCCTACTAATTTCATCCAATTTTGTTTTACAACATGAAAACTTCTCAGAGTGCCTTAAACTTCTACAAGTAGCACCAACAGAGGAAACGTTTCAAAAATGTCAGCCTCTTTGTGGTTTAAAATTTAAAAGGGCACAACAAAAACACTGAGTCCTGCCCCTGATGAGGCAAATAGCCAATCAAAATGTAAGATTTGGGAGCATGCCACCCCTGGTTACCCCTTTGCACACATATCAACTCCAGTTGGATTGACTTAACCTCTCTCTCTGCCAAACAGCAGTCATCAGGATTTGAATTTATATTTCCAGTATCTCAACAACATCTCCACTTCCGTTTCAGTGTTAACGTACCAACTGTTGGTTAATCTGAATATGAAAAGCAGACCCAGGTTGTATAATAACTTTAACTTGTAGTCCACGGTGTGAGTTGTTACCTGTTGGAGATGAATTGTGACTTTTTTGGGACGGACTGGATTTCCATAGTGAATGTCCACGGCTGGGACTTTGCTCTTTTTCTTTTGGCGGACAGTTCTCATGGACTGAAGTTCTGCCAGAGAAATGTGAAAGACTTGTTCCTGTACAAGAAAAACGAGAAGGAAGAATCGAGGAAAATGAGGAAAGAGCCATGTACAGTCCACAATCAGGACCTTTTTTTTTAAAGATAAAGCTGTTTGTTAAAGCGCCAGATATTTTTACATCTAACAACAAACCCAACAATGCTCTCTTTAGAGGCTCAAGACCTCAGCACTGAATTTTTGCCTTGTAAAGCACTTTTGTCAATATTGGTCATTTTGAATTTGCTTAGGTGTTTAGGTTCAATGCCTAATGTTCATACCTGTGTTTTGGGGTTGAGAAACAGCACCCCTTCCTGGCTAACGCTGACAATGCATGGAGATGGACAGCCACGCTGGCTGACCTTCTTGGCCAGGAAGATGTTGGAGCCGAACATGGGAAGGGTAGTTAGGACCTCTGTGAGACAGAGATAAGATGAATTTAGGTATAATGTGACAGACAAAAGAAAAGAGGAGTAAACAAGAGAGAGGAGGAATAAAGAGATGAAGCAGCACCCACCAATGAACTGTACTTTGGCATCTTGAGGATGGAGGGCTTGCATGGCGGCTAACTGTCCCTCACAGAAGGACAGGATCTCCCCCATTTGACTCTCGAGCCCATCCAATTTTGGCAGGTACCTCCTCATCTCCTCCCTGAAACACAAAACCAACCAAACACTTAATAATACACAAAAACTCATATTCAGTTTAGTCACTCAGTAAGGGTTTCCTCTCACATTTTAGACCTAGGCCCTTGTATATTTTTTCTTCTCTTTTCTAATAAATAAATTATACTTTAGACACATCTCTGTCAATCACCTTTTTTGTAGCAGCTGATACACTGAAGCACATTTTACAAGTAACATACATTTTATTTTTTATGCTGTGTAGCCTAAATCCCGTGTTAGCTTTAGGGGTTTCTTTAAAGGTACTACAAGGAGTTTCTAGCGGGTTGGGAAACAGACTGAAACTGATACTGATGCCTTTTTATGGCCTTCAGAAGTTAACAAGAATCAACTTGACATGTTTTAACCGACCATTTTTCTGTCTTTTCTCCTCTAAAAAATTCACACTATTAACAAACATCACATACCAATGATTGATGGAAATCCATTGTGGTGACATAGAAGCTTTAAGTGTTTTGGCTTTACATTTTGGGGATTGATCATGTGCTCAAATTTTAGTCTGAGTTCCCACTGATGAATTTCAAGTATTTTTAAGTAAACTTTGCCACTTAGTGTGTTTGACTCACGGTAAAGGAGGTTCAATCTGTCCCTGAGCCACATGCTGCAGCGCTGACAGCTCAGCTACCTGCAGGACTGAAGAGGAGCCACCTGCAGCAGGAGGAGGAAGCATCAGCTGCCCACTCAGGTAGTCATCCAAGAGCTGCACACAAAAAGACACATCAAGAACTGTTAAACTTAAATTAAACCTGTGGGTTGAAACCTGTTACTTCTCCTGTCTGTGAACTGGTTTTGTCACCTGCTGGTAGTGGAACTCCACATAGAGCTCGTTGTTGAAGCTCAGCGGGTTTCTCCATGTCAGTCTTCTCAGGGAAAAGGAGATGGAGCTGTCGTCCAGCACAAAGTCAGACACGTAATCCTCAGCTTGGAGGGGACGTGACATCGCATCTGACAGAGGAGAGAGGAGGAGTGAGATCAGACCCTCCTTTTGTCATGTATAAAAAAGTTATTCAAGTTGTTGGCAGTTATAAAATCCCTCAAAGAAAAAACAAGCATAGAATAGACATAAAAAAGAATTTAAGATGGAACAGAGCAGAAGTTTGAAAGTGACTTCCAAAATTTACAGAAACATGCACAAGACACACATCCTGACTTACTATTCATTTATCTATGGTTTCTATGTCAGGTAAGGATATGATAGAAACAGACAAACTAAAAATAGCTATGCTATGCAAATGTCATTGTCAGTGTTCATTGCTGATACTTGTTTGGATCAACCACCTCTAAAACAGTTTTTGTTAAATGAAATAAAATAAAACTGTTAGTTAGAAAATCAAAGGTTTGTTACTGAATGAATTCAGGACTTGACGGTGCTCATAAAAGCAATAAAGTTTGCAATAGTTTTCAAGTTATCAGGTAGAAGTGAATGAATTTCCTCCTTTTACAAAAGAGCTGTCTGAGCTGACACCAAACAACTGTGCCGAGATGGAAAAGATGGGTCTGGGTTCACTTTTATTAAGACTCCAGTTCATGTAGCTGACCTCTACTTGACATAACTACAGGACCATAGACTGTATGGACAACTTAGTTGCTTACAGAAACAGTATACGAATTTGAGGCTGAACAGCTCTCGATATTTCTGTGATTTTTTTTCCTTCTTTCCTGAAACCAACATTGCGTAGTAGCATTGTACGCAGTTGGCGGGAGAGTCGCTGTGATGACGCTCGGCTCAAACAGCGTATCCTCCAGGTGAGCTACCCAATCTTCGTACGCACATAGGCTGTATCAAGTGTCAATCATAGAAAACATGAACCCCCTGATAACTTTTAAAAATGGAGCTGCACAGAAAAAAAAATGGCTTGAGCACAAACCAGTCTTACAATAACTACATGTCAACATCGAAACCAGGGGGGAGAAAAATTTATATTCTGTGTAATAAATTTCTAACATTTGTCCACAGCTCCATGGGGATTGCTGGAGGAGGTGGGATTTATGACCTATACTGCAGCCTGTCACCAGAGGGTGCTGTTCTTGGAGTGGCTTCACCCAGTGAGGAGGCAGACGGCATCCATTTTATATACAGTCTATGTACAGGACACATTGATCCTTTCTGAATTTCAGCTACTGCAGCTTGTCAAATAGTGTGTTTTTTCCATTCATGCATGGGGCTGCTGTCTGCATGAGAAACATTACAAGGGTAATAAACATCCAGCATTTGTTAGACACAGACTTAATCTGTGCTTGTCTCATTTTGGAATAGGGTGAGTTGAATGGAGAGGTAGTATTGGGGGTGCCCTTATCTTCTGGCATCCTAAGATCATCTCATATAAATAACAGTAGAATGATACACAGAGAAGAAGAAAAAATCCTGCATCAATTTTTCTGAATAAGCAAAAACACAGATACTGAACTGTGAGTTGGAGCTCTGCTTAGTGCCCCTGTTTGGGGTTTAAAAAGCAAAGGAAGGTGCATTGTGAACTGTAATGGCCACCTTAATGTTGTTCCAAATGATAGGGCCCCTGGCGTCCTATTTTAAATCTCTTTCTGAAAGCCTCCTTCAACTACTCTTAAAAAATAACTGTTTTTTATTCAAGCCAGTCTGCATAGTTTCGAAACATTTATCCATGAGTCTAGCCGTGCTTTCTATATCAATTAGAAAAGTTTGGTTTACCTTGAAATTTGTTGACGAGAATAGAGAACTCTTTGATTTCTGCCGGATCAAGGATTCCCATGTCTTTACAGATATCTGCCACCACATCTGCTGCCATCTAGAGGTATATAGCAGAATTAAAACCACAGTTGTTTTAATAATCAACAAAGGCAGTGCTGTTTTTGGTTTACAGATTAGCATGAACAATGAATTCTTACACTGAAGCTGCGTATCTTCACGGGGAAGCTGACTCCTCCTGGCAGCTCGATGGGGAGACGACGGGAGGTTTTTCCAGCCTGTAAAAAGGCGAGACACGTCCAGAGTAAGTTTAAAGAAAAGGGAGGAAATTGTAGAAAGTAAAAGTTGAAAAACTCGATTGAGTGTGAAGGTTAACTTGCCATAATGGCCTCCATCTCAATATGTGAGGGGATGTTACGCCGCCCGCCAAAATTGAGAGATCGCTGAAGGTTCTCAAGACACACACTTGCCAGCTCTGAGGACAACAGAACTCATTAGATTTGTGTTCAAAGGCTGTTAAATCTGAATAAATAGTCATTCGTTTTAAATTAAAATGTTGTTGTTTTTTTTCCATGTTTGTTTAACTCGCTTGTGTGTCTTCACCTTGGTACGGGTGATCGTAGTCCTGAGTGATGTCTTGCAGATGCTGTGAGACATATGGCAGCAGAGTACTAGAGCAGGGGAAGAACCCCGTCACCAGATTGAGCAGCCGCCAGCCCAGAGTGCAGGTCGCTCTGAGGAGAGATGCACACAAGTAAGAAATAAAACAAAAAATGTCAGAAGTTCATGAGCCTTCCCGCAGCTGCTTTGATTTAGTTCCCACTCTGTGTTTCTCTCCTATGATTTTTAATGGCTAAATTGTTGAGGCACTAATAATAACTTTACCCAACGGTAACAATGCTACAATTCTTTATGCTCAAATTGACCTTTAGATCTGCAATAAAGTGTTACGTGAGTGAATAAAAATCTTTTATTGAGCCCCTAAAACCTACAGGAAATGTTTTTATATTACACATAAATATCATGTGCTTACAAGAGACCAACTATTTCCAACAGGATGATGATTAGGAGGAGCTAGATAATTATTTTGTGCATACAGAATAAACTTGTGCACATTATGTTTTAGGAGCAGGTCATTATTGTGTGCACACCAGGACTGTCACCATACCAGATTTTGACCTCATGATTATCATGGCCATCAAATATTCTGATCATGATGTTGTCCTGATATTTATGGAAAACTTCAAAAATCAAACAACGCAATCTTTGAAATTGAGGTTAGGCAAAAGAGAGGGGTGGAGCGACACATCACTTCATAAACCTAACAACTGAATGCAGTTACCTCACTTGTCATGATCCATTTCTACTAATATTCAGATTTATGATGTATCGTCGGCACTGCCACTAAAACTTCTTTACAGAGGATACCACCTCATCAATCGATTGTCAGGCTTTTATTTTGATAGTTTTTTGATAGCTTCATTGCCCCTTTGCTATTTCCAGTAGGTAATACATTACAGAACTAAATAAAAAAAAGTAAAAAGAAAAGTCAGAAAGTATAAATGTGCAATTCATTTGTAGCCTGAAGAGGCACAAACTCTAATGTTTGTTTTGGAAATCATAATAAATCTTAATTACTGGCTTTGAAATAACTTTCAGAGGACTCATTCGCAGTCTGCTGCTTCTTCCCTCTCTATCCTTTTTTTTATAATCAAAGCACAATTAAATACTCAGAAGTAAACTAAGACTTTCACTTCTCATTGAAAATCGAGAAACAGATGAATGCCTGCTTTCTGCTCAGCTTTTTTGCTACTGATATTCAGTGTATTTTTGTACCCATTTTTATTCTTTCCTGCTCTTACTCAGTTAAAGACTCTGATTAAAGTGTCATTTAAAAGACTAAAAAAATGCTCACTTGGTGGGGTTGTTGGTGATTTGCTTGATGACCTGGCAGTAGATCTCATCTCTTATTATCTCTTTCTCCTTCCCCAACTGAACAAAACAAAATAAAATTCTTTTAAATCACATTAAAGCGAACAGAATAAACATAAATTCAGCCTGTCAGAGACTCTGGTTGTAGAAACACTGACCAGCAGGATGTAATTCAGGCGTTCTTCCTCTTTTTGATTCTTCTTCATAGGTAAGTCCCCCATAAACTCCATCAGGTCTGGAGGACCAGATAGTGTTATTGATATAAAAACAGATGTAGAGTGTTTTGTTATAATGGGTTATTGTGAAAGCACTCACTGGTGAAGCACTGTATAGATAGACCAGTGATCTCAGGATCGTTGTAGAGGATGAGGGAGTCCTTTATGGGAGTCTAGATCATAAACACAGTAGAGTTAGTTTGTTATATTGTTCTTTATGAATATTTTTTACAACACAGACTCTTAATAGCAGACTTAAAAAAGGAGGTTTCTTTAGGTCTTATAATTTGAACCCATCTTGGTTGCTTTTATGGTGATTTTGAATGACATGGAGGCTGACACATCTAACTGTCTATGTAATGATTGTGGTCAAAGAGCTTATTCTGTCTTACCTCTGTGTACTGAACAGCCTCCATAAAATCTTTCCCAATGTCTGTGAAAGTGCTGATTCTGAAATGATCAAATAATAGAGACAGACAGAATGAGACCATAATGTTCATGGATACTAGATCAGCTAAATCAAGTGAACAACTATACCTAGAATTCAGCCGTCATACCTGAAGTACTTCTTTGCAAACTCAGCCATGACTGAGAGGACCTCCAGCTCATACACAGAGCCCCTCTCTGATCCCTGGATGGAGGCATCTGTCACTCTGTTGGGCTGCTCTGGTACAGTGCTGCTGGCAGGCTGTCTGAAGATTGAACCTGAAGTCAGGCCTTTTTGTGCACTGACCGCTCTGCTGCTCCTCATGCTTTTCCTCCTGTCTTCTCTTTGAATCAGGTGCAGGCAGTGGTAGTCTGGGGCTGCAGACGGCTGGGTGAGTTCCTCTGAGAAAAGACCGGAGCGTCCTCCCAAAGAGCCAAAACGCCAGCCTGGAGGTGCAAACACAAATATTACAAATATTACTGTACTGTATGGCAGTGGAGCTATTGATTTTTGTTTGCAGTGTCTTGCTCTTCTATTGCAACTTGCAGACAGTCCCTGCACACTCGCCCGGGTACCAGCTGTGCATAGAGATCAATATTATTCATCCAGCTCGAAGAACGGCTTGTTTTTGCAACAAGCCAGTTTTTGATTCTTGTAGCTAGTAGTCTGTGCTATTACGATATGAAAGAGGCATTGTTTGTGTTTGGACAACGTTTCGTCTCAGAGTTATTGATCCCGGAAGTCCGAATCTGTGAATATCTTTCCAACTTTACAAAACTCTGTAAATGTAAACTTGATTAGTCCCTTAGATCGACACCTGCATTGACTCAAGTGCACAGGGACAGTGGACTACCTGAAGCTGGACATGTCAGTGTTGTTAATGCTGAATGAATGAGGGTAGGTTTAGTGTCCTGGATAGACAGATGGCTGAGGCGTCAGGGTCCAAAGATCCAAGAATCAAACAAACTTCCTCTAAATCCCCCTGGCAGAGCCCGCTACTTAAGTTGAATTATCTCGTGGCCGCAAGATAATAATGTGTGGCCACGCATTACCTTTTTTTCTCCAATGTCACCAGAAGGGCTCCGTAGTTTTCAGAGTGTTAAAAAATGTTGAAATTTTAATTCTTATTTAAATAACCAAGAAATTAGTCATCTAAAAACATCCACAGTGACAAATAAAACTTAAGTCCTTAATACGTCCCACAGTTACTGAAGCCTCTTTCAATAAATGTCTTGTTTTATTCAAATCAGAATTTTCAAAATCAAAATATATTTTAGACAGTGATTGGAAATCTGCTGAAAATTTGATGCACACATAAATACAACTTGGTTGCATTTATGGTGCACTCAGATACAGCTCAGCACAGTTATTAAGGTTTATCAACTTTAATCTTTTAAGTTGATAAACATTTGAAGTAAAGACCTCACACTGATCAGAAATCCCAACTCTTGGATTGATCAAAAATTAACATTTAACATCCAGATATGTAGTTTACCTGGCTGCAGTCCTTGCATCGGCTGCAGTTTGATAATGTCACCCCTTTTGAAGCTCAGCAGACTTTTGTCATCAGTCATATAACTCTTCAGAGCGACCACATGGCCAGAGTCCTGGAGAGCAGAGAGACAGACTCACATGAGAAAAATAACCTCAAAATTATCGAAGAGAAGATGGATAATGATGATTACAAAGTAAAGAAGTACCCTGATGAGCTCCTGGAGGAAGAAGTGGATCATGGTGGTGATCTGAGGAGCTCTGGACGACCGCAACACCAACTTTTCATTTGTGAGCTCCAGCTCCACTTTGTCCGTATCCTGCAGTTTCACTGACAGAAGCTCTGCAAAACTGTGTTCATACAAACCATAGGTAAGTGTTCTGTGCATGACAATTAAGATGAATACTACAGCTTTTCTAGGCCTTTTAGAGAAGAGGTTAAATAATGCAGAGAACCATGAAAGTTTATCAGTGAATTTATTATTTTATTTCAACAAAAACCTCCAAACCAAACACTAAATACATGATTTTCTTTGCACTCTTTTCAATCAAACACCGACTCTAAACAAATTTTAAATCTTACAATCTGTTTTTATCAACACCAAACTTTTCTAGAGTTGGGGTTGTCATCTATGCCATTAATGTTCAAAAGCTGCATGTTACCTGTAGCTCTTGAGCTGATGGAGGTATTTTGGGTTGATGCCTGAAGCTCTGACCAACTTCAGGAGACGGATGCTGCGATGAGACACACCCAACACCTCAGCGTCCCCGCTGTCTGTCTGCAACACACATATACGCAGAGAGGATGGTTGTTTATACAAGTAAATGGAATACAATTGTAGAAGTCTAAGAGGCACTTAAGTGTTTACACAGGATTTTAAGACCTTTTTAGGACATCAAGCTACAAATACAAGAAATCCCTTCCAGAATTTTACCATCATCTTGAATAAAAAGAGAATAAATACATTAATAAATACATTATCACACCTGGACTGCATTCTGTCATGCTCACCTTCACTGGAAACAGGCGGGAAAAGTAGTTCTCCCAGTTGTCTCGAGCAGCCATGACGATCCTCTTCTTCATGTGGTCATTCTCGACGGTGCTGATAGTCGTTCCAACGTTGAAGTTCGCTACAGAAAGGAAAGGATCAGATCACTTGTAGGAAAGTTGAAAACTCATAAATATCAAATGTTTCTGCAAGTGTCTTTTTTCAATCTAACCTTTATTTAGCCAGAATAAAATCTTTGTTAAATAGTGTTAAAAACCAAACTATCTTGGAAAGAGCTTGGTTGGGAGTCAATGCAGAGCAGTACATAACAGTGTCATCTGCAAAGTATTGAGTTAAAATCATATGTGTTGGCGAATATGCAGGCCAGTGTTTACATGGACTGTTATGGAGACCATGTCACTCAGAAATCTTGTTTTTTGCCTGATAGCCTTTATTGTTTAAGTTCCCTGAGCTGTGACCTGTGGGGAGTGTCACCGGGAGTCTGCACAGGCCTGATAAGAAGTGGGACTTTCCTGTTTTTGGTGAGATTGGCAGCACAAGGGAAAGGGTTAGGTAAACTGATAACAGTTCGGCATTGGTGTGAGCTGGTTTTATGCAATGTCCCTTCAGTGGTAATGCTATATAATCATAACACCACCTTGTTTTGATCAGTCTACTGCAATAAACTCCATGAACCTGCAAATTGTTGTATTCTCATCTGTGTAGCTTCAGCTGCAACAGCAGAAATGACACTTTGATTGATGCTACTGCTATGAAGAATAAATAGCAGAGGTCCCAACATAGACCCTTGAGACACTCCTTGAGGCACTCCTTTAGTTACTGTGAAAGAGCTCAAGGTGCAACCCTCTGCTGTTAAAACATTTGACTTTTTGTTACTTCAATAGTCTTTGAGATTGGCCTGTAGCTATTGAAAACTGATGGGTCACTCCCTATTTGCACAGGAGTAGCATAAAGGCAGGTTTTCACACATGAGGGATGACAGTTTTGAGAAAGAGAGCCTAATCTGATTTTGCAGATTTATTTTTTCTAACTTTACCTCTAAGCAAGTGCAAAACAGATACCGGTGAGTCTCTAGATTTGACCATAAATGTCACAGGTGCCCTTGATTTAGTTTAATCTTTTACATTTAGCTTTACAGTATATTCAGTGACTCACCCAGCAGGTCTTTCATCTTCCTCCTCTCCTCTTTGTTGATCCTCTCACAGCTGTCAGAGTACGTGTCTCTCATGATCTAAAACACATTACTGTAATTGATTCTGCTGTACAGCGGAGATTATCAGTGGTTACTGTAGATAAATGACGGATTATAATTTGATCTTTCAGCATATTTAATTTTATCAAGACAAATATGATGATATATGCACGTGAATTTACCTGCTCACATAACAGATTGAGGATGTAGGGCTTGTTGAACGTCTCTCTGGGGTAAAACACCTGAAAAGACAGATCAATGATACTTAAGATCAGTGATGAGAACTTTCAAAATAAAACTTACACTTTCCGGTGAAAAGACAGCAACGCAGACGATCAGAATTTGGGCCGTCATGATATCTTGAATACTTGGCTAGCTTAAACAAAAAATAATACATGTCATTGTTAATTTCTAATTATGTTTACATTTATCCCCATCACTGGTTGTGTATCCAGAACATCTTCAGAGATGATATTGCTATATAAACAAACTTTTCATCATGCTTTTATTTTGATACTTTTTCTGTCACGTTATGTGTGCTTAATTTCCTACCTTGTGAAATTATGCTTTTATTTTGAAATATAAACTACTTTCTGTAGAGTTTAAGTTATTATTCAATTCTGAAAGTTAGAAAGTAAAAATGTTCAACTAATTAGTAACTGCAAGAGTCATTTTGAGTTACAATAAATTCAGAAATTTTGGTAACACTTCACTTGACGCCTATCTCTATGACACATTATAAATATATGTATAATGCATTATAATCACGTTGTAGCAGTGTATAACTATAGTTACAAACACTCATAGATGATCATAATGCTTTATAGCAATAATCATAACACACTATAAAGCTTTTTATCATGACTTACAAGGTCAGGTTTTATAATGTGTTATGCTTGTTGCTATAAAGTGTTATGAGTTTATAAGCAAATTATAACACATCATAAATATATCTATGATGCGTTATCTGTGTGGACATTGTCAGTGAGTTGATAACAGTTATAACACATTAAACCACCATTAAATTATTTTTAGCGTGATATCAGTACTTTGTCTTGTTATAAAGATGATTACCAGCAAAATCAGAATATTGTGACAGCTCTTGCCAAAACTATTAGGACAAGTTTACAAAGAACAGGAACCAGAAATGTAAAAAAGAAAGTGTGTCTTACCTCTTTTCTCAGGAACAGTTTCACCGGCATGTTGGAGTAAGATAAGTGGGTGCTCGGTGAGAAACGGTGGAGCTGTGAGCGAGCGCCATCGTTATCTGGGTAAACTTCTTGATCTAGAAAATGTAAAAAATAAATAAAATAAATAAATGTAAGGTGAGGTAAGAAAATATTGTGCTCAAATATTTTCCTGTTTTTATCATAATGTGCAGAAAACATGTTTTAGGACCCCTACAGAGTGTTGGGGCAGCCATTGGAGGGGGGTCTGGGATGGTCTGGAGGACAGGAGCTGGCTGTGGAGGAGGAGAGGGAGGTGGTGGGGAGTCAGGGGGAGTAGGTGGAGCACTTGGGGAGTTCTGTACGACAAAGAGGTCCCGCAGGGAACGCTGTTTCTCTCTCATGCTGTTGGAGATAACACGGGGACCACTGTTGGTGGGAGAAGGGGGTTCAGGGGACGGGGTCCTGGGACGAGGAGGAGGCTGCTCCCTCTTTGGTTTGACTACAGCAGGAGGAGGCACCCACTGTTTCTGAGGCTAGAGAAAGTGGAAAATTTAGCAAAATCCCTAGCAATTCTTTAGAAAAAACAAATCTTAAGATTGCAGAAAAATCAGATCAATTTTTTGAAATATTTGTGTTTGTGGTTAAAGTTTACTGACTCTCCACTGCTTCTGTTGTGGCACTGGTCCTTTGTCTTTGAGTTTGGCCAGGGCTTCTTCTTTGGGGTCGCTTTTCTTAACAAAATGTCGAGAAGGAGTTCTGTGGATGGAATCAAAACAGGATAGTACAAAACATAAGCAAATGATTTCTTTCTAATGAATAAAACCACTCCAGATCTGTTTTCCTAAACTGAATTCCAAGATTGTGTTTACTGACAAAAGTAAGTACCCCCCCTACAAAAAAAATGCACCCTTCAGTTGATACTTCCAGGCTAAAACCACCGAAAACTTTACAGCTCTGTACATTTTAAACCTGCTATACAAAAGCTTTGTCTTTTTTTATGTCTCTTCTTCTTTTGTCGAGGTTTTATGTACCACTACTGGCTTACTACAACACATTTATGCTGTTTAACCTCTATATCAAAGTCTGATGTGCAACCTGTGGAGCAGGTGCGTAAGGCTAAGACCAGTTTTAATCCCATTAAGGTGTTTACTTACAGGTGAAAATCGATTCCTAACCATGTTTACATGCATTTTAAAAGTCCAGATGCTGTTGGACTAACGTGATGAATAGATTTTGGCAACAACATGTAAATGTTAATGTCAATGTCAATGTCAAGTTTATTTGTATAGCACATTCAAACAGCCAGTGGCCTACCAAAGTGTTTTACAATAACGAAGCAGTAGCAATAAAAGCAAGTCATACACAGCAAACAGCAACAACAAAAGACATGTAACATATAAATGTAAACAAAAACGAATATATAACCAATACAAATGTCCTTCACAGCATGAAATTTATTGTTGTACTAGACATTTATGATTATTATTATTATCTTCTCACCTGACTGTAATAAATGAAATGTCTTATAAAAATTTCCTGCAGACGATGGAAATGTTCTTTTAACATGAATCATATTAAATGAGCAGGTTACTGTTTCAACTTTGACTGTCTCGGGGTCCTGCTCACCCTGTCAGGATTCTAATTTGCATAAATGATATGTCTTTATGGGCGTCTTTTTTATATGTATATGTAGAGGAGAGGACATTTAATAAAAAAGGGTGCAAAGGGGCACAGCCTGCCCGATTTGAGGACAATTTTCTCTCTATATAGGATGATTTAACTAGTGGACCAATTCAGCAACCTAAACTCTCCATGAGAATTTCCCCTCATACTTATTATTAGACATTGTTACAAACCTTATCAAAAGGCCAAAGACTAAATTCTTTCCCAATATTTGTTCCTAAATTGTGATATAATAGGGAAGCAAAGGTCTAATGAAATTTGTTTGGCAAGGTGTGCACAAACTCACCTGACAGGCGTGAAGGGTTTGGGCTCTGGATTGGGTCTGCTGTTGTACTGTTTGATGATGTCTCGGATATTGGATGTGGGTTCAGGCTGAGGTTTAGTAAGCGAGGCTGGTGATGGTTTTGGAGGGTCTTTCTCTCTGGCAGGGTTAGATTGAGAGCGCTTCACTGTGGGAGATGAGAGCCAGAAACTCAAACCGTTAGTTTTTTGTTCTTTTTCTTCATGATATATTTTTTTGTATTCTAATTCAAAATGTATAAAAAGGCTCTACAAAATATGTTCTTGGCCTTGTCATCTTCGTACCCTCAGGCTTTGGTGGAGGGGCAGGAGGTGGGGAGCGAGGTGGGGAGCGTTGTTGATGTCTGGGTGGGCTGTCTCGAGCTGGGTGGGGCTTTGGAGGAGCTGGTTGACTGTGAGGCTGAGATTCTGGAGAACAGAAGAGGATGAAAATAAAAATCATTGACAGCAAATTGTTTTGCCTTTAGAGTAAATTCCAGCACCTTTTATACTTGTGCAACCAGTGAGAAATGCAAACAGAGGTACTTTTTAAAAGTCGCCTTTACTTGATCCCAATAGATTTTGTCACATCAGGTTTTTGGGTCACAGTGTGTTGAAAAGAGACAAGAGTTCACCCTGTCTGCAGCCGTGCTTATGTTCCAAATCTTTGGCCAGTTTCCCAACAGAGGGTCCAGAACCCCCACTTCAAGAAACCATACTTTAACGAAGAGGGTTCATGCATGACACTGGTTCAGTTCTTTTCCTGAATGTCACTCCCCACTTTCTCTGCTAGTTTTCTGCTGCGTCTGCTGTCCAGTCCTCTCAAAAGCAAAGCAAAATGCCCAAAAGATGCTCTTTAATAGGGACCCATGCCACCCCTGTAGACACAACCCTGTGTCTGACAGACACTAATGCAGAACCCACACAGGGAAAACACCCATTTAAGAGTCCAGATAAGATTTTAAGCAGTAACTGTTAAATAAAATTTGAAAGGTCGATTTCTTTACCTCCTGAAAATGTGTTGTAAAGGAGGGACAGGCACAATTATCTACAATCCTGTTCAGACACACTTCAGTCTATCAAATTAGTATTCTTCTAGAAACACATAACCTGCTAGCATCTCTCCTGTTAGCATACTATAAATACACCCATGGTAATGACTTGTATCAGCTTTACTCACCAATCTTGTGGAAGAAGTTCATCTTGTCCCTGAAGGACTGCAGGTCATCTGGATCTGGCATGTCCACTGATCTCTCTGGCTGTTAAGGGAAGAGAAAAGTATTCACAAACTTAACATGCAAATCAATCACAGTTGTTGGACAACCAAATGCTGTAGAAGCTTGTTTTAGATGCTGTGGTACCAACTTGGAAAAGTTGTTTGACCCTAAATGGGACCATACTTTTACAAACTCAACATCATGCTTTGTTAAAAAAAAAAATAATAATAATGCACTTAGACTAATGCAGCAAACAAAGCTGCACCCTGCTGGCGATAATAATTACACTCATATACCTCTGGCATTGGCTGCCTGATGCTGGGAGTGCGTTGGGGCACAGGTGCTTTGGGCTGCTGAACAGGTGGGGCTGGGGCTGGGGCTGGGGGTGGAGGTGAGGGTTGTGTGGACCGCGGCTCTGACTGACGTTTCCATGGTCTGTTGTTCTCCTGCTCCTCCTTCTTCTGCTTCCTCTGCTGCTCCTGCGTCTGCTGCTGGGACAGAGTCATGGCCTGCAGGGTCATCTGCTGGGCCTGGAAACAAGAGATTTAAATGTTACACAGGTGCAGAGGTGAGGGTCGATAGTGAGGAGAGAATAGAGGAGGAGGTTTATTTTTATCTCACCATGAGTAAGGCCTGCTGGTTGATGAAAGCCTGCTGTGATGCACTCATCTGTAAGGGGTCAGGAGGAGCAGCCACTGGAGCTTGAGGCATCATCATGGCTGTGAACAGGACAAATCACCTTTGAGTGAATATTCAGTATAAACTCTGCATCAACCACAGACTGTATAAAAAACAAGCGACAGAACAGCTCCAACAGAGTGAGGCAAAATCATTTGATGCACCCCCTGGTGGCTGCCTGGTCATTAAGCCACTGTCCTCCATGTTAACAGATGGGACATGGGTCAAACTGTAAAATCAAACTACACATTCAATAATTGTTTCTCAAACATGATTTCATGTCATTATCTTTAGTTCAGATCATGGTGATTAATGTCCAAGTTTGGTTAGAGTTAGTTTAATTTATGACTATGTGTCGTTACACTAATCAATAAAAGAGAGCCGATCAAGAGCAGGTAATGGATTCACTTTTGCTCAGTACCTTTAGATGGTTTAAATGAAGAAGAAGAAGAAGAAGAAGAAAAAAAAGAAAAGGAGAACAAGAAGAAGAAGAAGAAGAAGAAGAAGAAGAAGAAGAAGAAGATCTTAATTGATCCCCGAAGGGAAATACAATAATGTGAGCGAGTTACAAAATTAATTTTATAATCATGGGCCCAAACATCAGAGCTGCCCCCTTAAATCTTTTAAATCACAACTCAAAATCTACTTCTTTCCTTTGGCTTTCAAAAACTAAAGTTGCACCATTCACTGTTTTTTATTTGCCTGTTGATGTTATTTCCTGTCTTGTCTTTTCTTCTGTTTGACAAGCTCTTTTGATCAGCTTTTGCTGTTTTAATTATGATGTAATAACTTGAAATAACTTTCATTAGGCTTACTCTAACAACCTGAGTAAATGACCCATAAGAGAAAAGCCATACTATTCCCATTGGCTACTATCTACATGGTGTTAAAAAAGCTCTATGTAAAAGTCAACGTTTCCTGCTCTTCATGCACTGAATTAAGAGGAACCAAATGGTTTGTAATGTTGGACTACCTGGCATGGTTGGCATGGTAGTTGGCATCATCGGCACTGAAGGCATTCCTGAGCAGAGGTGAGATTTTCAAAACTTAAAATTTGAACCTTTTGTCTCATTTTTTGATATAAAAAGACAATCGATGTTTGATAAAACGACTTCAAAAGGACACTTAGTTTCATTCACGCTGATAAAAATGAATGTTTCTGCTTACCCATGGGATAACTTGGCATTGTCATCGGCACACCTGAAAAGTAGACCAAGCCAAGACAATTTTAATGTTCTCCATTAAACAGGTACTGAAGTAATATGAATGTTAAGTGTCAAAGTCATAAAATACTTTTAAATGTTGCTTTTGTGTTTTTTATTATAGATGTGGGAAGTAACTTTCAATGGTACAACAAGAACAAACAGCTGCTCATACACGTTGGTATAGGACACTCCTTTGAGGACAGCAAACCATATTTGAACAGAAATGGTGGACTGAGACACTTCTCATCACTAACATACAAGGTGGTTTGGATCCCTTCACTAAACAATCCGAGCACTTCCTCCAGGATCATGTGACTGGAGATCATGTGACCCACACCCCAGTGAAAAAGAGGTCAACAACTCTGTCAGAAACTTCCATTCAGACCATTAATATATCCACAGTCACAGAGGGCCAAACATCTTCAAGAGCTTCAACCAGATATAGCTGCCCCTTTGGGATTGGAGTAGTTTTCTTACCTGCTCCATACATTGGTCCGATCCCTCCTCCTCCTCTCATCCTGCGGTTCAGCATGGCTACTCTATCCATGTCCTTCACACAAACACAAGCAAGGTAATAAATTACAACCATGTGGCAGTGGAAGACACAAACAGAGGGAGTACAGAAACACAACCCAGTGACTTCAAACACTCTGTAATCGGATACAACCAGAGACACACAATCCACCACAGACTCATGTACACATTCAGCACATTCAAGAGAGTAAAACTTTAGTCCTTTAAGGAACAAGGTAGAAAAAGTGACTGACTGATGGTCCATGGTCCAGTACAGGGTCGAATAAGTCGTCAACATAGGCATCCATCTGTCGACCACGACCTGAAAACAAAAAATAGAGTCAACAATAAACCCACCACCAAATGATATATTGGTGTCAGCCCCAACCTGATGAAACAATGACCCACTAAACCTCTGAACCCCAAACCAAATCATGTGTCATTCAGCCTGAGGGTCCAGGACTTCGATATCTGCTTTGCCAAGCTAGTTATTGAGCCTTTGGTACCAGCAATGCACATTCCCCTGATTTCATTTGTGCCTGAGTTTATAGGTCTCAGTTACACAGAGGGTCAGCTAGAGTGAGCACAGCCGCTGAAAAACAACCAAGTGAAAGTAAATCCAGAGTAACTGAGAGAAGGCTGTTGACATGAGCCACACAGTGGACTAAGAGTATGATTGATGAGGTTTGCAGTCAAGATATTGAAAAAATGAGAAGTTACAGCTTTTCTTAATTGTTTGGACTCATTTTTTAAGTAGACTTAACTTGGTCTAGACTTGGTTAAGTGTGACTTGGCCTAAATAGTCTATAGATACTTCTACCTACCACCATTATTGTTATTAACACTCAAGTTCTGTAGAGAATAAATGGAAAAGTAGAAAATTAATTACTTCTTTTAAATATTCTGAGTAGACACCATTGCTATAATGGCGACCTCTTAACTTCTTGTGGTATGCTAGATAGAAAGTCTATTTATCAGAATGCGTTCAATCCTACTTGTGATTGGTTGATTGGGATTTTTAATCCATTACATACTCTCACCCTGCAGGTATTCAGCCAAATTATATATTTAGTTGTTTAATAGATTTTGATCATTAAATGGATCCTTTTGCATGTGATTCTCAAACGATGAGAGCATGTTCATCACCTATGAAGAGTTTGAGAATTTTGCAGAGAAGAAACCGAATAGTTTTGATGAGTGAGCGATGAACGGGTCATTTTTATGTAGATTTGTAGAGAATTAGACTTACTCTTTGGCTCACGTGAACTAAAACGACGCTATTTGTTTGAATGAACGAGAAAATCAAATCTGTTTTGATGATAAACTAACCATTCAGAGGTATCAGTTTATTAATTTATAAACATTTTTTGCATTTTAGAGTTGAGCCTAAGTTAATAAGCAAAACTGTAAGTGAATCACAATCTAGGATTTTGCTAACCACCCCTATGTGATCCCAAAAAGACATGTGCGAAATATAACCTAGAGGAGCTGCATGTGGGGATAGGGTTAATGTGGACATGATGGTTGTTTCAGACAGAATTAGCACTCCTCATTCTGATTTAAAGCTGCAGTAGAGGAGATTACAGATGCTGTTAGCTGACTGGACATGAACTTCATCAACACCTACCTTCTTGTGGGTAATCTCTGGCCCACATGCCGCCCTCAAACGGGGGCAGTCCAGGAGCGTTTACTGGAGGGGCTGGTGGGATGAAGTCATCCAGATCTGAAGATGGCATCCTGGATTTAAAGACAGACATACAGTGGTTACACATGCAGATTCTCTGAAACAAACTTGAAGTCAGCTGATCACTACTCTACCTGTTCCCCTGGTTGCTGAACAGGTAGTCAGAGTTTGAAGAGGAGGGAGTCCCTGGAGGAGGCAGCACTTCAGTTTCAGCACCAGCCAGGAGATCCAGCACAAAATCTGAACCGGCCAGATCAGACCAGCCGTCCTCAGTCAGGAGAGACACCGACCAGCCCTGCCCCGCCTCTGGTATATGTCTGTATCACAAACACAAGAGGAATGAAAACTGACACACAGAGCAGGATAAACTGGAGAATATGGATATTAAGTGGCATAATAAGAATCAGAGGAGTACCTGAAGTGAAGAAGCCAGGAGGCCAGCTGCTCTCCTGTGGTCCAGGACTCCACTTCAGCTGTCAGCTTCTCATCTGAGGAAAAGGTGAACAAAAAAGTTGGTATGTCACAATCAAATCACAGTGCTACAAAAATAAGTCCTTATGATTATGTCGAACATAATGACATTTCTTATCCCATTACTTAATTCTTGCTACATACTGATTTTATCCTTGAATTTTTTTTCCTCCTTAATGTTGCCCTAATCCAAAACTGATTCTGTTAAATGATATCATGTTGACTCTCACCGTTGAATGTGTGCACTTCAAGCGTCATGGCACCCTTCTTTTGGTTGCTGGTCCACTCCAGCTGAGTCGGGGGGTAAAGGCGGGCAGCGGGAGCTGGGAGCTGCAGAGATGTCAGCAGTTTGTGTTGGCACAGTGAGCGGTACTCCCTCGGAGCTTGGTCAGACACATACCTGGACGGAAGACACAGCAGCCTGAGTTAAACATCTTTAAGGACCAAGTGTAGTAAGAAAATGCTCAACTTTTTTGTTTTTGAATGGGCACAAGAATACATCTAAATGTTGCAAGGTCATGACTTACTTGAGCAGGGGTTTGTCCAGTGTAGGCGAGGGGGTGAAGGCACTGAGGCAGCTGGCCAGCAGCAGCCAACCCCTGTGACTGCTCTGCCCCTCTTGCATACCCCATGTATGGTACACCAGCTGGGCCAGGATCTCGTCCCTCAAAGCCGGCCTGCTTTGCCCCTTCTCCAGGATGTAGTTACCCAACACTTGCTCCTGCCAGCTGCTGAGGTCCGACTCACCTGTAAACCGCAAGATCTGAAGAGAGATGGATAAAAAACCTATGAGTTAAAAAAATAATCAAACCAGATAAATGAAATTAATTTAGTGCCATGTACCAGTTTGTAGATCTCCAGGGCAGTTCTGGCATCTTCAGGATCCAGAGAGGTGAGAGGTCTCTGGAAGGGGTATCCCTGAGGCTGGCTCCATGTGTCCTGCAATGTGAGTGAGTTCACAAAGACAGAAAATGTGGTCTAATTATGTCATGCTCAGGGTGGAGAGCTGAAATGCTGATATAAAGATAATTCTGAGTCACTGTTATTGATTTAAAAAAATGTATGGAAGTACCTTAGTTCCAAAAAAACGTAAATAAATTAAGATTTGATGGTAAACAAATAATTTAAACTCTACATATAATTGAAAACAGAGCAAAGATGACCTATCAAGTGCCAAAACTCAAAATGTTTATTGTTGGGACTGTGATCACAGACAGAGGTATTTAGAGCTATTTGAACTTATGCAGTGATTTCCACTACAGAGTTATATCAGTTTTTAATGCAGTTCTGCATGAATCTTTGAGTGCACTGTAGATGAAAAAATTCCCATACTCTTAGCAATTAGGAACATTGTTATGAAATCCTTAAACTACCTGTTCACAGGCTTGTCTGGTAAATTTAGCCTCTCTGTAGTGTCCATTTTTAACCACCCAACTTTTTCAGTTTAGTTGACCCTGTTCCAACTTTTCTGACATCAGATATAAAATGAGGATATATTTTTGATGTAACAATATAGGTTTTTGGTGGTTTGTCACCTGGCAGCACTCTTTCATAAATGTTCATAAACCCATTAATAAAAACCAGGGCTGCAATTAATTCTTATCTTTAAGCAAATTATCATTTTAAGTTGTTTACTTATTGATATCTGTGCAAATAGTGCTTGAGTGAATACTCAGTGAATCAGACAACTTTTTGAGTGAAGCACACCAGCTCTTTAGTGTATAATTTTATCTTTGAATGGATCCTTTGTTAATGTTATCAAACACTTCAAATGACAAGCTAGGGAGGAATAACTGCACTAAATGAAAATTTCACAGCTGCAGTCTGAAAAAAAAAACAAAAGTACAAATCAAAAAATGAGCTCAAAATATGAGCTCTAGCTCACCTTCAGTATGGACTTGGCATAGCGAGAGAACGGGTATCTGTCAATGTCCAGAGGCAGGTTGAAGTTGTGTTCTGCCCTCGCCTGTGGAGGCCTCACCTCTGTGATTTCTGCCCTGTGCTGCCTCCCTGTTGGACAGAAACGCTACAACAATCACTGACTGACAACACATGAGGACACGGCAGCAGGTACACAGAAAACAGGTGCAGATTTATTCCTTTGATTTTGGTTTTTATGAAGCTGACCTGCTGAGCTGTGAAGTCTGGCTGACAGCTCAGCTGGGATCTCCAACATCCCCACATCCTGACGGGAAAACAAGAAACAACGTTGGTCAAAAACTTCTTTTCTGATTGAACAAGAGTGTGTTTTATTTTCTTACCATTCCTGGAGAGACAGATTTTTTCTTCGTCACTGCTTTGACTTTATTCTTCTCGTGGAAATCCTGGAATAACACACGAAGACAACAAGTTAGTTAGCCATACTGCTTCTTCTCAGTAAGTTATCCTTATCCAGGTACGTCCAGTAGACTCAGCACTCCCTCACCTGCCCGGGGACTGTGTACTATCAGACCTATTCTTAGACTCACGTCCTGTTTTATACTCTGGCAACTCCCACAGTCCTGTTGCCCCACCTCAGACCACGCAGTTCCAAGAGTCCAGAGAGATGTTTTATCTGAAGGTTTACAGCCCACAGAGGGAGGAAACTCACTCCTGCAGGGCAGCCTCACTCAGGTATGACGATATCAATGTTCAAATCCATAACAAGTTCCTATACTTGCCAGCACTGACTGTATTTGTTCATTTTTCATCCCATATTGAGAGGTTTATTTCTCTGCAAATGTATGAACTGTAAACACATACAAAGTTCAGCTTACACTTTAGGGTATTACACATATTTATTCAGCGAATGTATTCTTTATCACAGTCTCACTTCAATAATGGAACATAATAGATATGTCCAAAGAATGGACTTGCAGGCAGCCAAACCCTGTTTCAAGAGTATCTGAGATGATCAACTCTGCCAAAGCAAACAAATCAGTGCAGATTAAAACGCACCCTCAGGACCAGTATTGTGTTTAGTTACATTTTGATTTATGGTTTACATAATTTCTTGAGTAATGGTTGGTTTTCGTGAAGTGGGGTTGTATGAGGTGATGTGTATTTACCACAAGCTTCCAAACAGACTAAAGAACTACCAAACTGAAAAATGACTGATCCTGACAGCAACAATAACATGCAACTGTGACAAAAGAGCTGGAGTCCACAAGGGAAGAACTAGACCCACAAGACTGAAACATCTGAGCTTACCAAGAACAGGAGAGATTCCAAGTTACCTGGTGGATCAGTTTTGTAAACTGTGAGTCCATGAACTCAGAGTGGGACTTTATGTCAACAGTGCTACAGGATCTTTCTAAACCAGAGGATACCTGTGGCTTACATGCAGCTGCAGGCCACCTCTCTTACCATCCAGCATTGCCCTCACTGGATGCTGCTGTTCTACCCTCTTTCCTCAAACTTCAAAAATTAAATCAGAAAACTAGAACAAATAAAAGCATATGTATCTTACACTTAGTTTTCAGCTCTCTCTGTTTTTAATTGTTTAATGACACACACGCTCCACAAATATTTATACTTTCAAAAGCTCTTGAAAGGGAAGACTAGGCTGAAATAAACCCTGCAGCTTTTAGTGTGCTTGCTCAATAAAGATGAGACTTTGGTGCTAAAAATAATCTCAAACTGAGATTCAAAAATATAACAATTTAACAATGAATTCAGAAAACCTGGTAAAGAATTGACTTGTGAATAATACACCTGTAGTTGAAGTGACATGCATATGTTGCATGTGGCAGAAGTGCAAAGATGAAGTTGTTGATAGATGGCAAAGAACAGAACATTTGTAAATACAGCGTTTGTCTACATCGACCTTAATGTTTGGGTAGTACTTTCATGAAAATGGCTAAATCGTGTGGTAGAGATGACCCCCTCTGAATCAGTTAGCCTAGTTTCTGTTCAGGTTCTCTGGCTAGTTTCTCAGCAAAGGGGCCTGTGGAAAATCCACTCACGTTTAACAAGTACCTGACACAATCTCACTCGGAAGGAAGCAAACTATCCCATAATATTCTTCGTCAGATATTTTCATGCAATAATTATCATTTCGTTCCACTCAGCATGCACCCACACAAATAAAAGTCAACATCAGAGGACAAATAGATAAACTTGTATAATGTAGTATGTGTGTTTGCATGATAGCAAGCCATTTTGTATTTGGTATTACCCTCTGCTGCAAACAGATAACATCACCCTGTCAGGCATTTTGGCACTGATTATTTTATGATGATCAGATTATTTTATTTTATTTCCTGGTTTTCTTACTAATCACCTCGCAATGTCAAACATCTGATCCTGTTTGGTCAAAAGAATTTAAGGTTAAGACCGCACCAGGCACTTGTCATATCAATCTGTAACTCAACAGAGTTCGGCACAATTATAGAGTTCATGATTTCAGCTCCTACTGTTGACACTGTGGCAAATCGTTAGCTTTTAATTGGCAGACAACATGGAGGAAGTTTTAAATATTACTTTTAATATTTGTGGAGGTCAATTAATCATTGGTTTTTATTCAAAGACAAGGCACTCGTAGAGAAGAGAGGAAGACAAGGAGGGGAAAGACATAGAAAGTAGAGAAGAGATGGGTGAAAGAGACATCCACCAAATTGAGGAAAACAGATCCAAAGATGCTGCAAAATGCAATAATTCTGCTTTGATGATATTAATTCATGATAGCAAATATTAACTATATGTTACACAAATAGTAAGTCATTTATAAGCCAGGCTGTTAATCATACACAATCTTGATTATTTAACAATATGGTAATCATTAATGCATGAATCAGCTTTACATTAACCCAGGGTTATCCCAGCAATAACTAAGCAGTGTTAAATTAATTTATTCAGTAGTATTTTAAAAAAGTTAGCCCAATGGTATCTGTCGAGACTTTAAAAAGTTTCTATCTGCCTTTTAAAAAGATGGTCCAGGTAAAGATAAAGAAAAAAAAGACGTCCCTGATTTACAGTCCCTCAGCCCCCGTCACAATGGACTACATTTCCCATAACGAAACTTAGCATCTTATCTCTGCCAGCTGAAACATAACAGCTGTAAAACTCCACCTACACAGATTATTACTCAGGTATAGTGATAACACTTTCCAAGCTGAGATAGCTATAATGACATCGCTGTAATGTCAATGAAATGTTATACAACTGCCAACTTTAAGGACTGATAAACATTTAAATCCTATCGCGATCACTTTTAATCACGTATTTCAGCTCTTGTTCTCGCCTAGTTACACATTAGGCACTGACTGAAAGTTTTCAGCCCTTCGTGCCCTCAGCACAAAAACACCCTCAGGGTTGCCTGATTTTTGTCTCTGCTCTCACAGCACTTAGTTAAAAATTGTGATTGTGAATTTGCATTTTCGTCATGCCCCAAACAACAACCAACCAATTAAAATCAAGATACTGATATCAACTAAGTAAGATTAATGGCGAAGGTCTGAAAGAAGGAGAAACTGACCACAATTGTTTCTCCAGCAGACTCGCAGACTTGGGGGCTGCAGATTTAGCCCCTCATGTCTGGGTTGACAACATAGACTGTATATAGTATGGACAATGTGGCTCCACCACCCATCATTGTCCAAATCTGAAGCCAAATTGTTCTTGGTATTTCCGGGATATGCTCCATCCTTTGTAATTAATTCCAAAGTTTGTCCACAGCTCCTTGAGGAGGTGGGGTTTATGACCTATACTGCAGCCAGTCACCAGGGGGTGCTGTTCTTGCTGAAGCTTCCCCCAGCTTGGAGGTAGAAGATGTCCATTGTTGCAAGTTGAAGGCTCTTGGAGTTGACAGTAGTACCACCTTGTGGTTGCCAAAGGGTGCATATTTAGCACCTACATTACATTTCTATGGGGCTTGTTCAGCCTTTATTTAGAGAGGACAGGACAGTGGGGGATATGGGGTAAAAGGGCCACAGGCTGGAATCAAACCCGGGCAGTTGCATACTTGAAGTGCACTTTAGAAAACCCCATAACAGGTGTGCTGTGTGTTGTGGCAAGGAGTTGAACCAGCAACTGTCTTGGCGAGCGCAATAGCCTCTGTACACGGAGTGGACACTGGAACAGGCAGGCAGACTACCATCTCAACATTTGTAATGTCTGACTATAATCCTAACCCCAAGTCACACACAGATTAGAGATGTGGTCCTAGAACTGCAGTGCTGAACACTGCTTCTCTTTTCCCAGTAATGACAACATTATGAGTTTACAGTGTATTTAATCACTCAAAGGTTCAGATCAGGATGAGTCTATCTGAGCTTGAACAGCTGACACATGCAGCTTATGGGCAGCTCTTCTGTTCATAGTCCAAGCCTCATAAAACAATGTCACCAAATATACTGACAGAGATATGACCAAAGATGAAAGATCGACAAGAATAACAAAAACTGTCAGTTCAGTTTTCATTTAAAGAAAAGAAGAAAAAAAAACAGACACCAAATACAGCAGGTGAAAGAAGAGTTACAGTCTGTTTGGAAACCTGAAGCAGACCTAACACTCCCTGTCCGTCGCTATAAGTAACTACAACTTTAAAGAGACTTTAACTAGAAGACATGTTTGAAGACACAGTTGAGTCTGAGTGCTTACAAGAGAAAAGAAGAGGAGCAGCGTACCTGTGTGAGCGGCCGAGCTGGGAGTCAGACAGGCAGGTTTCAGAAGGCGGAAGAAGAGATGTAGCGCTGCTTCAAATTTCAGCGAGAGGTTGAAGTCCAAGACTGGAGAGTAAGAAGGGTGTGTGTGTGTGTGTGTGTGTGTGTGTGTGTGTGTGTGTGTGTGTGTGTGTGTGTGTGTGTGCGCCAAGTGGCATGATTAATGCAAGATAAGAAAGGCAGTTAAAAGACAGGCATGAGATTTTATGAGAAGGCTATAATGTTGTAAAGGAAGTTGTGGTCAGTGCTTAAATATGTAGCAGAAAAAAACACACCCAACAGGTCTCACCCATCCAGCACACTACAGTTATTATAGTCAAAAATTAACATACTGGCTTTTATCCAATTTGGTGTTATTTTGTCCATTTTGGCTCACCATAGTTAAGCTGCTACAGTAACCTCCTGCTTCATGCTGCTACTGCTTTAATAATTCACGACACCACTGTGATGTTCAACAGGAAACTTCACTTTAAAAAACCTCTCTATTTCTGCATAAAATACTCATAAAAGAAGTGATACGATTTACAATCACAGTTCAGCAGGATAAGATGTTTGTTGAAAAAAAAAAAAACGTTCCATGCAGACGACAAGATTAGCAAAGACTACTTTGACCACAGGGGGCGCCAAAGTTGACACAACCCAAAAGTTCCTCCAGGAGTTTAATATGGACTTTTTTGGAGCTGCAAATAATTAAATCTTGGACATATATTCACAAATATGTTGTCCAAATCTTAATGGAATGATATTTTAACTGTATGGATTCACAGTGTTGAATTTTTGCTAATATTTCAGACCTAAGTTGGCTGAAACTGGTAACAACATTAATGCAATAGAATTCAGTTTCCTGCTACCCTCATTGTGACAGTCTATTTGTTAAAGAAACGGACATAAAACATGATAAACAACATTTTAGTCTACCATAAATATCCTTTTTTTTCCCCAAAAAAATACAGACATTCAGTAATGTGTCTGTGGTCTGTTTACAACACTTCAAAATTCTTCCATACACTATATGTCTGCACACATGAACTGCCACTGCGTCCATATACATTATGTGTCATTTTTTGTTGTCCAGAAACTTAGAAATTGGCAATTGGCTTATACAGATATTTAAATTTTTTCAGCTGTTGTCTGCTGAGACTCAGAAACCAAAGTTATCCTAATTCCCTTTAAAACTGTAAAATATGGCCTGTAGCAAAATTTCCTATCACTCCTGCATCAAAAGTAAGTTTACATCCTCGTCTGAGCAGTTACATACAATTTTGGAGTTGGTTTGTTGTCGTGGGTCCATAACCCCTGAAAATGCAGATTGCAGATTTTTAGGAGCAAATTATGTGGGATGAGGGATTATTTGACTATCAAATCCTGCTGGTTTGTTTTAGTTGTTTTTTACAAATACAGTTTAGTTTCCTTGTCTTTTGCTTTGGATGAAACCCTTTAAAAGCTGCTCTCTTGGTCAGGACTGTTTTGTAAAACTTTTGTATTCAAAAATGATAAATTCTATAAACAAAGGTTTATATGCAAAAAAAGTTGAAAGAAAGAAAATAACTACACTTTGACCTTAAACATGTACATTAGGGTTTAAACACCAAGGAGACACTCCCATATTGTTCTTATCACCACTTACGTTCTGACATGAACAGCTGCTGCTATCACATCATTGTTCACTTGGATTAACAGCACAATAAAATCAGCGAACATATGCTGTGTCCACACACTCAGCTCTCTCTTTTATGCCTACCTTCCTCCAGTGGCGTCTCTTAATGGTGTTCCTTGTTATCATCATCACCGCCCAGAACTGAGTGAACGACTGCCTGAGACGTTTGTAGTACTTCCTAAAGAAGAGAGGGGGCAGCAACACACAAACACAGAGTAACCCATATTAGTTCACTAACACGACAACCACTAATACACCACTCTGTGACCTCATTTCACCTCCTTACCAGCTCAGCTGTCTCCTACGTGTTTTTGCATAACTGATCTCAGAGCCATTTTTTTGTTTGAAGTGGATGACTGGGATCATTTTACCGATTTAACAAAAACATATGAAAGATTGTTGTTGATAAATCCCATCAGGAACTCAGACTTCTTTCTACTCTAGTTTGCTTCTCTTTTTTAACTGCTATTTGATTTTAAAGGAGAAGGATTGTACGGCTTTTGCCTGATATGGGATTATGCTGCTCAGTAGTTTGGGGTTTCATTTGTCATGCAAAATATTTTTCAACTGAGACAAGCCAGGACTGCAGGCAGGCAAGTTTGCACCTGGATTTTTCTATTACAGAGCCATGCTGTTGTGACACACACAGGATGTGGTTTGACATTGTTTTGCTGCAACATGCAATGTCCTCCCTGAAAAAGGCCTTATCCAGATGGCAGAATATGTTGTACCTATTATTTAGCATTAATGGAGACTTCACAGATGTGTAAGCTACCTATGCCATAAGCACTTTTGCATCCTCGTACCACCTGAGACATTGGCTTTCGCAGTGTGTGCTGATAAGCCAAGTGTCCTCTTGTCTTCAGAGTAAAGGCGTCCATGATTTCCAAAAAGAATCTCAGAATAATCCAGACTTCTAGAAAGTTCTTGGTCTCAGACTATTTTAAATGAGTTTCACTGTAGGTCATGTTTGTGTAAGTTTTTTTTTCTTTTTTCTTTTGAATCTGAATTTGTGAATCTTGCATCAAACTGTTCTGACTGGTTATTAGGGGTGGTTTTGCGCCTATGCAGTGACTTCCACCACAGTGTCATGCCTTTTACTGTAGTGCTACCTGAGGGCCTAAAGATCACATCCACCCTGTATTTGTTTTCAGCCCCTCTGCGCCACCCTTTGAATACTCACTCATGTTACTAACATGTTGTAAATTAACTCAGTTAGATGGTAGATTTTTCTCTTGGTGTTGATTCAACATTACACAACTTTTTCAGCTTTTTTTGTCTCTATTCATCTGGCACATTCGAAATTCGATATTCTTCTTTAGACAACAACATTGTTATTTTCATCGATATGTTTTTTTTTTTTTTTTTTGCACTTTTTAAAACTACATGTCAAGCTTTGATTTAAACTATAAAATCCGTCTTCATCAACATTTTTCACAGCGTTCCTACTTTTTTGGAGCTGGTGTTGTATATTGATACATCATACATGGTACATCCTGTACTGTATCTTTACATGTAATACTTGTCGCACCATACCATACTTGTCTTTTTTGAAAATCATGTGCATTTTACAGCTGATTTCACTTTGATATCGGGACAAAAAAACTAAAATAAAAATAAAAATATTGACTGTTAACACTATCACTTTTTTTTTCCAAGAGATGTGACCTAAAAAATGAATTTCTTCTTTGGGAAGAATAAAGTTCTTTTTATCTTATCTTAAAAAAGGAGAAATAGTGTCATAAAAATGAAGTTAAATTTGAAAAATATTCCCAACAGACAGTTTTCATACAATCTGATATGATAGTTTCAAATGTATTCTTCTCTCTGTCCTTCCTCTGCTGTACCTGGCTTGATGCCCTCGGATATGACTCTGGATGACGATGGCTTTCTGTTTGAAGAACTTGAAGTTCCTCCTGCAAAGGAAACCTCTGATGTTCCTCTGGATGGTGATGGCGGCCCAGGTCTGGGTGCTGCTCCACTTCTCCTCCAGCTGTTGGAACCAAAGTTCCTTCAGGAACACCTAAAAGAGAGACACACACACACAGACAAATCCAAACATGTTGATACTGACATTTTAAACTTAAAATAAAATTAGAGGCACAAATTAACAGGGAACACCTTAGTGAGTCCCAGCTGGTATTGTCCCTCCTCTGCACCAACTGTGTCCAGCAGAGCAACTGTCTGCTCTCTATCTGACATTTCACCAACCTTCTGAGTCAGGAGTACACCGTATCTGTGAACAAAAACACACACTGTCTTTAAGCTTCTATAAATTTAATTGTTTATGAAAAAGTAACCTCTGATGTCTGATTTTCTCTAGCAAGCAAAATAAAGTTAGTTAAATTTAAAGTCAAAAAGTTTTTAAAATATGCAAGGTTACATCATGTGATAAATGCCCTGCACCTCAATTTGCTCTGAGATGGTGGGCTGCTAAACTAGCAAGATGTATGTGGGTGTGCACTTGATACTGTATGTATCAGATCACAGCACCTCTCAATAAAGTAGGAATACTGAATCCTGATGGGGAATCCTTCTTTCCTGATGTGGATGGTCTCCAGCATCCCAGCATGCCTCAACTGGGCCGACATGTAGTCTACGTCAAAGACCCCGGGAAGCTGAAAAAGGACATGAGTGATACAGAGAATGTTTAGAACATTTAAGGTCAATATTTCAAGACCAACTATCAGATAAGTATTAACTGGTGTTACCTTAATATAGTTTGGCTTCAGACAACGAATGAACGTGGTTTTGCATCTGAGGGTTAGAAAGAAATATATTGACACGGGTTACTCATCATGAAACTGAATTTCCATGGACATACACACCTGACTTCACAGCTTCTTATAGCTGTCCTACAACTGGCGTTACATTGTTTAGATTCAGTGGATTTCCTCAATCTGTGATGGATGCAGAGTAATCCTTGCTCACAAATTAGCCCAGTCAATGCCTCCACAGATAGTCTCTTTCAAAAGAGGAAAATACTCTGTGGGAGCTATTAAAGGGGGAGACCAAGTCTATACTGTATAACAAACTACACACAGGACTGAGTCAGCAGGATGTTTACACTGTGGTATCTATGATTATGTCAAACTATCATATCGTATTGTATTGAACTGTATCGTATCGTACTGTATGGTACCGTATCGTATTGTACTGTATCGTATCATATCGTATCGTATCAAAACTTATTGTATCATCCCATGTCTGCAGCTGTTGAGAGCCTAGTTTTCATCTGTTTTTTTCTTTCTTTCTGTTTAAAGAGCCTAAGTCGACCCAGATCCACCATGGCTAGTATACTTTATACACCATACCTCATAAAGAAATTCACTAAAAGGTTTGTGAAAGTGAGCAAGGTCTCTCCACCATCATGGGAAAAGTTCAATGCATGACCTAGACTCATATATGCAAAGTCTATTTGCTAATAAAGCACCCATCACTGTCAGCCACTAAGATCTTGTTAACATCACACATCCCATAATGTGCTGTATTAATGCTTTTCAATACACTAAAATCATGGAATATAATTGTCTCATAATAACACTGGAAAACCACTCAAAATAATACATTGTGCCCTCTTTTCACGGTCAATCTAAACATTAAAATCCTGGTTAGTGTTTACTGTGTTTAAAACTCTCCTTCCTACAGAAATCTTCAGCATTGTTTATAACAGCTCAGTCACGGTCAGTTCGTTGGTACCTTTCCAGACGGGTGGTGAGTTCAGCCAGGGACTGGAGGAAGTGTGAGGCAGCGGTGGACGGCTGCTGTCGAAGGCCTTTCCCTCTCCAGCCCAGCTCTCTCTGCTGAATGTAACCGTCCTGAACCTTCCTGAACAGCTCTGACACCATCTGAAAGGCACACATAAAAAATTACACTCTTGATCAGAGAGGAAAATGATCAACCCTGATTTACATGTATTACTTCATCCAGCATCAAAACTATGACAGTAACAAGTCCTGATAGGATAACAGTAAAAAGCTGGTAATGAGGGTGAACATTAACAAATCGTGCCACGTTATGGTATTAAAACAGGCTCATATCAACGAACTGTTTGTAACAACTGGTTCACCTTTAACCGACTCCTGGCAAAAAGCTCCACCACCTCAGTCCTGAACTGGTCGTGGTTCTTATTCAGGAAATTATGAACCTGAAGAAGAGATTTTTTTATGTGTTACATGTTGGTTGCTCTTTGATAAACCTGTTTTGTAGGGTAGTGCACAGTGCTCAATACCTGATAAGTAACAGCTCCAGCATAGTGATAAATGGTGAAGACTGGCAGTGGATTCTTGGGCTTGGCATAAAAAGGGCTGTTTCCATGGTGGTAGTGGCACTTCTGGAGGAAAGTGTGATCTGTGGCCTAAACAAACACAGGAAAATGATCACACAAAAAAGCACACATGCAAGCCAAGCCATTAATTAGTTGAATACAATGCATTTCCTTTGTAATGATGGAGGATATAGAGATCTGCAAAAATAATAAACCCAATTGATGGTTGAGCCCCCTTGAAGACCTCTAAAATACTGTAAGGAGCTACTTTTGTGTGTGTGTGTGTGTGTGTGTGTGTGTGTGTGTGTGTGTGTGTTTTCTACTTGTGTATCCCATCAACAGAGGACCTTGACTTTGATACACATTCCCTCAAAGGGGCCCCACTTTGTCAACAGCAGGAATTTTAAGGTTTCTTAATAGTTCATGCTTTAAAATGTGCTGAAATCATTTATAAAACCTCTTTTAGGTTTATTTTAAATTTTTAGCCATAAGGAGACCAGCAGGTGTGTGCAAAAGTCTTGACTCAGCACTGCCCCCACAGGTTGGGACAGGAATCCTTAAGAAGTCAGACACAGGCATTGTTCTTGTAACTCCCACATGCTACAAATAGCCAGCAAGTCGTCTCCAAGCAACACCTTTATCTGAGGATATTTTTTGATATTTGTATCACAGAAAGGGAATGAAATCATGATCAGCATCTTCTGCTGGTCTTGTGTGTCACTGTAGCAACATGTTGTGTTTGGCTAGGCTCACCTCTGTGGCTTGTTGATAATTCCCTACAGCACTAAGTGCACAGGGCTTTTGTTGAGTCCCTGCTGACCAGCTTAATCAACATCTTTAATTTCCATTGCCAGTAAATGCAAATCCTTTCTTTTCTCTGGCTTATCCATATTTCATCCACACTAGGAGTGTTAAAAATAAATTGAATATCGAGTCTTTCTAAAGGTTCATTAAGATGCTCAGCCCAAACTGCAATTAAGTATCAAGTCTATGTGATGGCTCTTATTTCGCAATACAAGTATGGACACAGACATGGAGGCTGACAACTTTTTATTGGACTTTTCTCTTCCTTTGGGCACAAAGATAATAGACTGATGGAGAGTCGATGCAGAGATTTTTCAGACCGGCAAATTTGCAATGCCAGTATCTCTGCAGACCAGAAACATCAGTGCCTTCTGTGTGGGTATTCTGCTGCTGGACAAAATACGCTCGTATACGCTTTTGCTTCAGACCTACACTGTAGGTCAGAGTAGCCCTGTGCCCATTGCAGATGCCTCGCACATGCTCAAAAAATGTAACGACCCATCAATGCAACCCGGACTGCAAGCCCTGTGATTGGTTTGCTTGACAGCGAACATTTCTGATATTGCCCCTGTCCCTTGTCCAGCTGTATTGACAGCCTGCACCCGCTATTCCTTTATGTAATAAGTAAAAGCATGATCAGCTGCTGCACAAACAACAGCATCTATGGACGAAACTTATTTCAACAGGATTTAACAAACAAATGGTGTAAATATAACTGATGCCCATAGGTGGAGCTGTGATTGGTTGGCAGGTGTCACATGATAAAACTGATCAGTGTACGATGGGCTCTTGTCTGTGTCAGATCTGAACTGAGATCAGTGAAGTGTTATCTTATGATTACAGAAAAATAATGTCACTATACAGGACAAAGGGTGTCCCACTGAGGTCAAATCAGTTTAGTTTGAAAATACGAGAAATGACACAGGACACCTGGCAACCCCAGCAACAAGAGGCCCAGACCCATTATGTTGCTTTCTCTGCACTGATTTTACTCTGATTGTTACATCTAGAGTATGACTATGTACAGGTCTATGTGTTTTAGTGTGTGTCTGCTTGTGTGTGACTCTGTGCACCTGGGGTAAGCAGGTCTGGTCGTCCAGTATTCGGAGGATGCCATGTGGTCTGGCAGAGATCAGGTCCAGACAGGAGTGGAAGTTTTTAATTGGCATTGGATACCACTGGATCTGTTCTGCACTGTACTCCTCCTGCAGAATGAACACAAAAATACACACACAAACACAGACATTATACAGCAGACTCCACTCAGTGTAAGTGTGTATAAAGTGTAGTTGGAGTCAGCTGATACTCTTCGATCTTATAAACATCCCCCTGACCTGCTCCTGTGAGATCACTGCTCTGTTGACAAAGTGCTGCAGCTGCTCGTTGGCAAAGTTGATACACAGCTGCTCAAAGCTGTTCACTCCAAGATCCTGAGGACCAGAGGAGCCGTGAGGACACATCCAACACTACAAGCACTGATCTGCTACCTCTGAAATCTCAAGCCCAGGATGTACACACACACACCTCAAACCCATAGATGTCTACAATGCCAACTGTGCTGTCCATCTCCGTGGGACTCAGCCAGTCATTGATCTGCTCCAGCAACCAATCAAACAGCACTGAGTATAAAGCTTTGGCAATGGCGTCTCTGCATGAGAGGACAGAGACGAGAAGATGGATGTGTGCTGTTAAAATGGAAAACTATTTCAAGAGTACTTGCGTATTATTAACATCGAGATTACTTTTGTTGTTATGGTGCAAAAAAAATTAGAGCCAGAAATGGAAAAAAAGAGGAAAAAATGTCTTTATTTTTCCATTATACACTCAGAGAAGGAAGTCAAAATTTAAAGAGAGAGGAAATTTAATTTTGAAAGAAAAAAAGTCAATGGTTGCCTAGTGAAGTAACTTTTTGTCTCTACATTCACTATATTTCCTTTAACATTACAAACGGAAAACAGGACATCTTGTAATTTTTAAGTTGGCTAGTGGTAAATATTTGAGTTCATTAAGGTGTAATATTTTGAGTAGATACTACTTATGTAATACATTGTGTACAGTGAATTTTTCAAGTCTGTGTAATTTAGTTTTTATGTTTTATTATTCTATATTTAGTATCATTCAATCAAATCATTTAAGCATGAAGAAGACATAAATATTAAGTTAAGGAAATTTTAAAAAATAGATTGAATTTAGAATAAAGATTAAGTCAACTGAACAGATATTTATTTAGTATAGTGCAACTCAAAAAATGTATCAGCAAAACTTAAAATTCAAAAAGTTTTGACTTTTTTTTCTTAAAATGTCACCATAATCTCTTTATTGTTTTCCAGCTTTACTCCCTAAATTTTTAAACTTTCATTTTCTTTTGTGTGTCCCAAGTTCACCCTAATAGACAGAGATAATGTTTTTTATATTTGGAAACTCTCTGGGACTATCTTAGCAGGGCTAAAGAAATGTCTTTAGAGAACCTACTTTGCTAGTTAGAAAGAGACAACTGATAATTGTAAGTCAACAGATTGATGGATCGATGTAGGAAACAATTATGAAGATTAAATTGAGAGACTTGTCTCCAACATTTGAGGAAACATACTCACCTTGATTCTATGGCACTTTCCACCGACAGAGGACAGTAGATCCTGTCATAGGTTGTCTCCTGTGGACCAATAAAGAGAGTAAGTTTAGAAATTTAACACAGCAAAGGCATAAATGTTTTATGAGAAACTACATACTGTGACTCTGTGAGTGATGACGGTCTGTAGAGCCTCTGAGGAAATCTGCAACAAGGCGCCAACCCTCCTGGCCTCAGCCTCGCTGAAGATACGAGCCACCTCGAACGACTCGCTCTGATGCGCAAACAACAACTGAGGTATGATACCAATGCCAGATCAAATTCTCAACCGTGCTGCTGTACACACACCTCATATGAGCTGAAGCACATGTTTCCAAGCTGTAGGATAGACGAAAGAACGGCCCAGACTGTGGCGATCTGGTCAGCATGCAGCCCTATGGTGTCAAAGCATTGAACCAGGAGCTGGAAGTCCTGCTTGTCCTGTTTTCCCTTCAATTCACAGGCACCACCCTCAGAGGAGAAAAAGAAGTTTTAGATGTGTTGCAGACAACAGAGAGTGAGAATATTTCATGACATGTGCTTTACTTGGTTTAAGTAGTAGTAGGTCTCAGGTCCTTGCAGGTAAAGCTCCTGTTTGTCGTAATCGTTCATTCCTGCCAGAAGCTCATAAAACACATGGTAGTTCCTTTCCTCATTGGCCTAAAGAAAGAAAATAAATAAATTAGTAAAACAGAACAATAATATCCTGTATTCCCGCCATTTTTGGCATAACACGTCCTGCCAAAAACAACAATAACAACATTAAATTTCAACATTTAACCCTTTAAAGACCCACTCCGATGAAAATCATGTTTTTCTTGTTTTTTACATGTTTATATGGCATTTTTCTGATGCTACAAGACATATCATGAGAAAACTAAGTGCAAAATTGCATTTCTGGGTACTTCTGCATTCAAATCGCTGTGAATCTCCGGCAGACCCAAACTGTAGGCTCAAACACAGTGAGTTTACGTACATCACAAATCCAAGCTCCGCCCCCAGAGCCCGGCTATGTAGGTCAGGCTCGGAGAAGTAGAGAGGTCAATTACGGATCAAGCGTGTGCGTTAGCGGATTGCAATGCTCGTAAGAAAGCTAATCATGATATAAGCTTTCATCATGCCCCCAAAGACATTAGTGTCTGAGAGCTGAATAGCTCCTATGTTACCTGCTTCTTCTACTACACAACAATGTTACGCTGCAAACTAGCATGTAGAGGAGCATGTAGCATTTTGAGGAGCGTGCAGAGCAGTGCTGTCTCCGCCCATGACTCAGAGGAGAATTGCTGATGAGCTACTGGAGGTCTGCAGAAAAAAAAGCCCTTGAAAATGACACAGGTAATGCAATTTTGGTTAAAAACTTTATAATCACAATATAAACACTACTGAGAACACTCCAAGTGGTAAGAAATAAATGATTGGAGTGGGACTTTAATATTTAAAAAGATATTTCAGCCCAAAACCACAGTCAGTGACACACCAAGCATTCTTAACCTCTCTTAATGTTTGTAAAGTTGGACCAGCAAATTATTCATTTCCAAAGAAGCCAGACCATGCAACCACGAGAAGAGCTTTGGGTATTTTCCAACAATCAGTTTCATCAGTCAGGAGGGTCTGTGAGACAAATCTGGACCCATGGACTCCTCCATAAGGTCTGCACACAGCACACTTCACTCAGTGTTCTCACCTGAAAGACAACCCTGGACTTCTCAAGGAGGTACTTTGACAATGACGTCCCCACAACAATCCCACTGTTGACCAAGATGAATGAGGGTCAACAAATAAACCAACTACTCATATTTGTGAAAAGGCAGCCATAAGAACTTACTGGAGGATGTGGACGTGGAGGTACTTTCCAAAACGGCTGGAGTTGTTGTTAAGGATGGTCTTGGCATTTCCAAAACTCTCAAGGATGGGAAAGACCTCCATAGGCTGGTCGCGGGGGAGACATAAGCAATCAGAGACATAAAGAAACAGATCCTGACTGATAAACTTTGATTATTTACCTGTCTCAGGTTGTCATTTAGTCCCTGATACATGGAGCTCAGGTAGTGGACTATCAGCTTGGTGGCTTCAGTCTTCCCTGAACCGCTCTGTCCACTAAAAATCAAAGCGAAGCTAAATGAATATAAAATAGATTTTTCCAAATCCTTGTCATCTTGAAAACCAAAGCTGCTGTGGTTTATGTTAGACACTGTTAACCCTATGGCATCCAACAGCATGGCATTTTATCAGATCAATGTCATTAACAGTTATTTAAGTTCAAAAACAAAAGTAGTGAAAAGAGAGACAGGTCTCCCCCTTCTTTTTCTTCTTCTTTTTCTTCTTCACTTTTTCTTTTCCAAAATTTCTCATCAGACTCATACCAAATATTACTTTGCCCTTGTCCTTCATAAAAGAAGCTCTAACCAAAACAGCTCTTTCTTCCATGTCTTTTTTTCTTCAAAATCTCTACACATTCATAACTCATTCTGCTGCCATCTCTCTCCTTTTCCTTCTTGAAAGTGCAGATGTAGGAAGAGGTAGAGCGAACAGTGTATTCTGGCTCTCGACGAACTGATTTCCTGACAAGCATTTTGCCCTGGTTTAGCATCCTCTGCTCTCCCTCCACATTTTTCTCCTTTCTGTATTTCTCTATTTTTTTGCATAGGCAAGTAGTGGTTGGTAAAACTGAAGAAGAGTGTGTAATCTTTCATACCTGATGATGATACACTGCTCCTGTGTCGAGGCTTGAGACTGACTGAAAGCAGCGTCAGCTACAGCATACACATGTCTGAAGAATATCAACAGATTAATAAAGATGAGACTGGAACCTTCAGGTGTGATAAAACCATGAGTACTAACAGAGCAGGTCACTGCTGTGTGTGTAAAAGGGGGTCCTCACGGTGGGTTTCTCTGCTGCTCTCTTCCCTGGTATTTCATTCTCATCTCCTCTGTGTAGATGTTCAAAGGCTTGAAGGGGTTAATGGAAAGCAGCATGTTTCCAATGTAAGTCTGAGAACAGAGAAAATGACACAGGTGTTTGGAGAATATACACACCTGACACAAAGATCGATGTTTGGTCAGCAGCAGGTGATAACAATGACAGTAATTACAGTTATGAATCTACTGAACTCTACATGAAAATGAGCCTGTTTCTCATTTGATTTAATTCTTTTAAGACTTAATATTCTCAAATACAAGCATCAGCTTCAGAAATGATAAATGTATCTCAGATCACTGTTCTCCTTGCTTTAATCACACACTGAAGGCATGGATGGCACAGTGACTCCCTGATGGTGAAACCAAAATATTAAGAGCTACGCCTGATGAAGGGAATAAAGCCAGCCTGGTTCATGTTATAAAACAGGATATGGGTTAAACTTTTCAAGTTAAAATTCATGTTGATACAACTTTTTGATTTATTTATTGATTTATTTTTAAAAATCTAATGCCACGAAGAAGGGATGTGATGTCATGATTGACAGCTCAGTTCACAAACAAAAGGGTGGGACTTAAATGTTGTAAGTCCACCTTCTAGGGTTACATATGTCTGTTCCTATAGTGAGGGTACTTTAGCTACTTCTTTTAAACAACAGAGGGAAATGGATGCACACTGTCAATAATTTCTATGCAGTCACTGTTAAATAAGATTTATTTTGTTGAGCACATTCACGCCTTATTTACCCTTATGAATGTAAATGGATGTAAGTCAAGCTGAAATTCAGTCATTTCAGCATAATAAAAAGTGATTACTGCATTTTAACGCATATGAATCTGAGTAATGGTCATTTTATACATTCATACACGTGACTTTGATGAACCAGATCGACTCAACAGCTACAATGCATCTGAAGTCATACTCCTGCTACTTCTAATTGAGAGTGTCCTAAAGCGAAGTTGGCCTGTCGATACAAAAGCAAAATCCAGTGCTGTTTTTAAGCTCAAAATCTGTCTTTGCTCTGAAATAGTGCCAGAACAAATTGATATTGATGGTACTGATTTGTGTTTGAGGGTTTTTAAAGTTTTGCAAAAAAAGAAGTGGCGTTAAAGGACACTCCAGTCTGCAGTAAATGCACAACAGGAGTGACTGCAAAAAGAGGGGGACAACCCCAAACTGTTCACTTCATCCTCACCTCAATCATCCTGAAAGTTTCATCATGATAAAAAGAGTATGTTGTTTTCAATAGGCTTGGGATGGGAAATATAAAATGAGGTTATTTGTTGGATTCTCAAAGCCAAGTGTTCATCATGTTGAATTTGAAAGTATTCTCTCTCCAGCTTGTTATGTGTCAACTATCTAAGAAGTGAAAGAGAGCGCAAAGGTCTCAGGTCAGCTAACTAAATAAATATGAAAAGAACTGGCATATCTCTGATTTTCCTATAAAAAACACTATAATATCATTATCATTAATTTGTTGGGCCATAATAAATCGATACAACAAAGTATTGCGATATTTTGTCTGGTGATATATTGTTTCGTCTCATCCACCAAGTATCAATTTTTTCAAATTAATTGCTAATATAAACTCAAGTCTATGGAAATGGAAAAATAAAATCAGTTGTTTGTCCAATGAGGCTGGCGGAGGTGACATCATAGAGCAGGAAACAGTTAGTACGATCTACAGCACCTAGGGAGGACCATTAGGAATGAAAGCAGGGCACAAATGGGATGGACACGACATATGAGGTTTGCAAGGAGCGCTCCATCAAAATAAAATATTGCATTAAAAATAGAAACTTAAAGCAAAGACAAATACTAAATAAGCTAAACAGTTGAAAAATTGTATGAATCCAAATATATGGTACTGCAATACTCACTGTATCTAAAAATGTTTAAATCGCAATAATAACTTATCATGGCCAAAGTATCATGATAATATCGTATTGTGAGGTCACTAGTGATTCCCACCTCTAGTGTGTATCACATTTCCATTAACCTTTACCTAATAAAATTATAAGTATACGTCTAAATTCCTCCAGTAAAAGTGCGTCATCTGAAATGAAACTTACGTAAATACAGTCACGCTGGAACCTCTTCTTCAGATTCAGGAGCACTGAGCTCTCACACACTTCTCTGAGAACATCAGAAAACAGGGTCAAATTTAAAGTTTGTGTACTTTACTGCAGGTACTGAATGAGTGTGTGTCTTAGTGCGTGAACTCACTCCAGCTGAGACAGATCCTCCACCTCATCCACCTCTACAGCCCTGTGGCTTCCGGGCATCACCACCTGAAAGACACGAGCAAAACAAGAGTCAAAATTAAAGGCCGCCTCTCCAGTCAGGAGGAGCTGAAGTTTCAGACAGCTCTTACCTTCTCTATAAACATTTCTACTTTCTCTGATGTTGAACTGAATCAGTTTTTAGTCTCTTCCACGACCCTTTGTGCAAGATGTGTTTTGTTGTTTTGTTGCTGTACTTCCCGCTACTGATGGTCCACTCATAACCTTTTCACAGCAGGTAACCAATCCACATGCAGCAGTGTGATAGCTGATATACTGCAATCTCATACCAGTGTGCTGCGCTGTGTTGTATGCTCTATTATCACTACAGACTAGGAAATAAATAAACCAGCAGCAAGCCTTTTATGTCCTTTTGTCTTGCGTGCACAGAGGCAATAAGTGATGAAGTACAGCTGATATACCAACACTCCAACCCTTTGCCTTTACACAACCTCTGTTTCACATTTCTCAACTAAAGGTAAAGTTCCCCCTTCAGCTGTGGGACAATTCTCCCTGATAATATAACAAGTTGTAAATGTTAGGGCATTATTGTGAAGTTATGGAGAACAGCCTGGTAATTACAGAGCCAAAAAAGACATGTATTTAAAGACCCACTCCAATGAAAATCAAGTTTTTCTTGTTTTTTACATGTTCAATTGGCATTTTTCTGATGCTACAGGACATATCATGAGAAAACTAAATGTGAAATTTTTTTCTCAGTATTTCTGAATTCAAATCGCTGTAAATCTCTGGCAATGCTTGTAAGAAAGGTAATTATGATATTAACTTTAATTGTGTCCTTAAAGACATTAGTGTCCGAGAGCTGAATAGCTCCTATGTTACCTGCCACTTCTACTACACAGGCAATGTTAGACTGCAAGCTAATGTGAAGACGAGTGTGCAGAGCAGCGCTGTCTTCACCCACGACTCAGAGGCGAATTGCTAATGATCTACTGGAGCATTACAGAAGAAAAGCCTTAAAAATGACACAGGTAACGCAATTTTGGCTAAAAACTTCAAGACCACTGAGAACACTTTAAGTAGTAAAAAAAAATGATCGGAGTGGGATTTTAACTGTTGAGTCAAGTCAAGACCGTATGCAGCCCAGTTTGGCACCAGGACTCTTCTACTAGGGAGCCGCACTGTTGTTGAACATACAGAACATGGTTTGGCAACATTTTGCTGAAATATGCAAGGTCATTAAAAAATGATGGTCTGGATGGCAGCATATGTTGCTCCAGAAATTGTTCATCATTAATAATGCCATCACAGATGTGTGAATAACCCATGCAAATGGCGCTAAATCGGTAAATAAAACTTTTCAGCAACAAAACATGTTTTATGGCATGTCTTTGCGAGACAAATGACAAAAACGCACAACCTGAAGTAAGCTCTTCAAATCTGCCCGCTGAGGTTGCTTATATTTCTCATAAAATACCAGTCCGAAGGTAACCAATGACGGTAGCTAATGGCAGGTGGAATTATGACCACTGCAACATTAGCAAAGTTTTATAACTTGTGCACATGATATGAAAATGATCAGCTTAAGGAACATCAAGAGCTCTGTTGGTCAGCTGACAGAAAATCAGATATCAAGTTCTTGTGTAACTGCCTATCAATACCTGTGTGCTGACTAGTCGACTCTCCAGCATATCCTGGGTGGGGTCTTCTGATTCCCAGGGACCCCTGCCGTTGTCTGCAGGAACAGTCCTCGCCTGGCCGTCGTCATCATAGACTGTCCACTTGGTAAGCTTCTCCACCGTCTGGTGGGGCAGCAAGTTCTCAGCACGTAGCCAGTCCTGGACCAGATATAGCAGAGATCGATTATTGAATTTGGAAAAAAATGCCATAAAATTTGTGGTTATTATTTTACAACTAAAATATTGAAATTCTTCTTCCCCTATTGAACGGCACTAAAAAATATTCTCTGTTATCCACAGTATAGTAGATAGCACTTATCGATGTCCTGTCCCAGTTTGGTCCCAAAGATGGCAATGACAGTGCTGTGTGGCATCACTTGAAACCCATGAAGATCAGGCCCTGAGAGTCCTGAAGTTACTTAACAGACTTCATGTGAGAAAGGGTCTACTTATTCAACCTCAACCTGGAAGACTCCAAAATCAGGCAACTGGAGTGTCCAGTTGCCTGATTTTGGAGTCTTCTGGAGTCTTGGAGATTACCATGACCTGGATGAATGAGAATCTACATGGACACATTCAACCTAAATCTGTCCTTCTGTAAGCACTCGAGGAGCCTCCTCTGCAGCTGTTTTCTCAGACTTGTGGAGTGATAAAAAAGTTTCATACTCAGACGATCTCGTCTATCCACACATACCTGAGGGTTTCCGCTCATGCGTGGGTTTCCAGCCCAGTGCACCTCTGGTTGGGGAATACCATAAATCCCCCCCTCACCCATTAACTGGGCCACTTCTCTGTCCGCCTCTTCTTCGTACAGGGACCGAGGACCTGCCACACCTGTACTTGCCCCCCCATTCATAAACGGCTGAGTAGGGGACATCGGTATTGCTGGTGTTGCCTCTCTATCTGGTTCTGGACCTTTAGCCCGAGTCCGTCCACCACCTAAAACTCCTCCTGACAAGGAGATCTTGGACAGGTTGATCTGGGAGGGGTCCAGCTTCAATCTTGCAGCCTGTAAGACACTGACTCCATCTTGATTCCCAAGGATAGACTGCACGTTTCTACCGTCAGTGTTGGAGGGTTCTTCTTGTGCAGTGCCAGATCCAGAGCTCCTTCCTGCAATATCTAACCCCGATAATAACCCTCCAGGTAGGGGCTTCTTGATGGACTTCAAGAGGCTGAGATCTGGTTTGACAGGGAGCACCAGCCTGGCGCCTGGTTTTGGGGGTTTTGGCTCTGATGTTGTGGCTTCTTGTGATACGGCAGTACTTGATTGAGCTACCTGGGACGCCTCGACCGTCACTTCCTTGCCCAGTTTGTTCATCCTGGGCAGCACCACAGCGTATTTGGCCTCCACCTCTTTCTCCCCAGCTTGGTCTGTTTCTTTCCCTCCCTCTCCCGCCTTGCCTCGACTTTTCTTACCCGCCAAGTTGGTTTTACTGGCGACTCTCATGGCCATCCTGTGTTTGAGGATGCTGCCTTTGGATTTTCTGGGACCTTGTTTCTGTTTTATCCCACGAAGAGACAGCCAGTGTGAGATGCTGATGGCTCTAGTCCAAGCAGAGAGCTTCTTTCTGAGGTTTAAACCTCGTGGCATGTTCTTATGAATCCAACCGGACATCCTGTGGAGGGTGCTCATACCTTTTTTTTGCGCTACCAAACGTTCCTTAAGTTTGTTCGAGCCACCATCAACGACCTCGCCCTCCGTTTCCTCACCTAACAGCTTGTTCGCTTTTTGTTTCGAGGAGGTTATCTTCACTTTCCCCAACAGCGAGCTCTGCTGCTCCTCAGGCTCCAGAAAGGCTTTCAGATCTTTCCCTTTGTTTTTCAGAAGCATGATTCGGTTTTGGCCTTTAAGGGCTTTGCTCAGTGTTGGTTGAGTCTCCTCCTCTTCCTCATCCAGATCCCCCTCTGCAGGAGCATTTGTTGACTGGTCCTCATCCTCTGCAGTGTGTGGTTGGACCTCCTCTGCTGCAGGACATGGTTTGCCTTCTTTTTTTTGCTTCTTTTTGTTTCTTTTTTCCTCTTTGGCTCTCTCTTTGGCTTCCTTCTGTAGCCGCTGCTTCTCGGCTTTGGCCCTCTGTCTCTCAGCTTTCTCTGCTTGCTTCTCTTCCTTTGTTTTTCTAACCATCTTGACCTCTGGTTCTTGCACAGGCTTTGGAGGAGCTTGTGTTCGTTTGACGGGTCTGCTGGTTTTACGCGGTGGCCTTCGGGACTTGACCACTTGGGTTACTTCTTTGTCGTCACTCCCATCACTACTTGTTGCCTCAGATTCCGCGTCTTCCTTTTTGTTTACCTCCTCGTCTTCTTCGTCTTCACTTGATCTGACTGATTCCACCTCAGATCCCTTTCTTGACTCGGCTTCCTCTGAAACCTCTTTGTCTGACTCCTCGTTCGCCGTCTGCTCTGTGTCTCTTCGTGTATCCGACTCCTCAGCTTCCTCCTCGCTGCTCTCCTCGCTCCCCTGCGTCTCCGTCGGCTCTTTGTTACTGCTCGGCTCATCCTCCTTCTCATCGTTACTCGTGTCGTCTTCCGTCACCTCCGCTGAGCTTCCTGCATCGCTCTCTGATTCCTCATCCTCCTCACTCTCTGTCACTTTGTCACTTTTCTTTTTACCCTGGGGCTTGTTGTTGTTGTTGTGCCTCTTCGGTGTGGTTTGGGAGCCTTGTGGTGGCACTTTGGGCTTGTTTGTCGTGTTTACGCCTCTGTCTCTCTCATTTTGGGATGGTCTGACTTTAGCAGGTGTTCTGTTTCTTACAGTTCTCCCGGCCTGTTTCTGTGACACATTTGGGTCTGTTTCTGCCTTTTTCCTCGTTTCCACTTTACTCCTGTTACTTGTCTTGACTTCATTTGCTTTCCTGTCCTCTGCAGCAGGTGAAGTCCCTCTAACTTTTCGTTTCCCATTGGGAACTCTAGATGGGGACTGAGAAATTTTAGACTCATCTCTTGTATCATTTTTCTGTTGACGTCCTTTTTGTGCTGTGTCTGTCTTTCTTTTTGGGGCGTTTGTTCTACCTTGAGACTTGGCTGGTGGCATGGCAATCAGAACTTCAGTTAGAGGACCTAAAAAACAAAACATTTTAGAAAATCTCTAATTTGGGATCATTTTGATGAGGAAAAAGAAAGAAAGAAGTGCAAGTTTAAGCAGTCGAGCAACATAATGTGTAAATGAACATTGCTAAATACGCCAGCTTTGACTATAAATGAAGAATTAAGGTCTGTAAAATGAGCGCCAAGCCTGCCAAGCTCAGTGAAACCAGGTCCCTAGCTCGATTCATCAGCATCAAGACCAAATTTCACTCTAAAAGTCCCTGATCCTTGCTCTGACTCAGGTCTGACCTAGACCTAAAAAAACTGGTCTGATGTTTTTAGCAGCAATCACAGGGAAATATTTGTGTCGTGCGTTGAAACTCAGTCAAGATGAATCAAGATTAACACTGTAAGAGAAAACAAACATGAACAATAGAAAAGAAAAGTAATTGGAAAAAATACAATCAGTCAAGAAATAATCAGTGAAAAGTGGCCGAGACTTTCTTTTCTAAGCTCCTTTTCTCTTCTGAACACCAAACACCAGCAATTATCTCCAGACCAGATCTAACCTGCAGTGAAAGGCTATCTTTAGATCCGCCTAAATGTCGTTGTATAGCCTGCACACCCTGGGGGTAGAGCAGTGAGAGCCCTTTCAGTGAAATATAGCTTACCAGGCTTCTCAGGTGAAACCCAGGCATGGCTGGGGGGCTGCAGAGAGCTCCAGCTGGTCCTCAAGAGCTGATGTCACTGATACAAACATGCACTCATGACCAGGAGGAGTCACACAAATATCCCACCCACTGACATTATATGGCACGCAGCTACATGTGTGCTTTTATGCATACGCACAATGCCCCTCCACCACAAAGGTGAACTGGCGTGCGTCGACCGGCGCGCACAACAACACAAAGTGGCTTCTGAATAATACAGCTCCACCAGGCAGGTCGTTCAGCTCTGCTGCCGTTAATGCGGCCAGCTGGTGAATGGTGGGGACGAAAGGTGAGAGGTGCTGCTCAGAGCCATCGACAAAAGGTGATGATGGAGGAGAGAGGAGGAGAATGAGAGAGGGAGAGAGGGGAAGAGAAAGGAGGCTCGATCCCTTTGTTTTTAGGAAGGTGGAGGAAGAATCCGTCAGTGTGTGCTGGAATCTACATCTGCAATAAACTTCTTGAGACGGAGCAAAATATTTCATCTTAATTTGTGTAAACGAAAAAAGTCCTGTGGGCAACTTTTCGGTAAATATCAGAGAAATACCTTACAGATCGATAACATGAGCTTAATTAGTCTCTTAATGTTATTGACGGGGTATAAAAAGTTTCACAGCAGATATAAGATAAATCTGCAAAATTAACAATTGATATAAAAAAGTTCTTCTTTAGATGTACGAATGTGACCACTGGCAGCAGACTGTGAATACATGGATGATGCATTCACTTATGAGAAAAGCAAATACGAGAAAACAGACTGTTTGCAAACTAACCGACTCTCTCTAAACCACATGTTGGCTAATAATTGTTTCACTTACTCCAGACCAAAGAAGGAAAGACTATTACAGGCTCATCAGTCATCACTCATTTAACGAACACTCCCTTAGGAATGAATGGACTTTCACATGACTTGCTACCTGCGAGTAATCATTTGATTACAATTGTTTACATCCATTTCTATTTTTTAATGCGCTGCTAGGCCCCCCGTTCTGAGTGTGTACTACATGTGTTGCCCTGTTGTTCGGTCGTGTCTGTGTTTGTGTGACTGTAAGAGGATGATGATACTTCAGGAACCAGCTGCTGATTGTCCGCAGGACCAATCGGGGAGGAGCAACAGATATAAGAGGCTGCTGATTGGAGCACTTCAGGGGTACACACCTGCGTTTGTTTGTTTCTTTGTCAGGGAATCTGTCGTGTTGGCATTTGTGTGTTGGGGCAATTTTATTGTATATCTTTTTTTGTGTAATTGTGGGACAGGAAGCTGCTTACTCCTCATGTAACAGCTGTTTTGAAATAATATTATAAAATGTCATTTTTCCACTCTAGTTTAGAGTCGCCCTTTGTTGTGTTTATTTGTTTCTTTGAGCAGCACTCCACATCCCTCTGTTCCTCACCTCAGCTTTATGTTAAACAGCACTTCATTATTTCAGTTTTGCATCACAGAACCAGGCTTTTATGTTGCATCCTTTTCCTCCTGATATGGGTTGTAACATGCACTTTTAAAATAAAACTCTAGTATTCACCTAGCTTTAGTGGATTTGTCTTTTTCTTTGTGTTTTTTTATGCCATGGTTTCCATGCAACGTTATTTACAGGTTCCCACAGCATCCACCTGTGCTTTTACATTTTTCTCTGTGCCCTATTTTTAGTGCTATCGTTCAGGATAAAAAATAATTATAATAATAATAATAACTTTATTTGTATAGCACTTTTAAAAACAAAAGTTTACAAAGTGCTTTGACATATCGTCACAAAGGCCATTTTCATGTCATAAGGAACCCAGACAATACAAGAACCATGCAACATAAGATGAGACCATGAGGATGAAAACAAAAACATAAAATAGTAAAGAAAAAGAAAATGCAACTAAAAGGGGGGTTGAAAGCAGAAAACAGAATAGTGAAAATAAAAGACAATATCAATAATGATAATAAAATAATAAGCAATACTGATAATAATAGTTATGATAAAATAGAGCAACAGAAATGAGCAAGAGAAAAAAACAATAAAAGGCCCAAAAGATTAACTAAGAGTAGAGTATAAGTATAACAAAAGCTAAAAAGACAGTAAAGCTGAAATAAGATGGAGTTAAAAGAGATGAGAGACGACAGGCATCACATAAAAGTCTTTAAAAGTGAGTTTTTAAATTTTGACAATCACAGTTTTCATTGCTATCTGTATTAAAAGAGCTCAAATGTGCCACACTGATATGCAAATATAGCCGTGATGAGCAGTTTGTTGCAACACAACACAAATACTTATTATAGCTGGATTTTGGGGTTTCGACTGGGGCCCAGGCCGCTCTCCTCTGTTGATTTCATGTCACACTTGAAACAAAGCCTAACTCTGCCTCAGTAATGATCTTTAAGCATCATTAATCCTGCCTCCCCTAAAAGTATTTTAGGACCTTCTTTAAAGTGAAGAAAAACAAAGTTTCCAGACTTAAGTCGTAGATGCAAATTCTCCAGATATCCAGACACAATTTTCTAGCTCATTAAACGTCATCAGGTTGCAAATGACAGACTCATCTTGCAGGGTCATCCTCTAACAGAGCTGCTGCTGTGAGCTGGCTCAGCCTCGGCCAGCAGCTCCTCACAGAGCTCAGGTTGCAGAAAAGCCTCCGTAGCTCAAGGCAATTAGTGGACAAAGCGCCGCATTCTATTATAGATGATCAAAACTCTTGGCTGTGCTTGTATGACAACCGATCCCTCTTTTATCCACTTCACCAGAGATGACTCCTGAAGACCACGACTGCAGCCAGACTCCTGAAACAGAAGACGGAGTTTCAGAATATTCCAGACAGACCAGAATGAGAGGATGGAGGTTGAGATGTTGGGCCTTTCTTATCGTTTCGGTGGTGCGGACAGAGACCCTCACCTAAGATGTCGAAAATCTCAAAGATTCCTCACAGCAAAGCGGAAATAAATGGAGTGGGGATTCAGGCAGAGACCTCCAGGAGTGATAAAATGAGCCCAACGTGTAACCTTAAAGAAATGCAGCTGCTTCAAAAGCAACCGACATCCACTTCCTTGTTGTATCTGTGAGTGGGAATCTTGTTTTAGACATGAGAAACAATCTGGTTTCAGAACACAACCCCCCACCAGGACATCCCTGTCTTTAATTAGCTGAAGTTTGACAACCGTATGACTCATGTTGACACCATGTGAGTCATCTGACAACCCTAAATTCTACGAAGCTGGGCCGAATCAGAGCGGAGATGGACCCAAACAAGGATCTGGTGGAATTTTGACAGAAACCTTGGATCCTCAGATGGGACTCCTCTGGTCGTTCAAAAGTTGAGGAGAACCAGAGACTGTGTCTTTTCCATCAGAGACCCCTGACTTTGAAAGTTTCCCAGAGGCATTAAGGAGTGTAGAATTACTAATATCTTTTAAATCACTTCTTTCAAACTCTCTTTACCTGCTCTTAACCCCCCCCCCCCCCCCCCCCCAAACTCAGAGCTCAATTTTTAGAAAATCCCCATTAGTTCAGTTTCTTTTCAGGTCCATATTTCTGCAGTGATCCAGAGTAAAGCCACGATTACTGTGAAACTGAGACTTACCATAAACAGATGAACCAGCTCCTGTGGGGGGATATAAAACACAGAGACTAACAGCTGTATTCTTGAACAAACATTTGAATGGCTTTTGTTTTACTTTGTACTTCTATACTGATCCAGGGGTGCACAGATTTTTTTAGTCTGCAGTAAAATCTTCTATGACAATAAAGCCTTTTTCATAAAAGATCCAATGTGCGTTTCAATCAATGAATCACTTCGAGGGACTATAACTTCAATGGCTTTGTGTTTGTTCAATCTTGCTACTCTAAAGCTCCACCCAATTGTCTAATTACGGACATTTGCTCAATGCTCAAAACTTTTGAACATAAAACTGATCCTCTTTCTTTTTTCTATCATGGATCAACTAATCCGGCTAACTTCAATTCTCGTTTTACATAGGAAGAAATGGTTAGGACCAACCATAACCAGGTACAGACTTAAAGGGGTTATCAAATCCAGATTAATAAGGTTTTATACAGACGTTAGAAAAATTTTGATTATTAGTTTCAATCTGTTATCACCCCACTACGAAGATCTGATCCAAGGGTTCATACTGAACAACTTGACACTGGTTGTTCTGTTCACTATAAAGGGATATTCCGGCATAAATTTAGGGTCATACACACCGCTAGACACCCCCTTGAGAGGTGAATATTGCCGACTACTTGCTTCTCTAGATTAACAAACTTTAGTAATGACTGCAGGTTAGCAATACACAGCAGTCTGAGGAGCCATAAACAAACCTCGACCAAAATGCCACTCTATAGCCCCAAATAATGCTCAGAACAGCACCTAACTTCATCAACAGTACATATAGGGTCCAAGCCACAGCACTAACCACCAAACATCTTTTTTACTTTGCCTAATTTCTTCAGCAAAGAGACTAAACACAACTCGCCCACTCTCTTCCAGCAGCCGCTTGTTCGTAGCGAGACCTCAGGCCAGTCCATTACGGACTGCTGTGGGGTGATGCAGCTCAAGGAAGAACATTTATGAACATTACTTCATGGAAATGCAATTAGACTGAGATGCTAAGGCAGAAGAACTACCGTGTCTGCAGTGCAAAATGATTAATACGGTGATTATTACTTCAAGGAAATAATAAAAAAAGCAAGAGTTCAGCAACATTTATCTCTCAAGGGGGTGTCTAACTCTGTTATGGTGTGTTTAACCCTAAATTCATTTTATGCTGGAATATCCCTTTAACTAAGCAGTTTTTCTTTCGTTTCTTTTTTTGGAATAATTGAATGTAATTAAATCATTAAAACAGAAAAAACAGACAAATTAGTTCTGCAGAAAAAAACATGTAATAATTATCCACAAAAGGACTGTAGTGTGAGGTTACAAATCAAAACAAAAAAAAAAGGAATTAGGGTTCTTGATCAGTTCACTACAAAAATATATTCTAGGCTGATGCTAAAATACCCAGCATTCTGAGACACAGTACCAAAATATGATCTAAGTTAGCAGCCAACCCCGTTACAACAGGCCCACAGGTACAGACTGAGTCACATACATACTGTATATATTAAACACATTTCACTAAAGTAGCTTACAATTACATTCCTAAATTACATTATTCAATCGTTGGAATAAAAAAAAAAATGGTTGACATAAAAATAATTAAAAACCAAAACCACGTAGAAAGCTTTCCCCCAAAAATTACAGCATCGTGGAGAAGTACCGACAGCCGGTTAGAGAGTCTCAGAGCGGACGGGAAAAGACAGGGCTGAGTGAGCAGAAAACAGGTACAGTACAGTTTGTAAAGCTATCCATAATCAGAAAAAGAAAAAAAACAAGTTAACATCATTGTGGTTCAACATACATCACTGGTTCTCTTCTGGGGTAAAAGTGAAAACATTTTCCCTTAACAGTTCATCTGAAAAGTCGGAAAGACTATTTTTGCAAAAAAAAAAAGAAAAAAGGATGAAATATTAGGTATAAATGTAGTCTGTGCTGTAAAATAAGAGGTTTGAATTTAAAAGGAGGAAAACTCTGACTCAACGATTTCAGTTAAAATGTTAGGAAAGACTAATTAACACTCGCATTGGTAGGCTGTCACTTTCCAAAAGTAAGGGTGGTGTTAACAAAATAATGTAAAGATATTTGACAAAAAGGTATGAAATTTCACTTTTTAGAGAAGTAGATAAAGTGGGATTAACTAATCTGGTTTAAAATAAACTCAACTAGTTAAAAAATAAATAAATAAAAATGCCTTATTTGGAGTAGGGCTGCTGAACTTATTTAGGTCAAACAATCTCTTTCATGACTCACTTCAATCTTCTAATTCTGAGATCTAGATGGAAACAAAGTAGATAGAAAAACAAATCAGACATGGATTTTTCTAGATTTGAGCTACTGAAAAAGGAACAAAAGTTTCAGAGAAAAGTAGTCTGACTTTTTCAGGACGAATCCATCAATCTGTCTGTTAGATTTCAGACTTTTTTCAAGCAGTAAATAAATCTGAGTTTGTAGGATTGTAACAAAGAATTCAGGTTGTTTTTCTTGGAATTTGGGGATTTAATTTGGAGTTTTGACTTTCTCAGTTTTCTAAAATGAGTCACATTTCTAATTTTTTTGTCTATCTGAATTTTCAGATTAAAAGTCTGAAATCTGTTCCTTTCAGAATTCTGGAAAAAGGGAGTCCAGTATTTTAACAGTCTTTCCAGAATCCTCACTTTTACTCACCATCAATTGCAATTCCCAAAAACGGGTCAAAATTCTGACATTTATTCTACAACTTCCAGACATAAAAAATAATTAATTTCTATTTCAGCCTCAGAATTTTTAGAATAAAGTCAGAATTTAGAGAAAAAAATCTGAATTTCTGCCTAAATCGTTGGAGGAGGGAAAAAAAACAGTCTGACCCCAGAAAAAGAAATCAGTGTCTCTAATGCTGACAGATTATAACCGTTACAAAGTTTTTTTTACAGGACAGAATAAAAAACAAAAACAGTCTGAATTTTAAACTTAATCTAAGCTTTCTGACCTTTGCCCAGAATTCATGTTTCCTCAGAATTCAGACTTTCTCTCTAAATAATCTACTCTGATCAACTTCTGTGTGACTTGGCAGCCGACTAAACCTTGACATATTGTGGATTTTTTTCCTCTCAGTCCCAACATCTCACGTCCTTTTTCCTTTTTTTTTGCAGAAATGTGCTTCCATCGTGTGAATCCGAGGTTACTTCAAATTAAAAAAGAAAATTAGGCACAAGTTTCGTCGAATTCAAGCTACGAAATATTTTCAGCAACATTACTCAGATCTTTCCCCGCGTTCCCTTCCAGCTGTTTGTCCGTGTGAGGAGATGAAGGCCTGTGAGATTGCGCGGCGGAGGGAAGAGATTTGATTGGACGAACCGTCTCCTGGTGAAAAGGCTGGTGGTGATAAAAGGCTTCAGGATGCAGGTGTGGAGGATTTCAAAGTCAAAAAGCTCAACAGGTGGCAGGTCTGAGATGCTGGTTGGGTGAAGTTTGGCGTTGGTCTCATGTCAGGAATGTGCTTCATGTAGCTTTGGGTTGAATGGTTGTGACCGTGCTGTGGCGGTGTGTGTGTGTGTGTGTACAGCGCGTGGTCTTCAGGCACAGGTGGTGTCTCTTCCTCCACCCTCTGTCTGCACCGTGAGCGAGCCTTCAAACGGCAGAGTGGTGCGCGTTCCGCTCCACTGGCTGGAGCCCTTTGGTGTCTCTCTGCGAGCTGAGAGAGGGGAGGTCAGTCACTGAGGCGAGGGGTCGGGGGTCAGTAGTGGTTTTGTCAACGGAGCAGGAGGCGAGAGCTGCTACAGGACTGCGGTTATTACATCGACACGTCCTTTCAGACTGAGGGGAGAACACACAAACACACACAGAGAGAAAATACACAGAAATGATGTTGATGAATAAATTTGGATTTAAGGACTGACTGTAAAAACCTGCTGCAGCCTCTCTTACCTCAGCAGTTCAGTGATGTCTCTCAAGCTACAGCATTCTTCACATTATTCTCCAGGAAAGACCTGCGACACAGATAACAAGTTTAACTTTTTTTTTTTCCCCTTTCATATCATTTTTTGCACAATTTAAAAAGAATACAGTAGAAAACATTATAAGTAATAATAAAACAGTGCTGGGAGAGGAAAAAAGCCACGATGGGCTTATTTGATGGGCCTACACCTATAATAGCCTAATATTAATATTACAATTTAATGTACAAAAGCACAAGATAACATTAAAAAAATAATAAAAATAATAGTGACTGACAACAATAATATAGAGGAAAAATATATATATTATATATATATGTGTGTGTATATAAAGTGTGTGTGTGGAATATGTGTGCGTGTACATGTGTCTATTAATAACTCATGAATGATGATAATAATAATAATGATGATGAGAATACTAAGTATTAAAATATATAATTATCAATGAACATTAAGACAAATACCTACATAGACAATACACTCAATAAACTCATAAAGCACGTGAACATAAAATCTGCATTATAGGAGTCTAGACATTCCAAATAACTTTATAGTTGAGGAGGAGGCAGGGTAAAGACCAGTTTATGTTGGCGATTTTAAGATTATAGTTTTTAATTCCTGAAACTTGTGTGAGGGGTCTTAAGAAGTCAGCCGAGCAGCAAGAGAATTTCCACTTATTATATTTACAATAATTTATATATTTGATCGTCAAAAGTCAACAGGATGAGATTTTTGTATGGGGTAGCTACTTGAGTGGGTAGAGGAAAAGTTAAGCAAATACTGTTCTGTCAGCAGGGGGCGCCAAATTTGACGCAGACAGAAAGTTTCTAACAGGAATTTTAATAATAATAATGATAATAATACAACAGTCACATTTACGAGCCTGAGGGAAAAATGGAGTGTCAGCTGCCAAAAAGAAATAGAGATGTACTTATGTGACAACATCAAAAGTACAATTTACAAAATTTTGACAAAGCCGAGTTTAACATAACATTTTATTAACCCTAAGATGAAAATGAGGGTGATATGGTAACTAAAATTTAGCCTTGCTCTCAGAACTTTGATTGGGGTGTACTCATTTTTACATCCTGATTTTAAATTGAAAAAAAAAAAAATACATTTTTGTATGCAACTTCAAAATCTTGTTTGCAATCAATGGCCTGCTTTTGTAGGGAGTATTTTGTTTGTCTGACATAGAAAATGTTGATTTTGAAAGAAAACTCAAAGTTTTCTGACAACTCTGAAGGGGTGTACTCATTTATGCTGAGCACTGTATATAAACACATCCTGTCTTTTTTTAGAATTTACCCTTTATTTTACACCGGCCTTTAGCAGCCTGAATAGTGTCCCCAGTGGTGATCAAGCATTTTGGTTTCTTTTGCCACAAAAGACTAAAATAGGAAAATGATGTAATCTGCTAGAAAACAGAAAAAAGCAAATAAAAGCACATCATTAGACAAAGCATGTTTTTGTCTGTAAGGGCGATATAATCAAAAATTGCAGTTAAAATGGCTTTCAATGTGCATTTTTGTTCTGTACAGGAAAAGTGTGATTAGTTTGATATACAGAGCACGATCTGCTAGAAGAGTACGGCTAATTTCTGCAAATTTACACACTGTATGAATTATTCATGGGGAAAAAAAAATGGAAAACAAAGATGTATGCATCTCTAAAAGAGACTGATGCGACCTTGGAGGTAAATCAGGTGTGAAATCAGACAAAAACAGACAGCTCTCTATAATTTGACAGTGTCAGATTCTTACGTTTGGTCTCCTTCTAGTGACTTCTGGATCTCTTGAAGTACCTCTGAGAGAAAAAGAAAACAGAAAGGTGAGTGAACTTTGTTTTCTTTTAATCCCGGTCTTAACAGCAGCACTGTGTCCTGGAATCTAACAGGAGTTGTACAATCATGCGATGGGACGATGTTTGGTCAACACTTGCTGATGAAGGTGTGTCTGATGATGATAAAGGGAGCAGAAAAGCTGACACACCAGTTAGGAGAGGCAGAACATGAGGCTGTTTCAGCTGAAGCCAAACATGAATGATTCAAATCAAGAGACAGAAAAGTCTTCCTCCTCTTAAGATTTTCGCTCTACTCTGTTTTTCTCTCCGGTACTCACGCTCGTCATTCAGCAAAGCATGCTCCATTACACGTCTAGCTGCACTCTCTGGAACACACAGGCAGCAGGCAGAGGACACGTCAGTACATCAGCCACAAACAAAGTGTGTGTGTATGTGAGTGTGTGTGAATACAGACAGACAGACAGCAAAAGCACAGAGTTGAACAGCATCAAACACAACACGACAACCAGATTTGTAGTGTTCTTTCGGCCAACAGCACAAGCACGATGAAGAATGAAGCTCATGTTCCCTGAGAGACATTTTACCTGCGTCTTCACTGTCGAGTCTGGTGCTTCTAGAAAGAGAGAGAAAATAAAGGCTCATGAGGGATGAAAAAAAAAAAGGTTGAGTTTGTTTATGATCCAGTGGAAAACTGAAGTGTCAGGACATACCTGAGAGTTGATGACCCTCCGTCAGAGTGAATCCTACGTTTGGCGGAGCCCGGTTGAAGAGGAAGCTCGACTAGACAGCGAGGCTCCACCACGAAGCGTGTGGACAGAGAGAAGCGCTCAAACTCGGAGGGAGAGATCAAGTAGAAGCCTGAGGGGGGAAAAAGAGGTCAGTATATCCATCAGCGCAAAGTAATATTCAAACCAGCTGATGACAGATTTTCTGGTTTTGTCACATCAATCATGCTCTGTAGAACTTCCACACACATTTCTGCATGAAACTGTCCTGTACTTATGCTTATTTAGTTACTTTCTTCGATGTTTGTTTTTCATTCTTAAGCCAAAAACGTACAGGATCCATGTTGAGTGCATTCCATCAGTGTTGCATCTCTGCTCCGTCGAGCAGCTCTGTCTATGGCACACAGGATGCGTATTTGGAGCGTAGCAGCAGCGTAGTGCAGCCCTGGTCAGCTGGGCTCAGTATAGAGGAAACAACATGCTCACAACAGGTTGTTTTGCCTTTCTGTGGTCGATTTCCTGCTAATTTGGATATAATTCAGTGACTGTTGAGCTTCTACTATATGTGAAAAAGCAACGTGATTGTACAGTTTCGGTTTTTGCAGGTTTACTCGTGTTAAATAAAGTAAACTATGTTCGTTAGTTAGCAGTTAAAAGTCTTGTTGGGGTCCACATGGATCAGGGATTATCCATCGGATTGTTCTGTGTTACTGATAAATCCATAACCAGGAAGTATTTCTCATCTACACAAACTGATACACAGTCGGGAGTTCGCATATGGTGTTTTTTTATGAAATACTGGATAATGACGGTTTTCGTGTTTGACATCCCGTCTAGGACGATCTTCTCTGTAAGGATTGACACGTGTTGGGAGCGTAGAGTAGAAAAAATAGACTCGGTGCATTTCTTTAGCAGAGCCGCGCTCAATACGCTTCTGATACAGAGCTGATACGCGTCCTGTATGTGATGTTGCATTGATTAGAATGGGAACGGATCTGCTGCGTGATTCGCAAGGCTGACGTTACACGCTCAGTACGATCCTGTATGTTTTAACCTTTACTTGCTTGACTGTCTCTTTTCTTTTAAGGCTTCTGAAATTCTTTTTTGGCTTCAACTGGGACCCGAGTGTAAAGTTTCATCCCACCTCATCACAGCATGTGTTACCGTGACAATGAGTTATCCTTAAATCCTTGAACAAATGTGCAGTAAGGTGCTGGATTTTGTTTGTTTGCCGCAGAAGTCACACTTCTCTCTGCTTGCTGTGTCTCTCTCTGCTCTTTTCTCTGCATCACTAACTATCCTTACTCACAGGTAAACAAATACTGATGGTTTTAAAGTCCTTTTGGTGTCTTTATCTTCCTTAGAGCTGTCAGAAATGTCACGACACTTGTGGAGGTATGAATTTACCCTGGCCGTGCTTGGTGAAGACGCAGGAGGCGATGCCGCTGACGTCCTCTCGGCGGATGCAGGGGTACTGAACCTGCATCTTGACTGATGGCAGCGACACCACGTGGACGTCGCCCTGATTGGTCAGGACCACCAGGCCGCTCTCGCCGTACTCCTCTGATTTACTGCTGCCGAACCAGGACACCCCCACTCTCCGTACTCTGGAGCCGTCCACAGCCGTGAGCTTTAACTTCATCTTAGCGCTCACCTTTGGCAACGTGAATACCTGAAGACACACGAGCACTGGTTGAAGATTGTATCGTATCAGCTGTTGTTCTGTGACTCTTTGTTTGTTAATTTCTGACCTTAAACTGTTCCTCGGATATGACGAGGAGGTGGTGCGAGCCCTGCATGTCGGGTGAGCGAGCCAGGTCGTGGGCCACCTCCAGAGGCTCGGGGAGAGGAGCTCCGTGACCGTCCAGCACCACAATACCCACGACAGGCGCCCGGTGCATCAGCTGGATCTCTTTAGCTGTAAAAGAAGAGGAAAGAGATAAAGAAGGATGTCAGAGGTGACGATGAGAAAACACTCTTAAAAAACAGTCATCAGGAGCTTCTCCTCACCTGGCTGTGCGGTGACCTGTTCATCTGCTCTGTGCTCGACAGGAGGGAGGCGGAGCATGTACGCAAACACACAGCCACCGTTGGTCCCCGCCCATAGGGAGGGTGTGTTATGTGAACCTGCAGAAATACGTGAGAAGGCTCGAGTGTTTGTTTGTTTTATTTGACACTTTTGGATGTCGGCTGTGTTACTCACTGTCTGTGAGGAAGGTGTCGGCGAAGTAGAGCGTCCGCACGAGGCCCGTGAAGGAGTCGTCAGAGGAGCGAGCCTCGATCTTTCTTTGGACGGGGGCGAGCTCCATCTCTGCCAGCTCGGCCTCCAGGCGAGCGTTCGCCTCCTGGAGCTTCACACACGTGAGAGTGAAGATTATTATTATTAACAAAAAGGTGTCAGAGCAGATAAACAAGGCTGAGTCCACTTTCTGTTAGCTTCTACAAATCCCAGAAGATCACTTATATACTGATCTACCTTGGCTGCGTTGTTGACGTGATGTTTCCTTAGCGAGACTCTGCTGCGTCTGATTCTTCTGAAAGACTGTCGGAGGGATTTCTTTATGCTCTTCACCCTGGAGAGAGGACCCTCCATCGCCAGCTGGTCACTGGGGTTCAGGGTGCATCTGCGGTTGGAAAAAACGAGTTCAGATATTAAACAATGTAAGCTGAGAAGCATAAATACATACAGTGTCAGAAACACAAGCTAACCGAAGCACCAGATGAACCTGAATCTGTCGGGTCTGTTTGCAAACTTAAGAGTTTGATTTAGACCCCAAATTGAGGTTTAAAAGGCTCCAGTACTGAATACTAAAAATCCTCTTGATTCTCTTTCTCTCAGTTTTCTTACTTGACGAGGATGTTGCTCTTTTGTTGGTAGTCGTAGAGGCCGAAACCGTGACTGGTCCCGAAAGCGACAAGCTTCCACTCCGAGTGCAGGGTGAGAGCGGTGACCACAGCGGGGGGCTGACACTGGACCAGAGCAAAGGGCTGGAAGCCTGGAGGAAACTGGACCGGCTCCTCTCGCACATCCAGCCGAGTGTGGCCCTGATCGGCAAAAAAACAACAGTTATCCACAGCTGATTAAGATACAGCTTTTAAAACTGTTTTAATTCTGAAGTAACTGGTTCGTGATTGTTTGTCACCTTCCAGCGGAAGCCCTCCTGGCCCTGCAGCAGGTCCACAACTTTAGCCTCCACAATCTGGTCGGCGGCCTCGTCGTTTAGTTCAAGCACCAGAATCTGGCAAAGGAGACACCAAGAAAAACAGGTTCACAATCAGACCAGAGACCTTCAGAATAAAAGCTCAAAGTTAAAGGACACACCTTCGCACACTTTCATTCTTCCTGCTATCTATTTTTGTTGATTCCCCTGTGAAGTTTCTATATTGATCAGCAGTTTTAAACCGAGTAGAGGGAAATAAATATCACAGTTCAACTATTACTATTATATTTACTTCTGTCTAGACTGACTTCTCATTGTCTTTTTAACCTAAAACAGAAGTGCTCAAACAGGAACAAATGTTACAGAGAATCAACTTTTCTCTTTACATGAACCTGAATATAAACCAAAAGGGACAAATGATGGGTTTATCGTTATTGGCGAAAATAGTACATTGGGTTTTTATGTAACACATAATTGTTACAGTTCATTTTTGAAATATAACATGTTGGATACAGTCTGGTGGAAAAAATTGAGGTCAAATACATACTTTGATTGATTTGTGGACCAGTATTTCCTGGATTCTTTCAGAAATTTTGCGTACAGTAATAAAGCTAATCCCCTACTTGTGCTGTTTGGAGTCTCAGACCAGTTTTCTCAACTTAACAACACCCGGAACAACAAATATCCTACACTCTAACCATGGAAAAATCTTTTTTTTAATACTGAATGTTTTATCATCATGTCCTTAAAAACAACTCAAACCAGACAGTATCTTTTGCACATCAAGCTCAGTCATCACGATCACTTTCAGGAGTCAGCTCTGGACACATCTTTAAAAAATACTAAAAAACCCTACATTTACTATCATGGTATGAATGTTCAGCAGTCCGCTCACCTGTCCAGCTGTACCTGCCACAGTCAGATACCCGCTGTATTTACAAAGGTGGATCTTCTGAACGCCGAGCCGTGGGTCGTCGCTGTACGGGTCGAAACAGCCCACCTGGAGATGTGGAAATACTGTTAGGTACAACAGACTGAAAAACAGCTGAAAGAAAAGCTTTGGTAAAAAGAAAATCATCAAAAGGTATCGCTTCAAACAATCAGTATGACTTTGGTTTTCTTTTGTGGTACGAATCTCAAAGAGAAACTGATGTTTGTGAGGTTTTTTTGTACTGAATGGGTATTAAGTTTGCTTTAATAACATCATGATGCAAATTAGTAACAGTCAAAAGCTATGTTTTGTTCAGGTCTGTCCTCAAGAGGAGGAAAAAAGACTTGGCTCAGTGAGACAGCATCAAATAGGTTTATGTCTCAGTGTCTCAGATTGTTAGCTGCACTTGCAAATATCTGTTTATAGAGTGAAATATGTCATTTTCAGGTCAAAGCCAAAAGAAGCTGAAATGTTTTTGTCTGAGGTTATGTTCCTTCTGCTTTTGCTCTCCATACAGACTGTTTCCCTTCATACACCCAAACCTGCTGAAACAAGCAGAAACAGAAGACAGGACACTTCCTGGACTAAAATCCAGACTCAAAAGTGTAGTTTAGGTTTTTATGTAGCTGGAGATTACTTGTGATGAAAAACCAAGACTCAGTCCAACCCTCTCACAGCCGAGTACAATTAATTCTAATATCAGTAGTGACATTTTCTAGTTTCATCCATTTCAACAGCAAAAAAAGAGCTCAGATGGTCTTTTCATTGACACGTTTCAACGAAGGGAATAAAGCTTCATACCTTTCTGAATGGCGGCCACTCTCCTTCAGAGCCTTGGTTCATGTTATCGTTGGGGTCGGCGTCTGTGTGGAAAACTCCTGCTGTGCTTAACTTGTACATGGGATACAGGCAGACCCCTGAGGCATCCCAGAAACGCACCGTCCCATCCTCGTGCCTGCACACACACACCACAAAACACAATCTTTTTAAACCTGCCTTGAATCAGAATTAAAGATACAGACAGAGAAAAGTAGTACTGACCCTGTGAGCAGCAGGTCTCTCTGTGGAGGGTCTGGGGCCAGGCTCCTTCCTCCTGTTATCGGCCATGGCTGCACGAAGAGAGAGGGAAAATTAAGATTTAAACATCCAATTACTGTCGTCTGTTTAGCCAGTTACAAAACAGCAAACCTGTACCGTCAGATTCTCACAGTAAACACTCCAAAGGGAAGAGCTTGAAAGAAACAAGGATCAGGTGACATTTCTGTTTTTCTCCTCGGCTGTGTGTCTGCGACATATGTGCAAATGTAGCTTTTACCTCTCCAGGAGACGTTAAAAGGACTCTGCTAAATCTCTTTGTCTACCTGACAATGACAACAAAGAGCTGATCATAGACAGACACAGCGGGCAGGATGAAGCTGCTGCATTTATTCAAACCTCCTCGCATTCCTTCTTGCACATTTGTGCAGAGGTGTGGGCCTGCTTAGTCTCTTTTTAGAGCATGCGTACTGAGACATCATCAGAAATTCAGACTTTCCCCTCTGCTTTTCTGCTTTGTATCCACTACTGGACCACCAATGCTCGCCTGTGTTTGCTTTCAGCTACTAAAAATGACAGTTGATCTGTGTTTTTAAAAGCTTTAGCATTTTCAATCATTTAACCATAAAAATGGCAGCAATTGTTCTAAATCGTTTTGAAGCACTTACGTCTCAAAATGATGGCGCCCCCTGATTTATATCAAAGTTCAGATTCTCTCAGACACCTCAGTTTTTACCTCGCTTTTACACATGCTAGATTAAACACTGATGCCTTTCTATGATTCATTAAAGCAAAGGAGACCACTAAGAAGAGGACTGAGTGTCCACAGAGGCAGCAACAATTAATACAAGATGAAAGAATCTCTAAGGGTCCTTTTTTTATCAGGTCTAGAGCTGGTTACACAACTGTCCTTGTGAGTGAAGTAATTCTATTTCCTGTGGTATTTGGGGCTGTAATGTCAGCTACAGTTATCATTAAGCTTGCAGGCCACTGAGAGGAGTGTGTCTGGACTGCAGCAAAACTCTCATGGTTGTATTTGGACATGCAAGAGTCTGAAACAGGGAAACTACTTTGAAATGAGTTTGGATTTGTTCACAGCTGTGGCATATTGATGAAGTGATACGGTTAATTACAGAAAATGTCTTTATTTTTCATTAATCTTCATCAGTCTTGTAAATGACCCACATTATGTGTTGGTATTGCCAGTCTTGTTTTAAAGGTGTAATCCTTATTTGGGATTTAAAAGAGACTGGTGCCTTTATTTTGAAAGGAAATGTACCAGAAGTTATCAGTCGATGAACAGTAATAACGATGTGTGAATTCAAGACTCATGATCGCCAATAACGATCTCTTTAAGTTGCTGAAGTACCTGGTTGATAGAGGCGCAAGGTTCGTATATTCTTCTTTTCTCAGACAAATTAATATGAAGTGGCTTTATGACATTTGTTTGAGAAGTTTGATTGAGTTTCGTGTTGCAGAGTATTAGCAAAGGTGCTATAGTTACGATGATGGTCATGGTTAACACAGACGTAATTCATTAAGTTCACAGCACGTTGCCTGATGCACACTTTGAATCCATGTGTATTTTATTCATCATAAAGCACTATGCCTGCATTGATATGATGTATAAAGATGTATAACATGTTATTTGGTTTATAAAAGAGGTGAATTAATGTGTTAGTATAAACTAATCCTTACCAGTTAAAGCACTCTGATTTGAGGTTTTCATTTTGCTAAAACAAGGAACTTAAGTTTATTATCCTTGAAGGTTTATAAAATATATAATTTGAGAGAGGTTATTGAACACATAATTTAAAAGGCTAAAACTATTTTCTAATTACAGAAAGCGTATTAATACTGCTCTTATTTTTTTCTCTAGCTCTTACGGTGTGTTCACACTGTTCATGGATGTTAAAAGCGACTAAATAATTTTTTTAAATAAAACTTTGTGAACCATCAGTCAGAGAGTCAGACCATGAATCAATGGGGGGTGCTACAAGTCTCCTTTTTCTTTTGCATATAAACACCTTGTCATGGTATCTTTCACATCTCACTGAAGAATGTGCAAATAAAACATGACACAAAATCAATAAAAAGCTTGTTTTTTTTGGGCTGTCATCGGGTGAGCAAAAATGTGCAAAAACCTTTCTCCAGATTAAACTTTCCCAATATCAAAGATGTGCACCTTTTTTGAGTAATGCGTCTTCTGCAGGTCTCCGGCAGCGATGACCCTCTCCCAAAGCTTGATGGGGATGGCGGAGACGTGATGGGAGCAGGTGATGGCTGAGCTGTGGAGGGGGACCAGGTATGGTGTCTGAATGACCGGCCAGCCATCTGTCTGCAGGTCGATCACTACCAGCTCCTCCTCCACCAGAACCACCAGCGCACTGGGGTCTCCTGGAGACAGACAGGGGCAACATATCACAGAATTTAGAATTAAAATTGAACCTTTTTATACCCTGACAGCATTAGTCCAGACCGTTTCTACAATGATGTGCCAGTACCCTGAAAAACCTTTAGCCTTGTTAAGTGTTTTTGTCTTATTTCGAGTAAAAAGTGTCTATTAGGCTCAATTCAAGCCACACTTACCCTACAAGTCCAGGAATCGCATGCCAAAAACAAGAAGTAAATTATTCTAAAGAAGAAAAAAATCTGCTGATGGAGTGAAAAAAAGGACTAGTCAGGTTCTTGGCATAAGGCAGTTTATCATTTTTAAAGTATAATGTCCTTATTGACTTACTGACTGTTTTTTACTCATTACACGCAACTCAGTTCTTGTTTTTGGCATGTAATACTTGTCAGGGAAGTGTGTTTTGAATTAAGCTTCAGTTGACAAAACTTGACAAAGATTTGAGTTTTTTGTTGTGTGTCTTAAAAACCAGCGACACAGGACTAAACGGCGAGGTTGAAAGAAAATATCTCTCATAAATCAACTCAAGTGAAAAACCTTCTTCAAACAAATGATCTAAACCACTTTGAGAAATTAAAACCAGCGGACACACCCGAAACAACTGACACTTGAACTGCAGCGCAAACTTCATGGTCATTATGCGTCTGAGATGATGACACAGCTTCAGGCCGTTTGTACCCTCCACATGAAAACAATCGGTGTTTACGATGAGTTTATTTAAAAGGACACCAAAAAATGAGGTAGTGGAGGAAATCAGGGAACAAAAAACCTTAAACTTAAAAACAGGCATCGCGTCAGTCAGAGCAGTAAATCCTGTAGTGTGTGTTTTTCAAATCTCCTTTTCTTATTGTTTGAAATTTTACACCTGATTGAGCTGTAAACCCAATGTTCGTGACCCAAAATAACAGAGACAAAAGCAGAGAGATAAGAAGAAAGAAAAGCGTAAAAAGAAGGAAATCTGGATGATGATTGGCATGTGGTGACACCCAGACAAAAACACGTCTATGATGGGATGACTTCATCGTTTGGTCGCAGTGAAGATGAACACTTTGACAAATTGTTTTTTTTTTTTTTTTGCCGCATCATTGCAAACTGACTCATGCGGAAATAACAGCGTGGCAGGCTTTGAACTTTTCAAACGGAGTCTCAAAATGACAGGAAAAGAGTATGGCTGTTGGCTGCTGTAACTCTTTTACAGGCTTTACCCTTATCTGAACACAACTTAAGAAAAAGTTGACTTGTGTTTACCGAAAAAAAGTTGAGCAAAATCAGAAAGAAGTAAACTGGAGTTACAATTGTGACTTTTCCCAATCAGCGTCCCTTTCATGTGCATGCCGGAGTGTATTTGGGGTTTAGCTTCTGTGTGTGTGTGTGTTGCTTGCCTGTGTGCTGCAGGCCGCTTCTGATGACGAAGAAGTCGATGATTCTGGAGGTGAAGTCCAGAGCCACGTGGGTTTTACCGTGAATCACTGTGATACAGTGTCTGTCCCCGTAGCTGGCCCTGGGCATGCCGCCACTGAACAGCAGGAACGGAGGACTGCACGCACACAAACACACACACAAACACACACAGAGACAGATACAGAGGTTCAAGTACAGTTCAGTTTGCTCTGAGGTTAATGTGTAACAGTAGGTCTTGTAACTCATTGGGTAAATGAAGTTAAATATTGGAATAGTGAGGATGTATAAACCACAATAACTGAGCAACAGGTATCACAAATGAAAGAGAGGTTTCAAAATGTATCCTATTTACCCCTGAAGATGATGTTGCAGCATGTAAAGCCTGTCATGATCCTGCTTTCTTACTTACACCCTGCTCTATTGAATACAACTTAGAAACAGTCTGGTGCTACTCGACTTTAGCTACTTGCATTTATTCAAATAAACAATTAGGGAGAGACCAAGAGAGATGGAGAGAGACCGAGCGTGATCTTGATCTCAAGCCATCCCTCAAATGTTCAAACAATTTTTTCTACCTAGTGATCATTCAAACCTCCAAAAGTATGACACAGTTCACTCCTAAATCAGAACCACTCACCCGTCTTCTGTAGGTAGCTGAACTATTTTAGAAATGGCCTTGCAGGGGAAATGGCCTGCAGAGGTAGAAGAAGAGAAAATCAACATCAGCCTTCAGGAAACGCCTCTCATACCTGACGGTACAGAAAATATGTGCGGCAGACACTTCTTTATCCTCACCATAAGGAATGTCTGACTTCTCCTCCTCCTCGTTCAGGTCCTCCACTCCCACCATCCATCGGCAGTAACTTCCATCACTGTGCGAGCTGAGGATGTAGCCTGCGTCCTCTGTCCACCACACACTCTCCAGTTGCTATGATGGAAAAAAAAAAAACACAAACATCGAGATTTAAAGACTTTGTTCCATTTGCAGCTTAGTATTCTTAAAACTAAGCGATCGAACACTGACCTGTGTGGCTGGGATGTGTTGGATGGCACACTGTTTCTCCATATCCCAGATGACCATGAGACCTCGTCCGTATCCGATAACAACCTGGTTGGGATTGAGCGGGTTCTCCTGTAGGGCCTCTACATGTTCGAGGTTTCTTCTGCCGATGTAGTCATCTGGTACACTGCAGGAGACAGGAAAGAGCGGATTAACACAAGCTCCAGACTGTAGACAGAATATGAAGCCGGTGTTTCCCCTAAATAGACTTGACTTGGGCGGCCCTCCCAAGAAGATAAATTTAAAATTTGAAAAGAAAAAATAATAATAATAAAAAACACGCGGTCATACAGACGCACAGACAGCAGGGTTTCCTCCAGACAAACTCGGCACAGCGCAGCACACACTGGAGAACATACAGAAGTGCACCCAAACTGTTTCGCTCCAGCTTTCTGGAATGGTAGCACTCTTTTTCAAGCAAACAAACACAGCGCAGCGCAGAACACATGCTGATGGATATACGGAAGTGCACCCAAACTGTTTTGCACTCTGGCTTTCTGGAGTAGTAGCAATCGTTTTTCGAGCAAACAAACGTGGCGCAGCGCGGGACACCCTGGTGGATATCGGAAGCGCACCCAAACTGTTGCGCTTTGGCTACACTAACTTATTGTTGATTATATAGTGTTTTCTTCTTAATACAGTTACTGTTATTGTACTACTGGTTTGTCTCAGAAACTGACTGTGACGACTTCTTTTTTTTTTTTAAGACATGAAGCCAAATAAAAGCTATTTCAAGCGTAAGAGACAGAGTCAAGATGAAAGAAGCAAAGACCCTTATGTTTTTTATGTTTGTTTTGCATCTTAAAAAGTGCACAATAAACTGTGACACGGAATTTAAAACAGCACATTGTAATTTCTGCTTTTTTTTATCTATTATCAGTAATACAGTGAAAATGAGAGGAAATGTGAATTATTTGCCTTGCAAGTCAAGTTACAGTGTGCACCCCGAAATTTTCTGCTTGCGCTCCTAAAATTTTTAGTTAGGGGTTACTGTGCTCTTAGCAAAACAAGTTAGTCTGGAGCTCTGCATGTGCAATAAATAACGCATAGTTCATAAACCTTAGTGTGACTAGATTATTTTGAATGCACCTATCAAACACCACGGCACCACCCTGCATCGCCCGGCTCACCACCATGAGTAAATCCTCAACCAAGGGGAAACACTAATAAACCTTATTATTGATCTAAAGGGACGGAGTGTGAGAGTAGACCGAGACTTATATTCTGAATAAAAACTAATCAAACCTAGTAATTTAGACAGGTTTTTGATTACGGACATACATATAAAAAATAGACTTTAAAACTAACTGAGGTTGTGGTGTCTGTTAGCAAAACCTGAAATAAGAGAAAATCAATAAGCAGACATGTTCTCTATGATGATTATAGGGAATAGGAAACCTCTTAATGACCTATTAATCTTAAGTACATATGAAGTTATTCTGTTAGGTGATTTCACAGCCATTTGAATGCTATAATTAAAGCCTAAGCAGCAGGTTTATCTTCTTTTTATTGCCTTCCCTCTGAGTGTCAACAAACCAGCTCCGTGTTTTAACCACACCCTGATGTGAACTTCATCTCTGACATTAAAATATTAAGGAGTCTTTCCACAGAATCTTTATTTATCAGACTGTTATTAAGAATTTCTTGTTACGCAATGCATAGTCTGTCTAAAGTGTGTCTGATAGTGCTGCAGCTCAGGATGTGCAACTGCAACATCTGCATTTAAGTGCGGCCACCTGCCTCTACTGAAGGCGAAAGCTAAAGGGCTCGTGGTTACTGCGAGAGGGCTTTCATGCTCTTCTACCTGGAAGTAAAGAAGCCCAGATGGCTGATGGCATCTGGTAGCCTGGTGTGGTTTGTCAGTGTGCTGATCCAGAAAATGGAGATAAACTTGTTTGTCGGCTGGTTAAACTGGCACATAACCACCCAGCTGGAGAAAAGTCTAACCAGTACAGACACGTGGACGTTGGCCAGCGAGGAAGACTGAAATCTGCTGGTGCTACCTCTGCTAACATCAGCTAGACAGACTAATGTGAGCCGAGAAGAAAAACAACCCTGTCAGCAGCACTGTAGTTACTCTGACAGAGCCGTACTGTTCATTCCTACAGCCTTCAGCAGAAATAAATTCATCAGCTGCTCCATCCATCCATCCAACAATTTTCTTCTGCTTATCCAGGGGTGGTTCACGGTTCCACCAGGCTAAGCAAGCGAATCCAGCACCCCTCTCCATCTTCCCAGCTCCTTCTGGAGGTTTCCAAAGCAATCAGCTCAGATATATCCCTCCAAAATGAGCTCAGGGTTTACCTCAGTGTCTCCTCCTAGGTAAGGGAAGGAGTCCAGGAGGAATCCTAACCATCCCTGAGCCCCAGACGCTACAGGCCTCACACTGCCTCTTTGCAAGGGATCATTCTTTGGTCATTCTTATTCTCTGGTCACTTTGCAAAGCTTTCTTTAAAACCAGCATCCAAATGTTTTCGGCTCTCTTCCTGTATGACCGTTTCCCCTCAAACACATCAACCTTGGAATCGGCCCTAAATCCTGATGTATACCTGCGACCGTTTTATCCAATTGACCTCCCTAATCGAACATCAACGATTTCTTCATCCAAACTATCAACCTGTGTCCCAGGCTTCTTTCCAGCTAGGCCGCTTTAGGAAGTCTTAGCCTGAGTTAGCACCTCTTTACAAGATAAGATCAATCAGACTCTACTCTCCACTCAGGCTAACTGTAGCTAACTGTGGACCTGCTTGTAGTCACACTGTGTTTTATTCCACTGAAGGTACATCCAAATATCAAACTATGATTCCTGCAGTTATTCGGCTAAAGAAACAGCTGATCAATAGTGTTTACAAACCAATATGAATCAGAGTATCTGGTGTTTTCCAATTCAAAACAATAACAACACACTAGCTTCCTGTTAAACGTACAAATACCTTGACGAGTGTTGTCGTGTTGTTGCTGCCTACCTGCTGGCGACTTGGTCCAGACTAATGTTCCTCTCCTCCAGCTCTCTGAACCCCGGCACTTCCACGATAAAAACATGTCCTCCTTCTGTGCCCAGCAGCAGCAGCTCTCCGGAGGAGTGGGCTAACACCGCTGTCACTCTGGTCACACTTGGAAGGGCCCTGAGGTGAGGAAAAAGAAGAAGGTGAGAACACTTACAGGAAACATAGGACGCTTTTGTGTTTAATACCTGAACAGGTTTCCTTTTCTACCTTTTAAATCTGCACTTTCATTCTTTTAATAACTTCTATTGTTTATTAAATCAACTCAGACCAGAAGGTGCACTGTTCAAATGATGAGATGTTTCGATCCAAAGTACTCTTAATCTTTTATACATGAATGTGTATGGTTTGATCTGTAGAAAATCACTGCATCTTATTGCCTGCATATTTTACTCACCCTGGCGGTCCAGTGAGTGTAAAGCGTCCTATCTCCAGGAGCTCAGAGAGACCCTTGTGGGCTTTTAAGGTCCACATGTGCAGACTGTTATCATCCAGCAGAGTCACCAGTTCAACCTGGATGTAAGACACAATCAATCAACAAAAATACAGTCTGAATCCAGGCAGACAGCAGCTTTGAAAACAGTCTCACATTCAGAGACAAAGAAATGCTGTTTGTTGTGTGTGCCCGCGCTGTGTGTGTGTTCGCTGACTCTACTGTACCTGGTGGGGGAGGAAGTGCACCTGTGTGACAGCCGCGTTTTCGTCATGCAGACCCATGAACTCCACACCTGGAGCACCATACCTGAGCACTCATTAAGGACAACCGTCACAGCCATTTTGAACTCAATCTCAACAAGTCACATTGACATTGGCCTATAGTGTATCACAGAATTAACTTCATTTGTCAAAAGCTATCAATACAGTCCAATCAGAGGTTAGTCCTGTCTAGAGGATCCACTGAATTGCAGAAGTGGTTCTCCTGTAGGCTGGTGTTCCTTAAACACTGCTGTGTAATTACATCACAGATCTGACGTCAAATTTTTCAACTTTAGTGAAGTTGCACCTAAAGATTTCAAACTTTGATATCTTGATAATTTTTCATTTTCTTTCAAACACCACTGCTTCACTTTTTGGTTTGATTTGCCATCACAGCTAATTTTTTTTTTTTTGCACCCACAGCCATCACACTTTATAATTCTTCTATAAACAGTAGATGACTTTCTGAGACATGACAAATGAAACTACAGACAATTGAATTTCACTTCTGAGATAAATAAAATTTGTTATTCTTGCTACTGCTGGCACTTATTATTCACAGGCTGGCAAAAATCGCTGACATTTTTACAGATCCTTGAGTAGCTACAGGTTATCGTGTTACACTTGTGTTTGATGCAGAAGGACAGACAGAGAGAAGGGATATGGTCACATGGTCCGTCTTTGTTTTCTGTTAATCCTGACCTGTGTTTTTTGACGGGAGAGTTTTCCAGCACTGCACAATGACTGATGGCCATGAAAGAACTACATATGCTAGAAGATAAAAAAAAAAAAGCAGACAAAGAGCACACTCCCTGCAAATACAGACGCCACCACGCACATCCTCCTGGTCATGACTGATAATTCAAAGGAAACACCTTATTTTGTATTCGCCTCTCATTTCTATGTACCGTGTGTAAAATGTTAGTCTTCATTCTCTGTACTGTGTGCAGGTAGAGAATCGAAAACAACAAAACCGACCATCTTGGGTGCCAGTTTTTAACAAGTCTTCTATAATTGGGTTGTATAGCATGATAGACTACTAGGGCCACGTTTAAAGTCAAACTATTTTTAAAGATCTGAAGTTATTTTCTCATGAGAATTAAGTCAAAAATAAAGTCACAAAATAAATCAGTGCTTTTTAAAACAATAAAAAATGTAGCTCTTATACTTTGTCACACTACAGGGAGATGCTGTGAGGGCTGCTCAGGAGGATTTTTGTGACTCTGTGAGGCCTCTGTACTGAAAAGTCAGCAGGGCAGATCCCGACAGCCAAAACAAGACTGCAGACTGCTTGTTTTTGATAGATCGGGAATTGAGGGCCTTTACAAGATAGAAACATTTATTAAAGGGTGAACCATTCTGCACAAAATAAAATTTGATCCATCTATCAACAAGACAGAGGATATAACCTCTGGGGCTGCTGAACTGTCAGTGAGCGGACCAGTGAAGCAGCTCCAGGCCGCAGCAGTGGATCTGACCCTGACCTCACAGTGAAGACACAAAACCGTCTCTGAGGACTGATCTGAGTGTCACATTATTAAATGATTTGTGAGCCACATCAGACCGACAGACGCTGCTCTGTTCTCTGACCCTGCCTGAAGCATCTTGCGCTTTGACTCATGGTTTTCATTCACAGATTTTTCTTTATCTTAGCCCTCTTTCTCCCTCGTCCAGGAACAAGCTGCTGCATTGTACGACTGGATCACCCTTATGAAAGAGGGCACCACAGTTATCAAAACCAGTGTGTCTCTGTGTCAATGGGGAAAGTGTACCGGCTGGCTCCGCTGCGCTGTCAATGAGAAGAGCGAAAAAAGGCTGTGGCGTCACACACTCCACCGTCTCAGAATGGCAGGCGGCTTTGAGCAACAGCGTGGGAAAATGAAATACCTGAAGCAGGTGCCCATGTGAACCGCAGGTAAGGCTTTAGCAGCGTCATAGTCGCTAATTATCGCTCCTGCCTCAAGTTCAAACATGAGGCTCAGATTCCTGTCTGAGAGCTGTTTACACACGGGCAGAGTGAAGGATACAGTTTGATGGCTCCGGAGCGGGTGCCGATGGCCAGCAGCTGCAGGGAGGGACTGTAGCTGAGAGCGCTGGGCTGGTGAGGGAATCCATGCTCCACAGTCTGAGAGGGGAGAGACAGAGGACAGACAGGGGGAGGGTGAGACTGAGCTGTGACAGCAGAGACAATGACAGGATGGAGACGAGAGGCTGCAGAAAAACACTCTGCAGATAACAGCAGGTGGACTAGAAAAAGGAAGGTTTACAGATAACATAGAAACATGAATCCTGTTGTTTCAAACTCGACCTCTGACACTTCTCTTGGGATTTATCACAAGCTGCAGATGTGCTCTGCAGTAGGACTTGTTTATTTATCTGTGAATGACAAACACCTCTCATATAAGCCCCCTGTGCCAATGCGAAATGAGCTGCCATGTATGATTATACATCTTGTTTGAAAAATCTTGTTATAATATTTTGCAGTTCATTCAAACATTTTTGCCCCTGCAGTTTTGATCAGATAAATAGAGGCAACTTTATGGTTCATCATATACGGATAAGGTTACACATTGAAGGATTATAGCTGTTTATTTGCTTTGGTTGACAAAAACCCCGATTCATGTTTCTTTCACATGTGCTAGAAAACCAAACACTGGAGGATCTGGGTTCACATTAGGGCTGGGCTATACAACGATAACGATATTAAAAATTAATTTCCCTCAATATCAATATAAAACATCAGGGTTTCCTCGACATGCTATTGATTGGGGTGCACCGCCATGGCTAAATAAAAGCCGCCACACCTAAAACAAAAACTAGTTGATTCAAATGATCAGCTCGTTATCAAGCTCTGTAATGGCTTAATAACGAGCTGATCATTTGAATCAGGTGTGTTGGAGCAGGGAAACATCCAAAACATGCAGGACAGTGGGCCTAGAGGACTGGACTTGAGAACCACTGCTTTATGCTGTTGTAGAGAAAAATACTACTTTACTCTCCGTTTAACTTAGAGAAGACGTCCTCTTCATCCTCAGTAAGACGATGAAATATTCTTGTAAAGTATTTTTCATGTTTATAAATGTTCTCACATGGTTGGTGTCAGAATAAGGGATTACCAGCAGTTGTTGCTTTGATTTTAGATCCGTGGCAGAAATTTATGAGCGCACCACTCGACTGTCAAAAGACAGCGGGTTGATATTTTGGCAGAACATACTTCTTTGTGCGTGTTGGGCATATATTCCACTAAGAGATCAGACAAACTGCTTTGTTCATAGTGGTCGCACGCATCAACACACACGAAAATTATACAGTAGCTCTAAAACACTTGTTTGTTCAAGAGGCCCTGATAAACAATTTCTGAGGCAGCCTTGATACAGACTGACTGATTTACACATCCATTTGTGTGGTTTGTGTTGCTTCACTTGTACATTCAGACATGAATAAGCTCTAATAATATTTTTTATTATACGGTTTAAGTGTCTTGGCTTTTGGCTGAATGAAAACATTACAGCTTTGACACAGAATAAATAACAGTGAGTCTGCACAATGTTCTCTCTGCAGAGCCCAGTATGAACACAGAGTAAGATACAGACCTCCTCTCGATGTTTAGTGTCACTAGATATCTTTTCTCATGATTTAGGGGCATGTAAATAAAGATAAGTTTAGTTCAAAAGATACAAAAGCATCTAGTCCCAAAAGACTCCTGTGTGTAATCTGATTTCCACTCCCACAGTTTAATGGCAGCACAGCAGTCACACCTTTAAATGCTTTTTGATTTGTAAATAACTCACATCTGTCAGCAGAAATAAGATGATGCAAACTTTGTCCAACTCCTCAAATTTACCTACTTCTGCGCCTTTAAATAGACATGACTGGTGACTGATTAAACAGATGTTCTTCATTATAGATGGTGTCAACAAAGTGGTAAAAAACTGAAACTGAAAAACTGAGGTTTTTGGTACCAAATGCTTCAATTTCATAAAATGCTTCTCAATTAAAATAAACTACCAACATCATAACGAGTTATAAATAACACAACATCACAGGAAGCTCATTAGGAAAAAACTGCCAGCATTACAACACTGTAAACTTGCTCTTAAAAAGTGCTGGTGTATCTGCCTACTTTGGGCTTCTGTCAGTTCTTCTGTTATCTTTGTCACTGCCAAAATACAACTTTACATTTAAATGTGACAAATCACCTTTATGAGATGTGGAAACGGTTTCATGAATCACCAACCAATAACGCAAGTTAGTAAGGAGGAAAAGATCTTGTGTCACTCATACATGTTTATAAAATGAGTCGAGGTGTAGGAGTTACACAACACGACAACAGCTGCTTCACAAACTTTTAACCCTCTGCTTGGACCAAAAAGAGTCTTTTTTTTGGAGTTCCATGAATTTACATCTTGAATTCACGACCCCTACCTTGTTGAACTGGAAGAGCTCCTGTTTGAGTCGATCTCTCTGGGACTCCTGGCCGTGTCTCCTGAACCTCTTCATTCTGTCTCAGCACCAGTGTGGAGCCTGCAGGCCCACTGACGCACGCTGCAGAGAGAAAACCAGAGAAGAAGAGAGAGAGAACAGTCAGCAATAATCCCAAAACCCTTGTGGTCAATGATCACATACTTTAAACTTGTCATTAAGGATGCAACATTAAGAAAAGTAGGGCTGACACTGATTCTGACACTAAAAATAATTCAGCTGATGAAACTATCTTACACTAGCTTTTTTCATTTTGCTCTTCTGGTCTGGGCTACAGACCCAAATTATTCTTTAGTGATACAATCACACAAACAAAAAAAAAACCTTGAATTTAACTTTCTTGAAAATAAAACGATCACTTAAAAAAAACAAGTATTTAAGCTATGGTCTGAAGACACAAGACACATTTCAGTTGAAAATCAGATCAGAAAGTGGGTAGATATCTCTTAACCACCGTTAGACTGTTTTTTCTCTTATTTATCAAGAGGAACTTCCTCTGGCACTGCTGGTTAATACGTTTCCTCAGTTGCACTGCTGTCTTGGGGAGTACCTCAGGGTTCTGTAATGGACCCTCGGCTGTATTCTCTGTCACTGCTTTCACTGTGCAAGAGTGTGCAGTTGACCAACCAATATTTTTGACATGTCAGTAATTCAGCTGACTGTTCTCAACCCCAGTACACTGTGTGACAATGCATGATCACCCTGAAATGTGGCCTGACTTCAAGATCAGCCATGCAGCTCAAAAATCAGGTCAAAATCTTCCTCAATGTGCACAACCTGTGCCCAGCATAATACACTTGACTGGTCTGGAGAAAATTTGCCTGCCTGTGTGCATGACACTGGGTTACGTGTGCTGAAGTAAATAAACCTGCTAAACTGATAGCTTTACCAACATTTTTATATATTTTTATATATATTTTTACAATAATATCGTATCGTGGCCCAAGTATCGTGATAATATCGTATCGTATCATATCATATCATATCTCACCCCTACTAGCCGTGCAGTTTTTATGCATATGTGTAGCTCTTTCCTGTACCTGCAGGGAATTTTAAAGCAGTCTAGCTCAGCCTACAGTCGCGCTTGCAGCTCTAAGGTACACATGGACCCACTGTCCATGACCAGTTTGCCGAGATTTGTGCTACCCCCATTAAGCTGGTAACATGCAGGCTTGAACTGAGGAGTCTTTTCAATTAAACCAACACTCCATAGGGTCTGTTCACATAGCAATACATCATCATCTTTAAATGCATGCTACCTCCAACAGTATCTTACCCTACTTTGGGGGCATCTTCGGCATCTTTCTGGGCTAAAACATGAAGCTTACTAACTTGCCCTAATTAATACAAAGTGAAGTAAAATATATTGCTGCAATTGTAAATGCTCAATTATTAGCCAAAATGCCGATATGTGGTTCCAGAGGGAGTACTGGTTGATACTGATACTCAGCAGTAATCACTGTACCCCTCTTGTTCTTGCATAGCACTTTGAAAAGTATTTTTCCATGAGGATGTTTGTGCGGTAGTTAACTCTAATTTCACATGGACGTCTTAGTGTGGATGTGATGTATTGGCTTCTTATTTGAGCTGACACACAGATCAATTGTTTTCTAAATGCTCTCGGGTTAAACCAACTGATCAATCCATCACTGATGCAGGCTGTTGGAGAGCAGCGATAAATTTCTTAGTCCTGTTGCTATTTAATCTCTCTGCTCAGCCACTGCAGAAGAAGGAATACTAATCAACAAACAACTTAAAACTTACGCTATGGTTCAGGGTCGGGCTTTGCAGGTTGTGTTTTAAATGTGTTTGTAAATGTGTGTCAGTGGAAAGCCGGAGAACAGCCTTAAATCTTTGGGCCCTTGTGCAGCAGACTGTTTTCTCCAACAGGACTGCTGAGGAGAGAAAGGAATTCTACAGGTGGAGTCTGGCACTATGTCCACATCTGTCAACAAGCCAACACACAGTCGGCCTTCCTTAGAAGCATGTGCCAGCTCACCTGCTACACATACAGAGGGTTTCCACTGGAGGACAGGAATGAGAAGAGGGAGGGGGAAGAAGGATGCCTTGTTCTGCAGCTTCTTCTTCAACTTTGCTCTTGAAATTTTTCATGTCAAGTTCCAGACTAACATCTACATCAGATTCTTGATGTCTCCTCAAAGCACAGAACTGTTCACACCTTCAATCCTATGCCATAAAAAAAATGTGAACCAGTTCCCAATAAGCACATATAAACCCTGGTACCTGTTCAAGAGTCTAAAACCGTTACAAAAGGGCAACTGTTCAAAAGTCATGGTTCAAGAGGGCTTTGTTTGTTACCTTAGGGTGTCTTTGGTTTCCAGGGAGTGAGTCACCCTCTTTTTATCGATGGTGTGTATTTGATCTCAAATAACAACCTCCTTAGTAAAACAACACCAGAGGTAACCGTCAGAAAAGGGACATCATCTCTCACATGACTACAACCTCCGCAGAGAGTTGCCCATATAAGAGTGACTGACAAGTGACGGGCAAATAAAAGAGGACAAAATCACAGCGGCTGATGCAATACTAGAGATCCAACACTGCAACTTTTTTTTCCCCAAGGTCTCATCTGCAAATTCCAGTTTTGGCAGAGTCTGGTTCTTCTTCTAAGAGCTGTAACTGACAGCAAACACTTGCAGGGTGTGGCTAGCATTAGCAGAATTAGCACCACCAGCCTTCAGCCCCCCTTGCAGGTTAATGTCCACCAGACTGTGCATACACACTGCTCTGGTTGAGTGGTTGTATGTCAGCTTAACCTGAATATAACTATCTTCTAGGGCTGTAATCAATCAAAGTTCTTGGTCAACTAAAACCCTGAAATTTTTTGACCAAAAATCGACTAAGGGCGGGGGGGTCGGACTCTGACGGGGGATGACGCGGCTCGGCAGGGTGAAAATATACTGAAATCAGCACAGGAAGGCAATTAAACAAAAATTTTATCTTCAGCAAACCACAGGACATTGATAAACATGGACGTTCTTCAATCTTCAGCTGGTCTCCAGTGGGTTGGGCGAATCCAAAATTGTGAAAACAAGGGGGGTGTTCTGGGACAGGCCGTTACCTGTGAAAAGAGGGTGCTCTGAAAACACTTCCACAAGCACTTGGTACGTTTCTCCTGATGAAATTAACCATAGACTGAAAATTGACGCGGAAAAAAATTGAGTCGACCAATCAGAATTTTGGTCGACTCAGCACGTTTCGACCAGTCAGCTAGGATTTTACAGTAGGGCCCGACCGATATGGATTTTCTGGGGCCGATGCCGATACCGATTACCGATTAATTGGCCAATTTTTTAAATTTTTTTATGCAGTTATAAAAAATATATATACTGTAGGATACTGCTCTTCACGCCGACAGGAAGACCGACTGATCAAACCCGGACCAGAAAAGCTTTTTTAACTACTTTTCAAATGGCAGAACATTTCTGAAGTGAAACCGAATCTTATTCTCATTTTATTTCTGAAAATATTGGCGAAATCCGGCGAGTTTTGGCCGATTACCGGTTAGTCTCAAATGGGCTGTAAAGTAGGGCCTGACCAATTTATCGGCAAGCCACTTAAATCGGCCAGACTTTCTTCACTAGATTAAAATACTGAGCAACCGCACCTAACTATGAGATATCATCTGTCATCTGCATTTATTTACATCCAGGTAGTAGAGCATTCTCGGAGGCGTCTTCAACACTGACTAGTGGCAAGCAGCTGGTATTTTAGACAACTTAGAGCTCAAATTCCTGTGTCGGACACATTTCAAGAGCCATCTCTCATCCTTACATAGTCTTCTGAGAGTTGTTCATGTCTAACACCGAGTGGATCGCAAATGGTGGTGGCTGATGCAACACCTCTTCATCCTAAGACTTCTCCAGTCTGATTGCATTTTAACTACAAAGCTGCAAACAAAAAGGTCAAGTCTGTAAAGCAGTTTGAATTTTTTGTTTGCCATGTGTGAGCAGTTGAAGAAGAGGCATGTTGGTTTTCTCTCTTTCAAACCATCAACTGTGACAGTCAGCTGAACAGTCCACAGTCAGAGCCACGCTGTGATTTTTCTCCAGTTTGCATTCTCAGTCCCTAACCATAAAACTTTTCCCACAGAACATCTCATCTTTCTCTCATCTGTTTTTCTTTCTGCTCTCCTGCCACCAAACCCTGGTGCAAACTCTGACCACATTTCCACAGTAACATAGTAACACGAGTTATGTTTAAAGGTAATGTAAGGTGAGGGTAGGGTAAACTTTGTACGACGTGGAGATTTAGGCCACCAGTTTACCAGAGTCTGACTCGCTAAGCTCCATCACGTGAAGCAGCACAAAGTCCTCCATGCCTGACTGTCTGTGCTGCATGTCAGACCAATCTTGGGCTCCCTGGCTCCTTCACTCACTGACACTCAGCTATGTAAAAGAAAAGCAGCTCTGACCAGAATACTCGAGACGGTACGACGGGGGAAACTCATGAGCACAGTCAGACATATGAGCCCACAAGCATCACAAGTCCATGACAAAGGCATGCGCTGTGAGTCACAGTTTTCCGTTTAACGCTGCTTATTTGCCCGAATCCAAAACAAGACAGAGTCGTTAATAGCTTTGTATCAGCAGAACTGCACTGACTCACGCATTTCCAAGAGCAGCTTCCTCAAAGACGAAGTGGACAAATCTCCAGGAGGCCGACCAGAACTACAACTTAGTCGGATCAGACTAAATTTTGAAAAAAGTTGAGAACGTTTGCTGCATCGTTCTCAACTTTTTTACTTCGACTTAAATCCATCAAAGTGCATAAAGTTAAATACACAAGTTTTATAAACAAACTTCCAGACACACTTCGTAAATCTTTTTTCAAGATATTACAGACTAAAATAAAGAAAAATAAGTGTCCTGTTTTAAGAAACCTACCAAGACAATGTAGCTTGTTGGATTGGTGGCCGGTTTTGCACTGATTGAAAAATCATTTCAACCAACTAGGGCTGAAGTTTTGGCTTTTAATACTTTAAGATAGGGTTTTGGCTTGGAATGTGGCTAATATTTAGTGTAATTAATAGGCCTGGATAGAAATAAATTGAGTTATTAATGCGTTCTATTTTTTTTTTTCCCCCAACTTACAATCCTGGAATGAATCCATCCACAAGAGTAAGCTGTCGGCTGAACAGCTGACTGCGTTTTTTGTTGTTGTTCTTTTTTAGGATTTATTTTTGGGCTTCTGCAGCTTTCATTGACAGATGGAGGACTGTGGATAAAGCAGGAAACAAGGAAGAGAGGAGGGAATGACATGCATGAAAAGGGCCTCAAAGTGGAATTGAACCCAGGTCACCTGCTTGAGTGGGGGCGTGTCTAGACTTCTAGGCTATCAGCGCCCCCAAACAGCTGACCCCTCACTTGATTAACAGAACATTTCAAGTAAATTTTTGCAACCTGCTTTTACATTTTAGCAGCACTCTCCTCCGCTTATTTTGAGAGGTTTCTTTAAAAAAGCATTTTGAATTCAGACATCTTAACAACATGCTGTGTCTCACACACCTAACGCTCTGACTGATCATTAATCCGTCAGTGCGCCAGTACTTGAGTCACCTTTTTAGCGTCTTTCTGGGGCATAACTTAGAGTCCAGTTAAGTTTCCTCTTGTTCTTTACAAATCAAAGAATTGGGGTTTATCCTGCAGTTTTTGTTGAGTACACTTAAAGCCTGACCTGATTCGGATTCCACAGTTTTTTTCTGTCACGCTTTACAGGGGGAACATCCAGACCTTTTACTCGGGGAGACGCTTTCATACAGTGGCTAGGGCACCACTCTAAACTCACACTTACTTTGTTACCATTATTTCTAAACCAATACAATTAATGCAAACATTTTTTTAAAGGTTATTTTACTATTTTCTTAAAGTCAACAAATATAAGGTTTTATGATTAGTGATATGGGCATTTCTGTCATCTCTGCATGTTACGGAATTAATATTGAAACATATCGACCAAACATCAAATCATGTAATATCAGATCAAATTTTGACCCAACAAACAAAACTGAATTGAATTGAGAGGTTCCTGACAATGTCCAGCCCTAGTAATGACATATTCAGACTCGTAATATGATTAAGACCCTTAAGGTTTTGCAACGTCTGTCCAATGCTAAACTGGAGCTCCACTGTAGTCTCTTGTTATTGTTCTGGAGGATGTTTGGAATTAATGATGTTACTCTAGTGGAAATTGATCTCCCCATTAAATTGCAGTACTAAGATTATAAGTTAACACTAAAATGCCACAACACACGCAGGCAGAAATCACTAATGAAATTTCTCTGGTGACAAACTCTAAGTAAGTGACAGCTCTCACCACTACATGAAAAAACTGCTGGGTTCATCAACAAGTAACAAGCCTGTTGCTGCAGCAGGTCGTGAGCCTCTAGTCCTTGTAGACCCTGTGCAAACGAGTGTGTATGCGAGAGTGTGTGTTTTGGTCCCAGGAGAAGCAGTGGAGCAGAAAGAGGGAGCTCAAAGCCCTAAGCTCTGCTGACAATGGCAGGGTGGGAGGTCCGCTTCACAAACACAACGGCTTCTAAAGGCTACGAGAAGAATCTGCTGATGGAAAACCAGAGGAGGACCACAACCCTCATATAGGTCTGTACACATGTAAACAGTGAGGACAACAACCTGCATGGAAAGCTTCGACCCATCCTCAAAGATCATCCACATGCAACATACACAGTGAGAGTCTTTCTTTGCCGGCTTCAGACAGTCTAAATCCCACAGTTGTTTCTCTCCCACCAGATTAATTGTGGCCTTTCAAGTAACCTGACAGACATTAGAGCACAAATTACCCATTCATTAGATGCACTCGAGTGTTATTTCTAGCTGAGCTAGTTATCAAAGGCCAATGCCGGGAATGAACATCATAATTACGTGAAGTGAGGTGATGTTTAAGGCTGTTAGTTCAGACACTTTGATTAACCTCCTCTGCGCTCTCTAAAACCCTACACAGTTTAGCTGTGGCCCAAATGTTCAAGTAGAAACTTTAACAGTTAGTTAAACAAGGCAACAAGCTTTTCAATAATGCTCATTTCACTACATGATCATTTGACAACAATTGTTCAGAATAAGTGTATTCTTGTCTTGCTCTGGGCAGTCTCGACATTTCACAGGTTTTATGTGATTGAAGGGTCTAAAATGTTTGATTTTAAATGTTGATTGAATTGGCATCACTGATATTGCACTGTGCTTTTCAGTTTCAATGTTTTCATAATGTCCTGAGCAACACTTTCCTGGTATCTGAGGTGCTATGCTATAATAAAACCAGTTACTGAGATCCTTTCTGACTTACATTGGTAACAGACCCTCTGATTGGTTAAAAGTTTGAAACACACAGTACGTTTAGTTATTGTTTTAAAAAAGTATTTATTGCTTAGTCCAGCTAAATCTTAACTTGTTTAATACATGAACTTCTCATAATCGCACTAACATAACTAGTAGGGGTGGGATTCACCAGTGGACCTATGATACGATATTGTCACAATACTTGGGCCACGATACAATATTATTGCGATTTTTAACATTTTATAAAAAAGTGAGTATTGCGCTACAATTTTATCGCGATTTATATAATTTTTAATTTTTTTTAGCTAATTTAGCATTTGTCTTTCCTTTTTGTTTGTCTTATTTATGCCGTATTTTATTTTCATGTAGCACATCTTGCAAACCTGATATATCTGTTGCTGTTCTATGATGTCACCTCTGCCAACCATACCTGTCAAACAGTTGATTTTATTTTTCCATTATCATAGATTTGACTTCATATTCACAATTAAATTGAAAATTCGATACAATATATCACCAGATAAAATATCGTAATACTACGCTGTATCTATTTTTCTCCCACCCCTAATAACTCGATAGTGCAGTTGGGGATTCATTTCCACTGTCATGTATTTGGCTCTATCTGGAAAACAGAGCGTCTTGCTCACCTAGGGGAATAAATGATTTGATATCTTCAAAGTTATTTGGGGTAAATGTCCACAGTTGTAGAGGAGATAAGATGTCTGGTGAAATTCTGGAGAAGTTGCAGTGATAGGCAAAAAGGTTGCAAAAGGTTATAAGATCAATTAAGTGGTTTTGAGACAGACCAACAATGGCAGGTGCGGAGTTGGAAATGCTGACTCAAACTAACTTTTGATCGACCACGAAAAAAAACAATGAGGGGAAGCTGAGATGAGCTACAATGTACCCCTCCAACGTATCAGCCACGCCCCCAATTATGCAAATTCATGAAGACCATTGTTAACCAATGAGGAAATGAGCTAAATTTCCCAAACCAGCAGGTAACTGATAATGAATAATGGTGATCTTCAGGCCCTCAGGCAACACTGCATGGAAAACAGACAGGACTCTGTGTCAGATATATCAAATCCAAAAACCAAACAATGCTGCACCCGCTATTGCAGGTTAAAACTGCACCATGAAAAGAGGGAACCATAGAAACATGCAACACCAGAGACTTCTCTGGGCCAAACCCATTTAAGATGAGCAGAGGCCAGGTGGATGAATGGTCTGACGAATCACAGTGTGACACTCTTTGTGGGAATCATGGATGCTGCAGAGGAACCATCTGGCTTGTTATTAGGCCATAAAATACAGAGACCAGAGACCAATCTGTTGAGCGGCTGAAATCTTATAATCAGGCAAGAATGGGGAAATATTCCACTTTTGAAAAAGTCTGAAAAACTGGTTTCTTTGGTTCTCAAACATTTACAGAGTGTTATTAAAAAGGTGATGCAACACAATGGTACATATGATACTGTGGTTGCAGTATCAGTGAGAATCTTCCCCAAGAGTGTCATTTAAAAACAAAATTTGCAAACACGCTTTATTTACACTCTTTAGTTTAAAAAAAAAGACCACACAGTTTGGCAGGTTGGTTCACTTATATCGCAAAGACAGTAGACAAAGTTGTTATTGTTAAAGGGAAGTACCAGTTAGTTTTAGGCTCATCAGAAGAACAATAGCAGGTCAGAAGTGAGCGTCATAGAAACCAGTTTAGAGGAGCAGCACAGTGAAACTATGTCATGTCCTACTTTTACCCTCACATATGGATTTTTTTGACTGGAATGTTACTTGGCAAAAAAACAAAGAACATGTGTAAATGACTTAAAGCTGAATCTATTGCCACTTTGTTTCATCTACAGTGAGCTCATCCTTCAGCTCGATAAAGCTACGAGTGATATTTACCTATGATAGCAAATTAAACTGGTTTATTGACTGTTCTCACAGAGACTCCCTCATAGCAGCACAGTGAGTCTCACATGTGTCGACTGTATTGGCCTATAGATGTGTTCGCTCTCAGTTAGCGGGATGCCATTTGTTATCTTTCCTTCCACGGTTCAGTGAGGTCATCAAATTCCCAGCATATCAACCGAGCCATCTGAGTTGAGAAGGGAGTCAATGGAGGGGAAAAAAGTGCACAAACATGCCTGAACACGACAACAAGAAGCTCGGAAGAAGTGGCTGGACCAGCAGGGCTGCTACATGGACCAGGTCTCTCGGTGACATAGCTAGCATAGTGCCTTAGAGTAAGAATGAACGGCCAGGAAATGCCTGGCATCCAAAACATTCGACTTATGGACTTATGCAATCAACAGCTATGCCAGAACTTGCTGCGAGACAGGAAAAAAGGTGTGTAGAAAATGAGCCCTTCCTTGAGTTTATCTGATCAAGTCATAATGTTGAAGTACAGACACTTTCAGTCACATTAACGGTGTCAAAAATGCGGCTTTGAAAGAAACCCCGTTTACACAGGAGGAGCAGAACCTGTTTGACAGCTGCTGTTACAAGTGTTTCCCAGTCCTCTGAGGCTGCAGAGTGTGTCTCTGAACGCTCTCTCCCTGTGTCTCTATTTCATTAAAATAAGCTTTGCCAAAAAGAAATCAAGTGCCTCCTTTAAATAAATATGACCTTTAGTGCCAGCAATATTCAAATGAGTTTTAGATAAAAAAAGACAACATTTATAACTGCTGTGCAGTTTGGCCTGGGGTAAGGACTTTGTTTTCACAACATTTTAAAAATTTGTTAATCACCCTTTACTGAAGAACAGAGATCCACTTTTACAATCACTTTTAAAAGATTTTACAGACACATTTCTTACTTTTAATTAATAAACAAGATTACCTCCAATCAACCTGTTGGTCGTTCGCTACTACGATGCTCCATGAACTCCCAATTCAAATTTCTCTCAAGGGACAGTTAAGCTTTGAACTGAATTGGACATGCTTTAATGCTTTAAATTCTCGTTTTAATCTGTCCTCCAATTTAAAAACCACAAGCTAAATTTCTATCTTCATGTTATTTCATCCACTAACTGCTATGCCAGTGAACATGTTCACATGCACACCGACGCCTCTTCCTAAAATGCGCTCTGGCTAGTCAGGATCGGACTTAGTTCCTATTCTGCCCTGAAACACACAGCACACAGACAGAAGACAGTCTAAAAAGAGAGGAGATGAGTTCTTAGTGACTGGATATACTCAGACACACACACACATTGCATGTGTGAAAATCCATCGCTATGATAATGTCAATGCTTTCAATAAAGTCTACTTAAAACAAGTTTGGTGATAACACAATACTTTCTTTTCTTTTCCACAATCAAACAAATAACTGATCGCATCTACAGGATAGACAAATGAGTGAAGAGTGTGTGATGATTGTGTTTCATCCTGACCCATGTCTCTCTTTAGTGTACACACTGGTGCTCTGTTTAAAAGTGCTTCTATCTAAGTGTGTTGCTAAGTGTCTGTACCGCCGTAGAACCATAATCCTGGGCTCCTGTCACCACTGCACCAATTCCTCTGCAAATGCCGCTCCTGTTACTGATAACAACTGATCAATGACATTGTTGCATTTTTCCTTTTGTATGAGCAGCAAAATTGCCGAGCTTCTCAAAAACAAATTTAAGGAAAAATAATGACGTCTGTAAAATTTTGCACTGAAGGGAATTTCTGTCCAGTCATCTGAAATATTGAAAAATAAAGAGAAAGAAGGGTCAAACCCATAACCCCGTGCACATTGAATTTTGATATCTATGGTTATCTTAGCCAGTAACATGTTGATGGACTTCATATTAGCTGATGAAAAGGCAAACATATGGGGTTATGCTACAGATTGCGGATCATGATTGATGTTTCTGCCTGAAGCATTAAACTGCATTAATCTTTCACATTATAACAGAATTCATATTGAACTAGAGCCAGTGACTGTCTGAGATTTGACAGGCTGTCATTTGGGGAAAGGAAAAACCTGTTTTTATGTGGAAAAGAGAACGGTGATATATATCAACCCTGTGAGAGACAAAGCTGATATGATGCTGATCATTTATTCAAAATGCCATTAATTCATCTCTATACCTCTCCTCAGAGCATCAAACCCTCCTCCCTGTCCTCTGACAATGCAAATAGAGAAACAGTTGGTGTCACATAAAGTGATTCTGGACTGGAAGGATTATTTGGGGAACTGGTCTACTGGTCTACACTTTCATACTCGAGCACATTTAAGCATGTGTGAGACCTAAAAACACTAACAAACAGCAGAACCTGGCATCCCCTGCAACTGACGGACACTGAGGATTCTTCAGCTAAGCAGTAAAATTCAACAAAAGTTACATTAGAGAAGAACATGAAAACCCTCCCACTGATCTCTAACTGTGCTCTCACATACACCCTGAAACTAAAGCTGTAAAACCTCCATGTACAGGTTGAGTGAAGAGTTTTGCCCGCCTTGGTCACACATACAGAAGGGAAGTTTTGTGTAGGTATGAAAGCACTTAGAGGATGTATACAATACAAGACAAATGCAAAGTCCAAAAATCGAAAATGCAAGCAACTGAGGTGAGCTGACAACAACACGGAGTCCTCCCGCACTAACTCACTTGGGTTTCATACATACTTTGCACTTGGTGATGGGTAAATGAAAGTCTGGTTGGGGTCTTCGTCACATAAAGCTGACACCCACATTCTCATGTGCAGCCTTCTGGGTTATGTGTAGGTGCTTTAAGGGTTCAAATCTTTTTTTTCGATCTTATCATCAATATGTAAATATAATAAAGAGCTTTGCTAAATCACCCAAAAGGCTAGATTACCTCCACCATCAAGACATGTACTCAGACATCACTAGCATGTTTTAGAGCTCATCTTCAACTTTGAGTTTGGATCTGACAGTACCTCTAAATGTTCCGTCTCCATCAGCGACGTGTGGCCTGACACCTCTCTGTGATCTCAAACTCAACATCACTGAGCTATTCTTGGTTCTGCTGATGGAAACGACTCCTCTCAAGTTAGCGTTTGATCGTCTTCTGCGGGTTGTGGTGTGATTTGTGTCAGGTCCGTGAAGTGAGCAGAGTGGGGGGGGGTCGTTTGTGCAGCATGACATTCAGGGCTGAATATTTACAACCAAGAGCCCAACTCAATAGAGAGAGCTGGGGGAGGAGGAAGGCAGTCAGAGCCGCCGCAGCCAACAAGGGAGATGCTTCCTTCCACAAACAAAACAGAAACAAGATCTTGTCAGTTTTTGGGTGTGGTCGGCAGATAGAAGATCCCCCATCAGCTCATTCTGACTTTTCCTGTAATCAGAACCACAGAGACGCAGAGAGGAGGGGGGGGCTGAGAAGGAGCAACACAGTCTCAGAATGAAAGCTCAGACTGTCTCTGTAATGTGGGGGGAAAAAAGGCTATTTTGGACAGGAGGAGACACAAACACATAACCCTCATGACAGGGACTTTACATGTCATTGTAGGAAAAACTCAGGTCTATAGTGCTGGATTTGATTTGTCACTTAAGACTATGAATGGACTCACAAAGCAGCGTGATACATTATGTGGTACACATGACAGATCTGGGACTTAATAAGCCACATGTTCATATAGGGCGATCAATTACTGCTGTTTTACATGAAACACAGAGGCACAAGGCAGCATGTCTTAATGTTTGTTTTCATTAAAACTCTGGTGCCTGTTTAAGGGTTTCATCTAGTTGTTATTATGAATGTACTATTGTGAGATAATTTGAAGTCTTTTCTTCTTTATTCAAACACTTTTTTGAGTCTCTTTCAAGCAACTCCTTTGAATATACTTTGAATTATTTTAACATCTCGTCAGAAATATTTTTAAAACCCTTTGGCCACTGCTGTCTTTCAAACATTTCATTGGATCTGTCTTAAACCGGTGGAAATCGACACATTAACTTGAATGGTTATGATCAGCTGTGATCGGCAGATACAGCCTTTTCGTAGCCATTCTGGATGCGGTGGAGATTGGAGGTAAAGCACCCATCACTTTGAGCTATTATTTCGCATCTGTCATCCTTCTTTCTGGCACCTAGTCCGGTCTGTTTCAAGGTACCCCTTTACACCTCCCTCTTTGACATGGTCGCTATCAAATGAATTAAAACTGGCCAAAAAAACTAACTTCCGACCCCCAGACTCAGGGGTCTGAGGTTCATCTATGACCCTGAAGTATTAACATTAGCAACATGACCAAGCTTTCCATTCGGATACTTCATCTTCCAAACAGTCCCATCGGCTGAATTACCCTGGCAGTTTCTCTAAGCCTCTAATTTTGCGGCAGATTAGTTTATAATGAAGTTGACGGTCAACCAGGTGTGATTAATCACATACTGAAAGGTAACAGAGTCGGAGAACAGACTCAATACTGCAGGAGGACAGGACTTGTAATGACAGAGAGTGGAAGCACCGATGTTTATGCCTGAGTTCGTGCTCAAAATGAGCACTTACTTTTGTCTAAATTTGTCTTTGTTTACCTGAAGTGAAAGGAGTGTTGAAAACATGAGTATAACATTTATCCATCCTGTGAAAAAACTGTTGTTCTTTCCCCTCAAGTTTAAACATAGTCATTTAGCTAAATTTGAATGTGTTCAATAGATGAGGACAAGTATTGTTGGAAACAAATTAATCTCCAAGTTGCCGACAAACCACTTCTTCCTTTTGGCTCGACATTTATAGAGCCAACCGTGTCATATCAGTGACACATTAATCTATTTTTTGGCACTTGTAACAGACAGATATGGGCCTCTTACTGCCGCTTTTCTTTCCCAATATGTTCCTGAGGGTTAACCTATAGATTTGAAATATCCCTCCGATTATTGACGCAGAATCACAGAGCCTCAAAGGCACCAGAGTCGACCATAGAGAAAACTGCAGTGGATATAATCAAATAGATGGTCTGTTTCCAACTCTGTCTCATTCTAATTGTGGGTAAAGCCTGGAAAAGACAAAACCGTCTTGGTTAAGATGCTGATTCCTTCAGGACAATTTGAAATGTTTGCCTTGAATGAAAAGACAGCTGAAAAGAGAGAGAAAGAGAGAGAGAGGATATGTGGGAAGCCAAGATAGAGGGCGGGAGGACATGCAGCAAAGGGTTGTGGTTGGGGTTAAAACTCGCGAAAGGACAACAGCCTCTTTACACGGGTTTGCACAGCAGCTGATGACCCTAGACAAACTTTTGAACAGATTTCCTCGCTGACCTTTGTAGAAACCACAATCCATCCTTTCTGTGTTCGGGTTGACCATTTAAATGTTCAACCAAAACTAGCTGTTAGATGTCACTTTAAAAGCCCCAAAATGATACATCAGACGTTTCAAAAATTGAAAGCCTAATCATGATACTTAACACAAGACCAGGCGAATCATTCTCCATGAGGAAGGAGTGCTTTTTGGATAAGACATGGAGGGAAAAAAACAGGATTTCAAAAGACAAAACACTCAAATTATGGGTAATTTCAATCAAAATAATCGCGATCATGATTTCTTAAAATTTCGGACAGATGTCTTTGTGGAATCATCTCTCTGCAATCGTTTGCACCAAGGTAGCATTTCTAGCCAGTGTAGCGATCGAGACAGGAGGACACATTCGCAGTTAGCATGTGGTGCACCATTCACACAGAACACTAAATTTAATGGGCTGAGCGACCTTAAAAGGACCACTCTGTCTAATATATGATATATGATTTCTTTAGAGGAAAATAAAGACGCAGAGTCATCCAGCAAACAGAAATATAATTCAGTTAAATGTAGCTCCATGTACTGAATAGAGAATCTGAGTTGCACTCTGCATTACAGTTTTAGACATTCATTGTTCATATTACAAAGGCAGAGTATAAAAGGTCCTTACACACCGGGACCATTTTTGTCATGCAATTATTTGGGACGTCACTATTTTTTTTTTTTTTGAACCTGCATCCTGTCAATACAAGCGTTCACATCAGCTACGTTTTCCCATTCTGCGATATTGCGGCATTTATTTTTTCGTATCATGGTCGATTTTTCTAAAATTTTTGCATACTGTGTGTCCACTTCTGACCAATCAGATTGTGTGTTGTTGCGACGTCAGATTCACCGGTATATCCAACATATGCGTCTTTTTTCCCCCAGAAAGTTGGGCTTGATGTGTTTAGTCAGGCGCGTCAAAATTCGCCTCTGAATATTTCGTGATTTCGTGTTCTATTCGCGTTGTATATTCATGCCCCGGTGTGTAAGCACCTTTAGTGAGAAAGCACATTCACAGCCAGGATGACCAACTAAATCTTTCTTTGAAAAACTGGGACAAAACTCTTTAAGGAAATTCTAACAAATTCAAAATAAGTCTTAGATCAACGCAGACAAAAATGAAACGCAGTTCCTCTGACTGTATCTTGACTAACAAGACCCAATAACCAAAACATGACTACAATCAACCACAAAAAAAATGACTAAGAATAAAACTCAATTCAGATTTATTGTCAAAAGTCACGCTGCATCCACCAATTCCACAAGCGCTCATGGCATCTCACCACGAGCTCTGTCCTGGAATAATAAGTGCTGCAGAGAACATTTTATAAGACTCCTACTTCCTATGCCATCCCATTAGAAAACCGCAGGACGAAAAAGCCTCCACCCCTGCCTGATTCCGTCTGGCACGTTGGAAGAGGTGAAGCAGGAATTGAGTTAACAGTTAACATGCTAAACACAGCGTGACAGTCTGAGCCGGGCGCTCTGTTTGAAGTTTACAGGCGAGGTTTGCCTCGTGGACATCACCTCAGCCAGCTCTGGGTTACATAAATTAGCTCAAAGTTCAAGAAAAAGAGCCTTAGACGTCTAACTGTGATGAGCCTGACCTACATATTTAAGCTAATACAACTCCCACACTGGTCCTAATATTTGAAATGTATCAGAAATAAGCAGGAGAGCTTCTCTGCAGCCTGCTCTACATTTGGGAGGAGCTATTTGTTTTGCCACCATCATAGTTTCAGGTGGACTTTGCCATGCAGGTGGAATAGTACGAACTGCGACGAGAACAAAAGGCTTTCTGTTTGCCTAGTGCTGCAGGTGGAGTTGGAAGAACATGGCTGTTGTGTCCTTCAGCTTTATCTTGTCTGAATTGTGCAACTTTTTTGCTGCTTTTGGTTTCCTGATTGAGTAGAATTCGACTTTTGTTCTCAGAGTTGATCGCACTAGGAATTGAAAAGGAAAAGAGGTTTTCATATTCCTACAAATCACAACAGATCAAATGAAAGATGAAGGATACAAAAAAAGGGTAAAATAGGAGAGCTGGATTTTTGTTGAAGGGGTTCAATGTGAGTATAAATCTATGAAGTGTTATTGATCGTATTAAAGCGTGTTGACATTGTGTTGTGACTTTGACAGAACTAACCAAACCGGTGAAACGCTCCTTCCTTGTACACCCCAAACGCACCAGTTACTCATGCAAAAACCAGACCGTTGACTCAAAGAGCTTACTAACATACCTGCTGGGGAGACACACCTTGCTGCAGCCATACATTTCCGCAATTATGCAACACAGCCTACAACTACGTCTCACCTGGCTACAGACCAGGGGGAGTGAGAAATCTCACGCTTACTACCTGTGATTATGTTTTCTTTTTTCTAGGCTCCTGTAACTCTGAACAAAATGCTTCAAGTTGGAAAATCTTGACTACTTTCTGTACAAATGAGGCAAATAAATGTTTCTAACGCCAATTCATTTCAGAGGACATGAGGTTTTATGAGATTTTTCGGTATTTTGGAGTTACTACATGCATACAAATTTGCCAATTTTAAGCAATAATAACAGAAAACAATCTTAAAAATGCTAAAACCAAAATTCTTTCTGTATGTCTAACACAAAAAGAGAGGGAGTTTCAGGGCTGTTATTCTGGGACGACATCTCTACAGCCTTTTGTTACAACAGCTAGAGTGAGGGTAAGGGTTGTTTCGACATTAAAAATGTAGCCTTTGCTGGTCCGCTGCACAAGGTGGTGCCATCATCACAAGGGTCTTAGAATTGCAGTAGCAGAAACATGAACCAGAATCTGCAGCTTTCCAGTTTTCTCCTTCTCTAATCACCCTTTCATTATCAGCAAATCATGAATTGATAAATGAATCAGAATTAGAACTCAGCTCTGTAACCTGGCTGTGTTTAATACTTCATTCTAATTAGACAACACCCTATGACAGGGGTGGGCAATCATGTGCCATGGAGGGCCGAGAGGCTGCAGGTTTTCTTTCCAACCCAAAACTCCACCAGGTGATTTCACTGATTAGTCCCTGCTCTCTGCTTGGCGGTGAGGTAATCAGTGAAATCACCTGGTGGAGTTTTGGGTTGGAAAGAAAACCTGCAGCCTCCCGGCCCTCCATGGCACATGATTGCCCACCCCTGCTCTATAACAACAGTAGCTAACTCTGAATAACAGGAGCAATGCCAGGGACAACCTGAGCTAGGGCTGGGCGATAAAACGATAATGATATATATTGAAAATTAATTTCCCTCAATATCAATACAAATCATGGTCAATATGCTTTTTGATAGTCTGCAAACTATACGAATAGCCAATGAAACGCGGAGTTTCTACGAGTCCGCTTCATACTGAACCAATCATGTGCTGAATTAGAACCAAGTAGCAAACAATTGCATAGTAGCAGGCGGCAGCTACACGCAACATAGCTCTTTAACACGTGAAGCTGACAGCACTGAAGCAGTGTCACACAGCAGAGCACACACAATGTAAATATATCATATCGCCCAGCCCTAAGTTGTATCAAATCAATTCCATCCTGTGCCTCTTAGTTTTTGCTGAGGTTTGCTTAAAAGGACCATCCGTGAGCTTTCATTATTACTGACCTGAAATTTAAGGTCAGTTTTAAGGTTTGTTTTCCCACTTCTCCATATCTGGTTGGGTCTATTTTCTGGTACTCTCTAGCCTAGTTGACATTAAATGGATTAAACCTAAGCACAAAAGACAAAAGAGTGGTCTTAGAGGGGAAAACCCTCTTGGTGAGAAGATTAAGAAACACGTCATGTTGTGGGTAAAGATGGTGACTAATGGTCATATATATTTTCCCACAGTTGAACAAGACTAAAACCCTAGACCCTCAAGCTGAAGCCCTGTTTTTGGCTTCATTTACTGCCCCTTAATACCACTCCATTTAGACTCTATCGACCTTTCCACCACACCACATGACTTCTCAAATGTTGGGACTACCAGAGAAGTTGCTTCCAGCCTCTAACGTGGATCAAATTTGGGTTGATTATCAGCCAGGTGTGTCTCATGCAGATGCCAAATGGTAACAGACACTGAGAACAGGCTGTATTACAGGAAAAGAGCTATGAAAAGACTTGACTAGTAATGAGGGAGTGTCTGAGTAAGGGTGTTTTGTTACCTGGTTAGTGTCCAAAATAAGTATTTACTTCAGTGTTAATTTGCCTTTTGTTTGCTTGTAGAGATGGGAGTGTTGAAAACATGATTGTAAATTTTAGCCTGCTGTTTAAAAAAGAAAATTATACACTAAAAAGTTACCTATGACACAGCAGATTAATTTAAACACTTATTTCTCTGACTGTGGGGAAAAAGTTAGAGAGTGATACGGCACTTGAATGTTGGGAAGACTAGCCAGCTAGCAAGTGAACTAGCTTTAGTTGTAGCTGTTCAGGTGGAGAGTAGAAAACAGGTGGCTGAGATGAATAGGTTAAGTTCCTATTGTCGGCCACCTGTCTCACAGCCTCACAAACACCTTTAGGGACCGGCTCTGTGCAAACATAAAGCTCCCACCACAGCCCACCTGGTTTGAAACGGCCGTTGCTCCGCTGATGTCCACAGTTAAACGATCTCAGCTCCGGTTAGTGTACGGTGTTTAGTTAGCGGGGGACCACTCTTCTCATACAAAGTCCAACCAGGAATAAACCAACAGTCCGACAGCAAGTCCGAGAATCCAGTAGATACAGTATAGCCGAGGAAATAACGCGTCTGAGCACCGGTTAAAAACTAAAAAACCGCTCCTTGTTCCTCCACCGCTGCAGCGGTAGCTTCGGTGTTTCCTGCTAGGCTAAACTTCACTGCTTTGCTAACTCCTCCCTGATGATGCATTCAACTGCACCTCGTAAATCACAGACACCACGTCAAGTACCGCCTACTTCCGCGTTCAAAGCTTTGTGGCTCATAGCCAGAGCCGGCCCAAGCCTCAATGGGGCCCTCTACTTATGCCAGTAATATTGATTGTTGATCACCCACACCCCTTCACAAATCTCTTTGATTAACATTCCATGATAGATAGATAGATAGATAGATAGATAGATAGATAGATAGATAGATAGATAGATAGATAGTTAGTTAGTTAGTTAGTTAGTTAGTTAGTTAGTTAGTTAGTTAGTTAGTTAGTTAGTTAGTTAGTTAGACAGGGTTAGGGTTAGGGTTTTTTATCAATCCATTATCAGTGTGGGTGGTGAATTTGCCCCTTTAGGGTGAAGTTTGAATACTTTTGCAGCATCAGTATTGCACCCTGTACATGGTACCTGCAAACTCAAGCCATGGCTGTTTGTGAAGAGCGACAAAACTGAGGACGTAATTAATAACAATGATCTTGAAATAAGATGTAATATTTAGTGGCATACTCAGGTAGTTTGAGGTGCAGGGGCAGAAATTTTGAGCATCTGGCACATAATTTTTATACAAAAAATGAGTTTCATCATATCATCTGAAAATATTTTTGACTCCACTCAAACAGAAGTAGATCAGCAGCTTAAGTTTTCTGTGAGGTTAAATGACTAGATCTGTCAAAGGAGCAGAAAACTTTTCTTCCTTTGTTGAAAAGAAGACTCTTTCTGGGAATCTTTTTACATTTATTTGACAAAATGCAAAATTTCTCATTTTCTTAATATCTTTATTTCATGGAGGTCACACGGACACAGTATGAAGTTAGGCCGTTGGTACAGGCACATGATGCTTTAAAGTAATGCAGAGGTAACAGAAAGGCAATGATTACAGTGAAGGCACTTTTGTCATTAAAAAAATGCTTTCCAGTGAGCTCCAGGCTCCATCAAATTAAGACTTATTAGAGGAATGAACCTGTTGCGATCTCATAGAAGATTTGCAGACAAACATCAGGACAGACTCAAAACTCGAGCTCCCTCTGACGGAGTTGTGACATAGAAAGTTGGGGTTCCACTGTATCGCTCCTGTGGAGGACAAATAAGCAAAAACATACAATGAGTTCACAGAGGAGAATTCAAGAACCATCAATCTACAACAAATCCCCAAATCCTAAATCATAGTTTTACAATTTATGAGCATAATTCCCTTCATAATTTGGATAAATGTTACAATCAAACCATCTATCCAGAGGGGTTTAACGTTATTCTGCTCGTCACATCCTCACAGTCGTACAGAGGAAGTTCAAAGAGGGAGCAAAAGGAAAGACTTGCGACCAGACACCTTTCCTCTTTAGCCAAGACATGTCTTTTCCTCCTCCAAACTTCCTTTACTACAGCTTCCTCAGGACTAAAATTACACATAGAGACCATAACTCATCTCACCCCCTGTGCAGGCAGGCAAAGGGCAAACGGATACACCCCTCCCACAAGGAAGCGCAGTCGGTTCAGTTAATCATGAAGCAGGGTGTGCGAGCAACTGTAAATGTGTGGGTGCAGAGTTTATTCAGAGGAACTAGGAGCACTTTAATCATTGACCAAGTCAGTTTTCATCTTTCTATTCATGTCTACTATAATACAAAACATAAAAAAAACACAATAGTGTCAAACAGAATCTCAGGCTAAAGGTTAAGGTATACAGCAATGACCATATTTACTACTACATCTCCTCCTAATGCAGCTACACATCATAAGAAATGTCTTGCAGTGACCGATATACCAGTGTGAAATGCAGTCAGAGGTATTTTGTTGTTTTACAGTATTTTACCCAAAGTTGACACTCAAAGAAGCCAGATACATTCTATAACATACATGTCTAGAGGTACCACCTTTGAACACATATCTTGCTGGGTAATAACCATTCATTTAAATAAACAATGGTTTACTATGAAGTCAATAAACCATGGGGACTGTAGGTTTGGTTAATACAACTAGTGATAAGCTGAAGGGTGGTTGGACCATCTATACTTCACAAATATTAATACCACTGTAGGCTGAACTCAAGCTCCCTCTGGATATCCCCAGAAAAAAAGACCGCATCTCATATACCAGTGATGAAAAGTGTGTCCTTGACCTAAAATAGCTATAACTTCATCTTAACCTTCACCTTAATGTATCCTTAATGTTAAACAAACGCAGGGACACAATCTGCATCAGACAGTACATGCCTTAGCGTGACACCTTTGCAACTTACTGTATATACTGGATTTTAGGGTAAACGCTGTTTAAGAATGCCATTTAAGATACACAAGGCCCCCACTAAAGGATAGTTATCTTTTGTATAAGCTCCACAAACTGCTCTGTCATGCAAATAGTGACTCTGTGCGCTGGAGTTGTTCGCATACATTGATTGGCTAATATGGAATCATTTTGGAGCAAAATATGGCCTTTTCTATGCAAATAACCCTACTTCAAATCATCATTGATTCAGTAACACTGGCTCTGACAGTCAGTTGATGGTATTTATGGAGTATTTATTAATGCTACTCTTTAACACTTAATTGATCAAGATAATTCCATCTCTAAGTGACTTAAAAATAATGCACCTAGGACTGTTAGTGGCTTAGCCCTTGTAAGCTAAGGCTGTGTCGTCATGCACAACAGTGCTTTTCCCCATGCTCTTTTTGCTAGCTTGCTCTGGTAAATAAGCTGGATACAAACTGCAAAACTTGTGTCACATCTATCATGAATCAACTCCAAAAATAACCTGGTAAGGATCTTCTTTTTCAATCCAGCTCGTCATATGTGTGGAAAGAATTCAGCTTCATCAGGATGAGAGCTCACTGCGCAGCTGTGTGCAGCATGGAGATACTTTGAGCTTATCTCAGTGACCATATCACTTTAAAAGAAAAACTTTTGAATATTTTTACCATCTAGATGTTCACTGACTTGAGGTCTGTTTTATACACAGGTTTACTGGTCGCTATACCTTTACTTTCTGCAGTCATGTTTTTTAAACGTGTGCATGTTAGTGTCCAAAAAGGGCAGGTCTACAGGGGCTCTCCAGACTTGATCAGGTTTGGTTGCTCATGTGTCCTACTTCACAAAGAAATCATGTCTGCAGCAACAAAATTTGAGCTTTGTTACAATTGCTTCTTCAGTTTCATGACTGGGTTATTGTCATATACTGTCCTCTCTATTACAACAATCCATGTGGCCTGACACCTTCGCTCCAACAGCCGTTTCAGGAATGAAAAATCACAACTTGGGTATTGTTTGTTTTGTTACTGATAGTCTAATTTGCATCACTTCTTAAAGGCATCACAGTAAAATGAATTAAAACTCCTAATTTCACATTGTTACTCAAATATTTAGTCTGCAGCATGTCAACAACAGTCATAGACAGTATATGGAATTCCAACAGACTAAATTAACAAAAATAATGAGCAGCGTTTTAGATTAACAGTCAGTGTAAGGTAAAGTTAGGCCTAAATGTCAATGAAATGTTAGTTTTTTCACAGATAGTCTTGTAATAAACGCAACGTATGCACTGTTTTGGTTAAATCTATGACAGCTATGAAGGCCGAAGCTGTTTCTCACTTTAATGTTACAGAGTTATTCAAACATATAAAAGATTAGAGTCAGCGACTGGAATTCAGTGCTTTCATTTCCTCAGTCTTCAGCACTTGACGAGTCGCAGAGCTGTACAGCACAGAACTTCAGCTGGATCAGGAACCACCAGGTCGATCTTGAATCCTTCAGCCAGAGACACCTTCAGCAGCTCCTCCATAAACGCCTGCATGTCTGTGATCTCACAGGGGCTCCACTGCCGGTTCATGATGTCGTCTGTCTGGGCGACCTCAGGCGGGTGGGAGACAGTCAGCCCTCTGTAGCGCTGCTTGTCATACTGTTCCTGTGGGAGGTCGTCGGGTCTAGGCACCCACTCCAGTTTCAGCCTGTTCTGCCTGGGGTTGCAGGGATGGGGGCTTGTGAGACCCTGAGATGTTCTGTAGGAAAAGTGCTCACAAAGCAGAGCCAGGAAGGCCGTCCAGGTGCAGAAGAGGTCAACTGAGAAGGCTCTCACAGAGCATGTGCGGAGCTCATAGTTTTCTGGTCCATGTCTTAAGTTGAAGTGGAGAACTCGAACCTGCAAAGAGAGGGAGGAAAATGCTGACTACATGTTTTCAAGAGTGTACACAAACACAGAACTGGTCTGTCTGTGCCTCTACAAACAGATGTACCAACATTTGCTGATGAAGAGTGTATACAATAAACACGAGCCAAAAGGTTATTGAAAGCTGGTGATGTCTGTAGTTATAAAACTCTCTCAGTAGAGACACAGAAAAGCACCAAAATAATATACAGTAAAATAAATCATAGTAGTGTATTACCAACATGAGATCAGAGTCATCTAGGCTCCTCTAAAACAAGCAGTAGGACCAGAACAGAAGGTGGGCCACCAACATCTAAAGATGCACTCAGCTCTACCATGTAATTTAAATCATTTCGACAAAAACTGACCCAATCACCAATGTCAAGCACTGGAAAATTTTCATCACTTTACCATCTATTTTGCCCTACCCTCACACCCCATTAAACATTCATCCACCTGCAGCCCACAGATCAGCTGTTCAGGTCTGTAATGTATGTATCAACTTGAGTCATTCCCTGTACTCTGATAAATCATGAATTTTACTCTTTTTACATCTCAATTTACAACTAAGTCAGAACCTTATGGCACTGATACAGTAATTTTTGTAGTTAGTTATTTCAGCTCAGTCTTCTTCAACAGTTCACAGTGTATTTTAATAAAGTAAACAGATCATGTGGACCATGAGCTGTGTCACTGTGCTACTAAAAACAAAAATGACAGTGGAAAACTTATTTAGGAGACTTACTCCTTTTTCAGTTATTTTATTTTTTAGATATATTAAAAAAAATTAAAACGTGGGTAACAGGAGGCATCAGTGAGGCAGGCACTCTGGATGGTGATTGATGCAGACAGCAACTGCATGTGAGCCACAGATATTCCTGAAGGACTGCTGTTACTTCAGTGCAGAGTTTATCAGGATCCATTTTGGGTAATACACTCACAAATGATGAGTACCTCAAACAAACACACTAAAAAAAGTTGACTACCCATTTAAATAAAACCTTTTTCTGGTGACAGGCTCAGATTGACATCCTAGTTTAACATTTTTGTATAATAAAGAGACGGATCCTTTGGTTATAAAGATTGCCTTTTCACTAGAGGTTACCTTAACTCCTACCTTATGGTGGGGACACGTGTTTGCCTACTTCTTTTTGCTTCCTCCTAATACCCTGATGCCATTGTGACATTGGCCTTAAAAGGTTCAATAAGTTTGTACACAAACAATGGGCTGAATGTGAGCTTACAGAGACAGATGTCTGAATTATGCATAAACACAAACAAACCAGTCTCAGCAGAAATAGACCAGCAGCTTTCTATCTGTGAGGCCAAATTAAATTCTGAGGGTGTGACGGTGCCTAAATGTTAGTTCAAATATCAACTTATATGAAATAAGATATCATCTGTAAACTTGTGTATTATAAATCTGGATGACTTTTGAATCTTGTTCATTCTTGCCCACAGCTTTAAACCACTCATTTTTGTAATTTGCAGCAACTGTGTTCCTACAAGTTCTTGCTCTTGTAATTGAAGATTAATTCAAACATGGCTTATTGGACTAACTTTGAAGCACATACCTTTGAATCTACCTTCACCATGATCATGGCTCCTAGTGGCCCTCCTCTGAGGCTGAGAGGAACTTTAGCTTCATAATGGTGAATCTCCTCCAACAGGGGGCGTATCTGGAAGAAGTCAGCCTCTCTCCGGAGTAGCGCCAACTCTGAAAAGCCGTCCGGCAGGTCCAGAGAGCTGGATCGCAGGTAATTCAGGATGTACCTGAACACTTTGCCGTCACGGTCTATGAAAACATTTCCTTTGTTGTCTCTGAGCACAGGGATCTGTCCTGTGAACATAGCACCCAGCATCGAGTCCTGACATCGTGTCAGGGTGCCCAGAGTGGTGGTGTAAATTTCCCCGCCGACATTCAGGGACACCGGGTCCTGGAGAGAGTTCCTGTAGCTGTTGTCGACCCGTGAGTTGAGATTCAGCATCTTGAAGTGATTTTTCTGATCCTGTGGCGCTGCTGTTCGGAGGACAAGGATCCTTCCACTCTGCTCAGGAATGCCGAGGACCGAGGGATGAGGAAGGTTCAAGTGTTTCTTTTGTTCCCAAGAGACTTTTTCCTTTTGACAGCTAGCAAGCCACTGTAGTAACCAGGATACCGCCAGGGGAGGGAAGATGTTCAGAAATCTGCCAAGTCTGTTTCCAAAGCTGAAGATTTACAAAACCAGAGTTCAAAAAGACAGCTGATCTTTTCCCTCTAACTGTTCCTCAGAGCAAACATGTCATCCTCATGAATATAGCCATTTCCTGTGATTTTCTGTGGATAAGTTTTTGCTGATGTCTCTTCCGCAGGGTTCAGTGCAGTGCCAGCCAACAGCAGGCCCAAAATCTGACTGTGTGAAAGCAGAAAGGCAGCAGGGCCTCGGTGACCAGACCAGCATGCTAATAACTGGACACTTCTGGCTCTGTCGCCACGAAGCTCGCTATTATTCTCAGCTCATACCCCCGATCTCTTTCTCTCTCACACTCACTCACACACACACACACACTGGAGCTGTCTGAGCAAGACACCGGGGACTGGGTAATTTGTCTGAAATGCCCCCCTTAAAGTGACAGCCAGAACACTGAGAAGTGTTTTTTTCATCCCTGTGAACAAATCAACAATGTCCGCAAACACTCTTCATTTTAAACACCCTCTGGAGCACAAAGTTTTCCCACCAAACACAATCAGAAAATCAGAAAAAGTTCAATTCTTCAGCAGCATTGGCTGTGTCATGAAGCTGGATGAGAATAATAAGCTAAAAAATGTAAGTCTATCATGCCTACAACAAATGATGACATCCTGCAGCACACAAATGCATCAAAACTGATGAATGAGGCATTATGACTCAGGGTTAGGATAATATCTGGCTTGTTATCAGCACACAGTTCAAAACCCAGCATCAGTGATTGTGTGGGGATGCATCTTACACATCTAGGGGGACACCATTAATGCTGAGCAATATATACAGGTTTTGTAGCAACATGTGCTGCCATCCAGGATACGCCTTTTTGAACGAAGACCTTGCAAATATTTCAAAAAGACAAAGCCATAACACATTCTGCACATATAACATCGGCATGGCTCTGCACTAGAAGAGTCCCAGGCTATACTGGACTGGCAGGTGCCCCAAACAGTGCTTCTGTTCATAATCTAAAACCAGTCTTCACCCACTTCATTCCCCAGGAAATCTTCCAGTATGATGTAGTTTTCAGATGTTTACAAACTGAGTGTTTCATAGACTGGAGATTCCTCAGTTGCAGAAAGAGTCATGTGTTAAGATCTAGCATGTTGTACTATTCCCACTTAAATATGTGGTTGAAATGATTCACAAACTACCAAAATCTGTTTTTACAGAGTCATAACTTTTTCAGAATTAGAGCTGTATTTATATATCATTCATTGCCAGTTTTCTGTGTGCTTGTTCACTTTTTCAGTGTTTTCTCTAACATTGATTTATTATAGGCAACCTATGCATGGGAGGCAGGACTGTTGTTTGCAGATGTTATGGCTTTTATAGCCTTCAGGCCTAATAGAACAGTGCTTAATCATGTTTCATTGCCTGTAGGACATGTTGACAACATAATTGCAGGTGTGCAATATCCTCTCAGAATACATCTCCAAGGAAATGAATAGAAAGACGGCAAATGAAGAAATATAATCGCATGCTTTCCTTCAAGATGTTTGACACGATAGGAATATAAATTTCATGTCTTACTGGGAAAAACGGGATATAACGTTTCTTTTGGGATTTTATAGAAACATATTCTTATGTTACAGAGACTTTCTTGCATCCAGAAAATAACTTGTTTGTCACACTCTGGACCATGTAAATTAGTCAGTTAAAATGAATCACCAATTAATTAATAACTTTTACAAGCATATTCTTTTAAGTCTCCCTCTGACACATTAACCTTTGTTTATGTTTGCACACTTAAGCTTTAACTAACTGCAGAAAACGTTTTAAACATTTGATTTTGATGGTTAATACGTGTGTTTTTACCTGTATGTGGAGTATTGTCCTGTCGATGGCGTTGGCCTGCAGCAATGTCACAGTGCATCCACCAAATCCTCCACCTGTCATCCGGCTGCCAAACACCCCCTCCACCTCCATGGCTGCAGACACCAGCTCGTCCAGTTCCCTGCAGCTCACCTCGTACAGGTCTCTGTCACAGAAGCGTCAGGTTACAAGCTCACCTGCCTCGTGACTCAAGGTGAAACAGATGTGAAGCAGATGTAAAACAAGTGCTGAAACTGTACCTCAGTGAGTTGTGGCTCTCCACCATAAGCTTTCCAAACTCTTTGTAGGCTCCTCTTTTCAGGGCTTCAGCGGCTTGGACTGTTCTCTCTATCTCCTCGATCACATGACGAGCTCTTCGATAGGTCACATCGTCCAATCTGTCCTTTGCATCTGAAAAGAGAGTGGAGGGAGAAGAGTCACGATACAGATTTGATCTGTGTACCAAAAGTAAGAAAACTGCGATCTTAACTCCTCTGCAAAATAACGTGTGAATCAGATGCTGTGAAGCTACACATATGCATTTATTTTGTATTTTCTCAGTAAAATATTTAATGTAATTTGTAATTAAAAAAACATCAATTAGTGTGTGTTTGTTGGGACTACAATGTTACATTAGGAAAGGCATGATATTTAAGCATGTCGGTATTTCTCATTCTGTAAACTCCTTTAGATTAAAGCTCCTGTGAGGAGGTGTGTTTAAAATTTAGCGCCCCCTCTGGACAAAAAAGTCTCTGCTTGTTTTCTCTTCTACATGTTGAAGAAGTGACTTCTAACCCAAAAGAACTCATCATGCAGATTTTAGGCAGCCAACTGTATAATTTATTGTGAATATTTTATGTGTAAAATGTAAAAACAGGGCTGTTTTTGCAGCTTCTCAGCTGACGCCTACCCTCTCACATCAGTAATAAAAAACTACAATAAAATTGTCATTAAACATGCAATCAACTTGTTTGCTTTTGGATATTATGAAAAGCATCAAACGCAAAAAAAAACCCCTCCTATAAGCAGCTTAAACATTAAATATTCTCAATAATTTTTTTTTTAAAAATTGAATTAGCTTTGAAACCAAACAACTCTGTAATGTGATGTGGGGAATCTGACAATTTACGCTTGTTTTACTGCAAACAATTCATCATAAATATTGAGGAAGTTTGAAAAGCTGAAACAACATGTTTGGCTAAAATACCTCAACTTGTTGGCAGTCCTTTAATAGTAATTCATGCCTCTGAATTATGGTAAAGAAAAAGTATTTGCAGTATTTCAGTTTAACCAGCAGTTAGCCTGAAAACAATCAATCTTTATTTATAAGATAAGAAAAACTTTGTTGATCTCTGAAGAAAATTACACAGAGGCATCATGTTGGCTTACTTCAGCAAAATGAACCTAAAAAGGGAAACTGATCTTTTAAAAATTTTCTTCTGATTAACAGGCAGAAATAAAAAAGCAATAATGAAGATAAATGAAAAAGGAAAGTCTAACTTTGGTTGGGTCTGTGCTTCAGAGAATAGAACAACTTTACAAATGTTCATTTGTTGAATGGACGTCAGATCCATGATTTCACACCAACAGTATATGCTGCTCTTGTAAACTTATTTGATAGAGAACAAATAAGCGGCACTTGCATGCAGATATTTGTTACTGTTATCAGATGGGCGTCCAGGATGTCATTACAGTGGAGAAAAATAAAATAACACAATCAGGAAGATAAAAAGGAAATGATTAAAGGCATCATACCCTCCAGGTTTTTCATGGTAGCATCTCTGAGACTGTCCTTCCCCAAGATGGAGGCAGCCTTCTCACACTGCTGGCGTCTCACAGGGTACTCACTGCCGGCCAGAGAGTGCTTCACATTGGAGTTAGTGATGAGAATGACCAGGTCTGAATCTGCCAGAGGGACAGGGGTGGCCTCCAGAGACCTGAGTCGGAGCAGGGAAGAAAACTGGATTGATCATAGTGGGTGTGAATGTGTAGAAATAAAAACTTGGTCACAGTCAAGTAATGAAACGTTGTAATTGAGGACTCGTTGATGGACTAACTTTCTTTGGTTGTTTACCCTACCTGCAGTCAATCAGCAGAGCATGCCCCTCTCTGCCAAGAACAGACACAAACTGGTCCATGATGCCACAGGGTACCCCAGCGTGGGTGTGCTCAGCCTGCTGACAGGCCAGTGCTTTAGGTACCTTCTCTCCATCATCTGTGGAACCAACACAGAGTTGAAAAACTGTAACATCTATATATGTGTGAACCTATTATCCAATCATGTAGAGAAAGAAGAGTGGTATCTAAAAGTTGCTGTTTTTTAACTTGACTTTAAACTTTGACTAAAACAGTAGAAGTAATACTTCATCTTTAAAGCCAAAACAGACTGTACAGACACCACCCTGTCTCACTAACTGGGGCAGCCGCAGTTTCTGACCTGGCTTGAGCTGCTGCAGGAATGTGTAGAAAGCCACCTCCAGGGAAGCAGAGCTGGACAGACCTCCTCCCAGAGGGACACTGCTGATGATCACAGCTCTGAAACCTGGAATAGGGGAGGCTGCAGGAAAAAAACACAGAAAGTACTTATCATGTAAACTTCTTTGTGTTATTTACACATAGAAGGTGAAGAAAACATTTACTTTATTTAGTCCTGATCGACGTCTTCAGATGAAAAATTAACTGCACAAAAACATAACCATTAATGTTTGTTTACCTCTGTAATGTTGTATAACTCCCTTCACATAATTTGCCCAGCTGGGTAACCCTGGAGACAGCGGTGATCCATCACTTGGCAGCCTGAAGTTCACCCTGTGAGGCTCGTCAGCATCCTTAGTAGCTGTTACTATGGTAACATCTTGTCCAGAGGTTTGACTCCCGACCACCACTGTCACAAGGGGGAGTGCCTGACTCACCAAAAATAAAGACATAGCCCTGTGTGGTCATGACAACAAACCCCTTTAATGTGAAAAATAAGATATATAAAGGTATACACCTGAACTTCACAGCTTAAAGGGATATTGCGGCGTAAAATTTATTTAGGGTCAAACACACTGTAACACTGAGTTAGACACCCCCTTGAGAGATGAATGTTGCCAACTGCTTGCTTTCCTACCTACTTTAGTAACGACCACAGGTATCAATACACAGCAGTCTGAGGAGCCACACACAAACCTCAAACAAAACACTACTCTATAGCCACAAATAATGTTTAGAACAACACCTAACTTTATCAACAGTACATATAGGGTCCTAGCCATAGTGCTAGCCACCAAACATCTTTTTAACTTTGACTAATTTCTTTAGCAAAGACACTAAACACAACTTACCCACTCCCTTCCAGCAACCGCTTGTTTGGCACCTCGGACCAGTCCATCACGGACTGCTGCGGGGTGACACAGCTCAAGGAAGAACATTTATGATCATTTCTTCATGGAAATGCAATCAGACCGAGACGCTAAGGCAGAAGAACTACTGCGTCTGCAGCGCAAATGATTAATATGATGATTATTACTTCAAGGAAATAATTAGGAAATGATCATAAATGTTCTTCCTTGAGCTGCGTCACCCCGCAGCAGTCCGTAATGGACTGGCCTGAGGTCTCACTACAAACGAGCAGCTGCTAAAGGAGAGTAGGTGAGTTGTGTTTAGTCTCTTTGCTAAAGAAATTAGGCAAAGTTAAAAAGATGTTTGGTGGCTAGTGTTGTGGCTGGGACCCTATATGTACTGTTGATGAAGTTAGGTGCTGTTCTGAGCATTATCTGTGACTACAGAGTGGCGTTTTGGTTGAGGTTTACGCATGTATCACCATCCTGTGGTCGTTGCTAAAGTTGGTATAACTAGAGAAGCAAGCGGTCGGCAACATTCATCTCTCCAGGGAGTGTCAAACTCGGTGTTACGGTGTGTTTGACCCTAAATTAATTTTACGCCGGAATATCCCTTTAATCACCACAAACCTAAATTATTTCTCTTTTCACCTCCACCTTCCAAATTAATCTCAGGTATATTCACGGTTTGCCACGGGCTGATCAGTTGTCATTTTACCATTGGAAGCACAAGTCCTTGGTTGTAGTCAGTGTGCTCTCCAATCAGGTTCACTCTTCCAGGAGCACACACCGCCACCCGGGGAGCCTCCTCCCCGAACACCTGTCCATACAAACGGCGAGCCTCTGCCACGAGCTCCGCTGCTTCAGGAAACGAACTTGCCATGGAGCAACGTTATGTTCAACGATCGCTAAGAAGATGAATAAAACATGCGAGGGAAATCCGATCCAGGGAAGTTTACCAGAATCCCAAGTTCCTCTGATAAAAGCAGACTGAACTTTTGAAACGTCAGGCGATTGTTTACTTCCTGGTTTTGCCGTCACATGACTCGGCGTACGTGGCTGTGAACGGAGACCATTCAGCTCTTCCTGAATATTTTATCAAGTTTCATTTTTCGTGAGTGCTTTTAGGATGAGTTGTTACTCTCTTTCTTACAGTCTTGTTACGTCTGAATGTCTTAATTCTCATTCCAGTTCCTCGTATTTTTCACCAATCTAACTTTAAACTTAAAGACATTGTATGTAATATGAAGAAAAGCAGAAACAGAAGTGGTAGCTGTTCATGATGGGGCAATGATTGTTATGCTGGACACTGAAAAAGCCTTAAGATATATAGAACTAAACTGTGGCATTAAGAGCATTGTTAGTGAAACTTGCAATTGTTTAGGCCTATTATATTTATTGTGAAAATGTATTTTAGCTGCATATGAGGGATATTTAATATGTTTTTAAATAGGACTCAAAGTCTTTCCTGATTCGTGACATCCATTTCCTAGAGATTTTTGGAATATAAGTTTTAAATAAATACAATTTGTCTAATTCTCAGTAGAAACTAAACACAGTCAGTATGAACTGATTATGAAAATGAACTTCACAATATTTTAGGCCACAATGTGAATTTTTAGTGTTAAATATTCAGGTCCACAATTCAAGACATTTAACATTCAGATTTAACTATTAAAATGTCTTCAAAGCTATATTTACATCTGTGTGTAGCATTCAGATTTCACATTTAAATTTAACATCTAGACTTGTCATTTTGGTTAATATAAAACATTCAGATTTAAAAGTTATATTATCTTTCATATATGTTCAGGATAAAAACAGATTTGACAAAAACCTTTATCTTAATTTACATGCAGGCTACATATAAAGTTAACATGAGGTAGCCAATGGAAGGGATGCTATAGAAAAATAAAAAGACAATTATTTTGGATTTTCATCAAGTTTATATTGTTCTACTGAGTTCTTAAGTTATTTGTTGCATATTTCTTCTTCATGAGCTGCAGTGTTGCCTGTTCCTTGTAGTGTGTCACATGCGGTAGACGCTGCCTTTTCGACAGTGGTGAGAAAAGAGGCTTTATAGCGGCACCTGGTGGCTGTGATCTGAAATCACTGCAACAAAATGTAAATCTTTACAAATGGAGGCTGAGACTGAATGGCGGGCAGGGTAGAAGTGATAAACTGCTGGTGACTCCACCTTTGGGGGTTTGGACAGCCCTGATTCACCCATGTTGTGTACCTCCAGCTTAGAGTAACCTGTGGTAATGCTTGTTTAGTGCCCCTGTAAGATATCCATATTGGATGAGGGTTCCCACATGAGATAGTACACCTGTATATGCTGCACTCAGGCGAGATGCTGACTCATTAACCTTTGGTGCTAGCCTTTGGCTGGGAAATTGGCTAAAGATATTGCTGGCCTTGAGTTGCTAGACCGATTCTCATCAGTGAATGGATGAATGGATCTTTAACTCACTGCATTTTTTCCTTGGGGCGTTCAGTCTGGTTGGTTGATCCAAGACCAATTGGATTAACACAGCATGTGTGGTAGCGTATAGCAACAGAAAACAGACAGCTGCATGCAGAGAAAAAACACATATCTTTTGAACAAATGAATACCATCCGTGCAGTTGTTTGATCTGTTTTAAAGAAAACAAATCAATCAGATTCCACAAAACTTCCTCAGTTTTTAGTTTAAGGGCTTACTGGGTTGGTATATTTGACACACATAGAGGAAGTGATTTAGAATAAAAGTGGTTACAGGCTCATCTACCTGTAAAAATGAATATGAGCTGACTAATGGGTCTGGCGATGCTAAGCTAAGGCATCAAAACTTTGTCTGTACTAGGTGTGTTGTTAAGTGTTGGCCTGTAGTTTTATATTGCTCACTAACAAGGTTGTACCCAGAGGTGTGAGAATGGGATGAGTCAAAAGCTGACAGATGCCATCAGTGTGTGAATGTGGTGTGAATGGCTGATACTTTAAAAAACAAAAAAAATGACTAAAATTACACAAGACAAGCATACACATTTTAAAAGAATATTTTATTGCATCTCTATTCTATCTATCTTAGTGCATATATTACCTGTTTGAATAAATAACATCAGCTTCATGACATTAGAGCTACAGCAGCACAAAAGCAAACAGCTGAATACTTCAGGTATAATAAATAACAAGGTCATTTCTTGGAGTTGCACAGTAAGTTTCTGTTATCAAAGCTACATAAAAAACACAACTTTGGTCCTTTAAACATAGGTAATTGTAATTCAAACACTGACGGATTCTGATGCCTTTCTGTTTGATTGTTTCATGCATTTAGTACATTTTTAGAGACCAGTAGTTTTTGATATCATAGTAAGTTTCTTCTTAATCTTGCCATAACCTTTCCAGGTCAAAAACTTTTCAAGTATTCAAATTCACTGTGAGATTATCATTAAATAGTCATAGTTCTGTCTGTCATGTGTAAAAAAAACAATGATCCAAGACCAGCTTTTACAAAATCCTATTCCCTTCTTTAACCTAAAACAACTCTGTATAAAACTTTGACATGATTTTAAAAAATGATATATCTAACATAGAAACATGTCCAATGATCTGTTCAAACACTGATAGTAACAAAACACTCATGTCACAGTCACCAAAACACAAAGTAAAACAAAGATGAAGCTCAAAAATGTGAAAAACTAGACAAAGTTATAAAGCTTCTTATCTAAAACGCGACTGACAGGGACTCTCTAAAAACATGGACTTCAGTCGCGGTATTGCCTCACATCTCCTGATTTAGTGTCTGTTTTTGAAATGTAGGTTTGGGAAAACTTCAACATCCACCAAAATATCCGTATTATCCTGATCCTCACAGACAGCTAATTCACAGCTGAATTTTAGGAATAAGGCAAATAATTTTGAGTAGGGGGACCAATACAAGTTTAAAAATCATATGAGTACTTTTACACTTTTAAAAGTATTTTTTTAAGTTGCTAAACAACTACACACTTCTTTCCATCAAAGAATTACCAACAAACTAAAGATACAAAATGTAAAGCAACTGTGAAGATGTGTAAGTTTGCATGGGTTTTAGCGCCTCCCTGTGGAGAAAGTATGTAAAAAAGTTTGGGTTATCCGGACCTGGTGATAAGAGCAATTGAAGACTTTAGATTTAATCAAATCTTGGAAAGGACAGATTACGGGTTTTGGACTCATTTACAAAATGCAATAAAAAAATTTACCAACTATGTTGGTATTTTGGCATTTTTTACGGGGTACTTCTACTCTTGAATTGCTGAACAAATGTTCCTAAAATGTTTTCACCAAAAACCAAGTGTATCAAACAAAACTTTTAATCTAAGAGCATTTTGTATGGGTGGTTGCATGCCTTGTGGATAAAGTGTTATCACCGGTTACACAGAAAAGGTAGGATTTTAAAGTAGGAAACTGGATGAGGTGGATCTGATCTAATCCTTCTTTGGAAAACCAGACTGAACAACTGGGTCCTGAATGGAAGAGAAACAGCTTGACTAAAGGGACGGAGCTCATCAAGTCACTGCTACATCTGCTAAACAACCCCCATCCAGTCAAAATACCATGCTTTTAGAGAGTCCCGCTAACAATAAGGCAGCAGATTTATCTAGTGCACATCATCTTTTCCGTCTGCATAACTGCTCAAACTATCTTTACAACAGAAAAAAAGCCTACGTCAACATTTATGTATCCTTTAATAAGCCACAGGGAGAAGGTAGGATGGGTTGTCACCAGGCTAGTGGGGTCCACACCTCATGATACTGAACCCCAAATCGCCACCATGGCTTTTCCATCACTTTGAGTGTATGAGGGAGAAAAGAGCGAACGGCATCTAAAGCGCTTTGAGGGGTCAAATGCCTAAAATAAGATCATTAAAAGTGCTTTTCTGTCTGTGGAAATGATCTCTGTCTTCATAACAGCTGGTAAAATTGGAGTCAAAATAGTTAAACTAAAGTAATATTGTCTAAACGTGTACATTTTCCTTTGAGGAGACACTGTTCAAAACACTGGGAAGGGCAATAATTTCTTTTACTTCGCAGAGATAAATAGAAACTTCTAGAAATTGTTTTTCTATGGCTTTTCTTCATAGTTTTTAGTGAGATTCCTCATTAGAAGCTAGTGTCAGATGTTCATCAGTAGCTGTATTTGAGCTGACACTCTCTGATTACAGTTTTAAAATAAACAGTATATTCAAATGTTTGTTTGTTTTTTCAAGCTAGTGGATTCATGCTGGATCTTAAAAACACATATCCTTAGAAAGTTAAAATCACTGGCTTTTTCAGAAATTTAAAAGTACTACTACTGATGATAGGCCATTCATTAAATGACCAACTCTGAGTACTCGGAGCATTTAATATGACACTCTGACTATTTTTCCAGCATCTTCAAGGCCAACAAACTTCTGCTGGTCCTAACAGATTTTTTGTGAGTGTTTTCATTATTTACATGCATAAAAATTCACCAAGATACATAAAATAAAGTATCTAGATACTACAGAATTGTTCTATCATAGTCTTTGCTAACATACCAGCAGGCATTTCCAGGCTATTCAGGGTAAAATAAACACTAACATTTGATAGACAAAGGTAAAAAAGTTTCAAAATGCAAAGTTAAATTCTAGCACCAAACTTTGGTCATGCCACTAAATATTACTCATATAAGTAGACTTTCGAAGGATGGTTAGCTGAGTCCAGATCGGAGTATCAAACTGTTTTAGACGGAGCTTTGGCGTGAAGTATCCACCGGTCACAATGACTGGAAGCCATTTTTTCATTTCTGTCTGTTTTGTGAGGGATTAAGATTAGGAGCACAGGAACAACTTAGACTGAAATGAACATTAGTCAGCCATGAGTCTAAACCAAGCTGCAGCCTCCAGTGTTAAATATTGAAATCAACGTTGCTGTGCAAAAGACTGCAGTTCCTAAAGTGTCCACTGGAGGCTGTTCAAAAGTCAAGAAATCCTGTTAACATCTGTATTAATATTTCCATCTTTTGCATTAAAATTAAACATGTTTACAGCCTGGTTTAACTTTTTGGGGGTATGCAGCTCATTCATTTGCTTAGATGAATTTCTTAACACATCTGTTAAGAAATTTTAAAGGGTGTGACTTATACATAAATTTGCATAATAGGTTGGCATCAGCATTTCTAAATAAGCCAACCACCATTGTTGGGCTTCAAAACATATATATTTAGATCCAGGAACCAGAAGTTGTTATCTCTGGGAGCATGCCTGAGTTTCAGACAGTATATGGTCTTGACTAAGACCTCATTTTCTATCAGCTCATCATTGTTTACAATCCAAACAGCAACTTTGTTTAGACTTCATGATAAATGCCTATGGGAACGATGCTGAACTCTGGGTTTTATCACACTGGAGCTCAATCTTCCCACTATTATGCCTACAAATAAACATAATTTCTTGGTTTATTACAGCCCCATGGAAACAACTGTTTATCTTTCCCTGCTGAGTCTCAGCTTCACTGTAAATAGTAAATAATACAGGGCTTCACTGACTTATTCCAGCTGCATGAACCCTAAAAAAAGATTTTCCTTTCCTTTGCTTCAAGAGACGTAAAAGTATGCCATAATATAAGAGTTGAGAGGGGATGACTGGATCTGCACTAACATGGTCCTCTCCACTCTGGGTTTTGTATATTTTGACTTACACTTATTGCATATTTTGTTCTTCACCAGGGCTTTTCTCTTGTTTACATTTAAGGCCTTCTTAGACTTTTTAATCCATCAATGTCTATCAGTTATTTTTACACAATATGATTTTCAAGTTTTTCATTTTTTTGCATACTTTTAAAAACACTTTACAAAAAATATGATACTGCTATCATCAGTAAACAATCCAAACTGTTTCCCATGCTCTCAATAAATTTATAATACTGATACTTTATCTTAATCTTGCTCGACAGAACTGACCAGTGAAGGATTTAGCTGCATCAATTTAAAAACCGTAAAGAGATCATGAAGTTTTATACTTAGTGAGAGCCCTGATCTTTGTCCGCTGGACTTCAGTAGATCTCTTCAAAAATCTTCTCATGCTGCCTTTAATCTTTCAGGTTATCATGGGTCAGAGGTGAGATCAGGGTTTCTTGGTTGTAAACTTGGCCGGTGATTTAGCTGATGGTTTCACTGGACTGCTCTGACATGGTGAAACTTTAATGTGGACGAAGAGTGAGGCTGGCGAAAGGCTGGAGCCGTCCACCTTACGAAGCCGGACATGACGATAACCTGCAGAGATATAGAAATGGAGGTCAGGGTACTCTTTGATCATTTTTACAAGCAGCGAAATCGCCAATGTCATGGTCTTTTCCCCAATATGCCACCCTTATACAGATGTAAGGTGGATTGAAAGCTGAGTAAATTTGAGAAGAAAAAAAAACTTTACATGAAAATGAAATGAAAAATAAAAATAAAAAGTTATGAATGTGAGGTGAAAAGCCACAATTATAAGAAATTATGTTTAAGTATAAAATGAAATTTAGAAATACTGGGAAAAAAATACAAATTTATCAAATAAAAAGCTACAATAATGAGATAAAAAGTCAAAATTATAATAATTTGAAGCCTTCTCTTCACAAAGTTGTCGGATAAGTCTGAATAATGATGTAAAAATTCACAAGGATGATAAAAAGTATCTAAGTAATTAGATGAAAGGTTAAAATCATACAAAAAGTTAACATTGTGAGCTTAAAAGTCACAATACACTTCACGGTTAAAATCAAGAGCAAAAGGATATTTTTATGAAATGAAAAATTGAAATCATGCAATGATAAGATCTAAAAATGAGAAAAAAAGTCAGCGATGAGATGGAAGTTGAAAATAAAAGGCTCTTCATTGGCCTCAAAGCTCGAGTTTAAGTCAAGTCTCAGGTCACTGACTTAGATTCACTTCAGTTCAAGGTTCAAACTCAGGTCCCCCTTTTTGCTGAGTACTGTAAGTGGAGATAAAAATCTGTCTTCCAGGTTTTTTTTTTCTTATACCTGTTTTTCTCCAGTAGATGGCAGCACACAATGCCATGTGTTTATGTTTGTAATTTGTCCTCCTCATGCGCTGTAGCAGTGGCCATGAAAAAACAATCAGTCTCACACAAAAACTAATCCAAACTAAAGCCTAAGGACCAGCATAAAGACTTGTTCTGACTCGCAGAACAAAAATCAAAACTATCGTAACCTCAGTTCACACACCTGCACGCAGGTTGGTGAACGGCAGGGTGAACTGCCCCAGGAAGTCATTGCTTGAGGTATAGTCATGGTCCTCCACCATGAAGCGAACCAGAGCCAGGTCTGGAACATGGACGGTAAAGTTAAAGGTGCAGTCCCACCGAGGGTTAAAACCTGAAATGAGACAAAAACATGTTCACATCACTTGTTTTGATTTTAATTTGTGAATCTGTATCTGTTTTCACGCCTTTTTCCACCCAAGCAGTCTCTAATGGGCAGGAGTGTATGTCCTTACCGTTGTTGTCGACATGATGGGTTTTCTTCTTATCATTGTCTATAGGAGCACCATGTATCTCCACCCACACCTGAGGATCCACTATGGAGCTGGGCTTGTCCCACTCCGGTTTGGGCAACTGCTGAGCTGAAATCACCTGAAACAACAGGAATAACAAAGCTCCATTTCTGAAGTCATTGGAGAAAAAAGTAGTTTATCTTATCTAGTAACTTGAGTATATTCTCATGGTAATGATTTGGTGCACAAGTAGTGTTTAATGCGAGTTTTTATTAGTTAATCCTGCATAGATCCAATGCAAAGATCTAAGTAGTGCATCAGGAAACTTTAGCATGTCCTGAAAAAGAAGCCGAATTTTCTGGTTTTCTTGTCAAACATTCCCTGTATCATTTCAGCCCTCCCTTCATACAGACTAAACAGGTGACTGAAATAGTGTGGTACAGCTGACTTCAGCAGCTTATATGAAGAAACTCAGACAAGCCTGATTTAAAACAACCGAACTATCCCTTTAACGAAAACGTAAGCAGCTATAAGTGTCATGAAGTCCCTATGGTTTCCCTTTTTCACATTTACAGACAGGAATAATCTTTTCAAAGCCACATTTTCATTATTTAGTATTTAGGTTTAGTACCCTATTACCTTCACAGTGAGCAAGGCGGGTTTGTGGCCAGGACCTCCACCCACGTTCTCTGGGTTGAAGGTGGAGTCAGGCTGGCACATGAAGGGAGGCTTCAGGGTGTATCCGCACTGACCGTTCTGCAGGAACCGGCCGTGGTTCAAATCCATCTGCTCACCAGGTGTTTGGAAATTCAAAGCAACTGGAGAGACGGCGACACAAAGTCAACAATGCTTTCTACCACAGTGATCCTTTGACAGTGATATCGGCACATAATTTGACCAAAGAGAGGGAGGTAAAAAACACATAAAATAAAGGAAGGATAAGTGCTAACCTATCTGACAGCCTCCGTTCCACATGTCCTGAGGGTTGTAGTTTGAAGACTGGAGGCGCTGGCCTGAGGGGTAGATCCTGCTCAGCTGGTGGCTGTTGTGACGCACAAAATGCGTCCCTGGAGAGCACAACAAGAAAAGTCCAGTTAGGTCCACACAGGAGAATTCAGTTTGGAAATATCGGCATCATTAGGTGATCTATCACTTTTTTACAACTGTGAAGCAGCGTGCAGATTATTTCTCTTTATTTTCAGAGGGTGAATATATCCCCACGTCTTACCTGAGTCCTTGACAAGCCTGAGCGCTTCACTCTCAGAGAAAGAGGACATGTCAGTCGCCGGGTTTTTAGCCGCCTGTTCGAAACCTTTAAATGGGACGCTGCGGGTGTAGACCACCAGCTCAGACAGCTCAGGACTCAGCTTGGACACAGCTGGCTGAGACTAAAACCAAAGAAAACTTTTACACTAATAACCAGATCGAACACTGATGGAATGAGGGTGAGTTGGTAAAGTTGTACGCACCTTCTTCTCCTCTTTCTTCGCCCTGGGTTTTCCTTCAGAGCGGCTCGCCTCCTCGTCTGAGGAGCTCAGATCTGAGGAGCTGTATGCCACCTCATCCACCGTACGTTCCCTTTTCCCTTTTACCAGGATTTTTCCCTTCAGATCCTGCACACACATAGATGGGATTTTTAGCTACAAAATCTGATTAAAAAAATTTCATGCACAGAAACTTTACATGGGTGTCTATCAGGATATTGGTTGTCCAGTTTGATATGCCTCCAGCTGAGAAAAGACCACCATGAAGTAAACTATAAATCATCATGTCCCATTAGAGTCACTAATTTAGGCTACAGTATTTTCATATGGTCCCTAAACTCCATCATGTCATAGGTTCCTCTGGATCACTGTGGACGTTTTACTGCCATGGACGTGCCTTCTTTCCAGCTGCTTCTAGCTGACCGTTTTTAACAGTTTGGAAAGGGAAATGTCCCATTCCTGCCTAATGTAGGACTTTAGCTGCTCAACAGTTCAGGGTTTTCCTCTCTATTATTTTCCATTTCATAATGAGTCAGATGTTTTCAGAGGGTTCTTGGGAACCAGTTTCCTGGATGTACTGTGGTTACTGGAGCACACATCATGAGTTCATGCACATGATGTGATAAGTGTGAATGTAAAAAAGTAGGGCAGAGTAGGAAGAGCAGATGGTTCAGGGTTTCTTATCCAGCAGAAACAGTCTGTTCTCTGTTTTACAAACACATATTATAATAAAGGAAACATTGAAATGTGTGTCAGATTCAAATCCTTCAAAGAGAAACATCTGCTATTTTCAAAACACAGACAAATCATATGATTACGTCCAGTTAAAGTACTGTTGTCTAAATGATCTGTTGTATAGTAAGTCCAGGCTATGGTTCACTGGTCTTAGGTATGGTGGATTTCAATGGGATTTAATCTCATCCTGTTATGGAGCTAAGTCTCCTCACCTCAGGTGAAGGCAGCTTGTGAGGGTCCAGACCACTGAGGGGCTTAGTGAGCAGCTTGTCTCCCAGGATGGATCGTAGGTGTCTGGCCATCACTGTCTGCTGTTCCACAGAGCAGTGGTTCTCCAGAGACAGGATCACAGGGTACGGGGAGACCTGAGAGAGAAACAGCAAACACAACTGTTTTTATTTTGTGGTTGTTTTTCCTACTTAAGGAATCATAGAGAAAAACCATAAAGAGATTATGATTGGGGGTATTATACTCACTTTAAAAGCATACTCATTGATAGTCTCAATGACTTCAACAAAGGGCACTTTGGAAGTGAGAGTGTGTCCGTGGTAGATGACCGGCTCTCCTTTATCTCCATCCCAACAGTCCAACTCCACACAGCGGCAGCCATGATTCAGAGCTCTGAGAGAAAAATCATCATCAGGAATCTGTGCTACAGCGACGAATAAACCTTTCATTTTGAGATCAAAACAAGCGCAGAGTGCTCTTTAGGCCTACTGGTACAGGTGTAGTTTGAGACCACACTTAGAAACAAGCTAGGTGGTGGTCCACAGAAATGTTGCAGTCACATCTGCTTGAAACTCCTGAAAATTTCCTGAAATTTTCAGGGTAAGCAATTCAAACTTCACCTGGACATTTCCCTGCCTGTCCCTGGTGGAATTTCTGGAATTTTTCAGAACATTCCCACTCCCTTTCCCTGCTGTATTGGATAACTTGTAAACATCCTATTGTGACTTCCACAGTGTTCGTTTTGTATCATGTCTGGCCTGCTGAGATGCCACCCTCCCACTCAGCAGGGAGAACTTCACACTATAAGGGACATTTATCAGGAAGCAACCTGAGAAATGCAAGGTAAAGGTCCTGAAATTTTCAGGTTCAGATCATCTCCACATGTATGGAAACGTAAGCCCACATTAGAGATTGTATTAGTGGTGCAGCAAAAACCATGCAATCCTTTTAAAGCTCCAATGAGGATCTTTTGGTGTTTATTAAATAGACTAAAATTCATATTGAGGCATTTTTATGAAATTAAAAAGGGAATACAAGACCATCAGTGACTACAGTGATGATTTTAAAAATGTAATATTTAGAGCCTGAAACCGTAGCGAGAGGGTAGATGCTGGTGAATCACTAGAAAAAAAGCCCTGAGTTAACAAATTCCACCTGTGAGCGGTACTTATCGGTCTCACCTGATGTACGGCTCTGTGCTGCTGTCCCCGGTCAGCTGGTCCTTGGTGAGGTAGGTGTTGTGTGAGGAGTTGATAAAGTAGTGAGAAAGTGGACGTCTCATGTCCTGATAAACCCGAGTGTGATCCGGGTTAAACACACAGTTCTCCTTCGACAGCATGTACATGGTGAAACCGTTGGGGGTCATGAGCTGGTTCTTCTGAGCTGTACTGGGCAAAATGCACAAAGACAGGTTACTTTGATGATAGTTTTGAGCTGGGCAGGTATTGTTTTGTTGTTTTAAGTCAAATAGTATTTTTTTTAAACTAATTTCCAAACATACTAGATAACTATCCTTTCAAAACTGTAATGGGTGTGCCACAAGGCTCGATTCTGGGGCCACTGCTCTTTTCTCTTTACATTAATGAGTTGCCTAACAGCTGTAAAGACGCTTATTGCCTGATGTTTGCTGATGATGCAGTCCTTTATGTATGAACATCGTGATATATTATAACTAATTACTGTACCCCATGCGTTGAGTTCATAGGTGAGTATGACACTCTGGGCGTGGGTGAGTGAAGCATCCTCCCCCTGGTCTTTAAAGAAATCCCTCAGGTCCACAGTGGACAGCACACAGCCATTAGCAGAGTAACGAATAAATACAGCATCCAGCTCTGGTCTCCGTAACAACTCCCTGCAGAAAACTTCAATCTCACTGTGATCCAGACGGCCATCAGCTGACTTGTCACATTTCTGTCATAATAACAAAGAAACTGATATTACGACAACATTCATCAAAGCAAAACAAACTTACAATCAGATTCATTGAGCTTTAAAACCCAGACATGGAGCTATTGTTTTTTTACAGACCTGGAAGAGGCTGCGTGCGTACTGGTCACTCACGTCGATGTTGATCATCTGTAGCATTGTCTGGACTTCTTCATAGCTCATCTTGTCATCGTGATTTTGATCAGCTCGACTCAGGTAAGCATGAATCCAGGTGACAAAATGATTGTCAAGGAAGCACAATGCAATGTGAAGAAGACAAGGTTTCAAAAGTAACAGAGGGGATTTTGGTACAAGGTTGTGAAGCAAATGTTATTTCATGTAGAGACTGCTGAAAACTAAAACATTAAACTCAGAACTCAGAACCTAAAATAAAATATCCCTGTAAATAACTTGTCAATCTCATCCTCCTGTGGACTCTTTCCACAAACCCTAAGAATTCTCCCTATTCAGCTCCTTAATGGTGGCATGTGCATCCTGCTTGATGGTCAGGAAACCTGAGGTTCCTGAGGAAGAAAATTAATCCTTGTTGGCTGAACATGATGTCAGGGTTGATTTCCACCAAAGCTATGTCAAAGCTGTATTTATGGACTAAAAGTTGCCCTAGTAGTTAAGACCGTCATGACTGCATGTAAATTAAAGCTCAATAATGCCTATAAATACCACTGCAATAAGAACGTCACTATAAATGTGCTTGGCTGTTAGTGTCAGCGTAAGTTGGATATTTTGGTTCAGTGTGTGTGTGGTTTCTGGTGCCTCTGCAGTCAGCCTCAAGTGGACACTCAGGGGAACTGCAGTTTACAGCACTTTTCAATAAATGCATGTGGCAAAGTTTGAGGTGCATTCACTTCTTTGTCTGTGTCCTTTCTTTGGATCTGCTTTCTATCACCACTTTGTCTCCCCTTGAGTCCCGCTCACAATATTATCTGATTGGCTGGATGTCACACCATCATGTGATGCTACTGAGCTGCAAGTGTAACTGGTAAACCGATAATTCCTGTGTATGATATTCAATGTTTTAGTTTTATTTGATATAGGAATTTTTACTATCAATGGATGTTGGTTCCAAATATCAGTTATAGGTCACATGATTGGTATCAGTATTGGCCCATAATAATCTATAATCTATTGACCCCTATTAGACAATGTCTTTTAGAAAGCACAGTCCTTTTGCAAACCGGACCTTGGGTGTTTTGGAACCTTTTCTCCAGTTTAAGTATCAACTAATACCTTTTACTCCATTATCACTCTGGTTTGTGATCCCAAGTGTCCTTGCACAGGTCTTACAGAGCCTTCAACCAGAATCCACCTTTTTTTCCTAACATATACAAACGTTTGTATACTTCGACTTTTAGGATATTGGTCCAGTTTCTCTTTCTGCGTCATGTTCTCCACCCTCTCCTGCAGCGTTCGGATGCCGCGAGCCCAGTGCTGAGCCTCCTCCGGGCTCTGACAGAGGAGATCCAGGCTCTTACGGGCCCCTTTGAAGACCACCGTCAGGCACCGGCCCTCTGGTACTGAGCCGAGCATCGGCCGCAGCGTCTCCGACTGACATCCCTCACGGACACACTCGACGTCTGTGACAGAGACTGAGGAAAGAGAGAGACATCTGTGTGAGTGAAAGCCAAGTCTTTCCCACATTATTCATCCTGTTATATAATAAGAAAAACAAATAACTGTTACAGAGTGAGCCTTCCCTTTAAGGAATTCAGCTTTGTAGGTAACATGCGTGTGTGAAATAGTTTGTAGTGGGAGGAACGTCTCTCCAATGTGTGAGCAGAGAAAAACATGATGATGCTCTGCAGACACGGTAGATTGCGTGTTATGTTGAGTCAGATAATCAGTGAAGTGCCCAGATAAGCTCTGATTTAAGCTTTTTTTTTAAGGGAAAAATAGGAATTAATATTCATTTCACTCAGTTTTATAACCAGCAGAAAAAGCCCTTGGCAATTGGTCAGTTTGTTTTCAGTTTGTTTTTAGAGAGTCAACAGAACTTCTTCGTCACAGGGGACACAGTTTGGTCTAAAATAGATAAAAATATTGAGATCATGTTTGGTTTTCTTCCTGGAAATGAATTAAACCAGTTTATACAGTATATGTTTGAAGGACAGAGTGTGACTTGAAAATAAATATAGTGATGACAGCTCTACACAGCTGACTAGCATCCCCACCAAATTTAAACAGTTTCAAGAGAGTGGATCCACTCCATTTAGACAACTCAAATAACCTCACTGTGAGTGTTGGCCTGTTTGTGTGCTATTTCCAAGCTGTTTGTTTATGCTGCACACCTTTCCAACAATAATGCATCCATGTGTGTTGTTAAATAAGAATCCCAAATGAAACTTCACTGCAAACGCCAGACCTGGGCTGGTGTTTGCAGATCTTTGTTTGCTTCTGGTTTTACTAAAAAAAGACACATAGCCTGTCAGAGAAACAGAGCAAAGAGGAGATTCTGCTCAAAGTAAATCAGACGCTGGTGAAGAAAATGCTCACAGGGTTTAGACTGCATTAAAAGATCTCACACAAGCTTTACAGAAACATTTGAAAACCACTGTGGCAATGTCATCAATGGCCACCAACAGGGCACTACAGATTTCTGCATGCAACACTTATATTTTATTTTAAAAGAGACATAAGCAGCACTTGCAAAATCAGAACCTTGCTTGATAATGTACGTTTTAACTGTTAAATTGTTGCTACCATTCATTTCTGTACTTTTTTTTAAACACATTTAATTTTAATTATTTGTGCTTGTTTTTTTTCTGTTTCATCTTAATATTTGAGCTCCTTAATTTGGCTCTGACTCAATTTCTTTCTTAATTTCTCCCAGTGAGCATTGACTGGGATTTTAACATTGAAGTTAAGTTAAAACTGTCTAAAAACCCTGTTGTCTCATAGTTTTGAAACTTGTTCATTCTAAATGTGAAAGTATGCCAGAGGTGATCATTGTGATTGTGTCTTTCTTCAAACAAACATTCAAGTGGTGGTTTGAATTTGATGTAACTGAAATATGTGAAGGTGAGAAGGAGATGATTAGATATTTAGCAGGCTTTAAAATGAGCTTTTTAAATTAGTTTTAGCTTGGAAGAGGCTCAATATAGTCACATGTACAAGTAAAATACTGATTATGATGATATGGGTCTGTTAATATTATATTTAATGGAATTAAGAGTTTAAAAACGCCAAATGCATCTCTAATTTCCCTTTCCTCCAAAAATTTTGTGGGGTTGGAGTTTCAAGTAAGATTTTTATAGATCACAAACTTTGCATAGAAACTGTCGTATTTTTTACATTTATAGATGAGACCCCTGGGGCCTGTTCTACGAAGCTGGATTACTGCTTAGCGAGGTAACTTTGAGGATAAATTCGGGGTTTCCTGTTCTACGACGCGGGTTCACCTCTTAGCGAGGCGAGTCTCCATAGCAACATACGCTGAACGGCTAAACTGCTCCGGGGCAGGTTAAATTCCAGATTGAACTCACCGAGTATAAAAACCCCGCCCACTGACCAATGAGCTCTCTCGAAAAACGGCTTGTCCGTTCTTGGAGGATCCTGTAGACCTCGGTGCTCGCATTGTCCGAGGAGGAGCACTCCGCCTCGCGAGAGTTTTCAGGGAGAGTTTTGTCCGGATGACCACCTTTATGAAAGGCTTATATGGCCGACATATTACACAAAACATGTAAACACGATAGGAATGAACAAATGAATGATTCATCTTGGGAATGAATGGGCATGGGCTGCGCGATCACAGACAACATCTCGGTACTATTTAGTAGCAGCGCATGCCCCTTGTAATAACCCCGTAAATACTGTTGTTCAGGACTGCTTACTTGTGCTTCCTACCCACTGTAACAACCGTTGTTCTCGCCCACATGCAACATTTTTGTTCTCATTCATGAAACGCTTAAATCAGGGACATTTTCGGGGACAGCTTTAGCCGGGGACAGATCATCCAATTCGGGGACTGTCACCTTAGTTAAAAGCGCATGTTGAACAGTGCTATTTCAGGGTGATAATGACATCAAAGATTACTTTTCTGCCAGCATTCCCTCCGTGCTTTTGCAGCGGCGACGGTGTTGCTTTTGAGGTTTATGATAGCTTTCAATTCTTCATACTTTCTCATGATCGTCTCCTGTTCCTCGTTTGTAAAGTCCGCGGTCCTTCACTCTCCAGCCTGCTCTGACGCTCCAGACTGATCCATGTTCGCGATTGGTCAGATGCGGCGGGCTCCGCCTTATATGTGTGCACGCGCTCATAGCAGAGCTGGATCCACTTATGAGGTTGATAACTAGCGTCGTAAAACCGTGTAGCGAGACCGCTGGCTACCGCGCTAAGTTGAGCGAGGTAGCTCCAAGCCTACCTCGCTAAGTTGAACCTGCTTCGTAGAACAGGCCCCTGCTCTCCACTGCCCGATCAGATCTCTAAATTTCATCCTCCCATTTTTACCAGTCCTCTGCCAGATTTGCAGCCTGGTGACATTTTGATCCAGCCTTCACTAGAGCTGTAATGGTAAGTGGTTGACTGGTATGAGTATTATTGACCCATATGTGCCAACTACGTCAAAATACCAGCAATTGTTTCAGCCAGTTAATCAGGCTATGTCTAGTCATGCTATCAGAATTTCACCGTATGATTTCTGTGGCCATAAAATATCACAATAATGATTTTTTATAATGAGATATTATATTATATATCATATGTTGCAGCTTGACCTAATACCAAACTGAGGTGGTTTGATTGACTCCCGGGACACCTGGCTGACACGCCGATGGCTTACCGTAAGCTTTGTTCAAAAAAGGTAGTTTCAACTGGGATGCACGATAATCCATATTTATTTTGCATACAGCGAATACATACTCTTTCTTCAATTCATACAGCATAACTCACAGCCGCCACCGCGTCGGTCAAAAACCGTTTGGCCCTTCCGGTATCAACAAACCAACCACAGGTGAAATCAATCAATGTTCCCTAAATACCTGTGGTCGTGCCACAGGACAGCGACACCCACTGACTCAATTGAGTACTACACCAGGTAAATAAAATGAACAGCTCTTACATGGTGAATGGCTCTTACATCATATATATCATATATATAATAATGATATATTAATGATAATTATTTTGGAAACCATGAAAATAAAACAACAGACTCAAACTGAGGAAAGGCAAAACAAGGGAAAACAGGAGTTTTCAGGAAGATGGAATCACAGAGAGGAGTTTAAAAAAGATGATTCAGCTTTCGAGACATTATGCTGTAATTCAACTTGTGAGTCAGCTTGAGAGTTGAGAAGATCAAAAAGTGCACACACATAGACACACACACACAGCCACTGGAGACAGACACTCACACACACCTGCACACCAAACACACACTGAACCACATCATAAGCTGTTCTTGTCTTGTAGCAATTAAAGGCCTTGTACAGTGCTTAAAAGGCTGACTCAGGGGTTGAGTCTTATGGTAACTATACAGCACTAAACCACAAACTCAGGGCTGAGTCCCACCGCCTTATAATGTCCTATAATCTCTGTGTTTGAACCACAGCAGGACCGGCAGCCATGTTGGGCCTAAAATAGTAGAGCTCTATAATCAGGGAGCCGAGTGCCTGATAGCGGAGGACAGGGAGAGTGGCTGTGTGAGCGAGGATATCTCTGTACAGGACAGTAAGTGGCACTTAGGTTAGCAGAAATAGACCCATGTTTCATCTTACACGCCCAGTCAGAGCTCTGCGCTCTCTTGTTAGCGAAAAAAAACCTGCTTCTTTCTAATTTGCTCAGGATGGATTGTAACCCTGGGGTGGGCACCACACAGGGTGCAAACAAACACTGTACAACATTTATTTTATAGTTTTCAGGGTCAAACATGTCTGAAAAAGCCGCTTCACTTCAAGTCACCAAAACCTGACCTGGAAAAGTCTCAATCTAGTGCTACAGATTTTGGGTCAGTGTGTCAGTGTGTTAAAACTCATGTACATTAATTTAGCCATTACAGAAGTGACTGATCAGTACAACAGGAAAATAAAAAACAAACAGCTGGAAGTGTGTGCTGTCAGGCTGCAAAGTTTGTTCAAAGGAACAGTGGCGACACGTTTTCGTCTACATTCAGAGGATGAGAGGGAACTTAACTGAACCAAAACCTCTCCATAAAGACAGTAAGGAGGTGACCCTCGCTCTGGCTGAAAAAGGAGGATTAATGATTCAAAGTTAGGTCACAGCTATCCAATCTTTCAAGGACTTAAATCAAATCTAGTTGCCTTTTAGGATCAAGGATTCAGATTTTTGTAGATGCGTTCTAGCACCCAAGTCTTCAGCCAGCTGTGACATGAATATAACTGTTCACATACTTGGCTATGCACATATGTTACTTGGTTCTACCTCTAGAGGGCACACCAGAGAGCTCAGGCTGTACGCAGCCACTGCACCTGCAGAAGCGGGGCCTGTTTTTAGTAGAAAATAAAAATAATGTCGCACTTTGACTGTCTCTTTGCACGCTTTGGGCGGCTAAACACAAACTTTTAGAAATAAGTTCCAGGGTGTGTTCATGTGTTCTCATGTAAACTGGTATCTTTAAGAGTTGTAGCAGATAGGAGGCGCTCTACTGCCACCAACCGGGCTAAAGTGAAACACAGAGAGCGGGTTTCCAGTTGGAAGTAAAGCTGCAGTAAAACAATAGGATTTAAAAAATCCACCTAATAACTCCAGCCAAATGTCACTGAAATATCCATATTGTTTACAAACTTTTGCAAATACTAAATATTATCTTCAAGTGACAACTAAAAAGTTCACATGATCAGTAAAAACCATTCCACTCATTCCCTTTTTTACCAATCCACAGTCACTCCAAAGATGTCTACTTGCTCTGTCATAGACATCCTTTGCCTTGAATCATCCATGTTCATGCTTGTAGAGCATGTCTCTCCAACTACTGTCTCATCAAATAAGATGAACTGATACTGACACGAACAAAAAACAATGAAAAACACTCACAGGATTGTTGCTCCTTGGCTCGGCTGGAGGTTTTGTGAGACTGACACCACACAGTGACACCGTCTTCCAGCAGCTTCAGAGTCCGTCTCTTCTGCCAGCGAGGTGAACGCACCTTCAAACATGATAAATACATCTGTTTTAATCCAAACCCTCCTCTAAAAACAACCAAAACATTTGAGCAGCTCGGTGAGAGTATACCTTTATCATGCTGGAGCCCTGCAGCATCAGCTTCACATCTTCATTATCCTGCACACCTAGAAGATGGATAGACAAAACCATGGCTGAGGAAAGACCGATATAACGTCTGCAAAAGATGCCAACAACTGATGTGAACTCTGTAAAACTGAAAGGAGGCAGTGAGGGAGGAGAGAAAAGGGAGGATAAAAAGAGAGAGGGAACAGCAGGCCACACTTATAATTAGGAGTGGGTGTATGTTTACATATGTCGGACCACAGCTCCTCTTATGGAGGCTTTGGAATAAGCAGCAGGGTGTGGTTAGAGATGTTAAGGTACAGGCACAAAAAGAAAAGAGAGAGAGTCTCTATCCAAATGTGCACCAAACTACAGAATTTTTCAAGGTGTGGTGCGTGTGTGAAAGCACAAATTTGCAAATTTGACACAACTAAAAAACTTCACTGTGTAAGATTGAAATCTTTGGGGTGTTTGGGGGAATGTGCCTTTAAAAATTCTTAAAGTTTTTCCAGAGTGTGTTTGTAAAAAGAGTTAAAGAGAGAAGTGGTGTCATTTAACTGAGTGTGCTGTTGGCCTGTTTTCACATCCTGTGACACCATTACAGAAATGAACAATGACTGTACCTGTATTTTAGCCAGGAGATCTTTTACAGTGCACTCTAAAAACTCTTGGGTTGTTTCTTCAACCCAATTCCTGGGTTATACGTGTTGTGTTAAATTTCTGGGTTATTTTTCAGATCCATACCCATTTCTTGGGTCATATGGATTCTATTGTGACCCAATTTGAGTTTTTTTTACTACATAAGAGTTTTTTTAAACTACATCTATCAGTGTGAGTCCTTAGGCAAGATCCTTAGATCCTTAGCGCTATTGCCCACCTCACAAACATGAGTGCATTACTGATTGAAAGCCAAGCTCCCCAAAGGCATATATCAATTTAACCCAAGATCATGAGTCCAATTAACTCTAAGATTAGGTTAAGTTGACCCTTAAAAGGGTTATTGAGTCAACCCCAAATTTGGGTTAATTTGAATAACCCAATAAGTAGTCAGTCCCTTTTCAACCCTGGTGTTGCTTGGGCGCTACCCAACTTGTGTTGTTTTTAACCCAGGGGTTTTTAGAGTGTAAAGAGCTGTTATTTCTGAGTATCAAAAAAGTCTCATGATCCTTTGTTTCTGTCTCTAAGTTTATAAAAATCTATCACAGTCTCAGTCTGTTTTTTTGATCAGGATGACCTACTTCTGTTACCGTCTGTTCTCCCTGACATCATTTCTCACAGTTTCAGTCAACGCTTCCTTTTGTTAGTCATCTTTTTCAACAGAAGAAAATGAGTGTAAGTGGTACGTGTGCTTTGTAAGGAAGTTTTAATATTCACAGCATTGGAAAGCATCCAAGTGAAAAACACTTAAAATCTAAGTAAAAGTGCTGTTTGAACCAAAAGTCACTCCAGAGCAAGTTGTGGACACTATCAGTCTGTCAAGAGAGTTTTCTGCGGTGAAATGTGGCCATCAATGACACAACACTGAACTTTAACTTCTACACTTTAACCTCAACATTGCTGTGTTAAACTTTCGATGTCCTCTTTTGTTTTCTTTTCTTGTGTGAAGCACTTTTACTTCCTTTTTTGCTGAGATTTGACATATTACTTAACCTGCTTTGCCTTTTGTTTCTGCTCTTGGACAAAAACCAAGCAAGAAAAATGGATTTAATTTATTTTGGTCCATTTTTTATTTCTGTCCAATAAGTCTGTCCCAACTTTGCGAAATGTTATCAATGAACTAGTGCTGAAAAACCAACATCTTAATTAAACTAACTTAGATTTTGCACATTGTACTTGTTTAACAGGCTAAAGAGTTGGCATAGATGATCTCTTACCCATCTTAGAACCTATCTGCTATTACCTGACTAAAATACAGACCCCAAGGAACATCCGCCAATTTATTTCAGTATAGCTAGCAAAACAGACACCATCATTTCTTGGCTCAGTGTTTTCCCCAGAGAATTGCTTGTTCATCTGTTTCTGGTGAGTTTCAGTCTTACACAGAGGCTTCACTCCTGCTTATTGGGTATGAATTAGACAAAAAAAGAAGGATCCATTTGTTTCTCTAGTAATGAACGACCCACAGGTTTACAAAAATGTCAACATGATGATGCGGTTTTGTGAAAAGTAAAAAGTCAAGCTTTGTCAGGTCTGTCCTCAAGAAGAAAAGAAGCAATTTTAGAGTATTTGTCTGGTGAATGGAGGTGAGATTACGAACAGATAAACTTCTGCAACACAGTGTTGAGCATGTGGTGAACATTTGAAGGCAGACACGTCTCGGTCAAGTGCAAATGCAAAGAAAACAAAAATCTGAATTTACTTGAAAATACACAAAACAGTCACTAAAGATGCTTTGTTAGAGTAAAAACACATCTGCAGACAAATAGGACAAATCTGAGATCTTTTACAGTCCTTCTTTGCATTTCATACCCTAAAAATGAGTGGTGTCAGGAGTTATAGGTATCATTTTTGGAGCTCTCTACTTCAGGTTTTCAGATCACAAGCTTTGACTGCAGACCTGGGGTGGTGGGGTACTTTTCTGTGTGTATTGTAGCTTCACTTCAAAACAAATAGCCTTATCAAAGTAGAGCCAGCAGATGAAGTGTTGACAGAGTGTGAGGAATGTCAGTTATCTCAGGTTTACAGTGAGGAGGGGCTAGGTTTACAGCTACGGATATAACCTTACTTTCAAGTAGCAGTACAAATGGTTATGTGAATTTGAGGAGAGGTTTGGTTTAAAGAAGATCATTAGGGCTTGGAATTTGATTCAGATTTTTTTTTTTTTTGTTAATTCTGAGATTTTGGAGTTGGCTATGGCTGCAGTCTTGGGGTCTCCCACCTCATGTGTTCCTGTTTCATGCCTGGGCATAAAAATATGTAACTTTCTGTCACAGTTGATGCAGAGCTGAGTAAGCAGCATGCAGACTTTTCCACTGATGCCGCTCTGTGATTCAGAAAGGGCTGGGTCACTGTGCTCACAAAGACGCCTTGATATTTGGAAAGCACACACACACACACACACACACACACACACACACACACACACACACACACACACACACACACACACACACACACACACACACATTTCCTTGTGTACAGCACAGGCTGACTGTAAATAAGGAGAGCGATGTTGCATCAGTGGGACTATTACAGTGGCTGTGAGGTTATGTAAATGGGAGCATTTGACTTCTGAATGAGTTTGTGATGAAACCATGTGGTCTGACTGATCGTACAGACAGTAAATCTCACAAAGACTTGACGTCATTTTCTGTGTCAAGGGTGTTTATGAAAAGACCAAACACTAAAAAAAATGTGCTGCACAAATACACACAGGAAAAGTGAAATTATGGTATTTGTGATATTTCCTGTGGATGTCACTGGCTTAGAAGTTGACTGGAAACACACTGGCGAGTTGTTGAACAGTGGAAAACTACTGGAAAAGTCCAACTACATGTGGTTTAAAAATGAAGAGAGTAAATCAGTCTTAGGGAGGAAGATGTATGCAAGTTAAAGTAAAGTAGTCTTGTATAAAGAGCTAAATGTTGCAGACATATAGCATGTTTTACAAAACCTGCAAAGTCATCAAGAAATTAAGGAAGTGAAAAGTCAACTGCATCAAAGGCCATGATAAGCAACACATGCACATTTACTAAAGTGAGTCCGACTGCACTATTAAGGTTAAAAACCAAGAATTTTCACTATTCAGATGAATATTTTTGAGTAGTTTTGTCAAACGATTGATATTTGTGGATTTTATATGCTGCCTAATTTTTCATTTGTTGATTTCGTACAAGTTGCAGAGAAATACCTGATTGTAACAGGTTAGGAATACTGTATGTGCAGTGTACTGTGTGCAAAATTGAGTCCTGGGTGAGACAATTTCATTTAAAAAAAGTAGTCCCTCAGATTCAACAGCTTCTGTAGTTTCAATGGCAAAAATATTTTATCAGCCGACTCCTGTGTCAACTTGACATTGAACAGTTTTCAGTTATGTGAAGTCTTCACATAATGATTATATGGTTCACATGCACTGACCACTATGACCAGCAGCCCCCCTCTACTCTTTCCCTTCTTTCACCTTTGTTTTTCCTGGTGGCTAATCAGCCATGACCCTGAAAAGTTTCTCTGAAAGAAATCTTGTATGTGTATGCTATCACATGTGTATTTTATCATTAAATACGTATGTTAGTCATCATTTACTGAAAATCACTTGGTGTGAATGTTTGCAGAGTTATATCTGTTTCTTTTTAATGAGCATGGGAAAGGAGAAGTATGGCCTTGGAGTTGGGACTGACACTTTTTTATTACTGATAAGCAGGAACCTGATGATGAACTAAGCTGTCATTGTTCTCCAGTACAGACCACAGCTGCAACCTGTACCCTATTTGGATACTGTTGTAATGTCATGCCACTTGTGAGATGATGTTAGTGGGGGTGGGGGTGTCGGTTTCATGACTGCATAAAGGATGTGTAAAAATCTGAATTCCTCAGTCAGAGGAAGCCGCCTTTGTTGTAAGCTGCTGACTCCTTGCAAGTAAAAGATATTGAAGAAAAAGAAGACCACACTCTCTGTCGTTCTTCTCAGCTGGCTGCAAGTCAGATGCAGTGTTATTATTCTGACACTCTCCAAATAACAATGTTGTTAACTGTTCCTAGTGAACAAAAAAGACTTTTGCCACTGTGTCGAAATGCAAAAAAGAAAGTAAATTGTTTTTTATTGTAACTTTTTTTCACTTTGTTCCAGTAGAGTAAAGACCAATTGAAGAGACAAAACTTTTCTTTGATTTTGTATGATAACAATAAAGGTAGACCAATTAAAGGGTGCCTGATTAATGGCATCTTTTTAGTAATCATCATCATATCACCATCACAGCAATCACCATAATGATTTCTACATTTATTGAAATGTATTTAAAACATGTTATAGGCAATTTGATTTTAATGTGCAGGAAAAAAAAGTGGTTAATAGATGACTTTTTGAATTTCTAATCAGAATGTTTACCTTGGATTTTACTAAAAAAAAAAGCTTATTTGTATCATAACCTTGCCTGGTTTTCTCCATGCACACTCACTTTGAGTAATTCATTCAGACCCGTAGTCTCCAGGACTTTGTTATAAATAGGCCAGTAATCAAAAATAAGCACCTAAGTACAAGAAAAGCTGTTTCTGAAACAGTGTGAAGGGCTCTCACTGGAACATTCAGATTCCTACAGCATAGCAACTCTTGCAGACGATCATGAAAAGTCCACATTCAAACACTGTGCCTCTCCATCTGAATAAACTCTGAGTCTGAGTATTCACAGGCTGTGCTCTGACATTTACAAGCTCAGTGGTGCTGCTGATGTCTTTATTGTTTTGAATAATGAATCATATGATAACCATATTAAAGATTCACAGCTGTTAACACTTGGCCGAGCATGTGACGTGGCTTACTGGACATAGTTACTTCTGTGCTGTTTAAAGAAAGCTAAGATATTAGTGAAGATGAAATTCTTATTAGGTGTCAAACGAACCCCAAACCACTGATTGGGAGTCATTGATAAAGCTCCCTGATACAGTTTTATCACGTGCTGCCCCTGAAAGAGTGTTAACTCAAGTAAAAGTACAGTTACTTCAGTGAAATTTTACCAAGGTATAGGCAAAATTACTAGTTTGTTAGCCAACTTAAGTAAAAGTGCGAGATTCGAAATGTATTAAAGCTCCTGTGAGGAATTTTTCATCTTAATCAGCTTTTGCACCCCTGTGAACAATGCAGTCTTTGCTTATCTTGACCTGCTCAGAAAGACTTTAAACAAAAATCTAATCCTGTTGACTTGTGAATGCAAAATGTATCAACTATTGTGAGTAATTAAAGCGGAAACTGTAAAAAACAGTTCTGTTTTGCAGCTGCTTGGTTGACTCTTTCCCCTAACACAAAACTATGATATTAAATTTGTCAATCTTGTTGCTGATGGTCTGGTCTGATTTTGAATATCATGAAAAGACATCAATGTCAATATTAGTCCATCACAGTAAGGTGGAAAAAAAAATCTTACAGTGGCTTTAAATAAATAGGCTACTGTAAATGCCAAGAACTTTCTAAACCCTTGGGGATGGAGTGCTTAAAGTAAGCACGATATGTAAATTTTGTTAAAGCCTATTTTCTTAAACAAATTGTTGCAGAATGACCAATAACAGGCCAATAATTTGCGATTTTATGGTACTTTGCACTAATACAGGGAGAGGGTCTTGAATATTATGGTAGTCTCTGTTTTTGCTCCTGCAGTTGAGTCATGGCCAGCTGTTCAGAGACATCAATGCAAATTTTCCAGCCCACACAACCACTCTTTATGATGAAAATCAATTATTGTAATAACGCTTCCAAATACTAGAGGAAAAGGCACCCAATAAAAATGACACAATAGTAAGATTACGAATACGAAATCGATTATTCGTAAGACTACGAATAATCGATTAATTGTTTATAGACAACAGAAAACTAATCAGAAATTGTATCATTGAGTCAATAGAATAAAAAAATAGTGGCCCAAACAACCTTTGACTGTCTGCCCTTGATTAGTCATTGAAAATGGTTTAATGACTTTAGGATTTTAATGTGTTAGTCAAACATTTATCATCTTATTCTCGCTCCATGTGAATTTTAATATTTCCTAGTAATAGCGCACAGAGGGGGCGGGGACATAACGGTCCATCAGACATCAGGGTATCTTTGTTATTATCTCTGAGAAGAAAAAGAGCTTGTGGTCTTTGGACACATCATGTTTACACCAGCTTTGTCACAAACTCTCACCTAGATTCCTCAGGGGATCGATGGCCTTTGACTCGGACGTCCCGGCTCCATTCTTCACCACCGGGGCTGCTTTCTTTCCATGTCCCAACATGACGCGAGGAAGACGCGCTCCTCACGCTCTCCCCCTGCACCTCCCTGAGTCCGGATCCTGCGTGGCTTTCAGAGCAGGAGATCAACGATGATGATGATGATGATGATCAGCTGTGTGGAGCTCCTGCTGGAGGACAACCTGAGTGTCTCCTCAGTCTGCTCCTCATAGTTTTATCCTGGAGGAGGCAAATAGGAGTGTGGGCCAGCGTTCACCCTGCTGATGTCACTGAGATTGGATTTACAAACACTGAGCTGCAAACAGGCACCAATGATGAGGGCTTCCTGGGATTAATTTCAAAATAAAAGCCGATTAAAATCAGAAAGGTCCATAATGGTGTAACATTCAGTAGACAGTTACCAATTGGACATCTATAGTTGGCCTACAAATGCAACCAATTTCTTCATGAAATGTATTATATTTTTTTATATTATTTTTAGTCCTGCTGGTCATTTTTAACCAAAACTATACAAGATACAGGCTACTTTAAAAATAACAAAACCCATTTCCAAAATGTTGTTTTATAAAATGTTGATAAAGATTGGTTAATGGTATTTTTATAATTTAAATCCTATTAGTAGCTGAAAATTTTTATTTCTATTTCTATTTAGTTACTTAGCACAGATTAAAAACAGTGCAAGGACAGAACGAAACCAACAGGCTTATACAGAATTCCACTCCCGTCAGGGCAGTGAAGGCATAGGGTGCAAACAACAAAGTAACTAGGACATAGAAAGGTTATAAATATACAATGAGTAGGGAAAGGTCAAAACATGTACAAATTATCATAAATAGGGCATAGACTAATCATCAACCAGTGATAGAGACAATATAAGTATACATAAGAAGGAAAGAAACACGATCAAATCAAATAATGATGTGTTTAAGACATGATTAGATGAGATTTCAATAATATTTTAAAGAATTTGAAGGATAATATTGAATTTAGAGATGCATACAGATTATTACATAGTTTCAGTCCTCTAGAAATGATATTAGACTACAAAAAAATCAGTATATGGTATAAAAAAAGCGTCCCAGGGAAGCTGATTCTCTCAGCATTAAAAATGAAAATAGGTTCATCACTCTTTTAAACTGCATGTGCAAATAGTTACAAAGAATGTGGGGATTTTATATGTGCAGTATGAATGAAAGATTCACCTCTAGTGAACAAAGCTCGTGGCTGCAACTAGTAATATGTCTTAAAACTAAGAGCCATATGAAGAGAAAGCCATTAACATGACCCAGGAACACTTGGGACTTCTCTGGGCCCGAAGCCTTTTACATGGACTGAGGGGCAGTGGAAAACAATCAAAATCGGACATTTTTTGGAAGTTGTGTATGGATGGATGTGCCCAACACTCAAAGGGGAAGGGGATCATCCCTTTTGTTGTAAGCACACACTTCTAAAACTATAGCATCAGTGATGGGATGGGGATACGAAAGTATATGAAGCCTACCATTTATGAACCATTGGCTTTAGTAGTTAACATATTTTGAAAAGCTCCATTAATACTAACCAATATCAAGGTTTTAAAACAATACACCCTACCATCCAGACTATGTCTTGCTTTTCCAGTGAGAAAATCTCAAACATGGTCTCCATAGTTGCCAAAACCAAAATACGAGACGTCAGGCATTTTCATGCTCTTATTTTGGAAGAAAAACTCCTATTTCCGTTTTTCTCGTTTCGTGTCTCTGTTGGCTTGATGCCAGACGGACATAAAACGGATTACGATCAGGGCAGAGACGCTCGTGTGTATACCATGAATAAATACTCCTCCTCTCGGTTTAATCACATCCAAATTAGAGCCTAACTAATGCTTTACATCTACACGATGTCCACTTGAATTTTAGAAGTGGCGCACTGCGTAATAATTTATGCGAAAATCACCCAGAGTGTCTGGCGTTTGTTGGAACCCACAGACTTTAATGGGTCTTGCGGGATTTGATGGCTCTGTGTTTCCCCAATCAAACAATTCTATCGTGAATGACATAATGCGCACAGTGTAAGGTGTATATGTGGCATATGAATTTGAGCGCACAATAAGTTGTTTTGTGTGCATTAGTCCTTATAATATGCGTAAAATTGTTATTTTGGAAGCACGAAATATTATCTTCAAGTGATAATATGATAATCTTGTGTTGTGTAACTTTCTTGTGAGAGCATGCTTTTTTCAGCTTGTACGACAATTTATCAGATAACTGACTTTTTATTTCCCTGAATGCGCACAATTTTGTTACTTGTAGTGTTCAAAAATATATTTTTAGGGCCCATTGGTCAGCCGTCAAAAGCAAAAATACTACATAGTTTTTGTCAAAGTGTTTTAAGTTGTTATTTGATGAAAAAAATAAAAATAAATTTGAAAAATTAAAAAATTAGACAATTGTACTTTTTAGTCCTTAGTTTAGGGGCGTGTCTCTTTAAAGAGCCACTCAAACGCGGTCAAGCACGTGTCACGTGATCCAATGCGGAAGTCAGCCGCATGAACTACATCTCGGAGTGGCCGGAGACGACAGGGCAGTCCAAGCCCAGGTAGGTACGGAGGCAATTTAACGAATAAACTTTATGGCGGGAGTAACCGCATAGCTAACAGAAGCAACAAACTCGTCTGAAGGATTTACAATGATGATACCTGAGATAAATTCGTCGTTAAGGTCTCGCTGGTGATGCCAAGTGTGAGGAGTTGACAAGCTAAGCTAACTGGTGCGTTAGCTCCATAACTCTACCAACTTACCTTTAATTCAACTGCAGCGTGTTACACTGAAAAAACAGCATTCAGGATATTATGAATGGGCTTCTACTGAAAGGACAAGTCATTCATGTGCTTCAGTCGTGAGTTTTGTCCATCTAAATCTCCTTTTCACGTTGATTTTGTAGTCAGACAGGTTGTGGTGCCCCCCAGGGAGGTGAAATGCTCTTCCTCGGTCTTAGATTATGATTATTGTTCTTATTATTTTACATTTGGACACGGTTTAAGGAAGGATCTACATGTATAAACTGTATGCAGCAAGAGGTGGATACAGGGCTGTGTCCAAAAGAGGTGATCAGGGGTGGCATGAGCCCCCTGTTATCAACCTGGCCCCCCTCTTTGTCAGAGGCAGGACTATTGAGACTTTTTGTCATTGTAGTGGGAAATATGGTCTAAATATACAGTAAATATTCTATTGCTGGAGTCACCTGCATTTTTGTGGGTTTGTTCTTAGAATTTCATTTTAACAGATTAAAGGTCCTTACACATCGGGGTGGACACAAATATAGAATGCAAAATTAGGAAATATTTGGAGGCGAATTTTGATGCGCCTGACTATACACATCAAGCGCGATGCGATTTTGCGACTTTTTTAATCAAAAAAGCACTCTGTTCTCTGACATGTAAACAATCAGCCGGTTGGCCATGTTGGATATACTGGTGAATCTGACGTCGTAACAACACAAGAACTGATTGGTCAGAAGTGGACACACAGTATGCAAAACTTTAGAAAAATCAACCATAATACGATAATGTTCTGTAATGTTCTGTTTGATGTACAGAGCCGACAGCCCGTGCTCGGCTTAAGCGTGTGATGACGTTTCACAGCCAATCAGAGGCGAAGGAAGTGGAACTTTGCTCTACCATCCTATGTAAAAAAATATCACCTCCAGGTTGCAGCCATATACTCTTGGCTAGTAGCAGGCTATAGTCTCATCTCATAGTGAGACACCCTTTGACTGGGCTGCAGTCTTCTGTTGAAGAAGTCCTAACAAATGTCAATATGTTGCTGCTTTTAGATACAACAGCCTTTGAGCAAATTTTGCGGTTGGCTGGTTTGAGGTCCAAGGCCACTAAACCAGCCCACCTCTAAATGACAGATAGTATTGCCTTTTTAAGAATTAATATAAAAAGCTTTTCATTACCGCTGGTTGTCAGGTTGTTGTTGTTGTTGTTGCTGCGTCTCTGTTTGAGATAAATAAAGGTGAAGGGTGTGAGAGAACAGCAGTGGAGTAAGGTGATGAAAAATAATTGATTTTCATCATTAAAGATAAACCACAAGTATACATTTTAGTTATATGATAAAATCTATCTACCCCCCAGCCCTGCTGTTATCACCCCTCCAAAAAAACATCAAACTTTGGTTTTGAGAAATTTAGCTAGCATGGAAGTGAGTAAAACTGCAGTTCCTCAAATGCCACATGATATCATATATATAGGCCAGATTAATGCAGCCCTAGTAGCAACTCTTTTGTGTTACTTTCTAATCTTATAAATAGCACTGTGTGCAATCCCGTCATGCTTCATCCCCCAGTCAACATAAATCTGGTTGACACCCCTGGCTGTGAATGCATAGTTTTTCCAAATATAGGCCAGTATTATTTACACACTGTGGCTGCATTTCTGCCTTGAAAGCAGGGGTAGATTATGCAAACAACACTGGCTCAAGGAGTATGAGGCCACCAAATGAAAATACTGCTGTGACTGTGTGTAAGAATTGATTAAGTATCCATTATTCCATATTCAGTTTTACAGGGACTCAGACCAGTGTGGCAAAAGAGACCAATTTAGACAGTTATAGAGGGTGCTGTGTGTTATATTTCCCACAATGCAACCCATTTTGCCCTCAGTCTGACTCCAAGCAGTGATGAAACAGCAGTCACCTGATTTACTAAGTAATTCATAAATCCCTCAGAGGCAGAAAGGGTGAAGCTGAAGCAGTAATCAGTTTTCTCTCATCTTATTTAATCTGTGCATGGATTAAATAAAACTACAGTATAAAGTAATTACTGAACATGTTTAATAGCTGTCTCAAGGTGAGTATGGTGCAGAGAGCAGATTGTATTTCAGAAATTACGTTTTTTTTGTCTTCTTTTCATACGTAAAGATTTAAAAATGATCTTATAGTAAACCAGAATATAAGTAATAAAGTGTGAAGTGGAGTTTCTCAGGGATGACCCTCAGCAGCAAATGAATGCTCTTCAGCATTGACATCACTCTCCTAATGTTTTTGTGTTTGTTTCCTCGTCTCAGCGCCTCCTGCACTCATCCTCTTAACCAGATTCAACAAGTCAGAGTGTCATGCCGGTCCCAGCGATGGCAGAGCTTGTGGTAGATCACCAGAAACGTTTCCAGGCTGCGGTGGACGTCATCCATAACCTCCCCAAAAATGGTACTCTGTGTTTGACATGCTGCATGTTATCTCATATACCATGTGACATAAAGTTTGTGTCTCAGATCTATTATACTCTATGTAGTTTGTCTAAAACTCTTCTGAAGACCAAACTTGAATGATTAGTTAATATTTTAAATTTTTTGCTAAAAACAAGGAACATTCGGCTCCACAGTCATTTTCTGTCACACTGTGTCCAAGTAAACGGGGTAATAAGCAGATAAACAAACCTAATTTACTGAATGTGTCATCCTGCAGGGTCATACCGGCCGTCCTATGAGGTCATGCTGCGTTTTTACAGTCTCTACAAGCAGGCGGTGTGTGGACCCTGTACAGTGGCTAGACCGGGCTTCTGGGACCCCGTTGGTCGCTACAAATGGTATGTATGAAACTGTCCATACGGTATAAACTGTTCTATGTTTACACTATGTTTTATATTTTCTTCGGAGCGTGCAAAACCACCAGCCGTGCAACATTTTTTTGTGTAAATCTGTACACACCTGTGGGTATGTGCTCTCGTAAAAAGGCGTGAGGACACAGTTTGACACTTTGCCTCGAGGCAGCAGGAAGTAATTGCATCCTTAACATGCGAAGGCCTTAACTGAAGTCAACGGTACATTACTTCTCTGCTATTTATTTACAAATCAGGCAAGTTCAGATAGTTACACACCAGCTTATTTCACACATGCACTCATGTGAATCTAAGCACAGTTGATTTTCACTCTTGTCCCTCACAGCAAACAGTTTCAGACATTAATTGGCATCTAATTGGACATATTCACAGTACAAATTGATGAGTGTTAAAAAAGAGTGGACAAAAAAAGATGTGAAGCAGCTTTGTTTCTGTGCATGAAAGTCTCAGGGGTTTCGCACTGGCCACATGATTTAAAAGTCATCGTCTCTGCCCATTCGCTCAGGGTGAAGTTTCCCAACTCTCTTGCTTAGATTTCTCTAGAGAGCTAGCAGAAGTAAAGCCAGGGTGACAGATTCCACTGCTTTAGCAAACCCTGAAATTGGGAGACATATATTGTATATACACAATATAACCCTGGTATTTACTCGTATCCATTGAAATTTTAAAAATCTGCAACCTGCAGTGAAGTGTCCACAGATATTTAAACCTACTCTCTCGTGAAAGCTTTAACAATGGTGGCTGAAATACATCAGCCAGCTGCAGAAATGACAAAATAAAGATGTACTTTCTGTTTTTGAAGCTCAAAAAATTTTACTGATTGACCCTGTCAGTGTGAAAGCATATTTAAAAAAGTCAATACTTCTGTGCTTCATGTTCACATTTCATAATATTTCTCTTGGTGTAGACAAGCAGATAAGACTTGAGTCCACATATCATAATATTTCATATGGGGGTCTGTGTTTTCTCAGTGGAGAAATGAAACTAACCTGAGCTCAGTGTTTTAAAAAAAAAAAAAAGATAAATGGGAACTGACACACTAATTTGTTTATTTTTGTTACACCTGAAAACACCTACACAAATTAAGACCCTGACAATGACCCCATAGAAATCTCGATACAGCCAAAGCAAAGTCAAAGATGTCCTATTTTTGTGATATTTTAAAAGTAGCAGAGAGTTTGAGCATGACATGACAAAAGGGTATAAACGATTCAGTCAAAGTAAGTGCAGTTTGTTGTGTAACGGTTGATATTAAATCGATTGTTCTCTGATGATGTGTCAGGGATGCCTGGAGCAGCCTGGGAGAGATGAGCAGTGAGAACGCCATGGCTGCGTACGTGGATGAGATGAAGAAAGTAGCACAGGAGGTAAACAATGGATTGATTTTGATATTATTATAGGTGATAATCAGCCTTTTACGCTGTTTATTTTCTGTTAGATCCTAGTTTTTCCTCGGCTCTGAGACCGAAAAAACACCCATTAAAATTCTGAATGTGGGAGAGTTAGTCTGGTAATTCCAACCTTGATCCAACACTATAACTGGGTATAAAAAGGTACGCCAGAGAGGCTGAGTCTCTCAGAAGAAGCAATGGAAGGAGGTTCACTGCTCTGTGAGAGACTGTGTTAGCAACAGATCAACAACTTTAAGATAATGTCCTTCAGTGTGAAATTGCAAAAAAATGTGGGGATTTCATCACCTACAGTACAAAATGTCATTGAAGGATTCAGAGAGTCTGAAGAAATCTCAGTGAAAAGGGGACAAGGCCCAAAAATAATACTGGATGTTTGTGATCTAGGGGCCCTCCAATGAAAAAAACAGACATGACTCTGTAGTGGAAATCCCCGTGTGAACGGCTTAAACCATGATTTTTGTGTAAAGAGGGAACTATATACAATATAATCATGATCCAGAACCACTTCCAGGCCTTTCTAGAATGGACTGAAGTGTGAAACTGTGGTGTGGTCTGACAAATCAAAATATAACATTCGTTTTGGAAATCATGGTCGCTAAAGAGTATAGGAGTCGGGTGCTAAACTGGCGTGCCTGCAGTCCTGACTTGTCACAACATTGAAAACATTAGTAGCATCCTAAAGCGAAAAACACGACAAAGGAAGTTGTTAAAGAGCTGAGATCTTAAATCAGGCAAGACTGGACAACATTTCACTATCTGAACTCCTGAAACTGGTCGCCTTAGTCCTCAAATGTTTTCAAGACGTTAAAAGAAGTGAAGCAATACACAGTAGAAATGCTCCTGTTTCAACTTTTTAAACATGTGTGGCTGGCATATAATTTAGAAATGAGAAAACATTTTTTCATAACACTTTTTTTTTTCAGTTTCAATGTTTGACATGTTATCTTTGCACTATTTTCAGTGAAATACACCAAAATTAGACTTAATCAGTGTCTTAATGTTTTTGTTAAAGAGGAAAAGTTTTTTTTGTTTTTTTGTAAAAACAGGAACAGCAGGTACATCATACTTCTAAAAACCACCATTTATTGAAAAAAGTCAATCTATCCAACAGAACACAGGAGCTGTAGTCTACCACTGGTTTGATCTTTGGTTAGAAATTGTTAAGGAATACAAAATTACTCCAAACCACCCTTTTTTAAACCCCAAAATCGCAGCAACACAAACAAACTGACTGATTAAAATGTTGAGCAGCATCTCTCATTTGTTGCCAGGTGTAAATATCCTTTAGTTAATTCAATCAGGTGGCTGAGAGTAGTGTCAAGTGTGTAGAGGTTGTCAATACTTTACGAAAAAGTACCTTACTAGTCAACAAAAAGTCGTATTTCCCCGGTGACTCTTGCGTCTGACATTGACAGACTGGGAGTGTGAATATGAACTCATCACTGGCTAAAATAGGACTCTGAGTGGATGCAATTTGATTTGGGAAATTTGCTGACAAAGATTTGGATTCAGCTGTTCCAGTCGGTAATGCTGCTGGAGGGTTTCCAAACATGAAACAGCCTTTGGGAAAACCAAAATATTAGTCTTTTTTTTTTAACTTAATTTTTAAGTGTAATGTTTCAGTGTCTTCCAAAGCCAAACAAAACTAAACCAAACAAATCAGAACATCCAGGTCACTGAGGGAAATCAATCATTTTGTCTCAGAAAGAAAAGAAACACACACGACAACATTGCTTCATGTAAAAATCCATAGGTGAAGGGTGAAGAGGAAGGGGGTCTGTGGAGAGCCAGCACAGTCCAACCAGCCAGGGGAAGGAGTCCCTCTAGGACAAGTCCATCAAAACATCAGTCACAGCACCAAGGATAAACAATGCAATATGAAAAGAAAAAAAAGGGACTGCTCTATTCTGTACTTTTATCACGGTTCAATCTTAGAGAGAAAGTCAACATCTCCATTTCATGTATATCTTAAAATATTAGTCTTTAAGACCCCAGATCATGTTCAAATAGGACTGAGGCCAAAGAAACGCCTCATTATCTTTTAGATTGGCGTTTAAAGAAGAGAAAAAGCTTGTCAGCATGGCACAATCTGCTTGATAAACAGGAAGCTGTAATTAGCTGTCAAGTAATCAATAGATATTTCCACCGACTCTGCAGGTTATCGACACCATGCCCATGAATGAGAAGACCGCCTCGCTCTTCCACCACTTCGAGCCTCTCTACCTGGTGATCGATGACATGCCCCGTCCTCCAGAATCTCTGCTCTCTCTCAGAGAAGGTCGGCGACCCTCAGACTCAGCTCAGATCTGCACTGATTCTCCGCCTGTCGTCAGATTTTTTTTCCCCTGACTTCACTCGGCTGTTGTCTTTGTCCACCTGTAGGCGTTAAAGACAGCGAGGATGCTGACGGTCCAGCTCAGGTGAAGGATGAGGAAGAGGAGCAGGCCGCTCCCACAGAAGACCCTTCTCCTCCAGAAGCTGCAGAGCCAGATCAGGAGTTCAACCTGTCTGAGGTTATTGAGCTCACTGCCAACACCATCCCCAATGGTATGTCACACTGATGCAAGAACTGGTTCTGCTGTCACCTGAATCTACGTACAGATGTACTCAAACATGTGCAGAGGACCAATGTGTATCTAAAGCCTCTTAAGCCTGGTTTTGACTGATGTGTCTTGTACTATGCTGTCGGTACTCATTGACATGTATGTCAGTTAATGTATGTAGGTTAACAGGCACCCTTTCAAAAACGCCGCTGTGTGCTTTCAATTCAGACAACAAACACGATCATAAAAGGACTAAACTCTACTTTTTCTTTCAGTTTCCTCTTAGCTGTGATTCACCAGGAGAAACTTTTTAATCTAAAACTACTGATGGGTCATTTTTTTATCATGTAAATTTGGAGTCTAGGAGTCATTCCTCGGAGGGTCGTACCCTGCCGTCTGCTCTCTGTAGAAGTCGAAGATAACTTGGACGTTGGAGTGGAAATCTTTTCCTGCTCTTTCTAAACTCACTTGTTTCACGCTTGCAGACTCTGGAGTGTCGGAGGGTTTGGTGTTGACCAGCGACTCAGAGAGTGAGATCTTCTGTGACTCTGTGGATTCAGTGGAGCAACTCGGCAACATCAAGGTAAACAAAGAAAGCGTATGATTTCTGTTTGGGTGGACATAAAAGGGTAAAAAGTACACGGACGATTTCAAAGATTGTTTTTTTTTTGTACACAGATTCCCATTATCAAGTCGAACGGTTTCCACAATGGCCACGTGTCCTCGGAGCCCTCCACTCTCCAGGGTGAGCAGTTGGAGGGTCGTCTGGAGGTGCGACAGGTCGGGGCCGGTCAGGGTGGAGAGGGGGCAGAGGACGGGAAGGGTTCAGGTCCCAGCAGGAGGAGTCGAGACACTGGACGGGACGGATCTTACCACAACTGGAGAGAACGTAAGCTGCTAGAACTTTTGGAGTCCTGGAGTAACAGAGAAGACTCCGATAAGAGTCAAAGTTGAGCGTGACGTAATGAGCAGAGAGAATCACAGGATCACAGAGTCTTCAGGTGAACTACAGGCAGGCTGATGACAGTTTAGACAACAGTTGTGGCCTAGAGTAAAAAAATACTAATTATTCGTATACTGAGTAAAGCAGAGTGAGAAAAGTCAAGTCTAACTTACACAACGCCTTGTTATTGTGGATTTGCACGCTGTTCTGTAGGTGGCGTCCCTCAGGGCAGTCCAAGGCGAGGGGCTCCTGGCGGAGGTGGAGCTGGACGAGGAGGAGGAGACGGCTCGGAGTCGGCGGCAGAGAGGCTGCATGACGCCCAGCTGCAGCAGCAGATCATCCTGGCTCTACGGAGGCTCAGAGAGGACATGAGGAGTGTGATGGACCGGCTGGAGGTGGTGGAGAGGCTCGCTGCTACACATGTGAGCACACACAGTCGTCTTTTGTAAACAGTTAAAGCCAGACAAACTTTGATCCTGATTCTGATAACTTTAAATGTTTTGTGAAACTTTTTTTTTCCAAAAGATAATTCTAAAGTTTTGTCGAACTTCCCCTCCAAGCCTGCCTCAGAGGTCTGACTGAAGCTTTTTCTTGTTTAACAGACCCAGAGTTCAGAGTGGAGACCATGCCTTCAGTGTGCAGCTGCAGCCTCACAACAGGTAAGACCTCATGTCTGCAAAGTGTCTTTATTATTATTGATTATTGAATTTTTAGTTATTGAATTTTAACTTGTACTTGGATTTTATCGTTTGACTCATGTTCCATCTGTTTACATGGAGAGGCTGGGCCGGCTGCGTAATACGATGTGCTTTTTTGTGTCTCAGGAGGAGAGTTGGTGGCCTTTTGACATGTCGGGTCAGACCGTCCTCCTCTTCCTCTTGTGGCCGTTTGTAGCTCAGGGTCTGGTCTACCTGCTGAGGAAAGCCCAGAGGAGGAACCGCATCACTTCATGAAGAAACAAAAGACTTTCACCGATTCACCGGCAGAGAGAAGTTTAATTTCTACAGCGAGAAAAGATTTAATCGAAACTGAATGAACAGAGAGTCTTTATCCTCCCCTCACTGTGAGCACGAGAAGGAGGGACAGAGGACACATACACCTGATCCAGGTCTGGATCCAGATCACCCACTACAGAACAAGGATCTTTATTTAAATCATTCAGGTGGATTAATCAGCTGACCTCTGATGGCAGCAGAAACTTGTCTGAACCAGTTCTCACTGATCATGATGAACCTGAATACAATACTCGGGTTTTAATCTCTCTACCCAAATAAGTGAGACAGTAAGTCACTCATCCTGCCTTTCATGTAGCTCGGGGCTGAACGGCTCATGTCTCAACATCTTTTGTAACTTACAGGATATTTTGCGCTCAGAGCAAAGCAGAGCCACCGGTTTAAGAATCTACTGATCTGTTGATCGGGAAGTCATGTAGCTGCAATAATGTCACTGTCACTTTAAAATGGTGAAGACCGCACTGAATGAGATCCATTTTTCTTTTACACCTCTCATTTACTCAATCTTTCACAGGTGATTCTTAACCTCAGATTGTCTGTCAGTGTCTCTTTGGACTCATTTGTCAACTGCGAGGGCCCCCCCAAGGATAATCCCAAACCACAATAATCTGGATACAACTGCAAAACTTTATTAGATAATTGACTTTGAGATGTAGATGAAGCCTTAAAAGAGGAAGGTGTTCGCAGTCTGTCCACTCCTCTAATAACTCCTCAGGGGTAAATAAACCTGATCAAAATCCACTCTGTAAAAGTGTTTCTCTGTCACTGACAGGCTCAGATTGTTTCTCCAAGTGTCTGATTTAACATCCTTTCTCTCTAAAAGAGTAAAGACTACATCCTCCTGGTTGATCTATATGAATATAATAATGAAAACAGCTGATTTCAGGAGTCTATCCCTGATTCAAACCACAGACTTTATATGGCATGGACACATCCTATACAAATCAGCCACGCCCATAAATATGTATATGTATACACAAGTCAAAGCCTAAATGTAATTAACACTAATTAGTTATTTAATAAAGTGACCCTTGTGCTGTGTGTACAAATAAAACAACCTTTTAACAGTTTAACTTTGGGCTCACTTTGAGCGACAGCCTCTAGTGGACACTCGAGGAATTTTAGCTTTTTTGCACAAACACGTACAGTATGTTTTAGGCCTGGGCGATTTGGCCAAAAAAGTGATCACAATATATTTTGTCGTATCGTCCGATCTCGATTATTATTACAATTTTTTTTCAAACTGCCAGTTTTAAAGCATCTGTACTAAAAACTAAAGAAACTAGAGATTAGTTCAACATTTTATCAACATAAGAAGTAAATAACAAAGAATAAGATACACTTGGAAAAATATAAAAACTTTTTAACTCAACAAAAAACAAATGTAGATAAATACTAAATACATCCTGGCTTTTTAAAGTACAGATAAATGTTGCATAGATACTGACTCAGCCTCAGAGGCAGGCTTTCAGGCAAATGGCTGCAGCATACCTATCAGCCAATCAGCTGTTTCCCTGATTATGTTAATTGTTTTTTGTCTTACTAGCTTCAAACTAGAGGAGTAATGGAAATAATCCCTTTTATGCGGTGCCATGTTTTCGAGACAGGAATCAATTGCTTATCCAGGCTGTTACATGTTTAAGTCTGCTGTAGAATTATCCCATCTTGTCAGACACTCTGAGCCTGTTAGCGACAAAAAAAAAAAAAACACTTTGAGTGACATACTTTGTGCATTTGTCCATGAGGAGTTGAGCTGCAGCCTTTGCAGTGTGTTTGGCACCTTCTGACACGAGCAATTATGAAAGTCTCTGTGATCATAAACATTTAGACTCTAAAATCTGTCAAAAATTGTGGAATCCTCCTTTAAATCTTCAGATTAACCTCCCTGTTAGGTTCTCCAGTGCCCATCATCAGGAATACACCTTTAGTTTATCACAGTGAAGCTAATTATGTAGCTAATGATGCTGATTTCATGTTTGTGTTCACATCATCAGGTTGTTGTTGTTCCACCTGTTTTGTTTTCTGTGGGTGTTATCTGTGGGAGTGACTCTGACATGGCAAGTGTTATTGAGACTTTTGTCCATCACTGATGGGAGAGCTGCAGTGAACAGATGTATAAAATACTGAAGCATGAGCTCTAATTAAAAAGTTTATACCCTAAGATGTGTTGTGTGAGCAGGAGGAAAAGTCAATTTGGTAGGAAGTCTTTGGTATCACAACATTAGAACCTGCAGCTCCCATATTGAATCATTACGTGCTGCCAAACACCTGTAATTACAATGGCTTTATTAATTAAAACTACTACTGCCAACTAGGGCTGGGCAATAAAACGATAACAATATATATCGAAAATTAATTTCCCTGAATATCAATATAAAATATGGTCAATATCCTTTTCAATTGTCGGCATTCTGCCATGTTTTGGTAGACTATACGAATAGCCAATGAAAAGGAGAGTTGCTCCGGGTGAGCTTCGCTCTGAAATAATCGTGCTGAATTAGAACCAAGTAGCAAACAACTGTGTGTTAGCAGGCTGCAGCTACATGCAACTATAGCACTTTAACACGTGAAGCCAACAGCACTGTCGGTGAGAAAAAAGAAAATGAGTGCTACACATAGACTGTTTATACTATGGACAACTTGGTTCTGCCTCTTGCCAGTATACGGATTTGAAGCCAAAAAGCTCTCGGTATTTCCTCATTTTTCTTTATTTCCTGAAACCAGCATTGCGCAGTAGCGTTGTACGCATTCGGCGGGAGAGTCACCGAGAGTCGCTGTGATGACGCTCGGCTCAAACAGCGTATCCCCTGGGTAAGCTACGCAATCCTTGAACGCCAATAGGCCGTATCAAGTGTCAATCACAGAAAGCATGAAACCCCTTAATAACTTTAAAAAACGGAGCTTCACAGAAAAAAGAGGACTTAGGCACAAACCAGTCTTACTGTAACCACATGTCAACATCACAAGCAGCAGAGAGAAAAATGTATATTCTGTGTAATAAATTTCTAAAGTTTGTCTACAGTTTCATAAGCTTTGCTGGCAGAGGCGGGATTTATGACCTATACTGCAGCCGGTCAACAGAGGGTGCTGTTTTCGGAGTGGCTTCAACCAGCGAGGAGGGCAGATGCTGTCCATTCTCTATACAGTCTATGGTGCTACACCTGGCAGAAATGCAGACGAAGGCTCAACAGATGATGACATCTTCGACAACACTGGCACTAAAACGTCGGTGGTGTGGAGGTTTTTTTTTTTTTTTGAGGTCGGACATGAAGCAGAGTAATGAGCACTGCAAATTATGTCGAATACATGTCCTCTCAAAGTCAGGGAATTTTTCCAATAAATCTCTCCAATTCATCTTCTTTCTTCAGTAAATGACACCTGATAATGTATGTGAGCTGTGTGACTCACTGATGTGTCTGATGGTCGTTGCTCGAGTCCACCAGGTGGAGGTGCTGTAGGACAAACAAACACAGCTGCTCTGTACAGGTGTGAATGAAACATGAATGTTGAGTTGTTGTGTGTAAGATGTTGTAACCGGTACAAACTCTACCATTGACAGTATAAAAATGTTTGTTGGTCCGTGTTCAGAGTGTCAAAAGTCTGAGTCTCGCTGTATCACTCAGGCTGGACTACAGCGTCTATTCACGGGCGCGAACCCACTACTGAGCGGCACGAGGGCTTTGACCTGCTCCGTTACCGACCTGGGCCGGTTCACCCCTCCTTAGACGACCTGCTGGTCCCGGGCTCCCCCAGGATCAGCATATCGATACCGAACTTAGTGCGGACACCCGATCGACATAGTCCACCGCAGCTCAGAGCTCCTGAACTCAAACGATCCTCCAGACTCAGCCTCCCGGGGACTTGGATTACAGGCGCGCGCCACCGCACCCGGCGACAGACAGCACGAGTCTGTGGGATCAGACTCTGGACGTCCACGGTCTGCATGTTCAGACTGAATCTACCATCCAAAGTTTATAAAATTCAACAAACGACGAGAACAAAAAAACACTCTATAGGTATAGTTCACCTCTGTTAGGTCATATTCCACCTCTGTTACGAGTCCTGTACTAACAAAACTGGGGCAAGTTTTGTTGGGTTGGCATGTAGTATGTACACAATCTCACAAATGAACAGTAGCCAACATAATGACCCTTTCTATCTAGGACTAGAGATGCACGATGTTGGATATATTACATATACAAATAGAACCCAATATTTCTCCTGTAATCGAATCTATCAGTTACTCTTATTGTGACAGTCTTTTTTAAAAACTGACATTCATCAAGACATTTGATTTAAACTCAACATACTTTTTTAATTTTAACAATTCAGTTGTATGTTTATTGATGCAGAGAGCATTGTGCATCTCTAGTTATCATCTATAGCTCAAGGCTAAAGCCTAAACTTAAAGTATGTGACCTGCAGACTAATACAGTATTTTGGTGATGTCATTTATAGTGTATACTTATTTTCAGCAGTCATCAACATTTCCTGTCCTCTGAAAACATATAGAGGCCATAAAAGTATTCCTCCAAATAGGTAATATAGTGTATATATATTGATTAACCATCCATAAAAGGTGTGAGTTGAAACTAATGCCTAATGCACCCACAATTTTCTATAACATTTGACAACTTTGTAACTGTTTAAATTGCACAAGCTCAGATTTTAATTTGATAAAATAGTTATAAATACAAGTTAATAAAATTCAACACTACTCAAATGTGTTAAATATTTGATTCTAACTGGTCAAAACTCTGCAAGTTATTTTTTTTTTTTCAGCAAAAGTGACTTTAAGAAAAACCTGATCATATTCAATCAAACCATTTGAAGGAGTCCAGCACATTTCTCCTCTGCTGTGGCAAAGACTGTAGTTTTCATCACTTATTAGTCCTTGGTAAATAATGAAAGTGACTCAACACAGATGTGAAAGCTGTCTGATGATATATCAGGTCTGTGATTGAATTGAAAAAGTCATGTATGGACATAGTTTTACTGTTGCTATCACTTTGGGTTATGTAGGATATTAACCAGAATTTCTCTTCCCTCCTCTGTGTGAGCATCTGTGTGTTGTCAGTATTTTACATGTAAATTAACCACCTGTTTTTTTATGTAAATTAAAACATCAGGACCTGCTTCCAAAAGTTCCTGGGCCTCTGGAAAGTACTACTCCCTAAGAAGGGAAAAAACTTAAGATGCCAGCCTGTGTCTGCGTCTAGGTAAGACATCATTTTGTGAGATTATTTTACATTTAAATTCATTTAATTTCTGTATTAAAAGGAAGAAATAAACAGAAATCAGAATTTCCAAAACAAATAATTTAATATATTATGTATAACATTTATATACACAGGTTAACTTAACAAGGCTTTGTACAACTGTTACAAAATTGGTCCACACACAGTCACCCACGTACATAAAGAACATGCACAGGGGCACAGAGAGAGAGAGGGAGGGAGGGGGGGGGGACACACTGATATGATTAAGACAAACATGGAGTCTGGTGGGACTACAGTGGTTGGCAGCAACATCGGGTCAGCTTTAATTCTTGTTTCTTCAGACTCTGATGTACAAAACTAAAGGGAGTAAAAATACTGAAAATGTGAAAAGGAAGAATGCAAAAATATCACTCAGGTAAGACTCTGTGGTTTTTGGATTTAACAAGGATATTCATTCAGATTCAACTCTTCCTGGGACCTTTCTCTCTGATTAACACTGATATAACCGGAGCCTGACTGCTGAACCTTAGAGTGTATGAAGCCTCATTTTCATAGCAGAGTACATTTTTTACCTGCTTGAATCTGCTCTGAAAGGTCAGAGCTCCCCCTAGTGGTTGGCTGTAGCAGAGGTCATAAACTCCTCTTCCTCACTGGCACCACTATCAAGCCTGCAGAGCTGAGTCGAGTCAAATGTTTCTGTCTATAAAAGCAGTATTGTTGCTCCATTTTGGCTCTTTTTGACTAAAATGTAAGAAAAACTGATTTTGGCATGACTTCACTTAGCTGCCGTTAAACACTTTTCTCCTCTGCTTAAAAAAAAAACAGATTCCTCAAAAGTCTGGCCCTCCTCCTCCTCAAACATACACGCACACACACACACAAACACACACACACACATTAGGAAGCATGATAGGCTTGTGTTAAACACTTAGGGTTTGCATATTTTTATATGTCACCGACCCCTTGCATGCAGTTTTTAGTCCACAGAAGCTTTGGCATATTGCCCGAGTGACATCATCCAGAGAGGGAGTGAACTTTTTTTTTTTTTTTCTGCTCCTGAGGATCTTTGAAGGTCCCTGTGGACCCTCAGGAGGCTTTGGAAGAGCTTGTAAAGGGCTGAGAGGTGTTTTGTGCTGGCAGGTAAGTGTGCCCAGGTGGTTATCGTCAGAGACATCATTGGTGAAAGAAGACACCAGCACATGTACAGCACAGTCAGTTTGTAATAAAAAACACAGCATGACTCTGCTGAAGTCTTTGCTGGTGATGGTAAGTAGTGACAGCAGCTGCTGAGCTCTGCAGGTGATTCTCAGATGTCCGACACGATGTTGACTGTTAATACTCATACAAATTTAAATGAAGGGTTTCATTCCAAAGTATCTTCCTAGAAATGTTTGTTTGAGACGGCACATGGGCTACATCAGAGACTTAAACATTGTAAGAATAAAATCATCATACCACCCTCTTCCAAAAAACTGAGGGAGACTGTCAAATGTTGATTAAACCAGAATCTGAGCAGCATATTCAATTGAGAATGGAGAAAAGACAACAAATCAAATGTTAAAACTGAATGTGTTTATGGTTTTATGAAGAATATATGCTCAATTTTAGTTCAAGAGGTGGGAGGAGGTTCACCACTTTGTGAGAGACTGCGTGAGCCAAGACTTTAATAATCCCAGACTGATGTTAAGTTTGGTGGTTTCGTCATCAACAGCTCAACATATCCTTAAAAAGGGTCAAGGCAAAAAGCCAATACTAGATGGCCCTGAGGTTGCACAGCATTAAAAATAGACATGACTCTGTTGTGGGAACCACGACATGGACTCAAAATCACTTCTATAAACCGCTGTCAGTGAAAACAGGTTGATGCTGTATTCACAAATGCAAGTTAAAGAGTCAAGCATAAACTACATAAACATAATCCCAAAATGCGAGTGAGTTCTCTGGACCCGTGTCCATTTAAGACAGATGATGTGCAACCATGTACATTACATACATGTTCATTACATCCCCTGCTCTTCAGAAGGGACAGACCACAGGGCTTGTTTTCAGTCCAGCTGCTGAACTGGCCTCCCTGCAGTCCTGAAACCAGATAATATGACAAAGGAGACCCTGAACTGTTGGAGCAGCTGACTTCCCACTTCAGGAAAGAATGAAACAACATTTCACCTGTAAACTCCAAAAACCAGTCCAGTTGAGTTATGATAAAAGAGGACAACAGTAAAGATGCTCCTGTAACAACTTTTTGACTAATGTAATTTAAAATTACCTCATATTTTTTAATAAAACAATAACATTTTTCAGTTTTAAAAAGTGATTTGTTGTCTTTGCACCATTTTCGAGAACTTTTCGTGCTCAGATGATTTGCATATCATCAGTTCCTGTTTTAATAAACATTTGACACTCAGGGTTGTAGAAAATTCTTACTTTGGCACCACCTGGTGGTAGAATGAAGTAAAACCTTGAAAGAAAAATGTCATTTCATTTTTGTAGGTTTTTCTCTTACTTTACAAATTAAAAAAAATGGCATTTACATTTTTTTTCTGCTGCTTCTAAAAGCAGAAGTGAAAAACTGATCTGAATATTTCAAACGGTTTTAGTTTTGGAACGAAACTCTTTACCTTTACAGAATGTTAAACTCTTTCACTGTGAGAGCAAGTTTTCAACTTTAGTGCCGATGACAGAGGAGGAGGAAGGAGTTTTCACAGAGCTGAGATCTCTGGAGCAACATCACAGAAGCTTAGTGGCAGAGATGATCCAGTGTTGGTGAGTAAAGCAGGAGTACTTGGTTCTGCATTAGTCGGTTGGGCAGTCTGGTTAAACTACCACTGTGTGACGACGCCACCTTCTTGTCGTGTCCCGTGGGTCCAGGGCTGATCTCCTCAAGACCACAGCAGAGGGTCCTGCAGGGTTCTGTTCTATCACTCCAGAGGCTGAGGTGGAAAAAGATGGAGCTTCCTTGGGGAGACGAGGGAGGGGATCTATTGACTGAGGACCTGAAATCGATCCCTGAGGAACCCCAACAGGTCCCCGCTGACCTGATGTTCCATCTATGACTCGGACTACCTCCACCCTCTCTGCCCTCCATCCTCTGACTCTATCGTCACTCCTACCAAACTCAACATCCAGATTCATGGACACTGCCCTCGTCCTCCCACCTCTGGTCTTCCTGTAGCGGACTGGCGCTGACTGGTTCCAGTCTGGGTGCTGGTTTCCATAAAAGGTAGGGCCATGGCAAATGTTGGGAGGCCTTGTGGGACTAATCCAGAATGGGACAGGGGGGCGTCCTCGGGCTGGATTGTGAGGTCTATAACGGGAAGGGGGGTTAGTCACTGGTGATGGTCTTGAGTTTGTGGTATTCATCTGTTGTTGTGAGGGGACAAAACGTGGATCCCCTTTTCCTTTCCTGTCCCTGGGATCCTTTCCAGAAGCTTCTTCTCCCACCTTCTGATCTTTTACTTCCGTGGTCTCTTCAGCTTTCACTCTGTTTTCCTTTTCATCCCATTTTACTGGATCAGGATCTGTACGATCTCCCTTGTCTTCCTCTCCTCTTTCCTTCCCCTCCTCTTCTCCCCCTCCTCCTCCTCCTCCTTCTTCTGCACCGTAGTTGCTGGCTTTGACGGGCTCATGCTCAGAGTCCTCGTCAGTGCTGCTGCCCTGCAGGTGGGCACTGAGGCATTTTTTACGTTTGCGGGTCACAGCAGAGATGAGGGACATGGGCAGGAAGTCCCGGGCGTTCAGGTCTTTCTTGGAGCCTGATGAAAGCTGAAACACATGAATTCTAGTCAGATGATGGACATCCTTTACTTCCTCTAACAGACTGTATCCTGAAATTTTCGGTACACGTAGCATATGTCTCTCTTACCTTTGACTTAAGAGAATCGCTGGTGGTGGAATCTGTTGGGAGAAAAAAAATAGTAAAACACAGTTTAGAGAAGTGTAACAACTGAGCTGGCGGAGGTTATGGTGTTAAAGCAAGTTCAGACCAGAGATTTGTCGAGAGATGAAACTATTTGGAAACGAAAATTCACATTACAGAAGGTGGTTTGTTTCCAACTTATGCAAGCTGCTGTTGAAGCCCTTTGGAAAAACTATTGCATCCCTTATGACTGATTTAAGCTTGAATGCTGCCTCAACACTTCAGGCAGGAGCAAAATTCGACTGTTAAAGGGATATTCTGGCGTAAATTAAAGTTATGGTCAAACACACCATAACACAAAGTTAGACACCCTGTCGAGAGATGAATGTTGCAGACCGCTTGCTTCTCTAGTTACACCAACATTAGTAATGACCGCACAATAGCAATAGTCTCAGGAGCCATCACCGAGTGCAGTGGGGTGACACAGCTCAAGGAAGAACATTTATGATCATTACTTTATCATTTCCTTGAAGTAATAATCACCATATTAATCATTTTGCACTGCAGACATGGCAGTTCTTCTGCCTTAGCATCTCGGTCTGATTGTATTTCCATGAAGTAATGATTATAAATTTTCTTCCTTTAGCTGCGAAACTCCGCTGCACTCTGTGATCGACTCATCAGGACTCCCTCACAAACAAGCGACTGCTGGAAGAGAGTAGGTGAGTTGTGTTTGGTTTCTTCGCTAAAGAAATCAGATGTTTGGTGGCTAATACTATGGCTGGGATCTACTATGGCTGCTTCTTTTTTTTTTTCCAAAACAAAGACTAAAACTGCAACTGGATGGAGGTCATGATAGTTACGCCATCTTATGTAGGTTTTGGAGGGTTTACTCCTTGATATCAGCTGGTTAAAGGTTTTAAACACTGCCGTATTGTGACAAATCTGTGGTCTGAACTTTCCTCTAGGAGTGTTACAAAGGTGTGATAGCTGTCTAATCACTGCACACACTACCAGAACTGCAACCTTTCAGGTGAACTCTAGCCACTATCACAGATCTGAATGAGTTCTCTCTGATGTAACATTACCCAAAGTGAAGAAAACAATGGCTAGAGTTCACCTTTAACATCACTAAAACGGAAGGATGATGATACATTGGTGAAAAAACAACACGGACAAAAATGAACAGATGGGTAAATGAATCCAAGTGCACCAAACACAAACACACAGGGAGCAAGACCTGGTCCTACCGAAGAGGCTGATCCAATGTCTCAGCTAGAGATTAAGAGTGCAGAAGGATCCGTGAAAGAGGAGAGAGTGAGGAGAAAGTAGGAAACATCATGAGTATACACTTCATGAGGCGTACAGAGTACAGAATAAAAGAGGAGGGTTAGAAGAGGAGGCTTTAACATAGTGAAGAATTTTTGCTCAGTCAGTGAATCGGCCTGTTTCTTACTGTCAATCTTAAACCAGCCCCTTTCAAACAGATCTCTACCTCAACGTTTAAGCTGCTCACACTTTTGATGCCACACCCACATAAAACAGAGACCAGCGTAGTCCAAAATACCTGGACATGCCCCTGACCACACTAAATAACTGTTATCTCAACAAATTACAGATATTAGTCAGGGGGGAAACCAGTCACTTTTGTATGTACTTTTTAAATTTGTCGCCCCTTGTTGGCAAACCATCCCCCATTGTCCTCTCTTCAGAGAATCAAATATTTCATTTATTGTGAATTTTTTGTGTGTTTATTGCAAAAACAGGGCTGTTTGCTTTTCTGACACCAACCCTCCCAGTTTCAGGAATTTAACTTTACTAAATAAATACAGTCAGTCTTGTCCCTGATTGTCTTGTCTGCTTTAGTATATCCTGAAATGGCATCAACATCAATTTCACTCAGTTTTATTAGAATGAAAAACGCCTCCAGGAGCTTTAGTAATGTACAAATAGACTATTTTATTTACTGTCTTTATACATTTGCATTGCTCCAGCTTTATGACGAGGTTTAATATACTGTCTGTATTTTTATTTTGGTTTTGGTTCTTTACAAAAATAAAACAAAAACCTAATCTGGCTTTGAATTCAGAATAATTTCCTACTTTTTTTAAGCCCTGGACTGCATTATAAAATCTGTATAAACAAAATTTATTTTATCTTGATTTTTTAATCTATATTACAATTATTAAAATCTATTAAAATCTATTATTATCTGTATATTTATGTAGTCTAGTAATTCTATTCTCTTTTTTAATGGGTTTAAATGAAACTTAAATCAAGGATCAATTTCCTTTATGCCAACATTTTAGTGCATTTTGTCTCTGTACTTACTGCTGTAGTTTGTTTAAATTGATTAAAGATCCCCCAAACGAACAAAAAAGTTTGCCTTTGAATTCCTAAAACAGATGAACCCTTGTGCAAAACTTTGTTGCATCCATCTTATAACTGAGAACAACTTTGAGAGGCACCCCTTAATCATAAAAAAACAAACAGAAATGGAGGCAGAAAGGACAAAAGGCTTTCTCAGTCGATCAGTTAGATAACTCGAGTCCTCTAACAGTAATCTTAACAAGTATCTCTATGAGGCTGACGTTGATAGTGTCTGACTCTGACAGTCCTCACCTGATGCCTCTCCTGGCATACCCGGCCTGCCGATGTTGGACAGCAGATGGTCAATATTGGGTACAGGCTGCATGTCACGCTTATCCTCCGGGGCCTATACACAAACGCACACACACATAACCTCATATGTTTGTGTACACATGCAGAAATACACAACTGTATGACCTAGGAAATCGACCAAGACCATCTCCATGGTCTTACATACCTTCTCCTCTTTATCAAAGTCTCTGTTACTGAAGAACCAGTCGTGCTGCGGAAGAAACAAACTCGTCACTGACTTGTAATGGAGGCTGAAGGATTTCCTGTACTAGTGAGAGCAAATACTGGATCTTACATGCAGGATTAGAGTCTCCACTATCTTGTAGCGGTCCGGCATGTGGGTCACCATGTCTGTCATGTTATCCTCAGACGTCCTCACCAGAGTGGGTCCAAACACCAGCGCCAGGTTTCTGGGCTCCATCTGGGAATGAAATCAAAGTAATGTCTAAATGTGGCTCAATAACAGACCACAGTTTAAACAAACACACAACTAAACTGCTCCATTCCAGCACCTTATTCTTTTCAGAGTGATCTGCAACCATCTTCAGGTGGCCCACCAGGAACTTCAGGGTGTGGTAATAGTGATCGGGGAGGTCATGGATCTGAATGATGAAGAGAGAGTGTGTTAGATTTTCAAATCAGTCTACTGCTGTAAATTTGGCTGTTCTTACACACATACCAGTTTCTTCATGGTCTTCAGTCTGTCCTCTGCGTCGTCTATCCGGTTGGCATCGATGAAATCATTGTATTTGTCTATAGACAGAAAATGAATACACGGTTAAAGAGCTGCATTACAAGCAGTGGATTGAACACGAGAAAAAAACAAATGTTTGATTTTTTATTTGTTTTTAGAGTTATAAAGTAGTCCACTGACAACCTATTTACATTATATACACTATTATTGTGATAGGTATTCACTTTTATTATGACAGTTTTGAAGTTATACTGCTCTAATATAGTCTACCAACACACCTCATGTTCATCACTTAATGACTGGGGCAGGAGCACCACCACACCACTCCTGAGTTGACAATTAAAGTCCAAGTAACTGTGTTTTTTTTTCTTTTTTTACATCCATCTGCATTATTTTCATTTTTTTATTTAACCTTTTTTAATTCTTGAGAATCATTGAGGTTTCCCGCATTTACATTTGGGTCTTGTTTGCCTTGTCTCACCTTGCTGTGTCTTCTTTTTTGTTATTGTTGTCTATTGTCGGTGTAAATCGTATCGTATCGTATTGTATCGTATCGTATTGTATCTATCGTATCATATTGTATTGTATCGTACAGTGTTGTATCGTATCTTATTTAGAACAAATTAACAAACGAGACAATAAGGTGCAGTCAATGAAAACAACATATCGTGTTAAAATTATTTGACATCATCATCTTGAATTTGCCAAATGAAACTAGTGAATTCACCCTCATATTTTGCTGTAGGTTGGTCGACATTATAGGAGCACAGTAACTGAACACAGGTTTTCCCATTAAATACTGAAGAAATAGTAGCAATGATATTTTGGATTTCTTACAAAAATCAATGTTTAGAGCTCCTGTCACCTCATGTTTTTAAACTTCATGTTTAATATCTGTCAGAATGAGATATTGTGATTTCATTAGTACATGCAAAATACTTATAATGACATCCTGAAACACTACTACAGCTACATTAGGCCAACAGAAAGGCTCCATAGAAATCCATTGAATATGTAGGGTAAATTTCAATCACAGCATGCCTCTCACAGGAGCAAAGTTAGCTTCCTGTGCCTCAGTTCTGCTGACATTTCCCAACTACACACAGCCTTTATGATTCATGTAACCTTTACCAATAAGTACTGCACCCACCGTCAGTAAACAGCGGCTCAGGCAGTTTTCTGAAGAAGGATTTGAGCAAGCTGCTGATCACGTTCAGGTCCTGCCATCTCTGTAGAGACACAAGGAGACAGATTTCATTGCAGCAGACTGAATAAATAACACACCTAATGCACAAAATGATTCTTATTATGAGCCGGTCTTTCATTGAAAAAAAGTTTGACTCAAAGGGTGAATTCATGCATCCTGAATACCTCCTCAGCTGTGTTGATGTCCATGCCCTTGTTAAGATGCTCCTGCAAGTTGGACACCATGGCGTTGTTCCCTGGTACTCTGTAGATACCGGTGTACTCCAAACCTGTGGTCTCCACCACGCCACAGCATAACTCAACAATCAGAGGGACAAACTGTGAGGAGATGGAGGATAGGACAGATGACGATGCAAAATAGGAAGAAGAAAGTTAAGTGTGGTGTACCACTTACTAACAATAATTTGGAAATTAAAAGCGAAGGAATGAATCCAGTTGGAAAAACAAAGAGTTTTTATTTTGTGTCACAACACATCTCTCCAAGTTTCTTACTCTATCCTGAAAAGTATACTGATGCCTTTTAATAGTACACTAACGTAAAAAAGAAAAAAAATGATGACAACAAATGCACACAGTTATAAAAAGTTATGGGTTACACAGACTAAGTGTAAATTGTATTGTAACATAGCCAAAGCTTGCAAATCCAATAAATGTTGCATGTCCAAAATGTGACAAATAAAAAAAATAAAAAAAAAAAGAAGTAAAATAGACTATCAGCGAGGAGACTGCCATTTTTTATGTTATAATTTTCAATGTCAGAAAGCATTGAGAGAGTGGTGTCAGACGAGCAGCAACAAGAAAAGGTCCTGTTTTACAAATATTCATAATAAATAATACATTTGATTGTGAAAAGAAGGAATAATGTGTGAATAGTGAGATTTTTAAAACTCCTGATGCATATAGAGCAGTGTCCGGTCCTCGAGGCCCACCGTCCTGCATGTTTTGGATGTTTCCCTGCTCCAACACACCTGATTCAAATGATCAGCTCGTTATTAAGCCATTACAGAGCTTGATAACGAGCTGATCATTTGAATCAGGTGTGTTTTTGAGGCAGGGAAACATCCAAAACATGCAGGACAGTGGGCCTCGAGGTCTGGACTTGAGATAAACCAAAACAGTTTTGTCCACAGGGGGCGCCAAAATTGACACAAATCAAAGGTTCCCTTATTGGAACTTTAAAATAAGGAGGACATTTTGGAGACTGTGGCTTCTATTGAATGTAACCACATGTTTTGACAAAAAAATAAAAATAAATTTTGTAAGACCTGAGTTTTTTTGTAAGGAGATGGTACAAAAGCAGAATCGGTTTGTTTGTAGATAACTCCATTTCGACTGTGTTAAGCTACTAAGCATGATAACTTTTTTCTTTTTTTTTTTTTGCATTTGTTTAAGAGTAAAATATTCCAGTTTTTATATTCCAAATCATGTTGTAGTTGCAGATTTCAACGTCAGGCCTCATCATTAAAAAAATGAAGACTCACTTTATGGTTGACAGCAGGCTGACAGTCCTCCAGTCGCACGCCAAAAGCCTTTGGACTTCCTGTCTTTTTGGCCTTCTTCATGATGTTGATGCCCCACAGCGCTTTGTTGTCATCTGAAAGCAAGAAACATTCACAAAGATATATGTAATTACTGTGACAAAAAGACAACAACTTCACAGGCAGATAAAAATGAGAGAAAATCTGAAATATTTTTGGCATTGAAAAGAATGTTTTTTGTTCCCCTGTAATTAAATGTTTTTGCAGTTGACTTTCAGGGCTACTATAGTGCTCCTAATCCTCAAACTGATGAATGTCTTAACATAAGTTTGATTGAAAGCTGTCAGTCAGAATCAAAGCGGTGTGGCACGCTCATCCTCGGTCTTACCGGTTCTGGAGGCTCGGTTCACTGAGGCGTTGTCAGTCTTTGCCAGGAGGAAAGGAGGCATCATCCGGTGAGCTCTGGGAGAGGAGTCCGGTTTATTCCCTGTAAGACTGCATGAAAAAAAGAGGAACAACGACAGACAGCTCAAAATGAAGTCGGTTTTGTTTTATTTTCATGATAGAAAACACAGAAAAGATGCACGCCTTCTTGTTATTTTTTTTGTAAACTACAAATTATTAAATTGATTGTTTCTGACAGGGTCTTGTCTCCAGGCTACTGTGATCCTAATTACACAGGGATGATGGGAAATTCCTCTAACTAGAACGTCCTCCACCCTGCTGACCTGTGTTTCCTGTAGTCGTTCAGCTTCTTGTTGATGAGAGCTTGTCTTGAGAAACCGATCTCCTGCAGCAGATATTGATCACGAGTTAGATTCCTGTGTGTGGATTTGTGTAAATTCTTTAAGATTCACTAGCTGTGACGTTCTCACCTCGTTGTCGGTCTTGCTGTTCTCCCTGATGACCCTGATCCAGACCAGCATGTCCTCCCGGTCCTCAGCCTGCAGGAGGTACTCACAGAAGTCCTGCGTGGTCAGCCTCAGAGTGTGCTTACGTTTGGTTTCACTGTAAGCGATGTCGATCAGACAGCCGCGGATGCTGATTGGAGGATGTTCGTCTTGGCCGGGCCCTGCCCCCGCTCCGTGGAGGACAGCTTCCCGCTTATCTTTGTAGAGGAAGAGCGAGTGCGAACGCAGCACAGAGAAGACGCGCTTCCACGGCCGCATCCCGCCTCCTACTTTCTACAACGATAGAAGGGAGAAACAAGAACAACCTCAGATAGAGACATTCATTTGTTTATCAGTGGCATAACAGTCACCGGTCACCTGGCAAGACAGGCCTTTAGAGATTTAGGTGATCAAAAAGTGTTTCTCTACATGAAGTCTCTGGAAAATCTTCTATGTTGTGTTGTGACAAGAAAGAAAGCTTTATAGGTGTAGTTACAGCAGTGTCTGCAGTCTGTTTCTGTACCTTCCCCTTCTCTGTGAGGATCTGTTTGTAGTGCAGCCAGCCCTCCTTACGGACATCACTGAAAGTTATGGTCCCCAGCTCTGAGGTGGAGTGGCGTTTGGAGCGAGCCTCTTCCTGGGCTCGCAGGCTCTCCAAGGACTGGAATGGAGAGATTCAATTGGTTTTAAAAAGGAGAAGAATCTGCCAAGAGGTTAGACTCTGAATATCAGCATATGTGATCACTGGACAAGTGTTGGTGTAACAAGAAGACTGAGACTCACCCCATCAGTAAAAAAGCTCTTGACCCTTTTTGGTAGTTTACTGTGGAACAGAAATTACAGCAACATCCCGTTAGTCTCAGATTTATCTAACAAACTTGAGAATCAAAAACACTTAAAGGTTAAAAAACAGGACAACACATGAGGAGGGTTTAAAGCTCCAGTGATGAGTCTTAGATTTTTACAAAATAAACTTATAATTCATATTGATGCCTCTTCATGATAAACAAAAGCATATAACATCATCACTGATAAGACTTACAATTTTTGATCTGTCCTTCTTTAATGTCTGAATCTGGTGGGAGGGGGTAGGTGTCAGCTGAGCAGCTGAAATAGGCAGCCCTGATTTTATAATTTAGATATCAAATATTAATATTAATAAATAAGGTTGGCAGAATGAGATTATTTAGTCTATAATGACACTACTTAAGCATATAGAGGACAAAGTAAGCAAATGCTGCTTGTCCACAGGAGGTGCCAAAATTGACACAAGCCAAAAGCTTTAAAATCACATTTTTGAAACACATCTTATTATACTGACAATTTTCTTGTGTTTATTTTATTTTATTTGTGTTTTTTAAGCTTTACTGTGGATATTTTAACCACAACATTATTTCTTTAATTCTTTATCTGCCATTCAATATCAAAACTTAACATACAGAAAATCATGACAAAAAAAACAACAATTTTTAACATGTTTGTATTTGTTACTATAGTTTAACTATATCAGAAAAAAAACAATGAATATTATAGATGTAGTCTAATTTTGAAACTTTTTTTCATGACTTAATTTTTACTTCATATGCAAATATTTAGAAAACTTTCTGACCTAAAGGCTTCCAAAGTTGTTGTTCTTACATGTCCTTTATATTCATTTTTTCCCCTTCACATTGATTTCTTGCAGAAGCTTTAACTAGGAGCTGGGAGGAAAAAGTCTGGGTCACCCATCTCTACATAGACATGCAGCTCATCCTAAAAATCCAGTATTTAGTGCATAGTCAAACTTAAGATTTGGTGTTTGGTATTGAGGTTCAAGCCATTCATGCTCCTACATGGATTATATTTAACCCAAGTATTTCTTTACAGTCTAAGAAATATATTGATTTCTTCTGGAAAGACTGATTTTCATTTCGTGTTTCCAGATTCCCTGACTTACGAGAAGACTCGGCTCTCTTCCCTGAAGTTGTTCAGACCCTCGTCACATGACTTGGATCTCTCGGTGGTGATGGCCAGCAGGTAAGAGGAGCGACGACCTTTAATACTTCCTGAGGAGAGAGAAGATGAGTCAGAGAAGAGGAGGTTGACATAGAAGGATAAGGGAAAATAAAATGTAGGCTATGTGAGTGACAAGGCGGTGATTAATGAAAGGGATTTGTGATTTCAAACAGTGATTGGTTAATACAACATAAAGGATCAGCCTCATGGACGCGTGATAAAACAGAGACATACAACATCACAGTTAGTCTGTGGTTAGAATATTTACAATACTATAAAAAACACATTTACTGAATTTAAACCTGGGCCTTTTATTTATTCTACATATTATAGAGTCTAAATGAGGAACAGTAACAAGACTGTACAGGAGACTTTATATCACAGAACACAGGAGTTACGACTCCTATGTTGACTGGTGATTTATTTTAATTAAAAAAGGACTTTTCACTGACAGACCTGCCTCTCTTCTGTGGGATCTACCAAAAGATACCAATGAGAATAAAGCTGCAGCCTGTTTCAAAGCAGGCTTTCAAACTGTTTGTCATTTGGACCCTAAAAAAGTAGAATCCAGGTTTAAGAATACTGAGATTACCCTTAAAGATAAAACAAAGGCCAAGGATAGACAAATATATCTGTGTCATTCTGCTGAATCAGTTTGACTTCAAACACTGACATCAGCTCAGAAACCAGTTCAGAGATACCTGAGCACACTCTGTATATTAGTCTAGCCTGTCAGTATTCAGTGTGAGACTCACTGCAGTCCCGAGAACGAAGTTGCACAATGGGGGAGATGGAGGTGAGGGTGGGGGAGACAGAGATGGTAGTGAGGGTGGAAGCCTGGGAACTGGACACCACAGAGCAGGCAGGTACATAGGAGGCCTGCAGGTCATTACTAGGATTGGCGGGTTCATCTGGAAGGTCATCATCACAGGTGAGCAACAACAAGGGGTGAGACAAGATTATGAAGACAAACTGACAGGTAAAGACGACAGGAAGGGGAGTTTGGTTTGTTGGAACATTTCTCTGAGGTGGAGCCGCTTGATAGGAAGAAATAAACTCTGATGGATAGAAAGTGATTCTTCTCCGGGAAGATCAGCAGGAATCAGTTGTCAATTTTTAACCCACAGTACTTAGCACTTTATTTGATTATGAGCCCAAATCAGGCAAAAAATCTGTGTAATTTACCCCTGAGACTTCTGTTTTGAAACATCACTTCCTCCCTGCACTGCAAAGTAATAAACTCACAGAGTCACAACTCCCTGTGGAGTTATTCACAGCATGTGGAGACATTGGTTATACTTAACCAATGAGGTGATCTGATCCCAAAGTCTGAAAAAAGATGCTTTTTGTTGCACTATGTAAGACATTCATTAGGTATAATTTTCTGGTCAGCTGCTTACATGCTAAAGTTGGGGTGCATGGCTAAATCTGTGCAAAGTTAAAACATTGCTGTCTTGAGGACCCTATGATTGTATCTGTAGCGTTGAGTTAAAGGGAAATCTGTATCAGTGTGTGCAATAAGCTGGAAGCACTCAGTTCATCCCGGGGTAGATTTGAGGTGTCCTGGGCCCTATATGATATCTCATTGCCCCCCATATGCCACCCCCAAACCTTAAATAAAGTATGTGGGTTATGTTTTGTCTGGCTACTATAGATTTCTTGGCTTATGTTATAAATCTGTGGCCTGTTGCTCATAATAAACAAGATCAGCTCCATTTCTATGAAAAGTCTCCAACAATCAAAATCCACCCTCAAATCCTTGTTGAACACAAACAAACACAGGGTTTTTTAAGTTTTAAATTCATACTAAAACATTTAACATTTAGTTTACAATAACACAGCTTAAAACAGGGGAGACAAGTATCATGTTTACATGTTTGTGACACATGTAAGAAGCCATAAACACACACTAAAATGGTCAGATGGAAGTCGACTGAAATATTTAAGAGCTCTGTAGCAACAGACCAAGTAAAGGTTCAAAGTAAACAATGACTGAGAATGCCATTTGGTAACTTACGAGATCTGAGCTGAACAAGAGTTTTTCTGTCTTTGGCTGGACAACTGTGTTTCTATCTTCCTTTGAAACTCTTAGTCGACCACGTCTTGTTTACAACCGCTTCAGAATGAAGATGTGCAATTATTAATGACGTCCAAAATAAATCCTAGCTGTCCTCACATCCTGGAAAAGCCTGTCCGAGGCTTTTACATGGACCGAGTCTGTGGAAGCTTTTAATGCTGCACTCAGAATAAAAGCAAAACAAGTTTTTTCGCTTTGTATGAATTCTGACGTAGGACCATTTGTGTTTGAGTTGAAGGAAAGCTAAAAGACATTCAAGGAAAGGCGGCATGATATTTCTACATTGATACCCTCGTATTATACAAGCAATGCCGCTGCGGTCGCAGAAATCAAACATGATGCTAAAGGCAGACTTTTGATTATACTTGATGGATTTAAAGCATGTGTATTCCTGACACCACTTTACCTTGGTGCTGGTTGATGCTGTAGACACATACAGTGACTATTTATAAGGTGGACAGGTCCCTACGTCTTTACTTTTGGCACAGGGATTAACCCCATGTGGTAAAAGAAGGACTGGGGTGTAATTTTCTGCAAGGAAATGGACTGGAAATGGAAGTTCCAAACTAAAATAAATTCAATAATAGACGCGCAGTATTTTGCTAGAATTTAGTGTAAATATTTCTATATTCATTTGGAAATGAAAAGATGACAATCTTTTCTAATATCTTGCAGCCCTCTCAAGGTACATCTCAAACCCAAACCTGTGGGGGTTTGTTTGATTAATTTCACTGATGGATAACTACTTAGAACTTTGTTTTCAGCTGCAGGGAACCTTGCCATGTGTCTCTGCTGAGCTGCAGAAGTCTGGCTCACTCCAACACTGTAAACTAACAATAAATTGATTTTGCCACAACAGAATTTTAATAAACTAGTTGAAAGAATGCCAGATAACGATTTGATTAAAATTTACAAAAAGTCTGAGTCTGTTTTTGGCAGAAGTGACCATCCCTGTTTTTTAAAATCATTATCACATTTTTTTAAAATTTGTTTCTATTTATTATTAGCGTTTCTTTGCCTTTCTTTTAGTCGGAACATATCTTGAATTATTTATTTTTATTATTTTTCATCGTGTTTCTCTATTTCCTTTATTAACCTTCCTATATTTCTATTGATTCCTTTCTGCAAGTTTGCCCGAATGCTTGAATTCTTGTAAAACTATAAAACCTTTTAAACTTGTTGCTTATGAGTTAAACAAAATGACACTGAAATATAATTATAACATCATAGCGGATTGATTCAAAGCTCCATGGCATTATCAGAACATGTTTAAGGTTATTTTGGTCTAGAAGAATAAAGTCAGTTGCTACAGAGAAAAGGTCACTAACCTATGAAGGGTATAGAGGACAGGGAGTTGTAAGCATGCTGTGCCAGGCTACCATTAGCCCTGCGGTTTGGTCCAGGACCCCCAGAGACCGGAGAAGGCGTCCCTGGTGAAGGCGTCAGAGCAGGAGGCTCAGGTGACTCCACAGGTGAGGTGTAGTGGGGATGTCGGAGGGCCTGAACAGGGGTTCGACGTCCAGAGGGCGGCTTCTGCCTCAGCACCACCTCCTGGTTCAATGAAATGGGGGAGATAACCTCCCTGTCCTCAGCCAGTCTGGCTCTCTCCTCCTCAGCTGCAGAGAGAGCGGGGGTCGACTGAGGCCTGGGGACTTCGTTTCTGCTGGGTGGGCTCCAGTTGAGGTGGGGGCCGCTGTAGCCGGGCTCTCTGAAGGAGTGGGCCTGCTGGAGGAGGTGACCAGCTTTACGGGAGAATGAAGGGCTGTAACTTTGGTAGCCCACCAGCTCTTCACCTTTTACTCTCCTAGTTTGGGGTTCAGCCACCTGCTGACCTGGCTGCCTGCCATTAGGAGGCGCTGGGGAGACAGCAGGGACTGGGCTTGTTACTGTAGTTTGGTGTTGATGTCCTGCTGAGACTCTCTGGTCTTTCTGCTCACTGAATTTTGTGGTTTGAGTTCCCTGTGAGGACTGATCGTAGCGTTTTGAGACCAACGCAGAGGCTTGTGCCAGAGTCTCCACAGAGCGCCCGTAGTTGTGCTCGTACTCGGCGTAGGCCGCCAGCAGGTTCTCTGAGCATGACCGGCTTCCTGGTCCTGATACACCACCCCAGCCTCCCAGCCAATAGGAATCATGGGAAGCAGCAGCCGCCTGGTGGTGGTGCAGGAGGGTTTCTCTCCTGCGTTGCTCTGCAGAGGTTGTGGAAGCAGGTGCGGGTCCGGGTCCGAGAGCCAATCCAAGCCCCAGCTCTGCCAAACGGTCCTGAGATATACTGCGGTGGCGGGGGGACATAGACTCTGCAGCCTCTGCCTGGCTGTAGTACCAGTCCGACAGAGCCTGGTGGCAAAGAGCATCGGCTCGAGAGCGAGAAGAGGCCGGCATGCTGCTCTTCCGCGGGGCAGGCAAGGTTGCAGAGGCGATGGCAGCGTTGTGGTTAGCAAAGTGAAAGTCCAGAGCATTGATGGCTGAAGAGGAGCGTCCGCGGTGCCGCCCCCAGGGAGCAAATTGAGCGCTGGAGTCTTCAGGACCTCCGGACCAGCCGGAGGTTGGGGGAGAGGCAGCAGGGGGGCGGTTGTCCAAAGGGGACGTGGTGGGGCCAGGTCGGCACTGCCAGTTGTCCAGAGGAGCGTGGAGGCTGTCGCTGGGTGGTGGGGCAGCGGAGCTGGACTTTGCGGAGGGGTAACAGATAGGCGGGGGCTCAGGGAGGTTCTGAGCCACACCTGAATACGGCTCATTGCCTTTAAGGTAGGCATCCTGGGAGTATGCCTGAGGACAAAAGTGATTATACAATGTAAAACTCAGCAGAGAGAAAAGAGTGGAAAAGGTTGAAGGATCAGTCAGAGGAGAGAGTGATGCAGATGCAACAAGCACCGTGCAAAAAACTAGACCTACTCTGCAGACCACTACTTTAACACCAACAAATAATAGTTTGTGTGTTTTGGGGGCGACAACATAGCTGTCGGAGCTCCCAACTTCACTAATGACTTCTTTGAAAACAAAAGCCAGTATGAGCTGGATTTGAGTCTCAACTGTGACCCGAGACTATTTAATCCATATAAAGCTTCCATGAAGGCTCAGAACCAAAAACTGCATGTAACATAATAAAAAGGCTGTTGTAACAATAGCTAACATTAAATAACAAGGCTAAGTGACCAAGTCTAACTTTAGGGGTTTTTTTTACCTTCAAAGCTGTGTAAAAAGTAGCACCCTTGGCTACGTCTAAAGCAGCCAAAATGAGGCATTTCAGGCTAAATAACACTAAAATAGGAATTTCTAAAAGTGCCAGTAAATAATAAAGAAGCTGTAAATCATACAAGCTCTTCTACAGGTGTCCCTGACTTACACAATGATACAAAATGATTATAATGGGTCTCCTTTAAGGCAAGTCCTTAGTAACCAACCAACGCTGCAACTGTATTTGTATAGATCAGTGTAAATAGTATTAACTGTATCATAACTGTAATATTCTGAGCACACAACAAGTGTCACATTTTCTCGACTGACAGTTTCTCTGCGTAAAGGCCATGAAGGTCCTGAGGGAGCCTTTAAAGGTCAACATTCACAAACTGTCACATATGATAAACTTATCTGAGGATTCAAGCAGAAAAGGAAAGTACATTTTTTATTCATCAATTCTTTACATACATATTTAAAGTGTTTTTATAATTTTTTATAGATTTCTTTTTTTCTTTTTGGTCCTATGACAGTTTCTTTCTACAGCTAATTAACTACCCTCTCAAAAAAGCTAAATTAAAAGTCTCTTCTGTTCATGCACAATTCAAACTTCCAAAGTTAACCTGCAAAAGTGGCTACAAGAGTCGCTTTACAATTCATATTCCATGCTTTTTATGCATTAACACCCTAGCTAACTGCAAACTGCAGCTTCACACATTCGCAAGGTGAAAAAAGAAGGGAGAGAGAGAAAGAAGAAGAAAAGATAATACTCACACTTACCAACTGCAACACATCCTCGTCTTTTGGCATAATAGAGAGCTCCAGGATGTTTCCGCTACAAAGAGATCAGATTTTATAAACGCAAAGTTCAGCTTTAGCATGAATACTAGTTATGATCAAATTTTCATGTAGGGCCAAACCTGTTTTGGATGAGAGCAATCACTTGAGAGTAGGTTTTCCCCAAGATGCTCTCCCCATTCACCTTCACCAACCTGTCACCTGAAGTTCACACACACATGAACAACAAAAAACATCAAAACACACACATACAAAATCAGAAAAAAGTGTTTTAAATTCTCTAAGAGGCTCTCTAAACTTTACATCATGGGTTAAAAATATATTTAGAGTCTTCCTCAGGTTTACTGATTATTCATCTGAGTCTAAGTAAAGGGGAATGTTACGTAAACAGGGCATGAAGATTGATTAAATTTTCATATAGCCTGACAGACAAGATCCAGGGCCTCAAAGCACAAAAAGCACTTAATGCTGCTTGTTATTTCTAGTGAGAATTGACAGCAAACAGGAGCCATTTTTAATAAAGCTTCAATGAGGGACTTTTTGTTTCGGTTCTTTTCAACCAACAGCGCTCAGAACTTTTAGTTCCAGGGACTTCTCTTTAAGAAACTAAATGGTTCCTGTGGCCCAAAGTTGTCAGCATAAAAAATGCAAAACGGCCCAATGACATCTAGGAAGGGTATTTGGTAATAAGGTTACTTGCACAGCTTTTTAATGGAGTCTCTGTGGAAACGCAGACAAGGATTGGTGAGATGTTGGCGTAATTGGTGCGATTAGCAGGGGTAGCCTCAGCTCCTTGAGTGTAAACTAATTGATGAGATTTAACAAACTGAACTCTGTTGTGCTTTTGTATGTGTGTGTCTGTGTCTACCTGTCCGCAGCCCAGCCTCTTGGGCAGGACCACTGTCTTTGACACTCTTAACAAAGATGGTGTCCATTGGCTCCAAACGAGACTGCTGACAACCTGTTTAGACACGACCAAATTTAGATCCAGTTTAAATCCAGTTCAAGCTTACATGTCCATATCGTGTACAGAAGATCTTAAACAAGATTAATGAAGTATGATTTACATTATTTCCAAACAGCATCAAAAGACTTTTAACTGTTTAAGTCAGCATAAAAAAACTATCTACACACCTTTTCCAGTGGCGTTTCCGTTTTCTTCATCCTGTTAGAGAAACACAAAGGAGGTGTCAAAGAAGATGACCACAAGGGGGCGCTGCTTAGCCCACATTTACCGGGCTTGAGGGACTCCAGCTGACCTGGCCTTTTGGGACGTTTCCCAGCTGCCTGATTGGCTGCTTTACAATCTGAATGAATGTCTGTGTGTCTCTCTGTGACATACTGTTTCCATGTTAGTTTTACTGTCTGTGTGCGCATCAGTGTGCGTCTGTCTGTCTTTTGGCTGAGTCTATCCTCAGGCTTTGATGCTTCGCTGACTTGGCTCATTCCTGACCGGGACACACAAAGAGCGCTGCACAGTCTGCTGCTACACAACACTAACCTCTCCCCGGGCCAGAATTACATTAGCATACTGTCTACATTACTACTTTACACGTGTGAGTGCAGCATCAGTGTAGTGTAACAGGAAAAGTAGCCAGGGTGACTAAACAGGTCAAACGTAACACCTTGAAAGTGCACACATGTTCACAATCAGACTTGACTGATGAAAGCATACCTGGTGAAGAGGTGTTACGCTTTCTGAACATCTTCAGATTTAAACTCAGTGTGTTTAAAGGTGTTTTGTTTAAGAAGTCACTGTACTTAAAGAAATGTTTTAGAAACACGCAAAACAGACCATGCATGCTGTGTGAGTGGGACGTCCTGTTTTCTGCTCTATGTGGGGAACTTGGACTCAACGTACCTCCAAAGTGAATCAGTGTCCTTCACTTCCCTCATACTATTGCAATGGAAAAGCTACCAGTTGTTGAATCTACGTGACTATTTTCTAATTTTATAAGAAAGTTGTTATTATAATCTAAAAATTATCTTTAAATCAAAAGTACTAATTTTGTCTAAAAGCCTGGAAAAAGACAAGACAGTCTCTTTAATAGGTTTATACTTATGTTTACTCGGTTAAAAACTTATTTTGTATGAACTTATGGGCACATGAAGCTCATGCAGGCTGAGTATACAAGCAGTAACACTTCACAATAAGTATACAAATATTTTAGTGAATTTATGCTTAAAGCTATTATGAGGAGTTTTTTGACATCAGTGAAACAGATTGAAAATCATATTGACCCTTTTCATGATATCAAAAACCAAACAAAACCATCAGGGATAAGACTGACTATTACTGTTCAGTTATTTTTAGTGACTGAAACTGGTACGAAAGGGGAAGGTGTTAGATGAGCAGCTGAAGAGACAGTCTTGTTTTTCACATAAAATGATCATAATGAATTTTACATCTGACTGTCAAAAGTTGACAGGAAACAATCTTGCTCTTTTTTTTTTTTTTGTCAATAAACCCGACTTAAGCATGCAATGGTCGCATGGTCCACAAAGTTGATATAAACAAAAAGTTCCCCACAGGAACTTTAATTGACGTTGAGGTAATTGTTTGGTTCATGACTGGATTCATGTGGGATGAATCATTAATTCCTGTTTCCCATTATGTAATATTGATCAAGTTTCTATGACTACAGGTGATGAGCTGCTGGACATATGAGACATATGATCGTAAGTTCAGGAACAGGAATTAATGATGCATCCCTCATGTACTCAGACAGAAATTCATCATGAGTCATGCAACACTTCCACATCGATTGAGCACCAAAATATTTGTACCCTTACTGTAAAGCGTTACCATAGATACACATGCATCAAACATTAATGAAACTTCAAACTTTGAATTATTGTGTCTGTAGCTGGTAACCAACTAATGAGAGGGATACAACATAAGACCACGACATACAACGGTGGGGTCTTGACTCAACATGTCAACTTACTTGTCCTGGTTTTATTTGTATTTGTGTAAAAGGTGAAAAATAAGCTGACTGACACACTTTTCATCTGTTCATGACCATTTAAATTTAGTTCGTTTGGGAAAAGTGCCATATTTCTTTCTCCTTTAAGTGGAAACAGAATATTAGAAACTCTGGATGGAGTGAGATTTTTTTGACTCTACACATGATCACGACTTAATCGACGGATAAAATGTTAAAAATGAAGTTGTCCTCAATTCCATGATATGATAACTTTTAGCTTTTCTAGATTGAGCTGAATTTGTAATATAAAAACACTCCCCCCTCTTGGCTAAATGATAAAACACGGTATGGAATAAGCTGCGTCATATTTGGAGCTTTGTGAACTATTCCTAGCTCGGCTGGATTTGAAGTGCTGCAAAGGGAATAGTAACATTCTCTTTCTGACATAATCAGGTTAAAAGGATGCAGATTTTATTAGATTTGTCAGCTGCCCTGAACATCAGATTATTCCAAATGACTGAAATGAGTCATGGTAGACTAAAATACACATGTTCTGAGTGGAGAGCTCACCTTGAGGCTGTGGATCGAGGACTCTGGTGGGTAGACGATGAAGTGACGCAGAGTGAAGCCGAATCCCTGCGAGTTCTTCTGGATGAAAATGGTCCGTGGGCCCTGCCACGACACGCCCTCCACCTCACCCGACGACAGCGGCCGGCGTCTGATTTCATTGGATGCCACCATGCCATCTCTCCGCCCTTTAGCCTGTAAGAACGACACAAGGAGAAAATACTTAGCTCCATAATCCTTAGCTTTTCTCTTTCTCTAGTTTAAGAATGATCACAGGCTTACAGTTTTAACGTTAGTGGTAAGTCTCATTCCAGGAGCTTTTGTGCCTGTGACTGAGTATCCCCACAAACTTGAATTCATTTAAAGGAAGTGTGAGTGGGTGGATGTGGGCGTCGGAGTTCCATTCACACAGGACTCTGCCCAGATCCGACCAGGGCTATTCCACCTATGCCAGGAATTTCTCGGAGACTTCCTTTTTAAAAGAGGAAGCTCTATTTTCACGAGAACCTCACGTATAATCACATCGACTACCTCCACCCAACAATGGCACAGTTAAAAATATATGCCGTCTATTAATATCAGCCCTGGAACAACAGGAAATTATTAGGCCTCATAAACACAGATCTGGAAAATCAGATGAAACAATAGACAAAGAGGGTCCACGGCTTAAAAAAGGGAGTGATTGAAAACATCCACTGATACTTCAACAGGCTACATGAGGTGAAAATATTTATATACAAACACACGGTGGATCCTCAAACAATAAGCTCAGGTCAAGAGCTGGTTCACATGAGTTTTAACTTTCACTACCATTTACCATAGATGCTTTTTGTCCTTGAAGGCCACCGTTGTTTCACCAACAAGAGCAAAGGAGCATTTCAATCAAGAATCGGACTGCTAAATGCAGCAACATTTTCTCATTCTACACACTGTACCTTTAAAAGTCAATTTTTTGCAATTCAAAACAGTTTCTTAAAGACCCACTCCGATTAAAATCATGTTTTTCATGTTGTCTACATGTTCATATGGCATTTTTTTGATAATACAGGACATATCATGAGGAAAAATAAGTGTGAAATTGCATTTCTGAGTATGTCTGCATTCAAATCGCTGTAAATCTCTGGAAGACCCAAACGGCAGGCTCAGATTCAGTGAGATTTCCTATGTCACAAATCCAAGCTCCTCCCCAAACCCCCATTATTCAGGCCACAGTCAAAAAAGTAGAGAGGATGATCACAGAACAAGCGTGTGCGTTAATGGATTGCAATGCTCGTTAGAAAGCTAAAAATTATATTAACTTTCATCATGTCCCCAAAGACATTAGTGCCTGAGAGCTGAATAGATCCTATGTTACCTGCCACATCTACTACACCGGCAATGTTAAGCTGCAATCTAGCATGAAGAGAAGTGTGCAGAACAGCGCAGTCTCCGCCCACGACTCAGTGGTGAATTGCTAATGATCTACTGGAGCTCTGCAGCAGAAAAGCCCTTGAAAATGACAGGTAATGTAATTTTGGCTAAGAACTTCATAATCACAATTTCAAGACCACTGAGAACTAAGTATTAAAAAAACATCCGGAGTAGAACTTCAAGTCCAATTATTGATTCTGGCATCTCATCAGTGATTCTTTTCAGGAGTTCTAGTGTTGTTTTTGTCTGTTTCTTACATGTCTAGTATGTGTGAGCTATTTCTCCCCATAATGTTAAGTTATGTAATCAGTCACAACAGTCTGACCTGAGGACGTCCTTAGACATAAGACTTCTTCATAATGCAAAGTCGCCTGCAGTCAGTTTCCACCATTTTATTAACCACTGCAGTTGACTTCTTCGCGTTCGTGTCATGTTTGAGGTGATTCACACACTATTCAAGAACATTAACCAAGACCAGCTGTCCTCTTGTATCCAGCCTTGAAAAACCATGACCTTGATGATTGAAAGGCTGATCTGATGCACCTGCATGCTTAGCTCAGACCTTGAGTACTTTTGTTCTGTTCAACACAAAGTGCAAAGAATTTTAGGCATATTAAAGTAACCGCCTGGGAGTTTTTAAAGTGAAGCAGGAGTGGGACAAAAACAACCCATGGTTTAAAGAAGCAACGGGTCAATTTCTGAACTTTGCTGTAAACTCTGCTTTTTGAGTTTTGAAGTTGCTTGTACTTCAAATCTTTGCATGGGTGTGACCAAACTTTACCGCAAACCAGAAACTAACGACAGAATGTAAAAGAAAGGCAAAGGTTACACTCAAAAGGTCTTCAAAACAACCTCTAACCCTGGATCAAAACATACAACCAGGATACACACTGAAACAAAACCATCAACACTGTGAAACCCATTAACTGTACAGCACATAAACACGATTATAACACTGAAAAAACCACTGAACAGCCGACTCAGCCGGTCATGAAAACAACAGGAAGTCTGTTTCTTTGAGACAGGAAGTTTAGAGGCGTGATTTGGGGAAACCTTCGCCTCTAATAATAGTTCCAAGGAGAGTGAGGAAGAGACCCTTTCCACAGAGGGGAGCCAATCAGTTGAGATTGATTTTCCATTATATGTAAGAAGGATTTATTGTCTGTTATCAAAGCACGGACATGCTTTAAGTGCTCTGGGCTTATCAGTGAACAGACAGGCTGAGTTTAATGTAGCTGTTAAATGTACTGAGAGAATTAAATCATCAAATTAAAGTGTTTGTTGACTCTGAATCACAGACCGACTTAATAAACTTTTCCAAAGAGCCACTGTTTTCAGGGTTACATAAGACGTAATATCCTCACGCACAGAAAGAAACAACCTCTGAGGACTGCTGCCCACTGACATTTCTCTGTTTGTGTCTGTGGGTGAGTGTGTGTGTGTGTGGAGAGAGTCGTGTTGTGTACACCCTCAGCATGCATGAAGTCATCTCTTCTCTGCGTGTGTGTGTGTTTGTGTAAGGTAGTCGGACACGTTGTTGTGTTAGATTCCTCATCATGTGACATCTCTGCAGGTGACATTTCACACATGAGTGAGTGTAAACACAGAGGTGAGATGCTGTACATGTTTACCCGTCTCTCTCTCTCCCGCTCGCTCACTCACACACTCAATTTACTCACTCACACACACACACACACACATGCTGAAATGCCATCATGTCACAGAGTGTTTAACTGTCAGCACTCTCTTGCTAGATTAAAAAAGCAGTATACACTCTGTGTTTACTGCATGCTGGAGCTGAGAGGATCTTATAAAACTACACTACAAACCCTCCACAGCTCTGGTAATAATAACAACTACGATAAAGATAATAAGAAGAAGGTGACTCATGTTATTGTCACAGACAAAGTACATGAGGAAGGTCTCATTCACCAGTTTCCTCTACTTTGATCTGTTTTGTAGTTTTTTCTTAAAGGCCTAACTTATGGATACAAAAGCATAAGGCATATCAAAAAAGTTAAAGTGATGGTTCATGCAGGCAGACTGATTCAGAAGGACCTACATTTAAGAACAAGGATATCACAAGTTGGATTTGTGACATCATTAAGGCTCATTAAGGGTGTGAGAAAAAAAATCGATACAGCATAGTATTGTGATATTTTATCTGGTGATAAATCGTATCGTCTCATTTACCAAATATCATTTTTTCAAATCAAAATATGAAGTCAAATCTATGATAATGGAAAAATAAAATCAACTGTTTGTCCAGTGAAGTTGGCAGAGGTGACATCATAGAGCAGGAGAGAGTTAGTGCAACAAATATATTTTTAAGGTTTGCAAGATGTGCTACATGAACAGAAGATACAGCGTAAATTAGACAAGCATTAAGGAAAGCCAAATGCTAAATTAGATAAACAGTTGAAAAAAATTTATAAATTGCAATGTATTGTATCACAACACTGACTGATATCGTGGCCAAAGTATCGTGATAATATCATATCGGGGGTCCACTGGTGATTCCTACCCCTAGTGCTCATTAGCCTGGTGATTCCTGAAGTAAAGGTCAGGAGATACTGATGGTAAGGTTAAAAGCCTTTGTACGGGGCTTTTTTTTTTTTTTTTACAAAAAGCGATTTCAGTTGAAAGCAATAGAATTAATAAAACAAAATGGACATAGAGCAAGGTACACTGATGTTTAAACCTCTGAAATAAAATAATGTTTAATATCTGAAAAATGAAATTGTCTCTGTTAAAGACACTGTGAAGATTTTAAATGGTTACGGAACAGACTGACACTGATGCTGAAGTCTCATTATGACTAGCAACAAGGCTAAAATTTCACTGTTATAATTTTTTATGCAAGAAATAACAGGTATCATCCTGTCCACAGGGGGCGCCAAACCAGTATAAACCAACAGTTCCTCACAGCAGCTTTAAATAAAACATAACATGAGCGTGTTTGCAAATGAAGCATCCAGACATTAGTGCGCATACAGAATGCAGATCTACTGATCCGCTGCACTAGCCCTTCACTGGACCTTTACGCTCAGCTGATCACAGATACGCTTCTGATTGGTCAACAGACCAACACAGGAAGTCAAGCATAGACAGCTAACAATAGAAATAGCTCTAAGTCACTTTAAGTTATGCACATATGATCATAGATCATCTTTGTTCTCAAGGAATAAGATCCAGAGAGTCTCTGAAAGTAAACTGTTACTCTCTGTGGGATAGAAAAGCCCCTGGATGTTGCAGAAACACACTGAGTTTAACACTCAAAAATTGCCGACCTCACTAAGTGAGTGGATTTTACAGTGAGCTGCTACACTGTATTGTTGTATTTTATAACTGTTATTTCAAACACAACATAATTATGTCACATACAAGCTTCAACCCCAGTTAACCACTTAACCCTGAATACCAGACGTCTCGCTTCTTCAGATGTGGTTTGAGGAATAAAACTCTTCTTATAGTCTGGTCAATGTGGTGTACTCTAAATAAAACCACGATTGCTAACAAATAAAAGTCATTAGTTTTTTCTTTTTTTCTTTGTTGCCACCCTAACTGACCTCTGACCCTTGACCTTGTACTTGGCTAAGACAGATAAACAAAAGCATCTGTCTTATCCCTGCTGCAGTCTAAACATTAGATGAGCTGAATAGAGGAGTACAGAATTGGCGGCAGCAGGTGAAGATTTTTTTCCTTGAGGAAGCACCTATTGGAGTTACCTTTCCAATCTGCCACTCCCTGTGAAATTGTCCAAAACAAGGATGAAAATGTTTCACAGCTAGAAAGTTGAGGGGGCAGAGAGTATGTTTCATAAGAAGTTTAAACAGGAAAATACTGTAGCTAAAAGTGTCTGACCTGGACTCTGACACCAGTAAAAGTCAAGACACAGTGATGGAAGAAGTAAGGAATAATTCTAAGCCTTTAGCACAAAACATAACAGTGTTGAACTTTGTAATACTTGGTGCTAAAGGCTCTGCTTTTAGCATGCTCACTGGGTTAGCGAAGCAGCATGTACTCCACAAAAGTAAAACTAACTTCTAGAGCAGTGGTTCTCAACCTGTCAGGTGCATTAAGTGGTGTGAGGTTAAAATTGCACCCTTTTAAGTGTTTTAATTAAAGCCTAATAGGTGTTGTTGACAAGATTTCTTATATCTTTGCGTATTTTTCCCCCTTGATGAGTGTTTTTCAGCTCTTTCCGCTTTCACAAGAGTCCTTTCATGATCTTCGCTCTGATTTTGCAGCTCCTTCAGGACAACAACGACTTTTTGTCCTGACTCAAACATAGCTCGTCTCACTCAATTTTCTTGTTTTCCATTTTCTTTCCCCACACAAGTTATCTAATTTGTCTGATTCGGACTGAAGATTGAATCTGGGACTCTCTCTGTTGTGTAGTGAATTTACTTTGCTAGTCTGACATTTAGACTCCAGCAGAATGAGCTGAACCGAGAGAAAGAGTGACAGAATGCAAAAAGACATAAATCCACCCTGCATGCGCACATCACGTAACATAAACTGACAGAGACTTTGTGTGTTTACAAAAACAGCCACTCTACTACCATGCAAATACACAAAGAAGAGTGTCTGTTGAGGAGCAAGGTCTGATCTTCGACAGATCCTGGAACAGATGATATAAGAGCAACACTGCACACACCCACATACAGTATGCATGCATAAGATTTTATATAAAGCTACATGAGTCTGTGCATCGTGAGGGCATCAGCCTCATCTCTCATCCCCTCTTCCTCTCTAAGGCCCCCTCTCAGTGCCACATTACATAACAACTACATGAGGCAAAACACACACACACAGACACATGAATGAATCAAACCCCACGTGCTGAATATTGCAGACAATGACAGGCTGGTAATAACCACCCTGTTTGACTCCCTGACATTGACTGAAGTCACCCCTAAAGTTGAAACCAGGGACACAAACTTTGACTCCCAGGATGCAGACGTGGAGTTTGAAGAACAGAGCGGTCAATAACTACGTCTCACACTGACAGGAGAGGTTAAAGACAAACGGCGGAAGCAGCATCCCTGAGGACACACACCTGTCCACAGCTATCAGATCAGACAGGCGATGAGAACCCTTCAGAACCGCGACAGGCGTGTCTGTTTTTAGAGCTGCGGTTTGTGCAGGGATGCACCATGGGAAAATTCTAAAACTAGTCCCAGCGCTTGTCTGATCCCATACATCTCCAAAGACTTAAAATTAGAGGGGTAATAGGTATTATTACTTACACTAACAGTTTTAGCTGAAATAACTGCTCCATTATTCCATTATCCCATAAGTCCCTTTCACACATGCTCTGTGCACTCCTGGAAATTTCTCGGCATTATTCGAGTGGGCTTCATGTGCGAACACAAACAGCTCACTTTATCACTAAATAGTCAGCATTACTGAAGACTGCCCCTCCAACCTACTTCCCACCTAAACAAGAGCGCAAGATTCGTGAGACACTGATATACTCCTACTGTGGTGCATCTGCTAACTGAAAGTTCCAAAAACTGCATTCCTGAAGTTGTCTGGAAAATTTCAGGTCAGTGACAAAGGCTTATGTTTGCAAAGACAAATAAAAAAAGTGTCATATTAAGACTGTATCATTCAGCTGTGATGCCAGGAGAACAAACTGTGACACCTTTTGTGACTAAATTTCTCCACTACAATATGCAAGTACAATATGTTACAACACCAGATAATGTATCATATGATATGATAAAATACGCTACAATATGATGTCTTGTGATTTGATATGTAACTATACAATATGTTACAACACCAGATAATGTATCATATGATATGATAAAATATGTTACAATATGTTACGATGTGATGTCTTGTGATTTGATATGTAACTATACAATATACGTTACAATTTGCTATGTTATGATGTGATATGTTACGATATGATAAGTTACAATAATATATGGTATGATATACAGTATGTTATGATACAATATGTTACAACAAGTTATGGTATGAAATGTTAGGATGTTACGATAGTTTACAATATGGTTCGTTATAATACGACAATACATTACACCATATGATAAACCATGTAGTTGGATCTGTTTAAATACACGATTTGACTCAATACCATGTGATATATGACAAATGTTACTATATGATTCTCTATGATTTAATAATACTCTAGGATATGATATAAATTAATACAATATAATACCATATATAACAATACAAATAGGTACGACTCATCATGGTATGACCAGATTTGTTGGAGCACAATACACTTTATGGTCACCTTAGAGGAAAACCTGTCTTGGACTTCAGTAAGCAGATTTTCTACATTAATTTCATCATGTTCTCCATTTACAGTCAAACATACTAAAAGTTAAGAATATTTGCCACAGATAATGTTAATTATGGTTGTTTAGCAATGTGCTGTCGATCACTTTGGCATTTTTGTAATATAAGTGGTTTCAGACCTTGGAAATAACTCTTAAATTGTAATTAGTCTTCCTGTCAGTGATCTCATCTGCCTTGTAGATATTTATATTTTAAGCTCATCAGTGTTGATAGAGTAGATGTTCTTTAAAATGTCATACTTAATATTTGATTAGACTCAAAGCTTTAACAGGCGTCTCCTTGATAGTGTAAAAGAATTCATCCTCAAATATATTTGTATTATCTTAAAACACAAGGAAACTTAAAAATATATTTTGGGACATCTCTGATTGACACTTTTTTAAGATTGTAAATAACTTTTTCACAGCCCACTTGCAGTTTCTTGAAAGCCCACCAGGGAGTGCGGACCACTCTTTGGAGATCACTGGTCTTTAAGGAACTGTTCCTGCCTTACCCTCTAAGCTGATTTTAGTTTGAAGGAAGTTACATCTTATGGGAATAAATTACTTTAAAATAAATTCCTTTGTTTTGTTTGGTAATGCATTTGTAAAACCTCATGTGGAGAGATTGACCAATGGCAATTTGATTTAGTTTAGATTTCTCTTACTGGAAAAGTTCTTTAAGTTTCAACCCAAAAGAATAATTTCCCCCGCCTTACCCAGGACAGACGGTGTCGCTGTATGATCCTCCGAGATCCCCGTCTTCTTGGTGATGCGATAGGAGTTGGCCGGGGTGAGGCACAAGGTGAGATGCCCCTCAAAACTGCCAGCCAGATACAGCGAGGTTCGGCGTCACTACAGTCCACCCCGACAGAACACTGAAACCGCCACTCGTGGCCTGACGGAGCTGGAGCAACACCCGACACCCTCAGCATAGCACCAAAACATCCGGACACACATGAACCGTCTGTGTTGTGAACGGCACACCAACACAAACCATACAACGCTACTAACCCCAGGTCTATGATATCCGGTCACCTCTGCACGATCTCTGCCGGATGTGTCATGGCCAGAAGCAACAACTGATGGTGAATCAGTGGAAAACACACACAAAACTACAACTCAGGAAGCCCAAGCTGCCCTTTGGAGGCAGATCTCCAAATCTGCAATGCACTAATTTGGAATCCTCTGACCTTCCTTGGATCTGGCTTCATCATTCATTTGTATCTTCCTTTGGGCAGCTCATTAGGTCATGATTCATGAAGTTCTAAGCAACAGAGATCCAGTCCAAAGCAAAGGAAAGCATCCTATTTCTGACTGAATTGGGCTTCATTTGTCATATTTGGTTCAGTTTTCGACCATCTGTCTTCAAGCTAGTCCTCATTTTTGGTCCAAACTTCTGAGATTGTATATAACAGCAAATGTCAGCAAATCTTGACCTCTTCTTGCGAATGTTCCCTTTTCATTCAGTCCAGTTTTAAGTTTAAAATGAGAGACTCAGCTGCTTTAGTAGCATCCTTGTATCCTCATCATCACTCCCTGGGTTGTAGCATCAGATGCAGCCTCAGCCAGAAAGTCAAACTAGTCGTCTTCGAATTTTTCAGAGTAGAAAAGTCTCCGTGTCAGACAGGGTTCACTCATTTCTTTGATAGTTTCTGGTTGTAAATCCATCCTTGACTGATTGGAATCCTGTTCCTGGATCAGTTGGACTGAAGAGGAATTTTGTTGTCCGACCAGATTTTAAAGCTGGATTCAATCCCATGCTGCCGCTCACAGATCCAGCGAGTCCCCCTCCATGCTGGCACTACAGTGCAGCATTGGCGGTGGCTGACTATCTTTATTGCTGTCTAAGTATAGTCCTCCCTCCGCTCAACCCTACCCTCCCTCTCTCTCTCTCTCTATTCATTCTCTCTCTTTCTCCCTTGGGTCTATTTGCTGACATCCCTGCACCCCTCTCCCTCTCTTTCTCTCTCTCTCTCTTTCTCTCTCAGTCACATTCCTCTCATCCCTTTGCTGCACAGTCCAGCCGATTGGTAAAGCAGAAAGCAATGTTACCCTCTCTGCTCTCTTCCTCGGTGTTTGCTGGGTCTCCCTGTCTCCTCCTTTAAGACTCACTAACTGGTGGATGATGCTGCTGTTAGCATCAAAAGTACACCACCAAAACACCCACTGCTACATTCACCAGGCAAACATAAAAGTGGTCAAATTACTGTTTGTTCCCAGGTTTCAGCTTCAAAAATAAGTGGATTTTTCTCTTGCTTTTTTGACTTTACACAACAGATGTCATCTTGCGGTCTGGGAATCTCAGTTAAGCACTTTGCACAATGTTTCTGTCCAAAGTCAACATGAATACGACACAGGGACAAAAGTGTACTCAGATATGATGCCTCGGAGCAGAAAGCTGTCTTCAACTGAACATGAAACTGAACAAAACAAAAGGTCAGGTCAGGAGTTATTTATGAAGTTTTATCTTATTCCATCCTTTAGTCTATTTTTGTTTGATGTAGGTGCGTTCAGATAAAGATTTACTTTATTTTTCAATTTTTGATTTTTTCATGTCAATTCTCTTTTGTATGCAGGTGATGTTATTAAAGACCCACTCCGATGAAAATCCTGTTTTTCTTGTTGTCTACATGTTCATATGGCATTTTTCTGATACTACAGGACATATGAGAAAAATAAGTGCAAAACTGCATTTCTGAGTATTTCTGCATTCAAATCGCTGTGAATCTCTGGCAGACTCAAACGTCAGGTTCAGACACAGTGAGATTTTCTACATCACAACTCCAAGCTCCGCCCCCGGAGCCCTGCTATACAGGCCACACTTGGAGAAATAGAGAGGACAATCGCGGAAAGAGCGTGTGCACTAGCGGAATGCAATGCTCATAAGAAAGCTAACTATGATATTAACTTTCATCATGTCCCCAAAGACATTAGTGTCTGAGAGCTGAATAGCTCCTATGCTACCTGCCACTTCTACTACACCGCTAATGTTAGGCTGCAAGCTAACCCAAAGAGAAGTGTACAGAGCAGCGCTGTCTCTGCTCACAACTCAGAGGAGAATTGCCACTGAGCTACTGGAGCTCTGCTGAAGAAAAGCTCTTGCAAATGACACAGGTATTCTGATTTTGGCTAAAAACTTCATAATCACAATATAAAGACTACTGAGAACTCTTTAAGTAGTAAAACAAAAAAAAAGATCGGAGTGGGACTTTAACATGTTACCCATTTGCCAACCTTTTGTTATTTCAATCTCAGTAATAAAATCAATTACTTTTTTATTAGAGGTTGACTGATATTCATTTTTCTGGGCTTAAAACCAATATTGGTTATTGGCAGTTCATAAGACTGATAACTTGGAACCAACCTTGAAACTGTGGCGCCTGCATATGTGAACTGTGCGTGCACCTAAACCACTCGGCTAACTCAGCACCGTACACAATAGAAACCCTTTTAATAAATGTTTCATCTAAACTGAGACTTTCAAGACCATACACAGGAGTATACAGCTCACCAGTTGACTCACAGCAGAGTTATGTCACACGATCATGTGACTTCTGGCCAATCAGATAGAATTGAGGGTCGGTCATCAGGTGAGGCAGAGTGGAGAGTTCAAACAAACCCAGAGATATTCAGAGCTGAATATCTAACATATATGTTGTGTTTGATTGTGTGGTATTACATGACAGCTACATAATACCAAAAGAAGACATGTTAGACAGCAGTAGAAGACATTCAAAGACACTCTAAAGACAGAATAAAAGCTCGTGTGAGAGGAATGTTTGTTCCATAACTTTATCCGGAGATGACAGGAAAGGTGGAGGACACGGGATTTCACAGCCGCCTTAGTCAGATGAGGTAACTACTGACAGTTCGATCGACAAGTATCACAATCCTCACTTTCTGCAACCTGACCTCCTGAGGCGAGCTACATTAGACTGTAGTTATTGACACTGAGGGGAATATGGCTGTATCTGTTACACAAAAGTACAAGTTAATACTTGATCATTGTATTTGACAGAGTTGGCAGTTTATCCTTGGTGAGGTTGCAGAAAAATCTAAGACACCATGACAATAAAGTATCAAGTAAAGTGTGGTGTCTGCTTCAACTCAAAGATACTGGTTAAGGTGAGAGTGTGGTCTGGACTCAGCTCTCTTATAAACACACAGACGTGAGAGTGAGTAGTAGAGGCACTCTTTCGTGAAAATAATGCTGAGGTCCTTATGTAATCTTTATAATTGCCAGAGTCTGACAGCAGAGAATATTACAACCAAACTGTGGACTAGCAAAAACGTTTGTGCGTCTCGACCATGCATGCCAGACTTTGTATGTGTGTCTTTACTTGTGTGTGTGTGTGTGTGCTTCCAGCTCTGCACAGCACTTCTAGCTGTGCTGTCATCCCCTCAGCGCTCTTTTCATTGACACCTGAGAGCAGCTGAAACGACAGAAAGACAGTGAGAGAAAGGAAGAATGAAGCTGAAGAGGGAGAAGTAGGATGCAGAGATGCTAAAAGAGGCTGACGTCCGTGCAAACATCACCCAGCAGCCTCTGCATCCCTCCTCTCATATCCTCCTCCAGCCTTTTCTATCCTTTACTCTTTCTTATATCTACTTTATTCGTCTCCGTTTCTTTCCCTTAACCTTTCCTTTATTCTGTTATTGACATTATTGTGCAAAGCTCTCCTTTCCCCAAACAAATCTGTGCACTTGTGACACTGTTGTTCTTTTTCCTGACTGCGAGGAGGACTCGTAATCACGGAGGAGTAAGGCCAGAACAAAAATAACATAGTGTGATGAGTGACTCAGAGGAGAGTATGCATCTGTTCTGCCCTGATTCTTTATGCGTCGACACAGTGAGGACGGCGCAGGAGCTCAGGGCGAGAGTGAGGGTGAGCGACCACATGATGGCCGAGAGGAGGGAGGCTGCTCTGACTGTCTGACTCTCTGTTCACTTCAGCTGCACATATACAAAGCACCTAAGAACAAGCAAAATGTTGATACAGTTAGAAAACAATTCAAAGATTGTACTGGCCTAAAAAGTGATCGATGCTATCAGGAAAACACATTCCCCTAAAGAGAACTGTGTGTCTCTCTGTTTGTGAACTCACTCCTCCTTTGCCAGACAGAACTTCACCACTGTAGTAAAGTAAGTTGTAAACTCGTGACTGTTCTGCAGCCGAGGTCAAGTTATAAGTGCTAAAGTTTAGGGAAAACGAGGCGCATTCGAGAGGGCAAGAGAGCGAGTGAAATGAAGAACTGAGACGAGGGTGAGGTAAATAAAGAGCTGTCAGAGAGGATCAAAGTCTGAGAGGAGGAAACACAGACAGTGAGAAAGAGGAACGACTGAACCAGACAGCACGTAAGATTAAAGAGAGGAGCAGATAGAGAGAGAGAGAAGCCCTGTAAGACAGAGAGGGAAGGCAAATCATGTCAGACAAACTGGAGCAAGAACTGCGGTATTCAATGTCCAGTTAATCAAAGCTTGGCCACTAGGGGGCGAAAGGACAGTGAATAAACAGAGGAGTTTGCTGGTCATATGAACTGTGGATGTGGTCTTGATGTGTACTTCTGGTTTATAAAGAGAGGTTTTGAGGCCCTCAGAGGACAGTCACCTGACAGATCCTTACAGCTTTAGTAAACAGTGCGGAGGACAGGATAGAGAAATGTTTTATTTGATCAGGAATAATTTTATTCTCGTAAGAAAATAACTTAATTATATCTCTTATAAGAAAATGATCAAAAACTTTTTAAAAACCTTAAAGATTTTTTTTTTCGTGAATGTGGCTCTAAGACTCCTGCATAGTTATTGAATCTAATGGGGATTAATTCGCTCTAGAAGAGAGCCTCCAGTGGACATTTAAGGAACTGCAGCTCTGCATTTCTGATTCTGATCTCCACTTTGAGCATTAGCTTCATGTTTAGCCTTATGCTAATGTGTGTGACCAAGCGCAAAGAAGAGGATGGACCACACAGCAGCTGTCTAAAAGCGAAGCAATATTAATCAGAGCTCCCCCTACTGGCAGGCTACGGTATAGGTCATACATCCCTAGTACAGGTTTTTCTCAAACATAATTTCTGTTATTTGTTCAAGAGTAACTTTTCTAACAAATTATAATTAGTTATTTAATTTTAAAAAAGATGGGCTGTGACAACATGACTGACAGCTTGTTTAAAATACATGTAAAGCACAGGATAAGAAAAAAAAACATGTTTATGACACACATCTGACATTGAAATGTAAGGAATTAATGCTGTTTGAGTCCAGTTTGTATTTTTCACCCCAACCAGAGTGAAAAGTGTCACGTACTTCAAACTCAGCTGTGTACAGCAGTGTCATGTTAAATCATATTCACTCTCTTTCACTTGAAGAAAGCTCGTGTGCATTTAAACTGACAACAGTTAGAGAGAGAGGGACAAAGAGAGACGGGCTGAATAGAGGGATAAAGAGGTGATGACAGCACTAAACTCACTCACACAGCAGCAGAGGACGCACAAAAGAGACACTGCAGACTCATAACAATACCACACGTGGATGGATCAGAGATGTGAGCACACACACAGACCCACACTCCGACCGTGGGTTAGGATGTCTAATGAACACTAAAAACAAAACTACAAAGAATTACCAAGAGCTAAACCAGGTCTCATGATCAAACAATCAGAGTTTCTATCATTGAAACTTCTTCCCTGATAAAAACACACACAGTTTATCTGGAAATACTTCAGATTTATGCAGACTTACTTATTAATACATGACCAGATAAAGAGTCTCTGCAGCTGTAGACAGGGTTTGATGAGGCAGAGACTGAGAAAGGCAGACAGGTAAGAGACTGCAAAAATAGTCTATTAAAATAGTCATTAAGTACTGTGTTATGTAAGTCGTTCAATTCATAATTTCTCCAGCAGTGAGGGAGAAAAAAGCAGAAGGAAATGAAGCAGCAACATCTCATACTCCAGAAAAAGGAAAGAAAAGCTTTACCGCTCAGTTACCAGTTTGAGTAGTAAACCCTTACACTTCTTATGAAAAGCTGGCCTCTTATTGTTAAATTTTCACATTTAAATCTATAATATGTACAAATTATGTAATTTTCTCATCAAATATTCAGGTTATCATTGGCTTAAATCCTTTTGCCTTAGATTAAATACTTAAGATATAACCATGAGCAAATAAAGAACAATGAATGACATGTCTTGTGCATAACATCCGGTGGATATAAAAGCTTGTTATAGCACTTTTTTAACCTGTGTTGTGTGTTACTGCACAGGAGAGTTGGTGACTCAAGTTGAAGTATTCGAAATTGTTGTCACTTATTGGACACTTTAAGAATAAGTTAACAATTTCAAGGAAATACTCAATCTGGATGATCACAAGCTGTAAAATGTATTATTCTACTTTATAATCTTGCTTATTTTTCCATTTTTACTCTAGCTCTCATTTTTTCTCTGTCTAGTGTTTGTGTCAGTGTGTTTCTTTCTTTGTCAAATTTGTTCTGATCACTTTTAGAGTTGGCTCTCAATATTTTTGCTCCACTGGGACAGACGGATGAGTATTTTCCTCTGGAACTTAGAGCAGTGCCATAACATTACTTTGTTTTACTTGGTCTTTGAACCTGCATGTAGGTGCTGCAAAGACTGCTTCTCTGTGTATTATTATCAGACTACTTCCATCTACAGACTACATCTACTACAGCTGTGCAGCTTCATAACTTAGGCCTCTATTTTGTATTGGTTAAATATTCATGTTTATCCAATATTCTGCATGTGTAATACATCAGATTTTGAACAAGCTTTATATAAAATTGCTCAAATCATTTACTGATTTGTTTAATTTTCAATTAGCAATGTCTTGTACATGTCTGTCTGTCTATTTAATCACCCCCCTGTCTGTCTATACCTTAATATTTTTTTCCTAACCATAATTCTGTTAAAAGATAAATTAAACAAGTTAAAAGGACCAAAATCCTAATATTGCATATTACTATTATTTCCATCACATATTTAAAATCAGATCCCCACACTGCAGATTTGTAGAGGGATCAAAAAATGGTCTACTGATTCCAGTACACCACCACAAGGGGGCAGCACTGCATCACAAACAGACACTCTTGGCTTGGTTCAATCTGCATACAGAAGAATCTCATTTATCCAAAATATCATGTACAAAATATCCAAAATAATCAGTCTGTGGAGTTTTTTATTGCTTTGTTTCTTTTTTTTTCTCAGGGGCTGAATCTCACTCTGGTCGCAACATATCAAATAATTTACAGTATTACATGTGTTTTCATTTTGTACCAGTTTAAATATTTCAAAGATACTCTCCTATAATCTATGAGCATCTACTGGTGAAACTCATTAAATAAAACACCTCCAATGACTCCTTTTAGTATGACTACAGTAACACATGCAGCAGCTGCCCTGATGTACAGTACGTGTGTATAGTATTGTAGGCTTGTGTGTTAATGTGTTAACAGGAGTAAAATGAGGTCAGATTAGAAACATGAATATGTAAAAATGAGGACACGTTCACTTGTTATATCTCTCATGAAGGCAGAGAAAATAATTGACCTATTTTTAGTCAACTGTGAAACTGAAGCTAAAAATAACTACAAGTCCTTTTTTATGTGTTTCTCTAACAAATCTGCTCCTGGATGACCGCTATCTAAACCCGGATGAACTAAATAAGAGTATTTGTCTTCTCAGGCACAAAATAAACCGACTTTATTATCATTAAATGACAGAGATTTATGTTTGGTATCCACTGACTCATCAATATTACATTTTATTCTTTTAAATGCAGAAATTTAACAACACAAGCCTCCTTGTTTTCTGTAAGCCCAAGATTTTTTAAGTATGGAGCTGTGGTGTGTTCATCATTCCTATCCTCTCAATATTTGAGGCCTCATGCAATTTAACTATTTTGAATATTATTTGAACTTCATTAGCATCATGTGTTACATCTATTTACACTTTTGTAATCATTATAGCCCTCCTTCCTGTGCTTATAATCCTCATTCCTTTGAACTGCATGTAAACTTCATGTAAAGCAAACTAACTTTGGAGCTCTTTTTGTTCTACTCATATCTTTGGACCGTTAACTTGAAGCAGTCTGACTCAAACTAAAATCAACTTTAGGATCAGCTAAGTTCAGTTGTATCTTTTCCTATCTTATCTGAAGAACCATGATACTTCTGATGCTACCCACCCATACTTTTTTTTTTTATCACATGCCTTACAGATCTCACTAACAGCATTTTTAAAAGACTTTAATACCCTAAATAGGAAAGTGAAAGTGGTATAGCAGCTGTTAATTTCGCACTGCAAACTATCCAAACTAGGGAATAAAGTAAAGCAGTAAGTTGTGTAAAGAAGTGGTTCCCAGATGCCTACTAAAATAATATAACTTTTTTCAATTCAATATTCCATATTTTATCCATTATTTCAAGAATATACAAAAAATTATAAGGTCAATTCAAAAGAAAACCATGCAAATTATGATCATAAATGCATCTGTAGTTTTCTGTTTCTCTTCGCAACTCATGACCCATGAGGTGATCATAAAAGCATCAGTTTCAGCAGCACAGGGAACACAGCCACATGTGCACATGATACTTAATGTACTGCAAACCAGTTGGAGTAAGTATTTTAAGCTGATGTCAATATGAAACTCACAGATGCACACAAACTCACCGGCGCATCTGCAAATTAAATATATGGTTTTCACTCAGTGCTGTATTCCACTTTTAGCCTTTTTGAATAGATCACAAGAAAACTACTAAAACACTTAGTACAAGTTTGTTTTAAAGAGAGAGCTGAACTCAAATGTGTGCAAAATCCTACAACAACTTCTCAAAATTTTGGGGATGGGCCACATGTGTGAACACAGACAGACAAAATTTCCAGCAAGCTCCCTGAAAAAAATCCACCTTGAGGTCAGAGTGAGCTGATGTGAGAACACAGCAGTAAATATTCAGGAACATTCACCATGGAGACAGTGAGGATAATCCATCTGTTCTTTACAGCATTATGTTAACATAGCGTTGATATACATGGAAAAAGTGTATTAATGTAGATCCTCGTCTGCTTTGTGGGAAACATGACACTGTGGCTTTAACAGGCTGGTTTGGATGTCATTTCCTGCCTCCTGAGACACTGCGACTGACAGATGAGTTACTATCTCATTCAAATTAAAAACACAAACAACACTCAGGTTTTGATGACCCAACTTGACTAGCGGTCAACTCTGTAAACAGATATTCAGATGTTCTTTATTGCTGGACCCTGAGGACAGACCTGCTCGGAGTTCAGCTTGGTCCAGTCCGCCTCCTGGGGACACTGTGTCTTCCCTAAGAACTTGTACTGACCACAGTCCAGCCCAGGCTGATATATAAGACTATTGTTCTCAATCACACAGTGGCTCTGTGTGTCTGAAGAGACATTGCACAAACAGTTTGGGTGTTTGTGTTTTAGAGAAAGCAGCAGCAGCAGCAGCTCTAAGCGAAGCGAGAGGAAGGAAGCAGAACCACTGACAGACACATTCATAACAAGACTTCAGTGACACCGTTGTTCTTTCACGTAAATCACTTTGACACAGAACGCTGTTGGCTGGCATACAGAATTTCTTTAATGGACTTAATCAGGCGTGTTGATGTTTGTTGTGACCTTCTATGTCTAATTTTTATATTTACAAGTCTCAAGACATTTGTAAAGTTCAAGTCCTTTACTGTCACATCCTCTGTGAGGGCATAGATATGAATAATAGAAAAGACATGACCCTTTGAGCTGTGTGCCTACGGTGAGGATAAACTAGTGGAGGCAACATTCCCATTAAAATCAATGCATGTGCAATGAGAAGAAGTCATATCTTACTCATTTCTCGACCAATTTTCGTGCAGTTCACTTTATTGTCAACGCTTAAATGTGCTATTTATACAGAGCATTTTAAATAAAAAAAAATATATATATGTTCTGTATTAATAGCACGTTTTGATGTTGTAAATAAAGTAAACCTCATAAAAATTGGTTGAGAAATGAGCAAGATATGATTTATTTTCCATGTACATCTAATGCCTTTAATGGCGATGTTGCCCCCACTAAGATGGCGCACCACTTAGCGGGCTGCTACAGCGTGCTGGCGAATCTGGTCTTCTTTATCTGTGTGTGGGGGACTTCAAGAAACGCATAATAACAAGTCATTCTCTGATTTTTCTCCTCACTGTCTCCGTCTCTCGCTCGCTCTACTTTATCTCTACCTTGACAAATCACAGCTTATTTTGAACAAGACCTAAAATAACATACCCTAAGTTCATACAAAAACATTGTGACACTAAAATTACACACAGTCGTATAATATCTGTGCAACTCTTAAATGATCGTTGTTAAAGTAGCTGGTTGTACAGATACTCTGGCCACCCCTATCTATGTAAGAGCTCCAGCAGTGCCACCCCAGTCAAAAAGTCTGGACACACCCCTGCACAGAAGCACAGTGGAAACAGTCAGACCTGAGTGCTGTCAGACTGTCAAGTTTTCTCAACAAAAGCAAATAATTCGCCTTGAGGCATTTTTAAAATCAAGCTACATGATTTATTTGAGAAATCCTGTCAGTCTTGCAAACAGCTCGACAGAGGCTGAGCATTGACAAGAGACAAAAACCAGAGCTCCAGATGTCTGTTGTCAAACTGCATACAGACAGACAGGTTGTGTCTGAAATATGGTGTTAACAATACGGCAGGACAGCGGATCCAAGAGATGACAAAAAGCTGCGTTCACAAAGATAAACTGGCGTTTCAAAGTGGTGAATTCGAACACCTGCTCTGTGATCTTTTCACTCTGTCGAGGATAGTCATCCTTCCTCTTAAAGTCTCGAGTTTGTTGTTTCAGCACAGCAGCCTTTCCTCTGCTGCTTTAGTGAACCCACAGGATTCATGTCATGTTTAGTTTTTGGATCCCACATCCAACTGGTCGTGCAGCAGCTACTCCTACCGCCTTGTGGAACGATCATATTCCTTTCATTACATCAATCTATGAAGGGCTGATGTTTGCCTGATATTATAAATGAGCTAAAATGTCGGTCGGGCTTTTAACACCACAAGGGGAAACAACAAAGATGATTGGCAAGGGAATAGAAATATAGGCAAAAACACCGTTGCAGACAACCACAGCTGCCTGTGAAGACTAGACCAGAGTCCACTGAGACAAAGGTCAAAGGTCACTGAAGAGGAGAAAGATCAAGGAGGACACCAGAGACACAGCAGACATCTCAATCTCTGTTTGACTCTTGAACAGCTCTACAGCACAGCTGAACTGTGTGTCTTTGTGCTTTTGTCCTATTTTATTTGACTAATAAAGACATCATAACAACTTATATAAACCCACATTCATGCCTGCAAGCACAAAGATGAACAAATTGATCCTGTTGTGATCAGATTCCTGTTGGCACAGCGATCGTTTCTGGAGCTATTTCACTCCCCTTGTTTTGAATCGGGTTAGCTGCTTTAGCTGCTCTGCCTTCCATTGACCTGGCAAGTTTGACAAGCACTCAGTCTATTTTGGGATCCGTGTTTTGCTCTGAAACATGTGGGAATGATGAAATCGGGGGGTTAGCAGACGGGGCTTCTGTCTTTCATGTTGCTCATCCAAGAGGCAAACGCCTTCAGCAGAAACACAGCTTCTCTCTGCATGAAGCTTCATCACAGAATTCCACCCAACACAGCAGATATGTTTGCGATTTCACAATAATGGGCTTTTCTATTATATGAGAAAGATTGTGATGCTATTTAATTAATTATCAGTGTGTCATAATTACAGACTATTACACTGATTCAGTTGTTTTGCCCTCATTCCCACATCCTCTTTCTACAGGGGGGCTGAAGTCTGGTTAATATCCAGTTCAGAGAATTTGCACAGTTTCACTTTGAAGCAGCGCCTCAGGATAATGACCACACAAGTTCAGGGGCACAATATAGAGCAGTGGTTCTCAAGTCTAGTCCTCGAGGCCAACTATCCTGCATGTTTTGGATGTTTTCCTGCTCCAACACACCTGATTCAAATAATCAGCTCGTTATCAAGCTCTGTAATGGCTTAATAACGAGCTGATCATTTGAATCAGGTGTGTTGGAGCAGGGAAACATCCAAAACATGCAGGACAGTGGGCCTCGAGGACTGGACTTGAGAACCACTGCTATAGAGTATCTTGTCCGTATTCATATGAACCAATATCAAATAAACTCCAAACAACACACATCACAGATATATCAGACACAGTCATGATGGCTTTAGACAGGAAGTGTGTTGGCTGCAGGACAGTCTGAAACAGATTGGAAAGAGGGTCAAGGGAGAAAAAATAGAACACTGAAAAAAAAAAAAATCAACATTATTTTCTGATTGTTTCACAGTGGTTACACTTTCAAGACCTTATAAACACTTCCACACCTCCACACAAAAATGCAGGAGGGTGTCTGATCTGGTTTGTATGTGTTAGGGCCCAACCCATTTATCGGGGAGCCAATTAAATTGGCCAATTTTAGCCCGTTTCAGACTAATCGGCAATTGGCCAAAACTCGCAGATTTTCTCCGATATCTTCAGAAATAAAATGTGGAGAATAAGATTCGGTTTTACTTCAAAAATGTTCCGCCATTTGAAAAGTTCCCCGACTTTTCCTGTAGATGGCACAGCGACCTTATGACAATCTTCATCCACTAACTATCTCACAGCACAGCAGAGTGACAGATCTGAAGCAGGCAGCTCAGGGACGCACGGAGGAGAGTGGTCCGCCTTAACGGTAAATAAACCAGTTTGTGAAATACACAATAAGTCAGCAAGTTTCAGTTTAACCCACTTCACGATGTTCCCTGCTGTGCTGGCCTCGGTCACGCCAAGTTAACGGTGAAGCACCATGTAATATGCAAACTAAAGTTAGAGTTAGCCATCCGCTATTAGCCTTGCTACACTGTTAGCCGTGCCAGTAACGGTAGAATGAACAACAGTACACATTACGTGATCAAGCTACTTCTCTTACTGAGGCAGCTGCATGTCTCCAGATGAGACCGGACCGGAAATGTGTAACGTGAGTTAAGACGAGGCATCGATCAGTTTTCTGGTCCGAGTTTGATCAGTCGTTCTTCCTGTCCGCATGAACAGCAGTAGCCTACAGTATATCTACAGTATATAGTATACTGTATATGTATTTTTTAGAACATCATAAAAAAATTTAAAAATCGGCGGATTAATCGTAATCAGATTTTTTCCCCCCTAATAATCGGTATCAGCCCCAAAAAATCCATATCAGTCGGGCCCTAGTATGTGTACTATTCACATTGTTACTCTGTGGTAATAAATGCGTCACGCATAATACCTGTTTTCCCACACTTAGACATTCAGGTCTGCTACAAATCTTCTCCCTGCGATGCATGAATAACCCTGTTACCTCAGCTTTAACAAACCTGCATCATTATATTCTTAGTGAGGCCTCGGGGCTGCATGGTGATACCTGATCTTGATAGCAAAGCACAGCAGCTGGGAGCCCAGATGGGACCAGACCTCCCCCCCAGTGAGATCCAGCTGGAGCTCTCTGGATTGGTGGGGAAAATGGGGGGTATGTGTATAGATATCCACGCCCTCGTACAGACACACAAGCCTGACAGCAGCTGTAATTGACTGCACCTGATACCTCCTGAGCACTGCAGCCCTCTTTTCACTCTTTCTGCCTTAAACTGGAGCGAAGGGAGTTCACAAGGACAACGATTTCTGACCTCAAGACAGAAGCTTAAATCAGAGTCAAGATAACAGGGCTAGTGGGGGGCAACAAAACTGTCTGTTCACCTCATGAAAACTTGTGCTTCTCGAAACCAGTAAAGCAATTAGGATCATTTTCGGAAAGTTTCAACACAACAAATCTCTCAAGCCACCCCAAAAAGTCATCATCACAACAAAGATGTATTAAACAAAAAGCAGCAGCAGTATCTACCGCTATTATTAGCAAAACAAAACAAAAAGTTTTTCAATTCATTACAAAATTTGAGTGTTTCCAGCACTTGAAGACCAAGCCTTTTCTGAAGTAACAGACACATTCACAGTCTGATCCACTACAACATTAGTGACACAAGCTTGACCAGAGACATCTGGACCTAGGAGTCCAGTGAGTATCCCTAGTTAGACAGCCCAGAGTTTGGAGTAAGACTTTAAAGTGATAAAGATATTAGATCTTAAAGGGGCGCACTGGTTCACCATAAAAACAAACACTAAAAAAGAAAGATATTCCGGCATAAATTTAATTTCGGGTCAAACACACCGGACCACCGAGTTAGACACCCCCTCAAGAGATGAATGTTGCCGATCGCTTGCTTCTCTAGTTATACCAACTTTAGTAACGACCGAACAATAGCAATACACAGCGGTCTATGTCTCCACGCGCAAACCTCAACTACCTCAACCACCTACGTTGGAGACATGACTCTACCCCATCCAGTCCATAACAAAGAGGCAAAGACAGGTGAGGAGATGGACAATGGTTCAAAAGTTGTCGCAGCTGGAGTGGCGGTTGAAGTTGACAAAGTTAATGTGGGAGGGTTTAAGCAGCTTGTGGAGTAGTTATCGTCCATTTATCGTTATCGAGGTGAACTGCCCAATATATCATAATTTTGATTTGAGGCCATGTCACCCAGCCCTAGTACAGCTCCCCTGTATATAAAAAGATTTGGCATATCTGATATTTTAACATTAAGCTGATTCATTTCAGTTCATTCATCTCTTTCTCTTCTCTTCAGCTCTAAATGAACATGTCTTTCAGCTGCACTTCTTTCCTTTCTTCTGCTCTCTTTCTCAGACCCATATCATTCCTCTCCTGCAGTGTAATCAGCCACACTCTTTCATTGACACATTCCTGAACAGCCCACCTGTTGAAGCAGAATAGTCCAGTGTGTGCAGTCCCTCCGCCCCCTCACTCGTCACACACACACGTACACCTTTCCTCTGTGGGTTTATGTGGGAACCATGAGCACTAAACGAGGTCGTACTGGCCTCATGTCCGACCTCTCAACCTTGACCCACACAGCATCTACCCACATCATTCCTCTTTTTCTCACACACACACACATATATTCGGACACACAAACATGTAGTACACACACAGCTTAACAGAGCTTCATTGTCAAACATTTCACAGCAAGTCTCAGCCCGTCCGACCCCCCCTCAAACACACAAACACACACTAACAACCACCAAACACCCCCTCCTCCTTTCTGCCATACACTACAAAGCCGAGTATCCAAGTCTGAGAACAACACAACACAATGACTGCCCCTCATCTGCAGCAGGCAGCCCTGACATACACACACACACATACACACTCCCCCTGTTTATTGTGAAGGGGGGTTAGTTTGTGTAAGTACAGGGATACTTCATTATCATGACAGGGCAGAGTCACTCAGCTTTATTGCTTTTACAGGATTTATTTCTCCTGATTGTGCTGAACTTCTTTCTCTGGAGGATATTTTCATCACATTATTACACGGCTCTGAAAGCTCAAAATTGAGCGTGCACCAAGCAACAAAACTATAGGGAAATCTGCTCTGACAACGCCAACCACGCAGCCAGTGTCTTTTCCCAAACTTGGTGCTGTCTGTTCACTTCATGTGCTCACTCTGAGGAGGACTGTGAGCGGTAAGTAAGAGGCAGTAAGGGAGTGAATGCCACAGTCTGTGACAAAAAGTTCACATTAGGACCTGAAACATGCTGTCACCAGTTTCTCATTTTCCACAACTGATCTGTGATAAAAGTCCGAATGTTGAATGCAGCTCTGTACATGAGCACAGAGAACTGAGTGCTGCTCATGTAGTCTGTATCAGTGTGTCAAAGGACTGTAAAAACATGCAAGTAACACTGCTACCTTGACAACAAACACAAGTTTTTGTTCGATTAAAAGTTACTACCAAGAGGCTTGTGGCACAGACCAAAAATAAATTGAAACCTTGTTATAAATTATTGAAGATATTCAAGTAGGGCTGGGCAATAAACTGAAAATATACCGATACCGAAAACTTACGACAATAACCGACATCATTTTGCCCATCTCGGTATACTCGGTGTCAAATACATAAATAAATAAAAGTTGGTTTTGGATGTGTCTAGGTAGGCTTTGGTCTCATGTCCCTTAAAAATGTCCTATGTCGGAGACGTGACTCCACCCCATCCAGTCCATAACAAAGAGGGAAAGACGGGTGAGGAGATGGAGGACGGTTCAAAAGTTGTAGCAGCTGGAGCGGTGGCTGAAGTCGATGTGGGAGGGAGTGAGCTGCTTGTGGAGTAGTTATCGTCCATTTATCGTAATCAAGGTGAACTGCCCAATATATCATCATACTGATTTGACGCCATATTGCCCAGCCCTACATTCAAGTACGTCCACTGTGTTTATTTGTAAATATGAAGAAACGTGTCCCTCCTCCTGTTCTCTCTACCCCTCTTGTCTCCTTGTTTTTCTATGTAGAGGCTGTCAGAGTCACTGACTGAGGGCTGAACACAGCCTTAAAGATAAGTCTTGTAGATCCAAATAATAAAAAGTTCAGCTGTATTATTGACATTTCTGATTGCTGTTAGAGTCACTGTCTGAGGGCCGAACACAGCCTTAAATATAAGTCTTATGGATCCAAATCAAAAAAAGTTCAACTGAATTATTGACACTTCTTATTGCCTATTATTACATAAAATTAAACTGCATTTATCTGGTCAAAGGTCTTTTGTCTTTCCTAATATCAATTTATCTTGCAGGAAGGAATACATATTGCATTATTAGTTTTTCCTACTACCATAGAGCCCTAATACCATGAGTGATCAAAACCTAAAGGGGTCATCATCAGGGACAACCTGATCAGACACTTGAAACCAAAGCAGTCTGGGAAAAAGGAGTCTGGCACATTTCACCTCTACCTGCTGACAGTTTAGCAGAAACGTTGATGATTATAAAGCACTCTGGTATGAAAATATAGGATATCCATGAGCGACACTCAGTTAATGTTACAGCTGTAGGTTTAGCATTTCTTCAGTGCTCTAATCCAGGCTTTTCCACAATCAAAGTAACAATAACAGTCCTGATGTATTATTTCTGTATCAGAGTTTTAATTTAGTATCAGATTCTCTTTATAGTCAAAAAACTGTAGAAAGATGAACAACATCAAAGCTCCCCCTGCTGACAGGATCTAGTAAAGGTCATAAAGCTCGCCTCCTCCATGTTAACAGATAGATTATGGGTCAGACTATGAAATCAAAATCTAGGCCAAAGAAACTTGCCAGTTTGCATAGTGGTAAAAGTGTACACTCCATGTACAGAGGCGATAATTCTCGGTGCAGCAGTTGTTGGCTCGACCCCCAGCTATGACCCTTTCCTGCATGTCAACCCCCACTCTATGTTCCCCACATTTCCCATCTCTCTTTACCCGTCTTATCTAACGAAAATACCCCCAAAAAATTTACTTTTAAAAAATCATGATGTCTGTTAAGAGGTAACTTCTCTTTGAACTTTTCTATTGACTTTTAACCAGTTCTTTGATACTTTAAAGTAAGGCATTATACCATTATTGACAGGTTGGGGTAAGAGGGGTTGAGCAGACTGCACAATATTTTCAGCTCTGCACTGCTATTACTGCTGTCAATATGTAGTATTGTATTTTTGCACATCAATCAGAATAGTCTAATTCACATTCATTGATAAAAAAGGATTCATTGCTGCAACATAATCACTGTCAATTTGGTGAATGAGTCTGATTCAGTTTCAGGGTGCGGCAAGATAATACAAAATGGAAACAAGGACATAAATCACAGTTTGATTGAACTTTTAAGTATGGGTATGTAACCAAACCCAGCCATCAGTGCGCATCAGCAAACTGCATTAACTCTCACAGCTCTAATGCAACTGCTACTGCAATCAATAAAATGATCTCATCCCCTTTTTCCATTATAACCTTGCTGAATCATGTGAGTGCTGTTTTATAGAGCTATTTAGGCTACATGCATCATGAAGGCAGATACATACAGTACGCCTGCTGCATCTTAACTACCTCTATCTGTTATAAGGACGGCTCCTATCCTCTCGAAAGGCCAGAAGCATTTTCACAAACAATAAATCAGAGATCAATCGAGGGGAAGAGCCCCGCGGGCCGACATTACTGCTGCATAATGAGAGGACTGGATAAATGCACATGGAAGCAAGAAAAGAGTCCGGTGAGAGGCTGCTGGATCCACACTTGATGCATAATTAAACCAAGTCTTTAGAAAACAAATATGCCTTTAACATCCCGCTGTGACAGCAGGGTGCTGCTGTTTCTTCAGCGTGAAGAAGAAGAGTGAAACCAGCTCAGAGTGATTACCCTGCACTGCACCGCCTGAGCTAAGGGCAACATTTGGCAGTCTGATACAGGACTTATAAGGAGAGGGGAGCCTGCTCCACTGAACACACAGAATCTGATGGAGGGGGGTGCTTAGATACCACACACATGTTTGGAAATATCAAAGACGGATGACTCCTTTCTACTGTAACATACTCTACTCACATGCAGGTTTGTGAAAAGGCTGAAATTTTCAAATATTTGTCCTAAAGTGAATAGCTCAGACACTGCCAAGAGTTCTGATGCAGCTTGTGATTGCAGGCAGGGGCAAAATTAGGATTCGTTTTGTGGCCGGTGTTCTATGGTTTGTTGGCTTCCATGAGTAAACTTGTGTTAGCATCGATTCCAAAGTCAGAATGACAGCAGAGTGACTCAGTAAACGAGATATCACAATGTGAGACAAACCTCTTCTTTGAACACTGTGACACCAAAGAGTCAATCCAGATACTGATGGTATTGCACAGTACTTGATGAATAATGAAACTACACTCAAAATAATTACATTCAGCTTTAGGGATGCATCAATGTACCCGGTGATCATCAGTAAAGGTTGATATTTTGCCTCATTGGTACATCAGTCCATTGGTCAGTAGTGTGCCACATACACGAGTAGCTAATATTTAACTGTTACTTCTAGCAAGCAGCAAAATGCAGTTTTAAGACGTATTTCAGTCACATTTAAGAGAGACATTTTAAAAAGAGAATTACAGTGCAAAACACATTTTGTCAGTGCTAGTCCTGATGTTTGCATTCATGCATCTCAATTAACTTGCATGAGTTGTAAAGACTGAATTCTATAAAGTCCATGAATATCTCCTATTCTGTCTCACTGATTTCTACATGCAAAATTTAACCCCCTTAAATAAGAAAATGACTCCTTTCAATAACTTCCTTTCCAAGTGCCTTATAAGTGTTTAAAAACTTTAGACTACTCTAATTTCTATCTCCTTGACATCAGTCACTCGGTCTAACATAAAGTTGCCTCTAGCTGTAGTCATGACGCTTGAAAATTCCCAGAAACTTTTCAGGGTGAGTTGTATGTATAAATGCAAACAGACAGATTTTTCTATCCTTGCTTTGCACAGACTTTTTCCTGCCAGCCCCCTGAAAATAAAATCAGCTGTACGATGTACGAACACAGGAGGAGTTATTTTATTTTTATCTTATCTATTGTGGTTCCGTTGTGTTATCTATTGTATTTTTAACTTGCTGTGCAGCACTTTAGAAACCTTGTGTTTGCTTAAATCATGCTATATAAATAAAAGGGATTGGGTTGGATTGGGAAATGTACATACAATGGAAACTAATAAAACTATGTGCGTTTGAGGAGGGAGAATCCTTTTAAAGATAAGAACAGTGTTGCTTCCTCCCGATATCCTTGCCCTATATGTAATGTTTCAAACATGACACTATTGCTTTACCAGTGTACAGGGAATGCAACAACAATGACATATGTTAACAAGCAACTTTAGAAAACTTCAGGGGCAGAGCTCCAGAAAAATTCTGGGAAATTTCAGGAGTTGTAAACATGACAGAGGAAGATAGATAAATGACTGCAATCGCTGATCTACAGGGAGGTTTTTATGAAACGCTCAAACAGAAACAAGAAGTATTCTCTAAACTTCCTGACAGTCTTTACAGCTACAAAGAAAACACGTTTCACAGATTTTGGGTGAGCAATTGCACTAAAATTCACGTAAATATAAACATTGTTCAGGATTTGTGTGAATGTGGGTAGAGGAGCTTCAGATCGACTTGGCTGTAGGACCTTATTTGGATCGAGTTTTTGTTGTATTCAAGCTGAAATTTTCACCTTGTCTATATACAAGAAATACACAAGAAATCAAGAGTGTATGTCAGTTCAAGTTACATTGTAAGTGTGTTTGATTGTTTGACGTTCATCTGGTTTGATCATTCTCAAGACCGAGCTTATTCCAGCTGATTTAGATCAAATAGTTTTTTTTTCTTTATGTAACTGACTTGCTGCATGAGCTATCAGAATACCTCTGACTGGACAATCACAACATCCGATCATTAAAGAGGCAGACTGTGGAAATACTTTGAGCCGTAGACAGAAAAAGAGCATCAAAGATGAGGCTGTTTGCCCACTTTGTGAAAGCAGCTGCCTCCCCCTGCTACTATCAGTCTGAGCACTCAGCTGCTAACTGGCAGCTGAGGCCCCTGAAACAAGAAGAGCTACATCAACTCAGCAACCTCATCTCTCTGACTGCCGACTCCCCTCAACACTCACCCTCAGGTCCCTGTGCAGACGCTTGTACAAAGACCATCACTGTGAAGGGTACAAGATTTATGAAAGATGTGAGTCACTGGCATGATGACGGTTTTCAGGATAACAGCAGAACTGGCGCAACAATATAAAATCACAGGTGGCAGCACAATCCCAAAACACATAGTACCTATGACACCATAAAAGACTATTTATAGCCCATACTGAAGCGAGAAACTCTCTTTGATCTCTGATACATGTACTTTAAAATAGTGCTTATGGGCTGCATCAATCTCATACTACCATCCATGAAATATGGGCTTTTGTCTTGCTTGTACCCATCAATTAAACTGAGGGTTTCACTGACCAAAAGTTTCATATTGTCACCTTCACAGCACCAGAATGACCAGAACTTTTTTTACAATTTCTCATAAAATCTCAAAACTGTTAAAAATCAGCAGGACCAGTTTTTATCCAAAGACACAACTTCAACATTTGGAGAAGCTAAGAACTAAGAGCGCTTTCTCCAGAGGGGGCGCCAAAATTTAAATGCTGATTTTATAAGTCTTGAAGTAGATTTCCTCCTCTGGAAGGACACAATCTACTGCTCATATAGTTAGCCTATGTGGCTAAAGACAACTTGTTATCGCGCGATTGCACATGAATCCGCGGGATCTTGTGAGTTCTCACGATTCCTGCTGTCCGTATTCCACCACGAAATTTGACTCACAAATGGATCCAGTAGGAACTGGCGTATGGGGAAAAACGCCGCCGTTCCCAATTGTAGCCATTCCGGATGCAGGTGAAATCCCAGGTATGTACGTTTAAGTTAGAGAACAGTCACCTAAATATAAAATTATTTGACTTTGTTAACTTGTTTACAGCTTAAAATGAGAATCTGAATTTTTATAAAAGTAAAAGTAAGCCCCCTTCTGTGGAAGACGCCATCTTACAAAGCCATGTTTCTACTGTACCATAGACTATAAATTGTAACATACACTTTTTTTGAATGGTAGCAGGAAATGCGCCAGTTGGAAAACTGTTTAGTTAAGAGTGGTTACGAGCAACAGAATTTGTATTAATAAAAGTTCTTGCTGGTTAAAACTTGACCAATGGAGGATCACAGAAGCTGTTTGTCCTCAAAGGCTTTGTGATGGGAGGGGTGAGCAAGGGAGCACTTTGATTTAGACTCTCACTAAATGTTTCAATTTTTTCACACAGTGCACTGTGCTCAATTTCAACTGTTTTGGACAATTCAGTGACTCAAATTTACGACCCACAGCTTCTGCAGCTACCTCTACATTTTTGAAGAAAAATACCAGCATAGAATGGATGCTACCTTGTTTGAAGTAATGCATCAGCTGTAAACTCCCCTAATTTCTTCCATTTGTGACATTTACAGTGTTCAGTCCACAGAAAATGTCTCACAGACTGAAATAATGTGAAGTTTCTATTATTCATACACTCCTGATTCAGAGTAAGTGTTAAAATATTCACCAGTTGTCCAGAGTGTGAGGATTTCTTGAATGTGAGATGAAAAAAAGATGATAACTAGACCAGGGTGTTGAGAAATTGTTTTGCAAGTATAAGGAAAAGTGATTTGTTATATTGGTTACAGAAAATCTTTAATATATGACTGAGTTATTTCAGAGTGGATAATTACAACAGGAAACTCTCATTTCAACCCATGCATTGTTGACCCACGACCCTGATGCTAATTGGACCATGACACAACCTCACAGTAATAAGCTGTGAATAATGACAAGAAAAACACACACACAAACACACACTAACCAGAGGCGAAAATAACTAACCCACCCCAGGACAGAAAACAATGTGCTGTGTGATCAAAGTGATGAGAGATGACAAGAATAAACTGTCAGAATCAATATGCAGATAAAAGTTTGACTTCCAGGCTAAATGTGGGAAGATATTTCTGGAATACTGGGTCATGTTTTTAATGAATCGTTCTGCGCTGACAGAAGACTAACAGCCACAATGTGCCTTCTGTCACTGACTGTGCATATGTGGGCTGGCATATGGAAATATGCATTCCAGCCAAATTTCTTATTGTCTCTCTGCCTACCCACCCGTACATCATCCCTACGAAGGGGGGAGTGTAAAACTGTCACAGCAGAAATATGTACTGCATTCCTTGAAACCAGGGATGATTTATGCAGTTATTTGTGCCGCACTCAAGACATGCATTTCTGAGATTGTTCCACTGAGATGTAAGGCAAAAAGTAAATCCGCCTCCACCTGCTTTGAATCAAAACGGTGCATTTGCATCACTTATTAGTGACATTATGTGGTTGAACAGCCTGCAGCCTGCTCTTTTGTTTCAAGCAGGGGAATTTGACAAGTTGCATAAGACAAGTGCAATGAGAGCATCTCCAAAAACAGCAGTCCCAGGACTTGGAGGGTGTGTTTCTACAGGGGGATGCACACTGAACCAGCAGAACTGTTTATACAGGAGATGAAGAGTGAAAAACTTCCTTTAATTGGCACTTTGCATGTCATGTAAATGCTGACTACGAGGTTTAAATACATAGAAAAACGACAACATGTGCTTTTCGTCGCGGCTAAATTCCTGCAAAGGCTTATTTATCATACATATGAAAGCACACACTTTGGCTTAAGTAAAGATTAGCACCCCGAGGTTAAGCAAAGGTCTGTATTGGAGGAGGGAAAAGCGTTTTTCGTGAAAAAAAGAAAGAAAAATGCATAAAACGTGCAGGTCAATGAAACACAATACAGCTAAAATATGACGCTTAATCCCTTCTTCAGTCACGATTTAAAGGAGGATGGAAAGACCTCGTCTGTGGATTTAGTTTGACTTACTTCAGTGTCTGAGTGAGGTGGAATTCCAACAAGGCAAAAAGTAACTCCATTCATGAGTTAACGGCGTCTGTGGTGTTAAAGCAAACAAAGAAAGCGCTTCCAACTACTCTGCTGCTGTCAACATTGTGTCCTGAGGTCCCGTCGTTTACATCGTCTTCTGTACAGACTGAACGATTCGCCTCTCCCTCTCCCTGCGACGTCAACTGTCCCGCTACGAGCAGCGTCATGACGTCAGAGTAAGGGAACACAAAGGGACCGAAAGTCGGAATTCAGAATAAAGGTGTTTACCTGCTACCTGCTAACGACGAACAGGGGGAGTAAGAATGAGTACACAAACCATTTCACAAGTACGTTACATAACATAACGAACACGTAGTTTTCAATCAAACAAAAGCCCAAAGGCAAGTCTCTGTAATGCTTTCTGTGGTCCTCTTGGGACCTGGAGCCCACCACTGATGTTGCCCCCCGAGACCCTGATCTCTAATTGGCTCACTAGAGGCAGGACTTTAAAATCAACTTCTGCAAATGTGTTGCAACAGACAGATACAGCAGTTTTTGTATTCAAAAGCAGCACATTTTCATTTGCTGGTCTTTTAAATCATTGAAAAAAACTTATATCTTTTTTTATAAGCCAGGGTGTAAGATAGGAACTAGTCCTAAGAAAGCTGCAAGCGAACACCTAACAGTGTCCATCAAAAATATATTTTAAAACAAATTATGATACTGAAAATTAGTGATAGATGTACTGTTTTAGTAATATTCATTGCTTTTTGTATACAAGAAAATACAGCCATTAAAAAGCCACTCTATCTAAAAGAGAAGGAAGATACTTTATGTTACTGTACCTTAGGATGCAACAGGATGCATTTTTGATAGTTAGACAGTGTGCAGGAGTTTGCTTGTAGTTTTTCAACTACTTTAAAAAACATTTTGTTTGTAATTATTAAAGGGATATTCCGGCGTAAAATTGAGTTAGGGTCAAACACACCATAATACAGAGTTAGACACCCCGTAGAGAGAAGAATGTTGCCGACCGCTTACTTTTCTAGTTATACCGACTTTAGTAACAACTGCAGATAGCAATACAGAGAGCCACACGCTCAACCAAAACGCCACTCTATAGCCACAAATAATGTTCAGATTAGCACCTAACTTCATCAACAGTACATATAGGGTCCCAGCCATCGTACTAGCCATCAAAATTTTTTTTCTGCTTTGCCTGGTTTCTTTAGCATCATGATCATTTTCTCATGGAAATGCAATCAGACCGAGATGCTTAGGCAGAAGAACTCGGCGCCTGCAGAGAAAAATGGTTAATGGTGATTATTACTTCAAGAAAATGACAAAGTAATGGTCATAAATGTTCTTTCTTGAGCTGTGTCACCCCGCTGCACTCAATGGACTCACCCGGAGGTCCCCGTAAAAACAAGCGGCTGCTGGAAGAGAGAGGGTGAGTTGTGTTAAGTCTCTTTGCAAAAGAAATCAGGCCAATCTAAAAAGATGTTTGGTGGTTAGTACTGTGGCTTGGACCCTATATGTACTGTTGATGAAGTTAGGTGCTGTTCTGAACATTATTTGTGGCTATAGAGTGGCTTTTTGGTTAAGCGCGTGGCTCTCTGTATTGCTATCTGCGGTCATTACGAAAGTTGGTATAACTAGAGAAGCAAGCGGTCAGCGACATTCATCTCTCGAGGGGGTGCCTAACTCGGTGTTATGTTGTGTTTGACCCTAAATTTATTTTTACGCCGGAATATCTCTTTAAGTTTATAAACCTTCATTCAGCTGTGTTACTTTTTAGAGTTTAAAATCTATACACCAATAATATTTTTTAGTAACAACACTAGAATAGATACGATTAGTGGAAACAGAGTAAATAAATATCTGTAGCCAATGTGTGCACACATCCTCTTTAACACCTCTATACTGTGTAACTCAGTGCCCCAGTTAAGCCACCCCAATCGAAAGGTTGGACACGCCCCTGCACATGAGCAAAATTCTTTTAAAGTGTAAAATGATTTATTTCCTACAGCTTGTTGTTGTGCATCTACATGAGCGCTGACTGTTTCTGTTGCATTTTCTTTCAAACTTGTGTTTATTTTCTCTCCTTTTGTCAGTCAGTCCTCTGTGAGCTGTGCTATGGAGTAAAGTGGGAGAGCTGTCACGCCTGAAGGAGAGTGTGTGTCATGGTCAGTGGAGCGAGAGACGAAGCCCCAGCGCTGCTGCTGCTGATGTTGGCGACAGTGCCCTCAGGACAGGGGAGCGGGCATGCGCAAATATTATATATAGACACACACACACACACACACACACACACACACACACACACATTATGTAATAGCGGGGCACTAAATCACAGAGGAGAAAAAGAAGACACACACCCACGTGTCACAGCTACCAACACTAAGCATCACTGGTTCTCTGATAAAATTGGTTCCTGCTCAAAGAGAAAATCCCACACACAAATATAATATCTAAGGCTCAGGATGACGTACAACGTTAATTTCTTTGACTGAATTTGATTTGAGTAATGGTTCCCAGAAAAACATGGTTACAGGTCATTTTCTGACGTCAGATCTGAGGATTTGAAGCGCTTTTCCTGCCTGCGCTAGCTTTGGTAATGAAGGATTGTTTAATTTTTCATTGTGTTTTAGAGCATGAAGATATGATTTTAAATCCCTATACACAGGATGTGAAAATGGAACACGGACATGATGACGCGCAGTGAGATTTAAGTCATTTTTTCTGGAATGCAGCTTCATAGAGGAGCCTAACTGATACGGGTGTGCTGCTTTTAGACAGCCCAAAAAAAGAAAGCATGTATTAACCATCTGGTGGCCAACTTTAATTACATCGTAGAGCTAAGAGTGGACAAATGCAGAGGTGGAAAAACACCTGAACAAACTTGGTGAGTGCTCCAGAAGAACCAATGCCAGTACGCTTTACATAGGATCCAGAATCTGTGTAACCTAATGTGTTGGCCCATGTTATTGGCGCAGCCTGAAGTGAACTGGCTGTCATATGGTTGCTGCCACCCAAAGGGTAAGAGGTTAAGATGCCAATGTCTTTTGTTCAACATCTCTTGGTCCTGCTCTGACTGACTGTCCTTGAGATGATAAGAGGTGTTAAATCAGGGTGACTTTATTCTGAATCCCCAAAAAGAAGACGCAACTACACAGGGGCGGAGTCACAGAGTACGGCGTTGTAAATTTTGAGAGTTTTTCGGGTTGGCTTGAGTCTTTTTTACGTGCTTCTAACTCAGTAAGTCCACGCGACACAAACCCAAAACTTCCATCCAAAACCCATGACGAAAGATTTTATAAACTCCCCTGGACAAGGCTGGACAGCCCCCCAAAAAGAGGACATATCCAGGTAAAAGAGGATGTATGGTCACCCTAGTTAAAGGAGAGTAGTCCTGCTTCTCCTTGTATCACCTGTCCTCCACAAGCATCCTAAATAGCTAACATAACCAGTCAAATTGAGAAAAGAAAAGACAAGGATAGTGTAACAAATCACTTCATAAACTTAACTAAAATTAAATTTACTAGTCAGGGTCTACTTCTTTTGTTGGTAGTTATTGTGGGACACTTAATCATAAGATCTTAAAGGGTGGCAGTTTTGAATTTAACATGGTTTTCATGTACAGCCTTTGTCAGCCCTATTTTGCCTTTTTTGTTTGGTCTCTAAGTTACCTAAATTGTGGGTTTGGGATTAATTGGAATTTCACTATCTGATCTTCCATCAGTGGAGATTAACAGCTGTTGTGATGCCAAAACATCCTCAAACAAAGGGTTTCCAAAAAAAAGCAGGAGTCTGAGCAGACCACAGCAGCTGTAGCGCCCTTTAACACCCCTCTGCTCCCAAAACAAGCCAGCTTTAATCGTGACAGTGGGCTACAAAGAGATGATTGTCAGGCGAAAGGAGGGTGACTGAGTGTGTATGTGTATGTGTGGCTCATATGTAAAGACTAATCTGGCCTTGTTTTGAAGGGGTTTCATCCCCACTGCGGGGGGTCTGTAGAGACCCAATATTCACCTCCTACCATCATCCCCCAGTCACCAACATTCTCAATCCATGAAACCATCATCATAGGGGATGCTTTAGCTGCACACACCTACAATGCTGTATCTTCTGGGCACTTCTACTCAAACCTGTCCTCTCTCAACTTGTTACTGTGTGACAGTTGGTTCTGCAGTTGCAGAGCATGCCTGCTGCAGGAGCTGCAGAGTCTTCATTAACTGTCTATTCACTTTGCACGCACCCTGTCTTAATGATAATGCTCTACCTGTCTTTGCAGGTCCATCTTATCATTTTGACTCTGCTTTATGACAGGAGCAAACCATAATATGTAAAAAAATAAAAATAAAAAAAAAAGAAAGAAAGACGGGAGAGCTCTGTTAATCGGAAGCTGGCTATATGTTACTTGATGCTGCCAGTGTTACCTTGAATGTAACAAAAACAAGATGTGACTGAGGACTTATCTTTGCAGTTCAGGTAAGGCCACACTTGAGGAGTAATGCTGGGGACAACGTAGAAAGGCTCCAAGTACATCATTAGGCTTTAGAGGCCTCTGACCAGCCTCTCAACACAGTGAAGACAGTATCCTCTGACAATTATGACTTAATGATCTAATAATTAAAGAAACTAATGTTACAGTGCACTTAGTGCCCCTGTCATCATGCACTTAAAATCCTTCAATGGACTTAATTCTTAAAATTTCAATTTTTTATGCCAATAGACTACTTTACAAGCATTTTCATTTTATTTTAATTTCACTCAATTCTCCAAAAGCAAAATTAAAGACATAATTCTATGGTGGAAATTACAGCATAGGCTGAAAATCACATCCAGAAACTATCAGCTGTGAACACAGTTGGTCTCAGTATGCACAAATGCAGGTTAATACATGTAAAGAAGAAACCTTACAGATGATACAGAAATGTCAGTGACTTCTCTGGATTTGAGCCTATAAATGTCCATAATTCATAATGCACTATGTTGCAGGGCGATTTCCCTGTTCATCATAACCTTTTGAACTCATGAACCAACTGAAAACAGATAGGAAACATTGAAGTAAAACTCTCCTTCAGTCAGGAGGAACTCCTTCAACAAACATCTGTCTGTCTCTTCTCTGTGCTGTTGTTTAATGTTGTGACCTGGCATGGAAACAGACAGAGGCGTGTGTGAGTGTGTGTGTGTGTGTGTGTGTGTGTGTGTGTGTGTGTGTGTGTGTGTGTGTGTGTGTGTGTGTGTGTGTGTGTGTGTGTGTGTGTGTGTGTGTGTTGGGGGAGGGTGGGGACACACACCCATCTGTCTATTTAAAGCAGCATGGGGAGATTTCGCTAAATATCTAATCCATCTAATCCTCCATACTGAGACTGCTGTGTTACCAGCCGACCACTAGAGGGCGAGCTGACTGTTTGTAGGCCAGCTGTGAGAAGGGAAATATTCATTTTCACTTACAGAGAGGAGGATGAATGAGAGTAAACATGTCAGGACGAATTCATGTACAATTGGTGAATGGACAGGCAGAGCAGAGAAAGAGAAGATTTTATGCACACACACTTTTAACACACTTAGACGCATGCACACACCGCCCTGCATGTGACCTCTGCAGCATGAGTGGTCCCAGTCCTCTTCTTCTTCTTCTTCTCTCCAGGGATGGGCTGTCCGGGTCCAATCACTGATAAATTGCTGATTGAATTAGAAGTCTGCAGCTCCAGAGAGGCTCTACTTTACAGAACTATCATGTTTCATCTGTATCATTGCTTGCAAACGCACACACACAAACACACACATACACTCACACACACATGCACACACACAACTCTGGACTTCAGGTTCTTGATAAAGTTAGCTGAAGTTCTATAATGTAAACTTAATGACTGTTTTTGAATAAATACTCAGAGTTTCTCAACAACTTGTGAAAAAATTTCCAGCAACACAACTACATCATCCCAGCCAGCTAGATCTGGTTAATTTCTTAATATATATATATATATATATATATATATATATATATATTTACATATGTGTATATATATATATATATATACATATATATATATATATGTATGTGTGTGTGTGTGTGTATAAATAAATAAAAAAGCAGACAGAAAATCTAAGACACAAGAACACTTTCGCTGAAATGCAGACATTTTTAAATGGTTTTTTTAAAAAAACATTTGCATGCTTTCAAAATCACTTATGTTTTTAAAAACATTTTGGTGATTTTCATTTTTTTTGTAATAATGAATGATTTTTTTTTTCTAAAGTATTTATGTTTCCGAAATATTTTTTGGTTTTTAAAATCTAAAGCAAATTTAAAATATATTTTACACTTGCTGAAATGTTTTCGTGTATCACAAAATATTTATTTTCCTCCCTCCAAATATCTTGTTGCAATTGACCTTTAGGGCCTCTGTAACTTGCAAATTTCACATAAAAAAGTTTAATTGAAGGAAGGATTTTTCCAGGAATGCAGGGCGATGCTTTCTGTTAGCTTGGAAAACCTTTCTGGGAAATTATAGCTGCACTAATCAATACACACACTGGATCAAATGATCATGTATGTAAAAGGTCACTGCAGGGTTGACCTCACTGAGAATGATCACTAACTCTGCTGTTGTGAGACATTATACCCACTGCTATTAAACCTTCCATACCCTGTTGGCTTTGTATCAAACAACAGGTAAATCTAACTATTGACTGTGATAATAACTCACTTTCCGGTTTTGGCGGTTTCTTGTAGACATCATCAAATTGAATAATTCAGAATTGTAACAAATTTGTCTTTTAATTTTGTACATACTTTGTTTAGAAAAGTCTAAATCACAAAGACAAAGAAATGACAAAGTAAAAGGACACAAGTTTCGCATCATTGCATCAAAATTCAACACAACCTGTTTTGGAGCCTTTTAAAAAGAAGAAAAATGTTGAAACAACTATACTCAACCAAAATGTTTCCAATTCACTCACCCTTCACACGCAGTTACAACCTTTTGGCAGAAGCTCTTGTACAAAATGCCAAGCATGGCATCTGCTAGGCGCATGTATGTAGTTCAATATAACTGGTGAAGACAGAAATGGTAAATAAATGACATTCATTTGTGTATCTGCAGACATACTTCATACCAGCCTTACAAAAGCCTGCTCACTCTGGTCCAAAAAGTCTGGGCCCACTGCGTCCATGAATGAGGCTTGTCATCTCATAAATTACTGCTACACATCATCAACAGTCAACAAGCACATGTGCATGGATGTGTCAGAGTTGAGAAGGAGCTGCTGCAGACAGCTTCAATGCTGCTACTCTCTACACTCAAGGTGCACTCTTAAACACTGACTGCAGCAGGGGTTTGCTCTCAAGCTGGTGTTTTAAAACCCACTAGTTCCCAACCAAAAGTCGGGCAAAAGTTGACACAAGCTCAGGACCAAAGTACGAAAAGGGTCTAATGGACTAGACACAAGCTTTTATTTTGAAAAGGTGTTCTTAGGGGCATGGCTTCAGGGCATCAGGAGGGCAAGAGACAAATAAGGAAAAATGAGGAAGACTCGAAACGCATCCTTGTAATTTGCCTGCTAAGTAAAAAAAATGAAAAATATGTTTGGGGTACTTTATCTTTTAAGTTAATTACAGAGTTAAAATTTTTAAACAGTTGAGCCCCTGAATGTGAAAATTGAACCTGTCTTTCCTGACAGACACCTGACCATAAGAGGAGCAGTGAGGTCCCCTCAGTTCATCCATAGAGAATATGTTTAATCCTCGCGGAGGGCACATGTCAATCCTACATAGCATTACACAACAGCCTTAATCTGCTGGATTTAAACCTTGCCACCAATCACCACGCTCACCCGCTCACAATCACATACACTCGTCCTTATACCACACACACATACACACACACACAAGCATGTTAACTGACCGACACAGTTCACACAGTCTTTACAGTACAGTTACACAGGTGATGATGAAGAGTGATGGATTTTAGACATTTCAGTCTCTCAGAATCCAAAATTTTAGTTTTTAAAACATTTTCTGTATTAATCTTTCCTTTACTTTCCTAACTAACTAATGGCATAAGGAGTTTCATGAATTTATTTCTCTTATTTTGGATTCTGATTGGTCAAAACATAATGACAATGTTTATGAATTCTGTGTGAAAAAAACAGAAACACAAAGTAATACAGGAAAGAGTTCAAAGACACTTTTAGATGATATGTATATCATAAAACAAGCTAGCAGTTAGCTCTACAGCATTAGAAAAGAAGCCATGAGAGTAGTCTCTGAAATCTACATTTTTGAAGAAATTTACTTAAATAATTCACACCTGATGTTGGTTATTTATAGACGAAAGCCTCGTGTCACTGAAGCTGAAAATACTCATCCTTGGTGACCCAGGTCCATAAACTTGTGTTGAATTTGACTTACTTTCAACTCACCTTATGTAACTGAAACCCACAGCAGGATGAGATAAGTGACCCTCTGGATCACCCCAAAGACACAGAATCACTGAACGGGCCATTGTGTTCTCAAAGTTTGTCTTTATCATGGATTTGAAATGTTTACTGATTTCATGTTTTAAGGTCCTTTCAAGCGTTTTTTTTTTTGCGTGCGATTATTTCAGATGTCAATATTCATTTATTTATTTATTTTTCTTATCATGGTCGATTTTTCTAAAGTTTTGCATACTGTGTGTCCACTTCTGACCAATCAGATTGAGCGTTGTTGTAATGTCAGATTCACCGGTATATCCAACATGGCCGACTGGCTGATTGTTTACGTGTTGGAGAACAGAGTGCTTTTTGATAAAAAGCACGAACATTACAAAGATAACAACCTGAAGGAAAACTTGTGGAGCGTCACAGTGTTGGATTTCTCTTATAACAATGGTTTGTGTGCTTTAACAGTTTGCTAAACGTCTTTGTTTTAACTTTCATCTATGCTAACTTTACTTTACTTTAGCTCGCAAGCTAACCTATTCAGACACAACATACCATTTGTATTTTCACTGTCTCAAACTCAATCGCGTTGCTGTCACAGCACCATTAGGTCTTGGTTGTTACCTTACATTTATGGATTATAGTTTAATGTGCTTATCTGGTACTGGCCCAGACTCAGTACATGCTATCATGACAGACATCTTAACACTAGTGTCCAATCAGAACTGAAAAACAGTCAATCTGCTGTTGTGTCAGTTTTCTCGCTTCCACCCGCGATTCGTCTTATTCTCCCCCCTGGAAAGTCGCAAAATTGCATTGCGTTTGATGTTCACAGTCAGGCGTGTCAAAACTTGCCTCCAAATATTTCGTAATTTCGCGTTGTATATTTGCGTCATTCCCGGTGTGTAAGGACCTTTACACTGAGTTAATACACACCGATTAAATACTTATTGGGTTCATGATAAAGGAAATTTAGGTACTGATGTAAACAATGCTGTAAAATCTTCCTCAATTTTCCTTGGCATATTGAAGTTTCTTCTTTTGTTCCATCACAGCTGTACAGAGACAGCTGAATTTTGTGTGTTTTATAATCTATACATCCATAATAGCCTTTTCGCCACAGTGTCGACAGGCAGAGAGGAAACATGCTGGATTCTTGTCTGAGGATTGAGTCGATAAGGCATGTGTAATCAGGTCATCCCTGCCATTACTCTTGTGAATTTACCTGTGTTTGACGGGGGGATTTTGACCAAACAGATTCAAGTATTTAATACCATTATAAAGCACTTAAGGCAACATCCTCCGTGTTAAATGGGCAATAAAAAAACACCAGACACTTTACTGCATGAAGAAGGTCCAAAATCCCACGGCAGGTATCTGCACTACTGAGCCAACACTGTGGTATAAATGAGTATCTGTGTGAGTGAGTACAGGGGTGTAAGCTGTGACACACACACACACACACACACACACACACACACACTGAATACACACCAAACACACAGACACATCATGTGTTCTCTGTGTTCTGTGGAGAAGACTCTAGGGGATGCACCCTGGAGGAAACCTATTATCAGGTCAGGAGTGAGCACACACACACACACACACACACACACACACACACACACAGATATCAAGGCTTTCAGGTTTCTATTTTAAGCAGAAACAGATGAATGAACTAGAGCAGAGCAGAATACACACGTACACACACTTACAGCCACACTAACACACGTATGAACTCTGTCTCGCATCAGTGCACAACCTGTACATCGTGCTCGTCCTGCAAGGCCGTATGTCGGCGCGCAGATGGTATAATCAGCTGCTGAAGGTGAGAGTCGTGCAGATGGCAGCAAAGTGATGATGTCATACATGAACCTAGCAGAGCGGAGGCGTGAAAATGATGTCAGAGACGAGGAAAGTCTCCGCCAAGAAACACAGATTTTTTTCAGACAAGAGAGAGACGAAGAGTTGCCAAGCATTTAAATGAAAATGAAAAATGACTGGCTGCTTATATGTTTATGAAATTGACAGAAATTGAAAGTGATGCCTTTTTATAATAGTCAAAAGCAAAGAACCAAATACATAACAACATACAATGATCAATAAATGATCAGCTTTAGCAGGTTGAACATGTGCATTGATTGGTAAGATGATCATTCATCCTATTTTTTAAACCCTTCAGACTAATGAACTGATTCAGTCTCAGGTGGACTTGTAACTCAGAACAGTGGTAGAGCGCAAACACATTAAAGGTACTTTCACCAAAGACAAAGAGAGTCTGAGGAATAATGCATAATGCATTTGTCAACAAAGGCCAGAGTATGTGACCTGTTACTGAAACCTGGCCGTGAATAACACAATGAAATAAACTAATCTAACAATAGCCTACGCATGCTAATGTGGCTCAATGGGGAAGTAAATGGGTGGTAACTATTATCCTTTTGACATTTTCTATAGAAGCCTAACGTTCAGGTTATTTTGCGTCTACACAGCTGTGTAAAAAGTAACATCCACGGGATAAGCGGCTGGAATGAAATGTTTCAGACAGAGGCTGAATGGTTGTTGTTGTTTTTAAAGTGGGAAAAGCTGAAGGGTCTGTTCATAAGACAGTGGTACTTCTCAGATTTCAGTCAAACACCAGAGTACCTCAGACACTAAGAAGTCATGTGTCTGCACATTTCCTGTATTTTTTCACAGTTACCTGAGATAAAAGCAGAAATAATCAGGATAATATTTTAGACAGCTAATGTATACGATTCATATGAATGCTGAATGTCACCAACATGGAAATGTGTCTGTTTTTCAGTTTTATTTGGGACTTATTGGGTAACTTGCTGTTGAGCAAACATGCAAAGTCAAAGCTATTCCACTAGAAGTTTTTGCTTTTGCTCTGGCAGGCTTAGACTGTTATTCCAAGTGTCTGACAACATTGCAGAGTTAGACTTTTTTTCGCTAAGGTGTGAGATGCTCTTTTAAATCCAAAAAACAGCTGTGTTGTTACTGTAATCAAAGCTACCAGACTCTACTGACAAGAACAGAAAAATCACCTCAAAAAAACAGATGCTTCTCATCTACTGCCGTCCCTGCTGGTTTGTTTCTTTGTGATACTGTGAGGAGGAAACTGAGGCAGATGAAAATAAAATATAACTCTCTTTGAAACAATAGCTGCGATGCTCGGGGATCGTTTTCATTTCGGCTCCACATTCCTCGCTCATTAAATCAGCGGCACAGATTTCTCTGTATTGTTTGGTGGAGTGTGTCTAAATGCATGAATTCATCAGGCAACAATGAAGAGCAGCTGCTTCAGGAATACATGGAAGCTGTGTGTGTTTGTGTGTGCCAGTGTGTGTGTGTGTGTGTGTGTGTTTGAGTGTGTGTTTTGCCAATGCTAATGAGAGGTTAGGAGAAACCCCTTAAAGAGTTTTTTTTTTCTTTTCATCCTCTCTCCCTTAAACCAACAGAGTGAAGTCCCTCTGTCGCTTCACTCTGCCAATATTTTTGGATTTAATTGGCCATAGAATAAGTCTATGAAGCACTTTATCTCTTTTATTATAACAGCAAATTTAATGTTTAGTATCTTGAAATGATGGTTCAGTTTTTGTCAAGTGTATTGCAACTAGTGACAAAGAAAGAAAGCACGTAAAAAAGTGTTTTTATCTACAGCTTAATCGGAAGGGAGTCAGTTCAGAGCGATGCATTTTTGTGTCATAAACATAGAAATGACAGTTTGCATTGGAGACATTTTGATTGATGTCATTAATATAAGGGTTTAAAAAGCAGTGGTCCTAACAGTGACCCTTGTGGAACGCCAGTTTCTTCAAAACTGACAAGTACAGTGTGAGTGATCAGAGAGATGAGCTTCTTGTTGTTTTTGCTACTTATTTTATTGTTAGATGTTGACAAATTTTACATATAAATGAATGATGAGCTGTTGTTTCCTTCCTCCTTTTTTATACTGTATCAGTCGTTGGATAAATTTTCTGTTAAAGTTATTTCTCATTTTCATTTGTATCCTACTTTGTTGGATGTGTTTGAAACAAATAAAGATCAAAAACCACACAACATATTTCACATGGGTGTGGCTTTACAACCCCACCCCGAAAAAGAACTACCCCTTTAAACCTGAAAAACTCACGTCCTTGTATTAAAAGTTTATGAATAAGTTTTGTTTTTGTACTTTAGTGTCCCTTAAATGTTCTTTGAAAACCTACTACTAAAAAATGCATTTCTTCCAACAACAAAATCAAGTGAATCTGAAGTCTCTCATATGAAAGACCTGATTTGAAATATGCCTCTTTAGCACACAGTCCTCTAAACACAGCAGAAAATGAGAGAGGAGACCGAGTTTCAACCAGAGCCTTCTAATTACTGAGGGAAGAATGATCTGCACTGGAGCATCGCAGCAATCCAAAGCAGTCGAGCTTTCTAAAGCAGAGCCATGTGAGCTATTTTTAAAAATGAAAGTGAGCCGAGTCAACACTCCGACTTGTCTCAGATCTCTGATGCTGGGTTGGCACAAAAAATATTACCCTACTTACATGGGTGGGTCCCAAAAATGTTTTTCTTTTTTATTTTGTTCTTTCAAAAGAAGACATGACTGTGGAACAGACAGGAGTGACTTAGACTTCTTGTACATTTGTAGCAGGACGGACAGAAGTGGAAGATTTTTTGATGATCTTCAGGTGTTCTTCTTAAAAACAGACATGTTTACTAGCTAGGAACAATGTGCTCTGCTTTACAGTGATGATTTTCACACTTTAAAACCAAATCACAGCAATTTAAATCACATCAAATTCACTCTTCTTTTTGCTTTACGCAGTTATTAACGATAAAATAACTGATAAAGGCCAGCAGTGACACAACCACATATCCAGCATTATTATGAGTCTAAGAACTAGCAGTAGCTGTATACTCTGCTTTGAGTGGTTTGACTTGCCTTTTTTTTTTTTTTTTTTAAATCCACTCGCTACGTGAGACCGACAGCTTTAATTGTAATGGCTCAGTGCTTTAACATGCACAGCTTAATCGGACTAAAATCCTAATTCCTTGTTTTCGCTGAATCGGACTTGTCTCCTTGTCCGCATATACATGCAGCTGAGAAAATTGAATCGAATTAACAGCGTTGTTTTTGTCGTACATGATGAACGTGCTACTTTTTCTGCAGATGAGATGCACGCTACTCCCCTCTCTGGTGTTTTTTTTCCAGGGTTAGAGGGGTGTGGTGCAAGCACACATGCATTTTGCGATCATACTCCAGCTACGCTGGTTACATGGTAGAGAAAATTTAATTCAAATCGCATTATCTGGGTGTCTTAATTGGAATTCTCCGACTCCAATCAGAGTTCTCAAACTCCGATAATAACTGGACTAAGGTGTTTACATACACTTCAGTTGTCCGGTTTAATCAGAGTAAGGCAATAATTCGTTTTTTTCTAGTGTCATGTAAATGCACTGTTTGTGTCATTAGTTATGCAATTAAGTTCTGAATTTAGCTTATTAATAATTCGTATCGTATTTTGTCCCTCACAGCACACTGTAGTTAAGCTGCTACAGTATCTTCCTGCTTGCTGCTGCCTCCATGATCAAAAAAAAAAAAAACAATGACACCACCACCACCGGGCTTTTGAACAGTATCTTGAGCAGTCAAAGGTAAAATGCTCTTTGTGTCAGACAGAATTCAAAATATCACCGAAGTGCTTTGAGCCCACCAGTTAATCACACAGGTTGAGGCATATGTGATAAGACTTGAGATCTAATCACAATAAGAAACTGTATCCAAATGCTAAATAATATAATTTTAATCATGTAATTAAAAAAATGATATTCATTGAAATCAACAGAAACTGTACAATCAGTTGTGAGTAAAATAAGATAATGATTTCAGTTCGGCAGTGAAACAGTGGGATTTATTGGCATGTGGATGGACGTGTGGATGAACTGTGATCATAATCTCAACAACACGGGTGTGTTTCAAACACGCAGCTCATCACACTCCCACAATAAACAGTAATAGCAACACAATAATATCCTGCTCTGTGGTCATTTGCTTCTTGTTTTTGAACGTGATCCAGTTTGTTATTGAGTTCTAACCGCAGACACACAAACACACACCAGAGAAATGATGGAGTGAGACACAAAAGCATTGTGTACTGTTCTTACATCCGGGCCCGTAATCGACAACCCAGCAGCGAGCTGACTGTTATCAGCACACAGCAGAGGAGGGGGGAGGAGGGTGAGAGTGAAGGGAGGGTGGGGGGTGACAAATTATAATAACAATTCACCATTTCTGCATGCTTTTCAGATGTTTTTATGTCACACACAGATCTGTGTCATCAGGCTGAGTTCAGCTCCCATTCAGAAAGATCACACGTTTGGGTCAGGCATCTGAGAGGACATAATGGATATGTTTTTTTTTTTTTTTTCTTACATCTGTTAAGCAAAACACTGACTGACTCGTGTTTATCAAAATTACAGTAGCCATGAAGGGCAAAGGCACCAAAAAGACTAAACATGCACTCAAAGAGAGATGAGCCTGCAAAAAAAAGAAAGAAATGCAATACATAAATGAATAAATAAATGCATGACCAGAAAACATGCACAAAAATACATGATGCAATGTTAGAGAAAGAAAAAGCCACAAAATTCATGGAGAAAGATGATGTTTATGTTGTCATCACATCGGCTATGATCCATGTCTGCAGGGGTGTTTGTCAGGGATCCCCACACAAAAGGATATCGGATCATAAATAATAAATGTTTAATACAGATGGTAACAAATCAGTGCAGACACGAGTGTCTTTCAAGCAGATCAGGGGGAGTGAAACCTCACACCATCCAAAAATCTGTTTGCCTCTTTGACAACTTGAGTGGTGAATAAAGCCGGTTATGATTTCTGTTCTCTCTACCATCCAACTGCCATCCTACAGCCTCACCAGTACAACAGGAAGATGGTCAAATATAGAGATATCTGTCGCAACCTCCCTTTAAAGCAAACCTGTACTAAAAACAGTTGGCTGCAGGTATTTCGAGGTTTTACACCTGCAACAGGACTGACAAGGGAATTTCCTCATTAAGAGAAGGATGGTGAACGAATCTGCACAACTCAGAGGCTGTAACTTTATTATACCTTAAATCCTTAAACACTGACAGGATTTGTTTATCCATAAAAAGTGTGTTTTTTAATGTCCAAAAGGCCCCACACAGTCAACCGAGGTTCACATAACCAATAATTTGGAGTAGAAGAGACCCCTGTTTATGGTGAATAATAACACCAATCATCTTAAATGATGAGAACTCGACTCAGACTCAACTTGAAGTCCTCATTGTTGACTTGAACTTAGACACTACGGACTTGAAATTCAACTCAGACTGGACTCAACTACCATCCCACTGCCAATCCACAGCCTGACCTTTATATCTATCTCATCAACTTTGTGATTTTGTGATCTTTTGGTTGGATTAATGAGGGTCTAAGGTTGGAAACATGGTCCATAATGCATGTGTTTTATTTTACAATCTCAATCGACTGTTTTGTCATGTTATATCACATCGTTTTTGTTTTATTTTCTAGTTCTCTTGCTTTATTTTATCAAAAAATTTTACATTAGAAAAAGTGCAGAAAAATCATCATGCTGTGAGATTCAAAATTAAAAGAAAGAGTCTTCCTTCTTGCGTAATTCTCTTCTGTAATATCAAGGGTCGAAGCACCAGGAGAAGACTGTTTTTAAAGAGTGTACAACATTTGTGGTCTTGCACTTAAACAGACACAGGAATAGGTGAACTTAAAGATGTTCAGCCTGTGCACAAAATAAAACATCCTGACAGTCAATTTGTCGTATCCAAATAGAAGTCGTAGCTGTCCTGTGTCCGGCCTTTTCTCTTCTTGTCTTTGTTTCTTTTGTGTTTCTGTCCGTCCCTGCGGCTGGATGACTCTGTAAGACCGATAACTGAGTGTAATCCACATGTAAGAGCGCTCTCTGACCATTAGAGCACAAGTGGCCTCTGCGGAGTAACCGAGTGAAGATAAAGGAGGAGAAGTCCCAGGAGACGCCCGCAGGCTTCAGACAGCCGAGCTGCAGAGTTGGGCTCTGTGTGGAGGACATGTCAGCTCAGTGTGAGTCACTCCACTGAGTCACACGCTTAACTTCATGTATGTTGAACAAAGCTCACGGAAGCAGCGTTACATTAGGGATCCAGGAAATGTATTTTTAAACATTTGAAGAGACCTTTTAAAGCAGGAAGGCTTATTTTCTGGGAAAAAGGAGGAAACAGTCAGCCTAGTTCTCTCAGGGTTTGTAAGATAGTACCTCAAAAGGGCACCTAAAAACATGAGGATCATTTCCAGAGTATGTAACGTACATATATCTATATTTTTTATTTATTCATGTTTGTCTTTTTAAAATAATTTGGGATTGAAAAGATTTAAAAGCACTTGAAGTTTAGGATTTGCTGCAGTTGACTTCTTAAGTCAGCTCCCAACAAACACTTTATTTATGTGTCTCTGGCCTTTTTCAAAAGTTCCTGTCTGAGCACTCTCAGTCTGTTTCAAGTTAGCATTACATTTTAAAACAGCTAGCTCACAGGAATAAGGATGCTCAAGATTGAAGGTGAATAATTACGCGTTCAACTCTCTTTGAGAGCAGGTCGACTCGGCTTTCTGTGAGTAGCAGACAGAAATTTCTTCATCATGAGAATAAGAACAAACTTACATTCCATAAACAACTGCTTCAAAAGACAAAATATAAAAGAAATATTAATTATCTAAGGTTTTATCTTTCCAGATAAAGACGAGACGAGATTCAGACTGTAATGAGTTTAAACTCAAAATACGCAGTTTATCGGCACATCAGAACATCTGAGGTAGTTTGCTGTCTGATCCATCGTTACCTGACCATTGAATAGCACTCTTGACCTTAGCGAATAATCACTGAGATGTTTTTTCTATAAAAATGGAGGATGCAAACATCTTGTTGAAATTCTCCCCTGTTGTCTATTTTGATAATTTCGATACAGGAAATCTATCAAAGAAGCTTTAAAATACTGAGATATAAATGCTCTGTTGATGTCTCTGTTGATATATATAAATGTCAGCATTCCATGTTTGATACTTGGTCTTCAGCCTTGGTCAGCTGTTGTCTCTGAATAAGAGGAGTTGTTAGCTAGTAGGAAATAGATAAAACTTTTCCCACCATTCTTTTGAGTAGTAGTCATAGACGAATCCAAACTCCATGAGGGGAATGTTGCGGCATTACAGCAGGTCCCTCCATGGTCACACTTTGACTGTTGCACAACTCCCAGTTCATTCTCCATTACAATAGCGCACATTATTGGTGGTCTAATATAGAAGGGATGTCAAAAAAACAACAATATCAAATGGGTTGTTCACGTTTCTAAATGAATGCACTGCACTGATGCAGATGATTTACAACTGATGCATCTAGACTTCATTTAAAGATGATATCTACCAGTGCGTTCACCTCACAGCCGTGCATTCTATATATTGGTATGCATTGCTTGATCTTCCCATTCCCATTGGGCTCAGATTGCAAGGGGCTCACAGCACGCTTGCAGTAAAATCAAGCAGTGAGAGCCCCACATCCCACATTTTCGACAGAGGAAACTCTGAAAAGTTCTGCTGCATGTTGCAGCATTTCCTCAGGAACCCGACTTTCCATAAACCACACGCAGGTGAGAAACTTTAGTCCAGATTGTGAGGTACAGGTATCTCCTTCATTCAGAAAAAAATAGAGCGTTCGTTTTTTTTTTACTCTGAAGTGAACGCTTAACACTTCTGCACAAAAGAGACTCTTTAAACAACAATGAGCCTGTCAGCGACAAAGAAAACAAACACTTTTCGAGGATGTGCTTTGATCAGGTTTGTTTTCCCTCAAAGGATTATGGGTACAGAGGAAGGATGTCTCTCTCTGCTGTCTTTGCAGCTTCTTCCTCCTCATCCTCCACGTAGGTCTTTAATACCAGCACAGCTTTCAAACTACACACGACAGTCATTATTGAGTAAAGGTTTGTGTGTGTTTTTACTACACACTCTGGTATTAAAAATATATGAAGCTCTTGTAAACACAGGGACTTCATTTTCTGCAGGTTGACTCTTGCTGCTTTTATAGGTGACACTTTTTCATGTATATTTAAACAGCCTCATGTCGGTTTGTTGCTTAAAGTTCAGTCCAGGTGAAGGTTTCCCCTCTGATGAATATTTGAAGAGCCAAAACACTTCAACTTCAACCGTGGTAAAAACTGTTCAAAGTCCATTATTACTTTGACATAAGAGTGCGGTTTGATTGTGTTTCATAAATCGCTGGAAAGTTCTTCACTTTATCTCCTATTTGTTCCCCTAAATGTGTTTGTCTGTCTACACGAGCAAGTGCAGGATATCCTGACTAATACACACAATCACGCACACTCACACAAAAGACACAACTTCCAAAACTAGGGCCCCGTTGGGGCACTGGCGGGCCCGAGCCGTGTCACGCCGCCCCCAGCGCGACCGCCTCCCCCACCCGATCGCGTCACACTCAAGGTCCAAAGATGGTGTGCGCACTTGTTTGTGGTCATTTACCATTATAATGAACGGGAGGCGCAGTTTCTACCAAAACGCTCGCTGCAGAAAAACTCCATGTCCTATTTGAAAAAAGTCTGGACCATGAGTGAGGGCACAAACACAGCTAAGATATATCCAAATGGCAAGTTGCTCCTCCTTTCGCTTTTGCCGAGAGAGCAGTGCGTTTGAGCCATTGAATGATGAACAGGAAAAACTTGACTTTATTCTCCTGCCATGGGGGGGCGCTCTTTTAAAGAGAAAAAACTCCTTCACAAATGTGTTGATGGCTGGACATTGCATCATCCTAGAAAACATGGAGGCCAGTGAGGACAAAAATAAAAAGTTATAAGACTTTTAAATATGTGGATTTTAGGGTTATATTTGGCGCCCCCTAGAACCTAAACCGTGGGGTGCAGCGTCATGATTTGAATAACTTTTAATGGCCATGGGGTGTAGATTGGCCTGAGCAAATGTGGTGCCGGTGGAACGAAAGCCTTCGGAGGAATTAGCGAAATTCCAATGTGTGCGAATCTGCAAAAAATGCGAAATAACCCTTTAACTGTACATTTTACAGATACGTGGCCATTGACTTTTTCGAAGATCTTATTGAAATACACGTGTATGTAAAATTTTGTGTCAATACGACAAAACATACAGGCGTAGCACTCAACAATGTGTATTTTCACCTTAGTGGACAAGAAAAAATTGACTTTTTTCTCCTGCCATGGGGGGCGCTCTTTTGCCGAGTAAAAATTCCTTCACAAATGTGTTGATGGCTGGACATTGCATCATCCTAGAAAACTTGGAGGCCAGTGGGGACAAAAATAAAAAGTTATAAGACTTTTAAATATGTGGATTTTAGGGTTATCTTTGGCGCCCCCTAGAACCTAAACCGTGGGGTGCAGCGTCATGATTTGAATAACTTTTAATGGCCATGGGGTGTAGATTGGCCTGAGCAAATGTGGTGCCGGTGGAACGAAAGCCTTCGGAGGAGTTAGCGAAATTCCAATGTGTGCGGATCGGCAAAAAATGCGGAATAACCCTTTAACCGTACATTTGACAGATACGCGCGCATTGACTTTTTCGTAGATCTTATTGAAATACACGTGTATGTAAAATTTTGTGTCAATACGACAAAACATACAGGCGTAGCACTCAACAATGTGTATTTTCACCTTAGTGGACAAGAAAAAATTGACTTTTTTCTCCTGCCATGGGGGGGCGCTCTTTTGCCGAGTAAAAATTCCTTCACAAATGTGTTGATGGCTGGACATTGCATCATCCTAGAAAACTTGGAGGCCAGTGGGGACAAAAATAAAAAGTTATAAGACTTTTAAATATGTGGATTTTAGGGTTGTCTTTGGCGCCCCCTAGAACCTAAACCGTGGGGTGCAGCGTCATGATTTGAATAACTTTTAATGGCCATGGGGTGTAGATTGGCCTGAGCAAATGTGGTGCCGGTGGAAGGAAAGCCTTCGGAGGAGTTAGCGAAATTCCAATGTGTGCGGATTGGCAAAAAATGCGGAATAACCCTTTAACCGTACATTTGACAGATACGCGCGCATTGACTTTTTCGTAGATCTTATTGAGATACATGTGTGTGTCAATTTTTGTGTCATTTTGCCAAAGCGTACAGGTGTTACACTCAACAATGTGTATTTTCACCTTAGGGGACAAGAAAAAATGGACTTTTTTCTCCTGCCATGGGGGGGCGCTCTTTTGGGGAGTAAAAATTCCTTCACAAATGTGTTGATGGCTGGACATTGCATCATCCTAGAAAACTTGGAGGCCAGTGAGGGCAAAAATAAAAAGTTATAAGACTTTTAAATATGTGGATCTTAGGGTTATCTTTGGCGCCCCCTAGAACCTAAACCGTGGGGTGCAGCGTCATGATTTGAATAACTTTTAATGGCCATGGGGTGTAGATTGGCCTGAGCAAATGTGGTGCCGGTGGAACGAAAGCCTTCGGAGGAGTTAGCGAAATTCCAATGTGTGCGGATCGGCAAAAAATGCGAAATAACCCTTTAACCGTACATTTGACAGATACGCCCGCACTGACTTTTTTGTAGATCTTATTGAGATACATGTGTGTGTCAATTTTTGTGTCATTTTGACAAAGCGTACAGGCGTGACAGTGAATAGTGTGAATTTTCACCTTAGGGGGCGCTATGGAGCCATTTTGCATTTTCTTGTTTGGGCGACTTCGGAATATCAAATTTTTCACCAGGCCCGGTCGTCCTGCCAAATTTCATAGGTTTTCGCCAGTGGGAAGTGGGCCATTTTCCAGTTCAAAGGGGAGGAAAAAGAAAAACTAGGGCCCCGTTGGGGCACTGGCGGGCCCGAGCCGTGTCGCGCCGCCCCCAACACGACCGCCTCTCCCTACCGATCGCGTCACACTCAAGGTCCAAAGATGGTGTGCGCACTTGTCTGTGGTCATTTACAATTATAATGAATGGGAGGCGCAGTTTCTACCAAAACGCTCGCCGCAGACAAACTACATGTCCTATTTGAAAAGGACTGGACCATGAGTGAGGGCACAAACACAGCTAGGATATATCCAAATGGCAAGTTGCTCCTCCTTTCGGTTTTGCCGAGAGAGCGATGTGTTTGAGTCATTGAGCGATGGGCAGGAAAAACTTGACTTTTTCTCCTGCCATGGGGGGGCGCTCTTTTAGGGAGTAAAAATTCCTTCACAAATGTGTTGATGGCTAGACATTGCATCATCCTAGAAAACTTGGAGGCCAGTGAGGACAAAAATAAAAAGTTATAAGACTTTTAAGAATGTGGATTTTTGGGTTATCTTTGGCGCCCCCTAGAACATAAACCGTGGGGTGCAGCGTCATGATTTTTACAACTTTGAATGGCCATGGGGTGTAGATTGGCCTGAGTAAATTTGGTGTCAGTGGAACGAAAGATTTAGGAGGAGTTAGCCACATTCCAATGTGTGCGAATCGACCAAAAATGCGAAATAGCCCTTTAACCGTACATTTTACAGATACGCGCCCATTGACTATTTCGTAGATCTTATTGAGAAACACGTGATTGTCAAAGTTTGTTTCAATATGACAAAGCGTACAGGCGTGACACTCAATAATGTGAATTTTCACCTTAGGGGGAAGAAAAACTGGACTTTTTTCTCCTGCCATGGGGGGGCGCTCTTTTGGGGAGTAAAAATTCCTTCACAAATGTGTTGATGGCTAGACATTGCATCATCCTAGAAAACTTGGAGGCCAGTGAGGACAAAAATAAAAAGTTATACGACTTTTAAGAATGTGGATTTCTGGGTTATCTTTGGCGCCCCCTAGAACGTAAACCGTGGGATGCAGCGTCATGATTTGTACAACTTTTAATGGCCATTGGGTGTAGATTGGCCTGAGCAAATTTGGTGCCGGTGGAACGAAAGCCTTCGGAGGAGTTAGCGAAATTCCAATGTGTGCGGATCGGCAAAAAATGCGAAATAGCCCTTTAACCGTACATTTGACAGATACGCCCGCGCTGACTTTTTTGTAGATCTTATTGAGATACACGTGTGTGTCAAATTTTGTGTCATTTTGACAAAGCGTACAGGCGTGACACTCAATCATGTGAATTTTTCACCTTAGGGGGCGCTATGGAGCCATTTTGCATTTGATTTTTTGGGCGACTTCAGAATATCGAATTTTTCACCAGGCCCGGTCGTCCTGCCAAATTTCATGACTTTTCACCAGTGGGAAGTGGGCCATTTTCCAGTTCAAAGGGGCAGAAAAATAATAAGAAGAAGAAGAAGAAGAACTAGGACCCCGTTGGGGCACTGTCGGGCCCGAGCCGTGTCGCGCCGCCCCCAGTGCGACCGCCTCCCCCTCCCGATCGCGTCACACTCAAGATCCAAAGATGGTGTGCGCACTTGTCTGTGGTCATTTCCTATTATAATGAATGGGAGGCGCAGTTTCTACCAAAACACTCGCTGCAGACAAACTTCATGTCCTATTTGAAAAAAGTCTGGACCATGAGTGAGGGCACAAACACAGCTATGATATATCGAAATGGCAGGTTGCTCCTCCTTACGGTGTTGCCTGGAGAGCGATGCGATTGAGCCATTGAGCGATGGGCAGGAAAAACTTAACTTTTTCTCCTGCCATATGGGGGGGGGGGGCATGTGGATTCTTTGAAGAATGTGGATTTTTGGGTCATCTTTGGCGCCCCCTAGAACGTAAACCGTGGGGTGCAGCGTCATGATTTTTACAACTTTGAATGGCCATGGGGTGTAGATTGGCCTGAGCAAATTTGGTGTCAGTGGGATGAAAGCCTTAGGAGGAGTTAGCCACATTCCAATGTGTGCGAATCGGCAAAAAATGCAAAATAGCCCTTTAACCGTACATTTGACAGATACGCGCGAATCGACTCTTTTGTAGATCTTATTGAGATACATATGTGTGTCAATTTTTGTGTCAATATGATAAAGCGTACAGGCGTGACAGTCAATAGTGTGAATTTCCACCTTAGGGGACAAGAAAAAATTGGCTTTTTTTTCCTGCCATGGGGGGGCGCTCTTTTGGGGAGTAAAAATTCCTTCACAAATGTGTTGATGGCTGGACATTGCATCATCCTAGAAAACTTGGAGGCCAGTGAGGACAAAAATAAAAAGTTATAAGACTTTTAAATATGTGGATTTTAGGGTTATCTTTGGCGCCCCCTAGAACCTAAACCGTGGGATGCAGCGTCATGATTTGAATAACTTTTAATGGCCATGGGGTGTAGATTGGCCTGAGCAAATGTGGTACCGGTGGAATGAAAGCCTTCGGAGGAGTTAGCGAAATTCCAATGTGTGCGGATCGGCAAAAAATGCGGAATAACCCTTTAACCGTACATTTGACAGATACGCGCGCATTGACTTTTTCGTAGATCTTATTGAGATACATGTGTGTGTCAATTTTTGTGTCATTTTGCCAAAGCGTACAGGTGTTACACTCAACAATGTGTATTTTCACCTTAGGGGACAAGAAAAAATGGACTTTTTTCTCCTGCCATGGGGGGGCGCTCTTTTGGGGAGTAAAAATTCCTTCACAAATGTGTTGATGGCTGGACATTGCATCATCCTAGAAAACTTGGAGGCCAGTGAGGGCAAAAATAAAAAGTTATAAGACTTTTAAATATGTGGATCTTAGGGTTATCTTTGGCGCCCCCTAGAACCTAAACCGTGGGGTGCAGCGTCATGATTTGAATAACTTTTAATGGCCATGGGGTGTAGATTGGCCTGAGCAAATGTGGTGCCGGTGGAACGAAAGCCTTCGGAGGAGTTAGCGAAATTCCAATGTGTACGGATCGCCAAAAAATGCGAAATAACCCTTTAACCGTACATTTGACAGATACGCCCGCACTGACTTTTTTGTAGATCTTATTGAGATACATGTGTGTGTCAAATTTTGTGTCATTTTGACAAAGCGTACAGGCGTGACAGTCAATAGTGTGAATTTTCACCTTAGGGGGCGCTATGGAGCCATTTTGCATTTTATTGTTTGGGCGACTTCAGAATATCAAATTTTTCACCAGGCCCGGTCGTCCTGCCAAATTTCATGAGTTTTCACCAGTGGGAAGTGGGCCATTTTCCAGTTTAAAGGGGAGGAAAAATAATAACTAGGGCCCCGTTGGGGCACTGGCGGGCCCGAGCCGTGTCACGCCGCCCCCAGCGCGACCGCCTCCCCCACCCGATCGCGTCACACTCAAGGTCCAAAGATGGTGTGCGCACTTGTTTGTGGTCATTTACCATTATAATGAACGGGAGGCGCAGTTTCTACCAAAACGCTCGCTGCAGAAAAACTCCATGTCCTATTTGAAAAAAGTCTGGACCATGAGTGAGGGCACAAACACAGCTAAGATATATCCAAATGGCAAGTTGCTCCTCCTTTCGCTTTTGCCGAGAGAGCAGTGCGTTTGAGCCATTGAATGATGAACAGGAAAAACTTGACTTTATTCTCCTGCCATGGGGGGCGCTCTTTTAAAGAGAAAAAACTCCTTCACAAATGTGTTGATGGCTGGACATTGCATCATCCTAGAAAACATGGAGGCCAGTGAGGACAAAAATAAAAAGTTATAAGACTTTTAAATATGTGGATTTTAGGGTTATATTTGGCGCCCCCTAGAACCTAAACCGTGGGGTGCAGCGTCATGATTTGAATAACTTTTAATGGCCATGGGGTGTAGATTGGCCTGAGCAAATGTGGTGCCGGTGGAACGAAAGCCTTCGGAGGAGTTAGCGAAATTCCAATGTGTGCGAATCTGCAAAAAATGCGAAATAACCCTTTAACTGTACATTTTACAGATACGTGGCCATTGACTTTTTCGAAGATCTTATTGAAATACACGTGTATGTAAAATTTTGTGTCAATACGACAAAACATACAGGAGTAGCACTCAACAATGTGTATTTTCACCTTAGTGGACAAGAAAAAATTGACTTTTTTCTCCTGCCATGGGGGGGCGCTCTTTTGGGGAGTAAAAATTCCTTCACAAATGTGTTGATGGCTGGACATTGCATCATCCTAGAAAACTTGGAGGCCAGTGGGGACAAAAATAAAAAGTTATAAGACTTTTAAATATGTGGATTTTAGGGTTATCTTTGGCGCCCCCTAGAACCTAAACCGTGGGGTGCAGCGTCATGATTTGAATAACTTTTAATGGCCATGGGGTGTAGATTGGCCTGAGCAAATGTGGTGCCAGTGGAACGAAAGCCTTCGGAGGAGTTAGCGAAATTCCAATGTGTGCGGATCGGCAAAAAATGCGGAATAACCCTTTAACCGTACATTTGACAGATACGCGCGCATTGACTTTTTCGTAGATCTTATTGAGATACATGTGAGTGTCAATTTTTGTGTCATTTTGCCAAAGCGTACAGGTGTTACACTCAACAATGTGTATTTTCACCTTAGGGGACAAGAAAAAATGGACTTTTTTCTCCTGCCATGGGGGGGCGCTCTTTTGGGGAGTAAAAATTCCTTCACAAATGTGTTGATGGCTGGACATTGCATCATCCTAGAAAACTTGGAGGCCAGTGAGGGCAAAAATAAAAAGTTATAAGACTTTTAAATATGTGGATCTTAGGGTTATCTTTGGCGCCCCCTAGAACCTAAACCGTGGGGTGCAGCGTCATGATTTGAATAACTTTTAATGGCCATGGGGTGTAGATTGGCCTGAGCAAATGTGGTGCCGGTGGAACGAAAGCCTTCGGAGGAGTTAGCGAAATTCCAATGTGTGCGGATCGGCAAAAAATGCGAAATAACCCTTTAACCGTACATTTGACAGATACGCCCGCACTGACTTTTTTGTAGATCTTATTGAGATACATGTGTGTGTCAATTTTTGTGTCATTTTGACAAAGCGTACAGGCGTGACAGTGAATAGTGTGAATTTTCACCTTAGGGGGCGCTACGGAGCCATTTTGCATTTTCTTGTTTGGGCGACTTCGGAATATCAAATTTTTCACCAGGCCCGGTCGTCCTGCCAAATTTCATGAGTTTTCGCCAGTGGGAAGTGGGCCATTTTCCAGTTCAAAGGGGAGGAAAAATAACTAGGACCCCGTTGGGGCACTGGCGGGCCCGAGCTGTGTCGCGTCCCCCCCCCAACGCGCTGCCTCACCGTCCCATTTGTGTCCTCTGGCCATCGCCCTCTCTGGTAACGCCCATCACTGCAAAGACCCTTTTCCTTCATCGGCGTTTGCTGTTCTTCCTGCCAGTGCGTGTTGCTTTCACTTACACTTGCCACAGCCAGCCTCGTGAGTGCCTAGCCTATTGGATATCACTGTCACCTACACAGGACAGTCATTACCTTTCTATTAATACTTTGTTTTTTAATTTCACATTAATTTCCATATTGTATAAACAACTGGAAAAAACTTGAGCCCCTGCCCCTGTATAATCATGTGCACGTCTCTGTTCTAGCTCTAAGGTGAATCTTCACTGCTCATGTTCTCCTCAGAAGCACTCACCTCACTCCCCTCAGGTTACTGTACACATGCACCAACTGCCTGCTTCAGGTTTGGATGGAGCTTCATGGTTGTCTTTTGGAGAAATGACCAGTCAAGTTGTGTTTGAAATTTGATTTTTTTCAGGGGCAAAAGGAGCCTCTGCATTCTTGTCAAATATGTAAATAGCATGTTTTTGCAGGTGCTAAAAACCAGACTCTGAGTGTGTGTGTGTGTGTGCGTGTGTGTGTGTGTGTGTCTGTGTGTGTGTGTGTGTGCGTTCAAGTCACATGACATATTTAACCGGATGTAGCTGCAAGACGGAGCCTCGTTGACTCTCCGTTTCAATTTATCTCAAAAGTGAGGACCTCAACCTATATACCAGTTTTTAAATTGTGTTGATAGGCCAAATAAAACCAGAGGTATGATAAATTATGTCCGCGATACTTGTTTTCTGCTTATTTTGATCACGTTCGGCGCTCGATCGCGCTGTATGAGACAGGAAAACATAGCATGCAGACATTAGCGACAGGTCTTACAGGCGGAAAAGGCTTGCCAAAGGAAAAAAAAAACACACCACAACATCTCTCCTATTGGTGGAAAACTTCACCACAACAACCAATCCAAAATTATATGGTGACTGATTGACAAGGGGCGGGAACTTACGTTCTTCCTGCAATATGAGAAGGGAGGGAGGGACTCTCAGCAGGGATGCAGTCTGGGACACGTAGTTGCAAACCTAGCGACTTTGTTGTTAGATTCAATGACTTTTCAGACCCCCTAACGACTTTTTTTTAGAAAGAAAGGGACTTTTATCGACTTCTTCTGGAGTTTAGAGACTCTGACATGAAGCAGGCTTTCCTTACTGAGGAGTTAGCAACACTGCTAAGGGTGCAGAGCCACACATGCGCTCCGAGCTCTGCATGGGAGACTGAAGCTGACAGAGCTGCAGCAGTTAGCAGGTTTCACCCTCAGAGACCACCAGGGGTTCATGTTGAGGCATTTTCAGTTTTTTTTTTTTTTTTTTTTGCCATAGACACTGTCAGCACAATCTGCAGTTACACTAACAAAAATGCTGCAAAAAACAAAGAATTATGGAAAAATTACACATGGACTGACATAGAGGAGGATCTACACAAGTTTTTTACATCATGTTTTACATCATGCATCATTTACATCATGTTTTTTTGTAGTGGCATAAATAAAAAGTGACATTTGTGAGACTATACAGTGTTTTGTAAATAATTTTACAAAGAACACCTGGGCCATTGCCTGCATTTTGATGTCAATAGAGGTAAATTACTATGTTCTTTGTTAAAAATTTGCATATGTTTTGAAGTTTACAATTTTTATTTGAAGTTTAAGTTTTAAAAACAGTTCATCACACATATTTGTGGTTTTCACAGTAAAAACGTTACTTTTTTCCACTCGGATTTTATGTTTTGTGTGTGAATTTGGGTCCAATGTGTAAATATAGTATGTCAAAATGATAAAATAACTGTAAATTGACACAGGTGAGGTTGTGCTGAAAAAAATGATACCAGGCAAGGCAAGGTAAAAATTTTGTAAGAGGAAATATAAAGGTAAAATCTAAAGTAGTCAAAAACGGCCAATAGTGACTCACAGACTCCACAGACAAGTCCCTTTGGCGCCACTCAGTGGGCAAAACTACTTTGTCTACTGTAATGTATATTTGGGTCATCTTTGGCGCCCCCTAAAACGTAAACCGTGGGGTGCAGCGTCATGATTTTTACAACTTTGAATGGCCATGGAGTGTAGATTGGCCTGAGCAAATTTGGTGTCAGTGGGACGAAGGCCTTAGGAGGAGTTAGCGAAATTCCAATGTGTGCGAATTGGCAAAAAATGCAAAATAGCCCTTTTACCGTACATTATACAGATACGCGCTCTTTGACTTTTTCGTAGATCTAATTGAGATACACATGATTGTCAATTTTTGTGTCATTTTGCCAAAGCGTACAGGCGTGACAGTCAACAATGTGTATTTTCACCTTAGGGGACAAGAAAAAATGGACTTTTTTCTCCTGCCATGGGGGGCGCTCTTTTAGGGAGTAAAAATTCCTTCACAAATGTGTTGATGGCTGGACATTGCATCATCCTAGAAAACTTGGAGGCCAGTGAGGACAAAAATAAAAAGTTAAAAGACTATTAAAAATGTGGATTTTTGGGTTATCTTTGGCGCCCCCTAGAACGTAAACCGTGGGGTGCAGCGTCATGATTTGAATAACTTTTAATGGCCATGGGGTGTAATTTGGCCTGAGCAAATGTGGTGCCGGTGGAACGAAAGCCTTCGGAGGAGTTAGCGAAATTCCAATGTGTGCGAATCGGCAAAAAATGCGGAATAACCCTTTAACCGTACATTAGACAGATACGCCCGCACTGACTTTTTTGTAGATCTTATTGAGATACATGTGTGTGTCAATTTTTGTGTCATTTTGACAAAGCGTACAGGCGTGACACTCAACAATGTGTATTTTCACCTTAGGGGACAAGAAAAAATGGACTTTTTTCTCCTGCCATGGGGGGGCGCTCTTTTGGGGAGTAAAAATTCCTTCACAAATGTGTTGATGGCTGGACATTGCATCATCCTAGAAAACTTGGAGGCCAGTGAGGGCAAAAATAAAAAGTTATAAGACTTTTAAAAATGTGGATTTTAGGGTTATCTTTGGCGCCCCCTAGAACCTAAACCGTGGGGTGCAGCGTCATCATTTGAATAACTTTTAATGGCCATGGGGTGTAGATTGGCCTGAGCAAATGTGGTGCCGGTGGAACGAAAGCCTTCGGAGGAGTTAGCGAAATTCCAATGTGTGCGGATCGGCAAAAAATGCGAAATAACCCTTTAACCGTACATTTGACAGATACGCCCGCACTGACTTTTTTGTAGATCTTATTGAGATACATGTGTGTGTCAATTTTTGTGTCATTTTGACAAAGCGTACAGGCGTGACAGTCAATAGTGTGAATTTTCACCTTAGGGGGCGCTATGGAGCCATTTTGCATTTTCTTGTTTGGGCGACTTCGGAATATCAAATTTTTCACCAGGCCCGGTCGTCCTGCCAAATTTCATGAGTTTTCGCCAGTGGGAAGTGGGCCATTTTCCAGTTCAAAGGGGAGGAAAAAGAAAAAAGAAACAAAGAAAAACCACTTGGGGAATAATAGGGCTCTCGCAGCTGCTTAGCAGCTACGCTCGGGCCCTAACTAGGGCCCCGTTGGGGCACTGGCGGGCCCGAGCCGTGTCGCACCCCCCCCCCCCCCAACGCGCTGCCTCCCCGTCCCATTCGTGTCCTCTGGCCATCGCCCTCTCTGGTAACGCCCATCACAGCAAAGACCCTTTTCCTTCATCGGCGTTTGCTGTTCTTCCTGCCAGTGCGTGTTGCTTTCACTTACACTTGCCACAGCCAGCCTCGTGAGTGCCTAGCCTATTGGATATCACTGTCACCTACACAGGACAGTCATACTTTGTTTTTTAATTTCACATTAATTTCCATATTGTATAAACGACTGGAAAAAACTTGAGCCCCTGCCCCTGTATTATCATGTGCACGTCCCTGTTCTAGCTCCAAGGTGAATCTTCACTGCTCATGTTCTCCTCAGAAGCAGTCACCTCACTCCCCTCAGGTTACTGTACACATGCACCAACTGCCTGCTTCAGGTTTGGATGGAGCTTCATGGTTGTCTTTTGGAGAAATGAGCAGTCAAGTTGTGTTTGAAATTTGATTTTTTTCAGGGGCAAAAGGAAGCCTCTGCATTCTTGTCAAATATGTAAATAGCATGTTTTTGCAGGTGCTAAAAAACAGACTCTGAGTGTGTGTGTGTGTGTGTGCATGTGTGTGTGTGTGTCTGTGTGTGTGTGTGTGTGTATCCTGCAGTACTCTGAGAAGAATAATAAGCATATTTCTGAGGTGAATTTTGAAGATTCATCTGAGAGTTAGGTTTGATTCGATTCGATTGACGCTCCCCAGCGTTCAAGTCACATGACATATTTAACCGGATGTAGCTGCAAGACGGAGCCTCGTTAACTCTCCGTTTCAACTTATCTCAAAAGTGAGGACCTCAACCTATATACCAGTTTTTAAATTGTGTTGATAGGCCAAATAAAACCAGAGTTATGATAAATTATGTCCGCGATACTTTTTTTCTGCTTATTTTGATCACGTTCGGCGCTCGATCGCGCTGTATGAGACAGGAAAACATAGCATGCACACATTAGCGACAGGTCTTACAGGCGGAAAAGGCTTGCCAAAAGAAAAAAAAAACACACCACAACATCTCTCCTATTGGTGGAAAACTTCACCACAACAACCAATCCAAAATTATATGGTGACTGAATGACAAGGGGCGGGCGCTTATGTTCTTCCTGCAACATGAGAAGGGAGGGAGGGACTCTCAGCAGGGATGCAGTCTGGGACACGTAGTTGCAAACCTAGCGACTTTGTTGTTAGATTCAATTACTTTTCAGACCCCCTAACGACTTTTTTTAGAAAGAAAGGGACTTTTATCGACTTCTTCTGGAGTTTAGAGACTCTGACATGAAGCAGGCTTTCCTTACTGAGGAGTTAGCAACGCTGCTAAGGGTGCAGAGCCACACATGCGCTCCGAGCTCTGCATGGGAGACTGAAGCTGACAGAGCTGCAGCAGTTAGCAGGTTTCACCCTCAGAGACCACCAGGGGTTCATGTTGAGGCATTTTCAGTTTTTGTTTTTTTTGCCATAGACTGTCAGCACAATCTGCAGTTACACTAACAAAAATGCTGCAAAAAACAAAGAATTATGGAAAAATTACACATGGACTGACATAGAGGAGGATCTACACAAGTTTTTTACATCATGTTTTACATCATGCATCATTTACATCATGTTTTTTTGTAGTGGCATAAATAAAAAGTGACATTTGTGAGACTATACAGTGTTTTGTAAATAATTTTACAAAGAACGCCTGGGCCATTGCCTGCATTTTGATGTAAATAGAGGTAAATTACTATGTTCTTTGTTAAAAATTTGCATATGTTTTGAAGTTTACAATTTTTATTTGAAGTTTAAGTTTTAAAAACAGTTCATCACACATATTTGTGGTTTAATTTCACATTAATTTCCATATTGTATAAATGACTGGAAAAAACTTGAGCCCCTGCCCCTGTATAATCATGTGCACGTCCCTGTTCTAGCTCCAAGGTGAATCTTCACTGCTCATGTTCTCCTCAGAAATAGTCACCTCACTCCCCTCAGGTTACTGTACACATGCACCAACTATCTGCTTCAGGTTTGGATGGAGCTTCATGGTTGTCTTTTGGAGAAATGAACAGTCAAGTTGTGTTTGAAATCTGATTTTTTTCAGGGGCAAAAGGAAGCCTCTGCATTCTTGTCAAATATGTAAACAGCATGTTTTTGCAGGTGCTAAAAAACAGACTCTGAGTGTGTGTGTGTGTGTGTGTGTGTGTGTGTGTGTGTGTGTGTGTGTGTGTGTGTGTGTGTGTGTATATGTGTGTGTATCCTGCAGTACTCTGTACTCCTGCAGTGGCCAAAAAGACTTTTAAGAATGTGGATTTTTGGGTCATCTTTGGCGCCCCCTAGAACTGCAGTACTCTGTACTCCTGCAGTGGCCAAAATGACTTTTAAGAATGTGGATTTTTGGGTCATCTTTGGCGCCCCCTAGAACGTAAACCGTGGGGTGCAGCGTCATGATTTTTACAACTTTGAATGGGCATGGGGTGTAGATTGCCCTGAGCAAATTTGGTATCGGTGGGACGAAAGCCTTAGGAGGAGATAGCCACATTCCAATGTGTGCGAATCGGCAAAAAATGCGAAATAGCCCTTTAACCGTACATTATACAGATACGCGCTTTTTGACTTTTTCGTAGATCTAATTGAGATACACATGATTGTCAATTTTTGTGTCAATATGACAAAGCGTTCAGGCGTGACACTCAACAATGTGTATTTTCATGTAAGGGGACAAGAAAAAATTGACTTTTTTCTCCTGCCATGGGGGGGCGCTCTTTTGGGGAGTAAAAATTCCTTCACAAATGTGTTGATGGCTGGACATTGCATCATCCTAGAAAACTTGGAGGGCAGTGAGGACAAAAATAAAAAGTTATAAGACTTTTAAGAATGTGGATTTTGGGTTATCTTTGGCGCCCCCTAGAACGTAAACCGTGGGGTGCAGCGTCATGATTTGTACAACTTTTAATGGCCATGGGGGGTAGATTGGCCTGCGCAAATGTGGTGCCGGTCGAACGAAAGCCTTCGGAGGAGTTAGCGAAATTCCAATGTGTGCAGATCTGCAAAAAATGCAAAATAACCCATTAACCGTACATTTGACAGATACGCCCGCACTGACTTTTTTGTAGATCTTATTGAGATACATGTGTGTGTCAATTTTTGTGTCAATATGACAAAGCGTACAGCCGTCATGTGAATTTTCACCTTAGGGGGCGCTATGGAGCCATTTTGCATTTTATTGTTTGGGCGACTTCAGAATATCGAATTTTTCACCAGGCCCGGTCGTCCTGCCAAATTTCCTGAGTTTTCGCCGGTGGGAAGTGGGCCATTTTCCAGTTTAAAGCGGAGGAAAAATAATAACGAAAGAAGGAAACATGCAGGAACAAGAGGGCTCTCGCAGCTGCTTAGCAGCTACGCTCGGGCCCTAATAATAACAAAAGAAGGAAACTACAGGAACAAGAGGGCTCTCGCAGCTGCTTAGCAGCTACGCTCGGGCCCTAAAGAAGAATCCATCAGGAATAATAGGGCTCTCGCAGCTGCTTAGCAGCTACGCTCGGGCCCTAAAGAAACAAAGAAAAACCACTTGGGGAATAATAGGGCTCTCGCAGCTGCTTAGCAGCTACGCTCGGGCCCTAAAAACACAATGCACCTTTCACACCGACTACATAGTTTCTCCATTATTCTTCTGAGCAGAATGAGTCGTCCCACCCTCACACGCTGCCTTAAAGGAAACACTGCGCTCTATATTCACACACCATAAAGACCCCCAGAGCTCTCTTATTCCAACTGTGTCTGTCAGCATCTATGAAAGACTATACACTCTGTTTCATAGTCTGCACACACACACACACACACACACACACACACACATGCATGCATACATAACACACTGAATAAACTGCATCACTTTGCTAAAAATACACAGCCTTCCTTTCTCTTACAGAGACGTCCTCTCTCTCATAGAGACAAGCCCAAAATACTCCTCTCTTCATTTCTCAGGCTTTTGTCGCCCTTCATACGCTGCTCTGACATTAAACGCACAATAACATGTTTATACCCCTCAAAGTAAATGATTTCAAGTCCCAGAACTCAAAAACTGCCTTTGGATTTACTTACAAAGAGCTCTTGTGTTAAAACTTGATGAACAAAAATCTGGAGCTCAACTTATTAGAGGTAGTCTTTCATGTTGATGTTTAGTTCTTGGTTGTTTTTAAGGCTACTTCAGTGCATAAGGCATGTTTGGGACTCTTAAATGTACTTTTCTAAATATCTGTAAACCCCCAAGACTGGCTATTTGCTTTATCCCACTGTCTACCTATCAAAAAGGCATTTAATAACAATATTTTTTTTGTCTTTATGAGTCCTTGACTAAATCAAACTTAGAAGATTTTAAGTGTTATGTTTCTTTTTAAAGCTAAGTATCACACAAAAAACACAACCCCAATTCCAAAATAGTCAGACCACTGTAAAATGTGTTAAAACAGATGTTTTATAACCTATGTTTACTTGGAAATAGTACAAAGACAACATATCTAGTGTTAAAACTTCAAAGTTTTGATGTATTTATTAATTATAAATATTGGCTCGCTTTAAATTTAATGGCAGCAAAATGTCTAATAAGAGTTGGAACTGGTCTAAAAAAAAATACTGAAACATCTGGAGAAACATCTCCCCTTTTTACAAGATTCATTTGCAACAGGTGACTGGGTTAAAAAATGGACAAACCAGAGAGGTTGGTAAGAAATTCACTGCTCTGTGAGAGACTGCGTGATGTTCCTCCAAGTAAAATTGCAAAGAATCAGAGGATATGATCATCTACTTTTGCTCATTTGCAGATAGTTAATCAATGAATTTCATTTCTGATATCTGGCCTTAATTGCATTTTTTTCTGGAATCTGGAGAAATCTTTGCGCTAAAGGGGTCAAGGACAAAAACCAATACTGGATGGTCATGATCTTTAGGCCCTTAGGCAGCACTGCATTAAAAACATGCCTGTCTCTGTAGTGGAAATCACTGCATCAGCTCAGAATCACTTCCAAAAACCATTGTCTGTGAAAGTTCATCGCTGCATCCACAAATCCAGGTTAAACTGAACAACACTAAAAGGAAAACATTTATGAACATGATTCAGAAAGACTGGTAACCTCTCTGGACCTGAGCCTGTTTAAGATGGACTGAGGTGAATTGTCTGTTTCAGGTCTTATGAATCAAATTTTGACTTTCTGAGGTTTAAACATCTGCAGAGTGCTGAACATTATATACGGGTGTTGGAGCATCATCTGCTGCTGATCAGATAATACCTTATTCAGGGAGGCTCTTGCATAATATAGTAAAACCACATTCTGCAGCCGTTACAACAGCTTGGATCTGTAGTAGAAGAGTCCAGGTACTAGAGTGGCCTGTCATGAAAACTGTTGGGAAGCTGAAATCCTCTGTCAGACAAAAGGGGAACAATATTTCCATTTCAAAACTCCAAAAACTGCTCTGTTCCTGTTCTTAAATGTTTAAAGGGTGTTGGTAAAGGAAGAGGTGTGGCAGTTCAGTGGTGAACATGCCCCTGTCCCAACTGTTTTAAAACATGTTGATGGCATCAGATCAAAAGTGATCATTAATCTTTCATAAAACTATAAAACTTTTTAGTTTCAACTTTTGATATGTTGTCTTTACACCACTTTCAAGTAAATATGATTTCAGGATAGAGATTTTTCAAGATATTACAAAGGGTCCAAACTTTGTTGGGATTAGGGTTGAGATTCTTCAGGGGAAGCACAGAAAGGGTAAATAAACAATGTTCATTCCTTTGTAGAGTAGTGGTGTCTTGATACAACTTTTTTACTTCCAATAAAATACCGATATTATAGCCTTCAGTATCGCCAATACCGATAATGATCCGATACTGACACAAACTTGTGCATGACAAGTTTTGCACTCAGCTGCAATGTCTTTTTCGGACTTTAACGAAAAAGGACTTCCCACTCCTTGCTACTTTGTTCGTACCTTAGTACACACTGTTGTTGTGATCACATGGGCTATGCATGCTAGCTAGAGGTGCCGGAGTGGAGTCTGGAATGGACTGCTTGTATCGGAGTTCTGATATCGGAGTTTTTAGATGCAGGCTGATCTAATCTGATATTTGTTTTTTAGCTAAAATCGGGCAGATATCGATATCGTATCGGGACAGCCCTAACCAGAAGCCACCCCTGTATTAGTCAGCACCAGGCCACTCCTGTCACAAAAGTCTGGACACACCTCTGTTTGTAGCTCCAGGTAGATATAAAGTCGATCAAATTACGAGTTATCAAAGTAGTGGTCACATAGACTGTCCACGAGGGTCCGTCATCCCTGGGTGGCTGTTTTGCTTCACTAAAACAGTAATCCAGCCTTGCATCCTTGTATGTCACATTACATAATTTCTGAGCAATGATGTAACTCTCTCAAATTTAAATTGTTGTCTTTCATCGTGGATTTCTGGAGGCCCAAATCGGAAAAGCGAATTATGTTTCAAGCCCATCGCTCCTACATGATCGTGATGCATATTTAAAGACAGATCTGACACGTAGGGATCTTTGGTGATATAATATGCTCTCCTAGGGTATTGCACTTCATATAAGAGCTGCAGAAAAGCCCCAAAATGTCAAAGTGGTAGCTCACCAAACTTGGGTAACTTCACTCTGTCACACTGTATTAATAAGATGCTGCATGTTTCTGAATGCGTGAGAGCGAGCAAAGCAGACACAAAGAAAAGAGTGGAGAAGTTGTGGGTAAAAACATTCAGTTTCAGCATTTCAAATACTCATTTTTAGAGTAATGTGCAGTTTTTATATGTGTTTGTGTTAGCAGACCTGCATGTAAACATTCTTTGTGTGTTTAAATCTTGTCCTACCTGGGCCATGGTCTTCAGCAGGACTTCGGCTGGCTCCTGGTCCTCAGCATGGCTTCACAAACCTCAGGTTGCTTCTCAGTAGAGGATGTTTGGGTCCTGCTGATGGGGGAAGTTCACTTCTCACTCACTCACACTCCTCCTCCTCCTCTTCTGTGACAGCACTGTCCTCCGAAGCACTCGCTCTTGGAAATCTTCCTCCTTTTCTTTTTCTTCTCTTTCTCCTTCCTTTCTCCCAGATGCAGTCTTTCTCTCTCCTCCACTGAATGTGTCAGACGGGGCTGGTATCCCTTTATTCTTGTCCTCCTCACGTCTGTTTCTTCTGCCTCAGTGTCTCGTCGGTTGTAATCTGGGCTCACAACATTCTCTGCCTCTCCTTTTCCTCCTCCTGCTCTCTCTCTCTCTCACTCGCTGGCTCTCCTCTCAGCTGCTCCCCCTCCTCCACCTTCCTCTAAAATCCTCCTGCTTTTTCCCTCCCTCACTGTACACAGCATTAGTGAGAGACATGCAGAGGGGAGGGGGGAGGAATCAGAGGGATAGAGTACGTGTGTGAGTGTGAGTGTGTGTCTGTGTGTACCATGTGACCTCACAGTGTAGTAGGATTCCCCCAGCAGCTGTCGCACTCATTCCTCCATAGTGCTTCACTCTGAGCGCCATACACTCCCATTGATGTCCTATGTTGATAAACTATCAATGGAGCAGGGGAATATGAAGTAGTCCCTGCTTCAGGGTATTCTTAGATAAAGCTTCTGTAGGGAATTTTTCTGTTTTCTGAAAGAGATTGAAATTAGTAGAAGTGCCTCTTTATGGTCCACAAAAGCACAGACAACCACCAGCTACATCAGTGGTTCTCAAGTCCAGTCCTCGAGGCCCACCATCCTGCATTTTTTGGATGTTTTCCTGCTCCAACACACCTGATTCAAATGATCAGCTCGTTATCAAGCTCCAACACACCTGATTCAAATAATCAGCTCGTTATCAAGCTCTGTAATGGTTTAATAACGAGCTGATCATTCGAATCAGGTGTGTTGGAGCAGGAAAACATCCGAAACATGCAGGACAGTGGGCCTCGAGGACTGGACTTGAGAACCAGTGAGCTACATGAATGATATTTGATAACTACAGCCACAAGCCTCATTAAAGCCCTAAAGATGATTATTTCTCTTCTTTATTTTTATTCCTTCGTACCATCTAAATGATTGAAAATTTCCAGCCTTTGACACGCCCCAACACTCACTAAACTTGCCCCACCGAGCAAAAAGAAAAATGTTGTAAAGGTCTTATCCATAGACACCGCGAGAACAGCACCCACTAGTGACGGGCTGCAGTATATGTCCTATATCCCGCATCCTCCAGCAATCCCTATGGAGTTGTGGACAAATTTTTGAAATTTATTACACAGAATATTAACGTTTCTCCTCCCTGGTTACGATGTTGACATGTAGTTACTGTAAGACTGGTTGTGCTCAAGTCCTCTTTTCTCTGTACAGCTCCATTTTTAAAAGTTATTAGGGGGTTCACATTTTCTATGATTGACACTTGATACAGCCTTTGGACGTACAAAGATTAGCTCACCAGGGGGGAGACGCTGTTTGAGCCAAGCGTCATCACAGTGACTCTTGGCAACTCTCCCGGCGAATGCGTACAATGCTACTGCGCAAGTGGTGGAGTGCGTACAACGCTACTGCACAATGTTGGTTTCAGGAAGTTGAGAAAAAACCCAGAAATTGTGAGAGCTTTTCGGCTTCAAATCTGTATACTGGTGGAAGGCGGAACCAAGTTCTCCATAGTATATACAGTCTATGGTTTTACCACAGCTTTGCAAGAAAGGTCCAATTATGCACCCTCAAGTTTCCAAATCTTTACAATGAGCCCTGCCTCAGGATTCAACCTACATACTGTACATAAAAAAGCCAATGGATAACCATCTAACCATCTAAACTCATCTAGGAGTTTACCTCAAAGCTTTGGTTTGATTTAATCCAACCTTGCATAATGTATCATATACAACCTGAGGATAAAAAGTTACTGAAACTCTTTCTGCATGTCACATGGTACGGCCTTGCCAGCTCATCAAACTTAGATCTCACTATGAAACAGGAAGTCAATGTCACTCCTTCGTACAGAATTAAATCTCTTTCATGTTTCATATACATGATCAAGGTCCACCCTTTAACACATCTACGTTCCCATTTCTCAACATAGCACCACCCTGTTGTGGCACATAGTACTAACTCTAACGTACACTATCCGATCCGAACTAAATTTTACAGCTTTTATGATCATCCCACTCTGGGCTAATTTACAATTTTTTCATATAGAAATAGTGGCGACAAATCCTATTGAATCCTATAGAAAGTATTGAATGACCTATCAATTGAAAAGTTTCTTGGATGAACTTGTATGGATGTTGCTACAGATGATAACTTGGTTTAAGTCATACTATACCAGAGTCATACTCTGTACTTTTTGCTCACAGTACTATCCACAACTCATCTAGATATAGATTTACAGTAACTCATGGTGTTTGCTCCACTTACTGCTGCAGAATTATGGCCACTAGTGTAGAGGCAGATCCTGCTGCACATCCTGCAGCTGCAGAAGGCTTCAAATATGAAGTCATTCACCATTCACAGCTGGATTTTTTTAACATTTTCAGTGGCAAACATTCTCAATGAGGGTTGTGTTTGACAGTAAATAAAAAGCAAATGAGTAATTTTGTCGAAAACATATCACAGGCTGGCCCCACACTAGATTATTCTAGACCTGATTTGCCACTTTCTATAATCAGTGGCCTAATTCAGGGCTTGTTGTCGTTGGATATGTGTCTAAATAATCCTCAAGTGTGACATATCAGTACATCAGAGCCTCACTAATCTGGGATCCTAAATATCAACCATGTTTAATATGTGGGATTTCAGATCATGCTGCCCCAAATGGAATACCTGCAAAAACCAATGATAGGAACGGAGTACACCAGCTGGGTGTACAACTCACAGGGCAGTGAATGCAAACACAGCTGTACCCCAGCTATCCCAGGACTTCTTCCTCAGAGTGAGGAAATGAAATATTTTCAGTTTGCATGATCTGGTTGAGGTTCATACAGGCCTAAGTCAGGCAAGAGATAGACAATAAAACCAAACACACAGTTTTCATTTTGACATTGATTTCAAGCATCAACTCATGCAGTGAGTAACATGAATGAAAACACTCCACCCTAAAATTTATGGTAGCTGCTAAATAGCAACCATAGATTGTATGGTAGTGACATGTTAATCATACCAGAATTGGGTCAACAAAGAAAAGGTGCTCAAGGGCATTTCTGTGAGATCCCATCTCTCTTGAATCGACACTTTCAAACCATTACCACCACTCTGGTCTACCACAGTGTTCAGAGGACTGTAAATACAAGAAATGACTATCTAAAGTCCTCTGGTGTATAGCCAGCTTTACACATAAATAGGAAAAAAGAAATTAGATGCATCACTTTGTCAACAGTGGATGCCAAGAGAAAAGTTTCCCTGTGGAGCTTAATGTCTTTTTTTTCCTGATCATTTTGCTCGTTTTTGAAAACAGGCTTGACTCAACTAAACTATATCTGCATTGGTCTAAACACTTTAACGGGACATCGAAACTCTGTAGTCACATCTAGAGAAAAGAGTCCTAGGGTCTCACTTATAAAATAGTGAATATAATCCATACTGGAAGTGTGTGTGTGTGCCAAAAAACAAAATCATGCAGAAAGACCTGCAGCATTCATTCATGGTATCCAACCAAACTGTCTGACCCTGCAGCCAACACTCATATTCTCTCCCCAGCTTTAGGCTTCAATACATTAGTTATAATAATAATAATACATTTTATTTATAAAGCGCTTTTCAAAAACACAAAGACGCTGTGATTATCCCTTGTATGCTTTCAAACTTGATTGTGATTGGTTGATTCTGATTTCTAGTTTGTAACACGCCCTCACCTTGCAGATCTATAGTCCATTTACTGTGGCAGAAATTACAAACTCTATAAAGCATGTTCATGAAAGCTCTTTGTGGGAACAACCTTCCTTTTTCAAGTTCGATATCAAGTTTAATTTGTGAGTCCTTCACAGAGAGTCACTATTTAGTTTTTTAACCCATATTATGTATTCTTAGGTTTGAGAAATACTTAACAGGAAACTTAGGGAATTTTAGCTTCATTACCTGTGTTCATTTGAAAGTAGTGCAGTGCTGCTGACCTGTGTGACAGCTGTATAACAGTTAACTCTGAGGCCTTTTAACACATCACTAGGCTTTAAATAAAACAAACAAAAAGCACAAAAATGACCCAATATCACCACATGTGAAAGAGTAACACAAAAGAAACACATAAAAACACACACAGTAGTACACAGAGTCATTCTATCCTTGAGGAATGAGGAAAAGGACATCCTGTGGTGCTTCCCCTGAGCTGTATAGCTGGAAACTCCCACCCCACAACAGGAACGAGCAGTTCGGACCTCCATGGAGGCCTGACACTGTTCTACTCTGAACAATCATGCTATAACTCAAGTCTGCATGCTGGGTCACTGCCTACAGCCACGTGGCTGGAGAATTAATGTCCACCAGGGTTATTTGGGTGTTTTTGATTGTCCGACTTCTGTTTGTTACTGATACTAGCATTGGATCTTTAGGCACACCTAATTTTTTTAAGGGGAAGGTATTTGTAGATTACTGTTATACTCCTACCAGGGTGTGTTAGGTAAACGTTTCTCAGGACAAAAGCTATGACAGATGAACAGCACCACCTGCTGTACAACACACGTACATGCAACCATATGAACCACTTATTCTCAAGAGGTGTGAATTTTGCATGGCGCCCTGCATTAATGATAACAAGTTATAAAAAAAACTGTGTACAAAAAAATTAACATAAAATCTTTTTAGTGTTAAATAATTTAGTGTCAAAAATGTAGTGTAAAACAGACTGACTTAACATCCTGGTAATCAGGGAGAAGCAATGGATTCCTCATTCTTCCACTGAGTCGGTGCCACATGACCAATCTAACATTATTTGATTGGTTGGATGATGGATGATTGAGCCAGGAATCGTTTGCTTTCCCTGGTTACCCAGATGTTGAGTCGGTCTGTTTTACACTGATTTTTTGACACTGAATTTTGAGACATTTTTTTCTATACTGAATTTTTTTTTTTTACACAGTTTTGTTGTTGTTGTTGGATGTTACACTGAATTTATTTCATCATTGTGAAAAAAAAATAAGTGTAAGAAATAAAGATGCGTGCTTGAAATTCAATAGTTTCGAAATTCAAAGTCTGATTTTGATGCAAAAAAATTCAGCTTTAGAAATTCAAATTCAAAATCAGATGGCACAGATTCACTTCCATAGCCTCCTCATTGATTTGTCACACAGCAGTGTGCCGGAATTGGACACTAGGTGGCGATGACCGCTAATCGGTACAATCTACTAAACCGTAGAAGAAGAACCTCTTTGTTTTTAGCATTAGCTCCCGTCAAGTCAATCTCACATCTGAGGGGGTTTGGGGAAATATGAGGAGGTTTTTTTTAAAGCCCATGCCTCCTATTTAATCCCATCCTCTGACTCTGAGCTGTGTGGTGGAGAGATGTTGAGTACAAGGAAGATGGAGCTGCTCAAAACTCTCATCGGTGAGTGTTTGTCTGCAGCAGCTCAGGAGATCTTCAGGATCGTGGAGGGAGTGATGCTGGAGTGTGAGGAAGAAGTATCCTGTTCAAAGTGGGAGCTGGACAGTCAGTGCAGACTGATGGATGTCTCCATGTCACACAAAGAAGGTCAGTAATCCAGGAGCAATGGGCTCTATGCACAGCCCCACTACTTCCTGAATTTAAGACAGCTCCTTTACTTCCTGTCTTATATTATTGGACAACCTGATCAACACAATGATCAGTTACACCTTGAATAATTAGTTTGTCCAATAACGTAAGACAGGAAATGAAGGAGCTGCCTTAAATTCAGGAAGTAGTGGATCTGTGCATAGAGCCAATTAGTGGAAAAGGTAATGATCATAACAATTAAAAGAAAAATATGAATTAAAAAAAGATGGGGTTAGTGCTGCACCTGGTCAAGAAAAATGTGCATAGGTTTTAGTTGGTGATATTCAGATATGAGGGAGATATAATAAGATTAAAGACTAAAAAGCGCCTGTTGTTTTGACCAAAAATGTCTGGTACCTCAATTTCTACCTATTAAAAGCTTCTTCTTCTTCTCCTTTTCTTCAGTTACATTTTGGACTGCAGATTGTGTAGGGGAGGTCTTTTATTTTTGGGCATCTTTAAGAAATGTAAGAATAAGAAGAACTTTATTTATCCCCGAAGGGAAATTCAATTCTCTGTAGACTCATTTGTCATGTCAATCTAAAAGTCATCTACTATTTACAAAAGAGTTGTTAAGTCTGATGGCTGTTGGTACAACAACATATCTTTATTTTGTATTGAAATGTCTATAGTCTCATTTGTCATGCCTCTAAAAGTCATCTACTATATACAGAAGAGTTGTAAAGTCTGATGGCTGTTGGTACAAAAGATCTTCTGAATCTTTCTGTCCTGCAGCAAAGAGAGAGGAGCCGTCCACCACCATTTACCCTTCGGTCAATCAAGGTGTTGTGAAGTGGGTGATCCATGTTCTTGAGAATAGTCTCCATCTTCCTCAGTGTAGATTTCTCCACCACAGAGCCAGCCTTTTTCACCAGTTTGTTCAGACGTCTTGCATCTTTGTGTTTGATGCTTCCTCCCCAGCAGACTGCAGCGTAGAACAGAACACTATAGACACCACAGACTGATCAAACATCTGCAGCATCTTACTACAGATGTCTATTGAAATGATGATGATGTCTATTTCCCTCTCGTCCTCAGATACTCTACAGATGTGCTCCACCGGTTTGACGGTACAGGCCACCGAGCAGCAGCAGAAGCCTGCCAGTGTGGACGCCATTCTGTCTCTACACATAGAAAACTCCACTGAGCCAGCAGAGGATCATCCGGACATGAACAATATTTGTGTTGATTCTTCCCCTGACAGTGAAAATGATCCTCAGAGTGATCTGGAGAGCCAGCTCAATGTTAGAGAAAGTGTAATAAAGCAGGAGAGTGATATGGACGTGCTTTTAAATATTCAGAAAAAGAAGAAAGTATTCAAACATCCAGTTTGCCGCAGCGGTTTATCATCCAAAAAGACGATTGTGCAACACTTCAGGGGACATCCAGAGGACAAATCTTCATATCAGTGCCAGTTCTGTTCCTGCAGCTTCTTAAACAAGTCTGAATTCATCATTCACACGAGGACACACCAAAGTCAGGGTCCTGAAATGTACCAAGATCAGAGGGGGAGTCATCTTGGTGATAAACAGACTCAAACAGAGAAGAAACCTATTCAGCCCGTCAGTGATTCTGATATAGAGACATTTCCACTGAATATTCCTCCCTGTGATAAAAATGAGTCTGATCAGGAGTCTCTGTGTGTTTACCAGATCCAGACTGCCGCAGACATTAATGAAGACTTCACAGCTGCTAAATCATACAGTTTCATAAAAACTGAACCAAATGAGGCTGAGTGTGGAATAACTGACTACACCACTCCTTTACTAAATCCAGCTAAACAAAGAGAGACGGAGCCCCAACATTTGGGTCCAAATAAAACCCTGCAGAGGAGAAAACCCTCCAAGCTTATTGGACAGTTTGAAAGAGGGGCGGCGCAGAAACCCTACCAGTGCCCTTACTGCTCCAAGTGTTTCTCTCTGACGACAACATTGATAAGACACATGAACATCCACACAAAGAAGAAACTGTATCAGTGCCACGTCTGTGGACGAGACTTCTGTCAGAAATCAGACCTGGTCAGTCACACAAGGATTCATACAGGGGAGAGACCGTATCGCTGTCCGGAGTGCCACAGATCCTTTACACAGAAAGGAAACCTGGTGGTTCACATGAGGAAACACTCAGGATCAGTGCCCATAGTGTAGCTTAATAACAGGTCATTGTTAGACTTTCACATGCTGAGACACATAGTTTGAAAGTGTTTTGTGTTGACCATAGACTGTCTTAATATGGACAACTTGGTTCTCCCTTCTGCCAGTATAGGGATTTGAAGCCAAAAAGCTCTCTGTATTTCTGCGATTTTACTCCACTTCCTGAAAACCAATCTTGGTACATCCATAGGCTGTATCAAGTGTCAATCATAGAAAACATGAACCCTCTAATAACTTTTAAAAACAGAGCTGTACAGGAAAAAGAGGACTTGAGCACAAACCAGTCTTACAATAACTACATGTCAACATCACAACCAGGGGAGATAAAAATATATGTTCTGTGTGATTAATCTCAAAAGTTTGTCCACAGATCCATAGGGATTGCTGGAGGAGGCGGGATTTATGATCTGTACTGCAGCCTGTCACTAGAGGGTGCTGTTCTCACGGTGGCTTCACCCAGTGAGGAGGCAGATGTCGTCCATTTTACATACAGTCTATAGTGTTGACTCAAACTCTAATTTAAATCAAAAAGGTTTGACTTAACAGTATTTGCATTTGGTCCACTGTTAATCGTTTCATCAAGTTTATCTAAGTTGTTTTGTTTGTTACCTTTAATACAAATTTCAAAGTTTTATATTTTGACCATATGAAGGACTTCTTTTTCAGGTTTTTGTTTAAGTTGATATTGAAATTTAGTGATTTCGCCTGTTCAAGAATTAAGTTTTCTGGGAAATTTCAGGCAAAGTTTTGCACATTGTAATCAACTCCATTTCTCCTGCATTAACAATATTTTACACATGTTCCCTCCGACCTTTTTGGTTGATTTGGAGTTGTGAATCTGCCAGTCAGTGGATCAACTTAAATAAAAGTAAAAAGTACTTAAGGACAAACTGAGTGCTGAGTACTTGAATTGAACATGGGAATGGTGGTAAAAAAGAAAGATGTGACCCTCAAATTAAAGTAGTACAATACAATTACTGACTTGACACTGCTCAAGAGTACGAATACACTAAAAAGCTACACAGTTACAGTGCTGTCAGAGCTCTGAGTGCTGTAAGTAATCAGCTACTTTCCACCCATGGAGCTTGTGAATGACTGTTTACACTTTTCACCCAACAAGCTTCTAAACGGGTCAAACTGGTGATAGAGTAATGTGCGTCTGTGGGTCTCTGTCATTATTTAGATCACAGGTGTCAAACGTGGAACAATTATATCTGGCCCACGAGATCATGTCATATTTGTATTATTATCAGCCCACCAGTATGAGGTCTGCGGATTTCCTCCAGGATAATAATGTAAACTTTAGCACCATTATTTCAAATATCCTTAATAAACCATGAAAATCCGGGAAAGTACAGAGTAAGGAAGATTTGATAAATAGTCAAGAATATGGGGAAAAATTGTGTTTTATCCATATTTCCAATTTTGCAACTCAAGATTACAAGTCAAACATGATTTGACTTTTTATTTTGTGCTTTTATTTTTTTTTCAAACTCAGTATTTAGATTTATGTCATATTAATCCTTTAGATTCCAATTTTAAAATTTAAGTCATATTTTGATTTTAAAATTATCTAATATTTTAACCGTTCAAACTTATGATTTCAACATTTTAAAAGCATTATTTTTCTATTTTTAATGTTGTGTTCTGATCTGTTGAGATAATCTATTGGATTTTTTTTTTTTTAATCTCAGATTGCCTTTAAATTTATCTTTTTTTCCTTTTTTTCAAGTGGTTTATAATCATTGCTAATTTTGTTTGTTTTATATATTTTGAAGAGTAGGCTGACAGTTTGGGTTAAATGTTGACCCTGTCTGGCTCTCAGGTTAGACTTAAATCCAGATTATGGCCCTTGCTGTGGTTGAGTTTGACACCCCTGATCTAGATGCTACCATGTGCTCTATCAGTATTCAGTCAGTTTTGACTTCAGGACTTTACTTGTTGCATTCAGGTCACTGATCTATTCTGCTGTTCACAATGTCAGGTCACTTTCTTCCCTTTATTAGTCAGTAAAACTTATTTTTATTATCTTCTATCTGAAAAGCTGTAAGGGATGAGTGTTGTTTCTACTAAAAATGTGAAATCATCCCTCTCATATGATCTTTAGGGGAATGACTGTTAGTTAAAGCTGTGATGCATATACAGTGTGCTCTTTGGTTTTTGTTTGTTGTATGAGCATGCCATCATTTTACGATTAAAAGGAAGTGATTTATTAATTTTTGCTTCTAGTTTCTTGTTTCAGTTTCCTCTGGGCCTTAGTCTTTGGTGGAGAAAGTTCTGGAAATAGTTCCAAGTTTATTTGTATTTTGGAAATTGCAAATAAATTGTTGTTGATTGAGAAAGAAAACGCAAAGTATTTCTTAAAGTTAACAACAGTTTCTTCTCTTTTTTATCGAAGTAAACACACTCAGGTGATCCAGTCGTTGATGAAAAACACGGATAGATGTTTTCACCGATAAGGAACAACCTGAAGTCAGATTGCAACACACACACACACATACCCACACACACACAAAACAACAATATAGTAGAGGAGAATCCAGATTCAGGTCTTTAACTCTAAGTGATTAATCGATTGACTTCAGGTTGAGTGATACAGCGAGACTCAGACTTTTGACACTCTGAACACGGACTAAGAAACATTTTTATACTGTCAACGGTAGAGTTTGTACCGGTTGCAACATCTTAAACACAACAACTCAACGTTCATGTTTCATCTACACCTGTACAGAGCAGCTGTGTGTGTTTGTCCTACAGCGCCTCCACCTGGTGGACTCGAGCAATGACCATCAGAAACAGACACAGCTCACATCCACTACATTATTAGGTGTCATTTACTGAGGAAAGATCAGAAATTGGAGAGATTTAGTGGAAAGACTATTGAAAAATGATTATCGGACTTGTTGATTATTTAACATTATCTGTATTTGTTGTTTTTAAAGGGTTTTTCTTTTGTAACCCCTCAAAAAACTGCCACAATTTGTGTTTTTAACAGTTTTTTTCCACTGTGATCATGCAAAAAAGGCCTCTCCTTTAATGATAAGCATTTTTTTAAGTTTAACTGAAACATGTTGAAATTCATTAAAGGGGTCTTCTTCATTTTCTCTAGCAGAGACTTGGCAACCTTCAAGTTTCAATGTAACTTTATTGTCAGTTCTGCAATATGTGTAACACACACAGAGTATGAAATTGTATTACTCGAGGGCCCACAATATTATGATTAACATTTCATCTGTAGAAATTAAAGTGATCACAACCTGATCTCTAACAGATTTTCATACCAACCATCTTACACTCAAATATTTGGCATATTATCATTGAAATAAAACTATATGGGACAATAAAAGATATGTGAAAGCTACCTTTAAGGTTATTTCATAAACAGAAAAATATGACATGTCACTGATGAAGACTTGAAAATCACACCGCTAAGTATTTAGAGGACTGCAGAGCAACCTGGACACTCCAGCACACAGCTAAACTCCAACTTTAAGGACTTGATCCTCCATGCTGTTCTTCTTTTTAAAGTGAAACATTATAAACAGGAAAATAACCTGTTTTGGGTAAATCAGCTTTTTTTTGGGTTGTTTTTTTGTTTGTGTGTTTTTTTTTTAAATTTAATTTAATTTTTTAGGGATGGTTTGTAGAGTCACTTGGGAAACCCATTTTGCGAAATGTTGACTGAACAAATATGTGGAGAGTTATAGTTGGAGCCTCTACAATACACCATGCACATGGAGAAAAAGTTTGTAGTTTCAACATCACAGCAGCTTGTCAGGCTAATTTTAGATTCCCTTAAATCACCTGTGTACAATCACCGATAGTCTAATTGGTTTGATAGGCCGATGTGTCCCAGTGGCCTTTGAGCTGGAACAGCTGCTCCAATCAGAAAAACAATTGACTTTACTCAATGTGTTCAAGATAAGCCTCTGGTTGACCCAGGGATGCTTAGGAGCTTTGAACCATTTTTCTTTTGTTTTTGTCTCTCTGAGGAAGGTTTCTTCTGTGCCACTCTAATTTTCTAAACGCTGAAAGGTGCTCTGCTTATGGTAGATTAAGATAAGACTGAGATTTATTATATCAGATGAGAATTAATCTTATCCTACAGTGATGTTGGCATGACATAGAACTGATTTTTAACTCCACTTGCATACAGATATGTGAATAAAGATATTAGCCGCATAAAAATATTTAATTTTGTAAAATAATATGGAGATTTTACATGACTTTCCCACTTTATTCTTATTTTTAGATCATAATCATGCAGTTAATTAAAATGTGATTCACAAAACAATTTTGTATCAGCACACTCAGTAGCAGACATTTTGGGGGTCAGGTGCTCAGTGAAAAATAAGGTCAGGTACATGTTGAATGTCATTGCATATTAATCTATGTGAATATCTTTATAAAATTACTTGACCTTTGAACTGGTACAGTTTCACACGATAGCACTGCTCAGTCAATCACTATTGTTTTAGTTCTTTGGAATAAACGCACATGGAGAAGTTTTAAGCAAGTTACAAGCTACAATGATAGATTATCTATCACTATGGTGGATTTAGACAGACATGGAACTTTGTTTTCATTTTAACATATTTATTTTTAACATTTCATTTCTTTGACATACAGCGGATACATCATGCCTTTCTTGTTTGCCCTCATTTTGGTCATCAGACAGCACTTCTGATTCTGTGCATGGACTTGGTGCTGCTATGGACTCTGCTTTATCTGTAGATGACTCTGGAGATTCGTCTATCTGGGCTTCTTTGCTGGTCGTTGGGCGACTGCTTCCCTGCTGTAGCTGTCTAGAATAGAATAATAACAGTTTCAGTAATAGTCTATTTTTCTAAGGTTGAATATAGCCTGTTAAGGTAAATACAAGATGACTGCAAGTCTTTAAACATAGAAATAGCTTGTTAGTACAAAATAATATAATGAGCTAAAATAGCTGAATGCCTAATTTAGCACAGCCAAACCACTTTGTGTAGTTTAAATAACGTGTACAGCTTTTAAGATGATTCAATAAAATTAGAGGAACAACATCTTAGCTTTAAAATGCCTGAAACAGTGAACATGACTCTTGACTCTGACCTTTTATCTTCATCTTCATCTTCCTCCTTGTTGCTGGTGGATGCTTTTATCCAGGAGAGTAGAGAGCTGCTCCCCTGGGCTGTCTGCTGTAGCTCCCTTTCTGTTTCCTTCTTCTCCTCTCCTTTCTAGGCATGATGCTGCAATTGGTAAATAAAAGGAGACAAACAATATGAATAAGACTGTTTGGTTATATTTTAACAAGGCACAGGGCGACTTTTGCCTGTTTGTCATTGAGCAAATGAATTACTGCAAGTGTTAATTATGTTGCCTAATGTAAACCTACACAATAGCCCACTAACTAAATATTAATCTTTAGTAGGTCAATAGAGCAGCACACCAAGACAACAATTGAATGACATAAGACACATTCATCAAACTTTACTTACTTTATTTCTCCATGTCGTCTTGTTCGTCCAGTCTCCTTCTGCATCACAGGGTTGGTCGTCTTCTTTGGGCTCCTCTGGACTCATTTTGGGTGTTTGACTCTTTGGAGTTACCTGAAAACAAACATGAATTACAGCCCTTCAGTTACTGTGAAAATGTGTTTTTTTTTCTTCTTAAAAGCCAGCATATTGTACTTATTAACCTTTTAAGTATTGATAGTTATTTACCTTCAAATTTCCAGGAACACTCAGTACTCATCCCCGTCATTCATCTCTCTTAGTGGGCCTGTCTTGCGTAGGTTTGGTCCTCCTGCGTCTTCAGTCTCCTGCTTGGCTCCTCTGGGGGTTTCTTCTCAGTGGAGGTCCTTTTCCTAAAGAAAACCAGAATGAAAATGAGTCCTACACTAACCTTGTTTCATATAAAAAATCACTCTGGAGGAACCAAACTCACCTTTTAGACGGACTTCCGCACTAAGTGAAAAAAATCAAGTTAAAGACAAGACATCACAACACAAACACATGCATGACAACACATTACAAGACACGATGCTAAAATTGCGCCACTACACAAAACATCACAACACAGAACATCAAAATAAATAACCACACAACACAACCAAGGACTTTTAGGGTAATGCCTAATGAGTCCAAGGTGAAGTCGTAATTGAAGCTTCAGGTTTATTTGTTTGTTACGGAGCCAGTGTGAGTGGAGCGAGCGGGAGAGGAGCGAGTGCGAGAGGAGCGAGCGATTCATCGTAAACATCTTAGACTACAACCATTGGAGGAGGAGAGGAGCGAGTGCGAGAGGAGCGAGCGATTCATCGTTAACATCTTAGACTACAACCAGAGGGGTCTATTGGAGCAGGAGAGGAGGAGCTGCAGAGGAGCGAGGGATTCGTAAAATGTAAAACTAAACTTATCTTATCTTAACTTAACTATAACTTAACTTATCTTAACTTAACTATAACCTAACTTAACTATAACTTAACTTCTCTTAACTTATATTATCTTAACTTAACTATAACTTAACTTAACTATAAATTAACTTAAATATAACTTAACTTATCTTAAGTAAACAACTTAACTTATTCTAACTTAGCAAACTAAATTATCTTATCTTAATATATAAATAAAACTACGGCCCAGCGTGACCCCCAAAAGGACTCTTGGGAGTCACCTTGGACCGGTTTGACCTCAGGCTCAGGAGGGCGCGAAGATTTTTCATCCACTTGGCCTCAGGAGCAGCCGAGATGAGCCGGGTGGATGGAGGGATGGTGGATGGAGGGGGTGTAGGGGTCCTTCATGGGGCCGTCCACCGCTACTTCCTCCTGGAGAGCTCCTCCGGGTCCTCCGGCTGCAGACCCACTTGTCCTCCTCAGTCATCGGCTGGGGCAGGCAGGGGGAGGGGCTGCAGGAAGGTCCTGGGGGGAGAGGAGCAAAAAGAGGGGCAAACAGTGCGGGAGACACAAGCAAAACAAGGGCAATCACCAGAGGAAGAAGAAAAAGAGGAGGAAGAAGAAGAGGAAGAAAAGAAAGAAGAAGAAGAAGAAGAGGAGGAAAAGGGAAAGGCACACAGAGGGAAGGGGGAATACCAAGGAGGGGGGAAAGGAGAAGAGACAGGAGGAGGGACAAGAGGAGAGACAAGAGAAAAGGGAATGTGATCGACCTGGTTGTGCTCTGGCGTGGCGAACCATGGAGTGCCGTCCATCCCGAAGTGCACCACCTGAGACAGAAAAACCGACAAATTCAAAAATCTGAACTCGGCAGAAATGGTTTTCTGGTTTTCACATCTTTGAAATAAATTCATGAATACAAGTCAGTTCAAGAAAAATAAAATAAAAGACAAATTCATAAACACATTTCTGTAATTAAAATTATTCAGACTATAAAAGTTTTGTATGTTGTCTTAAAGGCATGCTAACAGCCTCTCTATGTTGTCAGTGTAATTTCCTACTTACAGCTTGAGGCCTGGGGGTTGGCGAGGGTGTTGCCGGGACCCTCCTGAGCAACAGCTTCGGAATGAGAAGAATAATTTCCGAGGTCCATTTGCTGCGTCGGCGGCGGGTCTGAAGACAGAAACAACGCAGACATTTAAATTAAACAAGCTGTAAATTAAAATTATCCAAACTATAAAAGTTTTGTATGTTGTCTTGAAGGCATGCTAACGGCCTCTCTATGTTACAGTGTAATTTCCTACTTACAGCTTGAGGCCTGGAAGGGGACGTGGGGGGGGGCACGGGTGTTGCCGGGACCCTCCTGAGCAACAGCTTGGGAACGGACCTGTACACAGGTTGCGAGGTCCATTTCATGCGTCCGCTGGTCTGAAGACAGAAACAACGCAGACATTTAAATTAAACAAGCTGTAACATTTGACTGTGTGGTCAAGGTCATGAAGGAAGCATCTGTTACATCAGTATCATCAAGAGGAGAAAGTCAATACATTAAACACTACTATTTCAACACTACAATTCATGAATACAAGTCAGTTCAAGAAAATAAAATAAAAGACAAATTCATAAACACATTTCTGTAATTGAAATTATTCAGACTATAAAAGTTTTGTATGTTGTCTTAAAGGCATGCTAACGGCCTCTCTATGTTGTCAGTGTAATTTCCTACTTACAGCTTGAGGCCTGGGCGGGGGCTTGGGTTTTGCCGGGACCCTCCTGCGCACCTGCCTGGGAGCGGACCTCTGCACTGGGACCGAGGTACATTTGCTGCTGGTCTGAAGACAGAAACAACACAGACATTTAAATTAAACAAGCTGTAACATTTGACTGTGTGGTCAAGGTCATGAAGGAAGCATCTGTTATATCAGTATCATCAAGAGGAGAAAGGCAATACATTTGATTTTGTATTTAGTTTTTAATCAGCAGGTTAGTTGTGCAATAGAAATAAATTAACATCAATGCAATACCCCCTGTTAAGAATTAATATTTTTAGTATGTCTATTTCAGTCATTTTATTTCATTGGGAGAAGGCTGCATATTTTCAGGATTCAATAATAAGAAAATCCGCAGTTTTCAGTTTGATAAAAACTGATTTCTACAAAAGGACAGTGTTTCGATTACACTTAAGGTGGGTTTTTCCCTGTTAAAAACATAATGAAGTTTTAAATATTGTGGTAGAAAACACACACTTGATTCATGAAATCATAAAAACACAACAGTTTTAAAGGCTGTACATAATAAATGTCTGTTAACTTAATATTGTCTGTTTTTGTAACTTTAAATAGGTTTAAATGAGATTCATAGGATTTTTTCGTCACTTAGGCCTATTGGAGCACTTTAAAATAAAAAAAGGTCTAACTATGATGTCTTTTTAGTTCATTTTGTTGAATTTTATGATGACTGACAAATCTTTACACTTTTGAAGGTGTCCCTTATTTCAACACTACAATTCATGAATACAAGTCAGTTCAAGAAAATTAAAATAAAAGACAAATTCATAAACACATTTCTGTAATTGAAATTATTCAGACTATAAAAGTTTTGTATGTTGTCTTAAAGGCATGCTAACAGCCTCTCTATGTTGTCAGTGTAATTTCCTACTTACAGCTTGAGGCCTGGAGGGGGACGTGGGGGAGGGCACGGGTTTTGCCGGGACCCTCCTGCGCACCTGCCTGGGAGCGGACCTCTTCACTGGGACCGAGGTACATTTGCTGCTGGTCTGAAGACAGAAACAACGCAGACATTTAAATTAAACAAGCTGTAACATTTGACTGTGTGGTCAAGGTCATGAAGGAAGCATCTGTTACATCAGTATCATCAAGAGGAGAAAGTCAATACATTTGATTTTGTATTTAGTCTCTAATCAGCAGGTTCGTTGTGCAATAGAAATAATTAACATTAATGCAACACCCCCTGTTGAATTGATCATTCTGGTATGTCTATTTCAGTCATTTTATTTCATTGGGGAAAAGACTGCATATTTTCAGGATTCAATAATAAGAAAATCCTCAGTTTTCAGTTTGATAAAAACTGATTTCTACAAAAGGACAGTGTTTCGATTACACTTAAGGTGGGTTTTTCCCTGTTAAAACATAATAAAGTTTCAAATATTGTGGTAGAAAACACACACTTGATTCATGAAATCATAAAAACATATTTATGTGGAACTTTATCAAACTTAATTTTAAAACCTGTACATAATAAATGTCTGTTAACTTAATTTTGTCTGTTTTTAAATAGATTTACATGTAATTCATAGGATTTTTTTTGGTAACTTAGGCCTATTGGAGCACTTTAAAATAAAATAGGTCTAACTTTGATCTATTTTTAGTTAATTTTGTTTGATTTTTTTAAGACTGACATATCTTTAAACTTATGAAGGTGTCCTATATTTTAACACTTCATTTCACTGCTTTAATCCGGTTCTTTCGTTGTAATTAGATTGAAAATAGCTTGTGTTCAGCGTTATTTTTCACCTGATAGCATTGGTTGGTATAAAAGAAACCGTCAAATAAGTTTCAGGCTGACATCTTTAAAAAGCCAAGAAGACAAAAATATCTTTGACGAAAACTAAACTCAGAGATTTCTAACAATAACATGAACTTTTCTGCTCTTAAACATACAGGACAGGACCACAGCAGGACTTTGGGTTCGTCATACAATGTCAATGCATCACTTTTAAGCTAGCTATTCCCAAAGTCTCGACGATAACAAGTTTTCATGATAATGTTGTCATTCATTCTTACGGTCTTCATGTCGTCGGTGTTGTCCTCTCTGTTCAGATGTTTGTCCGCTGGAAATCAGTCGTCTGGGGAGGTTTTAATCAAGATGGAGCTGCCAAAGCCGTCAAAAGCTGAAAGGTTGTAAGCCACTTCAGTTTTTCGTGCTGTATTCTTCAGATTTGATCTTCAGAATGACCGCTCTCTTTGGCTTGTAATGATGTAAAGTTTTTAACATCGTCACGGGTTACCATGGAGATTTAAAATGCTGTTTTCTTTAGAAAAACACTTACGCTGGTAGATTATATCAAAAAGTTTAATATCAACTTTAATTCACTTTAATCTCAAAGCAGGAATATAAATATCTCTTGAAGTAAAGTGGAGGTTATTTTTGTCATATAGTTTAAGAGTTTAAAAAGTATCTTAAATCAAAAACCTTTGTTATTTCTTTACAAAACTACTCCTTTTTGACTATACTATAGCTTAGTATGTCTCATAGGTAATCCAACAAAAACTGGAAACTTTGTGTTTAATTATAATTTCCACCGAATATTTTTACTTAAATCAAAATTTCATACCTTTAAATATGTTTTTGACAACATTTGAGGTCAGTAGATTTTCTTTTAAAATATAGGCTACTAAAAATACCCTTTATATTCCTTATATTCCTATCATATCAATATTTTAGAGCAGTAGCTACATCTGTAAAGCACTTTCTGACCCTGTTTTGAAAAACACTATAAGTTGATAATTGTTATTTTACATTGCCTATTATAAAGCACCAAAAAGGCCATAAAGATATCTAATTTTGAACTTAAATAAAAATAAAAAAATAAAAATATCACATTAGCTCTGAGCCAAAATATCTTCTTCACTTAAGTAGAAAGATGACTATTTTCCTGTGATGGTACTTTATACTAATTAACACAGAGAAGTCATTACATGCTATTATTAATTGAAAAAATCTTTCTAAATCGGCATAAAAGATAAAAGATATTATTATGAAATATAATCTAAAAATACTTCATACTTCAAAAATTTTAACATTGTTGCTGTCTTCACTATTACCTTAAAGATCTCAGCATTCAGCAAAGCAGAAGCCTGGATTGCAGGACAACATCTTGCTCCACTTCTCCATCAGAAGATGCTTTTCCATCACAGGAACTTTCCCCAGGACATCTGTGCACCTTCACCCAGGGACCGGGGTCCTCTGGGGTGAAAGAGCTACCCCTTACAAAGCCCCTTCGTAGGGAGTAGTACTTTTCAGAGGCCCAGGAACTTTTGGAAGCAGGTCCTGATGTTTTATTTTACATAAAAATAACAAGTGGTTAATTTACATGTAAAATACTGATAACACACAGATGCTCACACAGAGGAGGGAAGAGAAATTCTGGTTAATATCCTACATAACCCAAAGTGATAGCAGTAATAACAGTAACAGTAAAACTATGTCCATACATGACTTTTTCCAATTCAATCACAGACCTAATATATCATCAGACAGCTTTCACATCTGTGTCGAGTCATTTTCATTATTTACCAAGGACTAAGAAGAGATGGAAACTACATTCTTTGCCACAGCTGAGGAGAAATGTGCTGGACTCCTTCTAATGGATTGATTGAATATGATCAGGTTTTCCTTAAAGTCACTTTTGCTGGCAAAAAAAAATGACTTATGGAGTTTTGACCAATCAGAATCAAATATTTAACACATTTGAGTAGTGTTGAAATTCATTAACTTGGATTTATAACAATTTTATTAAATTAAAATCTGATCCCGTGTAATTTAAACAGTTAAAAATTTGTCAAATGTTGTGGGTGCGTTAGGCATTACGCATTAGCTTCAATTCACACCTTTTATGGATGGTTAATCAATTTATATACTGTATTTTACCCATTTGGAGGAATACTGTTATGGCCTCTATATGTTTTCAGAGGAGAGGAAATCTTGATGACTGCTGAAAGTAAGTATACGCTATAAATGAGATAACCAAAATACTGTATCAGTGTGCAGGTCACATACTTTGAGTTAAGACTTCAGCCTTGAGCTATAGATGATAACTAGAGATGCACAATGCTGTCTGCATCAATAAACATACAACTGAATACTTAAAACTGAATATATCTATTATTTCTGTTTGAATCAAATGTCTTGATTTATGTCAGTTTTTAAAAAGACTGTCACAGTCAGAGTAACAGATAGATTCTATAACAGGAGAAATATTGGGTTCTTATATCAGTATTGATATTTGGATCAGCCAACACGACTTTGTATATCTAATATATCCAACATTGTGCATCTCTTGTCCTAGATAGAAAGGGTCATTATGTAGGTCACTGTTCATTTGTCAGAGTGTGAGTATGTGAGAGTGTGCACATACTTCATGCCAACCCAGCAAAACTTGCCCCTGCTTTGACAATACAGGTCTCATAACAGAGGTGGGATATTCTCTGTGTTGTCAAAACCCTCATCTGCAAACTGTAGTTAGAGAAAAATATAAACAATCTAACCGAAATGGCAAGCATTTTTTGACACATATGTTGCTAATCCTCAAATAGTAGAAAACTGATTTTAAGCCTTTGGACATTGAACTCGAGGGGCTCAGTAAGATCTGGAAGTCAACAGTGAACAGGTTTTGAAATAAAAATATGATCTAAATGGTGAATTATAAAAATTTATTGAGGGAGAGAAATAATGTGATTCCTAACATGACTTGAGCTGTTTTTTTTCTCGTCGTTTGTTGAGTTTTATAAACTTTGGATGGTAGACTCAGTCCGAACGTGGTGACCGTGGACATCCAGAGTCTGAACACACAGACTCGTGCTGTATGTCGCCGGGTGCGGTGGCGCGCGCCTGTAATCCAAGTCCCCGGGAGGCTGAGTCTGGAGGATCGTTTGAGTTCAGGAGCTCTGAGCTGCAGTGCACTATGTCGATCGGGTGTCCGCACTAAGTTCGGTATCGATATGCTGATCCTGGGGGAGCCCGGGACCAGCAGGTCGTCTAAGGAGGGGTGAACCGGCCCAGGTCGGAAACGGAGCAGGTCAAAGCCCTCGTGCCGCTCAGTAGTGGGTTCGCGCCCGTGAATAGACGCTGCAGTCCAGCCTGAGTGATACAGCGAGACTCAGACTTTTGACACTCTGAACACGGACCAACAAACATTTTTATACTGTCAATGGTAGACTTTGTACCGGTTACATCACTTTCAGGTCTGATTCTGTTGTTTCTTCTTCCCATCAAAACCTGCACAGAGCAACTGTGTGTGTTTGACCTGCAGCGCCTCCACCTGGAGGACACACGCAACGACCTTTAAGGTCAGCGTCTACCCAAACTACCTGCCAGTTGGTGTCAGTAATGCACCAGCTGTAACAGTGCAAAGCAAAGAAAATGAACAAGAATTAAATAAATGAATCAAAAACAATAGCAGCCAAATCAAGACATATCATTGATGAGCTGATTCATTGATCCCAAATAAACAAATAAATGGATGATCAAGAAGAAGAACTTTACTGATCTCTGAAGGGAAATTCAATGCTCAGGTGTAATTTTGTGATGGAAAAATTTACAGTTGTCAATTATTATTTCTTTATATTTGGGTGGAAAGAAATGTTGCTGCACAGTAAAACACATTTTCCAAGGTACAGTAATATTAGTAAACACAAACAGTCTAAAGAAAGACAAGAAAAAACGATATTTTGTTCTGTTTTAATGATTTATCTGTACATCCCTTGTTTTTCCATCTACCCTTTTTTTTTTTTTTTGGGGGGGGGGGGGGTTCTTTTTTTTGCATTGCTAAATCTTGTTGTGGCTTCTTTTTTTTTTATTTATTTTTTTTTATTCGCAGTAGCGGCGGTTCTCGGCCACCGTATTTTATGATACACTCTGAGAAATTAAGAAATTAAAAAAAAAACAAAAAAAAAACATTGTGACCTAGTCAAGCGCTCTAAGCTCCTGTCCAGCAGGTGGTGGTATCGCGTCACCATGGTCGTCAGCGATATTTAGACTCAGCGAAGAAGAATGAACGGACGTGGACGAAGAAGAATAACAACAACAGGATATCAACATGGCAGCCGACAGTGATGTGAGTTTTCTGTGCTAATAAACCCAGATAATATTGTCAGTACTGTGGCGTCAATGATTCAGATGTGGGCTAAAACCTCATTATTGCATGCATCTTTGTTTATTTCCTCCTCTAGCCCGAGACGGAAGTGTTTGAGATCACAGATTTCACCACCGCCTCTGAGTGGGAACGGTGAGTATTAAACTGTCAGCTGTCACAGGCCTAATGGGACTTTACTTCACATTTAACTCCTATGTACAACTATGACAACCGTGGCGCAGGGTATCAGCCTGTACAGCAAACATTTACACACATTTAGATGTTTATTTGACCAAGACTTGATCCTAAACTCCCTTACTCTGACTTGCGGGTGTGGACTAGATTATCCCAAAGAGACTCCAGACACTTTTAGCCTGATCTTCATTTGCTCTTCTGTTATCACTGCCATTTCTCATTCTCACACTCATTCTGTCCCTCTGCTTGACTAACACACACCTACTCCCCCATGCTCCTTCATCCAGCAGCTCTACAGATAGAGCAGTTTCCAGGTTTTTAATGTTGTCTTCTTCATAAGTTTGGCCTTTGTGTGATATTCTTGAGATGGCCCTCTGAGAGACATGATTTGGCCAGTCCAGTGTAATTTTTTTAGTTTCAATAAAGATCCCTGTGCATCACACATGAAGGGCTCAGAGTATGGCTGGGCGATAAAACCATAATGATATATAACCAAAATTGATTTCCCTCAATATCGATACAAAACATGGTCAATATGTTTTTCGATAGCTGGTATTCTGCTATGTTTTGGTAGACTATACGAATAGCCAATGAAAAGGGGAGTTGCTCCAGGTCGCGCTGTGCTTAACCAATCATGTGCTGAATTAGAACCAAGTAGCAAACAACGGTGTAGTAGCAGGCTGCAGCTACACGCAACATAGCACTTTAACACGTAAAGCCGACAGCACTTTTGATGAGGAAAAAAAGAAAAAGAGTGCTACCCCCCGGCAGAAATACAGATGAAGGCTCAACAGATGATGGCATTGTTGACAACACTGGCACGAAAACTTTGGTGGTGTGGAGGTACTTCATTACTCATGAAGCAGAGTAATGTGGACTGCAAATTATGTCGAGTACATGTTCTCACAAAGTCGGGGAATACCTCAGATCTTTTTCATCACCTGAAGCAGTGCCATGCAGCAGAGCACGCGCAATGCAAAAGGTTACAAACCCAAAGCAGAGCAAGGAGACCATGATGCCTGTGCAGCCAAAACAACTGACCATTCAGTTCGCTTTCTCTAGTGCAACGTCTTACGACAAAACGGCGAAGAGACACAAAGACCTCACAGATGCAGTAGCGTATTGTATTGCAAAAGACATGCTACCACTAAGCACTGTTAAATTTCATTTTTTATATCGTGATATATATCGATATCAACTGATAGGAAATAAATATATCATGATAAACATTTTCCTATATCGCTCAGCCCTAACTCAGAGACAGGTTGACAACTCACATGTTACCCTGTCACACGAGTTTCAGTCTTGAAAGAGAGGGTGTTATCCCTTAAGAGATTTGGAATATAAGTGCTTTTGCTCATTCAGATATTAAACCATTTTTTAGTCAGAGTTTACAGCTCCTGAAAAGCAGCAGAAAGAGAGACAATAATGACTATAATGACTACAAATACCATCAACACGGACTAGATATCCACATGATCATTGCAGTTTTACTCCTTTTAACTGCAGCATATCAGCACATTATGCCATAAATGATACTGTGTGTGTCCAAAGACTCCCTGCTGCTAATGAAAGAACTCATTTTGTCTATTTGCAGGTTTGTGTCCAGAGTGGAGGAAGTGCTCAATGACTGGAAGCTGATTGGTAACTCTGCAGGAAGGCTGTCCCCAGAGAAGGTGCTCTACTCTCAGTAATCCTTTAATAATCTGATGAAAACGACCAGTCAGCTGCCAGTTTGTCATTTTTGCTCCATGTTGACCTCATTTTCTTCAAACACAGGGTGCATACACCACAGGAACCTGGTTGGAGAAGTCTCAGGACATCAACTTTGCAGACTTTAAATTCGTAGTTACTCATTTTGTCCTGAAACAAGAGGGCGAGAATGACAGCGAGAAGGACAAGGTTGAGGAAGGTACAGTCACTTCTGAATGTATCACAGCTCTATTCTGGAGTGTGCCGTCTGTTTTCACTCTACAGTCAAGGGCAGTGTTAGCATGATAAACAGTGCAGCCAGACTTCTGAATCTACTCCTCTAATATTCACTCTTTGTCTCCTGACCTTTTGTGTAGATGCTTTTCCTGCAGCAATGCAGGACCTTCTGTGTATGAACAATGACTTCCCTCCTCGAGCCCACTGCCTGGTGAGATGGTGAGTTCAGTTTTGCTTTTTTAAATCCTAAAACATTGTAGAGAGGCCGTGTCAACATTAAGATCTTTTTTTCACTTTTATAACCTTTAAATCAGACAACCATGTTACTTTAGCTTGTGACAGCATTTGTTTTATTTAGAGGACTCATGGTTTACACTTTATTTGTCCTTGTCAGTCCTGATTCTTGACTTTGATATCTCGGTATCGTCCTCATCAATGACCAAACAATCAACAGAGGGGATGAGTTTTTCCAGCTTAAACACTTTTTAGTAGTTGCGAGTGTAGTGTTGGATTTTTCCTCTGTTTCCGTCCACTCTTTTTAAATAAAATCAACATAATGTACTATAATCTAACAATGCAAAAAGATCCACTGGACCCTTCTTTTCCAAAAAGAAACACTACTAGATGGCATTCTTTCTCACTCTACATCAACTTATTTGCACAGTTTTCAAATTAACATAGACTCTTGAACATGCTGTATGTTTACATGTTGACAAAATAAGAGTTATTGATTTATCGCTTTAGTCTGACTGAACCTGGGCTTTTCAAATGTATCTCAGTTGGAACAACATACCCAGATAATGCAGTCAGGGGTCGATTTTCTCTTGCATGCATACGCTTCAACCAAACCCAAAAGTGGCAGTGGCAGAGGCATTCTGCGCATGCTCCATTAGTTGCATGTCAATCTTTGGCTCAGATGTTGAACAGCAGAAATGTGTTGTTAGAGGCTGGGTACGGAAAATTAAAAATGGTGTAGGAGTTGAAAGGAAAAGAAAGGGATGAAAAAGAAAGTGTGTAAACATTTGCATTTATGTATGTGTGTAGAAAAATCAGGAAAGCTGACACCTTTGGTCATCTAGTTACTAAAAAATAAATGACCTGCAGGAGATCATATGATAGATATAAACTTTATTTGTACAGCACTTTGCTTTATGAATTAAAAGAAACTAAAGGAAAGGAATATTATGATTAAAACTGTAAAATAAAAACAAAACAGAAGCAGCATCTAGAGGTTTAAAATGTGGCAAAAAATGTCTCCTGTCAAGGCTTGTCTAAAGAAATATGTTTTTAAAAGAAGACAAAGAGGATGCCAATCGGAACTTTTTGAGGAGGCTGTTCCAGTAGATTTTACTCTCGGCTTATCTTACTTCTTCCAAGTCTGTCTGAAGCTGCTGTGACACTATTCACAGATGGATTTATAGAGATGCAACCCAGGCTAGAAACAGAGGGCGTAATGCTGAAATGTGATGCCAGTGCATATTTTTTTGTGCTGACAGGTACGGTATGCAAGAGTTTGTAGTAATCGCTCCAGGAACAAACTGTGAGGCCATCATCAGCGAGTCCAAATGTAACCTGCTGCTCAGCTCCGTCTCCATCGCTCTGGCAAACAGCGGCTGGTGAGTCACCTGTATGACTAAGCATTAGTGTGCTCATGAAAAGGGCAAAAAGAGCTGAGCCTCAGTTGCCTATGTGACCATCTGCGAAGAAACGACACATGAGGTAGTCACATTCAAATCTGCTCTGCCTCTTTTCTGTGTGTCCAGCCAGCTGCCTGTGTTTGTGCAGATCCAGCAGAAGTGGAGAAAGATGTTCAACGGAGAGTGCCAGGGTCCAGGTGTGCGCACAGATTTTGAGATGGTACACCTCCGCAAGGTGCCGAGTCAGTACAACCACCTTTCAGGGCTGCTGGACATCTTCAAGTCTAAGATAGTGAGTGCTGACAAAGTGATTAATCTGATTCGTCCCCTCGCTTGAACTTGGTCACATGCTCCTTTTCTCCCTCCTCAGGGTTGTAATCTGTCGCCTCTGCCTCCGATCAACATCGCTATCCGCTTCACCTACATCCTCCAGGACTGGCAGCAGCATTCGTGGCCACAGCAGCCTCCAGGTGAGCACAGAGAAATGAGATGGTGAATGTGAACATGTTATTCAATAAAAGCCAGTTACCTCCATTTCAGCCTCAGCCTCTTTTCCACCCCCCAGGAATATCTTTGACTGCTACCATAATATTATATTCAGACAGCTCACAACAGCTCACAGCGCAAAGCTTAAGTCCTCTAACTTTCAATTTTTCTACCCAACCAGAACAAAGCACTATAATATTTGAGATCTTCGTTCAGTTATTCTTTAAAATACGGACATTTAGCTCGGGTTTGACAACACTTGACTGTTTTTGGACTAAAGCTGTTTGGGATTTTGTGTCTTTACGTTAGACTTTGACACACTCCTTGGAGGCGAGGTGGGAGGAGTGGAGTTTGGGAAGCTTCCATTTGGAGCCTGTGAGGAGCCGATCAGGTAAAAGACTTCAAACTTCTATCAGTCCTTAAAAAAAATAAAAAATAATATTGAGTAGATGTATTAATCTGTTTTCTTGTTTTTTTTTCTCTTAGTGAACTCCATCTTGCAACCACTTGGCCTCACCTGACAGAAGGGATCGTGGTGGATAATGACGTCTACAGGTGCGACTAACTGATATGACTGTTAATGATATGCTTCTAACCTTTTGAAAATCATCATCTAAGACTTTCTTGATGACCTGCACACATCCTGTGTTTGATAGATGCAGATTTTAAAAGACAAGCATGTTTCGGTTCTAATGTAACTACCTGTGCTCTGTTTGTTTGACTCCGCAGTGACCTGGACCCCCTGCAGGCTCCTCACTGGTCAGTCAGAGTCCGGACTGCTGAAAACCCTCAGTGCTTACTGGGTAAGATCAATCCTGCAATCTCATGTACTAAAACACAACATCTGAGATAAAAGCATGAGGTGGTTTGTGTTATCCTTTTTACCTTTCTTATACAAGTCATTGGTGGGAGAAAAAAAACGATACAGTATCGATACAATATCGTGATATTTTATCTAGTAATATATCGACTGCTTTCTCAGTGGGGTTGGCAGAGGTGACATCACAGAGCAGAACAAAGTTAGTACAACAAATATATATATATCGGGTTTGAAAGATGTGTTACATGAAATATTAATGTTGTGTAAAGACGATAAACATAAAGGAAAGACAAATGCTAAATTAGCTAAACAGTTGAAAAAATGGTATAAATCGCAATATATTGTATCGCAATACTCACTGTATGGCAAAATGTTCAAAATTGCAATAATATCGTATCATGGCCCAAGTATCGGCCCAAGTATCGTGATAATATCGTATCATGATAATATCATATTGTGGCCCAAGTATCGTGATAATATCATATCGTGATAATATCATATCGTGATAATATCGTATGGTGGCCCAAGTATCATGATAATATCATATTGTGGTAATATCGCATCATGATAATATTGTATCGGGCCCAAGTATCGTGATAATATTATATTGTGGGGCCACTGGTGATTCCCACCCTTACAAGTCATCTAGTTTCAATTTCTGAATATTCTTTTATACGAGGTCAGTGGTCAGCCTGTTCATGTCAGGTGATATTAGCCTCATTAGTCACTTTGTCATTGTTCCCCTGATTTATTTTAAGTAGTGTTAATTAAACTTGGTCTAACCAATCAAATTCATGTTTTTAGCTCAAGTAAGTTAAGATGTAACTCTAAACTTCACTGCTTGGGATTTCAAAGCTTTGATTTCAATCAACACAATTTTTTCATTGTCCAAACAAAAAGAAAATCTCTTAAAATCGGACCACTTCTTCTCTTCCTGTTGCAGGTGACTTACTGTCAGAGTTTTATAAGCTCTGCTGTAGGAAGGAGTCCACAGAGGAGGTCCTGGGTAGAACAGCAGCTGAAGAAGAGGGACAAGGTGAGGCTACTTCCTTTGTCAAATGAATTATTAATAATAGAATAATAATAATAACTCTGAAAATAAATAAATAAATACACGTCTCCCCTGAAAGGATCTTGTAGACACATAGAACGATCACATGCCTGCCTGTTACTTGGTCTAAATGGTGATGACTCCCTGAAGAGAAAAAAAAAATCAGTGTAAACTACTTATAAATAACTTGTCTCTTCTCCTACAGAGAACAGTGACATCAGCTCAGCTCTATCCAGGCTAACCGAGCCGACAGCAACAGTCCCCATCTCCAGACTCTCGGTCTCAAACATGGTGCACAGCGCCCGCAAACACATCAGACGTCACCGCCGCGTTGACGAGTCTCCGCTCAGCAATGACGTTCTCAATTCTGTCCTGCTGGTATGATAACTGTTGTGTTTGATTTGTTTCGTGTGATTGATTGATTTGTTTGAGCCATTTTGGAGTTGCTGTCTCAGCTATAAGAGCTGCAGCTGATTCCCTGCAGGCCAATGTGACGGATCAAAGAAAGTTTATTAAACCCACTGTTTTGACCTCTGACAGACTCAGATTGTTATCATACATGTGTCTCTTTCAAGAATTTCCACTTAAGTGTTTTTTTGTTGTTGTTTGTTTTCAGTGTCTCTTTCCTGACGCTGCCGTGGAGAAGTCATCAGACAACAGCAAGAATAAACCTGCACAGTCGAACGCCGAGGGGAAAGCAGAGCAAGATAAAAACTCTGACTATGTATGTTTGACCTTTGAACTCTTTCTTACTCTGACGGGTTGAAGTTTCAGGCAAATTAAAGTGTTTAGAGATGTATGTTTGGGTAAGTATGAGCTTAAATGTGTAATACATGAACAGTATTCAAGAAGGAAAACAAACACTATGATTGCAGTGTGCTAAAAGAATAAGACAGTTAACCAAAAACACTGATATGGTCTTTATTTAACAGCACTGAGTCAAAAACTAAAGGCCTGGGGAGGTGAAACACCTTCAAGTCACTGACCTTCCTCACCCCTGTCATTAGATTTCCATGTTAACCTTTTAAAAGGTTTCCTCAGCTCCTTGGGGTTTTAGGGGACAGGTGTTACTAATGCATTTTCAGCAGAGAACTTGACATTAACACTTCAGTTTCTGTATTTTCTGTAGATATTAAGACTTAAGTGTCTTGAGGAAGGTGAGGCAGAACCAGGAACAGATGCTGTTTAAGCCAGAACACTCTGTCTGGGTTAGCCTGTATGGTTGACCTTATCCCCTCTTCAAAATATGACTTTTTAAAAATGTTTTCAGATTTACTTTTGGGCCCCCTTCCAGTGGCACCCTTAAATATCCCTCTCTCATTGAACTTATGTTGGAAAAATTAAGTATTGTGGTCAAAGGGGCTCAAAACTCCAGCTGCACTTGAATAGAAGAAGGAAATGTATTATTCTCCTATTCTGATCCTCCTTTCTGCTCCATGTGCCCAGAACCTTTTCCTCCAGCTGAAGTCAGCACCCATCGACAGTCTGACTTCCCGGCTGGCTCTGTGTGTTTGCCTGATCAACTACAACTATGGCGGGCTGCGGGCAGTCGCACACCTGTGGCAGGAGTTTGTCCTGGAGTTGCGCTACCGATGGGAAAATAACTACCTCGTCTATGGGTGGGAAACTACTGTGTGGTTTTACTTGATGAGATCTCTACATTCACTCTGTCCACATTGGATTTTTGCTGATATCTTAATCTAGTAACGGTTTCATGTTCATTCATATTTATCCTCTCTTCTCAACATGTTTCCTGATCTGCAGACTGACAGGTGGACCTCCTGATCTACGCTGTTGTCTTTTACATCAGAAGATCCAGGTAGTGTTTTTGCAAAATGCACATAGAAAAAAGTAGAAAAAAGTTGTTTTATTTAGCAAAAAGATAGAAAGAAGTAGTTTTATTATTCTCTTTCTGGATAGATGCTCAACTGCTGCATCGAGAGGAAGAGAGCGAGAGATGAAGCTCGCCGGGCGCAGGATGGAGGTAAGGACAAGGAACACAGGGGGGCTGGGAGCAGCCAGAACGGCCGTCCAACATCAGACTCTACGACCTCCAAAGAGGTGTCTCCTGGGAAATCCTGGGAGTCGTGGAGCGACAGTGAGGACGAGTTCTTTGAGTGTGTGAGTGAACAGGGGGAGACGGAGTCCTCGCAGACGGAGGGAGGAGAAAAGGACGGCGGTAAAATGAAGGCAGAGGGGAGGCTTCACCCACATAACAACATGACTCTGCTCAACTCCTCAGAGCCGCTCTATGTACCCATCACACAGGTTAGCAGACCCTCCTCTAAGAGCTCCTGTGAAAACAAGTAACAGACAGATAAACAATAGCTGTGGTTGTTTTATTGTCAGGAACCTGCTCCGATGACTGAGGACCTATTAGAAGAACAGTCTGAAGTTCTTGCCAAACTGGGGACGTCAGCTGAAGGTTCCCACCTCCGTGCTCGGATGCAGAGCGCCTGTCTGCTCTCTGACATGGAGTCCTTCAAGGTGAGACGTGTATTTATAAAGTCTAATAAAAGACTAAAGCTTTGGTTAAGTATGGGCGATGTCGCAGAAATATATCACTTTTTCTGTTTTTAGAAGAATCCTGATCTTCGTTTTGTCTCCTTCCTATTTTTTGTTTAATTTCAAGCCATGTTTCTTTATGTAAAAATGCTGGCCTCAAAGAAACAGGAGAAATAAAGCTGATGTTAACAGTCTTTTCCTTCACAGGCAGCAAACCCGGGCTGTGTCCTAGAGGACTTTGTGCGTTGGTACTCACCTCGCGACTACGTGGAGGAGGAGGTGACGGACGAGAGCGGCAACAAGGTGGTGAAAGGAGAGCTCAGCGCCAGGATGAAGATCTCAGGAAACATGTGGGTGGAGGCCTGGGAGTCCGCCAGAGTCACACCTGCACGCCGGCAGAGACGTCTGTTTGACGACACTAAAGAGGCTGAAAAGGTCATTTACGCTTTCAGCTGAGCACAAGAGTCATGAGGAGTCCTTTCGATATGACAGATAACACTGAGAGAAACTAAAGCAGGATTATTTCCCTTGTTTTTTTTTAGGTTTTACACTATTTGGCGATGCTAAAACCTGCAGACGTGACTTGTCATCTCCTGCCCTGCATCCTCCACTCTGCCATTCTGAAGCTAAAAGAAGAAGGTGAGGGAAAGGTGGTTTGGTGTTGAAGTATGTAGTCACATGTAATCACACGTCATCATGTAATAGACAAAACAAAAACAAACATCCTTTCTGTGTTTTTATGGAGAACTTAGTTAAATCTTAATCACATTTTCAGGACCTGAGTAAAACCAGGGCATCCTAAAATCTGATAGTTTAAAATTTAAGGCCTTAAAATCCTCGAAAATTCTCTTAAAATCTTATAAAATGCCTTAAAAACGATTTTGAAAGGTCTTAAAATGCGTTGATGTTACTTACAAATAAATAACGTGCCATAGGCATAAAGATTGATTTGTGATGTGATGTAAAATGTTCAGATTTCCCTTCATGTCTTCTGTACTTTTTTGCCAGAATGGATGTTAAATTGGTCTTCAAAAAAGTCTTAAAAGGTCTTAAATTTGGCTTGTTGAAACCTGCAGAAACCCTGAAAATCCAATTTTTGGCACAGCACAATCACACAAAGCCAAATTAGAAAGCACAGATGGGATCTCAAAGCGCATCATGGTTTGTCAGTATTTTTAACTAGAGCACTGAGATAGTGTGTGTAGGCTGTGTGTGGTTAAAATGACATATAACCACTTGATCAGAGCTATGCACCACTCTTACATGTACGGTGCTAGCTCTTAGCTATTAGCCATATTATGTACACCATTTGATAGAGTTAGTGATACTACTAGTTATTGACACTCAGGATCCACTTTGACTGCAGTATCATGTTATAGACATATTAAACACCTCTGTTACTGCCACAAATTACGAAGCCAGTTCTCTAGACATGATGCCCATAGTTGATGTGTCGGTCATTGGGCTTCCTTCTTCAATCAGCTTGCTTCTGATTGGCTGTCATTTTGTTCTGATTCTACATATTGAACATGTTGAAAATTCATGATTTCAAGTGGGGCGGCTCATAGGTCAGGGAAAGGAAAATCACTCTAACACATCTCACATCAGAGGATAACCTGGCAAGATTATTTAAAAATCAACTGAAATTTTGTTGGTAAAAGGGAACTGGGCTTGAAATCAGGATTTAAAACGTCACCTTTAGTGGGTTTAAAATTACTTCACCTTGAATTTGTTTCAATTTGTTTGTACAGTATGATTAATTTCCCTCAAAGACGTTGAATTTGTAAATCTGATCAAATCCCATTCCAACGTTTGGCTGCTGTGAAACTAAATTATGTTGAATGAAGTCTGCAGGGTGCAAAATAAAATGTTTACGTCCAAAGAAATCAATAACTGTGCACCAAATATTGATTTTTAAAGTGTCCTTATTTATTAAAAGTGATTTCATTTATAGACTCCATCACACTGTGACTCTAACAACAGCTGATTTATTCTCTCCATCTCCTCCTCGTCCTCTCTTCACAGAGTCGGTAGAAGACATTCCTTCAGTCAAAAAGAGCATTAGGCAAGCTACGAGTCAGGCCAGCAAGCTGCTTCACCCGCCAAACTACGACATCAAGAAGTTAGAGGTCAGTGTGTTTGAGACGTGGAATAAAACTCCAGAGGATGCAATCAGACACCCTGAGACATCCAGAGTGTCAAAATATAACTTTAATGTAGAAAAAAAGACCTTCAAACAATCAAGTATTCCCTGAAAATATGCATTACATCAATTTTGCTGTGAACTTTGCCAAGTAGTTTTGGAGGTTTTTTCATGTAAAAGAAATTATAGATTTAAAAATAGTTCTCATATTTCCATTACAAAGCAAAGTCTATCTCTTAAACATTTTTATCTTGGTTTAATTCAAATGTTTTATTCTTAAAACAGACGGAAGAAAAACTGATTCAAACACAGTCTGCACTCGTGTTATTGTGCTGTAATAATTAAAAGCTCTTCCTGCTCCTGGAGAAATCAAGTTCCTGTGGCTTTTCTTTGTCTGCAGGATTTCATTAACCAGCTGACGGCCATGGAGACCGTCATCACCCGAGCTCGTTCACTCAAGGCCAAGTTTTCTCTCTGTGAGGGGGAGAAAGGAGAGGACCAAGAAGAGCTGGAGAAGTAAGTAACAAAGTTGTGTTTTATATTTTACTCTGAGATACAATTATGTGACCTCTGTGCGGCTCAGTGTCACATGACTCTGATTCTGTCCTCAGGTTTGTCAGCCTATTGCTGGAGGAACCAGAGGTGGATGTGATCGGAGCGGGCCAGGGTCCGGCTGGCAGCATCATCCACAAAATGTTCATTAACTCTCAGAGGGTAAGAGCTCTCAGTCCCCTGAATGTCTCTGTGTGTCTCTACTTCAGAATCGAAGACAAATGAAGGGAAATCAGTCCTGGACTTGAATCATTTCAGCTGCTTTGAATGCTAAACTTTAAAATAATTTACTCCTGCTTAGACTCCAACAGATTCAAGCGTTAATCAGACTTTGCTGATTATGAAGGTCTCACTTGAATACATTAAGCCAAAACCACATCAGGATGATTTAATCCCAGTTTGAAGTTGTGATGTTGGGATACAGCTGACAGAGATTTCCTGCTACTTTCTTTCATCGCAGCATTTTGTGTATAATTCTTGTTCAATCCAAACTGAAGTACTTTATATTTTGTTGTGAATTTCCTCTTTTTCGACTGTGCTTTGTGTTTTTCCTCTACCTGCCGCTTACATCAAGCTGGCTGACTTCACCAGTGATGAGGTAAACAGAGCCGCTGAGACTGCCTGCCTTAAATAACCTGATACACCCTTAAAAGTCCCTCAATGACAGTCTAGTAATTACAAATAAACAGCTAATTAGTCTGCATTGAAAGATAAGAGATGATACTTGTGACACTAAAATACTACAACCCTCTGCCAAGTCTACTTCCTGACTGCTGGTTTGTAACGTTTCACCTTCTCCTCTTCTTCAGGCTGCCCTCCTGTCAGCTCTAGAGGAGGACTTCAGCTCCGACAGACGACCGGCTGGAGGAAGCAACAAAGTGCCTGACTTTCCCCCTCCAGCAGGCCGAGAGATTCTGCTGCGCACGTGTGTCCCTCGGCCCGCACCGTACTCCAAAGCTCTGCCTCAGCGTCTCTTCTGCGTGTTGATGAAGGAGGAGTTCAGGCTGGCGGGGGCGTTTTCTTCAGACACCTCCTTCTTCTGAGACCAAATGATGAACATGAATGCAGGACTGAAGCACAGAGGATGACTGGCATTAAAAAGAGTGGATCTGTTTGATGGTTCTCTGTTGGTTGAGCGGTTTGTTGACAGATACATGCGATGAAGCTCTGAGAGGCAAAGAAAAGGGAGAAACTTTATTCTGAAAGGGTTCCTCTTTGACTTGAAAGGTTGAAAAGGGATTTGCAAGAAAAATTGTTCCCCTTTTTTAAATTTAGTTCAGGGCTTTTTTTTCTTCTTTTTTGGAGGGACAGGACAGATGAGAGAGTAGGGAGTGACATGCAGTGAAGGGTTGTGGGTAGGAAATAAGTCTAGGCTGCATGTTTCAACGTCGATATCCACTTTACATGGGGGTGCCTGATTTAACCACTGAACCAAACCTATACCCCTTTTCATTTTTGGTAATTTCCGATTATCAAGTAAGGGCTTTTGCATTGTTAGCCTGTAGTTTTGTTAAATGGCGAATATATTTTGCACGTTAGCTGTACAGTCTTGCATTTTACACAGCCACCGACCAAATATATAAACAAGTTGGCTCACGATACAGAAAACACTGATTTTATCATTTTCAAACATATATGTATGCGGCTGAAAAAAGTAGTCGCCTGATTCCACTGTGCCGTTTCCATGGCTACACATTCTAATCTACTCGTTTCCGGTTGATTCAACAGTACGTTTTCATTGACGGTTACTTTAGACGAGGTGAACGGGACTTCTAAATTGACATTTCTATCTTCCTTTCGGAAATTTGTAGTCGACACTTGTTTAAAACTAATGATGCAAAAATCACGAGTTATAACACTGTATCTTGCGCTGTACGTTTCTTTGTATCGACCTGTTAGTTAGTGATGCTGTCGCCAGCTCTACTGCCAGTGCCTCAATTCTAGGACACTCTCTCAACATATGCAATGTTGTAGATAAGACTAATTAATCCAACAAACGGAAAGTTAATAATTTACTATTTTCAAACAGAAGGTGGGACAGAACTTTCAATGCGCACTGATACGATACGAGATGTGATACGGTCGATTCTTGTCGTTGCTCTTACTATGATGAGTTAATAATGGATTTCATCAGCGGGGGTATCTAGAGATTTTGACCAATCAGCACCTAGTACATCACAATCAGGTGATTTAGAAAAAAAAAATCAAATGTTAAAAATATTAAATTTTTGATTTAAAGTCAGTTTTATGTGTTTTATTGCTACACAGAATTTTAGCCATAAGTGGCTGAACTGCACCACTGTGGAGTGTTAGAATTAGGACTTTTTGTTTTGTTGAAGTTGAATTTTAATCTTTATGTTCTAAAATCAAGGTAACCACAAACTTGACATTATGTGTCTGCAAGTCATTCAACACTATCGTCAATATCTGGGGAATAATCACAAACTTTTTACCTGTTTGCACCGATGAAAAAAATGTTAGAAACTAAAAAAGTTATTATTTCTCCTCTTGTTCTTCAGTCATGAACTGATCAAACCGATATACTTTTCAGTTCTTTCTCTTTTGCCTCTTAGAGCTTCAGAAGTTATGTGATGGTTAAATTCGAGCATCACCTACTGTATCTGTCTTTGCAACATTTCTCTTGCCAACAAACAACCAGTCATAAAATCTAAGCAAGACATCTCTCATCTGTTGTGTTGTAATACTGGAATCCACCAGAGAGCAAATGCAAACATGAAGTAGCAGTTACTAGCTAAAGATACAGTATGTAACAATAATTTTTATTTATATTGTGGTTTGACAACTTGAATTTAAACTAGTACCATAAGACAGTCATCTGATGATTAAAGCTCACATTGCTGTGCTACAAAACCATTTAAAAGTCCTTAATTGTACCTGCAGTGCTCATTTTTAAATAACATGTATATTTTTTTCTGCTGGTTTCTTTTTGTACTGTTATTTGCTGTTGTCCACCCATACCGAGTCACTGCGTAACACCAATTCTACTAACATGTTTTGTCTTTGTGTTGTGTTGCACAGCAGAGGTTTCTGGACCCATGAGAGCAGTAGTATTTCAACACTACCTTGCAAGCAAAAACTGAAATGAGTATTTTGATCATGCATACACAAACATGCAAACACACAAAAGTAAATGCATCACTGAGATAAAGTGCTTGATTAAACATAGCTTTACTTGCTGCAGCAGAGGCCAGTGTAAGCCATCTACGTTTTTCAAATATTTAAATCAAAACCTGTTGTGTTTTGTCAGCTGATGCTGTAGTCATGTGCAGATGTTTAATTAAATTTACATGTGATGTGAATCTGCTGTGATTTGCAGGGAAGGGTTAATGTACAATGCAGTCAAATATGTCCTTTAAACTTAGAATAAACAGTGTTCTCCAGTCTTGGTTGGTGCTAAGCTTTCTTGTGTGAAACACTCCTTTGGTTGGTCAGACCATTTGGGTAGATAATGCAGAGTTAAAGATTCCCCTTGGACTCTAGATCTCAAGTTGTTGTTCTGGGACTGCTCCTGTTTTGTTTATCTTGCACATGTACATCAAGTTCAAAATTTTACAAACAAAAAAAAGTTATGTTTTATAATCCAGATAATCAAAACATACTGCTGAAAAAAAAAAGTAAAAATCATCTTAAATTATAAGACTATTTGATACTTATTTTCAGTAAATTACTTCTCAAACTGTGCATATCAATACCAGGCCTCTCGATCTATACTTTAAAACACATAACCACAACCATCAATAAGACTACTGACAAGAGCTGAGACTGTCTCATTTGTCAAACAGATTGCAGTGAAAGCAGGTTTAAGGCATTAACTATAGATTTCTTGAAATAATAAATGGCGTACCGCAGGGCTCTGTTATAGGACCACTATTGTTTACAATTTATACCAACAGTATTGATCATAATGTTCCTAACAACAATTTTCCCTTTTATGCAGATGATACAGTTAGACTGCTCCACCCTTACAAGATGCTTTTGCTACACAGGACACCTTTAATGAGTTAATATTGACCTTAAATCCTGATGAAACTCATGAGCCTGCCATCTACATTATGACATTTCAAGGTCATGTGACTGCATCTGTATGTTATATCTATCTGTTTTTGTCTGTGTGTGTTCTGTGGAGTGTTCTATGTATGGCCACTTGACAATTTCCCTATCTATCTATCTATCTATCTATCTATCTATCTATCTATCTATCTATCTATCTATCTATCTATCTTTTTTGTGAAATTGTGGGATAGGGAGCTGCTCACCCCTCATTTTGTTTTAACAGCTGTTTTGGGATAATTTCAGAAAGTGTCATTTATCCACTCTGGTTTAGAGTTGCCTTTTGTTGTGTTTTTTTCCTTGAGCAGCCCTCCACATCTTGTTCCTCATGTCTGCTCCTCTGTCCCTGGCCTTTCTAATTTCATTGATGCAAGCTGTGGCAGAAAGGATGTAATGCACATTTCTGATGGGTTTTTAGGTTTTATTCTTAAGCAATTTCTTTTTAAAGTTGCAGAGGACAAATGCTCAGGAGACACTTTTTTTTATCAACAAATGATAACCTAAGATGGTGTATATTGTAGATTATCTTATTTCTCTTTAATTTTTCAGCTTTTCATGTCAAAGTAAAGGGAAAAAAAGAGAGATGACCAAGATTGTGATTAACTAGAGGTTTTTATTTTAGTTGGAACACCAAAAAGTGGAAATATAACAACATAAAAGAGGAGCACACACTGTCACTTCTTTCTCCTTTTCACTGCTTTCAGACACCACGTCTGCCTCCAGTTCTCCTCCCCGTCATAGACCAGATCAGAGGTCTCAGAGGTCAGGATGGGCTGCTGTGTATGATGCAACTGGACAGTAAGCTTTGGGGTCATGAAACTGAGTGAGGCTCATGGGAGTCAGAGACAGACGCTCCGCCGCTCAGGGTCCTGCTGTTCAGATCACTTATCCACATTCAGCAGGACCCTTAGAGGCCATAGCTAACTAAAAAAGTGATACAGGTGTAACGTAGTAAGAAATGTGCGCGCTAAAGCTACTCAGAACATTACGATGAGTGTAACAAGAAATACTGTAACTGTCACAGTTTTGTCCCTTACGTAGAGCATTATGTGTTCCCATTACTGTTCACACAGAGGTCGAGGTCCTTGCGTCGTTTGTTCTGGATCAGAAAACAACAATGTGTTGACATCAAGTTTCACAGCAGAGAGAAGCTGACCAATCAGACATCTCTATTTCATTTCCTTATGAGGTGGGAAAAAGCTAAATTCCAATTACAGATGATAACTGTACTAACTGTTGGTCACTGTGTTGAATAAGTGGCTATTTTTACTGAGCCTAAAGCGTACACCAGACAAACACACATTTGTAGCAGTGAAACAGCAGGTCAGGACAGAAATACAATTGATAAACACAATGATGTCATGTCTTTTCTCTCTGATACTGTGCTGTGATTGGTTAATATCAAGACTTTATATCAAGAAGCTCTTGACAGGAGACAGATGTTTGAGTCCCTGAACAAATGGGATTTGTTGACGTCTTTTAAACTGTCCAAACTTAGCGGTTGGGTTTAATGCTGTAATGTGTTCACATACTGGTTAGCTTAGAGTGCATAAACCTCTTAATTAGCGTTTAAAAAGAGCTCTAGTTTGGGTTAACAATGACAGGTTAACATTATCAGTTCTCCAACCAATCACAGCGCAGCAGAGCAGGACTGGACATGACTCTATCGCGACAAAAAAACAACACTGATCAGGTTAATATATGCAGCGAAGACAATGTGGGGATTTACAAACAACCACTAATAATTACACATCATTGGTATTAAATCAATGATTATTTGAACTTGTCAAAGTAATATTGGTAGTTTATTTTTAATGGTTTATTTTGGAGCTTTCTTCCCTTCCCTTAGTGGAAATCCACCAACAGTGTTAAACTGTGTTAGTGTTTAATAATCTGAATGAGTTAAAGTCTCAGTAAACATGAAGAACAACATCGTCAGCTGCTGCTTTGCTTCAAGGCAAAAACATATACATAAACAACAAAAACACATACCGACAGTCCCCACATTTTCTTTTTTAACAACATGAGAAAAAAAAAAACTGACAACAAATGGTGGTCTTGCCAGTTACACTGGTCCAGTTTTGCATGAGTCCCAAGTTAGGAGGAAGTTCAACAGGTCTGTTTAACAGCCACATGTACATGTGTACGTACAGCAGAAACTACAGAGCTGGCTTTCATGCTACGCCAGATTATTCTTCAGTGCACACTAAAATGGAATCTGATGCTTTCGAAATGATTAATCTATGTTGGATTAAAGTCTATTTAAGATTAGTCTTAATTATTCGGATTCAGTTTGGACTTTTTTAAAATACTGACAGATGCAGCTGCAGCTTTCTTTGACACATGGATTATTTTTCATTATATATTATTTTTAATGCCTAACTTTCTGAGACTATTCTATGAAAACACCTAATGTAAAAGTAAAAAATACACGGCGACACAATGAGAGGAAATTTACCTCGTGCTGTACAAACTTGTGACAAAATTATTTGCCCGCTAAGTGCTCTGATAGGTTGGGGAGCGTGTCCTATTTTCCTGAACTGAAAATGCAGTAAGGTGCATTTAGGACATCAGAACGTAAACAAAGTGTGTCCAAAGACAAACAGTGTTACTCTCACAGTATAAAACAAAGTCAAACCTGGAGGAGGACATTTTGGGAATGTTGTGAAAGTAGTCTTGAAGGTGGAGGTGGAGGGTGTGGTTTGTTTGGTTGGAGTTTGTTCAGCCCTCCCTCGCTGTGACTCGTGGTTCAGCCAGTAAGCCGAGGATGATGCTGCTGATGGACTCCACTCCCTCGCCCTCCATGATGGTGCGGTGGTCTCCCTCGACGACGTGGACTGACACTTTGCCGTCGCACACCTGCAGGAGAAAGAACAGAAAGAAGAATTTAGTGAGGATACAATTATGGACGAGGATTGGCTTGTTGGGGGTTGGGACTGCCTACTCCCTGGTATGGGTGAAAGTGTAAGACCTTGTTTAAACCCCCCTTAAATACAAACATAGATCTGCACATTTGAAACAGGTAAGTGTCACAGCTCTTATAAGTATATGTATCCTTTGCATTGGAATAGACAGTATTAAGTCTTTATGATAGAGATATCAGTAATGAGAAGAAGAAGAAGAAGAAGAAACATTTGCACAGTATGCTGTTATGTTGTGTGTTCTACAAAGTCTGTGGTTTGAACTATTGACTTGCTAGTTCTGCAATGTGTGAAGGAGCTCTGCAAGCATGCAGAAGACAAGCAGCAATGAATGTCAAGAACAAACTTAAGGCTCTATACATGCATATCTAACATAGAGCATAAATGAGGCTTCGACCGGTCTCTTCTTGATTTTGCAAAAGATGCCAGTTAGAAATGTTCATGTCAAAGGTAAGAATTTGAGAGGTGTCATGCAAGTTTTTAAAACAAGTATTACTTAAGCTGTAAAAGGAGTAACAGGAAGTCATGAGCTGAAATGTTAACCTCTGGACAAAGAGGGTCTGACTGTTTTTTGTTTATGTCTGTTGACAGCACCAGTGTTGAAAAAAGTCTGCAAACAGATACTGTTCATGCATCCTGAGGTGTTAATCAAACTATAATCAATGACCAGCAGACAGCAAAAAGAGCCTCTGTGTAAAAAAAGCAGAAGAAGAAGACTGAGAAAGTATGTAATTATTTGTAATAACCAAAATAATTCATCAAATTAAGCTGTTAGAAAAATGCGTTTTCGAGATGAAAATGTTCAATATATCAATGCTTCATTTGTGCATATTTCTTTATATTTGCAGACTCTGAAAAATCAAGTAGAGACTTCCTTAAATAAGTTTATCATTTTATAGTCTGACAGAAGATGCTTTGATTGTTTGACTTGCAGCACATAGACTCTGTGTATTAGAAGCTGTGCTGTAAGACTCTGTGTTCAGGTGTTGTTTGCACATATTTGAATAAAGTAATATCGTAAACAGCCATTATTAAGCAGGATGGCAGTGGGAGTGTTATTTGATCTCAGTGAGCTGCTCTTGTTGACTCTCTCCGGGGAGTAAAGAGGAGGTTGTGTTACAGATCGTAAAACAGGAATCACATTTATTCAGTCTGGGTTTCAAAATAAATAAAGCTGTAAAGAGAGCCACCCTCTTCCTCTCCAGCCCATCATTTATATGTAGACAGATTTAACACTTTCTGCATGACAGAACAGAAACAACTGAATGTTTACTCAGTTTTGAAACGTGCTACTGCTCGTCTGTATGTTACCTCGCTGAGCTTGTAGTCAGCTCCCAGGCTTTGTCCGTATTCACTGCTGGCTTTGGCTCGCAGTAGCGTCACATTGCCGTGGTATGTGGTCGCGGGCTTGTAGCCTTCAGCGGCCATCAGCTTGTGGTAGAAGGTGCTGGCTGCAAAGTGAAGCATGTCTTTGCTGATGGTCTTGTGACTGGAGGTGATGAGGTCTACAGCAGCGTTCACGCGGGCTGCGAGGTCTGACAGCGGGAGGAGAGCCTCCACAAGCTGAGAATAAGAAAAGAAGCGTACAGGAGATATTTGGTCAAAACAGGTGAAGTTACAGCGACTGTGTTGATGTTTTATACAGTCTTTTTGATTGGATGTTTAGAAAGTGAAGTCCCCAAAGACCTGGCTAAATTTTTGTACCTTGTTGTACTCGATGCCTGTAAACTGCTGGATGAAAGCACACATGGCTTCAGTCTCAGCCTCAGACTCTTTCCCTGGTGTCAGCTTGGCCCTGTAGGTCTGAAAACAAATATCACGTCACTCATACCGTTTTGTGACAACCCCACAAATCTTACACTATGACTCCCCAGAATAAAACATGTTTCTTTTTCTAACCTGTGTGTACGCTGCTACGTAGGAGTGTGATCCGTCAAACAGGAAGAGGTGCTCCACGGCCTGGTTCTGCAGCTGGAGCTGACAGCACATTTCAAACGCCACGCAGGCGCCAAAGGAGTACCCGGCGATCCGGTACGGCCCGTCTGACTGCACCTGTCTGATACAGTCCACGTAGTACGCTGCCAGAGACTGGATGCTGTCAAGAGGAGCAGCTGGAAAAGAGATCGATCAACTTGTTATGTGCATCCATATAAGAAACAGACTCATAAACATATAAACTGAGTATCATCATGTCTTGACCCGCAGGTACAATAAACAAAGAGATCTGACATTTGTTTAAAAGATCACCCAAATTCAGCCAAAATAAAAAGGATAAATCTTATTTTAGGAGTTTCATCAGCTCAGTTAGTTTAAAAAAATCGTACCTTTGGTGCACTGTAGGCCGTAGCAGGGAGCATTGAGTTTGACAGCAAGCGTCTTGAAGGTGGTGATGGAGCCCTCGATGGGATGGACCAGGAACAGAGGTCTCTCTTGGCTCTGGACCTTGTTGAGTGGCGTCACTGTGGAGTCGCTTGGGTTGACTAAAATCTGATTGAGGTCTGATTCCAGCACCGACTTCAGACTGTTTCTTTTAGCTCCCTGGGAAGAGTCTAGATGAAAGCAAAGACAGAAGAATACGTTTATTTCACTCCGTCCTTCATCACGTCTGTCATGCTGTTGTTATGCGCTGATTTTTTTTCCTGTACCACTTGATCCTGCTGGCTTGCTGGTGGACAGATCTCGCAGCTTGTTGATGGTGAGCTGGCGGATCTCCCTCATGGTCATGACGATATCGTAGTCTCGCTCCAGAGTCTGTCGGACTTCCACACCCATCAAAGAGTCCAGGCCCAGATCAGCCAATGAGGCGTCAGCGTTAAGGCTGCTCACATCACGTACGCCTACGGAGGAATGTTACAGAGGGAGAACTGTGAGTGCTGTGGCGCTGAATTTAGTTTGAGAAATGAGAGGACAGGGAGGAAATAATCTTATAGATGTGACACTTGATCAGCTGAACATTTCCAGCTCTTACCCAGAATGTGAGCGACAGTATCCACCAGGTTCTTCTGACTCGCTCCCTCGCTCTTCACCACCGTCCTCTCCGCCAGCACGAAGCTGGACATCACCGGCTGCTGCTGGCACAGGAACCGATCCAAAACCTCCAGACAGGAAGCGATGCGCTGCGGTAGGGTGCCGCCGATCACCGTGTCGTTGCCACCCATTGTCTCCAGAACCACGCCCACGTCGCCGATGGCACCCCACTGGACCGCCAGCCCGGGCAGGCCGTCGTAGCGGCGCTTTTCACACACACGCTCCATGGCAGAGTTGGCGAAGCCGTAGTTACTCTGACCGGCGTTACCACGGCCACAGCTGACTGAGGAGTAGGCCACGAAATAGCTGAGGTCTGGACATGATTTTCTTGTCACCCTGGAGAGGAGCAGAGGACAGTACAGAGAGATTAATGGAGGGACTAAAAATTGTGATAGAGACACAGTTCTCTAAAGGACTGTGTTTGTCTTACTTGTCCAGGTTTAAGGTGCCGTCATATTTTGGTTTGTTGACGTCAAGGAAGAGCTGAGGAGTCAGATTCTCCAACATGCCGTCTTTCAACACCTGTTAATGAAAAAACATACAATGAGACAAAGTCATAAAGTGTACTGATAGAGTACAGATTAAAGAGGAATCAGTCAGTGTGTTTACATGCACAGCTTAATCGGACTAAGCTCATAATTCGTTTTTTTTTCACCGAATCGTACTTCTTTCCTTGTCTGTGTATACATGAAACTGAGAAAATCGAAGTGTTGATGTGAAAGTGTCCTTCTCCCCAAAACTAGGGGGCGATATGGGTCTCATCGGTGGCGCTGTTTCCGGTGACCCGGCAAGTCCGTGCCAGACATCAGAAGTGTCTACAACTGCTGCTAGGCATTTTCGAGCAAGGAGTTGGCGCATCATACAGCGTTGTTTTTGTCATACATGATGTACGCCCTAATTTTTCTGCAGATGAGATGCACGCTACTCTTCTTCCCTGGTGTTTTTGTTCCGGGGTTAGGGGGGTGTTGCGCAAGTACATGCATCGTCCAATCATACTCAAACTACGCTGGTTATATGGTAGAGAAAATCGAATTCCAATCGCATTATCTGGGTGTCTTAATCAGAGTTCTCTGACTCCAATTGGAATTCTCAAACTTTGATTATAGTCGGACTAAGTTGTCAGGTCTTAATCAGAGTAGGGCAATATTTCGGTTTTCTCGAGCGTCATGTAAACGTACTGAGTGTTGGACAGTTTGCATCAAGATTCATTATAAAAATGATTCATTTGAACACCTCTTGTTAAAGGTATCAAAAATGACCATATATAGATGTTGTCAGTTTTGCTGCTGATGTTCTCAATTTGCATTTGTGGATCATAAAGACGCATGCGTATTCATTTTCTGATCAGTGTGAAGGACTAATGATGATGATGAGGTTACCATAGCGAGGTGGAAAACTCCTCCCACTGGGCCCACTGAGTTGGCCTCGGCGATCAGGCGCTCCGTCCCCTCCAGCGTGCTGACATCATTGGTCGACACGAGCACTTTCACACCCTGACTCTGCCATTCACGCACTCGCTTTGCCTGGTAGCCTAGCAACAGTGACAGGAGAAAACAACAAGTTGGCGCAGCATTATGAGACAGATTTCTAACATGTTACACCAGTTTGTAGCTTTTCAGGTTGTTTTACACTCTTCCCTGGATCTGGTTGTAACTCACCGTTCCTGATTCCTGATCTTGAAGTCAGCACCAGTTTGCGAGCTCCTCTCTCAGTCAGCCACTGAGCAAGCTCCAGTCCGAAGCCCCCCAGTCCTCCGGTGATGATATAAGAGTGGGAGGGGCGACAGAACGTGCGACAGATCGCTTGAATAGACAGAGGAGAGGAAGTTTTGACTGCCTCGTCCTTTTCCTCATGACAGACCTGTGTGCAGAGAAGAAGCAGTGAGAGGATTTCTAGTGTGTCGCACATCTTTGAATTTTCTCTTCCAGATGAACAATTAAAACTTGATTCATAGTTAGAATTAAAAAATCGTTTCATTCTTCTATCGAAAGCCAAAGTTTGAGTCCAAACTGACCCTCAGGACGACTTTTCCAATGTGTTTCCCCTGAGCCATGTATCTGAAAGCCTCCTCCACCTGGTCCCTCTCAAACACCGTCGTCTTCAGAGGCTGGACTACACCTCCTTTGATACCTTCCTTCAGCAGCTCGGACACTTCCTCCCACTCCTTATTACCTTCTTCAAAGAGTGCGTCAAGCAGGATGCCGTGAAACGCTACATTCTTCAGGAACAGAGCCATGCCTGCAGAGATCACAACAACAACATGATGCCAACAGACGGACACTTCTCAACTAGAGATTTACACTCTAGATAGACACAGAATGGTAGGGCAATCAGTGTTGGCAATATGACTACTCATGTAAAAAAAGGATTGAGCATGAAGCACAAATCAGAAATAATCATTACACATTTTTATCTTCCACTCACCCAGTGGAGAGTTGTTGGACAGATCAAATTTGCCGATCTCCAAGAAACGTCCATGTCTGGCCAAGCAGCGAATACTGGCCTGCAGCTTCTCCTCAGCCAGAGAGTTCAGCACTACATCCACACCTAAAACACACAGCAAATACAGTATGTCATTAAAAACTGCCATTGTTGCAATCTGTATGTGTAACTGAGCGGTCTCTGGTTGGATAAAAATCTTTTTGACTGAGCTTCACACCAGCACCGTTTTGAAGAAATGCTGATCTTTATCAAGTTTAAAAAAGTTTATCTTGAAGTGTGGAAAGACTTGCAGTTAATACCTCAGTGGAGTGTGATATCTATTATCTTTGCAGATACAGTATGATCTGAATTCTTTATAAAAGTGCCTCTATAAAGGTATCATTAATTCGAATGCTGTGTGTCTCACCTTTTCCCTGTGTGTGCAGCAGGACATGCTGTTCGAACGAGGCGTCTCTGGAGTTAGCGAAGGACTCTGCAGTAAGCTGAGGGAACCTCTGCTGCAGGTAGGCACGCTTCTCCGCTGAGCCTTCAGACATCATACACAGAAAATGTTAGCATTGAGAAATAGTGATACCAAAGCTGGTCCAAAAGAACAGGATTCAAAACAAGCCTTGCAGCAACTGAGGGGATATTTTTTGATTTTTGATATCTGGGTTTAGGAGATCCAAAAAACTCATAAACAGTTTTTAAAAATATTTAAAAAGTTAACAGAAACGGTCTTTCACTTGATAAAACATACAGTGTATACATGAAAGTCAATGCAATATCAGATCAGGCCTGAATTAATGTGATAGTGTTATTTTAACATAAGATCACTCACCAACTGTGGTGAAGACTTTACATTTCTTGCTCAGTGCTATAGCGATGGCAGCCTGGCCTACGCCCCCTGACCCTGAGTGGATCAGAACAGACTCTCCAGGGCGGAGCCGGCCCCGCACAATCAGAGAGTAGTATGCTGTAGCGTAGACCACCGGGACTGAGGCTGCCTGCTCCAGGGTCCTGCACAAACACACATACGAATACAAATGCATTATTAGTTTTATCATTTATCACACAGTTTGGGGTTCATTGATGTTTATTTTGATTTCTGCAGTCTGGTTATCTTTGTTATTGAGTCCTGTGACCCCCATCTTCACTGACACATAATCTATCTGAAACCAGTGACACTGACCAGCTGGAGGGAACATCCCACAGGAAGCGTTTGTCAGCATCCACACTTGTAGCCAGGCCTTTAGCAGGAAGCAGCCCCATCACACGCCGACCACCAGGGTCACGGCCTGAAAACTCCATACCCAGCATGCACTGCTGCAGAGCTAGGTCACCTACAAGATCAACATTGAAAAAGCTTTGAGTCCTCCAGTATAACATTAGCAGTCTGTATTTACTTATCAACTATTTATGGAAATACAGATAATTTCTATTCTGTGTCTTCTCTACTGTCACTACCTGGGATAGCATCTGGCGGCAGTTTGCCGGTGGCCAGCATGATGTCTCTGAAGTTGAGCGAGCTGTAGTAGACGCGGCACAGCTGCACATCGGGGTTGCTGGTTACAAAGTGACGGAGCGGAGAGGCGATCCAGCGCAGAGAGGACAGATCACCACGAGTCAGCACGTTGACATAGGCGTACTCTGTAGACGCTTCATTAAGATCTAAGATACAAAAAAACACAAAGAAAAAAGAAGAACATCTTTCATAAAACTTACAGAGAGGAGAATTATCAACTTTCCATGTACCCTTCTCTCAGGCTGACTGGTCTTTGTATTCACAGTTACTCACTAATTTTTAACAGCTTCCAGTTTTTATTATTATTATTATTATTCAACTTTATTTCAGACCCACCCACAGGATGATGCATATCACAAAAAATAAAATACACACATAGAGCAAAATACACACAAGAAGACAAAACAAACAAACACAGTTTATCTGTATGCAACCAAAGTTGACCAAAACTACTCCAACAAAGATGTCCCATCCAGCCGGACAGAAAAAGTATGAAAATTGTGGTACGACATATAGCTACACTGGATAGCTGAATTATTTTTATCAAGATTAACTATACCAAAGTTCTGTTGAAGTGCGAATGCTGTAAAACAAAACTTTAGTACAATTTATGAAAATGTAGTACATGAATAACTAATTTTTAACTACTCTACCACACAATCTGTAATGGCTGTGGTGGAAAACAGTACCAGGACCACATCACTCTGACTAGAATCAGTATTTTTGGTAGATTTCAGGTGTTTTGGTACCTTGAGATATGAGCTGGTGCCTGAAGACGCCCCAGTGTCCGTCTCTGAAGACATTCATGACCAGGTCCCCGTCCAGCACTGACTGCATGGACTTATGGTTCAGCTGAAGGGTTGGTGCTGAAGAAGATGTGTTCAGGTTGGAAACAAACGCACAGCTGGATAAAAAGAAAGAGAAAACCGAGACAGAAAATAAAACAGAGAAATAAAGAGTCATCAGATTAACCACATAAATTGATAAATCACTGAGCGCACAACTGTACACAATAGAAGAAGAAATTATTTAATACAAACAACAGACATTTACACTGGCGCAATGTCTGGTATGTTTACATAGTAGATGTGTCCTACCGTATCCTGTTGCCCCCTGGCTCCTGACGCAGACAGTTGACCATTCCCACAATGCCGCAGTGAGCCTGAGAGGCTGTCAGCCAAACTGGACAGTCCGATGAGTCAGCGATGGTCGCCTGAATTCAACACACCCACAGGAAACCCAGAGATAAAACTAATGTCACACATAAACTGAGTCTGACCGACTGTGAGGGAGTCAACATCTGCTTGACATATTAAAGTTACACATTTACACACAAAAAAAGACCCACCTTGAGTGTTTCCACCCACTTGTAGTCAGTGCTGTCCACAGGTAGGAGGACAGGCTGTTTTTTATCCACAGACTGAGTGCGGCAGAGGAAGAGGGCAGAGCCATAATAAGACTTCCTGACAGCCACCACATGAAGGGATGTTTCTGCAAACAATTTCTCCCACTCGGCCTGAAGAGAGAGACGTAGAAAATATCAGCACCACGAAACCTCTTGACATCTCATGGTATTGATTTACCCAACCAAATTTAAACAGAAAAACACTGGAACCAAACAGATTAAACTTTTTTTAACGTTTTACTTTTAAAAGACCAGCAGGATAAGACTCTTTCTCTAAAAACATCAACTATTACCACTTTGTCAACATGGAATAGTGGGACCAACAAAAAAAGAAAAAGTTTGTCAGAGAGGCTTTAATTAAAATTATTTCACTTTTTAAAATAAGATATTCCTTTAATAGTCCCACACCATTCCAAAATTACTGCAGCATAAATACAGATACAAAAAGAGAAATTAGAGGATAAAGAAACTTAGAGTTTAAAAAAGATTTGTACGTGAGTCTTATTTACTATATGCATGTGTACGGAATATACATATAAATATGATTTTTTGCACACTGAGGTTTTCTGTTGTGGAGTCTGACAGCTGCAGGAAGGAATGACCTGCGATACCTCTCCGTCACACACTTCAGGTGGAGCATCCTGTCCCTTAAGGAGCTCCTCAGTGCAGTGAGTGTGTGTTGGAGGTTTTTATTTGAAACTGATTCACGATGGGATTGCACAATTTTTGCACCCACATCATCTAAGCTAATGCGCCAAAAAAGACATCACCTGATCCACAAACTGTGCTGCAGAACAAATATCATCACTGCGGACTGATATTGTTTGAAGAGCTTTCTATCAAACTGATGAACATTTTGGTGCATTGCTATGTAGGGCTGGGTGATATGGCCTCAAATCAATATCACGATATATTGAGCAGTTCACCTCGATAATGATAAGTGGAACAATAACTACTCCACAAACCGCTCACTCCCTCCCACATTAACTTCGTCTACTTAAGCCGCCGCTCCAGCTGCTACAACTTTTGAACCGTCCTCCATCTCCTCACCTGTCTTTCGCTCTTTGTTACGGACTGGATGGGATGGAGTCACGTCTCTGACATAGGTCAGCGTCTTAAAGGGACATGAGACCATAGCCTACCTACACACATCCAAAACCAACTTTTATTTATTTTTTTGACACTGAATATACTGATATACCGATAAATTTAATGTCATAAATTTCGGTATCGGTAAATTTTTTCGGTTTATCACCCAGCCCTACTGCCATGTGAACGCTGATACTTCACAAAATCAATCATGTAAAGTAAGTCATTCTTTTGACAGCTCAAAGTGAATTATTAAAAAGAAAATAAATTATGTGATTCATCAAAACAGGCTGTCATGATGATGCTTCTGTCTAGTCAAGGACTGATCTGTTTATCATTAAAACACTGACTGACCTGTGTTAGCAGTTTTCCTTGGCTGCCATTCTGAGCGCTGCTGGAAAGAAACGTGACCGTCTCCCCCAGAGTCTCCCCCTTCAGGAGGGTGTGCAGGAGAACAAACCCTCCCTGTTTGGCTCCAGATGCCAGGTTTGCCACCAGCATCCCAGGGTCTGTCTTCAAGGAGCCCCAGGCGTGGTTACACAGCACCAGGTCTGCCCCTCCAACTGCCCCTCCTGGCGCTGGACCTGTGAGGGGGTCCCACTGAGCTGAAGCCACTGTCAGCTCCTCCAGGGAGGACTGGTGGGGTGCCAGAAGTTCCAGGTTGGTGGTTGTGGCGGTGTAATCCACACGCAGCATGGGCTGAATGTTGAGGAGGGGGACGACACGGGAGAAGAGCTGACCATCGTCTGAGAGAGCCTGGAAAAGTCAGGAGAAGAAGATGTGAGATTGAAGCAGAGACCTGAACCTTTCTGAATCATCTGCGTGTTTTTCTGTTACAGTCTGACCTCCAGGACTTTAATCTTCCCAGGTGTGCTGTTCTCCATGGCGGTGTCCAGACAGTGTCTGAGTCCTGGGTGGTCCAGCAGGCCTAGCAGCAGGCTGTCCTGCAGCAGACACGCTCTCTCCTTCTCCACTGTCTGTTCCAGCTCAGACTGAAGGTTTCCGTTCAGCTCCAGGCCGCAGAGCAGCGACAGCAGACGGACAAGGCCGGGCTCGGATGGTTCAAGGCTGGGGAGGGGGCCGTCTGACACACCTTGTAGCCCAGGTATGGACAGCTTGACACCGTGATTGGCCAGCTTCTGCTGCAGTCTGTGGATTAAACCTGGATGGATAAGCATATGCAAAAAAGAAAACAGGTTTATGAGTTTGATTTGTTTTAAAGAAGCAGAAATGAAAGCATTGTGGGATGTTTGGTTTGGGATTTATTTTGGGGGTTAACAGAGGATCATGTTTACCTTTGCAGATCCTCAGCTGCTCTGCCAGCTTCCCATTGGCTGTCAGGCACTCTGTCTCCACGTACGGAACAAACACAAACTCCTCAAGGGTCGGGGGGCTCTGCTGCTGCTGCCGGCGGGGAGCCACAGTGGCGTGGAGACCACAGATCTGAACTCCACCAGCAGTGATGTTGTCAAGGCAACGGTTTACATGGACATCCACGGCTTCAGGGGATAAGAATGAAAATTTACACGAGAGTTGGACTGAACGCAAACATCTGTTACAGAGTTGATCACGGTTAAAAGAAAATTCAAATAAGACGCACTCACCTTGTTTTCCTTCAGCATACTCGCCGACCTTCTCCTGATGAACAGCTGGATCGATGCACACTGAGCGGATCCTGGTGGGCAGACGTAGACTACGACCTGACAGCCCGACAACAATCATCTGCAGCATCGTGTCCAAAAAGGTCACCCAGTTTCCCGTCCACTGCAGCTTCCCGCTGTCTCCTGGAAACCAATAAACAGACACCACAACCAATGAGTGGTACTTCTGTGGGTATAGTGGGGTGGTAAATCTTTGTTTTCATAATGTTTTGACACAACTGCTGAAATAAATCACACACACAAACATATGTCAGTGTTACCTGCATTGTTAGACTCTAAGATGCCCTGGAAAGTCTTCCCGTAGTCGTAGCCCCTCAGGCGCAGCTCTTTGTAGATATCAGGAGCTGTGAGCTTCAGTTTGGGGTCACTGTCTTTGCTGGCAGCTTGTTGTTTTATCTGAGAGTGGAAAGAATCAAGAGCCGCATCCTGCAGGAGACTCACCTTACCTGAAAACAAACGCAGGACAAAGAAAGAGAAGAATCTGTTTAAGAGATGTCAGGATGTCAGGACAATCAGTCAGTGATTTAAAAAAATAAGGATTTCTTTTTATCAGATGAAAACAAATGAAGCAGTGTTCACTGTTTTACATGCACAAACTGAATCCTGTGGACATGAGCTCAACAAATATGGTGTTTGAGTCAGGGAGGTTGCACACTGATTAGCGCCTTGAGCAGTTTCAGGTTGGGTGCCTTGCTGAAGGCCAGCTCAGCAGAGCCCTGGAAGTGAGTTGGCACCTCCTCAGCTAACAGTCCAATTCCCAAACTGGGATTTGTTCCTAATACAAGTCCCTATGGACTGAGCTAGCACTGCTCTCCTCATACTTCCAAATAACAGGTGATGATCTGCTTCAGAGGACTGGATCCTTGCCTGTGTTAAAAGCAGGGTATGAATTGCCTTATCCCCTCCTCCAGTTAGGCTGCATTTGATGCGTCATATACCCTCGCCAGTAGATGGTGCAAGTTGATTGGCTTTGTATAAGGTCAACTTCCCTCTCACTCTATACCAGTGGTTCTCAAGTCCAGTCCTCGAGGCCCACTGTCCTGCATGTTTTGGATGTTTCCCTGCTCCAACACACCTGATTCAAATGATCAGCTCGTTAGTAAGCCATTACAGAGCTTGATAACGAGCTGATCATTTGAATCAGGTGTGTTGGAGCAGGGAAACACTGTTCTATACAATAAAAACTTGCTAACTGTTGAAGTTAGCTGATGCAACATGCTTGAGGAGAAAGCTAAGGAGAGAAGGTATCTAATCTGCTAATATAAGCTGTCATTCAGACTCTTATAATCAGGGTGTTGTTTATTGTTAAAATGCAAAATCTCCCTACCACTGACGGTTAGGTTTCCATTCTCTGAGACCTCAAACTTGTTGGTGGAAGGCATGAGCCGCACCTCCAGCTGGACAGAGCCTGAGGGGAGGACACAGGAGAAAAAGAAGGCAAGGAGGAGGACAAATTTAGTCAATCAATAAACATAAGACTTCTTATAAAGGAGGATAATCGAAGATCTGGATCTGATCTGCTCTCACCGCTCTTTGGAAGAATTGTGGCTCTGTGGATGGTGACATCTTCAAAGGTTATAGGGGTGGTTTCCATGACGATCCCCAGATTTCTCACCAAGGTGCGCCAGGCCAGCACCAAGTAACCCGTCGCAGGGTAGAGGACACGCCCATCAATGCAGTGACCGATCATGTAGTAATCTGCAGACTCTGGGTTTATGTCTGTGGGTTAGACAGGAGAGTATCTTGGTCAAGTTAGATCAAAAACTTTTAGGCATGCACACTATTATAAGTACAATGTCTATATCAGCAGGAATTTTCCAATCCAGCTATATGGATCCATCTTTAGTGTTGGAAAAAGACAGTAAAATGCTGTTTGTTGAATATAACACATGTGGACAGATGCACACCTGCTTCTCTATTACTGCTTTATTTCTTACCGATCTTGAAGACAGTGGCAGAATTGGATGCTCCTGAACCAGCTACAAAGTGCTCTGGCAGTGGGACGTCCCAGGTCTGGGCATGATCCCACTGAACCAAAGGGGAGATCAGAGGAGTACCAACAGGCACAGGGTACTCCACTGCGGGCCAGAGGCCATTAGCAGCCACATTAATGCTGAAAAGGAAAATTAAAGAAAAATACACATATAAGCAACCTTGAACTGCTTCACAGAGGTCTCAAAGAGGAGGAGCAGAAAGCTGAATAATACCCGTTCATGTAGACTTTTCCGATGTTTGTGAGGAAGAACTCGAGGTTGTTGGTGTGGCCTCTCTTCATGAGAGGGAGGATGGAGCAAGTTTGCTTCAGGCTTCTCTTCAGGATGGCCTGAGGAGGGAACAGGTTCGACTGATCAGACATTTTATCACTGCTGGTCCAAAACAATTTCACTGAGCTGCTTAACTCTTTCACGACAGAAACAACATTCAAAAAGATAACAGAGGAAACAAAACCGAAAATAAAATGGTTTAAGAAAGTTGTATGACAGAAGTTTTAAAAGAAATAGTTTGGGTAACTGGAGTGGGGATTTTGTAAAGTTGTCAATAGTAAGTGTTTTATCCACAGGGGGGTAGAAGTCAACTTGGCCCCTTTACAAAGAAACCAGGTGGAGAACCAGGCAAGGAACTAGGCATTGGTGCTGCTTTCAGACATCTTTAAGTGCTTTGTTTTGCAGCAGAAAGCCTCTTTGTTTTAGCACCAAAACAAAGAGCACAAAGACTTGGCAAAATCGGCACTTCAGGACCTTTCTGAGTCAGAGGAAACCAGCAGATTCATTCGATGAACTTTCATGACACCTTTCTTCCTCATCATATCAACATCATGCTGAGTATACCTGCAGCAGAGCGTGAGGTGCTATCTCCACCACCACTGCGTTGTCGGGAACCATACGGAGACCCTCCTGGAACAGCACGGGGCTGACCAAGTTGTTGACGTGATAATCAGCCGAGCTGGTCAGAGCCAGAGGAGAGTTCCAATCAGCCTGAGGGATGCTGGTGCTCACCCAGCGAGGCGAACGCTGCCGTGGTTCTTTTATCACCTGCACACAAGATGATGACAAATTAATACCCACCAAACAGCCCAAAACTTTGATAACCATTTACATCAAACCTAAAATAAGAGAGTTGGGCGATTTCTATCAAATAGAGTAAGTCTATCCCAGATATTCTGATGTGAAACTAAAATTTAAGAAAAACAGCTGTTGAAGTAACTAAGGATTGTGTTTTTATATGATTAGTCAAGGTGAATGCTTCTGACTCTGCAGACAACAATCGTCTCAGTCTGCAAAACACGTTGCACTTTCACAGCTAAAGAATCTGTTGTCTGTCTTAGCATTACTAGATTTTGCATAAATGTGAAATATTCTGCAACAGTAAAAGAAAGCAGATTTCTGAATAGCTTTACATTCCTATTTTAGTGCAGAGATAGTAAACATTCTACACAGCAAAGTTCTGTTTTCATTCCAGTTTATAAAATCCACTGTAGTATCCAACAAATCATCAGTGAACTTCTCCTTTACAAAATATTTATCAGTCTTGAAAATGTTTGTCAGTCAGGATCTAATGAGTAAAACCTGTTGACGTGTATTTGCTACACAACTGCCTAAAACACAAGTTAAAGTAAAACTTGCAGGTTGGAGACTATTTTTGCACTCACTCTGAGACTCCAGTCTAAAGTTAAGTTCTTATATTTGACCCTCAATCCTCCACTTTGCATTTCATACACATGATCCAGCTATACGTCTATTTTTGAATTATTTTACAGGCTTATGAAAATGAAGTTGGAGATAAAGGGTAGATGGAGGGAGAGAGAGTGATGACAGTGTCCTGCTACTTTCTATTAAAGGTGTTCATGGCTGAAAAGTCAGCCTACATTTTCAGCCTCCTACTACTACTGCAAGTTAAGCAACGGTATAGTCAGAGTATCAGCCCTTCATGACTCATTGTTGAAAAAAAAAACTGAAAACAGACTCTTTTTTTCTCTTTATCTGTGCCCTTATGTAAAAGATGTATAAAAACAAAGGTTAACTTCCTCAGCAACTATTTTCGGATAAAGTTATACATCAATGTTGTCAATAATTTAATTTCAAATGTGTTATTCAGCAACTGTTAAGGTAACAGTAGGATTCAAAGCTAAATATCAAAGTGTTAGATCAACAAACCTTCTTCAGAGCAGCCAGCAGGGCAGGAGCGATGGAGGCCATGTAGTAGGAGTGGAAAGCAACGCCAGCGCTGCGTACCTCCTTTGCAAAAATCCCCTGCTCTTTCAGCTCTGCCACATATTTACTGATCGCATCCTGGAGAAAAACAAACACAACACAACCGTTTAAGCTGAATGACAACAGAATATCCTGATAAAACTATCTTTTTGGATTCGCAGATTAGGGATGGTTGAAAATGATTCACATAAATCTCATACTTTGTTGTAAATTTAAAATCAAAGTTTTTCCAGTCTTTTGTTTTCTTTACTTGTGGTACTCGATAAAAACACTTCAAACTAGTTCATGAATCTTCTGCACACTACAAACAAGGCTACAGGCTACAGATAACCACGCTAGATGAACAAATTACATCTGTAACGACTCAGCAAATGGAAAATTATATGCTGAGGCTGGATTAGAGTTTAAAGCGAAGTCTGAGAAGGAAGTTTTTACCTGAGGACCGGAGATAGTGACGGTATCCTCGGCGTTGTGACAGGCGGGGACGATCCCCTGAGGACACTGATCCAAACACTCCTGCCAGGTCAACCCTGGAACACACACACAGAAAGCACACAGTGAAAGGATGAACAACAAATGAACACATGAAAATAAGAGATGCTTTTGGGAGATGGTCGAGAATATGGCGTCTCTTACCGACTGCAGCCATGCCTCCTGGAGGAAGGTTGGCCTCCTTGATGCAGCGTCCTCTCCAGTAGGCGGCCAGGATGGCCTCACTGTGGCTGAGGGAGCTGTCAGCGTAACCGCAAGCCAGCTCTCCCACAGAGTGTCCGATGATACCGTCGGGACGCAGACCCAGCTTAGTGAGCAGGTCGATCTCAGCTATCTGTAACCAGGTGAGAAACACACACAGGATGATGACTAATAAGTTAAAAAACTGAGCACAGACAAAACAAAAAAATGTGAAGCATGGGACAGTGGGACAGTTTAAGAGTTCAAAAGTGTCAGTGCAGCAAAATATCATAAAACACATCATCCTCACTCTACCTGTATGGCAGCGAGGCCGACAAAGGCATGAACGGTGTCTTCAAAAGTGCTCTCATCTGCATCCATGAGCAGGCGAGACACCACCAGGCCCGTGTCCTTCAGCGCTTTGTCTGACCGAAGGATGGACTCTCGGAAGTCTGCGAGCTGCATGAGACTGCGGCCCATACCTGCCCACTGTGTCCCCATACCTGTGAGACCAAAAACACTCAATCACCTGAATCCAGTAAATATAAGATACCCTAGATACTAATTTTTTGAGTAGATCTGAGGAGTCCAACTCAACAAGTTTTCAATTTTCTTCTTCAGACACCATCAACAGCAATTTTCATTATGATATTATCAAATATCTTGACAAGTAAACATTGTAAAATATCCACAAACAAATAAAATTAGTGTTTCATAATAAAAACTGTAGGGATGGGATCAGCTGAGGGATTATGTTTCTGCATTCAGTATCTTTCCGTCCAGATCATTTACAGTTTACATGCTCAGGTTTTGAGATAGCTCTCCCAATACAATGAGTTTCAAGTTGCACAATACTGAAAAATTACCTTTTCAAGAATGTACAGAAACTTTGAATCTGAAAGATGAGCATCAAATGAGTATTGAGCCTGTGTAGCCTGCATAGTCAGTAAATGATGGACCCTCTCAGTAACGTCAGAAAAGCAAAGTCTTCTCTTTGGCAGGATAAACTCCCCCTACTCATACCAGCTTCTTAACCTGACAGTACCCCATTTACCCCTCTGTCTCTGTTGAGTCTGCAAGTAAATCATTGAGTATAATCTGTCACACGACAGCTATATAAAAAAAAATGCCATGATTTCATTGCTGCAAAACAGACTAAAAAGGATACTACATCAACAAAATCTGAATGGAGATTTGTAAAAGCTCTGAGCTCATGCTTTTTCAGGTCTGTCCACAAGACAATACAAGCGAACAATTTTAAGCTAGTGTTTGAAACTGAAATGACAAAAACTGAAGCAACCTCAGGAAAGATGGAGATGTAGCTCCAAATGTGCACACTTCTTAGTCGTGCATGGACAGTATGTGCTTTCTCTCTAAAAAGGAGGTTCAGGTTTTGCTTGTATTATCAGTATCATTGGAACTGTATCAATGATGAAAACTAAGTTTAAAATACATTCATTAATGTGCATTTTACATGTCACAATAAACAGCTAAGTTGCGGCTAATGAGCGAGAAAGTTACACTTCAAATATTTTTAAATTTTTCTAGCCAGTCCACAAAAAATGACAAGTCTCAGATCTTATCCAAACTGAGCAATATGTGATGCCACCAGTCTACGGTTAGAAATACAAATAAAGTTCTTCTTATCTGATCTTACAGAGAGCTTTAGGAAATGATCTGAGCAGCTGGAATTTGTGTTTTATGACTCACCTGAACAGATGTACCAGAGCGGCCTGGCAGCTGCCTGCCCCTGCTGCACCTCAGTGATGTCGCTCTCAGAATCGATCAGAGTGTACCCTCTGTACGGCATGTTGCTTGTAGGCCCCCATGACACCTCGTTCAGCAGGGACAGGAAGTTTTCATCTGCAGCTTGTTCTTTCCCTTTCTGGAGCAGGGCGTTCACCGCGGCTTCTGTGCGTCCACACGCCTGAAGCAACCTAGGAATCGTCCTAGGAGGTACGGTCGTATCAGCCTGTTTCTCAGCCGGACGGAGGATCACGTGAACGTTTGAGCCTCCAAATCCGAATGAGTTGATGCCAACGATGCCGCCTCGAATGGGGATAGGCCGATCGACCACTTGAACCCGACCGTCACTGAGGGCTGGGATGTCGAGGTTGGGACTGTTGAAGTGGATGTTGGGCGCCCAGACTCCTCGCTCTAAAGAAAGACACACCTGCAAGAAGGATGAAACAACAAGTAAATTAAAAAAACGTGATAAGCTGAAAAACCAAAACAGCAATCTAAAACATTTTCAAAACAGTTTTTATCTAAACACCGATTTGAATGTTGTGAACTTTTATTTCAGTCATGCTGTGTTTTTTCTAACCAGCAAAATGTGAGTTTCTGGACATTAACTTTGCACTTCAGTAAGAATCTTTTAAAAAACAGAACCAGGATTCAATTTATTGGCCTGGCAGAAATATAAACATGTAAATAAAGTATCTCTGCAGTTTAAGAGAAGGTTCATGAATCTGACACAGACTGATTTCAGAAAATTACAAACGCTGCGGAGAAGACGATGATAATAAATGACACACCTAACTCTGTCTGAGACTTTCTTGCTCTTAAATTCTTAACAGGAGTACTATCAATCTCACCTTAGCCAGAGCAGCCAGACCAGATGCCGGTTCTGGGTGACCCATGTTTGACTTGGTAGAGCCAATGAGCAGAGGTTCTCTCTCTGAGTTACAGAACACACTGACGATGCCGTTCACTTCCTGTGGGTCTCCCACCTGCGAGTGTAGAGAAGAGCGACACCTTACAGGTATGAAAGACACACCTGACCGAGGACTGTTCCTTCATCATGTTGAGAACAGCAGAGATTTGTAGTAAATTCCTGTTGTTGTGCTTACTAACCTTTGTCCCTGTACCGTGGGCTTCAACGTACTCCACCTGCTCAGGTAATATGTTTGACTCCTCATAGAGAGAACGGACCAACCTCTGCTGCATCTCACCCGAGGGGAAAGTGACACCTGAGGGACAAAAAGAGGAATGTTAGAGGTGTGTGCTTTATCGGGAGTCACCAAATCACATGAATTCATTAATTGCCATATATTTCGTTTACGTGTTAAACTGTCCTACATGTTACAATTTTCTGCATAAAGAGCTAATATAATGAACTTTTGATAAGCTTTAACTTGTACTTTTGTTACTTTTGTTCATGTCTTAAATTGTCAAGCATGCAGAAACCACATTCCCCCTCACTGGTCTTCACTTTTCACCTAGTCCTACTTGACTATAATTAGGATTCACCAGCTGCAGTGGCTACGTGTTACATTCATGACCCGGTGTCCCTCCTCACCTTGCTCTTTGTATCCGTCTGTGTTGTTTCCAGCATTGACGACAGTTGCATAGACTCTTTTAGCCGCTGACCGTTTCGTAAGCAGCGCGACCACAGCTGCTTCAGAGCGACAGTATCCATTTCCTGACCGACAGAAGGACGCACATGTGAGCTTCATACAGCACAAATGCAAGAAGTGAGATTTATTTTAAGAAATAAGTGTGCAAATAAGTCATATTGTATATTGATGATGATCAGAATACTTGAAATAAAATGATATTTAGTTAAGTGAGGTATTTATTTTACCTGATGCATCAAAGGACTTGCAGGTCCCCTCAGGACTGAGCATGCCCAGTCTCATGAACTGCACAGAGGTGTTTGGCTTAAGCAGCAGGTTGACTCCACCCACCAGAGCAGCATCACACAAGCCCTGCTGAATGGCGTGGAAGGCATTTTCTAAAGCCAGCAAGCTGGAGGAGCAGGCTGTGTCAATGGCTGTGCTGGGGCCTGCGGGAGAAGAGGAGAGGAAGCTGGGTTAGAGTCAAAAACCACATCTGCTGAAAGTAAACCCAGGGATATACTGCTTTCTCCTCAGATATTACATTCACTCACAACTAACAGTGAGAATATTCCTGCAGCACTCGGCTGTTTGAAAGCAAGTGAAATCTTTAGCTATGCAAAAAGAAAAATGTAGAATAATTTTGCATTCAAACTTCACAAAAGTTAAAATGTACAACACAATCTTCAAATGTCATTTTGTATTTTCAAATCTCGACAATGCTGTCACATGTAGAGGAGCTGAGTGTGCTTGTACCGCTGAAGTCAAAGAAGTAGGAGAGTCTGTTGGCCAACATGGCGCGCTGGCAGCCGGTCATGCTGTAGCCGAGCAGCTCCTCTGGATCTCTGCTGAATGCTTCGCTGGCCTCAGAGCCGCTCGCCCCCACGTAGACTCCTGTCTTACTGCCCCGCAAGTCAGCTGGGTTTAGTCCTGCAACACAAAATGTAATATTCTCAACCAAGTCTCACACACATCAACAGACATTACTGCAACTAAAAGAGTCAGAAAGGTCAACAAAATAGTATATCTATTCCACCCCCCATTATGAATCTGGCTGTACCACTTCTATTCTTCTTGATTTTTTCATCTCAATCTGATGCACTTCTCACCTCCATCCACGATAGCTTCATAGGCGACCTCCAGCATGACGCGGAGTTGGGGGTCCATGGTGTTGGCCTGTTTAGGATGGACTCCAAAGAAGGTGGCATCGAATTTGGTGATGTCTTTCAGTTTTCCGTTCCTCTTTGGAAGACCGTACAGACCTGGAGAGGAGAAAAGGTTCAGAACCACAATTTTCTATGTTACAAGTCTCAACATGCATAACCAAACTTAAACCTGGCGACCTCACTGATTAGATGAAGTCACTTAGTGCAGGTAGAGTTAGCTTTTTTGATGTTTGAGGGAGCAAGGGAGACAGTATCCTCCTGCTCCCTGTCCTCATATTGTGTTAAACTAACTACAGAGTGAAACAGAATAAAGATATGACCTCATCTCGTCTCTCATTCTCTTATGTCACCCTCAGAAAGTTCACATCCAAAATATGCTCTTCAATACAATGTCAAATATCAACAAAGGACTGCATGCTATTTAATTAGCATATATACTGTACCATACTGAAGATACAACTGCCAAAAAATACTGTATATGCTAATTTCAGCCTTGCTTGCGGCAAAAAAAGTTGGAACAGGGACAACAAAACACTGAAAAAGTTGTGACACACACGCAAAAAAATAAGATTAATACCTTTCAGCTAATGTTAAACGGTCATTTAGTTAAATTTCAACAGATCAGTTACATGACTAGATAGGTTTATTCAGTCTATGAGAGACTGTGTGAGCAAATAGTTCAACAGTTTTAGAATAATGCTTAAAGTCTTAATTTCATCCTGAAAATCTGGAGAAATCTCTCCACAAAAAGGATGAGATTGTATAAACAATATTATATGGTCATAATACTTTGGCCTTCAGGCAGCAATAAAACAGGCCCGACTCTGTAGTGGAAATTACTGCATGGATTGAAAAACACTTCCAAAATTCATTGTGTGTTTGTTATTACAAAATTCATTCATTAAATCCACAAAAGTAGATGAAAACTAAGCGGTAACCTCTTGACTTGAGAAACAAAGCTGGTGCTAAAAACTGCAGTACCCCAAGTGTCCACTTCAGGCTGGCTGCAAAAGCACTAAAACTACTTGGACCTTAAGCCCAAAAAAAAACCCTCCTTAGAGCAAAATTTAGGGGCCCTGCTGACTTGACTGATTGGCAGGCACACTTTTGCCTTTTGCAAGGAGGCTTAACGGTCGCCTCTGGTTGGTTAAGTCAGTTTTTTCCAATATGTTGACTGCTGCCGATAGACTTCAAAACTCCACTTTAGGAACAAACGGGTGACGTCACTGACTCCACATCCAGATATTATACAATCTTTGGTTAAAACTGAGGAGGAAACATATAAACCTTATAAATTTGCTACAGAAACTCTTCTATACTTTTACACATTTACAGAGAGCTGTTAAAAGAGGAGCTGAAACAACATGATAGACATGCCCTAACCCAGCTGTTTCAAAAATATGCTTCTAGGATCAAACTGAAAATTAAAAAATTAAAAAATTGTCAGTTTCAACATTTTGTTTGTTTTCTTTAATGATTTGCAAGCTATAAACATTTTACAAAGCTTTACAACTTTGTAGGTCAAAACCTTTTAGTTTGGTACTCGTTGAACGCAGAAAGTTCCAGTACAAAAGACATGACATCTACTCTGTTCTGTGTGACCTAGCTCACTGTAGCTGCTCAATGCAGTATGGACATTATTTCTCATTAAGATGATGTTTCTGCTCTCTCACTCAGGTCGTGAACCCCTTATCACTCTCATTGTTTCCCTTTCTATTCTCACGCTGCCTGCTGTGCTGTCTGTGCAGTGTAAGCCTGCCCAGTGTGACCCATCAGCGGGTTTGGAGTGTGAGTGTGAGATGCCAGGGACTGAGGGAGGGGTCTTTTATGCACAGAGAGGACAAAACTGAAGACCAGAGAGAGGGTTTGGACAGGGTGTGACTGAGGAGACAAAGAAGGAAAAGAGTAGTTGTGGGAGAGTAAGAGTTAGAAAAGGGGTCTAATGGAAGAAAAGAGAAAGGAAAGTTTGGAGACGCAGCTCTTCTCTAATATGTCTCGCTCCACCTGTGGAATGGTCAGGATGAGTGGAACGAGCTAAAATGGAAACAAGTACTCAAGTTCTCTTTTTTAATTTTCTTTCTGACCATAAAATATTGGGAATCAGATGTGAGATCACTCATTGTCTTCTGGATTACTGCTTTAATGCATTGAATTTAGATTTCGTTGTCATCTACTGTTTTGGAGCCAAAATAATCACATTTCGTGAATCTGAAAATGGGTGAGGGGTAGGAACTGCATAAAACAGGCACAAGGCCTCAAGCGAAGGTGGTGGAGCCATACTGGGAATCCTGACTACAACCAAGTTCATTCTTGGCTATTTACTGACTGGCACATAGCTCATGATGACCGTCATGCTAACTGCAAACATCTTCAACATCCCAGTCAAATCAGCCACATATCTAATCATGCATGGCTCCTAAGTTTCATGTTATCATATAGATGAGTTAGGGTCCAAAGTTAACTTTTTGACCGCCAAGTTAGCAGGTGAAAAGAAATTCACCAGCTAACCCAATCTTTTACCTGCCGCAACACTTATTGCGCAACACACGTATTCACTACAATAGAGTTCTTTGAGATCATGGCATGTTAACAGAAACTGAAAGAGGAAGCAAGAGAAAAATATGAAGCCAAATAACTGTTCTTTTAATCTGTTCATCGACCGCAGCCAGAAAAGTTACAGCAGGGCAGTGAACGTCATAGTATAAACAGACTATATTTACTCTATGTTTATACAGCTCTTTCTCGAGTCTTCTGACCACTTTTCACACGTCACATCCACCCATTCACACCACATTCACACACTGATGGTAGAGGCTGCCCATCAGTTTTTGACTAGTTCTGATCACATTGCTCTTTGGGTGCAGCCGGCAGGGTAAAGCGTCTTGATCAAGGACACTTCAGCATGTAGACAGCAGAATCTGGGATTGAACCCCCGACCTTCTGATTAGGAGGTGACCGACTACGGCTGAGCCCAAGCCACCATCTGTGATATGATGAACACCATTCCTGAATGTGCACGTGAGCGTCAGTGTACATTTGCACCTGCGTAGGTACAGGAGAAAAAAGCTCCGCCAAGATGTGGTCGAACAGTGGCTGTTTGTTTTCATGAGAGTGACATACAGTAATCCTGGACAAGTGGCACATACATTAGCCCTCTGAAATCAACCTGCTCAAAAGAAAAAGCACCCACATTTAAAACTTGAAGGCTATAAACTCAGTTTCACCTCACCTAAAACAAATGGATAGAGTCTATCCAGATGTGGGTAATCCAGAAAAAAACTGGACCTAGTCCAACTCCACGCACACATGATAAGGTGCTACACAGACTAACTGAATAAATAAAAGAGCACATTCTTGGAGGATTGCTTCAGAGCGTTTCCCAACATTTGGCCAAAAGCACAGTCACACATATTCTATTGTGACAAATATTAGCTCTAAATTTCTCCTGCTGTCCCAGCACAGAGTGTGTTTGTAGATCTTTTTTTATTCTAAACTCAAACATATCTCAGTGTGAATGTCATTTTTCTAACCTCTCTATCTCCAGAGGGTGTGTGCTCACGTCACTTTCCTACCAGATCACCCCCCACATGCACACACACTCTGTCTGTCAAAGAGACCCAGAGGAAGAGAATGACACAAAGGAGGGTACAGCAGATAGATTGCTTGCTTTCACCAATACTTTCACTTTGTGAAAAATAAACAGAAATAACCATAAAATTTGACAATAGTTAGACATTATAAATTATTGATTTCATTTAATCAGTGTTAAAAACCTGATTTTATCCCTTACTGTAAAACTAGCTTCAAACAAACTTTTGGGGGTACTAGGATCAAGTTTAAAAACACAATCCATGTCTTCAGACACTGTGATCTTTTTCTTCCTATATGAGTGATCACATGAAATGTAAAGTGTTGACTTTAGCTGAAGCAAATAAGTTAAAAACAAAACAAGGGGACTGTAAGGGAAGTTGATGGGTAAGGGTTTGGGGTCTGATCATGTCTATCTTTCAAACTTAATGCAGAAGCTTTGTGATGTAACACATGCGATTTATGCCACGTTTACAGTCTGACTTCATTCTGTGGCTTTATCAATGTAACATCATGGTTTCAAATGATTCCTATGAATGTAGCTGAGGGTCTGAAGCACCTGTTACACATGAAACTCTGACCTGAAGATCATCATTCATCCTTTGTTTGGAGGTCTACTCTGTCTTCACAGCATTCCGGCTGAAAACTGAAGCTACTCTCTGCTTTTGGTGCTGCATATATTACATTGATGATTGTATCTGCAGTTGATCAACACAGACAGATAATGTTAGCAACTTGTTTTGTTGTTATAAGTCTGATTTTATCTTATCAGCGAGAGTGATAAGATACCATCAGGACTTCTTTAACTTTTATGGTTTTAATTAGAGAGCACTTCATCCTGGATAGAGTCCTCACAGCCCTTTTAAGATGAGGTGCAAAGCAAGTCCTTAAGAATAACAAGGATTTCCTGAAATTATGCAGAAAATGTTAGGAATTCAAGCATGAACTAGAGATCCTGAAGTAAACTACTTAGCAGAAGTGAGTCACTGATTTTGAATTGAAAACACACCATGTGAATGGGATCCAGCAATCACGTTGAATGCATTTCTTTGAATATATAAAATGGTTTTGCAGGACAACGACCTTTAACTCCCTGCATGAAAATCTAGTCCATTTACCTTTAAATCTACGTGAAAGTTTAGGGCTGTTCCAGAGAGCAAAGGTATCAATAACACCTACCTCGTCAATCTATCCTTGAAAGCTGTCACTCTCTGTTATTTACAAATGTGTATTTATCAGTCAGTCACATTCAGCTCAATGAGGGGTCTCACCTGGTGTCCACCGCCTGTTGTCCTCTGTCACCATATCAACACCATTGATAAGGTTTTCCCAGAATTCCTCCAGGTTGTTTGACTCAGGCAAACGGCCTGATATCCCTGCTATGACTATATCATCCATGCTGAATTACTGTGAACACACAGAGAGAGAGAGAGAAAGAAGGGTGTTAACAATTAGAGTGAGATTTAAACTCTACATGCATGACACATTTCACTTGAAAACAAAACTCCCAGACATCTCAGTAGACAGATCAAAAGTAATATGTTCTTTGTGTCAAAGAGAATTAAATACATGAACTGAATCCCTGAACATGTATGACTTCTTTAGATGCTGTGAAGACTTCATTCTTTACGTATGCCAGGATTGTATTTCCTGACCAAGAATCTCATCTCGCTCCCTCATTGTGAATCTTTGCTATTGAAAATGTACAGAAAGACTATTTTATGTGGTTGGTCCTCCAGTCTGAGATTACCGCTCTTGTTGATGGTGGTTTTGTTTGCATTTATAGATCATTAAAAGGCATTACTATACTACCAGTCTAAAATTCTACACAGGGGGTTTAAGGACAGCTGGTTCAGTGAATGAACGCCATACTTCATCAATTGAAACAGCATCATTTTGTACCACCCACACGGTCAGTCAGGTGGAAAGCGATGCGTGCAGCCGACAGAAGCCTCTGAATTCTTATAAAAATCAAACCCTGAACATTTCCTCACAGCTGGATACAGAAATCATAAACTCACAAAATGTAACATGTTCCAGTTTAGAGAGGATGTAGTTGTGTTTGCACTGACCGCAGCTTTAGAAATGAGGAATTGTCCCGAGCACGCATGACAGGGCACTGAGAGCAGACAATGTAGTCTGCTGATAGACTGCTCTGTGTACATGAGTGAGCATGCTGCTGTATGTGTGTGTGTATGTCTTGGTCTTTGTTCCTTGTTTCTAGGCCAGGCCTTTCCGTGTCAACAGGACCGAGCCCGTTGACCAATCAGCTTGCAGCTTTGGACTGGACTACTGTAAACAAAAGCATGTCACAACCTTGCTGAAGAACAGACAGATTCTTTTCCCCCTATAGTATACTGTATATACACAGAGGTATTCAGAAAAGAGACAAAGCATCATCTTAAATAGACAGGAAATTCACTAATTTATCACAAAGTTTTTATGATAATAGAATTTAAGTGGTCAGATCCCTACGGTTTGATTTATTCTAGCTGTTACATTGGTCACGAGGCAAAGCTGAAAGCATCTGCATGACACACTGAAGCTACTTAATACTCACACTAAACATCAAACATATGACACCATCAGTGGCCTTGTTACAGCATGATTACAATGATGATATTTGCTTATATTCTCAGGCTGCCTTTTCTTATTTCAAAGCGTTTATTATCATTTTAAGTAGGGATGCACCAAACCGATATTTGGATTGGATATCAGCTCCGATATTGACAAATTAACTGGATTGGATATCTGATGAATGACGACGATCCGGTTCTGTTCGCTCTATATTCTATGTCTGTCTATCCTTTTGCACTAGAAGTTTACATGTAAGTCTTATTTCTTTTTGTTGTGTGCTAGTGTGCAATTTGTTATTTAAAATGACGTTAATAAATGATATAAGTAAATTTATATCTGTGCTAATTTGTTACTTTTTTTGAACAAGGCTAATGTCAAGCCTTATGCCTTCACTCACTGGGCATATCGGATTGGATCTGTAATATGTATCAGCGCATCTCTAATTTTAAGCAACATGAAAACAGAGTGAACCAGTATATCACTGTGATAGGCTAACATACTGCAGACAGTCTGTCATGCATGCCTGATAATGACTCACTTAATCTAGTTCACTCCAATTAACTGCTGCCATCTTATACAGGTACGTGGTGCGTTTCGTTAATCCAAACCAGTTCCAGAACAGAACAGGTCCAAACCTGTTCTAACCGTTGTCTCATATGGCTCTATACTTCTTGGTTACATATTGATGCCTTCCACGAAAAGATACACGTCTTGCAAAACAATGATGTGATGCATTGCAAGAGGCAGCCAGCAGCAATGACAGCCAAGGGAGTAATTATGTTGGACAGAAGACAGGAGCAGTTCAATATTTTGAAACTGAACACACAGATATATGAGGTCAAATGATGGGTGTATTGTTTACACTGTTTATTTCTTTGTTATCTGGTCTTTCCGGGGTAAAAGCAGGATGGTCAAGGCCCCACAGGTTGTTCAAGTCCTTTCACACGCTCAGCAGAAGGAGGGATTTGGACTGCAGGCCATACTAGCTTGGGATTAGACCGTGATGAATCACCTTCAGTCCAACACCTAGCCTTAAATTAGCCACATGACACACTATGCACATGACTGCAGGCATAAGGAGACTACCCACACTGGCTGTAATCAGGGCTAGTCAACAAGTAGGCCTCAGATGTGCAGTTACTCAGCACTCTTTGAAAGTGTGTGCAAGGTTGCAGCTTGTTGCAGCACTGATGGTCACTTTAAATTATCAGTAATAACAGTGACTGTTTGCAGGGGTGCCACAGTGATGTAGTGGTTGGTGTTGCTGCTTGATTCATCCTGAGGAGATGATTATTTCTTTACATGGGTGATTCAAGCCTCCTCCTTACACAGCCTAAAAATATACAAGTTAACAGGTGGTTAGAATTGCTCAAAGGTGTGTGTATATGTGCTGGATTGTCTGTCTCCAAGTGTCAGCTTTGATTGACGGGTAGCCTGTCAGTATGTACCCCGCCTCTCCCCTAACACTAGCTCTTATTGGCTCCAGGATGAGTGGTAGGGATGATTGATGGATGGATGGGTAGCTGCCTGCAGCCTATCCTCTACAGTCACCCATTAGCAAATTCCTTTCAGACATAAAATTTGAATATTTTTCTGTACATCCAGCCCCTTGAGACAAGACCTGGCTTGTCACATAGCTTGATAGAGGGGTGGACACAAAATGACAAAAAAAATCCAGAACTGCATCTTTACTTTACAGGTGTGTGATCCTTGAAGTGAGGAGGGATACTTACCATTTTTACTCTAAAAACAACACAAACTTTAAATCTAGCGCTATCTTCTCAGGGATAATGTGCACATTAATTCATACTGAGTGTGTTTCTTCAAGTACCAATGAATTTATGTAAACTATTCATTCATTGCAGCAATTCTAGTTTCTTTGTTGCATAATTTAATTGTTAAAGAAAACATTTATGTCCATCTGCAAACACATAGCGCCAAAGGCAAACAAGGAAATACAGTGAATATTGAACTGTATTGGTGTTTGTTGTCCACTCACTTCTTAGCTCTTTTTGCTCTTTATGCAAAACTGAGCTGCTTGCTCTTTTATGGAAACTTTTGCGGATACACTCAAGAGTGGTCAGTTAAACTCCACAGAGAGAATTTCAGACAGTTTTTAATACCAAAGCTGTTTGATTTTCAATTTCCTTCAGCAATCATGCCCCAACCCTAGATTCACACCAGCAGGGGAAACTGTGAGTCCACAATGTGGATATGAAGCATCAATGAGCCATTCATTCTGAGCTGACTGGGTCTGTAAAGGTTCAGGGAGGCTTGTAGACTCAGTGACCTCCAAGTGGTCAAGCTGGACTCAAAGCCCATCCTCTAATCATGGCTGCTTGTCAGTGTCTCACTCCTGTGACCACATGCCAGTGCAGCAGAGCAGCATCTGATGTTATGACATCATCAGTGTTAACAGAATGACAGACTGGCACTGGCATGTTGTTTACGCCATAATCCGTGGAAACCAACACACCCCCAGCAGGCAGTACAAATAGAGCTGGATGAGCCTGTTTGGACGATTGTCTCCTCTTTGACTGGGCACAAGTATTTGATACAGGAAACAAATATTCAGGTTCGACTGATACCAATTTAGAGGGCGACATTTCCTGACAAAGCAAACCACAATCTGCTTAGCTTTGAATTCAAACTATTGTCAAGTATGAGGTTATTGCTGAATTAAACCAATCTACCCTCTAACCGACAATATAAGTATCTGTCGAACTTGAAGGCAAAAGACTTAGAGCTCCCCCTGCTGACTGGCTGCAGCACATGTTGTAAAACCAGCCTCTATGGTGGTAAAGTGCTCGTATTTCTAATGTTCAGTTTTTTATAAGTACTGTTTACAAATGAGGCTAATGCAGCTAATTGCAGCTAATGCAGCTTTTCTCATGGAAATGCAATCAGACCGAGATGCTAACGCAGAAAAAGTCGGCGTCTGCAGTGTAAAATGATTAATATGGTGATTATTACTTTAAGGAAATGATAAAGAAATCATCATAAATGTTCTTCCTTGAGCTGCGTCACCCCACAGCAGTCTGTAATGGACTGGTCGAGGTCTTGCTACAAACAAGCGGCTGCTGGAAGAGAGTAGGTGAGTTGTGTTTAGTCTCTTTGCTGAAGAAATCAGGCAAAGCTAAAAAGATGTTTGGTGGCTAGTGCTGTGGCTGGGACATTATATATACTGTTGATGAAGTTAGGTGCTGTTCTGAGCATTATTTGTGACTATAGAGTGGCTTCTTGGTTGAGCGCGTGGCTCTCTGTATTGCTATATGGGGTCGTTACTAAAGTCGACGGGGTGTCTAACTCGGTGTCACGGTGTGTTTGACCCTAACTTAATTTTACGCTGGAATATCCCTTTAACAATCTGTTTTGTTGTGGATGTACCTACCTGAATCATCAACATTTCCCAAGTGTGTTTTGATCAGCAGCTGTGCATGCCTTGGTTTCACCAAATCATGCAACCTTTTGGCAACAAAGCTTATGGTGGGCGCCAATTATGTCCATACAGTTGATGATGTGCTCATTTTATATAAATTCATCTGTTGAATATCCTACATTTGATTTATTGTGAAAAACAAACATGCAAACCATGCTATTTGGTGCTGTATTTACCTGATGGAGCACCAAAATGTGGGTAATGTCTGGGCAGCTGCCAACACTGAGAGTGAAAGCAAAGCCACTGGCACCAGGGTACAAGGACAATCACAATCACGACAGCCTGTGAAATCTTACTTGGATACACCCAGTCAGACCTACTAAATGACCATTTACAAGGGGGTTTGATCTTGAGTTCATACTTAAGTTTCACAGCTGTGATGAGAGTACAGTAAAAGTAAAACAGCATTGATGATTGAATGTTTCACATGGACTGCAGTGACGAGGCAAAAACATCGACCCTTCAGATTTTAGAGACCTGAGAGTCTAATATTGACTTCTTTACAGTTGAATCAAATGTACTCTCTGTTTCTGTTCAATGTAACGCTCTACTGTCTTGTTTACAATAAGGGGAAGTAGGGATATACGAAGTTATAAATCGTGTTTTGATGTATAAAGTCATACAATGTAATGAGAGTGACCACGCTTCCTATCATATAATTGCAGCTACCGTTAAGAGCCGTTGGCGAACTTACCGGTTTGATGTCCCTGTAAACTGACGGCGTTGAACCTCTCGGTGAATGTTAGAGCTTGTTTGGCATGAATTCCCCGGGTTATTTCCGTTCGCTATCTTATCTTATATGCCGGTGTTCCTGCTACTGTAAATGTCTCTGTATCCCTGCCGCCGTTACTCCGTAGATAAGGCTAACGACGTTCCCCTCCCTCCGCGCTTCTTTAAATCTTTCCTCTGATGAATTTAAATGTCTCTCTCATTCTGCCTGGCCACGCCACATGGGCTGACAGCTTGGCTGGGCCGTGCAGTCCAATGAGAAAAGAGGCAGGGCTCTCTGATTCAGCCACTGATGGAGTAATTCGTTGAACAGCCGTGGAGAAAAAAAATAAAATGTGGAGAGGAGGTTACTGGAGTTCAGAATGATTCTCCTCCAGGCAGACACCGTCGCCCCGCCCCGCAGGAGTCTACCGGACCACCGGCGTGCAAAGAGTGAGAGAGAGAGAGGGAGAGGGAGCTGTAGCTGCATCACTTTATGTACCGTAAGGATACACTTTGAAGAAAATGCGTTTACTGAGGCTCAAAGCTTCTTTAAAGTTTCTCACCATCTCTACTGTCTTACCACTGCACCTTTGTCTCTGAATGCAATTTTTTTAATATGACTGCTATATTTAAGACTAATTTTAACCCAAGAAAAGGTTATTTAGAACAGGCATTAATCTAAGTAAAAGTAAAATAAAAGTTCAAGTATATAAAAACATCACTCATTTACAGTAATATGGGTATGACACTCAGTAATTTTCAGTCTCTGCCTTGTCAAGCCTGTAATAATAATAATAATAATAATAATAATAATAATAATAATAATAATAATTATTATTATTATTATTATTATTATTATTATTATTATTGTTAATTTATTTTTCATTTTTAAAATTTTATTTTTCATTCATTACTTTTTTCGAACATGAATTTCCAACAACAAAAACCCTGATTATAGTTTATTGGTGGACATGGATCAATCTGTTATTATTATTATTATTTTCATTTTTTCCAACACCAAAAGTAAACTGAAAACAAACAAACACAACTAGTGAGAATATTTAAAGCAACAATAACAATAATCAAAGCAAAAAAATTTAACTAAATAAAAAAAACCTATAATAATGCTAACCCAACATGTCTGAAAAGGAGTAGGATGAAGGATGAAAATTATTATTATTATTATTATCATCATCATCATCATTGCTATTTCAGCATTAGTTAATATGGGCTAAATAAGCGCACGCCCACTTGGATTTAACACTACATCCTCACAAATATACAAACATAATAGTAGGATTGATCAGCTCAGATTAAACTAGATGTAACAGTATAAATTAGTCACCTACGTGTGCATTTATATTGATACCCATTTAAGATTCTGTCTGATAAAAGTCAAATAAAATTATTTTTTATTGCATACACTGTAGTTATGGGTATGCATGTTCAAGTGAGTCCAGATTTGCAGCACCCTAGCTCTTGCATTCATGGACAGACTGATGACAGACGTACTCACCTGCACATCACTTATATAAGGACAATTTGAGGAACATGTAGTTCTGAAACTTAAAGGGAGCCCTCCTAGGAAGACATGGCTTGAAGAGGAGGTATGTCACGTGATCTTATTTCTTGAGGCTTTATGCTGAAGACCGAATCAGTATTGTGTAACACTATTCTCGTAAAGCCTGACATTTTTGACACTGATTCTAATTGTGGGAGCAAAAGTTTGAGAGATACTGATCTGGCAGCTGGAATAGAAACTTTAGAGCTGTTACAATTCCTTCTTATCTATATTTGCTTTTATCATATTAGATCTTCTGCTTTGCTGATCTACATGCACTGCTAAGTGGATTCACAGCTTTAACTGCACTCTGCTAGAAAACAAATGCGTTACTAAGCCCCCCAAGATTGCTTTCTGATTTGCATGTCTGATTCACATGCAGGGAAGTAAATAGCAGCTATTGAGTGTGGAACAATATAACTCCACAAGGCTGCACTTTAAAACCAGTACAGGTAAATTCAAATATGTACTTTTAAATCACAAATAGTTCTTTAGTTAGTATATACCGACTGTAATTAAAATAGTTCTGATTTATTTGAACTTACTGTCTCAGTTTACACCAGCTGAAAGTACACAGAAACTATGTTTTGACACAAATCAGCGGTTATATTTGACAGCCAGGATGAATATGAGTAAACGCTGAAACATCCTTTTATCTTCTCCTCCTGGACCTGCAGCATCATGTCTAACATTATGTAACTTTACATTGAACTTGAATGTACACAGACCGGCATAGACACACACGTGGGTTACACACACTCTTTGAGTCTTCTGGATGACAGGTAGGCTGGCCAATCACAAGGCGTGGGTGTGAGGCTCCGTCCAATCACAGCAGAGGAGAGCGCGCTGTTTGGGGATAGGGTGATTAAGAGGCGGGGCTGAGAAGATGACGTAACAGGAAAGCTCGTCTGACTTCTTGGGGTTACTGGAGTTCATAATTTAGGTCGGGAAGACCTGTAACAGCAGCAGCAGCACAGATAACAGGGTTTAAAAGCACACAGTGACCCTCTCATCTACAGCCAGACACTAAGAACCCTACATTTTTAATGTTGATGTTTCCAAACTCTTTAATTCAGAGGACAAGAAACATTGAAGATTAACATGTCATAGTTTGCTCCTTTCATGGCCTGTTAATGTGCAGAATTAGAATTAGCAGTCACATTTCTGAGACAATCAGGCATGTTTAAGGGGCAAAACAACATTTTATTTACAAAATTGTTAACAAAAGTAAAAACACTTCATGTGAGCATCACTTCATATTTTAGATTTCTGTTTGTGCATGGATATTAGCAGTTATAAAAAAAAAAATCGGCAACTTGGTGATAAGATTTATTATATCTAAGTATATTTTTTATCTTCTTGGGATGGGAAACTAAAGAGATCAGTGAAAAAGAAAAGACAAAGAGATCTGGGCTGACCCAATGGTGACCTCAGGTGTTGAAAAATTTAAGTGTCTGCATGAAGCGACCTCCAAAAGACTCAGAGCCCACTAATACTATGAATTTTTCTATCTCTTGTCATTTCAGTAACTGTTTGATTAGGTAGCAGTCAATCTTAACTGATTTGTCAAATTTCCTGTGTACACATAAACGGCAGCCTAAAACAGCAATACATTAATTTTTAAAGATTTGACAAAACTGCTTGATTGTGAACACCAAATATTTAAATGGATATCAATGGATTGTCCAGTATGTGCATGGTTCAGTCTTTGATATTGTAATTCCTGATCTTGCTTGTCCCTCCAGGGGCTCCAGGTCTTCGTCTGGTCTTGCTGGCGTTTGAAGTAGTTGTTGAGGTATTCCTCATTTGCTTGCCGTCGGCTATTGGCAGGTTATGGATGGGAGCGCTGACACCCTGCATGGTCATTTGGACTCCAGCACCACCATCACCATCAGCTGCTTCATGCCTGCTCAGGTCACCTTCAGATCCAAATAAGAAAACTTAGTACGATTAGCTTACATTTAATATAAGTTTCTACAGACCCATTTTAAACTCACCCTTCATTTTAACAGATGCTCACTTTCAAAATCTAAGTTTGCAGAGGCCAAACTGCTTAACTTTAGACTTCAGAACACTGTAACATGTACTTACAGCAAACATCATGGTTGCAACATCTAATCTCATGATCAGCCTGTAAGGTTGTTGAATTTTTAAGTGCGTAACAACAATGAAAGCACTGAGGGTTACAAAACAGATCTACATACAGTTTCAACATAAAGCTGCTGCAAGCAAAACAGAGAGAGCAGTAATGGTTTTACTGACAGAGTGAGAAAGGAGAGAGCGTGTGATATAGATAAATAAAGGAGTAAAACAGGAAAATAAAATTGTTGTTCACAGTGATCACATCCTAATCGATTAATTTACAAAACCACAACTCTGGTTAAAATGTGAAGGTGGTAGATTTTGTTGTCTACTACTGCCTACATAGGGTATGTGTCTCTGCTCTGCTCTCCATAACACCTGAAGATAACTCAAATCTTTAACACAATGCAAACTGTTCTGATCCACAGGTCAGCAAATACCTGCATCTTTAAACAATGAGCTGAGAGTGTTAGACAGAGACTGCAATTCCACCTGGTCCTTTTATGTTTTTATCAGAAAATATGGAGGAAGGAGACAGCAAAATCTCTGCAGATATACAAACAACCACACACTACATGATACTATAGAGGAGATGGGTCTATTTACCTTGAAATCCATACATTATTTTTGTGTGAAATTTAGTACAATGGCCCTGAAGATCATAACTGCACAAATATCTCAAGACCACAAATTACATGTCACCTACTGTCAAACATGTTCCATCAATGTTTTATCTTATCTAAAGAACAAAAATGTTTCATAATAGACAACGAAATTTTGTATAACCTAGAAAGCTTTCATGACATGCAAAAATCATTCACTGCCAAAAGATTCAATGACATTTAAAACTATTTTCTGAAAAAGCAGACATAATCATGAAATATTTAATCAAAACAAAAAATCTGACAAAGCCAAAGCATAAATATTTCATAAGATACAAAATAAAAAAAAAATCACAAATGTCAAAAAATATTTTCAGTTTCACACAACATTAAAGCTTTTTGCAAAATATAGTTTTTTTACTTACTGTTTGCATTTTTTTTTTCCATTGAAAAGGAATGCCACAATTTATAGACAATTATATGCATATGCACAGGAGGAAGTGTTGAGGCTGCATGGCCTGTGAGTAACATTTTAGTCCTCTATTTCCCATTAAACTTGCCTATTTCAACTGTTAGAACAACATTTACAGCACACATATCCACGTCCAAAATCACTAATTTCACAAAAGAAAACACTACTATTAAACTTCTAATGCAAATATTCCAACAATAATATTCTTGCTTAAATCTCTCACACAAATGCACCTTTTTCCATTTTGCAAAACATTTTGGTGTTTCATGAAACTTTTTTTTTTTGCATTTGAAGAGGTCTTTCTTTAGCACTGGGGGAAATAAATTTGTGTTTGCAGAAACATTCAGATGCTTTGTTAATTTTTTTTTTTTTTTTTTTGCATAAAATGTGTGCGTAGTTGACCTTGGAGGTTACTGTAGTTCAGTTGCTTGCTCATTTAAAATCCACCCCTATACTTTTGAACATGCTCTATTAACCTGTCTAGCTTCACTTTCATAAGCATCACTCAAACAACCAGAAGGCTAATTCTGTATCTTATGTAATCTCTTTGTACTGGACACAGTAAGTACAGTTTTTGTGACATAAGTTTCAAACTAACACCCCCTTAGCCACTCTTGACAAGCCTGGGCTGATGTTAAGGGCTTCGGGGTCCAACCAAAGCATGTAGTAAATGTGGTCTTCTCTAAGATGCAAATGAAGGCTGCAGTAGGGAAATTTTGGTGCAATGGCCTTGAGGAATGAGGGGGCTCAGGGTTAAAACTTTTGTTTTAAGAGCTGGGAGAGAAGCATCCAAGGTGCTGTGATTGTAATCGAGTGAAAGAAACTAAAGAAGCTAAAGTCCCTGCGTAGAACTTGATGCAAACTGATTTATGCATACAGACTGGCTTGTTCTGATTGTAACTGTATCTTCACCAGCTCTTAGTTGCCACTGTAAACTCTGTGACCAATCATTACAGTTCTGCTTCATACGCCCGATTTCACAATTATTACATGATGGTAAAAGATGCTGATCACGGCGTTTCAGTCTGATTTCTCTGATTGAGAAATTGCTCCCTAGACAGCAAACAGTGATAACATTACAACTTGGGCAACAACTTTCTTTGATCAATTGTGATCTCACCACTGCAGCTGCTGATCATGCCGCAGAGAGAGAGAAAGGTTGTGTATTTTCTGTGACCTGCTGTACTTGAAACAGAAGACTTTGCCCGCTAGTTTGATGAAATATTTATTGCTGACATACTTCTTAAATTTCTGTTTACACAAGCCCGCGCACACACGTTGAATTCATGTTCTTCAGGAGGTGTAAGTGCTCTTTTTGATCCTGTGCAGATAGCGTATACAAGCGGCTGTCAAAAGCCCCGGGGTATGACACTGAACATCTGTTACATGTCACACCACTTTTTCTCCCTGTTTCATGTCTGTCTTTTTGTTTAATGACTGCACTTGTATAATAAGTGAGTAGTGCTTTGTGGGACCATTTTGATTCTTGTGCACAGTGAACGTATTTTAAACTACTTGTCCACACATACTGAGTTTTATTTTCATCCATTTATGTCCACAAACATCGTACTTCCTTTAGCTGCATTAAAATAATTAGACTGAATGACTAGATTTCCACATTTACAAGTACTAAACAGAGTGAACATGCCTCACAATTTGCACACTTTGTATGTGTAGGAGTGTTTTATGAGTGATTATCCAAGAATTGCTGCGTCAGTAACATCAGATGTAAAGATTTTAGAGGCGGTGGTTTAAATTATAGTTTTGCGGTTTGACTGGTTTATGTAACGGTGACACAAAAAGCGGTCAGACAACAGATTTTAAAGACATACATGCCTTTTTACTCTACATTTTGAATTTTCTTTAGGCTACAGTGGCTGTGAATGTTCACTCTTGTTTGTGTTGTGTCTGTAATCACATCTCCTCCTTGCCAGAAGAACAGCAGCCATCTGTGCGCAACACTGGGAACCTGGATTAGCATCTTTTTTCCACAGGTATCACATTCAGACACAGTCACAGTCAGCAAAATTACTTTCAGACCTAGTAAATTGAAAAGCGTTTGCTCAGTTAAAGTCCTTGCATTTTCCTCTCTAGTATTTTTCACACTAGGTTAGAAGCACCACATATTGCATTGGTTCAAATGTACAAAGCATGTTATCTTGCACATCTGATAGAGGCAATCCTCAGCGTGCATCATTAAGAGATCAGCTTGTGCTCTTTTTGGTGGGTGATATTAAGTTTGCACACAGTTTTACTCATGCAAACCTTTAGTAAATCAGGCCCTTAAATATTTGAGTTATTACAAGACCAGAATTCTGATCTCCAATACTTGACCAGTAAAGCAAAAAGTTTTTTTGTGATTTCAGTCCTGCACAAAGTGTTAGTAAAGAAACTGTGTCATTTAACTAAGCAAAGACCCAAATTTAACAAAAGACAAATTCAAAAAAAGTACAACTTGAAATGAATTATTAGTTTCAGTAGCATACACACTAGCCTGAAGGGGGGGCACTCTAGTCCAAACACGGCTCTACATCTCTGTCCTCTCCAGACTTTGCTTTATTTGTGTTCTTTTTGTTTCTTTTTTTAGTGTGGGTATTGTCAAAGGTGAAAGTTAGTGTGGATTGCTGGTGTTCTGAGTTGCCAAATTTATCTGTTTAGCTTCTTTGAAATGTCTCAGGCCTAATCTGACAAAACACTAGTGAATGGATATGCCCACTTTATAACCCTGGCGGTGATGTTCTTGCATCGATTCTCACCTACCTTCATATCTGGGTTTTGAGAGACACTAACAGCCACAGAATTTGTACAGGGGCTCTGTGGGATGGGTTTCTTTACCATGTGCACACCTTTCATTGAAGGGTATTAAAGTCTCAAATTAACAGTGATTGAATAAAAGCTGTCAAATAGAGTAAACAAGTGAAAGTGTTATTTTTTGGCGTGCTTACCTTCTGAGAAAGTAGATGGACTAAGCCCCTGGTCTAGTTTTTTCCACAGCTCCTTTAGTGACCGCAGTGACTCCTCTGATGACAACAGTGACCTTGATGGACCTAAAAGAGGCTGCAGCAGAAGAGTGAGCTCATTTGAACAGGTTTTACTTACTTTAACAGTCAAAATCAAAAAGACACCACTCTGAGAAATGCATTCTTATACATGAGGAGAGAACCAAGCGGATAAAGCTTTCAAATTCATGGAGGGTTTAGGACTCTTGTGTTACCTCAGGCTTGTCTGGGCTTTTATGTCCCTGAGTCCACGGGTTGGCAGCCCCCTTTAATGTAGAATCTTTGCATTTCGTTTCAGGAACTTGTTGTCCAGGAGCAGAGAGATCTCTCTGCCTAAGTGCGTACTGTAACTCCTGAAGGCAAAAACACAAAAAGTAAAGCTACAGCGCCCTCTGGTGGAGCTTTGACTTTGACAGCGCTGACATCAGATTGAAGGCTGTCTCAAGGATTTACAATAACTTCCTGTTTCATGGTGACAGCTTGAAATCTGATGCACCGCCACAGACACACCTTTAAGGTGTGAAAGCCCTTTTGAACAACATTTGAAGTGTTTATATCAAACAGAGAAGGTGATCTACACCACAGAGTTAATCATGCAATTTCTTGTTGGCAGGAGGGGCTATAAATATGAGCATTTGTGTGTGATTAGGGCTGGGGCACTTATCATGGATGAGAAGTTTTTATCTTTGGTACAAAAGACTGATTCTCTTTGAGAATGACAGGATGAAAGTTTCTCAAATTTGACATTTGACAGAACTTTTTTGTCTTCCTGTTAAAATTTCATCATGATGACCATGACAGACTTTTTTGTAGGTCTTGGCTTGTAAGCTGGACCCACTTTCGCGAAACACATGATATCAAATTTTTCACCAGGCTTGATTCATGTTTGAATTCTAGTGTATTTTGGGGCATGTTAAAATAGCCAAATAAGCAATACTTTGTGCAAAAGACATAAAGGATTATCCTAAGGGTGTCAACAGGATCCATGCTCAGGTCCTAAAAAATTAGCTGTTATGAATTATTAGCAATTATTGCAATGACAACACATTAAACTTTCATTCAAGAAAATAGTGGAGAACTTGAATTAAATCTTGAGTAAGGGACTCATTGTTTGTGAAAGTCTACAATATAAACATGAATGAGATGTAGGTTTTGATGACTGACATTTTAAGGCAAACAATAGTTTCAAATTCACACAAGTTGCATGTCAGTGAAAGGAATCCAGAGGTAGCTGTAGTGAACTGTTTTGATTCATCTGAAGAGCTTCTATATATAAAGGACATGCTGAATCAACAGAAAGATCAGGTTATAAAACAGTGTACTGGATAATAAACATCGATTTGAAGTGATGAAGCAGATACCTGTGTCGTGAGCTGGTACTGAAGCTGTTCCAGAGTAGACAGTCGGTCATGTTGGTCTTCTTGAGCCTTTGGAAAGGACTCTTTCTCTGGCTCGGCTGATTCTATTAAAAATAAAGTTTCCATTTCAGTGATTGTCATTCCTACCATCCTTGCTCTTTAAAAATTAATGTTGGGTAATTTAATAAATAAGAATAAGGTCTGGTTTAATCAGCAACTAGGTAATCTTCAGGCCACAAATCCTAAATGTCCAATAAACAGTGCTGCTGCTGCTGCTGATAAAAAGCCCATAAACTCAACAGATATTAAATTCATTATGAGGTACTAAATTATGTATATGTGTGGCGGTGAGTAGGTCTGTTATTATACCCTGCAGTCCAGCTGTGGCGATCTGGGCACGGAGGCGGTTGCCCATCTTAATCAGCTGCTGTTTCTCCATGCTCAGACGGGTGATACACAGCGCTGCCTGCTTCAGCCTGCTGTGTAAGCGATCACGGTCGCTTTTATCAAATAAACCACCAGATATGAGAGCTGAGGTCTGCTGCTGCTGCTGCTGACGCAAACGCAGGTTCTCCTCTTGGAGCTTTTGTACCAGAGCACTCTGGGAGGGAGATAAGGAAGGAGACGGATCTGGATACTGCACACAGAGATGACCTTATAACAACTGGCCAATTTTGTAAGACAATGTGACACAATACTAAGATACAATAAATGAGAACTAGAGTTCAGCACCACTTTTGTCCAATAAAAAAAATAATAATTCAAGTGATAGTCATTTGTATGTATTAGGTAAGACTATTTGAGAGCTCCCTGCACACCTTCTTTCTATTTTATGTGCATATGTAAGAAGCCAAGGCAGGTAGAGCAGCATAAAGGGAGAGCTGAGGTCAAAGTGGGTCTACAGAGGCTGCACAAAGAGTAGGCAGACTAAATCAATTTAAACGGGAGCCCTGTTTTGACAGTCACAAATTATACGAGTAAAAGGTAATCAGCTGAGCTGTCAGCTGATGAAGGCAGGGGTTAGAATCAACTGATATACTGTGAGCTGAGCTTGACTTCATGGCCTGTCTGAAGGCTACACTCAATTTGTTCCAAAAACTATACTAGTGTGAGAGACACCTCTGTTAGAGCCTTTAATGCAAAGATGAATTATTGGAGAGTATGTCCATCTTTGCTCAGATTTACTGACTTCAAGATAATTTGTTTCACTGGAGCAGTAACCTTCAGAGCAGGTTGCTTTTGCTGCCACTAGTTTAAGTTTACATCCTTAGAGCAGAAGAAGAACTATTTCGATCCCTAAAAGGGAATTCAAAGCTAAATTTTTGGTGTGGCTTCAAAGCTACGCCAAAGGAAACAGTATTTCTTAAAGCGAGAGTTTCTCAACATTCCCGCTTTGAATATATTCTGTTGAGCAACAACGGTGACACCCTGAATAAAGAGAAATGTTAGCGAGAAATTGCAGACACACGTCAGCAACCTGGTGAGTAAGTGCTGTTAGCTATTCAGGGAGTCTTCTAGCCCTGTCTGTGACATCACACCGATTGTGGTCTCTGGTCTTGCACAATTCACAGTATGATTTTAGGGTATTTTGGTTACCTAATCTGCCACAGTGTCAGTGAGAAACAGAGAAATTGTCTGACCTCAGCAGGAGACCAGCTGGACCAGTGTTTTGGATCACATTTCTTAAATATCAAATTTCATCATGCTCAATTTTGATACTTCTATGCAAATGGTTTTAATTGTTTGACAATCATAAGTTTGAACAACAGAGATCAGAGGTTTTAACTCCTTAGAGTAGATCCAGGCAGCCACCTAGATGTTACTGGCAGGATCACAGACTTCTTTCTGTACCTGTTCCATGATGCTGATGAGAGCAGACTCCCTGTTAGACACTCTGACACTCTGCTGCTCCAAAGCACAGGTGTTGGCACATTTCTCCAGACACCTGCCTCCTGAGGATCCAAAACAAGCACAAGAAAGTAAAGGAAAGTCAACACGAAATGCACCTTATTGATCATCTGTACAAACAACTGCTGAGAGATGAGGATTTTATTTACACTTTCATGCATTCATCCACTACTTTTGCTCATTTTGGGTCCTATAACATTAAGGTTAATATTCAAAGGGTGTGAAAAAGGTGAAAATGAAAAAAGAGGATTAAGAAGACTTCAGTCTCTCTAAGGTTGCATCATTTAACCCCTGAGCTAAACCAGTAAAAGTAGATTAATGAAGCTGATACTATCAGTTAGAGAATAAATCATTCTGTGACAGAACATGATCCCTAATAATCCTGTCAGTTCAGTGTTTAACTATTGCTATGTTAAGGTGGTAGAGTTGCTACAGCTCTCGAAACTTTTAGCTTCAGAAAAAAATGCATTAAAAGGATACCTTGTTCGAGTGCCTGTTGTTGTCTTTGTATATTCTCTGAGCCCCCTGGCTGCAGGTGCCGTGTAGGTCTGTCTACAGCTGGAGCAGTGCTGGGCTGTCCTGCAGTGCCTTCTAGCTGCTCCTTGAGGTGCCTGCACTGAGCCTTTAGTAGGGACACCTCTTGCTCCAGAGCTTCAGTGTAGCCTGGGTGAATTTTCACAAATATGATCATCAGAAGTCTGTATTGTTCAGCCATTTTCCCCCCATTTATGTCATTATTCTTATAATTAGGTATAGAAGCAACAAGTAGAGGCATTCCCCTTACTTTGTCAGTCGTATGTTTAGTTTGAAGAGTCCTGGTTTAACCAAATTCAAAAGAAATATGTACTTTTCATACAAAGTCAATATCTAGACAGCTCTGTGCCCAGGAAAAACTAGTAAACTAGTAAAGACTTAAAATCAGTTTTTACAGCACAAAAAATAAAATGTAAGCATAGCTTCCTGTGGTGTTTGTAGTTCTCAGTATTGGTTTACTCCCAGTCATTCCCTGTATTTCTTACTATTCAGCCAAGTGTATTGAATATCTGATTCTGACTGGTCAAAAACCTGTGACTGCAGTAATTAGTTCTAATTAGCAAGAGCAGCGCAAAGGACAACCTGATCACACACACCCACTCATATCAATCCCTGCAAAAGAGTCCCGCACATTTTAAAAGTTCATTTTTTTAATCTTTCTGTTGACAATGTGGCAAACGTTAGTTTGCAATAGCATCACTCTCAGTTTATTCTAAGGGTACAAACTTAACATTGGTGGTTAATGGCAAAAAAAGAAAACAAGAGAATAAAAGCAGCACTGAAATTAGTCAGAGGCATTATAACTCATAAGGAGCTGAGTGCAAGAGAAATCAACCAAACTGAAGAAAACATGACGACATGAAGCAAACACAAACCACAACATGGTATGAGCTTTGACAGTGTTACAGGGCTGGTGGAATAAGAAAACCCCAAGAGAAAAGTTACAGAAAAAGGGACCAAAAACAGGCGCTACTGTTTTTGTCTGCGTCTGTAAAGGTGAATGTTGTTTGGACTTTGGTGTGAATAAAAATATTGAGGTTATAGAGATTTATGTCAGTTTAGCAGGATAACACTGAGACTTTAATGTGAGTGGAAATATGAAGTTTGATGTTAATTCCTCTCTCAAGTAGCCAGTTGAGTGTCTAACTGGAGAGATTATCTTTACTTAAGTTGTTTATATTAAATTATAACATTATTATTATTATTATTATAACAATTATTATAACATTATTATAACAAGCTTCATGGCCACTATACAAGATTGTCAACCCTGCTAAGTGTCTGGGTCTTGTCTCATGCTATCAGGATTCTATTTAATGTAACTACTCCCTTACTATACATTATCCCTTACATATTGAGGGATGATCAGGTAGTTTGTGTAAAAGAGTGCTGTCCATACCTGCTGGGGTGACCTTTGTGGACATGTCAATGGACTTGGTTGGTGGTAAATTGGCTTGCTGAGTGTTCTCAGAGGTTGTGGGATGCTGAGCTGGCTGAGGAGGGGAGGTCTCTGGCTGGGCCTGGGGATGCAGAGGGAGCTGGCTGAGGCCCTCCATGTCCTTCCTCATCTGGTTAACCACAGCCCTCAGGACGCTGTTCTGCTCCTGAAGCCGGTGGATCTCCTCTGATGCCAGATAATCTACCTTTGGTGTGAGGCCCTGTGGGAGAAAACCAAGAATCATGTTATACCTGAGCAGCGTTAAATGTTTGTGTCCTCTTTTTGCAGACCTACATCAGACTTCATTGACAAACTGATGGAACTGTACAGCAGCAGGAGATACCTTGTGTATCCCCCCTATGGATGGCTGGGTTGAACCCAGTGTCTGAGAATCTATGCGAAATGTCTTTAATTCCTCCAGCCAGATGAAATACTTTGCAGGAAGTATTACTGACTAATTCATATTGATGGACTAATTTATGGATCTGAAATAAGATTAAAGTTCTTCACAGTCACAAATACCAGCAACTGAGACAGAGAACAAAGGTTCACATGCTTAAGCCAGTCCTGCCATGGTGATGCAACCAGCTTGGCATTTACAGGAGTGTTTCCAGGGCCTGGGGTATGTTATGTTAAAGAGCATACATTACATGTCCAGAGTAAATCAACCTGGTTATTGCTCCATGGTAGAATCTAACAGTATAAAACTTTCAGATCTTATTATGGGAGGCTTTAAAGTTAAAACTATGCCATGCATGTTTCCCCCGTGCCTGGTTTCTCTCTGGGTTCTTCAGTTTTATCACACAGTGTGAACTTGAGTTTGATTGGTGCCTCATTATAGTATGACGTAAATACCAGTGTACTAACTCTTTGTGCCAACCCCATGATGGACTGGTGACATATTAAGTGCACACCCTGACTCTTGGCAGTTGGGCTCCAGTTAACCTCACAGCTTTAGAGAGGCTAAGTAGTCAGGAGAATGATTGGATGTCCTGTGTACAAAAACTGTTTAAAAAGTTTCCTTAAAAAATATACTGGTGCACAATCAGATTTGTTATGTAGAGTTTGAAAGAAAGAAATGATGTGGTTGTACTTAGTTGAATTCGTCAAACCAAAATATCACACACCCCACGACTGTCCAGGGTTTGTAACTTTCAACTATGCAACAGTTTTCTTCATTATGAACCTCATTGACTTTAGAGATGCCAATGACTCCAAGTTCCCTTAATTTTTATTCCACTCTGGTTTACGAAATAACTTTTTTAATATTATAACTTTTTGAATCATGACCTTTTTTTAGTGGTTTTTATTTTTTAGATTCATGAAGTAAACTGACTTTGATAATGCACTGTCATAATCCCTTGTGTGTAGTCCATGATATTGTGGGTGTTTCTTCTGCAAAGCTGAAGACATTTGTCTGTTATTTGTTCAAGTCACCAGGAGGTCATCACTTGCTTGCTTTATTTTTACTATAGACTGTAAATACTATGGACAACTTGGTTCTGCCTTCTGCCGGTATACAGATTTGAAGCCTCGGTATTTCCAGGGTTTTTTTTCCACTTCCTGAAACCAACATTGCGCAGTAGCATTGTACGCATTCGGTGGGAGAGTCGCAGAGAGTCACTGCAATGACACTCGGCTCAAACAGCGTATCCCCCGGGTGAGCTACGCAATCTTTGTACTCCCATAGGCTGTATCAGGTGTCAATCATAGAAAACATGAACCCCCGAATAACTTAAAAAAATTGAGCTGTACAGAAACAAGAGGACTTGATTACAAACCAGTCATACAGTAACTACATGTCAACATCATAACCTGGGGGGAGAAAAATTTGTATTCTGGTTAATTAATTCTAAAGTTTGTCCACAGCTCCATAGGGATTGCTGGAGGAGGCGGGATTTATGACCTATACTGTAGCCTGTCACCAGAGGGTGCTGTTCTCGCGGTGGCATTACCCAGCGAGAAGGCAACTGGCATCCATTCTATATACGGTCTATGGTTGTTACCAACTTGACACCTCAAGTTTGCATGTGTGGATTTCGCCACCTTGAGTTACACAACTGGCCCGAGGTGGAGAGGTGATCTGTCATTTGTGAAGTGATTTACTATCACTATATTAATGGGAAACTCTAATTATTCAAGATTATTGCAATACATTGTAATTGTAACTTTAGCAACAGACTAACACATTCCATAAAAAAGATTCTATTTCTCAAACAGGACGACAAAAATTCAACCAAAGAAGCAGAAAAAAACATTATCAGATCACATAAATTACCCCTTGTTTGACACAAAGGAGTCATGCCTGCCGCCTAACCTGCTCTTTGTCTCACAAATATTGGAGTCATCCCCTGCTGGCTACTAACAGAAAATGCTGTTTTCATATGAACTGTCTAACGACTGCAGTTGAAACATGGCACACTAATTGTTTTGACATTTTTACAGGTATTTGCACTTGTTGCCAAACGTCCTTCACATGCGTCATGAGAGAGTGTGGTATGTTTGGAGGACAGTGTGCTGGACTGAAAGGCCATCATACCTCTAAGGGTGCTTGAGGAAAAGGTCAAAGGCCAAAAATAGGGCACTAAATGCACTCTACAAAGAATTCAGGGACACTGCATATTTAGCAAGCCCATGTGATGTAAAGAGGTATTAACATGTAATGTATAAGTTTTGCTTTTACATTAAAATCTCTCTACTTGAATGAATCCACATCTTTTGGTCGAGAAAGAGCATTTAAATATATTATATTTTAATTTTACATGTTCTCCTTACTACTGAGGTTCTGGAGTACAGCTGGATTTGTTCCAGAGGGAAGACACTGCAGCAGAGAGTTTAAATATCATGATAGGTAAATATACAGAGCAGAGGGATGTGAAGAAGTTGGAAGGTGAGGACAAACAGCAGCTGTATTGTGTCTAATGTGTCTCATGTAACATGTAACTACAGAAGTGACCTGTTGGCATATAGACAGAGAAAGAGGAAAAGGTCAATAAGTGTTAAAAATGGAAAAGGTCTGTCCTCTGTTCAGCCTGTGGCAAACAGCCAGATTGAATTTGATACCTCTACTATTCATGTGGAACTGTAAGCCTCACAAATATGAATGTCACCAAAACTATGACCAACTTGCTCTTTGGGATGCACAGGACACACATAAGTAATTTCATGGCTGTCTGCTGAGTAGTTGTCAAGATATTGTTGTAATTTGCTTTTAACAACATTTATTAAACTGTTTAAATAAAGTATGTGTAATAAGGACATTTTCTTCAAATTAAGCAGCTTTCATGTTTTGTGGAATTTTCTTGTGATGTTTCATTTCTCTGATACAAAGTAAGGTTGCGACTGAACATTGCAAAATATTTAATTCATCAAATTTGTAATTTTCCTTTATAATCTGATTGTTCCTAAAGAGGGTTATATCCACGTGTCTGTGCTGGTTCCAATTTTTTCTTCTGAGTTTGTTATGGGACAACCTACTTACAATGTCATCCCCATTAAAAGCCTTCAGGATGAGAAAAGACCCCCTGCTTCAGGTTGGGCCCTGCTCACCCCATCAGGATTTTGATTTGCATAACCACCTGCTCACTATATATAATCTCTTTCATGCAGTGACTTTCACATAGAGCCACAGGCTATGTGCTAGTGGAGAGTGACCGCAACCATGTTTGTAAAGAGAGTAGAATTTCCTTTGCGCTTTGACCTCCCCTCCACATGTTGACAAAATTTACGGTCACTGAAAATGAGGGTTTGGAAAATGTCTTTTCATATGGGCTGTAAAAACTCTGTCGTACTTTAACATGGCAATAGTTTTGATGTAAACTGTGCATTCAAGACGCTGGGATTTGTTCCTCTTTACAAGGAAACCTCACTGTTCATCATTATTCCACAGCACAGAGGGTGAACATCTATATCACAGTCAATAATTGTAATTCACCTCTCTGTACAGAGGTCAAAGAACACTTTTAGTGATTGCTGCTAGCTCATAGTGATGTGTCGTTCGCAAACGAACTGGTTCAAAGAGCCGACTCTTTAACGTGAACGATAGGAGCCGGCTCCTGTCTGTGAGACGTTTTCTTTTCTTTCTTTTTTTCTCTCTTTTTTCCCCCCACAGGCCGTAGAAAAAAAAAAGTACAAGGCAGAATGACTTGATCTCTGTCTGCTTTGTGTAGCAGAGTGGTTCTTTAAGCAAGTCAGTGCATTCATTGGGTGGTTTCAGAGGCTTACAAGGGTCTGTAAATGCAATGAAAACAATTGGCTACAGCAATTTACTGATATTAGAAAATGTAATTTTTACCTGTGAATACTTCAGTACAAAGGATGTATTGAATTATCTAAGAGGTATGTATACACATACGCACATATCATAAGCCAAACAATGCTAAATTTGGCTGAATTAGGAAATGTATAAGTGGTAAAATAAGGAGCCGTGAGGGAGCCGAAAGAGCCGGCTGTTCTTGGTGAGCTGAGCCAAATGATCTGGCTCACTAAAAAGAGTCACTACTCACTCAAGAGGACACGACACGCATGAACATCATGTCCTTCTGTGGCATTTTAAACTGACCGACTGATGGTGCGCTCTATTAGATCTCAGGAGTCAGACTTTCTGAGATGCTCATCTGATACGAAGTCTGGAACACATGCACCCTTAAGTCAGAACTCCTTTTCAGAAACTCTGAGCAACTTGAGGTCACCTGATCTTGGGCTTAAATGTCAATGAGCTGGAGCACTAAGTGGTCTTACTTTTGTAATGGGCTATTTCCTCTTTAAAATCAGATAATGCAGTACCAGATGTTTGCACACGGGAAATGCATGGGAGACTGGACTCAAAGAGGACAACACAGCAGCAAGTCTACAAGCTCTATGTTCAATTCTTCAATGTCCTTTCTAGTTTTTATTACTGTTTTTATTTTTTACTAATGGAACAGGAGTGAAAATATTGAGCAAATTTGTTTAAAAACTTTGTGCTACATTAAAAGAAAACCATTGCCCTCTGAGTATATTGAGTCTAAAGCACTAAGGATCACTAAGGTGTTTGTACTCTCACCTGTAAAGCCTGGTCTCTCTCTGTTTTAACGGAACGTAGTAAGACAGTCAGGCCCTGCAGCTCCTGTTCTTTCTCCATTAGCTCTGCTTTGACCTGACAGAAACAAAAATGAGCACAAGCCAGTCTCATTATCAACATGATTGTCCTGGGCTTGAGTGCAGCATATCAAACACATCACTTGTTCTATTTTTTGTTACCACAAAAAAAGGAGATTAATTCACAAAAAAGAAATGATCTATCTTCTCTGTATGACAAACAATCTTTTCTGTCTTGGACTTTGTGTCCTTGGTTTTCAGTTCCAAGACATCCATAGTGTTAAAAAAAAAAAAAAACAGGAGGGAACCATTTGCATTTCAAAAACCCACAGTAGTTCTTCACACTAAGAGGGTGTGAAAAGCCGACCTGGTCTCTCGCCCGGGTCAGATCTTGTATCAGTTGCTCGTTTGCGAGGTAGAGTTCGGCCTTCAAATCCTCACAGCGTCTCTGCCAGTTCAGCTCCGACTGGACTCTCTTCTGCTCCAACGCCTGCTCCCTCTTTAGACCAGCACTCAGCTGCTGCTTGTACCTGACACAAGGGTACAAGACAGAATTAAAGCTAAAAACAATGGACAAAAACTCACAAAGACTTTGCCTCTAACTGCGTAATCCTAATTCATAAACGATTACTCTAAAGGGACGAAACTTATTTTTCTATCCCTCTTCCTCTTGGTTATCATATTGATCCCAATTAAGGACAACCCTGATCATATAAGACCCCCTTTGAGATCTTTTTTTGGGGGGTGGATGAAATATATGAAAGATACTTCTTGAGGACTTAGGTTGTTTTTTTTCTTTTCTTTTAATTGAAAACAATAAAAAAAACTGCCGCACAAACAAAACTAAGTAAGCAGACATTTTTTTTTACATCTTTTAAATGAAAAATGAAATGTTTAATAAAATAAAATACTAACATCTTTCAAGAATCTACTGACACTCTGATGTTGCAGAAACACTAACTTTTTCCCTTGCCGGTCTCACTTCTGAGTGGATTTTACAGTAAATTGCAACATTGTACTATTCAACCCTCAGAGCTGATATTGTAAACTGAAACTGTCAATAATATACTGTATAAGATGATGTTACATAAGTTTATCCCACTTTTTCAGACATTTTTTCAAGGAAAAAAACCCTCTTGAATTTGGGATGATGCTAAAACTTTGATCTGTAATTGAAAGACCTGATCCAGATGTTGAAAAAGCATCAGGGTGATAACAGACAACAATTTGGGTAAAAGTATATCCTAAGTTTTGATCTGTCTCTTCCTCTCTAGCTCTTTCTTTTCTCTTTTCTATTCCTCCCTTTTCACCCTTATTTTCCTGCTTTTTGTCCTCACCCCTCCATCTCTTCCCTGCTCCTCTCCAGCTCCGTCCTCAGTTTGGTTTCTCTCTCCTTCAGAGCGAATATCTCAGTGTCTTTGACGACCATCTCACTCGAGACTTGAGCAGCATACTCGTCCCAGGAGGTCCGGAGTCGTTCCACCTCTGTGTGATGTCTAGGAAAAAATACGTCACACTTCACAGCTGCAGGTGTCAGCAGGTACTGAATGAGCAGCTAAATATAGTTCACACTGTACACAAAAACATGAATACACTAAAGCCGAAGACTTCACACTCATCTGTCTCACCTGTGGATCATCTGGTTTTTCAGCTCAATGGTCTCCTGCTGGTCTCTCTGGACTTGGCGTGCCTGCGATGCCTGACCCTCCATATCCTCTTGTAGTTTGATGATGTGTTTCTCAGTCTTCTGCAGCTGCTCTGTGTGGGCCTGACGTTGTGCCACCAGCTGGGCTTCACCATCTTTCAGGGCCTGGATCACATCCTCATACCTTCGCCGAAACAGCCATACAGTTGGAAGTCAGAGAGCACCGGTTAAATTAGGTGCCTCATGCACAGAGGTTACAGTCACCGAGGCAGACATCCAAGTTCTAATCCTAAACAGGTGTGGCATTTGTAACTTTACAGCCTAACTATGAAAGCTCCCTTTGCATACTTTGCAGGCCACTTCATAGCAGGCTTTTACTGCTGCAAACCATGCTCTTGTATTTACACCTTAGAGTAAATTTCCTTGAACTTTTGTTTCTCCATTTTGCTTTTGTTCATGGTTTCTGTATGTGGTTTGGGAATCTTTCTTGATAAACTGCCCTAATGCCATATTGTTCCACAAACAGTCAAATCCACATAAAATAATAATAAGAAATCACAGAATGCTAATTGGACACGTGTGGAAATTTTATGACTTTAAATTTTAAGATTTGAATCAAAGACTTTAAAAACTTTTTCCACTATGAAAGCCAAGAACCTGCAGTCTAGGGCTGTAAAGTCCTAGTCAACTGGTCGATACAAGCTGAGTCGACTTTTTTCCATGTCAGTTTATATCCATCCATCCATCCATTTTCTACTGCTTATTCCTGTTGGGGGTTGGGGGTCGCCGGGGGCAAGGGACACCCTGGACAAGTCGCCAGTTCATCGCAGGGCTGACATATGGATACGAAAACCCATCCATGCACACATCACATTCACACCTATAGGTGGTTTGACAGTGGCCAACTAACCTAACCCCACTTTGGCATGTTTTGGGATGTGAGAGGAAACCGGAGTAACCAGAGTAAACCCACGCAGACACTGGGAGAACATGCAAACTCCACACAGAAACGCCCTGACCCGGATTCCAACCCAGGACTTTCTTGCTGTGAGATGACAGTGCTAACCACTACACCACTGTGCCACCGGTGCCAATTTACAATCAGTGGTTAATTTCATCAGGAGGAACGTACCAAATGCCAATCGGGGTGTTTTTTTATAGCACCCCTGTTTCACAGGTAACAGCATGTCTCAGAACACCCCCCTTGTTTTCACCCTTTTGGATTTGCCCAACCCACTGAAGATCAGCTGGAGACAGGAAGATTGAAGAGTGATCACAATGTCTGGTGGTTTGCTGAATATTTATCTTTATCTTGAGTGTTTTAACTTTAATTGTGCCGCGTCGTCCCCCGCTGGAGGAGGGGTTGCCGTCAGAATCAGAAAATCTCACCCCCCACCCCTATTAGTCGATTTTTGGTCGAAAAATTTCAAGGTTTTAGTCGACCAAGAATTTCTTTGGTTGATTACAGCCCTACTGCAGTCTTTAGTCATGAAGCCAAGTACATTTCCATCAACAAGTACCTAAATGAAAGATAACCAAGGAAACATCATAGAGTATTCTTAAAAGATCTGTCTACACCAGAGACAGACTGAGGGTGTGTGTTGCTACTGCCTTACATCTTCATGTGGTCATTCTCCTCCTTCTTCAATCTAGTCTCCATCAATTTCAGCTCCTCTTCAAGCTCCTTTATCCTGAGAAAGAAAATACGCATGTAAAAACACACAAAAGACACACACACATATACACACATGCAGTGCACAGTAATCCAGCAGAACACCTGTGGTCTTTGACAGAGCTTCGGTCTCTCATCTCCTGCTCCTTGTGCAGCAGCTGAGATTGAATCTGCTGACAAAACTCCTGAGATGCTTTCAGAGCTTCTGCAGCCTGCAGATGAGCCTGGCTGTGAACCTCAACCTCTTTAGTCAGCGAATTCACCTGAACACAGACACACAAATACACAAAGGATGATGAAAGTTGTCATAATCTACTTTCATTTTGGAAATCTGGAATGTCTTAAGCATTAGAGTCAACACTGCCCTTCTCCTTTCCTCACCTTGAGATCATGAGACAGCACAACAGCGCGCATCTCATCCATTCTCATGTTGAATTGGTGTTCCCGTTGTTTGAGCTCATTGTCAAAAGATGTAGTCAACTCCTGATGGAGAAAGAAGCGTGATAAGCTGTGTATACAATTTTAACAATATCAAACATAGGCATTATTAAAGCTTCCATTTTTGACCCAAAGATGTATGTACACCTGTTGCTCACTGGTGTCAGACTTGCTTTTAAAGTTGCAGCCTCATCTCCTGATCAGGAAGCTGCCCAGGTTACTGGTAATCCTTTTGTTATCAAGTAGTTTTGGCTAAAAAGGTCCAGAACAGCACGGACGACTACAGGCTTTCAGTGGTGTGATGCCGTTTAGTCCAGAGACTGCCGTGAAGGTCACTGGTAGGACAGAAAACCTCTCCCTCAAGTCAATATATGAGCAGTCTATTCTTAGGCAAGCACAGAGAGTGCTGTCTGACTCGCTGCACATCCTCCTCTCTGAGTATGAGCTCTTACCTCCTGGCAGACAATACTGAGTCCCCCGGTGTAAACTGAACCACTTTAAAATCTCCTCTGTGTCCATCTGGATTAAAACTTTAAAATAATGTTGGTGCCAATGTGTGGCTTGTGCAATAGTGCCATGATGTTATAATTTTTTATCTGTAATCTTTTATTCATTCTGTTTATTCATCCTTGTGCAACATAGATTCTGTGTAATATGTGACGTTTGTGGCTTCCTCATCATTTCTTTCTCTGTTTTAGTTGAGTTTAATGTTCTTTTAAATGCTGTTTTGTTGCATTTTTCAGTACTTTTGCAGATGCACTTATGGATGTGCAGCATTTGAGTCCAAGACAGATTTTCTGTAGAGTAAAACAATCTTTCAATAAGTATAGAATTGTATTATATGCATATGCTATTATATCCTGATGTACCATATCATATCATTTGCGGTAGGTTTTTTAGTATCATCTCATATTGTATTGTATCCTATTGAATTGTATTGCATTGTATCGTATTGAATCGTATTGTATGTATCATATCGTATTGAATTGTATTGAATTATACTGAATTGTATTGAATTGTATTGAATGTATTGTATCGTATTGTATCGTATCGTACTGTATGTATCATGTCTGACTATCGTAATCGTATTGTATCGTATTGAACTGTATCATATCGTATCATATTGTATCGCATCGTATCGTATTGTATGCAGTGGGTCACTAAGTATCGTGTTGTACTGTGCCATAACTTCTGGATTTGGCTAACTGTCATTTTCTATATTGCTCTGTTTTATTTATCAGTACTTTTTAACTTACTTAAATTTCAAAAAAGAATCCAAAAGAAGAAAAAGGTTATTTTTTATGATATAAATATAAAAATAAATATTTGAATTAATCTATCATGTCAGACTCTCTGGTGTAAACAGGAAAGAACTAAATCAAGTGAAACTGAAAGTCTGAGCTCAAATCTGAGGGAGAAATTACCTATCAGACATATCAGCACTCAAATGTGCAGAAGAGTGTTTTGAGTGTTGTTAGATTTGTTTTCTTAGCTAGAAACAAATCCCAGATGAGACAAATTTTGGTGAATGCAAGAATCTTCTCAGAATTGCATGATTAGGTGAAAACATGAGGCCAAATGAAACTCAAATGACTGGAGATTAAACATTTACATAGCTTTTCCCTGGTGTTTTTTGAGGGGAATTTTTTGCATCAATTAGACAGCTGAGGAAAAACAGGAAACGACAGGGTTAAAGGGTGAGGAAGACATGCAGCCAAGAGCTGAAGCCTGGAGTTAATTCAGCAACCTCAGGGACGAGGACTGTGACCTCTATATGTGTGGCTCAGGCTATCACTGCTGGGCCAAACTAGCATGTCGTTCATAGTGTCATAGTTTGACATCAGAAAAATTAAAATACAAGAGGTCTGACAATGTGGTTGTGCTGATGATGTAGACACTGAGGTCAATTCATTTAAGATATCATGAATGCTTTGCCAAAACACAGCTGGTCTAATGCGGCACCTAGAGGATATTATCAACTGATATAACCATAGTCACAGGTATATCAATACCTGTTTATACCCAAATGTACAGATATCAAGGCGTGATGCTATGAGAAATTCTGAAATTGTATCATCAGGTAGTTAATTCACCCAAACTCCTTTTTTTTTAAACAGCAAAGCAGAAGCTGGCTAACACCGTCACTGTTTGGTAAATAGTCATAGAGTTTGCCTTTTTTATAAAGGAGCTTTGTGATTCTGCGGAGTCACTCCAGTGGACATCCCATGTGAAAAAGGTAGAGTTTCACCACTACTCAGAAAATGTATCTATATTGTTTTATCACCCATGTTGATTGATAAATCTCTACAAGTGGATACATGATGGCAGAGCCAGCCATTAAGTAAACACACCAGTCAGAGTCCGTTTTGAGGGGTCTTTTGTTTGGGTTCATCCTAAAGGTCTGAATGTCTTGCTGCCCTTTCAGTTATTTCAGTCCTGCAGACTGGACGGCCCTCACGTACACATCCAAATATGGGGGGTTGCAACACAAGAAGGAGTGTGCGTAACTGTGTTGAGCTCCATTGTGCCACGGCTTTTTCCGTCTATCACCAGCACAGTGTGTTTAATACTGAGTCATACCCATATATCATTTTATTCTAGGGGGAGCGAGTGGAGACGATAATAGTTTATTCAACACAGTAAACATTAGATATCAACACAGAGACCCTGTGAGGGATACAAGTGTGTGTGGTTGCGAGGTTGTGTGCTCACCTGTCTCTGTAGAGTCAGCTCTGCCTCCACCTCACATATCCTGCTCTGCATATCCAGTTTCATCCTCTCACACTCTTCTGTTTGCCTCTGAACTTCACCAGCCATGGAGCTACCAACATACAAGCACACATGGGGGGAAAGTGAAAGAACATTAAGATTGATTCGACAAGAAAGTAGCACTGCTCTGTCTTGTAATGGATTTATAAAATCATTGCGATGCCGTGGGGTGAATGATGAACTCAAGTTTTCTCAATGGACACAGTGTCAAAGCCACAGACACAGAACCTTAAAAACAGAAATGTTACTTCCTGAGAAGAGGGTGGAGTGTTGAAAATGTTATGTGGTTTCTTTACACCAGTGAACTGCTGTTGACATGAGATGAAAACCTCAAATACACCACAAAGACTGTTGCACATAAAACTAAAAGGAAAAAGTAATTCACTTTATGACTGGGTACATTGTCATGGCAACTTATGCTGAACACCTAATCTGCTCTGCAGCAGGTTATGCTCAGGAATAAGAGATCAGTCTGTCAAAATGTCAGCCAAACTTAAGGTGGAGCTCTGTCAGCTGATGGAGTCTTTACCATCAACAAATAAATTCTATCAATACAACAACACAAAAAAAAAAACACTGGTAACACTTAATTTGACGCCTAGCTCTATAACACATTATAAATGTATGTATAATGCATTATAATCACATTATAGCACTGTATAACTATAGTAATAAACACAGTGTTATAACTGTTAACAACTCACTGACAATGCCACATGGATAACGCATCATAGATATATTTATGATGTGTTATAATTTGCTTATAAACTTGTAAAACTATCATTATAAACACTCATTAATTATCATGAGGCTTTATAACAATAAGCATAACACATACCTGACCTTGTAAGTCATGATAATGATAATTTATATGTAATGATATAATGATCATTTATGAGTGTTTATAACTATAGTTATACAGTGCTATAACGCGGTTATAATACATTATACAAATATTTATAATGTGATATAGAGATAGGTGTCAAGTAATGTGTTACCAAAACACTTTTTTTTTTTTTACACATTTTTTCTGCTTTGTAACTGGTGCATTCTGGGTGGCCAATCACTTACTACAAAAGTTGGTATAGCATTTTTTGTTTTGTTAGATCTGTGCTTCTGTATAAACATTGTGGTGCATAATGGTGGACCTGCTTCCATGAAGATATAGAAGTTGACAGAACAAAAATGATTTTGACTTCTAAGTGATTCTACACTAATTTAACCATGCCCATAAATATCATCTCCAACGTCAAGGGAGAAGTAGGCTCACTTTAGAGGCCTTTGGTGCAATACAACATTACAAGCAGTAGAAACTTCACTTGAAACCTATGGGCTGTGTCCAAGTCTTGTATTCAGTCTGTGGCTTCAAACTGAAAGGTACAAAAAATAACTGATTCTTTGAAGTTTCATAGTGTTAACATTTTCTTCATTTTATGTTTTGTCGGCTTGGTAGGATTTTCATCATGTGTGGCAGAGTATTTCTCACACAGCCAGACAGACTTTTAAGACGTTTTTTGGCTCAACATGGGTCACTGCTTTCCTCTCCCAGTTCTTAGCAGAGCAATATAAACATTTACGTAGTTTGTGAGTTATTTCATTCATAAATTTATAATGTGCAGACAGTAATCAAAGCTGCGGTGGGGATTCTGTCTCTTCCTTGTGACTCACAGCTTGAGCTCCTCCAGCTGCAGCCTGTGCTGAGCAGCACTCTGCTGACTTTTACTGAGCTTCTCCCGCCACTGCTCAGCCTCTCTGGCTCTTTGCTCCTCCAGCCTGGTGACCTGCAGACGCAGCTGCCTCATCTCGTCCTGCCTGCAGAAGGACAGCAGTATGTCAGTATCAATGGACATGGACAGGCAACACAGTGATTTATTTCATGATGAGGCAGATGAAAAACCAGGAATCAATGTGGTCAGTAAAGCCAGTAAAGAAAAGGGGAATGAAACCCTGCTTTCTGAAATTAACCAACGGCAATGACATAATTTATCACATGGGGAAAAGAAAAAGGAGGTAAAGAAAAGGAAAATATGGAGGGAAAGAAAAACATGGAAGACCTCTAAGAGGAGAGAAAAAGAAGTAGAAGATAGCAGAGGACGAGTAGGGGAGACTGGGGCTTGTTGTCACGGGTAAGCTGTCACGTTGCAATTATCTTTGCCACCAGAGGGCGCAACTAAAAAGTGGAATACTAGTTTGTCCTGTCTGAGAAAAAAAAAGCACATTGTGAGTCGAGATGAGTGCCAATTAATCATTTTGCACAACCCAAAGTAAAAAAATTAACTTGAGATATTTTAAAATAAGCTTCTTCATGAGAAAAATCTTAGCAGTGAAACATGTGGACTTGTTAGATGTGACATTAAGGCATCCTGTCATACCTCAGTCATTGTTCTGTTTTAAACTAACTTTAAGATAGAGCTTAAATTAGCAAACATGGTAGTTTGGGGCAACATGTCTCAGTCATTTTGGGGTTAGTTGTCACATGCTTAAAAGGGATCAAAAATAACACTGAGAGTCTGCTTATTAGCAGTTGTCACATTGAAATTTTAACTTTACTTTTACAGAAAAAAAAGTGGTTTAAAGGAGAGGAGAAAGCAAAAAACCATGGTCAGGAATTACAAAAGAAAAACAGAGCAAGGCAGTGCAGTACCTGACGTGATGCGGAGGGCAGTCAGACAGGTGACCCTCGCTAATAAATCAATGTATTTTTCAACAAAGGACTCTAATGTCAACTACCATACCTTGGCTCGGTACTGCAAAACATTCACCCCGGCCAAAATACAGAGTCAGACAGCTCTCCAAACTGCAGTGCATGTTGCATAATATTTTATGTTAACATTTGTTCATGGCTTTTTCTAGCTCAATGATAAACATTTTCTGTGCCTGACTTTGATGTTCACTTTTATGTAAAAAAATTAGAACAACAGTAATTTTGTCTTTGTTTTATAAGCTGTAAAATCCACTGTGACATCTTACCCCATGTATTGAGACAACTTACCCAGTGGCGAGGCAACATGTCACATGTTTACACTCTCTATTTGATTGCTTATAACTGCACTGACACAACATGTGAAAATGACATGAATACAAAATATATACCTGAGACTTTGGTCTTTCTTCTGACACACATTTTATTTATATATGATGTACTGATTGCAAGAAATATACAAGAGTGTAAAAAGTGTGACAACAAGCCCCGGTCTCCCCTAAGTAAGAGGAGAAAAGTAAAGAGGAGGGATGTGTTACAAGAGGAAGAAGAAGATGAGGAGGACATTGATGAAGGAGAGAGAAGATGAAAGAGTAGAAAAAGACAACAGGAAGACAAATATAAAGCAAAAATTTTCCAGATACAAGCCATTTACATTTACTTAACTCACTACTAAATACATAACCCTGATATAGGTGTTTTATAAGCATGGAAAATAACTTATTACATTTTCTCAAGTCACTGTACCAGAGTTATTTCCTGCAGGACAGCAGGGATACTTGATATCAATACACCTCAGAGAGTCTCTTTTGTATTCTGGTGTTTTCATATTCATGTCCACTTATCTTAGCAGGTACCAGATTCACTGCTATTACACCAGATATATGTATTTTTCTGCATAGTAAACACCTAGGTCTGCTTTTATTTGTAACAGAAATTTTCAAAAGCCTCAGTTTCAATGTCAGGTGGGTTCTCCTTAAAAGCCTTTTGGTGTTATTTTTCATCCCAACTGTGATATTTGTCTGTAGAAGTCAATTCCTGTTGTATTTTGTTGTCTTTCTTTGCTTAAATTAAAAATAAAAAATGAATTAAAAAAATCACGTTTTTACTACCTAGTAGGTTTAAAGCAAGCTGGGGCCTGTTTGTAATCACTGTGAGCTCACAGTGAACACTTAACCCAGCAGGCTGTGACTTGATACAGAGAGACTCTATGAAGAGCAGTACAAAAAAAAGTGAAAATATTCAATGACTTCAGCCTGGAGAGGATTGTGTCGACAAGATCCCTTCTTGCACTAATGAGCTCCTGTCAGTTACACCCTGAGCTTGGGAGGATATGCCTTTATATAACTGTGGGGTCATATGTTACTAATCCTCCTCAAGTGTCCTTTTTTTGTTCCTCTGATGCTTCATACGCTGTTTATGCTTTATTGTCTCTGCTTTCAGGTGTGTCAAATCTAAATGCCACATATACAGATCATTTTCCTATCATTTTCTCTCAAAGTGTTCGTACCTTTTATCCTCTGCAGCCAGAGCTCTGGAGGTCACGACATCATACCTCTCCAGCTCTTTGTCTCGCTCGTCCAGGAGTGCCAGGTTGAACTGGAAATCCTCCTTCATTTGCTGATAGCGCTCTCTGACAAATAAAATCATAACAAATTGTTACTAGGCAATCACTGTTTTTGAAGAGGGAGATATTTCACATAGACATGAGTGTTAGATGCTTCACGATCAGCTCAATTTGAGTGTGTAATAAGTAGTATGGGACAAAACTACTTCCTGTTTCATCTCCATTCTAAAGGGACACACACACGGATCAGGTTTGTGGATTCATTGTTGGACACTGTCATACCAGAAGTGATCCCGTGTAAGCTCCCGCAGCTCATTGTGTCCCGACCTCACCTGTTAGTGTAACAAAAGACACTAACAGACAGGAAGCAGCAGGTGAGGATGTGACCTGCAGCTTAATTTCAGACTGGCGGTAACTATACTGTACACATATATAACTGAAAATACAATATAATGATACATACTGTAAAAAAAGAGGAATTCTAGTATTACTTCACCTGGTCTCTGTTTTTGCGTATCTAAGACTCTAATAGGTCCACAAGGTTTTATAATCAGTCCAGTACACTGCTCTAGACTTCGACGGCTGCAACAATATCTGAGTGAGTGATTCAATCCTGCGACCATGTTTGTATTTTGATGAATGTTTGTGTTCATTTTTGTTGAATTCAGTTGTAAACGGCAAAATATGTGCATCTTGAGGTACATCAAAACATGCCCAATTAAAATCAACCTGAAAAAAATATGATGACGCGTAATGAAATGTGACCTGAAGACTTGAAATACAAATGATATGAAGTGTTGGGTCATGTTGTGATGTGTTCTGTCATCACAACATGTCATGGCATGTCATATGGTGACTTATTTGTAGGGATAGGCGATATGGGCTAAAAAAAATGATCATGATAAGATTTGCCATTCTGGCGATAATGATAAAAGTCATGATAAAAACATTTTAATTCCAATTTTTGACTTATTTTGTCTTGGGAGCACCAGTTGGAGTAGTCAAATAAGATACTTAACCACAAGTTTGAGTGGTGGGTTATGCAGAAAACTAGTGACATCAAACAAGTCTCGAATGTGAAAAAATTTTCAACATTTATTGAAAACTCTTATTGCACAGAGTGAACAGCAGTAGATCCACTTTCCAATGTCAGGTATACCTGGTTGCACTCATCTAAGCCCCAATCTTGAAGGAAATCCCTCATGTGGAGCCTCGTTCAGTAACAAGCTGTTCAGAAACGTCTTCTTCATCACCTTCGGCCATGTTTGATATATGTATTATCAATATTTATCATGGAGGGTTTTTCTGACGATATATCGTGAACGATAATTTATCGCCCATCCCTACTTATGTGACATGATTTTGTCATCGTATAACAAAACCACATGATATGCAATAAAAATACAAAGACAACTGATTGACTCGAGATCCTTGATTGATTCTTATTGAGAGACAAGTTCATTTCCAAAACATATGTCATCTGGATCATTTAGATATGGGTATTTTTTTTATTTGTGTTTTATGGTATGACAGCAGGGATTTTCACAGAGGAAGACTTCTTTTAAGGGAAATATCTTATTTATTTATTTACTTTTTAAAACCAGTGACAGTCATAGTATCCCTTTCTTAAAAGCCACTAGACTCAACAGACAAAAATTACATCTCACGGGAGATGCTGGTTTGCCCCTGTCTCTCCATCAAGTGTAGCATAACACAGTAACACACAAAAAAATAAAGGAGTACCCTGCACAAGGTGTCCAATTTTCATGCTTTTCTGAAAAGTAAATATACCAATTGGACTTGTAGGATTACTAAAACCTTATTGCATGAGGTTGAGCTGTTCAGGTAGACATATATTACTTAAACAAGGACAACAAGCTTAAAGAAAGTAAGCAAACACCAATAACAGTGGGTTATCATTGTTGCCAGATATTTCTGTTTGCTCTGCTCAGACAGGAAGATTTTTGCCTCTGCTGCAGTACAATGAAGGTGTTGCTCAAGGCATTGAAAAGTGACATGTCAATATTTCCACAGCATGCATTTTTAATATGTCTTTCCAATTACAATGCCTGGCTTTCTCCTGGAAATCCACACTCCGTTATTGTACTATACTGAGGGAGATATCTCTGACACACATTACAAAATTTGTGCAAATAAACCAAAGCTTTATGCGGGGAAAGATTCCATTACTGACTGTTCAGGAACGTGTTTTCTGGTAACTTGGCTAAACTCGGCAACACAGAGTTCAAATGTTCATCTGGTGACATGCCAGAAAGTAGTCTTTATGACTTCCTGAACACTCACTCCTCAACTTTTTCACAGAGAAATGGGGGAAAAAAATTCCCTGACACAGTCAAATCCGTTTTTATTGCAGCAAACTGGTTTTAACTTGATTATTTGTCATAAAAGGCATCTGATAGTTAACTACTGATGTCTTTAATCCCTGTTTTTAGGTTTTAACTTCCTTTCATTTATTCATTTCTATAAATGTGTTTCACTTCTTACTTTTTGCCAAGTTTGAACTGAATCCTCCTTTTTGACCTAATCAAATTTCCTCATATGTTACATGAATGAAACTCTTTGAGAAGCTGATTATGACAAAGTGCACAATGAATAAAAACGACTTATCATTTACTTGTAGCAGTCATCATGATTGTTAAAATTACAACACTGAAATGCCAGGCATTTGTTTAAAAAGTTACATTTTCTGCCTCTTTCTGTTATGCATGAGCATAATTCTAATACTGTTTGGATTTTCAGAAACTGAAGTGCTGCCTTCTGCTCTTAAAAACAGCTATGAACATTTTTTAATCAGTCCTAAATGTTGTTTTAACAGCTGATAATACCACTAAAAGAATTTCCTTGTAAGTAAAAACACTAACATTGACTGTGGCTCAGTTGCTGGCAGTATTTTTGGCTAAAAGCTAGTGTATAAAGTGAAGGTTCAGACTTCCTGTTATTTTGATATGAGGTGGCAGACATACCTGAGTGAGGAACACTCCTCCTGGGCCTTTCTCAGGGCACTCTCCAGCTGATGAACTCTGGCAGCCTGGAGCTCCTTCCACTCCTTTTCTTTACTGGCTAGCTGGGCTTCCAGGTCTCCCAAATCACTGTGTGCATGTGACTCCATGGCGGGGCTGAGATACACCTGTGAGCCATGATACGGGTGGTTAACATAGGATTCTTGGTGATAGTTAGCTTCTTTCTTTTAGCAGTAATTGCACTTTTTCTTTACTACACATAAAAGAGACCATGGAATCCAAAAAATGTGTTATCCTCCTTATTGTGCGAATGATCTAATTGAAGATGAAATATAAAATTTGAGAGTAGGGTTTATTTAGAGAAAGTCAGGGTAGTCAAAATATTAGGAGGTGCTGATTTAGCTCAGGTGGTAGAATTGACAGAGGCTGCACTGATCACAGCAGTCTCATCCACCGCTCTCAAACATTCTGTCTCTCTTGAAATGTTGTGTCAGATAAAGGAAAATGCCCCAAAAATAACCTGAGAGATGACTAAATTAAAGCTCAACTGTCAGTAAAAGTGACAGGCACAAAATAAAAGTGTTTTTATTTATTTATTTATTCCTTTGGTGAAAACTGTCAGAATGGTCAGAGTAGAAGGGAAATGTCAGGATGAAAGTTAAGTTTGAAAAATCCTTCTTCTTCTGTTTAAATGACAGTCCCTCTGTGAAGGACTTTTATTACATCTGACTTTTAATTACAGATAAAACTGTTGGCATCTGAGCATGTCATACTTCTACTGATGCACATCAGCCAAAGTAAACAAACTGGTTTCCTGCTCGGTCATTTCTCAACTTTTCTGTGTCACTTGTGGGTGTGACCCCTATTTGATAACAGCCTTAAACTTATTGGTGAGTTAACAAAGTTAACACAATGTTTGTGTAAAGAATTACTGATGATAGACATTTTTGATGATTAAAGCTTGACAAATTATGCATCATAAGAGCCTCTTGTCCTTGAGGGCAATCATCATTTCACAACAGGAGGGGTGAGCTAGGAAATCAGTCAATCTAGAATCTGACAGCTACATGTCCTAACATATTCTCATTTTATGGACATTTCTGTGCCTTTTAAACTTACCTATAAGATATACTGAACATTTTAAATATACTTGCAACTAAAAATGAAAGTTTGACTTTTTCCTCTCAGTTCCAGATAAATTCAAACCAGCAGGTCAAGTTTTGAATAGTTTTAAAATCAAGTGAACAATGAGGCAAACAGCCTCAGCAAAACAGGATAACTAAAGCTCCTGTGAGGAGTTTGTAACAGATTATAAAACTGACTCAAAATCAGGAGTGAAGACTCCATATGTGATCTACTTAAGAGACCAGCAGCTGGTCACACATTTCTTGGAGCAAAAAACTGCATCTGCAAACAGATAGGTGTCAGATAAAGAGTAAGCATGTTGCTGCAAGTTGTGGCTTCTGCACACCAGGTGTGGGATTTAACCACTGGGTCCCCAGGATGAGAATTTCAGAATATATTTTACTACTTTAAATCAAATATGACTTTCAAGTTTTGGAAGTCAGTGCTAGATGTGGGAAAAGTGTGATGTTACTGCAGGCTGCTCTGTTCTTATTTTTTCCTGCAAATGATACCAGAGGGACTCAAATCACAGCGTCTCTTATCAGCCAATGAGTTTAAAAGACTATAATAAACATAAAACTGACCAAACAGAAACATCCTACTCTGTGTTTTGCTGCTGGGGATTTTTTTAAGGTCCTTTCCAAACTTTAGAGGTCAGATTTGAGGCCCATGTTTAGAAATGTCATTTAAGATACATAAACACGACAAAGTGGTATGGCAACAGTGGAGGAGGGTTCAATGAGGTCCTTAAAGAGACAGTAGCTGAAATTCACTCGCTTAAGATCAAGATTTTTTTTTTTTTAACTGTGAATCGGATACAGCTTCTGTATGGATATCAGGACAATATAAAACCCAAAACGAGTATAACAAACCCTTAAAAAACAAACAAACACAACTACAGCATGGTTTATTACAGGTGTGTGATAAATACGGTCCAATATATTACTCTAAATGAAGTTTTAACTGTATGTGGAATGGCAGGATAAAGTCTGTGACCAGTAAACAATCAAAACATGCATTAGAGTCCATAGTTTTCTAATTGAAGCTGTTAAAAACACCTGCACGGTAGAAACATTATCTACAGTAGAAGTCCGTTTTACCCACCATGATCGAGGAAACGGCTGTTGTCGCACTCAGTGGGCACCGTTTGTACCGTGGGCTCGGTGGTCTACATCCTTTAGAGTTCAAATAAAACAAAACATGTGACAACAGAGAAAAATGAGAGAGTTTATACGGTTAGCTGGTAGTTAGACTTCACAAAATAAAGATAACTTGGCTGGTTCCTTTCTCAAGCCGGTGGTTTCCGTGGCAACAGTCCGTCTTTCAAACTATTCCCCTGGTGTGAGAAAGGTTCCTGGCCTCCTACGGACTACTCGACTGACTTGAAAAATTAATCCATGACGATGTTATTTTTAAAGCTCATCCAAAAGCTTTTTATGTAGTTATAAAAGTTATTGAAACTACCATAAATGCCTTATTATGACCCCAAAAAGCAATAAAACCATGAACTTTTAGACTGACTATTGCTAACGGTCAGATAACATGATTTATGGTAGGCTACTTAAATGAAAACAGCTTTATTGCACGCCCCCTCTTACCTCTCTCTACCCTCTATATGTATATGCAAGTGCAATGGCTCTTGGCTTTCATCAGTTTGAGGCTTTCCTTGTGAGAGTTATCATTTGTGTGACCATGTTTGCTGAGATTTTTTCAGCACAGTATGTGTACAGTCAGCAGGGGTTAATTAACTTTGGTTTACAAGCCAGTGAGGAAATTACAACGTAATTCTAATTGAACTTACAACATCCTAAAGGGGGGACACAGCAAGACCACACCCCTGCGATCTCCACGGATTGGTTTTGGCTCATAGTGGAGAGAGGAAGTAGAAGTGAGGCTGCCAAGTGGGCCTACTAACCAGGCTGAGAAAACTCAAACCACCACTCCAGAGTATATTCCTCTCAAGTGCTAAATTTACAAAATGGACGATCTGGGATTACTCATTGCTGCCAACAGCCCTGCCCAGGACTGTTGGGTGATAATAATTATGGAGACCTGGCTTCACACAGCTGGCATGGCCTGCCACACAATGTACCACCAAGATCTCAAAACACTTTTTAGTCAGAACTCCGGTCTCCTCCTTCCTGTTGGTGTTTACAACTACTGATAATGGTAATTAAAAAGCACCACTCAAGTTTACTGCAAGGAAAGCATTTATTTGTTTGCTGTAATGGAAAGCTCATGCACTGGCTTTGAACTCAGATTCCATGCTCTGATATGCCTTCTCCAAGTCTGGGGATGCTTGCTTTGTAGATGTTTTCATATCATCTTTCTACGATAGTTCAACATCAAAGCTCAAATTATACTATGAGGAAAACATTTTTTTCCACACTCTAAGGCAAAATTTTGCAGGGTACTGGCTTTTCATTTGAGTGTTTTTATTTCACATTGTGGTTATTCAAAATAGAGACGTGACATTTGTGAACGAGTCAGTCGTTTAAACAGCTCTTTTAAGTGTGAACGACGAGAACCAGTTCACAGTGGCGAGCCGTTCGTTTGTGAGCCATTTTCATATGCAAATTTCCCACACTGCCATCGTGTGTTACGTGACATATACACCATGCAGGTAGGGTAGTACAATTTAGCAATCACATTTTTATCATGTCTTAATTTTAATCATTAATCTGTAGCCTGCGCAGAAAAATTCAAAATAGTGATCTCACTGTCAAAGCATGGGATATGGAACCACCTTATGGAATACTCACAATGAAAACACAAGCTAAATGAAATTATTACCAATATTTCAGAATAATTTTCATTATTAGTGTATATATTGGTGGGTTGTATACCCCTGGTTGACTTCTAAAAATAAAATAAATATAACAACGAGCCATTCTTTTGAACGGCTTTTTCAAAGGAACAGCTCCTCAAGATCAAGCTCCCTCAAAAGAGCCATAAATCCCATCTCTAATTCAAAAGCATAGTCATGTGTCTTTGTTAATTTAAAGCTCTGGGGCATTGTAAAACACCATGTGTCACTGCATGAGGAACTGAAGCTGAGCTTTTTCAACTGATAGAGGAACACAGTAATCCTGTGCAGTAATCTAATGGGAAAAAAACATCATCATGGGCCAGGTAATAACTTCTTTTCCACTAGAAAGTTATTATTGGCATGAAATAGTTATTTTGTGAGCACTAAGCAGTCATCTTTCAGGATCAAGTCATTATCTTGTAAGGCTGAGATAACTATTTCAACAATAAAATCATGTTGTGTGCACTGAATTTTGGCTAAAAATAGTCACACAAGATTTCTTGTCCCTAAGTGCACAAGATAAATAGTTTCACATTTTGAAACCTAGGGGCCCTGTTTGATTAATGAAAGAATCGAGGCTAATTCTCATAGGTTGGTTGCTTAAGCTACAAGAATGAAAGAGCTACCCCTTAAACTCAAGACCACAGCCTTTTTCCTACTGAAAGCATGACTATTGTAAAATGTAGGCTACTGAATGTACTGATTGGAACAAGTGAGTACAAAAGTAAAACAACTGGCCCTAGTCTTTCCCTAGAACAGGTCAGTTTCTTAAAGTCTAAATATGTATGTTGCTTGTTAAAACAACTATCTCTAACCTTTTAGGTCCCGAATTTCCAGTGTTTTAAACAAAACTGTTTTAGGCCTACCCTGAAAATAATTGTAGGGGAGAGTGGGGTAAGATGAGCTATTTTTTGATCACCACATCAAGGCAATCATAGTTTTGTCTCTAACTAGTTTATCTGCATATATTTCACCCCTGCAAACCAACAGAATGAGTGTAAACATAACTGTCTTGGTAATATAGCATGCCAAAAAAAGTGGTCTCCTATGGTCAACTTACCCCGTGTATGGGGTAAGTTGACCATAGGAGCAGGGTTAGATGAGTGGTATCCCTTCAACCCCTCCATTCTCCATCCCAGCCCTCCCTCACCTTCTCTCTCCCTCAATAACAGTCACTTCTTTACATTCATGTGTACTTCTTTTTATTATTTTATTACTGCTAAAAAGCTGTTTTGTAAAAAGTCACTTTAACATGAGAATGTCTTCAAGTGATTCAGAACATTCACAGCTGTATTTTTGAAAAGAAAAAGTAACACATTTCAACAATCTGAACTGAGACTCTGATCCTCTCATCAGACTCCTTTACTTTCTCAGTTGAGCCAGTGACTCAACTTACCCCTGAACTACTATTATGATCGTATTAGTCCTCTAAACTAAAATGGTGGACTTTTTTTGCTGTGTTTTTGACCTCATGTTATAACTCATAGATACCACAATTGATGTTGAAAACAAATTTTAAATGATCTTTTTTGATCTGAACACAATTTTAATAAAACTTATGACAGACTAAATTCACTTTCAAGAGTAGAAAATGTTCACTTCACCCATGTGCTTCTAACCTTCACAGACTCCATAAATTGATGCCCATCTCTTAAATATTTGGTCACATGTTCAATTTCTCATACCATTTCCAAGCAACAGGGGGTGGCTCAACTTACCCCACTCTCCCCTTCTAAAGTGAGACAACAAGCCCCAGTCTTCCCCTAAAACATTTTAATTTAATAAAGTCTGAAATATGTATGTTGCTTGTTAAAACAACTATCCCTTACCTTTTAAGCCCCTAATTTCACTTTGTCCAGTGTCTTAGATGAAACTGTTTTAGGTCTACTCTATAAATAATTGTACTGTGAGATCTTAACTCTGTATATTTTGCAGTTGCTCAGCACTTTGCTTTTCTCTAGAAAATTTTGTAAGCGGTTACGCAGAACTGAGTTTGATTGCCTCATAATCTAACAGGATGGAGGTGGCAGCTGAACTGTAATAAGTTTGACTGAGGAGGAGGGGCGTGGACTCTGGTGAGCGCGCCGCCGTTTGATAAAGACAGGACGAAAGCGCGCACACGCGTTTTCTGTAGAAGCGCTTCAGAGGAGGGAGACATCATCTCAGCAGGTAAGGTGAGTTTGTTTCATATTTTCTTTTCTTCAAATAGCTGTCGGTTTCTGTGTGACTCACTTCAGGTAATAATCCCCTTGGTTTTTAACCTGTTGTAGCCCACAGGCTCGAGTAACAGGTGTGCTGGGTGAAGATGAATTAAGAGTGTATTTAATGACAGCATCAGAAAAGGGTTAGGGCGGATTATCCTCTGGGTAGTGTTGGTTCTTGTCAAATGTTAGTAAGGCTCAGTCTTGATCAGGATTGGGTGTGCGTGGATTCACATTAGATACCCACGCCATGCTTCTCACGTAGACAACCCGGTCTAGAGGCTGTATTCCGCGTCTGCCTGTCTCGTTCCATTTGTATGGGCTCAGAATGCGTGAAAAACTTCATTAAGTTGTTTGAAATCATAACAGACAGTGAGTCGCTCACAGTGGCTCCAGCCCTGAGATGTTTCCTGATGCGTGTTAATTTCCTATGAAAAGCGAAGGGCATCCGGGTGAATATGTAAAGTGGTGTGCGCCCTCATAAAAAGTACAAAATAGCTCTACAGGTCTTTTCCCATCCATTAAACCTATTAGGAAGACAAACTGAGAGCAGGAGTTATGGGAACAGATGCTTTTGAAGTCAGGGGTCTGAGCGCTCCGTCGTTTCCTTCTCCTGTGGGTGCTGATGATGATGATGATGATGAAGCCTGAACATGATGAAACAAGCGCTCTCTCCAAGTTTGTACGCTCATTGTTGGACTGGATGTGACGCAGAGGGAGTCACTGTGCCTACGTGCGCGGGGCTGCATCCACGAGACTGCTGCTGGTGATGTCAGGACTGGACCTCCTCTTTAATCAAGTCTGCGCATCATGGTAACCATAGGGGGACCTATACACTATAATCTCTATGAGCGTGGATAAATCAGGAGAGAAACGGGACGGGATTAAGGCTTTGATGATGAAAGATCGACCGTGAAATAAGCGACCAAAGTGGTAAATTGTTGGAATGTGGTGACCAGGCACGTGTTTTTGTGATGGCAGATCGATTACAGTAAAATACAATACTGAATATTCCGTATAGTGTTGATCATCACAGTGGTGTACATCTAGGAAAGGCAAAGGGAGACCCTTGTATGTTACAAAGGTTAGATGACTGCGACAAAACAGAGCAGATGTAAGAGGAAATCCTTTCATTCTTGGAGATGATGTTTAGGCTTCTGTTGATTTAAAATCCACAAGTGTGGCTCTTATTGGGAATATTACCAGAGAGTGTTGAGTTAGCAAACCATAAACTGTAAAGCTTTGGTTACAGGATTCAAGATAACTTTGCACTGTAAATCCTCCAGTAGGGGAGGGTGGGGTAAGATGAGCCACTTTTCATATTTCGGATCACTGAATCAAGGCAATCGTAGTTTTGTCTCTAACTAGTGTTTCTGTATATATTTCAAAATGTTGTGCATCCCTGCAAACCAACAGAATGAGTGTAAACATAACTGTCTTGATAATATAGCATGCCAAAAAAGTGGTCGGGGTAAGTTGAGCCGTATCTCTACTACGCCCCCACTCTCCACCCCAGCCCTCCCTCACCTTCTCTCTCCCTAAATAAAAGTCACTTCTTTACATTCATGTGTATTTTTATATTCTGATCCTCTCATCAGACTTCTTTACCCTAGAACTACTATTCTGAATGTATTAGTCCTCTAAACTAAAATGGTGGACTTTCATGCTAGGTTTTTGACCTCATGGTGTAGCTCATAGATACCACAATTGATGTATAAAACAAATTTAAAATGATCTTTTTTTGGTCTGAATACAATTCTTATGACAGACTAAATTCACTTTTAAGAGTGAAAATGTTTTATTTTTTTGGAAATAAATGTCTAACCTCTTTACCAACGTGCTTCTAACCTTCACAAACCCCATGAATTGATGCCCATCTCCTAAATATTTGGTCACATGATCAATTATTTTTACCATTTCCGAGCAACAGGGGGTGACTCATCTTACCCTTTGGCTCAACTTACCACACTCTTCCCTACCCTTGTATACAACAAAGGTTAGATGACTGCGACAAAACAGAGCAGATGCAAGAGGAAATCCTTTCATTCTTGGATATGAAGTTTAGGCTTCCGCTGATTTAAAATCCATAAGTGTGCCTCTTACTGGGAATATTACCAGAGTTATTTAATCAGTAGCTTACAGAGTGGCTGGGAGGGAGGATTTACTTAACCCTAGAACACTATTGCTAAAATTAGTAACACCATCACTATCGCCGGGTGATTTTGACCCGAAATAATATACCCAAGAAAAAGTACTCACAATATATCAAAATAGGATAATACATGACAATTTAAAGTAGTTTCTTGTGTTTGTAACTGTGCAATGTCTAGAGGGAGAAAAAAGTGCCATGTGTAGAATGAGAGGACCATATAAAAAAATGCAACAAAATAACTGAAATTAGGCATTCATTAACAAAAAAATCCTAAAAAAATATGTATAGAAACTGTAAACCTTATTTATTTTTCACCCATTCCTGGGGCATGTGAGTCTTCCCTGGTGAAGAATCAGAGTCCTTGGCACAATAACAGCTGCAGGAGAGAGAACCAAAATATGGCATATTTTGAGTGAGTAAAAATGACCAGCTGGCTAAAATATTTCTTATCACCATGGGAATTCCCTTGAAATCACTACTGTGTGATAGTTATTCATAACCACTGCGCAAAATAAAGATAGCATGCGAATTCCAAGACCACTCTTACGGACCTTATTCCCAACATGCAGCTATCTAATCCACCCAAACCTACTTTACCCTCTATCACTATTGCAGGGTGAAAATCACTCAGGCACCCATGATACTCAGACAAACACAACATAATGAAAATCACGTAAACATGTTTGGTTGGGTGAAAATCACCCAGCGATAGTGTTCTAGGATTAATGGTTATGAAGTATAGGCTTCCTTTGATTGAAAATCCATAAGTGTGTCTTTTTTTGGGAATATTACCAGAGTGTGTTAAATTAGAAAAATATAAACTATGGTTCTGTTGAGCTTTGGTTACAGGATGCAGGATACACTGTAAATCCTCCAGTATGTCCACTTCAAGGGAGTGGTTTGAGTTATGAACCAATAACTTAAAGAGTGGCTGGGAGGGAGGATTTACTTAATGAACTGTTTGGTATGTTATGTCTGGCTTCTGTGTAATTTTAGTGCCAGACTGTCTTTGGGTTTTATGTTGTGGAGACTTAGAGATACTGAATATAATCAGAAGAGTAGAAACTTACTTGTTTCTATTGTGTATGAAGATAGAGAGCAAATCACTCACTAAAGTAGTGCTGCCTAGTATCAGAACTAACCAAAATATTGTTGTAGAAATTGTGTTTTCTGTCTGTTTTGCTAATAGCAGTACTCTATCATTGTGAAGTGGGGTTACAGACAAGAGTATATAGATTTTTAATTGATGTAATCTATCATGAAGAACATGTTTCCAATACTAAACCGCCTCTACAACCCCTCATCTCTCCTCATCATCCAAATGATCACATCTTTCAAAATGATGTGGCACGACAGACGGTATTTTACAGAGGATGCTATACAGACTCTGATCAAGGTGTACAATTTTAGTTGCTGCTTACTCTTTAACACCTAAGGTATTGTGAATAAAGCAAAGCAGCTTTAGTTTGTGTCAGATGCAATGGAGATAGCTTTGTTTAGAGCTTATCCAACACCTCCGTTTACTGCACAATTGTGGACGAACCATAAGAATAAGGCGATAATGTCATTATTGAATTGAATATGATTGAAGAGACCTGAGTGCTGCAGTGCAAGTAAAATGTTTGTAACAGCTAGAGTCGGTTATCTAGAAGCTATCTTGAGAAATCTAGGACATAATTTCATTAGCTGACTGAATGCTCATGAGAATAAGATCATCTTGGTCCTGTCTAATATCAGATACACAACTGTATAATACAAGTAACAGCTATGGAGAAATTGGGGCAACAGCTCCTTTTTTAAGGTTGTGTTTTAATTGTTATTTCTTTATAGTATTTAAATTATAGACTCTAATTCAGCCTTAGTAGATTTATTGTGTTTTCTATATATAATGTGCTGTAATTCTATGCATTTTGTAGTCTTTTAAATGGGCCTTGAGTCCATAATAAAGTAAAGATACAATTGAGTACAACTCAAATGATTAACAAGCAAAATTTAAAGGCACTTAAAGCTCATATATGGAGTTTTTTTTTAAAGATGGTTGTAAAACAGATTAAAATTAATTTTAAAAAAGACACGACTATCAACATCAAGACTGATATTTCACCCATTGCTATTTTCTGTGCCTGTAAATGCTGCTGAGTAGGTGACAGATGAACAGTAAAAAGCAACCTGCACTGATTAAAATACACATGGGAAAAACCTGCAGTTCATCAAGCGTCCACTGGAGGCTGCTGCAAAAGCCAAGGAGTTCCCATTGGTCCCCACATTCAAACGTTGGTTTTTACAGCAGAAATAGACATTTTTTGTAGAAACAATGGTTTTTGCGATTTCACCGAGTGACAAGCTGACTCAGCACAGAGTGGCGCTTTTTGGTGCAGAAAACCTTGATCTTGCTTGCCTGTACATAGCCCACAGTACCCTTCCTTCACATTTGATGTGTAGAGGAGTATCTGCATTAACAATGTAATAGTGTGACATGACTGGAACACTTTCTTCCTAACAGTGCCAGCCAGTTCCCTCTAAGCCCCCTTTTCATCAGTGATCCCCAGGAAAGTCTGTACTTTCAAAGTCATCCAGGAGGGCAGCGCTTTGAGCTGTCATTCTAAAACATTAAATCTGTGTTGTGTTTTGCGTTTGTCCGTCATTACCGCTATTGTACAGGAAGATGGGGAATTTTTATAATCAACAAACAGTAGTTGACATTTTGAAAAGGGTCAGTCACTCATAGGGCTGGACGATAAATTGAAAAATTTCATCAATATATTCGGTGTCAAAAAAATAAATAAAAGTTGGTTTTGGATGTGTGTAGGTAGGCGATGGTCTCATGTCCCTTTAAGATGCTGTCCTACATCAGAGACGTGACTCCACTCCATCCAGTCTGTAACAAAGAGGGAAAGACAGGTGAGGAGATGGAGGACGGTTCAAAAGTTGTAGCAAGTGGAGCGGTGGTTAAAGTAGACAAAGTTAATGTGGGAGGGGGTGAGCAGCTTGTGGAGTAGTTATCGCCCATTTATCGTTATCAAGGTGAACTGCTCAATATATCGTGATGTTGATTCGAGGCCGTATCGCCCAGCCCTAGTCACTCATGTTGGTAACTTTCCCATCTTTTAATAGGGGAAACGCAAATAATTGTGCTGAACTAAACTGAATCAGACTACTTGGTAGAAATGCAGCGTTAGATGAGGATATGACAGCTAAGTTGATAAACAAATGAGTGTTTGCTTGGAGGCTAAAAGTCCATCTCAACTCCACCTCTTTGCAGGTGTCTAAACCAATCAAAAGTTTGGCTGAGTCAGCATACATAGACCGTCTACAATATAAGAAACATGAAACCTGCTATATGAAATTATTGATGATGAGATAATGTGTATGGCATTTAAAGACTTCACTTCGGGAGGTTCTTAATATGGAATATTGTGTATTATGATGTGTGCACAGCAAGGCAAGCTGAGTTCAATCAGAGGCTGGTAAAAGCTCGAGTTATAGGAAGGAAGAGGAACTAAGAGCCCTGAAGCCCTGGGACCTGTTATAGAAGAAAAGCAGCTAAAAACAGAGCACAAGAAGTCATTCACATGAGATATTCCAGCCTGACTTGATGTAATGATTCACTCATAAGATTAGCGGAAGCTAGATTTAACACTCACGCAAGAAAAAGGTACATTTTTCCTGTACAGAGGTGACACTGTGTTTCGAAAGGAAAATGTACCCAAGTGCATCAGAGACTGAACTGTGAGGAAACAGCAGCAATAAAAGGTCGAGCAGGAAATGACAGGGTGTGTTTGAATTTATGTGCGTTGGCCAAGAAGGGAGCTTTATCTGTCCTCTCAGCCTGTCAACGATAAATCGCCCACAACAGATACCATGGTCCCATATTTATACCCACCACCAAAATAAACACAATACACACATGCTTGAAATGGAGCCAGTCACGCTGTAAATTCAATTGAGATAGGTAATTCAAAATGTCTTAGCAGCAGTAATGTGTTAAAACAAGACACGAAAAGGCAAAAGAAAGCTAAAATGGATTAAAATACATAAAATGAAATTATTGAGAAGCTGTAGTAAAATCTAAGGTGTCAGGATGCTTCACAGTGCACAAGTAAATCAGACATGTATTCAGGCCCAGGACCAATTAGTTCTTTATAGTCGAGTAATAGGATTTTCAAACCTATTCTCTGACTCACAGGATGCACTGGCAGATTTAAGGCTCGGTACAAAGTGCTCCACTTTCTGGGTGTTGTTGAGGACTCTGGCAGCAGCAGCTGTCCAGAACAACAGTTTAGGTTGCCTAAACAAAGGCATAAAGGAAGGTGGTAGTAAGCTTATTTTGTAATTGTCTTTATGTTGACTGTTTAAGTGGAGGTCAGAGAGCATTAAAACACCAAGATCTTCATGGTGCGGTTTCTATACAACAAAAAGTTGGTAGGCTTTTAATTTTAATTAAATTTTTTTTTGATGGTTCAAAAATCACCTTAAATCATATCTAATTGAAAATAGTGCAAAGACAACAAACCAATAAGTAAGCTATCTATGCCATAGGTGCTTTTGCATTTTCACACCATCATGGACGCTGGCTTTTTTAACTGTGCACTGATAACAAGTCGAGTAGTCCTCTTCTCTGAATGTCAAATCTTTTTATTCAGACCGCGTGGCAGTTTTACATCTCATCTCAGTGGATCTTTGGCTCAGGCCCAGAGAAGTTGTAGGATCCTGTTTAAGTAGAAGATGATTTTCTCTTTGCATGTTACAGTTGTTACCACCCGAAGGCCTAAAGATCACATCCATCCAGTACTAGTTTTTGGCCTTATACATTGATTTTTCCAGATTTCTGTCTTAAACGGTATTATGTACTCTCCCTCAGTTATTTAAAAGTTAATGCTGAGTAACATTATTCTGAATTTGTTAAACTATTTGCTCAAACTGTCTCTTAACGGATGAACCCCTTCCCTTTTTTACTTTTGAGAGATTCAGCCTCTTTGGAGTGTCTTTTTTTTAATACCCAGTCATGTAACTTATCAAGTCAGGTGATGTTTTCAGGTGTTTTCACAACTTTTTGGTGTTTTTTGTCTTTAAATACATATTACTGGCCTCATAATAAAGTTGAGTATGTATTTTCATATATGTCTTTTTCAATATTTTATATTTTCTTTTCACTATTTTAAATTGAAGGTTGGGTTTTAATGAGTCAGAAAATATCTGATGTTTGCGTTCATTAATATCCTACACAGTGTCTCAACTTCTTGTTGTAGATTATTGGGATATAGATTTAAAGTAGGAATTATCCTAACTTTACTTGGCATAAAAAAGATTCTTTTATGTTTAAGTTGGAATAACAAATTAAAGAGTCCTTAATTCTGTGATGATCCTGTCATGTAGAATATTATATCATCAGCATACTGTGTTAAAAGTACAATGTTTGACTGCATTGGTTTTACATTTACATTTATGCCTTTTAATACAAAATGAAACAAAAACAGTGTAAACTACAGTGAAATGACATATTAAAGGTTAAGGTTTGCATTTTTACTTGTGTTTTTAGCCACTGACTACAGTGCAGTACCAGCCAAGAACATCATGGGAGGAGCAGTAGTTGACGACGCCCCTCCTGGAGTGAAGGCACCGGACGGTGGCTGGGGTTGGGCGGTGTTGGTCGGCGGCTTCGTCATTACTGGCTTCTCTTACGCTTTCCCAAAAGCCGTCAGTGTCTTCTTCAAGGAGCTGATCCGAGAGTTTGATGTTGGGTACAGTGACACCGCGTGGATCTCGTCTATACTGCTCGCTATGCTGTATGGCTCAGGTAGATGAGAATAACACACTCGTTTCTATAACACATTAGATTATTAAATTCTGAATAATTACAGATGATTTCTTCACTGTGTTTTCTCAGGGCCTCTGTGCAGCGTGATGGTGAACAGGTTTGGCTGTCGGCCGGTGATGATGGTTGGAGGGCTCTTTGCGTCTCTGGGAATGATTCTGGCTTCCTTTGCTACCAGCATCATCCACATCTACCTCTGCACTGGAGTTATTACAGGTAGAGTCAGAATACACATACTGACACACACAGAGGACAAGCACAGACGCATAACAAGGACCCATTTATGATTTATGATGACATGCATTTAAACTTCTCTCAAGTCTAAGGCTTATACCCTTTTATAAAGTAGAAAGCTACAGTGCTGATCAGACCTCAGCTTTTAAAATAGAAGTGTTAACCTATCATTTGGGAATAATGCTAAAGCGCTCTGATCAGGAACATGCAAAAGCAGTCTTACCTTATTTTGAGCGTGGTCTAGACCCGCTCTTCTTCTTTGAAAAGCGTCTTGGGATGTTCACTTTTATTTTAATCCTATAATGTCTTTTGTATCATATTTCATACATACTTTTATATACTTCTATCAAGTCAATATGATCAACAAATTACAATTAGTGATTAATGATAAAAATGTCCTCTTGTAGTTGATTAGTTTCCAAAAACATCTAATGTATCAAACGAGATAAATAAATATATTTGTAAAACTTTAAAGAAATATTTATTTTTTGGTTTTCAGTAGTGAGTGAAATAAACATTTCAGCTCCAAAAAAATGAGAATTTTCTGGCCATTATTTGTGGTGTCAGGCAGTAAAGGGCTACAAAAGTGCTGAACGGGGCGCCAGTTGGCACGCTTGTTGTTGGTTTGAACTATTTGCTCAATGTCTTTCCCCATTTTCTACTTCCCTGATTCCCTGATCCTTTTAAGCTGTCCTTTGACCCTTCATGCATGAAAAAGTAACAGAGCGGTTTTTAAATCTTGTTTTGTTTGACAGGACATGCATGTGAGTTTGAGTGTGAGTTTAGGGCAAATGCACATCTCCATTCAATGTTGACTTGTTAACTTTAGAGTTCCAGTTAGACTCTCATTACAGCCTCTGATGATATTAAATATATTTCTTGCAGTGGACCTCAGCAAGCATTGATTAAGATTTAACTCTAAGTTTTAAGTAAGTACCATGGTGATCTAAACAGGTTAGAGGAGAAAGAGAGAGAGCTTTGTGACATGGTGAAGTCTGACTTGAGGCTCAACAGACTAGCTTACCCCATGGTGTACCACTTTTTAGGCTGTCGAATTAAAGATATCCTGCATTAGCTTCACCTTTTAGACAAAGAGCCTACATCCACCTTTAAAATGTAGCCTAAGGGTTTTATTTAAATGATAAGTAATGTGCAACCCAATCCCTGAGGAACAACTGAAAAGGCAGTTAGGATTGAATCTTGTTCAGTTTCTGCTCAGTTCATTCCTCCTCTCCACTCCACTCCATCCTTTTTGGTCTTTAGACCTCTTTCTCCTTCTGTCTGTACTGAGATAATGAGCTAGGACCTGTAACAAGAGAAGTTTGCACTCTAGGCTTTCTGCCTAGGCGACATGCCATACTCGCCCCTGGAGACCAAACTGGGTTAAACCAAGTGACAGTGTGTGGGTCAGGCATTCAGGGCATGGAGAGGGGATGAATGAGGCATCATTCTTCCAGTTTGTCTCTCATTAAGATCTTTTTTTAAGCTGGTTTTTCATAAATGTTGAAATCCCGAAATTTAAAAATGCAAAGGATGTTTAATTCAAGCCATCTTCACATAAATCAGCAAACATAAATGGCTAAAAAAAGAAGACTGGTGTGTGTGTGTTTTCAAAGTGGATATTTCTGTGACATTTCCCGTCTGTCTCTGCTCAGGTCTGGGTCTGGCATTGAACTTCCAGCCGTCTCTCATTATGCTGAATCGATACTTCAATGAGAAGCGTCCTCTGGCTAACGGCCTGGCGGCAGCAGGCAGTCCTGTGGCGCTGTGCTGCCTCTCCCCACTGGGACAGGTTCTCCAGTATCAGTACGGCTGGAGGGGAGGCTTCCTCATACTGGGAGGGATGCTGCTGAACTGCTGTGCCTGTGCTGCCCTCATGAGGCCCTTGCTGCCCCCTAAGAAACCACAGGAGCTGGAGATGAGCGAACCATCAGCTGCAGAGGAGAAGAAGCCCCTGCCAAAGAAGAAGCTGTTGGATTTCTCTGTGTTCAGAGACAGGGGATTTGTCATTTATACTGTCGCTGCATCCATTATGGTTCTGGGCTTGTTTGTACCCCCTGTGTTTGTGGTGAACTACGCTAAAGGCCTGGGCTATGAGGACACCAAGTCGGCGCTGCTGCTCACCATCTTGGGATTTGTTGACATGTTCGCACGGCCCACATGTGGAGTAATAGCTGGTTTGAAGTGGGTACGGCCTCGATGTGTCTACTTCTTCAGCTTTGCCATCATCTTCAACGGTTGCACGGACCTTATTGGATCACAGGTAACACTGCGGAGGATCACACTCTTACCCCACAATAATCAGACCCTCTTAAGGGGATTTTCAGTTATTTAAAAACCTAAATGATAATATCTGTTGCTATTTTGCTGCACATACAGAAGAGCTGAAAGTGGCCCCTAATAAGATGAAAAAAACCCTCAGTATTATTACAGGTTTGACTTCTAGTCTGTTAGGTCACTCAACATAGAAACTGCACACTTATCCTGATTGTAAGAGCAATTCAGTGACAAAAAAAGAAGGGATATCATCTGTTACGCCTAAAACAGGATAACATGGTCAGTCTTCTGCTGCAGTGTGGGGACATAAGAAAGAAATGGCCTGTGCTTGACTATTATTTGCATATTTATCTGGTTTATTAGCACTGTTGCTACTGGTAGCAAAGCAATGAACTTCCTGGAAAGCTCTGAACTCTTGTCAGTGTGTACACAGTAATAAAATCCATCCTAGGGTGGAAAATGACAAATGACATTTACAGTATGTTACTGTAATTGAGGGTTTTTTGTGTGCGCTTGTACTTTTATAGGAAAAACTGAACTGCTCTACATTTTATACAGAATCAGCAACTGAGTAAGGTTGTACTAAAAGCATATTACATTTACATCAAATGTGTGGAAACCTGCAAACTGGTTTATGCTTACACTGGAAAATACTCAACACTTATCTCATGAACTTGTCTCAAATGTAGATAAAAATGAAACTCAGTATACTTAAAGGAGTTACAGTGGCTCTTTTGTTTTAAGATATTTTCAGCCATATTTTTTCTCGATAAGCTTCTTAGAATAAGTTTTACATCTCGCCACAATTTAGCAGTCACTTTTGTCCATAGCAGCTTCCGAGAGTCAGTAAAACTCAGCCAGCCATTACTTCGGTGTGTGCAGGGATCATAAAGTGCAATGCTGCAAAAAGGCACTGATAAAAATGTTCAATAACTTCATCCTGGAGTGGTGCAGAGTGGAAATGACTTCACTATAAGAGATCTGTAAAGCTGGACTGATGGTATGAAGAGGTTCTGTCACCTGGCCTCATGTATAAATCTCCTTTATGTCCTCGCAGGCGACTGACTATACGGGTCTGGTGATCTTCTGTATCTTCTTCGGAATGTCGTACGGCATGGTGGGGGCGCTGCAGTTTGAAGTCCTCATGGCGATCGTTGGGACGGAGAAGTTCTCCAGCGCCATTGGCCTGGTGCTGCTGATGGAGGCTATGGCTGTGTTAGTGGGACCTCCTGGAGCAGGTAAGCACATGAGAGGAATGAGTGACCAACGTCTACGCAACATCATTCATCTTTAACCTTATTGCCTCTACTTCCAGTCTTTTTTTTTGATGGGTTAAAGCGCAGAAATAACCACTTGATATTTTTTCTTGGGAAGTTAATTCGGCAACTGGCATAGAAGGGAGACCACATGATTAAGATAAACTTCAAAAAACTCAAACCCAGACACCAAAATCTGTTTAGGTTTAAACCCAATGTCAAACTCTTTCAGTGCCTTACTTATCTGTTAAAAAAAAGCCAACTCGTTTTTGCTCTGATCTGAAGTCCTTTACCCGCAGTGAACTAATTAACTGTTAAGATCTATTTGTGGTTACTGATATGATGTGACTTCTGATCATTTTCAATCTCAGTTTGACTTATTTCAAAGCAGCAAATGCTTAAAATTATGGCACTGCCGCAGTGGTGTATGTGGAGTTTGTTTTCTCCTCCTGACACAACGTACTTTCACAAGCTTGCCAATGGTGGTGGCTTTATAACTCTTGTGTAAATAGTAGATGACTTTTAGAGACATATTATGTGAGACAACAGACAATTTAATTTCCTTTTGGGGATTAATAAAGTTCTTATCTTCTTATCTTATATACAGTAAACAAAACAATGAGGGAAAACTCTCAAAAAGTTTAATTAGGGCCTTTTTGATTTCTACTTAAAATTGGAGAAAGCGGATAAAACAACATTTAGCATTAAATGTGTCAGGAACACTGTATGGTGAGTGATGCAGACTGCAGCTACATGTGAGCTGTAGTATCCTCTGACTCAGAAAGGTCCTGTTGTTAACTAGTCCCACTCCTGACAGCAGGAGCTCTCTGGCACAATAAGATCCTATTTTTCACACCTGGACCACCAGGTAACTTGGCAGCTCTTCTTCTCTCCAGAAGTTTCTCCATTCTCCCTTAAGTCTCCCTTTACCTCTATACCTACTATAATCAGTTATATATTTTATAATCTATCATATAAAAAATTTGGACTTCAAACTTATTTGTCATGTCTAATCACTAACTGCACGATCACGCTGAATGATTGTTACTGGATGTGTTTTAGAAGAAGACACGCCGCTATTATGTTGTTATCGTTAACAGCTGTACAGTGTCAGTCGAGAGATGCTGGAAACAAACAGGGAGATTAGAGCAACTAAAAGTCAAGAGTGGATTTAAACAGTTGTTCAGGGTAACAGTCTTAACCACAAATCCACAAAGAGGCCCTGGTTGACTCTTTATGAGCACATTACCTTGTTTAAGTCACGTAAGCTTTGACGGCATCCCAAATCCCCTAATTTGTTCTATACCCACTTTTTGTGTGCTTTGCTGCTGCTGCTGAGGGTGTGGTGTGATGACAGAACGAGGGGATCATCTAGCTTTCTGCTGGAGGTACCAAACAGATTGATCGAGGAAAATTCCCAGAATGCTTTTACACCTGAGGCCGTGTAACAAGAATGTGGCTCCTGTTCTTTGCACTGACTTGAAAATACATGGAAGTGCTTTAGTTTGATGTAGATGCAGGCAGAAAAAAGCAAATCAAAAAGTCTGTCTTTATGAAACAAGCAGAACTTTGTGTTCATGACATAATGTGAGTGTTATTATCTTTTTGCATGCATTGAACTACAAAGAGTTTCTTTGGTAATAATCAAATACCGAACTAAGGTGAGGTTATGAGGACAGAAATGGACTCAGGTATGCAAGTTTTAGTTAAAGAAACACAATGTCTTACATGTTTCTCATTCTTGACCTTCAGCTTTATTAAAGCCACATCATATTTTGTTATTTAAACATTAAACATCTCAAGTATTACCTCCTAAAATCTCACAAGATACCCACCATGAAACCGTCAACTGACTCCATTTGAAAATGTTAGACACATGGCAGGTGGCTTAAGTCATTAGCATTAGAAATCGCACAAGACTAAAACTCAACAAATACTAAGATCCGACTCTGGATTTTAAAGTTCAATTTTTAGAGTTTACTTGCAAACTATCCTGATTTGCTGTTTAAAATGACTGCGAACTCCAAATGTCGCACTTTTACAATCTTTGTGAGCAGAAAACTTCTTGGTCTTACCGGTAGGCTGTATGAACAGTCATGGACAGCATACCAAGAGCGCCCCCTAGTGAGTGGGTGCAGTATAGATCCTGCAGTTTGCTGCAATTGCACTGAAGCTGTAGGGCTCCGATTTATAGCTACTACCACGCTGCTTTAATGCTACATCTTAAAAAAATCTTTTTCATTTATTATTATTATCATTTTTCAATATTTATTTTTATTGACTGAAAGAGGACAGTGGCTGCAGCAGGAAAGAGCCGAGAGAGAGCAAGGGATGGTATCGAACCCGGGCTGCCTGTATATGTGGGGCGTGCCCTATTATACAATCCTGTTTCATATAATTTTGTTCCTTTTAATATTTAGACAAATTAGTTTGTTAAAATTAAAATTTCTGTTTAATTGAGTAGGAAGTTAGTTGTCCCGTTATTACTAGTTACTGGCACATTACAGCATAGTAATAAGGTAGTAATAGCAGGGTAATAAGAGTGATAATTAACACATAATAGATGAGTAAAATGGTAGATGGACTTTGTTTCTACAGCGTTTTCTCTTGTCCACTTTTACATCAGGTCACATGCTGTGTACAGAGCCCATCAGTTTTAACTAATCCCATTCACACACCACAGTGGACAGCCACACACTCGGAGTGGGTGGGGTCAAGTGTCTTGCCAAGGTCACTTCGGCATGTGGACAGCAGGACCTGGGATTGAACCCACTACCTTCCAGTTGAGAGATGACCGACTCTACAGCTTAGCCAACGGGAATCTTTATATATTTTCAAAACTTCAATTTACATTATTACCACTGACATTTTACAGAACAATAATAGCCCAAAGTTTTATATCTACAATTGTAGCTCCCATTCTTGCAGTTTTTTTTCTTCCTTTTTTCCAATTCTGTTCCCAAGTGGAAACCATATTATACTGTAGTTTATGAATGCGTTGTATTAAAACCCAGATAACTCAGAAATCAGATAACGATTGGTGTACAACTTTTTTGCTAATGCTCCTGTGTTTCCTGCCAGGTCGCCTCTTGGACAGCACCCATCAGTACATGCACGTCTTCCTCTTGGCGGGCTGCGAGGTCACGCTGTCAGCCTTCGTCATCGCTCTGGGAAACTTCTTCTGCATCAAAAAGAAACCCCTAGATCCGGAGGCGAAGCTGGAGATGGCTGTGACGGCCGCAGAGAGGGATGGACTGAACCCCGGGGTGGAGAAAGAGGAGGAAGAAGACGGAGAGGAGGGGCAGAAGGACAAAGAAAACGGGGAGGCTGGAACTGAGAGGGCGGGCGAGGACGTGGTGATGGTGAAGGAGAATGGGAGGAGGGATGATGAAGAGGAATGCACATCGATATGAAGGATTAGATGAGTAATGATGTGACTGTACACACCGGATCTGTAGCAAAGATCTTGAGTGAGGGGAGACAGAGTAGGGGAAGAACAAGGGGTTTATTTTACCCTGTAAAGGAAAATAATAGTTTGATGTAAGGGAAACAAAAGGCAGAGGGGTCCATTGAGAACTGGTTTCACCTTATTCTGTTATATTCATAGACTCTACATGAGACGTTTCCACAGCCACTGAAACATTTCTCCTTACTGTGTGGACTTTTGTTTAGAAAACTTGTTAGTATTTTGGCTGTTGGTATTTTGTTTGATTAAGGGAAAGTGGAACCAGAGCTAATGCTGAGTTGTCGTCTATAGCTAGTGCTAGCTTGCTGGGAAAGTACATCCATAATATGCTGCATTACCATAATACTTACAGAGCTCAGATAACAGCAAAATAACAGAAAACTTTTAAACAAAATACATTTACTGTCAAAAAAAATTGAAGATACTGTTTTCCCAGAGGGTTTCTAAACTGGACAAGAACATGATGCTCATCATGTTGCCAAAGTAACTGTCCTTAATCACTCATAAAACAAGTCCTTTTCTAAAGTAAGGTTGTATGAGGTACTCATTAATATTACCATAATGACTGTAATATAAGACAACCCCAAATATAGTAAGACCCCTTTTTTTCAAGACTAAAGTTAAGGAAGACCTACTTTAAAGGAAAAACACAAATTATATTCAGGTCATTATAGTAAGTCAGCTCCAATGACTGGAGGACTAGCTTGAAGCTAGGACCACCACCAACCAACAGGGTCAACTTTGCTCAGAACAGCACCTAACTTCATTAACAGTATATACAGGGTCCCAGCCATAGTACTAGCCACCAAACATCTTTTTAACTTTGCCTAATTATTTTTAGCAAAGAGACTAAACAAAACTCACCTACTCTCTTCCAGTAGCCGCTTGTTTGTAGCGAGACCTCAGGCCAGTCCATTACGGACTGCTGTGGGGTTACGCAGCTCAAGGAAGAACATTTAAGTTAGGTGCTGTTCTGAGCACTATTTGTGGCTATAGAGTGGTGTTTTGGTTTGTTTATGGCTCCTCAGACGGCTGTGTATTGTTATCCTGCGGTCGTTATTCAAGTTGGTATAACTAGAGAAGCAAGCGGTCGGCAACATTCATCTCTCGAGGGGGTGTCTAACTCAGTGTTAGTGTGTTTGACACCAAATTATTTTGCGCCGGAATATCCCTTTAAGCCGTGATTGAGCAGGTTTCTCATGCCAACATACTATTCACACTGCTGATCATGCGGCCTATGTGTCACCATGCTTCAGTAAATCAGATTTACAAAAACTTAATTTGACACCAGAGTTATATATAGTCTCTCTGGTTTCTGAACTGAAAGTGTTTCCTGAGGCTGGGAACTATTGTTTCTCATCCAAGGGGCTGAGCTGATCGGCAACTCCCTAATGTCAGACAGTACTAAGAGTACCTGATACAACCCCACTTAGAATCAAGAAATAAATAAGATGTTGCCTTATCGTCTCACTAAAACTTGGAAATAGAGATTGAGACTCTAAACTTATTAGCAAAAGAGTAATACTTCAGGTAAGAAAATGGCGAATTTCCTCACAAACTTCCATAAAATGCAACTCCTTTTCGCAACTTAGACGCCCAGAAAGACAAACAGCAGGTTTCAGTTTATCACTTTTCCGACTGAGAGGGTACTTTCACTTCTTATATACAGTCTATGATTATAACTGTGACATATTGTTGGTGTATATTACTGTAATCTTGGCGTATTTGAAAAGGTAAAGGTATGATCTAGATGCTGCAGTCATTGTTATGTGTTACATTACTGGCGACAAATACCAGCTTCCTTAGTAAGATACTTCTACTGCCTAGAACAAAAACACAGGTTTTTTCAGTTTTGTGCACTTTTAAGCATTGTTTTTATCATGCAGACCCTTTTTCAGAGTCCTTTCTTTAGGACTGAAGCTTCTTGGCAATCCAAAGTCTTAAAAAGTTGGTACGCTTTATGAAATGTGCATAAAACCAGATTTTGATGGTTGGCAAATCATTTAAACCCTCTCAACAGTTTGTTGTATTTTTTTGTTTTATTATACGCCAAGTTTTTTTTTAGTGTGTGTCAGTTTAGCACCAGGACTCCTCCACCACTGAGCCACACTGTTGGAAAGAGTGCAGAATGCGGTTCAGTATTGTCTTACTGGAATATATGCGGTCTTCCCTAAGCAAGGCACTGTCTGTATGGCAGCATAATGTTGCTCCAAAAGCAGTATGTATAATCCAGCATTAATGGTGCCTTGCTAGCTGCCCCCATCATGGGCCTTCATTCATCCCGATACAATCCGGTATGCTGGATTTGAACTAGGCTAGTGGTCCCACTCCACTTTGGAGCAGAGCAAGTCCATGACTCAACAGTTTTCTTCTTGGCCTCCGTTTAAGCAGGATGACACTTTTTACGTGTTTTTTTTGTACCTTTCCGAACTTTTTACGGATGTGGCGCCAGCATCATTATTAAGATTTTAATTTAAAAAAGACAGTTTAAGCATTTCATATGTTGCCTGAATTCATTTCGAGTAACTATTGGGTTTACAGATCTGAAAATCATCAAATTTTAGTTTTATTAACATTTTAAACAGCATCCAAACTTTTCAGAATTGGGGTTGTTGTGTGTCTTTCCCAGAACGATTTCAAACAATCTGACTAACAAAAAATTTCACTCCAGGTCTACAAACTCCTAAAGATCATCTCCCAACACTCCCCTGATAATACATGATGAAATCTTGGAGTTTGTGGATCTTGAGTTTAGCACACACTGTCAGACTGTTACCCCAAATCTCAGACGACTGATTACATTAATGCCTCTGTTAATGTTACGGTTATTTGATGCACTTTTCTCAACTTATAACACATTTTTATTTATTATTATTTAATGTGACAAAAAATGACAACCTTGTGCAAGAAGTGGCTTCAAAATTGAGATACTTGATATTTAAGGTGGCCTCATCTTCCTGGAAACTATATGGCTATTGTCAAGCCAGAGTTAAAAAAAAAATATATATATGTATTTTGCACTAAAGGACAAATTCTCAAGTGGTCATGATAAAATCAAATGATTTTGGGTTATGGTTTTCAGAAGATTTTTCCTACTATTTTGACCTTATGCTTGGATTTAAGATTTGATTTTAGACATTTGGCCCTTGAATGCCATTGTTAAAAATTAGCCTTTTCTAGAGTTGCTATGTTCTTAAAAAGGTTTCTTCTACTTTATGTTTTTTTATCAGGGCTATAAAAGATGTTTTTAACTTCACTTGTAGCTGAAAATGGTTGCAACATTTTCATACTTGAATGCCTTGATTATGTTTTGTTTTCTCCTCGTTCACCAGCACGTTTTAGAACTACCTTTTCAAAAATGAACTACTGTATTTATTTTTCTCTAACATGCGGTTCACTCACTGCTGAAATCAAAGAGGTGTTTCCGTTTTGTTTGTCCCATGATTGCTGTGTGCTTCTTCAGCCAGACTTTATCCAATTGAACTGATGAATGTGTGGGGACACTGGATTAAACTTTTGTTAATCTGGCTGCTGTGTATGCTCATCTGATGAAAGTATTACATGTCCCGTGTTGTTGTTGTTACTGCTCTGTGAAAGTCTGCCTCATGTTGTTGCATTGAGATCTGCTGTTCATTTTTAGCATGCTGCAGAGTGCTGTGATATACTTTATGCTGTACTCTATGCCTTCTGTGTGACTGTTTGACCTCCACAGACCAATAGCAGAGCAAGAGCCACTTGTTTGGGTGAAGAAATGTAACTGATATTTTTATTTGTGTGATATTTAACACAACACAGGCATATGATGCTTGTTTTTCCCAAATAAAGATATTTCCTGTTGAGAAAGACGAACAAACAATGTCTTTGCTGTCTGGTTGTTCTTGTTATGCCGATGTTTCAGTCTATAATACTAAATTTTTAATGCTATTGTGGCACAAAGGAAGAAATATGTGGGGTATTCAAAGCTCCTATGAGGAGTTTATTGATGTTTATTAAATAGACTGAAATTCAAATTAATGCCTTTTCATGATATCCAAAAGCAAACAAGACCATCAAGGACAAGATAGATAATTTTTATCTTGTCATTTTTAATGCATGAAACTGATACTTAAAGACCCCCTAGGGACAAGAACCAAAAGTTCTCTACAGATGCTTTAATATCCACACAATATACAGAAGACAATATTAGATCATGATGGATTAAATTGTATCGATGATCTTCTAAAACAGACCGATAACTGGCGTACACTGCTTTCCTGTTACCTCAGTTGACGACATTCCAGTAAACAAGTCGGAAAACCAAGATGGACGCCTACTGTTAGCTGTTGTTAGCCATTGTCAATCGTTGTTAGCAGTTGTCAGCTGTTGTTTGTTATTTATACCAGTTGTAAACATCGCATAACACAGTATTTTGCTCTTACAAACACTATAGCACTATCTTCACAGTTAGACGTTGGGCAGTACAACATATACCACTTATTTAATTTCACAAAAACAAAATAAAAGTGCTAATAAATAATACATTACAATAACCTTTGCTGTTACTCTTTACTGTTGATGCTGTGCGCTGCCATCTTGGATTATGACGTTGTCGTCAAGTCAGGGTTGGTGGGGATTGTCCGACTTTCCAAGTCAGAAATCCGACTTCAGGGGGGTGTTCCAGATGCCATTGTAGTTCTATCATATATGGATGCATGTTAAGATACTGTAGTTAATGCACAGACTCAAGGCTATGGTGCAGACCACAGGCCAAATGGCACATCTACAAAGACAAGTAAAACTGCTTAAGACTTAAGCTGTGCACGTTTGAGTTTGACAGTATGACAATTGGAAAGTTTTCTTGTGAGTTTTTGGTGTTTTGAGATGACCAGTTGTGAGGGACCAAGCAACCAGGCAAAGAACAAAAAAACATCATTGAAAGTTTGAATAATCTGAAACAAAAAAAGGAACTGAATATAACCTCGGAAAAAGTTAAACTGTACACAAATCTAAAAGAGGTCAACGAAAGTGTTTTAATAAGCTGGGGGATTATAAAGACTAAATTTAGACCAGACAACTAGATAATTCTTTTGAGAATATTAGCCTACATGAAAGTCAATTAATTCAATAAAATTCATGGCATTGGCTAAAATCTGGATAAAAGTCAAAGTAACTACATAATGAGTGTGAACTTTCAATTTACCTGTTTCAAAATGCTCCATATAAACTGGAGCAGTAAAAAGAGAAGTACTTAAAGATGAAGTTAGTAAAAGAAACCATAATGTCAAGAGATTACCATGTAAATGATGTTTAAAATTTTTATATAAAGTGACATTCAGGGGCCCTGCTGGCCCGGTGGTCTACACACATGCCCCATATATGGAGGTTATGCTCTGAGAGGTTTACCCTGGTTCTCTTCCAGCCTGTGGCTCCATTACCCCATGACACTCCTCGCTCTCTCCCCTCGTTTACTGCTCTGTTCTCTCCAAATAAAGGCAAGCAAGACCAAAAATAGGTCTTGTGAGAAAAAAGAAATTTACTCACGGACTTCCACACATGCATTACGAATATAAGCAGTTACATGTACGGTGCTGAAACAAACGGACCAGTGACAGACCAATTCTGTCTTTACACTTACCATAAAGTGGTTTAAATAAGTACTTTTGCCTTGAGGATCTTTATTTCTCCACACTTTGTGTTATGTAAGAAAAGTACGGGGTAGTGCTGGTCAGTGACTTACAAAATAGTCTTAAAAATAAACATGGACAAGAATGATGATAGAACCGAGACCCTGAATCATGACTCTTTTGTAGTTTTCTGTGTGTGGATGTGTCTCTAACTTCTCTAATTATCAAGAAAATCCACATTAAAGAACTTTAAAAACTCATATTGATGTGCATGAAGCTTAGACTGGATAAAGTTTTTAAACATGTCCTCTCTTAAATTTGTGAGATCTTTTGTAGGAATTTTGGTTGGGTATGAAAACTGCCATGAGGAGGTAGACTCGCTGAAGAAACAGTCTTTATTACTTTTCCCACTGCAAACATTCACAGTAAGTGATCAATTTTATTGTAAAAAGACAAACTGAGGAAGTTGTTTATTGTCAATTACCATCAATTTCTCAAGGATGAGGTGAAATTGACAGTATAATGGTTACCACTTGGTCCGCAGAGGGCACCAAAATCAGTGGACGAAAAGTTCCTTATAGTAGCTTTAGGTAAAATATATAACCCTATTTTTCTGATAATTAGAAATACTGTATTTCTCGCACTAAAAGGCGCACCAGATTATAAGGCGCACCATCAATGAACGCGTCTGTTCTCGTTTATTTTCCTACATAAGGTGCACCGGATTATAAAGCGCATTAAGCCAAACAAAACATTCAGATAAGTCGAACTTTATTGAACTCGTTCAATAACTCTGCGAGGCTACGGTAGCTGCAGTACTTTGACTTCTGTAGATTTTAAAATTTTCAAATCTCACTCAAAACTTTTTTATGACCTGCACAAACCCTAAAAGGGTTAAAAATACCTGTAGAAAAACTTTCCTATTGTGGTGAAGCATTCATTTTCAGACACTTCTATAGAAATAAAACAAAAGACATACAAGTAATTCATTTATTTACACTTTAAGTACACAAATACAGTGGCAAATATAAATGTGAGAAAGTAAATCTTGCTGATCTGGTTGCTTATATAATTCAATAGGTGTAGAGTGTCTGACCAAAGAGGTCAAAGGTCAAAATCAAAAACTATTTAGAGTATGAGCAGCAGCAAGAATGAATTACATTAGGGCTGCAGGAATGGGGGGTTAGTAGTAGCGTCAGACGAGTTGAGTCAGATATAAAAACCCCATAAAAGATACTGCTGATAAAGCCCAGGGGGGTTTGAGGGTCGACTTCTCCAGAATTACCAACAAAAAAAAAAAAAAAAAAAAAAAAAAAAGATTTTCTGTTGGTACAGAAACACCAAACCTCTCACACAGAGAGCAGGAGCTGTTACAGGACAGCATGTTGTACAAAATTTCTCACATTCAGTGCAACATCTCTGCTGCCTGTTAAGTCTGCACAGCTCTGAGGACTAATGGGAGACAAATACACAAAGAGGGGGGCGCGACCCAGACCTGCAGCAGCTAGGTGTCTGGTCAAAGCTCAGACTTCATCCCTACAGGTCAATTCAACAAAAAAATATGAGAAAACATTAACACGTCAATATTACAAGTTAATTCACAGCTTCCAAATAATAGCAGTAAGAAAAATCTGAATGTTTTATCTGTACACGGTGAAATGGAAATCTGCTCAAATGAGTCGCATGACCCCTCACCCCCTCATAAAGTGCACTTCTCTTGTACCGAACACTAAAAAAGGGGGCAGGGCTCAGTAGACAGGACACCAGAGCACATCTGGAGCTGCACAGACAGAACATTTCGTCGACTTACGAGCGAATATGCAATCTTTCTGCACCCCAATAACAAAGCGCACGTTTGGTGCGCTCAAGGGTTCGATCTGGCCGAAAGCCTCCACGTCTGACTCTGAAGGCTCATTTCTTAAACATGCAAAGAAGTACTTTTCTTTATTTAATACAAATGGCTACAGGGTTACTGACACGAGCCATGAGTGGTGGCTATAAAAAAAAAAAAAAATACAACAAAAAGAAGAAGAGAAAAAAGGAAGAGTGGCTGGTACTGTGGGAGGAGGAGGGAATGAAAACTGCAAATACAAATGAAAAGCATCACACTTCCAAGACTAACTTACACGTATATACACAATGAAGAGCTGCTGGTTACACGACTGCAAAAAAAAAAAGGGAAAAAAAATAAAGAAAAATAGAAAGTAAAGTCGTTTGTAGCCGACAACAATTGTGGAAATGTTGGATCATAAAGTTTCCCAAAAAGGGCAGAGGAGGAGGAGCCTGTCACGTTTTTTCATCAGTCAGTTATTGTTCTTGAAAAGACCATCAGGCCGCCATGTTCGTCCTGGACAAAAGCGTGTGAAGGGGTTGTGCAAGTGTGTCCTGAAAAAGTGGACAGAGAACAGCTCTGAGGTCCGACATCCTTCAGTGTTTTGGGAGGTCAGACCGACACACAGAAACAGGAGGAGACAGAGAGAGAGGGAGAGGGAGAGAGAGAGAGACAGAGAAGGGAGGAAGTCAGAGAGCAGTTTGTGCCGCGTCTGTAGCCGGCTTCCAATGACAGCTGTGGTGGTGGTAGTATTAGTATGTCAGATTGCTTCAGGCCTTTGTCCGCCCTGTTGCATTGTGGGGGCTCATCGAGGAGCTAGAAGATGGAGACCAGCAGGTGGTACACCGGACACCATCTACAGGAAACACAAGAAGCCGAAGGGTCAAAAACACACACTTCATTGTTACATTTATGTGTCCATATCTGCTTTTCTGACTGCTGGGTACATAAACATGTACACAGAGCCTCTCATTTCATCCACTTTAGATTATAGCTCACACATAAAGTTAAATTCAGCTCAAACTGCTTCATTTACCACCGATTTAGTACCATGGCAGCAAAAATGAACTCCTGGTGATGGTTCAGACAAACTTGACTGAATACTGACCATCATTTGACCCACTGTTGACCCACAACTTCAGTCACAAACAAATCAAATCAAGGACCTTCCTGCACATTTGTGTGGGAGAGTGGATGGATTTATAAACCCATAACTGCTGTATAACTCTCAGAAAACTTCTTCTTTTGTCAGTTTTTGACCATGGCTGCTCACTCTCTCTCACTTTCATACCCTTGTGGCAGCTTCAGGTTGAAAATATGAGAATGGATCCTTTTTCAAAGGCTCTAACTCTTAGGTATAATGTAAAAATACCATATATTGTTTTGTTACAGTCTAATATTTTGATGAAATTCTCTGATCAGCCTGAATGTTTTATGTTCAGATGGGGTGGGGGTGATTTTGGCTTTTATTTTGAAAGGACAGCTTGAGAGAGACAGGAGATGTGGAAAGGGAGAAGAAGGAAAAGAGGAGGAAAAGACAAGCATCAAATCATGCAGGGATTGGGGATTGATTCTAGGACCAGTGCGGTTCGGCCTGTGACCTGTGAGCACCTGCTCTACTCCTGTGAGGGATATTTAAGTGGTTATGAGACACACTTAAAGTTTTTGTGATGCCTCTACCTACAAAGGTAACAAGAACATTAGCATCAAGCCTGACACTTTCAATATCCCAGTCCCTTAAACAGGTAACAGCATTCAAAATTTGATCACGCAGCAAAGAAATACAGAGTGATACATCTGACTGTTCAAAGAAAGCAGAACATGAGAAGTATCATTTTGTCTACAGGGGGCACCAAACGCATTACAAACCAAAACTTCCACATGGGGAATTTAACTGGATGTTAGTCAGCTAGTGAGCTAAAGCTAACATCAACTTATGTAATTAATGATTAATCACATTACTGAGAAACCAACTCCTCGCATTTATAAGAAAAAAAACCTTCAACTTCTGATTCATGAAGTTTTCCTAAACACCCTGACTTTGGCATTCCCTGACTTCAGTGCCGAGCTGGTTAGTGATCCTAACGTGTTGGTCTGAGACTACTTGACTCCTGTATAAACACCACACTATGGAGAAGCTCTGTCAAAGGATGCGGATCACAAAGACGAGCCTGTACTCCCATCACTAGAAGTATCTCTGCTGAGTTCATTTACCTGAGAGGGAAGAGGGATTTAAAACCCTGCTTTCACATGTAGAAACAGATTATAGTCAACATGGGCAAAAGAATACAACCTTTAAAGATTTGAGGTCATCTGTGGATGATTTATCACAGTGGTTCTCAAGTCCAGTCCTCATGCCCCCACTGTCCTGCATGTTTTGAATCAGGTGTGTTGGAGCAGGGAAACATCCAAAACATGCAGGACAGTGGGGGCATGAGGACTGGACTTGAGAACCACTGACTTATCAATATTATGTCTTTGGAAGCTTTTACTTGATTTGGATCCTGGGGACTCCTTCCATTGCAGATTACCAGTTATTATCAAAGTCAACATCTTTGTTAACCCACCTATGATATTTTCTCCCTGAAGGAAGATGCTAGGATCTAAAAAACACAAGCTGGTCTGATGTACCCATGATTTTATGACAATTATGTGAAAAATCAAGAAGATTGATGACTTCAGTTCATAAGAATTCATTTTTTAATACATGTTTGGGGTAATCAATCATCTTTTTCTTCTTTAGGCTTCCAGACCAGACCAGTTCAGTTCATACAGATATCTGTGATTAATGGCAGGAAGAAAAAAAAAACAGAATAAGGATAATTGTGTTTATTTATCTCAACTTGAGTTTTTTTTTTTTTTAGAAGTTTTCTTTTTCTGGTTTCTACTCTTAAAGAAACAAAGTTCTAACATGCAAATACAAAGAAGTCTGCTTGTGTCGCACAGCAAGAATTTAGTAGGAAGACAAGAAATCAAATGTTTTATATCTGATTTGTATCTTTACCCTCTCTGAAAGACTGCTGACATGCTTTAAGCCAAAGCCATGAGAAAGCTCAACAGTGATTTGCATACGAGTAGCTTCATATCATGCAGGTGTTCAAAGTGGAAAATCAGGGAAGCGGAAATCTGCAGGTGAAGTAAGACTGGGCTGCACCAAGCAAGGCTGGAGGGAGGGTGTGGGGTAGAGGGGAGGTAAATTTCTCTGGCTGCTAACAGCTGCCGGCCTGCCATCTGATCGATGTGGCCTCAGGCATCAAACCAACAGCGCAAGCAACAAGCCACAGGCACAGAGCTGATTAAAAGGGGCAACCCTGAATAGGCAATGAGGGAGTTACACTCTTAGGCTCTGATGCACTTTGATGCATTATCCACTCCAGTTCTCACGGGGCCTCTCCCCTCTTGCTCGGAAAAACAGTCACTTTCTGACTGTACAGGGAGACCTAAGCTGGTACAATGCAGATATGATGTCACCACAGCCCGGTAAAAGTGCTGCCTCGTGGCTGTGAATGTAAACTCTTATTTGACATCAGTGACTGATGAAGTTTAGAGGGCAGTTCCTGGTTTCCTTTGGACCTGGTCTTTTTACATTTTGGGGTCTTGATGACGTCAGGACTGCTGTAGATACAGAGCTTTGTATTGCAATGACTGATACTCTGATAGAACAGCGTCTTTATCTCCTTTTTATGTCTGTCTGATAATGTCTTAGCATGATCTGAGCCTGCAACTTTCAGGATTCTGCAAGTCAGTCCATCAACAAACTCCACTCTTCCATCTACTCTGTAGAACCCCTTAGTTTAGGGTTACAATGACTGGTCTAGCACCTGATGTAAGACTGATTCTGATCTAAGAAAAAAGATCTTTTATTGAATGGATCCCTTGAATGGGGAGATTTTTTATAAATTTCCATTTCGAGATTAAAGTCGAAATTTCGAGACTGAAATTGAAATTTTTAAAAAGTTGAAATTTTGACTTTATTCATGTCAACTTTAATCTTGAAATTTCGACTTTGATCTCAAACTTTAACTTTTTTAATGTTGAAAATTCGACTTCATTGACATAATCTCGATTTTTTAATGTCAAAATGCCGACTTTTATCTCCTTCCTGTAATTAGTATTTTTCCCTTCATTTGGCCCTGATCCTTTTTCGTAGTCAGGTGTTCAGACACTGAAATCTGAGACTCCTTTAATCCTGGTGCTTTTCCCTAAAAGATTATGTTGCAGCCATTAATGCATGTTCAACAGCTTTTAGATGAAATCATCTGCTCCAGTGACTCCTAAACTTTTACGCGCCGGCTAGTCATTAAGACCCCAAAATATATAAGTGAGGACCGTGGTTCAAAAAGGCAGGAATTCCGCTTGAAGTCTTATTACATTAAATATCCAGCTCACTGGCGGATGATTGAGCATCTGCCACATGTTCAGTCCTGATTCCTGGTATTTACACAAACCTGTTCATGCTGCTGATCTCATCTCCAACCACCTAGCGCATGTTTCCTGCTTTTGTACCCTGTTCATGTCAAGAACTGGTCTGAGATTAATTTTAGCTAAGCTGGAAGTGAAGCGTTTAGGAACCAGGACTGAACACGGAACTCTGAGGCAGCCTCATGTGGAACTGGAGTTTAGACCCATGCATCCCTGGTGCTGGGGGGAGGGGGACGGACTCACCCGATGTTGCCGCCGTCACACAAGGACGTGACGAGCGTCTACTTGGCGTGATGCTCGTACGGAATGCTATTCTGAGGTTGGGGGAAGGGAGAGAGAAGGCCCAACAAGTCAAGTCAGAACCCACATCCTGCACCAACCAACCACACACCTGGAGAAAACTGGCTCAATTTGTAGCATTTCACTTTTCTCTGACAAAAACCCAGAGACTGTTGGGGTTTAAGAAACATGTGTCTAGATTTCTCTCTGTGTGAAGCGCTACACATCAGTCTCTTTTTAAACATGGCAGACAAAACTCCGTGAGCATCAATCCCCGTTAACCAGAAACCAGTGTATTACAATTCTATGAGGTGTAGCAAGAGCTCCCATGATATAATACAAATGAATGGACTACTACATCTGATTCAGAATACTTCATTCTGCCCGTACTGACAGCTTAGGACACATGGTAATGAGAGCGCTGTGTGTTTGTCTCAGGGTTGCCTTGTACCTGTGAGGTGGACATGCGGGACGTGTCCTGCCGTCCTGTCAGATCTGAGGAGGACACGTTGACGGGAGCACCGCGGTGCAGTCGCATGCTGACCTTTCGCTCGCGCTCCATACCGGACACTTGTCTGGGAGACGTGTTTGCTGGAGGTCACCAATAAAAAGAAAGAATACTGTTAGCATTAGCAAGGCAAAAATGGGTGGAAAAAAGGAGATGGAATGAAGCACTAGAGAGATAAATCAAAAGTAGACTTCTGACCAGCCCAAGGTTCCTACTCAGTTGGAATTTCCATACTTTTCCATACCCTACTTTTTTGGAAATACCAACTTTTCTATTTTAGAAAACAGTATTTTAGAACTATGGTAATAGTCTGGAAACATAAATATTTTTCCAAACATTATTTTTCCTGTTCCATACTTTTTAAGACCTGGAAATTGATCAAATTTATTTCCGTACTTTTCCATACTTGCGAAAGAACTGCTCTCTTCACAAGAAAAAAATAACCCTGCAAGATTGCATCATTCCTAAAATAAAACAAACACTTTATATATCAACTTATTCAAAAAAAATTTTATCAGAGCAAAACTTGAGTCTAAAGCCAGAAAAGCTGAGGCAGGCGGAGTGAACTGACCTGTGTGTGAGGTGGGTGTTAGCGGGGTTGGGGGGGCTCCGTCTTGCGTTCCTCGTGGTCGTCCTGACGCTGCAGGCATTCCTCTGGCCCCTGGGTTCCTGCCGTGCCTCAGCCTGTCCTCCCGGTCCCTGCGCTCCCTCTCTGCGTCTTCTGCCGCACGGTTGGCCCCCTTTGAATGAAAGAAACAAATGTTTAACTCCTGCTGGCCGGTGGTACCGCAGTCAGAACAAAAGCAGAACAGAAGCAGTCGTAATAAAGGAGAGTAGGTTATGTTTATGTTAAGTTTTCAAGGTCTGAGAGTCTATTACTGAAAAAGACTTTGAGAGTATAACATGTTGAAATGACTGAGTGCAGAGTCCTCATTGGACAGCTGCTATTTGCAGGAATCTTTGTCATCTTAAGGTCAAGAGGGTCAAGGAACAGGCCTTCAGAAAGGCCTCCTCTGCTCACTTTACGACCAACAAGCAAATGTCCACCATGATGCTACAGGATAGGGGAAGAGCAGCCCTTCTAGGATTCCCCGACAGATTATGATTACTCAAATGAGATACATAAAGTATTAACATAATTTCTTTGATCCCAAAAAGACTGATTTAAAATACAAAATACAGGGGAAACAATATTTTTCTGCGTGTCTCTTGTGCCTGAATGAAAGCAGCTCTTTAAGACTGCTGATGTTTTAATAGAAAAAAATGGTTCAGACTTTTGAGGAGTACTCACAAACTTGAGCATGTTCCAGTCAAACACATAATCATAGGAGAAGCCCTGTCTGTGGAACAAGTTCCTGAAAAGCTGCCGCAGGTATGAGTAGTCTGGCTTGTCATCAAAACGCAGGGAGCGACAGAAGTTCAGGTATGTGGCAAACTCCGCTGGGAAAAGAAGGAGGAAATCAATCACAGCTACTGACAAAAGTGCTGACACCTGATTATTTCAAGTCAGATTAATATTTTGAAATCCTTTAAAAAGGAAAAAATTGATCCGAGACTTACAGGGATATCCCTTGCAAAGCACCTCGATGGGGGTGGACATTTTCTTCTCACTGATGCGTTCATACTTCTGCCTCTTGGTGGCAGCCTTAAGGCCTTGCCAAGGCAGTGATCCCAGGTTAAAATACATGAGAACATAGCCCAACGACTCCAGGTCATCTCGCCTGGACTGCTCTGTAAAAATGAAAACAAACAAGGGTAAGAAAAGAGGCTATAACCACAACACAGATTCAAACCTAATGTTGAAGAGACACAGTTACGTCTACATCATTTTTTCTTTTTTTTTTTTTTACCTATCCCCAGATGAGTGTTGATGGAGGCGTAGCGCGCTGTGCCGGTCAGATTCTTGTTCTCGCGGTACGGGATGTGCTGGTGTGTGCGAGCGTCCCGGTACTTCTTGGCCAGTCCAAAGTCGATGATGTAGACCAGGTTGCCCTTTTTGCCCAGTCCCATCAGGAAGTTATCAGGCTTCACATCTCTGTGGATGAAGTTCTTGGAGTGGATGTACTCAATGCGACTGATCTGGAGAGGAAAGGAGCGCACAAATCGGATCAGTACACGATGGTAGTGTCAGGAACATCCGTCTGTACACTCAAGTTAAATCACATTTTCGGGGGGGATGAGCGCAAATCAATTTCACTGACTTAATTTCATCTTGTTAATCAGAACTAATCACTTACTTGTCTCACATACTCGACTGTATGTTCTTTTCAGTATCTTTCTTTTGTCTTTATTATTAAAAGTTTGTTTCAGAAGTTCTGTTTGTAAAAACAGAGCCCAGTTGTTCAAAAAGATAATGTAGATCTTAGGGGTGTCCTGATACAACTTTTTTTTTTATCTTTGATACAATACTGATGTTGTAGCCTTCAGTTTTGTCCGATATTGATCAGATATTAGCACAAACTTGTGCATTACAAGTTTTCACTCAGCTGCGATGTCTTTTTTGAACTTTAATGAAAATACTACCACAGGCCCGACATCACTCCTACTCCTTGCTACTTGTTAGTACCTTCGTTCACACTGTTGTTGTGATCACATGGGCTCTACATGCTGGATCCGGGTGCTGCTTGATAGAGGTGCTGGAGTGGAGTGTGGAATAGACTGCTTGTACTGATATCGGAGATTTTAGATGCAGGCCGAAATAATCCGTTATCTGATTTTTTGTCAATATCGGACCGATATCAGATATCAACATCGTATCGGGACACCTCTAGTGGATCTAAGTAAACTGGAAGAAAACTCTGATTTTCAAGAGGACATTTAGTTCTGATACAGTTTATACACAGGTAGTTCTGCCTATACTGGACTCTCAGGGGTCTTGGTGGATTAGAAATGGCCTTGTTATTCTGTTTACACTTTTTAAAGAATTGTACGCACTTACAGAGCTAACACCTTCATTTTACTGTCATCTTAGCTTTTGTCTCTCCTGATTTTTATGCAGTGACTTGTTGAGATTAAAAGGAAATCTGTAATGCCAGTGACATCTAAATACACACTGGACAAAGGTGATAGTAGGGCAGGCTGTTCAGATGTGTTCAGATGTGCTGACCACTTCTGCATTTTTCCCATCTGTATGACTGCCATCCAAGATCAATAAACTAGCGTGCCATCAGCTCTGCCCCCCTTTCATGTGCACACGATGATCTACATACATCCTGATGAGAGAGAACAAGCGACAGAGATCCATCGTTACATCTCTTCTTAAATGCAGATGGTAGTGCAATACCTCATGTTAAATACGGCCCTTCCAATCAAACGGTTTCCCTTTGAGCAGCTTGTTGTCGGGGATGTTACTTTTGATTCTTAGTTTTATTACAGTAAGATCAAGCATCAGACCTCCACATCCAGTATATTAAAAATGAGGTCACTAGCATGAATCAAAGAAATTGATCATACTCTGGGTTACAACAGTTTTGATAGTTTCTGCCAATGTGACTCATGCACTTCAACACAGTAAATCCAGTAATGTCAAACTACAAATGAATCATGCACGGTCCTGCTTGTATTCAGCTACTGCTTTAGAAATAGTACAGGGCCATGAGTGTGCACTTGTTTGTAAAAATATTAACATACACACCAAAATAATTTATGTAACAGGTGTATGATGAATATTAGGAGAGGTTTTTAAAAGGGTTTCATCCTTCAAATAAAGTGTAGTCGTTTTTAATGTTTTCTGAGGGAGATGGAGAAGCCCAAAGTCACACACTAAATATTTTTTTTAGCCTTTTTCTGAAGACGCCTCTTGATAAACAGCAGGAGAAGTACCATAATCTGTAAAGAGGATATGCAGGGACTGTGGGCAGTGATCTGAAGGTATGATGCAGTGTGTTTCAAGAGTAGATGGTCTCACCATCTGATCTGCCAGCAGCAGGACTGTCTTAAGGCTGAACTTGCGGGAGCAGAAGTTGAAGAGATCTTCCAGGCTGGGCCCCAGTAGCTCCATCACCATCACGTTGTAGTCACCCTCTGCTCCACACCATTTTATTGTCGGGATGCCAACTGCAAAAATAAGGCGTTTACAATCAATTAAAAGAGGACCACAAAACTGCAGGCACGGTTTACAGAAGAAGGACAACTTTAATAAAAACATATGTCCTTTGCCTCTTTGGAAAAAAAAAAAATGCCTTATGAAAACAATCCATGTGCACGCAGATCCTGAAAAACGACTGTCAATGCTGAAGTATGCAAGGAAGGCCAGTAGTTGGCAGTATAACTTAGTTAGGGACAAAACACTGACGAATACCAAGTGCCTGTTGTGCATCAAGCGTCAACAAAGCAGTGAGTCCAAACAAGAAGGCTATAGTTAACAACTGCTCTGTCTGGAGAGGCTGCAATAACTAAGAAGAGGCAGAAGCAGAAACACAGCGTGATAGTCAGCCATTGTTGTTATTGTTCTCCAACCAGGCTATCTGACTGGGGATGTAAAATATATGAGTGAAGGGGCTGTGGCATCACTGATTTCAGTGTACCCCCATGTTCCTCTTTTTCATGCTGAGAGGAGGGGTTGTGTTTTTGTTCTCAAACATTTGTATTTCCTTGTTAATGTGCTACAAAAACAACAACAGTTTACTGTTTTCTCAGTGTGATTCAGATGTACAAGACCAACAGAGATTCCTCTCAAACTGGAGATTTCTAATACCTGATACAGAGCAGCAGTCTGATACTACTGTGATAAAAACAAAAGTTATCACACACTTCATTTTCACAAGCTTTAATCTGAACCTTTGTGAGTGTAATACAATCTTTGTGGTCACTGTATGGTCCACTCCTTAAACCCTCTGTAGAACATTAATAAATACATGAAATGATACTATAGGTCAGTGGTTCTCAAGTCCAGTCCTCGAGGCCCACTGTCCTGCATGTTTTGGATGTTTCCCTGCTCCAACACACCTGATTCAAATGATGAGCTCGTTATCAAGCTCTGTAATGGCTTAATAACGAGCTCATCATTTGAATCAGGTGTGATGAAGCTTGATAACGAGCTGATCATTTGAATCAGGTGTGTTGGAGTAGGGAAACATCCAAAACATGCAGGACAGAGGGCCTCGAGGACCGGACTTGAGATCCACTGACCTATAGGTCTTGTCAACCATGAATACACACAGAACATTTAGACACACAATAATCGTTGAGAGAACCGCAGCAATGAAACTTTCTGATAGAATTTCGAGAAAGAGACAGATAAAGAAATGGAAAAGGAGAGAGAGAACAAATACCTACAATGAAGGGTCCAGGTTTGAATCTAAACCCGACTGCTGCGATAAGTTCTAAACTTTAAATGGTAGACACACAGATCTTTAAAATGTCATTTTTGGAGCTTTTACTGGTTTTAATCAAAGTAAGGCTGGCTGAGGAAGAATCTGAAGGAAGTAAACAACAATGACAGCATTTTTTTCACATCCGTTTTGCAAATAAGAAGTAAGAAGACATGAGCATTTGGTTTCCACGCTTGCCTGTAAGGCGACAGTCTTAAAACGCTTGTTTAATGTGTAATTTAAAATGCGCTGTTTACTCATTTCCAGCTGTATGTATTCAGAACCCTCTTTGCCAACATCCCCGTGAGCTGATACAATGTGTAGTCAGTCTCGCTTCCTCAGCTTCATGTGACTCGTGATTATTAGCTGCCAGAGCCATGTATGCATCATGTTAACATGGGGGAGGAAAGGGTGGGTGAAGGAGAGAACCAGTGAGGCAGAGGATTACCTGAGAGCAGATACGATGGGTGTAAAAATAATGGTTGTGCAACTATATATGTATCAGGAGTGGTGAGTAAATCACAAGGAGAGGGAAAAAAAAAACGGAGGATGTGAAGAGGTGAGAGGAAGATCAGAAGTGTGGGGAGCATGTGAGCTGATACTTCACCTCCTCCTTGCATCATCTTGTAGATTTTGCTCTCGATGTGGAGCTGGGGGTGTTTCGTCTTCACGCATTCCAGCTTAATGGCGACCTCCTCTCCGACAGAAATATCAGTGCCTGGAAAAGGACAGAGTGTTAGCGCAATGAGAATCTGTTTATCCTCATTAGGACGAGAAATGGCATCTTGCTTGCTTCGGTTTTATTTGCCAGAGTTATAAATCACCAGCCAAACAATCTTTCATTTAAAAAAAAAAAAAAAGAAAAGAAAAAAAAGGGTGGGGTGGGGGGGGTCTTGGGTTTATCAGGATGTAATACTTTACAATAAGATGGTGAGTAAGGATACATGTTTAGTCAACTTAAGACTTAATTTATCACTGTCATTAGTCAACACCACAATTATTTTATAGCGGAACAAATTCTTTATGTTCTAATAATCGAAGACATGAAATGCTAGCCATATGTGTGTTTAAAGATGCAGCACAGCCTCCTGCAACTAGCCAGGGCTTCTGTTTTTGCCTTCTGCCATAATGCTCTAATGCTCGACTTCCTGGATGTAAACAAGTAAAGATGACCGATGGCATCTCTCAGTGTGACAGTTTGGCAATATTTGGATCTATACAATGGGGATTAAGTTGTGCATAGGCTCTGTTTGGGTTAACTGACATGTAACTACTCAACTGAAGCAAGGAGTCTTCAGTATGTCATGCCAATGTTGACTGCAAGGAGGAAGAAAAGAAGGTGGTTCTGGCTCTGCTTAATGTTGCCTGAAAATATAGCCGATTGTGCAATAATGTCATGGTGTTATCTTATCATTTCCTTTTTAATCTTGTTTACCTTATCTCCCCTTGCTGTGTCTTAGTCTTTGTCATTGTTATTTATCGGCAGTATGTTTCTTTTAACCTTTTCTGTGGGATTCTTGTGCAATACGGTGGCTTATGTGACTGTGTCTTTGTTGGGTCTTGTACTTTGTGTCATCAGTTGGCAGCTTTCTCTGTGCAGCTCTTGGAGTGCAAGACAAATTTCCCTAAGGGGATACTAAAGTGTATCGTATCGCATCGTATCGTATCTGCTAATGTTAGCCATGTTAGGTGAACCACTTGGGCAATGTTCAGCTGTAGGCTCTTTTATCCTTTCTTTAGCTGTGTTAAATAACTGTGCTCGGTTCTGACTGTTTTCTGTTAAGTTAGAGTTTAGATTCTTGGCTGTAGCTTCTGAACATCAGTATGATGAAATAGTGTCATGATCACCCAAAATAAGAGGGGATAACTGTTTAGAGTGTCATATTGTTGTCAGATTACATACAAATATCTGGTATCAGTATAACACAACAACCTTATTGCACATGCCAGGATGACAATTTGCATGTTTAGTTATCTACATGATTAAATGCGAGGACTATAGTTGGTCAACAGAAAATTTATTGGTTGTTTTAATAAGTTACTGATATCTTGTTTTCCTCGGCCTGGATGCAGGGCACATTTTGTTTGAGCTGTAGCCCAGCCACCCGCCAGGAGCCAGAGCAGTAGCAGTAGCTCAGGCTGATGACGACAACTTTGCTTGTGTAAACAAGCACAGATGACAGATGGCATGTTATGGCATAGCGGTTTGGCATATTTTGATTTAGAAAATGGAGATAGTTGCATGTTTGTCTGGTTTACTCAACTGAAGCGATGATTAACAAACACAGATATGTGGATGTTGACTGCTGGGAAGGCTGGTACTTCTGCTGAAGTTAATATTCCTTTCTTAATAAAAATACCCAACTGTGCAGTCGTGGTACATAAAAATGAATACAACAAAGTATATATGTGTCATTTTCTCCTTCATCATCATTTGTTTCCTACAAGATACTGACAGACAGGTTGTCTTTAATTTACTGGTAAAGCAGGCTGAGCTGTACCCTGCAGCAAATCAAAACAAAGACATAAGCCAGGTTCTTTCTAGCTTTTAAAGGCAGCCATAAGGGCCTGGTCTTGCACTAATAGCTACTAAAAAGTCATGTTGAGTTAGGCCAAGCTCTACGATTGAATTAAGTAAAGGCACCTGTTGTTGCTGCTAGTGTAAACAACTGAAAACGTGCATTTTGGAGCAAAAAAAGGCAGGTGCATTAATACTGTAAAGGTAAGATATTCAGAGAAAAGCAGAAAAAATTGCAAGCATAATGTTGAGTGCATGAACATTTCTTTAAAACAGCTTCTACAAAACAAAACACTTTAACCTTCATGGTGGCAGGATTAATCACACGTCTGTCGCACTAAGGCTACATGATAATCAGCCTGAGGAAATCAGGTCGTCAGATCAGTGATCCCCTTTAAGTCCCTTCTTCAACTTATGTTTACCTGAGAACCTTTTCTTGATTTCACTTCAGATAAACGAGTCAGTGATGATACAGATACTGTACCTTAAAGGGATTTGGACACTTGAGTTTGTACACAGTTGTATTTTTTCTAATCTATCTCTCAAACTACTATGATTGTTGTAAACCTGTCGCAGACACATGACAGACTAAGTATGGATTTCCTCTGAGTGAAATGATGTTTGTTAATGTGAGCATGATTTATGAACTACCCAGTGGAACATAACCATGACCTCATCAATCTTCATAGGCCTGTAAACTGCAGAATATCAGACTGAGACAATTAAAAACAAGATGGTTGAGAGATCAAAAGTAATTTAATTTCAAGTGCAAAGGTAAAGCAACTCTGATAGTCTTTGATGTGCATCAAGAATTGGGATTTTTTTCCTTATTAAGATTAAAAATATGCATAAAATCTGTGGAAATAGACTGTCTTTTGCAAACTTAGAAGACCAATGTTGCAAACTCAACACACGTGATCTGGCATTAATTTTGAACCTTACCTGAAAGGTCGCATGAACTCATTGATTTTATTGAGAGCTGATAAATTCTGGAGTTGAACTAGTGTATTACTCAGCCGCCTTGTACATCATTTTTGACAGTATGGGAGGCTGGTACATGAACTGAGAGCGATATATTTGCAACTCTGGAGTCTTATTTAAATTTCACTTTGGAAATAAAGAAATTGATTGGTAAATTGATAAATTCCTGAAAGATTGAATCTTCAATTTGTGAAGCATTTAATAACAAAACACATTTCAGGTTCAATATTTACATAACTACTCTAATAAGCTGCTCAGTGACACCACGAAGGCAAACTAATCTGTGTTTTTGTTTGTTTCTTTGTTTCTTTCTTATCATTTGATTTCTTAGTGAAACACAACAGACAAGGAGTACTTCTGAGGGAGTGCATCTTCGGAAGTGAGAGATGGATTAAGTTTAATTACAATCAACAATAAATGTCACGCAAATCTATCATGATGTTTGTCGCAGGTCGTCTTGACATACTGAATGCTGTCCCTGTCTGCTTGGTCAGCTGCTCTGGTCAAGAACAGAAAGGTCACATGATGTTAGGATCTTGACACCATTGTCACATGCGCTGTAGGCAGACACAAGCAAGGTCAACTTCTCCAACATCTGGTTCGATGATACAGCGTGTTTCCTCATGTCAAAACAAAACAATAAACTGGCCACTGTGATAGGCCAGACCAAAGTGTGTGAAGCAGAAACACATGGTAAATAGAATTAATGGACGCATGTCTGCTTAGGGCTACTGTAGTCAATAGCTACGTCCTGATGAGTGTCTTAACTCTAGAAATCAACAGCTATTTCGCATGAGAGCTAAATGAGATGATTCTATCAAACTTTGAGCTACAATATAACCAACATGTACAGGGTACTGTACTGTGTATTTTTGCTGCCTCTTTGTTGATGGTCCCTGTGAGCTTAAGTCATAGTTGGCTGTCCAGTAGGGCTTAGCATGTTGTTATTATTAGCCGATTACTGGGATGTAGTGGCTTGACTTGGCATAACATATCTTGACATAAGATTTATATTTGAATTAGTCGTGTCATGGTACCTTTATTCACATGTAATGATAAGCATTTACAGCAACACTGTATGAAATTGAGGCAATGCTCTGTTAGAGATGGACACAACATCTTTGCCACTGCTGAATCACAAGCATGGGGTATGCAAAACAATGCATGTTTTATTCTTATGTATTTTCTTTTTGTTTGTTTGTTTTTGTAGTTTTTGTTTGTAATTTTACTTGTTGATCTATCCTTGTACAAAAGAGTATTTTTCGCGTCTAGAAAGAAGGAAAATTACAAACCAGAGCTGACAGCCTACATGTCCCCACAATAATTTGTCTATTTCTTATCCATACAAAAATAATGGAATCAGAATTGCTAAGAACTGTAAACCAAGAACTTAAAATAGTTCAACTCTAGTATGAGCTGTGTCCGAAATGAATCACTCATTCCCTAACCCCCATGTGGGGTTTCACTATATAGCTGACTATGTCGTGAGCTCAATCACCGGAGGTTTTGGACACTACCATTGTGACATTGCTGCTGGAGATGCAATGCATGACGCGATGCCCACCACCGGTGAGTGACCATCGGATGGTCGCTACATTTTGAAATGCTTTATGGGAAATTTTGAGTCACCTATATGGGGCATTAGAATTGATCACTAAGGTTTCAGACACCCCTCAAAATGGCGCTAACCCCCATATAGTCGCCTATATAGGGGTTAGGGATCCATTTCGGACACAGCAATGGACATTACCCATCAGCTGGGGTTCTGCAGATGATGTCAAGTAGGGCTGGGCGATAGAACGATAAATTAATTTCCCTCGCTATCAATATAAAACATGGTCAATATGCTTTTCAATGGCCTGCATTCTGCAATGTTTTGGTAGACTACATAGCCAATGAAAAGGGGAGTTTCGCACTGAACCAATCATGCGCTGAATTAGAACCAAGTAGCAAACAACTGCGTAACAGCAGGCCGCAGCTACACGCAATCATAGCACTTTAACACTGAAAAGAGCCTACCATTCAGTTTGCTTTCTCTAGCGCAACGCCTTACAACAAAACGTCAAAGAGACACAAAGACCTCACAGCAAGACATGCAACCAATACGCACTGTTGAATTTCTTTTTTATATCGTTATATATATCAATATTAACTGATGTGAAAAAAATATATCTTGATAAACTTTTTCACGTATCACCCAGCCCTAGTGTCAAGCATGTATGGTTTACATCTTTCTCCATACATTATGTTATGTAAATTTTAGAAGGGGCCAACACTCTGCACATGAAGTACTACGCAAAGCACACAGATAAGCTGGTCAGTTACAGTCAAGGGAATCAATGTAATCAGTGTCCTTCCTGTAGGTGCACTAGCTTCTGTCCATCAGGTCTGAGGACAGCACAGACTTGGCTAACATTAGCTGACAGGCTAGTGCCATCTCCTAACCTGGAATTAGCTCACGGACAGCAGGAGTCAAGCTAGTCCAGGCTAGTCCTTTACGAAGCTGGCTACCAATTTCAACGACTGCCATGACAGCTATTAATATCTAATGATTTGGGATCAGTCGTTTCAAAAGTACAATAAAACTGTTGGCCAATATCTGGCAAGTGTATTGTTATGTAATCTGTCAGTTAACAAGCTGAAAAAAAAGTGCAGCTGTATTGTTTGCACTGCCATTAAATAGCGGATGTATTTCCTCTTGAATGTCTTTGTTTATTTATCCAAGAAGACAGTTTTCAGCTGAATATGTCACTTAACAAAACAGATGTAAGAGAAAAGTATCGTTAACAACAACCTAACAGATAAGACCTTTAGTCAGTCCAATCTGACTGTCGTGTATTTCGGTTAGTACAGCTTAGTAATACATAGCAGGTTACATTTAGGTGGTGAACGTTTCAGTTAGTTGGTTTTCACAATTCGTACTCACCTAAATAGATGTCTCCGAAAGATCCACTACCGATTTTTCTGCCCAGTCTGTATCTGTTCCCCACTCTCAGCTCCATTTCGCCGTTACCGTTATCTAACCTAAAGTCTGTTGCGTCGTTCCTACCTTTACGGTTAACGTTTCTTCTCCTAAATGTTCGAGTATCAACCGTTGAATCCGGTCACCTACACAATATTCCTTTTTCCTCAACAGCTTCACAAACCCCCTCCTAATTCACACTCCCCCTTCCCCCGGAATCCCAATTCTTCCGTAACAATACAATTTTCACCATCCCTTTCCTAGCTCTCTGAAAATCGAAAGCAGGTAATATCTATATCATCCGATAGTGCGAAACGCGTAGTTTATGTTCCTTGTAATTTTGAAGTCATTAGTGGTTGTCAAAAAAAGGATGAAGACGGATTTTGTTGATAGACTTCTCCTCTATCGTACGTAGCTTCACTCCGCTGTCGGATTTTTCCTTCACCGTGAAAGCTGTCATTCGCTGCTGACGTCACTTCCTCTAGTAACGGAGGGCAGATTAGGAAGAACTCCAGGACCCGTGTTGTACTGTATGGCAGGACCATATGTACTGTCCATGGGAAGTAGCTACATGGAGAGTTTTAGCTGGCATTGGAAACGCTGACAATATGGACATGAGAAAATTATGCAACGTGCAACGACATTTCAAAGAAAAACAAACTATTATAGGTGTTGTGCAAAAGATATTTACCTGTGCAAAATAAAAAAAATAATTTAAAAAAGTGCATTAAACCTTGAACACAGACGTTCAGCATACAGAAGCACTGTTTATTATCACCCTGATGATGGCACTACAGTAAAATAGCTGTTTGGAAGGTGTTGGATACTAGTTATTAATAAGTTATTGATAATTATTGATCAAGATTTATCAAAACTTACAAGAAATAAGTCTCATAAGTCAAATGCATATTTTTATTATGTCTCAGGTTCACTGTAGCCCGATCTCAAGGTCTTATTGCATGTTGTTTTCAACAACAATGAATGGATTACAAAATGTTTAAAAGCTGTTTACTTCCTTGCTTAACATTTTGTTGTTATCTAAATATCCAATATTTTCACTTTAACGCTGTTTGATCTGCTGTTTGTCACTGTATTAGGCCATTACACTCTATGCTCCCATTTCCCACACAAACAAGAAAACTGATCCTTTCTTTTTTATTTTTTTTTATTTTTTGCAATTTAGGGGATGCAATAAGTCATAATCCTATAACATGAAATATTTTAAGAAAACAATTATAATTAACAATAAGTATGTAAAAGCATAGTAAACATCGTGGTTGTGTGCATGTCTGCTTAGCCCTTTGTTGGAAGTTGCTTCTTTCCACTGTTATTTCTCTTTTAAACGCTTCAATTCTGTTGTGGTTAACATTAAACGAGAGAAGAGCAGTGGTCGGCATATGGCCAAATCGGGCCACTTGCTGCTCTATAGCCGCGCCCATCCAAACGTGTTTAGAATTTTCTGATTGGCTGTTTCCGGACCGGCCTCTCAGAATTTTTCTGATTGGTCGCTTGTGAACCAGTTGACACAGCAGTAAGGGAGCTCACATGGCAGAGCTGTGTTGTTCTCCAGATTGGGTAACAGCCGGCACGTGTACGCCGACGCTGTGCTTGGAATCTCAACGATGTGTTCAAATGCTGTCGGACGAATGAGTGTTATTCGACAATATAATGATCCAGAATGATATTGTGCTTTTTCAAATTTTAATAAAGGTTCAAGATGCTTTTTACCGTTTTAAGCTTCATTTTGGTGATCTTTAATGCTCTTTATTTGTTGTAGAAATATTATTTACTGTAAACAGAAAATACATTACACTCTTCGTTCAATAAAAACAGCATTTTACTGCGTATTCTTCACATTTTGAGGACTAATCTGTGTTGTTATTATGATTAGCTGCCTGAGGAAGTTTGTAGTTGTATAATAGATATATCTAATTTATTCATTTAGTTGACAGAGTATGTTCTCCAGTTTTCTCCCATGGACTTGAACATGCAGAGCAACAGCAGTTGTTTTGACTTAGAGAGAGTTTATGTTGCAGTGTGTTTCCACAGTTTTTACTGCCTGTTGCACATATAATAGCATAAGCTCAAGCTGACTCTTTTATATCCCTTCTGCCCAAAAGTGAGGAGGCTTGTATTCATGGATATCACATACATTTTTGTAATGTACACCACCCTTTATATTAAATATGCAAATGAGCTTTTCTGTATGTTGTTTGGTGAATATTCATTGTTATTAAAGACTGTTCCAGGAACAAAATGCATGCTGACTTTCCAGTAAGTGTTAAAAACAGTGAACATAAAGCTTTCACACTGTGGGACAGAGTGTACTCTCAGCAGGCTGGGGAGCTGCCAGAGTAGAGGAGGTTTAATCCAATCAGACTTCATTCATGAAGGTTTTACAGATGTGACGTCAGCAGGGAGCAGGCTCAGGCTGCATCCAGAGAGGAAAAACAAATCTGCAGCTGCAGTGTCGAAAGCTGATCAGAGTCTGAATAATCTTCCTGTTACTCTCTTAACGATAAGATATCAGTCGATAAAGAGGAAGAATGTATGATCACGTATCTTAAAAAAAATTCTGTATGTTGACAACAATAAATTCCCACTAGTAATGTGGAAACAAAGCAGCAGACCTTCTTAGAGTGACATAACAACAGCTGTTTACTACAAGGCCATTCACTTGTTGTACGCATTTATCAGATTTCATTTTTTTAAAACAGGGATCTTATTTTTTCATTTCCTTATGATAAACTTATTATAGATGAGCGAAAAGGTAACTAAAAGTTCTAGAAATGTTCCAGATGCCTGCTCAGTAGTTTACAGTAAGACATCCTGTAATATTGGCAATGAGATCTACTCAGACATATTATTACATAACTACACAAAGCTTGAGTTTGTCCATCAGAAATGCTTGATTTGACACAAACAGGCTCGATTCTCTGCACAAAGTTCTAGGTGACACTGAAAAGAAATCTACATATAAAGAGGACCTTTACACAAAAAGTAGGATGCCTAATCACATCAATCAAAGTAAAAACCATTACATCTCTCTGTAAAGATACAATCAGTGGTGGAGCCAGTAAATCTGATTGGTCACTATAGGACACCCTGAAATCCTGAACCATGGCTATTTGTCTTGAAAAAGGGGACACCTATATTTAAATCAACTTTTTGGGTGATGTTTCAGCAGGTTGCATTTGTCTGTGTTGATACTCTGATTGGTGACTTTGGTTAAATGTCTTCTATGAGTCTTTTGAGTTACCTTCCCAAGCCGAAAGACAGTACAAGACAGTAAAAATGTTTGAGTTATTAAATCTTAGAAATAACAAATAGATATAAGTACTGGAGACAACCCTACTACATGGTGGGTAAACCCCAAATGGTTACCATACCTTGCAGTCACGCTCCAAGCTGGTGGTTAAAAAGCATGAATGTGTTGCCAGCAAGGTGGGAAATAAACAAATCCTCAACAGAGGAAGACAGACAGAATAAGACGAAACTTTCATATTGTTTAAACAATCAGTATGGAACTGCAAAAGTGACACGTTTTCATTGTGAGATGCACATTCAGAGGAAATCTATGACTTAATATCCTTCTTTCCAAGTCTGTTCTGTTAAATGCTTTAAATTATCACACACTGTACCTTTAAAGTCATTGGACTCCTCTGACAGCAGCAATGAGTTCATCAAACAGAGGAGCTTCTGGTCTGAAGCTAGATTGTTAGTATGTTGACAATGCAATACTAAGAGATTATGAGTTTCTACTTGTAAAGGTCACACAAATGAAAACTTTTGATTGAATACTGACAGAACAGATAAAAAACACAGAATGTTTTGTTTGTCTGAATACTCTGACAAGAGGATTTTTTCCCCTCTAAAATCTTATTGATTGGTAAGCAATAAGATGATATTTTAGAAGAACTGTGGTGGTCATTGCTCATGTCCTCCAGGTGGAGGTGCTGCAGGTCAAACACAGACTTTTGCTTTCTCTGTGCAGGTGTGGATGAAAAGGAAGCAGCTTAATCAGAGCTGAGGCTGTTTTAACTCTGTTGTTGATCGTATGTTTGTTTGTTAGTCCGTGTTTAGAGTGTCAAAAGTCTGAGTCTCGCTGTATCACTCAGGCTGGACTACAGCGTCTATTCACGGGCGCGAACCCACTACTGAGCGGCACGAGGGCTTTGACCTGCTCCGTTTCCGACCTGGGCCGGTTCACCCCTCCTTAGACGACCTGCTGGTTCCGGGCTCCCCCAGGATCAGCATATCGATACCGAACTTAGTGCGGACACCTGATCGACATAGGTCACTGCAGCTCAGAGCTCCTGAACTCAAACGATCCTCCAGACTCAGCCTCCCGGGGACTTGGATTACAGGCGCGCGCCACCGCACCCGGCGACAGACAGCACGAGTCTGTGTGTTCAGACTCTGGATGTCCACGGTCACCACGTTCGGATTGAGTCTACCATCCAAAGTTTATAAACCTCAACAAACGACGAGAATAAAAACAGCTCAAGTCATGTTAGGAGTCACATTATTTCTCTCCCTCAATAACTTTTTATAATTCACCATTTAGATCATATTTTTATTTCAAAACCTGTTCACTGTTGACTTCCAGATCTTACTGAGCTCCTCGAGTTCAATGTCCAAAGGCTTAAAATCTGTTTTCTACTATTTGAGGATTATCAACATATGTGTCAAAAAAATGCTTGCCATTTCGGTTAGATTGTTTATATTTTTCTCTAACTACAGTTTGCAGATGAGGGTTTTGACAACACAGAGAATATCCCACCTCTGTTATGAGACCTGTATTGTCAAAGCAGGGGCAAGTTTTGCTGGGTTGGCATGAAGTATGTGCACACTCTCACATACTCACACTCTGACAAATGAACAGTGACCTACATAATGACCCTTTCTATCTAGGACAAGGGATGCACAATGTTGGATATATTAGATATACAAAGTCGTGTTGGCTGATCCAAATATCAATACTGATATAAGAACCCAATGTTTCTCCTGTTACAGAATCTATCTGTTACTCTGACTGTGACAGTCTTTTTAAAAACTGACATAAATCAAGACATTTGATTCAAACAGAAATAATAAATATATTCAGTTTTAATTATAACCATTCAGTTGTATGTCAATTGATGCAGACAGCATTGTGCATCTCTAGTTATCATCTATAGCTCAAGGGTGAAGTCTTAACTTAAAGTATGTGACCTGCAGACTAATACAGTATTTTGGTTATGTCATTTATAGTGTATACTTATTTTCAGCAGTCATCAAGATTTCCTCTCCTCTGAAAACATATAGAGGCCACAACAGTATTCCTCCAAATGGATAAAATACAGTATATAAATTGATTAACCATCCATAGGCTGTGAGTTGAAGCTCATGCCTAATGCACCCACAACATTTGACAACTTTGTAACTGTTTAAATTACATGAGCTCAGATTTTAATTGAATAAAATTGTTATAAATCCAAGTTAATAAATTTCAACACTACCCAAATGTGTTAAATATTTGATTCTGATTGGTCAAAACTCCATAAGTAATTTTTTTTCCCAGCTAAAGTGACTTTAAGGAAAACCTGATCATATTCAATCAATCCATGAGAGGGA